TAGCAAAGTACTATAGCCTTTTTGCCTACTCATTGGCCGCTGTAAGAAATCTTACCCTATCTCGGCTCAGGAGAGTTATAGGATTAATTTTCCTACGAGACTATCTTCATCAATAGTATTCAGCCACAAGGAGACTATTACAGTACTATAAGCTACTTCTCTATTGACTGGTTTGAACATATATAGATCTAATTAGAAGTTGGAAAATTAGCTCTCTAGCTCTCTGGCTATTGACTTCTGCAGGAAGCAGCATACTAAGAAAACTTGACGAATTATTCCCAGGAGCTTGCAGACTGTAGCCAGAATTTCATTCATAGGATAATAAGGTGAACTACTCAGTACGTTTGCTCCTAGGAGCTAATCTTACTACACAAGTTTGCGGCTGTTCATGATGCGTAGACCTGGCTACGACCCTCCGCATGGGTCCCTACCCCAGAACCTCGAACCTCCCCTCTTGAGGGGAGGTTCCAACCTTCCGACCCTCAACCTACCCTGAGGATCGTTGAGGTTCAGTATGCGGACCCTCGGCGACCCTCAACGACCCGCATTTGCATAAATTTTCGACGCCTTACCTCTTTCGGTTGCATAAAATTGATGATTCATCTATGTTTTTTATAGCTGTTCCGTCAATTTGTAGATATTTTACTGAATACTCCATCAATATAGCGAATTATAAATAAATATTCATGTAAAAGTAAACCGTAGACATGGTCACCCACAGATTACAAGTAATATTTGATGATATCGATATAGGGGGTGGTCAGTGGCGGTTGTCGACAAAAATGCATGTAAAGTTGTAAATATATATATTGCAGATAGTGTAACCTATGTGTATCTTCATTTGTAGAACCACTGTTTTTTAAGAAAGCTATAAAAACGTGGTTCAAATAACCTCATTTTTACATCATTTGAGCTGTTATATCTTCTTCTATTACTTTTTCTTCAAGAATTCAGGACAAATAATCTAAATATGTTGTAAATCCGGTTCAAAGATTGCAATTATTGGACTTGGTCGTTCTGATCAAGACTTTTTCTCAACTTGAGGGTCTCTTTTGAGGGTCGATGCGGGTAGTGAGGGTCCCCTTGAGGGTCGCTGCGGGTAAGCGAGGGTCTATTTGAGGGTCGCTGCGGGTAAGCGAGGGTCTATTTGAGGTTCATTGAGGTTCGTTTATTATGCTAGCCAATCAGATCTAGCTATGTGGAAACAAAAGATGATAGATCAATTCTAGCATATAGAACAGGGATGAACGGATGCCCCAAGAATCTTGCGTATCTTTTTCTACAAATTAAACAGTAAGTTCCTCACTCTCTTCTTCCTCAGTCATAGTACTATCTTCTAGTTACTAAATCTGTCATGTCGCAGCTCTCCGATGTCTACGCATCATCTAGCTTCGATGGGGTGCAATTAGACACGCTACAATACCTTGTTCCTAACGATTCCCTATCCCAACGCGAAAGCCAGAGTCAACTACTATCCGAAAGTCAGTTTGGATCAGTTCCAGACCTTCCAGACCTTCCAACCCATCGATCGCGCGTGGCACCTCAGGCCCCAGACACTCTTACACGAATCAAACCAGACCGTATCAACGAGTACGTTGTCTTTACAACTACAATGACCGCAGAATTTATTCAGTGGTGGCTTGAAACCGACTTTGGTAAGAAGAAGCGGATCAACTGGGATGTGAACCGTCGTGCAGAGTGCTGGAAAGGGTTTCAACAAGTTGCAAATACCAAAGATGGGAAGCCAGGCGTTATATGCAAACGGTGCCGTACAATTCTTGAGCACCCAACTACCAACCATACTGGAACCTCATTGATGCAGAAACATCTCGATGGGCTAAGGTGCCGACAGCGAATACCGAAGAAGGGTAATATCCAGCAACTACTTAGTGACGCGGTATATTTGAACCAGCCTATATTTAATATTAATACTAATACTATTTTCACTATTATTTAGGCTGAGAGAAGACCAGCGCCTACCTTTACCCAGCAAATATGGGAGCAGAAGATCCTAAACCTGATCACTGTATCGCATTTACCCTTCCTATTTGTCGAACATCAAGAATTCCACGACCTCCTTTCCTACACACGGCTAGCACCCACACTACCAAGTGTTCCATCAAGAAAGGTGATTCGTGAGCGCCTTCAGGATTTTGTTATAGAACATCAACAGGAGACACTACAACGGCTTCCATCTAGTGTAAGAATGTCGATTGCGCTTGACTGTTAGACTTCTCCATTCCAGCAAGCATTCATGGCTATCACAGGATACTTCCTAGACCAGGAATGGGAGTATCGCGAGGTTCTCCTTGGGTTTGAGCCAATATCTGGATCTCATACTGGAGTGAACCTCGGTAGGGTTGTTCTCCAGATCCTAGAGAAGCACCAGATCGCTGACCGTATACTGGCGGTGACAACTGATAATGCGTCTAATAATAAGACACTTATCGCAGCGGTAAATAATTCGACTAAGACGCTACAGCAAGAGACAGATTCTACAATTGTCCAAGTGCCCTACCTTACACATATTATTCAATTGAGTCTAACTGATTTACTTGGTAAAATTAAGGCCGCCCCGAAGAATAACAACACCGAGACGGAATGGTCTGAAGATCGTGTACATTCACTTCGTGCACGCCAGCAGAAACATAAGATCGCCGATACTCTAAATAAGGTAAGCTTAAAGCTTCTATTTACGAATCATAATCCAATAACGATAATAATCCTTATAGGTTCGCGGCCTTACAGTTTATATCAACGGAAGCCCTCAACGCAAAGAAGCCTTCTTAAATCTTCAATCTAATAATACTAGGATAAGGCTTCTCCCAATCCAGGATGTCCGTACACGATGGAATTCGACATTTCTGATACTTCGGCGGGCGAAAAGACTTCATAACATATTCAACAAGTACTACAAGGACTACACCCAAACCCATTTTACATTGAGTATTAAGGGGTGGCGGCAGATTGACTATCTACTTTATATTCTCCAGCCCTTTTTTACGCTTACTACACTAGTTTGTCGTACTAAAGACTCAAGTATCCACCTTATCTTTAGGATTTATAACAAGCTTTTTGATCATCTTGAAAGATCAATTCGTCAGCTTCGTCGAAAGAAAGTTCACTAGAAACAGCTGATGCTTTCCTCCCTTAAGGCTGCAAAGGAGAAACTAAAGAAATACTACGGCGAGACAGATAATATCGAAGGTAATCTTTATGCAATTGGGACGATCTTAGCGCCATCAAGTAAGATAGAGTTCTTTTCAACAGGTGATTGGGACCTAGATCCTGAGATAGGAAAGGACTATAGAAAAGAATACCGCAAGAGTCTTCAGTCTCTTTTCGAGAGATATAGCCAACGTATACCATCAGATATGATACAGCCTAATAGCCAGTTATTAATAACTGAATCGGAGCTAGAGAGGGCCCTTGACGGTGATTCTTCACCACGATCAATTGCTCCACAGTACGACGAGCTTACCAAATATCTCCAGAGTGGTAAGTAAATAAGCCTATGTAATGAATCATATAACTAACCTCACCTGATTAGATACTATTAAAGGATCTGTTCGGATCTTCTGGAAAGATCATCAGAGAGAGTTCCCTGTTCTTGCAAGCATTGCCCGTGATATCATGTCAATTCCAGCAACTGGTGCCGGAGTTGAGCGTCTGTTTAACTCTGCTCGGGATGTATGCCACTACCGCCGGGGGTCGTTGAATCCAGAGACTATTCGTGATATTATGTTGTACATGTGTACAACAAAATTTGATATTGAGGAGGAGCAGCGGCTAATTCTCCAAGAGTATCTCTTAGACCATGAGATAGCAGCTTCGGCAGAAGCACTTGATGTCCAGACACATACCTTCGAGGCTATCAGTGATGACGAGGAGGAGGATATTGAGTTGCGTCTTGATACACCGGCTGCTGTATCAATTATGCAAACAACCCCAAACGTACCGCCACTCTCAGCGGTTGCCGCTGGAAAGCGGCCTGCGGTCACTTCTGGTGATGAGGAAGATTCTGATGCCGATGGATTTGTGAACCCGGAGGAGAACCTATTATTATCCTTCCCTAATACGCAGCATCGTGTATCAGGTAGGATACAGAAGAAGTCGAGACTACTGGATGGGTATATAGTTTGACTCTTGGCTTGTTAGAACTATGACTAGACACTATGCTATAGATGTAATGTAAACCATTCAAAAATTAAACCCCTATTCGAGGATGAACCTATGGATGCAATAAGGAGTGTATCCTCCTGTAAGGCTATACAATGATGAAGTTTTTAGTTTACAATTACAATGAAATACAGCTTGTTTCTACATAATTTATGCAATTGACGCCCAGTCACGTCTTTTACCTGTTTGTTATGTTTGACGACCCTCAGGGTCCCCGCGGGTAACCCTCATGAGGGTCGGCCTGGGTACGACCCTCCCCGCGGGTCCAGGTCTCGGACCCTGACCCTCCGCATGGGGAGGTGAGGGTCAGGGTCGTGGAGGGTACCCGCGGGTTCTAGCCAGGTCTAATGATGCGTACCTTCTTTTGATAGCCTATTTAAGATATTCTAAAAATAGTGAGAGACTTTTGTAAGGGGTAGCGCGTTGTGTTTTATTGAGGTGCTTTTAGTCAGACCGCTGGCTCTCATATAAGCAATGCTCAGAGAGTAAATCAGAGTGCTCAGATCAGACTCACTGAGCAGATCAGAGGGATCAGAGAGCAGCTCAGAGTAGTCACGTGATGATCACTGATCCGCTCAGCACGCTCTGAGACGTGCTCAGATCTACTCAGTGAGCAAAAGCGGCGCTCACTGAGCACTAAAACGGAAGGGGAAAGCGAAGACTTTGGATGGAAAATCCGGTACGTAGGTACATACCGGTACGAACTAGTGCCTCCGACTCGGAGTCCAGGGCTTCCAAGGTTCAAGCTTGATTTCACGCGACGCGTAGTCATTCAAATAATCCAACTTGAAGGTAGTTTCATTTTCATCACGATGTATCATTTAGCCATCATTTCCGAATAAATGACGTTGCAGCTCTTCGAAATCGGCAATATCCCCTCCCGTTAAAGTAAAATCTTCCGGATGATATAATGAATACATTGCTTGGGGATCATCTGGAAATTCAATAGGCAAGGAGCCTACAGTACAGCCTTCCATGCCTGCATTGCCCATGAAATCGAAGGTTTGGGTAACTTGGCTCTCGTCGGTGCTATTTCCCACCGAGTATATCGGACCTGATAGAGTTTGTGCAGATAGTCTCATTTGGAGAGATCCATCATTAGAGGTAGGCCCCTCCGAGAAGCGTGATTGACTCATGAGCGACGGAATGCGGTCGTATAATTTTTGAATCTGGTCTCGTCGCTGGATAGCAGCTTGATTGTTGAAGCTTCCAAGGTAATCTAGTAATTGGATTGCTTCGGATATTCCTGGACTAGGTCTAAATAGAGGAATTTGTTGGTCTTCGTTATTTGCCGATTCGATAATTGCGGCCAGCAGCATGATAAAGCCAGCGGAGAAGATTGTGTCGAGATCGAAGAAACCGAATTTTGCTTTTTTTCCCAAAGTCAGCTTTGTTCGCATCAGCTGAGTGTGAACGAACCCATCATGTCTTCTTTACGTGAAACTATCATAAGCTCGAGGCTTCTCCGGGCTGCCTCTATGCACGTGCATGATAGTTGTTGGAAGTCCTTTGTTGTTTGCGCGAAGGTCGTTTCACCATTGAGAATCGATTTTGTGAGATGAAGCATGACTGGCCGTAAGGTAAGCATTATGGTCTGGCGATTCAAATTAGCACGTGAGTTATTCTTCTTTCAAATATACATACAGTGTAGAGAACAGTATAAAGCGATATGCTGGTCCGTTGCTCTCTCCTCGATGACTGGTGACCAAGAACGGAAGCTCCGAGTGAAGATGTATGGGAGATTTGATGCGCCAATCGAGTTAGGGCAGAAATGATTTCCTGGACATCTGCAAGAAATATTTCCTTTGCGCGTGACTCGTTGCTGTAGATCACTGAGTAAATCCTGCCCTGTATTTGGGCGATTTGGATGTTTATCTGCATTGAAGAAGGGCTTGGAAACCCCGGTGAGTCGCTTGGAGGCAATGCATCACTGAATGTGTCATCCAAAATTACCGGGGATCCGGTCGCAATCATCAGTCGTTTCTCGAGCATCTGAATCGTCCACCACAGACGATTCGCGTTCGTAGCTTCTGATCGTCGGAGTCTCTGCGTGGTTTGCTTCCGATGAAGGCCATGCATAATAGCTAGTCGAAATGCAAGTCCAACCTGACGATCATTAATAAGAATCAACAAATGTAACGAAACGTCTCACATAGATAGAGGCATCGTCTTTTTGATCGATGTTTTGCAGGTAAATGACCATCAATACCAGGACCTCTATACCCGCCAATCCTTGTCTCCGTAGTTCACTCGGGCTTGGAAGGTTCCGTTCAACGAAATTGAAGAATGACGAGCCCGGTGGTTTTCCCGCAACATCTGACTCCCCTCTTAACAATCTTCCCACCGCGAAGACCAGGCAAGTCTGTAGTGTCCATATATTTGGCGTTTGAAGCTGCTCCTGTTCATTCTCACACAGCCCCGAAATGCGATCGGACACATCCCGTGCATCAAATAAATGCTGGGGCTCATAAAAATAAAGCATGATCGCCTCGAGCAATTCGAATGCTTGCTCTTCCGAAGGAAGCACCGGAGAGTTCTCATCGTTCACAAATACCTTGCGGAGGCTGATCGGCGGCCTTTTTTCTGGGAACAATGCTGCACGTGGAGACTTGGTGGATGGTGGCCGGTTTTCGGTGGACTGTAGAGATCGTCGCTCGAAAAGACTTTGCACACGATCTCCAAAGTCCTGACTTGATCCAATGTCACGTTCAGCAGTAATACCTGAAGTGCGCGTCAGCATGTGTTTGGAATACTGGTATCTTTTGTAAACACCCACGTTGAGCTGATAGCAATGCTTCGGGTTGTGGGACAGAGCTGAGAGGAGTAGATGAAGCAGCAGTGCCCCTGAGACCAGAGGGACTGGATAGAGAGGAGCCATCGAATACACTCGGAGACTCATGTAGGGCCAGTCGAGCTTCTAGCTCCTGGATTCTTCTATGACTAGCATTGGCTGATGCCGCCAAGGACAAAATGGTATTGTAGAAGACTTACGCCGCAGAATATAACCGATGTTGCTCCGATGCTGGAAAGCTGCAAACCAGATCACGCTTCGCACATCTTTCGCATGGGTAGTTTCCGCTACATTTGACCTTTTTCGTCTTGCAGTTCGTGCATCTGTGGACATATTAGCGAGCCCAAGTTATTAAGCTCAACACCACTTCAAGTTGGCGTTGGATCTGCTCACGCGGAAATAACTTTATTCAAGTCCCTCCGACTGGCCGGTGATGATCTCGGCTCTGTCCGAACAGGCGGCATGCTGACTATTATTGCGTGGGAAATAAAGAATCTTGGACGTTTGTTGCCTTCCGTGAAGCCCGGAAGGCTCCGAGGATCGGGCCGACTTTCATCCGACTCTATAGAATTCATCGAGCCCAAGATCAGTTATATAAAGATTATTTTCCAAAATTTGAACACATCAAGTTGACATTCTTAATGATAGAAGAGTAACTTATTCTCACACACTTTTTGCATCTCAACCCTTCTTCGTCTTATAAATGTCCAACAATAACCTCAAAGTATCATTACAATCCTGCATGTCCATCATAACCTCCACCATTCTCAACCCCTTCCCAGAATGAAACTTCGGATCATCCAAAATCCCATCAAGTTCGCCCCAAGTTTTGACCTTTGCCTTGAAAATCGGATACAAACTCGTATCCTCGCCCCCAAAAAACGAAGGAGCTTCAAGATAATTCCACGAAGCAACATCATTGTAGTGCTCCTCGGGCCCATGAATAAGTCGTTCGATAGTGTATCCGTCATTATTAATCAAGAAGATAATGACATCAAGCCGGTTACGAATAATGGTACTCAATTCCTGGGCGGTCATTTGGAAACTTCCATCTCCTTGGAAAAGAATCGTTCGACCATGAGCAACTGGATGCCGTGACTCGGACTCGGACGCAGTGATATGGCGCTGGGCTAAAGAAGCCCCTTGTGTAGCTGGTAACATGAATCCGATGGACAGCCAGACGGCGGAATTAATGATCGTTGTATTTTGGGGAAGAACGAAATCACGCCCGCCCATACTTGGAGTGCCGGTCTCTGTGAGGATGATATCGCCCGATCGCAAGAAGCGCGACATGCGGCGCCAGAAATTGGTCTGCGCGAACGTTTCGCTAGGGTCGTTCTTCGCGGACAAGGTTGCGAGGGTCTGTTGCATATTTGGTAGGGAAGGGTAGGATTCCACCTTGGGGACTCCTTCGCTCTTTAATTTTGAAATGACCTGGTCAAGGGCGGATGCTGGAGAGATCTTCCAAATGCGCTCGCCGATCTGGATTGAGTCCCGTTCGATGGAAATTGTCACCGTCTTGTCGGGTACGGTGGCAAAGTAGTAGGTATTGACATTGCTGTGAACAGGCCCGATGTTGATAATCAGATCACAGCCATTGACATATGAAGCATAATCATGATCGCCGACAGTTGCATAGATTCCATGGAAATTAGGCAGAGTCTCATCCACAATACCCTTCCCAAACGGAGTCGTCATAGTCGGGAAATTGGTCACTTTGACCAAAGCGTCTGTCAATTTCGAAAGTCCATACCGCGATGTACCACCATCAACCAGAATCGAAGGCTGCTTTGCACTCATAATCCGCTGAACAATGATATCGCAAACACCCGACTGCAGCGCAACATCATTCACCACAGGCATCAGATCCAACTCCCGCTCCAGTAAAGAGACCGGAACTCTCGCATCCACCAAATCCATCGGCAACTGAATATAAACAGGCCTAGACTGAAGAACACACTCCCGAATAACCCGATCAATCTGACCCGGCGCATCCTCAACATGAACAAGTTCCGCCTGCGCAACAGTAACCTTGGCATAAATCTCAGCAAAAAGCTCATAATCGCGCTTCAGCCCGGAACAAAACGAATGATGGAGCTTAACACCCTTCTCCTGCAACGCGCGAATCGGCGTACCGACGATATGCACAACAGGTGCCATTTCCGCATACGAGCCCGCAATGGCGTTTATTGCGGATAATTCGCCCACGCCGAAGGTTGTGACGATTGCGCCGATGCCTTTGATTCGGGCGTAGCCGTCGGCGGCGTAGGCTGCGTTGAGTTCATTGCAGTTTCCTATCCACTCTAGTCCTGAGGGGACGACGTGGTCGAGGAGTGTGAGGTTGTAGTCGCCAGGAACGCCGTGGACGGCGCGGAGGCCGGTGGAGCGAAGTCTCCGGAAGAGGTATTCTGTGAGTGAAATTTCACTAGACATTGTGGAGGAAGAAATTGGAAGTGCACACGATGTGTTGAGTAGAAGAAGTGGTTTGGAGGAGATGCGGTTGGTCTTTATTCAAATGATACTCGCCTCGGACTCTTCCGGGGATTTCGGGGCTTCCGAGTGTTTTGAATGTCGTCGGTCTTTGAGGTCTTTGTTGATTGGCGCCCGCTTGTACTTCGGGGGGGTTCCGAGAGATCCACCTCGAACAACTTTGAACGCGGGGCACTCGAAGATATTCTACAATACGCTACATCTAATCTATAGGTGGCTTGGGAGACGACAAATGAATATGATTGAAGAGTATGTGCAAGAATAATTAAGAATAACCTATAAACCGCCCCGAATGCAAGACCACCGCTCCGAGATGAAAAATGAACAAGAAGATAAAAGAATGTAGAATGAACGATGATGACGCAGAGTCTAGCCTCACAACGACTCAATTAGAAGTTGTTGAGATTTCGCAGGCCGGTGTCCAGAGGTAACCTCCGTGATCCTTGGCGTTAAAGTCTTTCTCTCCACGAGCCGCTCATTTGAATCGAAATGATCAGCCCGTGATCCGATGGGTACGAGAACTTGCCTTCTCCCTTTGGAAACGGAAACTGACCGGGCTGTCGAGACCTCGATGGTTGGAGTTTTGCCGCTCACTGATTTTACCATTTTACCCCCGTTCGACAAAGGTATACGTGCAGGTTGGGGAAACTGTCGCGGAGAGACTGCTGACATTGGACCAGATGAGAGTGGAGACGGAGACATTGTGATAGTAGGCTGGTCCGTAATCAATTTGGGGATTGGCTGGCCGGCAAGTGGGATTGATGAAGAACGGACGGGGAGATCTTTCGTCGGGGGTTGTGGGAGTGGTGTTGACACAGTTTTGATCGTCAGGGTTGGTCGGTTAACTCGAGGACTCTCTTGCTGTAATGATCTTTCATTCTTGAGCGGCGAGGACCTTTGTCTTGGGATCTGTTGAGCCCTTGGTACCGGGGCTGGGGCTGGTGCCGGGGATTGAGATTGAGATTGAGGTTTCGACGGCCTGGCAACAGGACTCTGCGTCATGATCTGTCTTACTTTTGCCCCTGTGGTCTCTTCCGATGAAGGTTCAGTCTCGGGCTCGGGCTTGATAGCAGGCAGTGGTTTGTCGTCGAAGCGAGAAGATGCGGTAGATGAGCGCGGGGTGTGTGAACGCTGAAAGACATTGGCGATAGGCAGGGATTCAAACGATGAAACACTGTTATTATTAGGGATTGCTCGTGGGGGTTCCATCGGCGATTCTTGGGATGGGCTCTCCGCAGGGAGTGTGTTGGATCGAAGCAAAGGGCTCGGGCCACGAGAGAAGTTCTGGGATCCCAGGACTTGGGCAGCCTTTGACGGTTGTGAGGTGGGAAACAGTGTAAAGCTCGAACGTGCTGGTGATGTTGCTCGGCGTTGAGGAATCGGTGGTACTTTGGCAGCGAGGAAGTCCTGATGTGACGATTAATAAAGGTTCTGTTAATAGATCACATACCGAAAATGCGACTACTTACCGAGTTCTGAGGAACCTGGAGGTTGTCAAGTGTTTTGCTCCTCCTGGCCAGCAGGGAGGGTCTCTGGTTCTTATTCATCACATGGCTGAACATCACGCTGTATCTTTCCATTTGGACGTCGGGAATATCAATTTCCAATCGGGGCCCGAGATCTCCACTGCTTTCTTTGGGTGACTTCTTATTGGAAAGCGAAAACTTGCGAGTCCGCGACGGTGTAGAAGTATTTCTAGTCGTTAAAGATTTGGGATCTGACTCAATGCGCGGCCATTCCTCAGTCCCGATTTTCTGGACTGTCTGTTTATCCATCGAGTTGCCATGACCTGGCAATGTCATTGGATATGGTCGTGGCCGGGTCGGAGATGCAAGAGCACTCTTAGCCCTGAATAAACCTCCAATCTTCTTCCATTTGCTTGCCTTTCGAAGCGGCTGTGGCAGCTGCGGCTGTTCTTTTTCCTTGTCCGTGAAGATCGCCGTATTGAAACGTGGTGGGGGTAAATTGTCTGTCGAATCGAGCATGCCTGGACTGCCCAGTGCAATTCCAACCCCGATAGGACTGCGGTCCATCATGGCGTGAGAAGGAACCACTTCATCTGGGGGCGAAGTTACTCGAAAATCAAAGCTCGCAACGGTGCCGGGAGGAGGCTTTTTTCTTGATCGTCCATCTCCAGAGGTAGGTCGAGAGAATTCGAACTGGGCGAGACTTTGTTGATTCTGTTCGCGCTTGGTTCTTTCGTCGATATCGCAAAGGTCGGATCGTGGCGCGGCATCGCTGTATGTCAAAACCGGGAATGAAATGGCCTCTTCGGTAGGCACAGTGCGAGATTTGACCATAGTCATAGCTCCAGGCATATTGTCTCGTTGATAATGTGGATCCAGCCAAGATATGCAGATATGCAGAGGTGAAGATGTCGAGAGAAGTCGAGAATGAAAGAAAGGTGAAAAGTTCGAGTCGAAAAAGATCACAGATCGAAAGGAAAGGACGGCCTTCCAGAAGGCCTCGGTGCCAAACAGAACCAAAATCCAGATGGGAGAGGGGCCAGCCTCTTTTTAATACATTTTAATAGATTAATTGAATGAAGTGAACTAGGACCAGAAGGAGTGGCACCAGACAAAGACCTTAGTCTCGAAGGTGGAGTCTCCATTACGCCAAGGTCTGTACATGAGACACCGTGTGGTCCGCAACCAATTATTCCCCTCCAACTGAAGCAAAGCTAACCAACGATAATCAGAGAACGTGTGTCAAATATGCTGCGCAAAGAATTCAGGCCGGGCCGACGGCCAATGCGAAACGGGCCATTCAGCCATTGAAAGAAATAAAAAGGGGGGTGGGCAGCAGAGAAAAATGGCAACACGCCGTGGGACAGGACCAAAGCAGGACCTTAGCGCCGCTACGGTCGGGTTTCGGGGGCCAATTTCATCTAGTTAAACGGATCCAGTTAAGATTGAATTCACCGCTTGACAGGCGTACAGACTAAAGATGGGCAAAAGGGACCAGACTCAGGCATAAGGGGCCGCAACGCCAACGCCACGGGGCCAGACCAATGCACGACCGGGCAAAATATGGCCCAAAAAATCAACACGAGGATCGGGGCGCGCGATGCTTATTTGAATCAGAGCGAATGAACGTGTGAGTTGCGGATTGATTAGCTTCATTCCACGTTCCGAGGACCAGTAGGACGCCGCCCGCCCAGGGGGGCGTGTTTCAGCCCGAAACTGAGACCCCCCAAAGATTTGTCTCGAAAGGGCAGGGGTCGATGCGGCAAGGCGGCTTGGATTCGTATTGGCTAGGCCGATAGCCGGTGTGATTTTGCTAGAGACGCTCAGGGAGTGTGCACAGACAGATCTCGCTGAGGGTTGTTGTGCATAGCTGAGCGTCGGCTGTTTGGGGCTGTTGATTCGCTGCGGATGTTTGGATCGGTCGTGTGATGCTAAGGTCACTCCGTTCCAATCGCGTATTCTCTTTGATACGAGTTGCCATACTGACCTTAAAATGCCGAGGGTGTCTTGGTGGAGGCTTCGTGTGCTGAGCCAGCTGAATTATCTTCAATCAGGATCAATTAACCCACGAATAAGATGGGGTTGTTTGTTTAGCAATCAATGAGTGCCGGTGCAACGCTAGCATGCTGATTTGATTAATGAATCGCCACATTTTGATTAAGACATTTGAATCCACCATGCAATCTATCTAACAAATTAACGCCCGAGCCTATTAAGTCCTTCGCTTCGCCACTCGGCAGATGCCGCCCTCAGATCTTCTCTCACGTCATTTATGAGACTCAAACCCAACGGCGTGCCAAACTAGGAGTCCGATTTTGCAGGCATAAAAGTTAGTCCAGGTGGAGTTTAAGATACGCCAAAGCGCCGGACATAGCAAGAGAGGAAATGCTACTTCTGGAATGGCGATAAATCAATCCTTCTGATCAACAACCGAGGTAATCTCAATGAGAATTGAAGTTCAATTAGTGTTAAGATGCGCTGCTCCAACTTGGAATAACCGAGGCTCCCGTGGCGCAGAAGAAATGTTGAATTTCTTCATATAACTAACTCACGAATAAATTCCCAGCTAGCAAGACAATGCCCATCAACGAAACCCTGGAAGATTCCGCAGCAGAATTGCAGGCAATGACATATCCCAAGTCCCTCGTATGTAGGATTCGCCTAGTAGTAATAGAAGATCGGGCGGCTCTGCCCAACCCGGCTGCCTTGCATCCTTACTACGCAGCGGAGACGAAACATTTCCTATCACAAGCACAATTTAGGCAACATACCTAGGTAGTACTAGTAGTATACGTTTGCATAATTTTCCCGACGTCACCAACCAAGTCTTCTACTAGTAGTACTCCAGGCTAGTATGCCACGATGAGGCTGAATCCTACAGTCGACAGTTGGAATACGAGCCCTTCAACCGCTAGGAGCCCCGCCAAGATATACTAAGCCACATCACGGAAATAAGCACGACTCCGAGTCGGACCATCATCACTGCCATTTCATCCCAGCTTGTTGAACTTGAACCTTGGAACCTTGAATAACACTACCCAGCTTCCACGAGCTTAACAAATGGCCCTCTCGCTGAAATCGCGCGCTCTCGGAGCTATATGGGGAACCTGTGTCGCCGATGCACTGGGCGGACCGGTACAATTCAAAGAGAAGGGTACGTTCAAACCGATCAAGGATCTCGACTATGTGTACCCATTCAATCAGCCAGCGGGGTAAGTCAAGTCAACCAACCTTGAAACAAGGAAACCATTCATCCGTTCTTCACGGGCAATCCATGCAAAAAGATCCGCATGACCCAACACCAAAGCACGCATATCAATGACCAGTAATACTCCCACTAATACTACCACAGCTCCTACTCCGACGACGGAGCAATGACCCTCGCCCTAGCCCAATCAATCATCGACTCAAACGGCAAATACGACCATGATCTAAGCATAAAGTACTACGTCCAATGGATGCGAAAGGGCCGATTCAGCACAACGGATTATCCCTGGGACATGGGAATATCAACCCGACAAGCACTCAGCACATGGAAAGACTCATCAGAAGAAACTGCCAGAACGCAGCGCAGAGTCAACGACTTACTCGACCACGACGAGAAATCGGGTAATGGCAGTTTAATGCGCATCGCTCCGATCGGGGTCGCGCTGTGGAAAGATGCCCACTTCGCGAGAAAGGTTTCCAGGGCCCAGAGTCAGATTACGCATCCTGCTATTGCTTGTTTGGAGGCTTGTGATGCTTTTACCGAGGTGATTTGTCGTGCTATGAGGGGTGAGTTTAACTTGCAAGGTTCCAAGCAAGTAGCTTTGCTCGGGTTGCGGGCGTCACCGCTACTTTTATCCACATTTTGTGACTCACATTGGATCGCTTTGAACTAACCAACCCATATCGACGCAGGACAATCGAAAGAACAGCTCTGCGAAGCATTTGCCAGTTTCAAATTTGCGTCTGCGCTTCGAGCCCGAATGGTGCCGTATAAGAGGCTTTCGGACTGGAAGGCGAAAGAGAGCGCGGACATGAAAAGTAGCGGGTGGGTCGTTGACACGCTGGAGGTCGCGCTCTGGGGATTTTTCAGGTTTAACAGCTGGGAAAAGGGAGCTCTTGCGGTTGTGAATCTTGGTGGGGATTCAGATACCGCGGGAGCGATTTATGGTGCGCTGGCTGGGGTGTTTTATGGTGCTGATGCGATTCCGCGGCGGTGGGTGGATGGGATGCAGAATTCGGGGCAGATTTTTGATATTGGGCGGAAGTTTGCTGATCTTGTTGTGTTGGAGGCTGTGAAGGAGTCACAGTCACACCTGCACTAGTTGAAACCGAAATAAGTGAAGAAGAGTGGTAATAGTAGTAGTAGCCCTGGAGTGTAATAGGCTGAATATACGGTCTGGGTGTATATTGCTGGTTGATTGTTGATCTTCTGCCTAGTTTCCACTTCTAGCAACGCAGGATTAAACTGTTTCGGAATAAATGCCGGCATAGAATTTGTGTCAAAGAAGATAGAGTATGACTAGTAGGTATTCTGGCCAGTGAGAGGGCGGAATAAACAGGAACAGCTCCTGTCAGGGACATGCATGTGCAGAGAGTATAGTGTTACAGGATAGTACTTGTATACCTACACTGGCAGAGTAATTAGGGCAAGGCAGAACAAGGTCAAGACAACATCAAATAATCCGAATAAATTCCATAAAATAGAATAAAATCCTCCCATCCATTTCCGACATTTAAATAACCAATCCAGCAATATCCCACTGAATCTCCCCCCACCTCCTTTTTCACCGTTTCACAGCGGGGCTTGTTTACCGCCAACAGGCTTACCCTAGTGCTAGTAGTAGTTAACTATTCCCCCCACTTTCACTTCACCAACTTGACCTTCTTCAACTCCCCTTCCCTTCACCACATTTTCACCATGGGCGCTCACTCTGCTATCTGGCAAGGTATGTCTACTCTGCTTGACTCTATTCCGATAAACATCCTGATTCTAACGCACTCTTCCAGGCTACGTCGACTCCAGGTACATTACACATACCATTCCTCCATTCCATTCCATCATACCTCAGCCCCTCCTTTCCCCCCACGAATTTATCCGATGCCACACACATGATTGATTTGACTTCACCCCGCTAATTCCATCCAGCCTCATGGGCTCGGGTCAATTCGACAAGGCCGGTATTCTTGCCGCCGACTTCTCCGGCCTGGAGGCTGGTTCCCCCGGGTTCGAGGTACGTGAGATTCCGGAGCTCACTCAGCTGAGCTAAGTGAGCTACAGCTGTAGCTTCAACAGCAACCAAAGACAATCTTTCTAACCCACCACCTCCCACAGCTCTCCCAGGAAGACATCAACACCCTGGCCGCGGCCTTCACCTCCTCCGACAACGCCTTCGCCAACGGCTTCTCCATCGGTGGCGAGAAGTTCGTCACCATCAAGGCCGACGAGCGCAGCCTATACGGCAAGAAGGTACGCCCAGCCGGACCCTACCATCCACACAGATCCCATCCGATGGGATCCCATCTATCCATCCCCGCGACGCAGAAAAACAAAGCGCACCGAACCGAATAAGCTAACACACCCCAGGGCAAGACCGGCGCCATCGTCGTCCGCGCTTCCGCCTGCACCATGATCGCCCACCACGGCGAGGGATCCCAGACAACCAACGCCGCGACCGTCGTCGAGAACCTGGTCGACTACATCAACAACCCGCAATAAATGACTGCATGAATGGAGGGAGAACCGCTGCTTGGCGCGGCTGTAGATATGGGTTTGGTGTTTGCAGGCGATAGGATATATCCGTCTGATATGATTGTGATGGGTTGCTTTGCGCTGAGCTCGATGCGCGGCGTGCTGTCCGAGTCGTCATATCGCATCGCATTGCACTGCGTCGCTGTTTGGTTGTGATGTGATGTGATGGGGTGGGATGGGACCTGTGAGAATAGGAACTTAACTTGAAATAAAGGAGCATGATTTCGTTTTCTTTCGCTTTGCTTTGGGGTATGATGGCCATCTGGGCACTCACTGGTACCGGCACAGGCACTGGTACTGCAGGTATCGCATCGCATTCTGCTTTTATGATGCGCCGCTAGGTTCTGCCACTACTTCGCCGAAGATGCCGGTTCTGGTTGAATACTAGTAACCTAGGAATGTACATGCAGACCGTACAAAACCAATACAGTCAGGCCAACCATACCTGACCAGTTGCACTCCTCTCCACTACTCTGCGTAGAAATTCAATTCATGAGGAGTTCTATTACTCTATAACTATTAGGTATGTATAAGGCAATCCGACGCGAATAAGAATTCCGAATCCGAATCCGATTCGCCGGATCGAGGGTCATTAGTAAATTACATCAAAGCGCCCGTATCATCGTTTCGGAAGGGAAGGAAGCAAGCAGAGCCAGCGCAGAGCCAGCGCAGAGCCAGCGCAGCACAGCAGAGCAGAACAGAACAGAACTTCTCACAGTGCGAACTGTAAAGCAGCTCATCCATCTAGCAAGCTAGCTTCCATCCATCCCTCCCTCCTTCCACCCAATCAAACAGGCAACTCCTGATTACTCCTCCCACCAGCAAGAACCTCCAGTCCGCGCTGGATATAAGGCCCGATAACGGGGATGTTACCCGCGAATTGACCAATAGTAACGAGGAAGTCGCCAAACAGGATGAAGAGGCCGTACAGCTCGATCAGGAAGCCTGTCAACGGCCAGCGGAGTAGGATGAGGACGATGCCGACGGTGAAGGCGGCGGTGCCTTTTAGTTTTGCCGGGCGCGAGAAGAAGGCGATTGTTTTTTGGACGCCGATTATTAGGGTTAGGCCGATTAGGAAGAGGATCTGTGGGGTGTTAGTGGTGGTGGTGGTGGTGGTGGTGGTGGTGGTGGTGATAAGGGTATGGTACGCACGTTGCCCATTGCGAGACTGGAAAGAGGGATAGGTTAGTATTTCATTCTTTTCTTTGCTTTCGCAAGGTATTTGTATTCTTGTCCTGGGAGATTGGACGTACAGTGATCGGTCAAAGAACATGAGGACGCCGCCGAAGAGGAATAGGCCACCTATACTCGATGCGATGGTTAGGTCTCTGGTATGTGTTGTTGCACGGCTTTCACCGTCGTCGCGAGAGTATTTCATTCACGAACCTGCAGAGCAGAAGACCACTCCGATCTCTGTGAAGTGTTAGCGCATTTGTAAAGGCTGTCTGTTTATAGGGCTCGATGCGTGTGATCGGAGATAGTAAACATACTCTGATTCTCGGATAACCACATGCTAGGCATTGTGAAAGAAATCAACAGTGAGGAATGTCAGTGCAAGAAAGAGAAGAGAAGCGCGAAGAACGTGTTTGTGTTGAGAGAGAATTAAATCAAGCAGGGCAAGTCGAAAGTCCGCGTCTTTCTGTTTTTGGCCGATTCTGCCCGGATTGGCGGGCGGTGAGGGATGCCCCGTTTAAGGCACTTCCGCTTCTTTTTTTCTTTTCTCTTCATCTCTTCGGTTACTCTTGAATCTACAAGGATATTTCTGGGACTTCGTGGTCTTGTTCATCAGAACCAGCGCTGGCGCTGGCAATGGAATTATTTTGAATTACCAGCTTAATGTGATGCTGCCTCGATACAATTCATGTCCATATCCATGTTCATGTTCATCCATGCCCGCCGTGCTGTCCACAACTCCGTCCTTCCTGCCAATTCATGAGAGCAAGAGCATACAGCCATTGAACACTAGCTCATGGCTTCACCTCCACCCCTAGATAGTCACGCCGCGACGACAGCCTCCCAGAAAGTTGCTGTAACTGACACCCCCTCCCCTGGGGCGTCGGTACTAGTCGAGTGCATCCTGGCACAAGGCGGAGAAAAGAAACGGTCACGAATAAGCCGGAGCGCTTTCTTGAGCCTGTCCTGAGAGGGGCAGGTGGGATGGAAAGGGCTTGACTGTGTTGGTCGGACATGCAACTGTCATCAGCTACAGACAATACTGTACTGTACTTCAGTTGGTTAGAATATAGTCAATACCATCGACAGGTCCAATTGGATCAACTGAACTCAAGAAAACACACCTTGCAAATTATCATATGTACTTTCGTAGAGAGCGAACAGCAATGGCATTCGTTTCCACTGCTCTGCTCTGCTCCGCTCCACTCCGCTGCTCTCATTTATTTCAACACCGTATGAGCCCCCCCTAGCCTCAAGATAACTCTCGGGAACCCCCTGCGCCAGCGACCGAATAACCCCAAAAAGCTCCTTATCATGATACCGCAACCTGGTCTTCGGATCCGTATACGGACCCGGCAATCCCGTCAAATCACAATAGTGACGCTGGTGCGCCGCACTCAGGGACGGCGCTGACTCGATATTCGTGTATGTGACAGACGGACCCGTCGCAAAGGCGCGGGCATTCTTCTCCAGCACCATTGTGGAGAGATTCTGCGAAGCTTGCGCGAGATTGGGCGCTTTGTTGCCCGATGGTGCTGGCCCTGCGTCGGCGGGAGTCTGGGAGCCGTCGGTGGCGGTTGTGAAGGGGGTTGTTGCGCCGGAGTTGGCTTGGGTCGCGAGGACGGATGCTTCTTTGCGTGAGTTCTCGGAGATGATTTGCTTTATGTTCTTGTTGCGGCGTTGGGAGGGTTTCCAGTGGGCGTTGCGGAAGGGTTTGGGGATGATGCCGATGTCTAGTTCGTTGAGGAGGGCTTGGTGGGCTTCGTCGTCGGCGGGTTTGGTTGGGGGTGGCATTTTGGTGGTGAGGTAGCTCGGAGTGCTGGAGGAATTAATAAGTGGAGGTGTAGAAGTAGATGAAGTTGGAGTTGAAGCTGTCAATTGTAAATTGAAGCAGGAATGAATGGGCTGCCCTTGTATAGCGTCATGTGACCCGGGGAAACGCGAGTCGCCCGGTTCAACAACATTTCCATTTCCATTTACAACTTTCGGCTTTCGTTACCCACCTTTGCACATCTCCAGTAACAGTCACTCCAGAATGGTGAGTATTTTTGCAGCATACCTCATTCCCCCTCGTCCAAGCTGACCTTCTCCAGGAAAGTCCCCACGAGCACCAGCAGTCGGTGCTGTTGTCGCGCATCATTACCAATGTGGTTTGTCTGCCCGATATAGACTGGATGAGCTTGGTTGAATTAAGTAAAGCTAACATCGATACAGGAGAAATTGAACGAAGCTGTCATGGTGATGAACAAGGGTTTGCAGGTTTGTTTCGCTAGACTCGTGTATTGTATATGTCTGTTAACATCCACTAGGAGGTCAATATCCAAAATATGAATGTCGAACTGGTTGCCCAAATGTTCAAAAACTACCAGTCGAACGTGCTGTTCCATCTCGAGGGTATGTTTTTACCTCTACGACTTTGATCTTGCACTTGTATCCTAATCCCACCTCTTTAGCCACGGAAAACCTGAAGAACCCAACCTAGACTGCCGTCCATCCGAACTTGTTATGAGAAATGAAATGATAATGAATAGCCCTACTTCATTCGAGTACACTGCAATAATGATATAGTATTGGTAATAATCCAAGTAGTCAATAGTATAATATATTTAACCACTTCAATCCCCTACTCCCCTATATTCTTCAATATCTCCCTCCTCTTCTCTGCTGTTGCTCTCCTCCGCCTTGGCGCTCTCGCCGCAAACCGCAGCCGCAACCTCCAATTCCAACCTCCGCCCTTTCATCTCTCCGTCCTTCCATTCCACACCTCAACACCCCCCTCCTCCTCTGCCAACCTGGCCATGACCTTTCTCTAACCGTCAATCCGTCAGAACCACCCCAATCTTCAGCCTCTGGTCTTCACCCGCGCAACCCAGCGCATCCTAGCGCGCCACAATGACCATCACCTCGGTGCAGACCGTTCTGCCCTCGCGTTTTGCCGCCAATTCCTCTCAAAAGCGCGAGGAAAAACCTCCACCACAGATACATAGTGTCCCAGACTTCCCCTTCAAGGGTTACCAAGCTCCACAGCCCGAAGGCTTCGCGCAAAGCCAGGCCAACCCCAATAGCGCTATCGTCATTGACAATGGTGAGCGAGCTTCGAATGAACCCTGACTTTAACTGCATCATTATACCTAACAGTGGACTCTCCAGGCTCTCACCTCGTCAAGGCCGGCTGGTCCTTCGATAAGACTCCCCGCTTCGTCCTCCCCCCCGTCATGAGCCGATACCGTGATCGCAAGCTCGCCCGCCAATGTCAATTCATCGGATACGACGCCTACCTGGATGCGACGACTCGCGGCCAGCTGAAAGGCGCCTTTGATCCGGGCTCCAACGTCGTCAGCAATTGGGACGTGATGGAGGGAGTCCTGGACTACATATTCCTCAAGATGGGCGTAGACGGCTCGAACGGCGGCGTCGACCGTCCAATTCTCATGACAGAGCCAATTGCCAACCTCGGATACCCCAGAAAGAGTATGCCATTTCCCCTAGCATCTCAGGGCCCCGTCTGTCCCGTACACTCAAGCTAACAAATAACCCAGTGATGAACGAGATACTCTTCGAATGCTACAACGCCCCCTCCGTCTCCTACGGCATTGACTCACTCTTCGCCTACCGCTACAACAAGGGGACAGACGGTCTAGTCATTTCCTCCTCTCACACCTCAACTCACGTCATCCCCGTGCTGAACTCGAAACCCCTCCTCAACAACTGCACCCGTCTGAACTGGGGCGGTCTCAATAACGCAGAGTACCTCGCCAAGCTACTGAAGCTCAAGTACCCAACCTTCCCCGCCAAAGTATCAGACCACCAGATGGAAGACATGGTCCGCAAGCACTGCTACATCTCCGAAGACTTCGACCGCGAGCTCGGCGGGTATCTCGATTGGACCGGACTAGAAGCCCGCGACCATGTCATCCAGTACCCATTCACAGAACACATCGTGGTCGAGAAGTCGGAAGAAGAACTCGCGAGGATCGCAGAGCGCAAGAAAGAAAGCGGTCGCCGTCTCCAAGAACAAGCAGCGAAAATGCGCCTGGAGAAACTTGTCAAGAAGGAGCAGGAATTGGAGTACTGGAAGAGTATCCAGGAGCGTCTAGCCTCCGAGACAAAGAAGGAGATCCGCCGCATTCTCGAGTCGGAAGACGTCAAGGACGAAGTCCAACTTGAGCGAATGATTCGCGAGCTCGAGAAGTCTATCAAGCGGTCCCGTAATCGCGATCTCGGTATCGAGGAGGAAGAACAACAGCCCGAGGAAATGACCTTCCCTCTTCTGGACACACCCGATGAGGAACTAGATGAGGCGGGTCTAAAGGAAAAACGACACCAGCGCCTGATGAAGTCCAACGTGGACGCCCGCGCCCGCGCAAAGGCAGAGAAGGAGAGAGAAAAGGCGCGCGTCGAAGAAGAAGAGCGTCTAGACCGCGAGAAGCGAGAGAATGACTTTGAAAACTGGATCGCTGAGCGACGAACAAACCGACAGGTAATCAACCCCCTCCCCCATCTCCAAGAAGTGTCATATCATTCCCATCCAAGCAGTATCTCTAACACCCCCAACCGCACAGATAATCCTCCAAAAAATCAAAGACCGCGACCGCATGAAAGCAGACCTCGGCAACCGCAAATCTCTCGCCAGCCAACAACGCATGAAAACCCTCGCAAACCTCGCCTCCGACGGCCCCAAGAAACGCCGCCGCGGCAACGAAGACGACGACTTCGGCGCCAACGACGACGACTGGGGCGTCTACCGCACCGTCGCAAAGGACGAACAATCCGACGACGAAGAAGAAGAAGACCTAGGCGCCGTCCTAAACGGCCTCGAAACAGAACTCCTAACCTACGACCCCGAATTCACCGAAAACCACACCCTAGCTGCCCAAACCGACTGGACGAAATCGCTCGTCCACGCTTTCCTCCGTGGCCCCTGGCCCTTTGACCCGGAGTCTCAGCGTGAAGCGCACCAGATGCATCTGAACGTCGAACGCATCCGGGTCCCCGAAGTCGTCTTCAAGCCGTCAATCGCAGGCGTCGACCAATCCGGTCTCGTCGAGATCGCGGCCGATATCGTTAATCAGCGATTCTCGGACGTGCAGGATCAAACGCGGTTGTTGCGGGATGTATTTCTTACGGGTGGGAATACGCTTTTCCAGGGCTTTGATGAGAGATTGCGGAATGAGTTGCGGGGTGTTGTTCCGCTTGAGGCGGAGTTGAGGGTGCGTAGGGCTAAGGATCCTGTTCTTGATGCTTGGAAGGGGGCGGCGCAGTGGGCTGGGGAGGCGGAGGGTTTTGGAAAATCTTCTGTTTCTAGGCAGGAGTATTTGGAGAAGGGGAGCGAGTATATCAAGGTGAGTTACTCTACTCTGCTTCCAGCAATGCGATGTGATGATGTGATGATGTGGTGGCTAATTATTTTACTACAGGAACACGATCTGGGGAACGTTACGTGGTGAACTTGAGTTGACTTTATTGTCGATTTGAATATGAATGTGTAGATTGGATTGGATTGGACTGGACTGGACTACGATGCTGCATTATAGTGCTTCGTCTTCGCAACAGAGCAGAGGGAGCAGATCAGGCGCTATGGAGTCTGTTGCACGGAATTAAGATTTAACGGGCAGGCATTTATTTTCCATTTACTTGGCTTGTTTTGAAATGAATTAGCCGATTAATAAGGTTAAATACATTAAAATTGTTTCCCCCCTTCTCATGCTAGTAGGCTACTCTGGAACTTGAAGTGGAATTGAAGGGTCGAAATTGTGTGTATCTCGAAACTCCCTTGCATATTGGTCTCAGCCTCATTTACACTGAAGCTGGGGATCTAAGACATCCATCGATCGTTTAAGTTCTTGATTCAGCCCTGGGAGCTTGTTTACTTCTGTCTATGGGGTACCTAGTTTTGGATGACGGTCATTCAGGATGGAAGAGGGAGCAAATGGCTTGCTTTGGCATTCTATTACTCATGCCTACAGCGTAACTAACTACATAGCACAAAACCAACCGAACTAGTACGAGGTAGCCGGTATAAATACCTATGAAACCCAGGAGGCTCTCCTTTTAGCAGTAAAATAAACTCACGAGGAAAGTCCCAAGTTGATGCCCTGGAAAATTATGTTATAGTTATTTAATAGTAAGAGTTTGCCTGACGTCTCGATTCTGCGTGGACTGTCCACGGGTATTACTTACTGCACAATATCATACACTTGGGCGCTGGTATACAAGACCATATGGCTTTTCAAGACTACTCCGCATGCGAGAGGATAAAAATTATGTTCCTTTAACATTGATGTTGTTTGTCTTCAGGCTAGTCCATTTCCCCGGGTCTATTACGTGCAGAAGCGTTAACATACTAGGTACTTGTAAGCCCACCAGGGTAGACCAGCAAGGGATAGAATATACGGATTACTTATAAACAACTTGGGCCAGAGCGCAGTTCGTGATGTACTTTGGTTCGATTGGCCCATTGACGCCACTGTCGATCCCAAAATTTGTTTTGTGTTTCTTTTTCTGCAGGGAGGACCCTGCTATTGAATAACTCTGCAGAACTAATCAACTCACTCATGTTTTTGTCCTCGGTGACCTTTCACCACTAATCTCAAGACACTGGCATGATACATGCATTCCGAGTCCAGCGAGCGTGGTGTGATCTTTGCTGGCTGCAAGAACATGATTGGCCATAAGTACCGTTGGTCTTCCCATCATATCAATCGGCCTCTTCATCCGAGGTTGAGTGGGGTATCCTATACCTACTCACTCCTGATAGTCAGTAGTGAAATGCTTCCATAATCCTTGTGAGGTGTATAAGTTGAACGTGACGCTTTGCCATTCATGTTGAGATTTATGTGAATGACCTCTTTCGCACGAGGACATGACATGCCACTTTCGGGATACACGGGTAATTGCTTTTTCACTCTGCTGTCATTGAGCGATAGATACATCGAATCGCAGAATCACACTTTGCTCGATCGAACCACCAAAGTCGGTTTCTGGTAAGTGATCCCCAAATGCAAAATGCCATTGATGTACTTCGTACTACGTCCTCCCCGCGTCAGTTCCTATCCCCCCTAGTTCCTAGCAATTAGTTGAAGAATGTAGCCATGCAGTACTCCGTACTCCGCATAAAAAGCAAGGAACAAAATCAACAACTGAAAGTCATGCCTCGCTCCGAATGCAGATGCCAAACCCGTCTGCCCCTCTACCCTTGCACCACATGATTTGCCTAAACTGACTTCATGCAGAGGCCATCATTATGCATCTGGGGAAGCAGCCCAATTACTCAACAACGAACTAGCACCAAATCCTCCATCCCTACTTGGCCTGGACTAGCCCTGGCGTGGGGATTCGGCCATTTTGACTCGGCGCTAGTGATGTTTGTGTCTCATGGTGAACTGTCGACGGCTTGCTCTAGTTTATTTTGCTTTTCATCGGCTGAGCCGGGTTATGCTGGTCACTGAAAAGTGATATAAAGTGGCTTCCTGCTGTGCTCGTGCCCGGCTGATTCTTCATCATCCTGTCTTTCGCTTGTATTTCGATCTCCTATCCTAGGCTAATCGTGCCTTCGCTCATTCCTATCACTCTATATCTCGAATCTCGATTAAAACAGCCGCCATGATCTTCTCAACAGCTATTGCCCGCCCCGTCCAGCTGGCAACCCGGACGCTGCAGTGGTCCAGCGCAGTAATCGTTTTGGCCCTGACCTCATTCTTCATCAGCCGCGGCCCACACGGACAACACCTTCTCTACCAAGAAGTCATCGTGAGAAATCCCAGAGGATCTACCCATCCTTGATTAAAATTTTTCTAATTACCTCCAGGCCGTCCTTTCGGTTGTCTTCTTCATCCCAGCATTCATCTCCCCATTCCTCCCGACAGCACTCAGCAAATTCGTCCTCTTAATCGACGTCATCTTCTCCTATCTGTACGCTCTCCATCCTCTTCTACCTATGCACAACCACCGTCATTGAAAACACAACTAACAAACACAAACCAGCTGGCTAACCGCCTTCATCTTCGCCGCCCAAGACTACAGCCAGCACTCGTGCAACTTCAGCTCTCCATTCGGTGTAACCTGCGGCCGGAAGAAGGCCAATGAGTCTTTTATTTTCCTTGTCTTGTACGTACCACACGAGAACCGCCACTCCCTCTCTGCAGATACCCCATCTCATAGATCCATTGCCCCACACAGCCCAAACCCAATATCTTCCCCATTCCGCAGATGCAGAAGCCATCCCAAAAGAGAATCTGCAGCTAACCTACCCCAGCATCTTCACTTTCTTCGGCATGTTCCTCGAAGTCGCCGCCCTCTGGGCCTACCGCAAAGAAAACACCCCCGCCCCAGCCGTCCAGGAGAAGGACAACGGCACCCGCGCTCCGCTGGATGCCCCAGTAGGTCCTGCGCCTGGAGCAGCTGTTTAAATGGGTCACCGAAGCCCCGTGGGATATTTCGCAGACCTGGATCGTAATGTCGTCTGGCTCGAGGTATTTGGGTAATTTTTTGTTGTTGGGGTATTGCCTTTTTACCCATTTAGTGGATTGTTTCTTTAGGAGGATCTTTTGATCTTTTCTTCTGAGTTTTCAAGTTTGATTTGGTGTGGTGGGGTGTAGTATGATGTTGATGTTGATGTCTTCCTTTCTGATGCACATAATGTTTTATGAGATGGCATTAATTAATCGGTCGATTTGTGCCGGTGGTGGGTGGATTGGATTTCCAGGGAGGCCTCATTTCTCTCTCTTTTCTTTTGTCAAATCTTTTGTTTGATACTATTCTTATGAATTCTAATTCAACTGTCTGATTGTGAATTCCGGTACTGGATTTCACGTATTATACTTGATTGAGAGCAACTCCAAGCTTGAATTATTCGCTCATTGGCGGGTTTTCGAGTACACGCGAAACACTAGTGTACTAAATACCCCATGTGGGAGTAGAACAACCACCGTACTATCTAAGATACCAGGTAGAATTTTCCTTTAGTTTTTTATGTCTGCAGTTTATTTTTTTTGGATTTTCTTTTTGGCGTCGATTGCTGTTCAAGTTGTTGTTTCCAAGGTTTAGAGCGCGGGTGCCTGTTTCAAACCTTGAAGTGTTGGGAGTGTCTCCCTGATCTTAGGCGATTCTCGATCGCAAAGAATGCGAATATAGACATGATTAGTTCCACCAAATTCGGCATATTTTACTAGGATGACATGGGAGGATCATCCTCGGAATGAAATGGCCAAAATTGCGCGTAAATCAAGGGGATGGTGCCTATTAGGTACTAGCAGTTGATGGTATATACTACTACCAGTAGTTCTAGATGTCGTTTCAAAGGTTCCAACTTGAAGATTTCCAGCACCTGGGGACCGGCCCCCGGGTTTCATCAGAACTTCGTATCGACAGCCCTGGAGCCCTGGAGATTGGAGACTGGACCTGCCATTTCAGGAAAATGCGAGAAACCAGACAATAGAATGGTAAATCATAGCTCTAATTTCGATTCCGAAGTACATCAGTGTTTCTGTAGCATGTATCGCCCATTCACCTCGGAATATCGCAGTCGAACATCTTCGCTTTCCGCCGTTGTTTCCATGACACTAGAAGTTTGAAACTCATATCCCTCAAACTCCTCTAGTCCATAATAGAAAGGTGCCAATGCTGATGACTTCCATAGAGGCATCTTGGCTTTTCTAATATCACAACACGTCAAAATCCATCTATACAATGCTAAGAACCAGCACATATACGCAAAAAAAGATCATTTTTGGAGGATCCTGCAAGCTCATACCATGATATTCGAAATCAGATTTACCTCGATATTCTCTCTTGTTATCTCACAGCCACCCTTATTTACATATCGGGTTAAGCTCCCTTTAAACAATGTAGCCTTGATGAGTCATGATAAATTACCGTAATTACAAGTCTCGCATGTGCTTCTTTCTCATCGGTCTCAAAGCCGCCAGTTCCTTGGTCTTGTTTTAGCTAGACAGCAATTATCTCTAGTGCCTTTTTGTTCTTTTGTCCTCAAAACCCCAAAAATTTCCTTTCCCTAATTCCTCACTCTTTCCTCGTGAAATGCCTACACCAGCTTGATTTTACCCTTTCCCAGCACGACTAGTAGTCACCCAACACAGTGATGTCTTCCACGAGGGCGCTATTCGTTGTTGATATCCAGAACGAACTTATAGCCGATCCTGACACCCGTATTCCTAATTCTGAGCAGATTATCAAGGCAACGGAAGAAATCCTTAAGGTTTCTAGATCGATCCTTGACTCCTATGAAGGCAGTAACAGCCTATTACCCTGGCTTATTGTTTTCGTCCAGCATGAGGAGTCTCCGTCCGAGGGAACTATGTTGAGGGGCAGTAAGTCTTGGGAGCTGTTTTTCCCTCCTCGATCAAACCGGCAGGACGAGATAGTAGTGGCGAAGAGCACGGGTATGTATATCCTGAAATACATAACGAAAATTATGTTAGCTAAGCAGATATTGTAGGAGATACTTTCAAGTCAAATAGCGATCTCGCGCAGAAGCTCCGTGACAGAAATATCACCGAGATTGTCATGTTCGGTCTCCAGAGTGAGGGCTGCGTGGAGGCGACGTGCACGGGGGGCGCTAGCCGCTGGATTTGGGGTGACCGTGCTCTCCGGCGCGCATTCGACCTATGATAGCGATGGGAAAACGGCTGTGCAAATTGAGCGTGAGGTTGAGCACCGTCTGTCTACACGCGGCGCTCGCGTTGTTCCCTGGGAAAAGGAAATCTCCACATGGGGGAGCGCTGAGCATAGCACGGTTAGCAACCATGGATCGCTACTACGATAATCATACAGGACCTACATTATGTATGCATCGCTGTATAGGCAGTTCTCTCTTTTGAGCAGGCCGGTCCTGGGCGGATGGGGGAAAGCACGTGTGAGACACTCCTGTTAGTTACGGTAATTTATCATGACTCATCAAGGCTACATTGTTTAAAGGGAGCTTAACCCGATATGTAAATAAGGGTGGCTGTGAGATAACAAGAGAGAATACCGAGGTACTGATTTCGAATATCATGGTATGAGCTTGCAGGATCCTCCAAAAATAATCTGTTTTTGCGCATATGTGCTGGTTCTTGGCATTGTATAGATGGATTTTGACTGTTGTGATATTGATTTTTGTAAAGTTTCAGCGCCTACAGTAACAGCTTCCTTGACGTCCATGTATAATGTTCTATCAAAGGCGCTCTGCCAAGTAATTCGCTTATAGCCTGAGGCAGGTGGTGGTCGGCAGAATTTCCGGACTGCATCAAGACACTTGAGGAAGGAGCTTCGTTGGAACTCTGTATCTAGTGTAAAGGCATGGTCCCGATTTTCTATTGAAAGGTCGTCTCACACTCGGTCAGCCCAAGGCAGCATGGTATTCACTCATTGCGGTCACAAGATAGGAAGTAACTCTCGTGCATAGGTAGCAGCAGCAAGTAACACATATTTATGCCAGCCACCATTCTTATGAGAGTCACAATAATGGCTAATTCCCCTGATAAATAAACATAAGGTGTTGTTCATCAGACCTGCGGCTATCATCTCAAACCACAATATATTTAGCCCTGAGTCATTTAATTATTTATCCTGCTCGCAAGCGTCCCCGAGAATAAAGTTTCCTGACGCAACCCAGGTGGTTACGTAGTGGATACAAAGTTCACGATGTTGGGCGATCTACCGGTGACTGAGAATTACATTGGTCGCAGTTATCCCCGCTCATATGTAGGTAATCTACCGCAAAGAGATGGTCAAGCTTCAGTTTTTAATAGGTTTCCATATCATTAAGGACAAAATTAGTGTAATTTGATTTATCTAGCCTATAACCCGTATCTTTTGAAATCAAGCTATATTTTTCTCTTTCCTTGAAGTGAAAAACGAGAAGTATGTCATCTTTCCACTATCGATAATTCCGATCGCCAAGCCTATCCGAGTCTCTTTCTTCACAATCCCCTATCCGAGATATAACTTAAGCATAGTTTGAGTGGGAGTGTGATGTTGTACGGCAAGACTTTGCAGACCTTCTTTTTGATGAGGTATGTCATACTAGTATATGTTATATATGTATTGTATAACCTAATTTTACTATCTCTATAGTCTGAAAGTGAGCCCGAAGATTAATTTGTTGATACTTCTGAATATCTTGACATATCTCATTGACGATCATGATCAATCTGATCGGGGTGGACGATCAGATAGTGGTTCTGATCAAGATACAGATAATGATCCTCAAATTTATCCATGTAGTCTAGGACTTCACGGAGATGATCTAAATAGTCCGTATGGAGCTTTATTTAGTTAAAACGGTCGTTCACACATCTTCGTAACATCTGAGGAGGATCATTTAACAATACAAAAAAAAGAGTGCCGCATAGAGTGACAATTAAAACTAGGGCTACGCTTCAGAACCAATAGAAGCTCGTGAACTAGACCCACCATGGGTAGAGATTGCGGAATAATAATTGGAATTGGCCTCAGGTGGCTCAAAAGTCACGTTACCTTTCTACCCACCTGGGCACGCTTGGCTGAATCCCGCCACCCAAACTCATCAGACTTTAGCTGTGCCACTGCAGTTCGCAAGATCGCCCACAAGCTTCCTCATTCCCGTCAGCCACATTTCCCCCTTCCCCCTCATTTTTGTCCGCCGGCCATAATACAGCTGCGCTTATGCTATGAACAGCCAAACCGGGTAGAAAAAGAAATATATAGTATTAATTTTAATAAATTTCACCTCTACTCCACTTCTCATTCGTTACCAGTTTCAAACCTAATCTAGTTCTCTTAACACGCTAATATCGGGTTATCCATTTCCCTTACCCCTCCCCTCCTTTTCCGAATCCCACTTTCTCGTCTTTACAACTTTTTTCCTAACTCTACCATCTTACAACCATCTCCCACCTTCCTAAAATGTCCTCCAAGCTTTTTGTTGGGTGAGTTCCTTCTTCAGTTCCTTACTTCTTGAGCTCTGTGCGCTGCAATATCCGTTGTTCTTTTGCTAACTCACTACCAGCGGTCTCGCCTGGGCCACCACTGATGACAGCCTCCGCGGTGCCTTTTCCGAATTCGGCAATGTGACTGATGCTGTTCGGCTCCCTCCTCTTCTGTGCCACCTCTCTTCATGAATACTAATTATCGGTAGATTGTCTTGAAGGACCGTGAGACCGGCCGCAGCCGTGGCTTCGGCTTCGTCACCTTGTCGTCTCCCGATGAGGCAAACGCCGCTGTCGATGCTATGAACGAGCAGGAGTAAGTCCCAAAGAATCTCCCTCATCCCTCAGCTCTGAAACTTGAATTTAATCATTCCTTTATTCTTAGACTCGATGGCCGCCGCATCCGTGTCCAGGTCGCTACCGAGCGCCGGGGCTTCTAAGGGCCTTGCCCTCCACCCTCTTCATAATTAGCACTTCCGATGTCTTTCCCGTATATAAGTGACCGACTCGCCAGTCTTTGGTTTCTTGATTTTTGATGGCGATTTCCCCGGCGGACAAAAACACTCGCGGAATTCGACATGTAGGAGGGACTTTTTGCTGAAATAAGCGACCACGGCAGGTCTTTTTCGAATTTTACCATTGTCATGAATGAACGATTTTCGAATGACCACCAAACCTAATCCTTTATAGGAGATTTACTTCTGTCGATCATGTAGATGCTCAGCTCGTTGTATACTGTAGAATTTACGGTCTAGACATGTCCTCTAGGCCGATTTTGGGTTTATGTTTTCCTGGGATCTAGAATTCTGCACGACTCAAAAAGAACAGTATTTAGTATTGTATCGCGCTGGCGTTGTGCAGCTGCCAAGAAGACAGACATTTCAGTTGGTAGATCAACCAATGAGGTACACTCCACTTCAGCTGAGGGGTAATTGATTAAATCACCCCAAATGCCTGAGCATTGTAACCCCTGGAGGTTATTGAACCAAGTAGTGATGAATTTCTTTCCCAAAATGCAACGAGAATGAACTGGTGATATCCCAGTTCGAATGCTATGGTGTTAGGCCGTTTTCGGCTGGGTTCGACCCGCTCGAGTTGACCTCCGCCAGTCACCGCCGTGGCGGACATTTCATTCTATGTATCTGACTCAATCCATTCTCATCTCCTATTCAAAGGTTCGAACTGAGTACACGTTGCTAGTGTGTGACTGGTGGTACCGTATTTCCATTATTGAAGTTTTTAATATCTTGATCTACTCCGCTTCCCTTCGTTAACCCTGCTACTTCACACCTCCTCGTCTAAATCGAAAGAAAAGAAATGCCTGACAAGCAAGGATCCCTAGGCGGGCAGTTGTGTCCCCATCCCACACCCGAGCGATACAAAGTCTTCACACCAGAGTTTGACACAGTATCCCACGATCCTTTGGACATTCCCAAGCGATACCACACAGGGATCTTTGTTGAAACAGACCCGGAGAGCCAACGAGGAGAGCTATTCAACGTTACCGGCGACATCATCGCCAATAGTGGCATGCGATTCGAAGTGAAAGAAAGCTATGTTCCTGGAGCGGACAGGTATTTTCATAGAACCACACAGATTGGATGGATTCATAAGACCGATTATCCGATTGTGAAGGAGATTCTGGAAGCCTTGCCTAGACCGACCAAACAGCAGGGACTTGACTTTTGGAGCAAGGATCCAGCTCAGCGGAATAAGATGACTTGGACAAAACAGAATGGGGATATCTACGCACCGGATGAGCCACGACGGCCAATCGTGAAGTGTAATGAATGGACGCATCAGCTTGCGATTCCGAAGTTACAAGATGAAGGAATTTTACATCAATAGAATCGAGGTATCGCCTTATCAAAGTGGAGACTATGTTTACTAGTATCGTCCGTTATGCGCCTTATTCATTTCCCCTTCTAATTTCTTTTATCATACTATAGAGTCCCTTCCTTAAAAAATCGGTACTTTACTGGCCGTAAATCCACACTAGAGAAGCTCAAACAGAAGCTTTTCATCCAAGCTAATACTGAAAAATTAGCCTTGTTCGGACTAGGTGGTATCGGCAAACCCCAAGTTGCGCTCCAGCTTGCCCGTTGGGTGAAAACGTACATATCAGACTGCTCAACTTTTGGGGCTCCTGCTCTCAGCTTTGAGAGTTTTAAGCAGGTTTATTGGCAAATTACGAACAAGCTCCAAATCCATCAAAACGCAAATCTTGGAAGGATTAAACTGTTATGGAATCGGTCCAGGGATATCTCAACTCGATAAGCTGGATAGGTATAGCCGCGATAGATGGTCTACAATCTAGGTATCTACCTGGGTAGGTAATAATGGCCTTAAACGGACCGCCGTCAAATGCCTGGTCTGATATGTATAGCAGGGCTGCTACTTTTAGGATCAGAGTATTATACAGTCAAGATCTAGGAACCAGCACTCGGGCGCTATATATTGATGCTCGAAGGCCACCATGATCTGGTGATCTCCAAGTCTGTGGCCTGGATGTGTAGTGGCAGGCGATTAGCGTTAGGTTCTGATGACAGAATAGTCAAAATCTGGGATTCAGAAACTGGACGCTGTACATCGACGCTTAAAGGCCCCTATAAACGGACGACGAACGATCACCCTGCCTGCTCGGTACTTGGATCGGTCGCTTCAACTTTAGGCTTACCGACCCTGCCCTTCATAACGAGAAGGACCTGCCAATCACACTTAGAAGCTTGTCCTCAAAGCCTCTCAACGGGTTTGAAGTGAGGTGGACTACTGTGGACGGACCACAAAACCCCGATGTATTTTTTTGCTTAGTTTTGACCAGCGATCTAGTTTAAATTGTCCGTCTATACATCTTTAGCGTTGTGGTTCTCTAGTTACGAAATATGGCTTTCCTTAGTTCTTTTCAATGTACCTGTCATCTGGAATCAATTTATCATAACTTGTTTGTCACTATTCGAATATTCCCTTCGTAGATTTCTTGTTTCAGATTCCTGAATCTCATCCCTCCCATGCTCACAGCGTTCGACGCTATGTCGCTGTGGCGTGTAAGCAATCAGCTCGTTCTGAGAGCTGACTACTATAAGTCTCACCAAATGTTTCATCTTCCCCTACACAAATCCTGTAACTAATTTTGGCATATTCCTCTGCGTGAACCTTCAGGCCAGGCGCAACTTCACCGAACGCGCGACTGAGAATCATCCAGCATCCAACTACACCATCGGTCATCAACCCCCACTTGATGACCTTTATTTGGGTATCTGTCCTACTTCCACCCTCAATCATAAAGCCAAGTGACTCCAGACATCTCAGTCCGAATTTGATAGCCTTTTCAAATTGATAGGATGTGAGAGAAATGGCAGCGAGAGACAGATAACCTGACCAAAGTGCGAGATGAGGGACTTCGGACGGTGGCAGAGAGTATGTTTGTTCGAGACTGGCAAGGGTACTCTCAATTTTGGCATGTTTCAATTTTTTGGAATTGAACAGTTTTTCTAGTTCAGCGGAAAGTCTTTTTCGGGTGGATAGTACGGTCTTACTCAGACCTCGAATGCTGTCGCAAATTGCACAATCGCATTTGAAACCCCAATTCTGGAGGTCTGGCAGTTCTTGATCTTGATTTCCGATGGGGGACTGGTACCAGAAAGTAATCTCCGTGTCTTTGGCGATATCCCTGCTCGCGCGGATAATCATCATATCCCCGATGAATGAGCGGCGACTGTTGCTCAGACATGAGTGATTAATGTATGATGCCATGCACCACATACCAGATGAGTCAAACTTATTGTTTCCAGCTTTCGTTATATCCTCCGAAATCCTTGATTTTATATGGCTTTGACGCGACAGAAGGGGACAGCCAAAACAATTGAGTTTGATTGTCTTTTGAATAAGAAATCTATATAAGTCAGCAAATGTAGCGTAATTTATACAGGCAGAATACACTCATACATGTCGATGACGGCTTGACCATCAACGCGGATATCAGAGGAATCATGGGTGCCATGGTGTAGGTCAATGAACCTGGATAACATGGAAGGATTTCTGTAAAGCTTTTGCGCAATCATCCCAATGAGTTGGACTTGAGTGCCAAGTATCATCTTATTGGTGTCAGGACTCATGAGCAATGTCAGGTCACCCGACCCCTTCTCGTCATGAAAGGCATGAGCGAATGCCTTTTCGCAGAGTAAAAGATCCCCAGCTTTCACTGCTTCTGTTGTAAAAAGTCCCCGTCCATGAGACTCGGTGGGCTTGATTGTAACCGGACCAAAATATGTACCACGCTCGAGATGTGGTGGGCGGCGTTTCTTAGCTTCCAGAATCATTCTCTTGAATTCATATTCCCCAGTATCTTCTTCAGCGAGACGGGCAGATGCACGTTGATATTCGTGCTGAGCTATCAAGTTTTCTGGATAGTTCCTGTCCAGCACCTTGTGTGTTTCACAGGATTCTCGAAACTTCCGAAGGCAGTATAATGCTTGAGCTTTTCGGAAAAGTGCCTTTTCAGATATCTCGGATCTCTGTAGCACCGCATCTGCATCGAGAAGGGCTTCATCAAATTGACGTGCTCTGAGGCCACAGAGGGCACGGTTGAGCTGAGTCGCGATCGCGAGATCAGGCGGGGGAGGGGGGTCGCATTCTAGAGCCTTAGTATAGCTAAACCATAGTGAGTCATGAACTGCTATAGAAATGAAGATTTGAACATTACCACTGAATCGCAAAATGATAACGGCTTTGCTCAAAGAATTCATTCCCTCGTTCCTTCCAGAAAGCAGGCAAGTCTTCTTCGACGGATATAATCCGGGCTCTCCAGGAGAGTGGAATACGCTCATCGAAGCCAGGAATAAGGATAATGTTTGAAATATGATCGACACGAATCCCAAAATCTCCGTCTGCCATAACCTTCACATAAGGTTCTTTTACCACTAGCACAACCCCCTCGGGGAGATCCAGAAACTTCGAAAATTCTTCCCCTTGATTGTAGATCTGTATCATAAAGACTCTTCCATCCTCATCCTCGACAATCGCCATCACAGCAGTCATCACGTCAGTTGGGGTGACTGTTCTAACAAGGATGTATTGTCCTCGATGGTGGGTTTCCAGACAAAGATCTCGAAACATGATCTTACTCAACCGAGTGAGAGGAATAGTCGATGGTGCATAAGCAGATGGTAGGAACGACGATCGAATGTTCGTCTCGTCTCGCCGACTTAGTCCACTATTAATCATTCTTCGAAGCGTAAACTGAGCAATGATTTCGTTCCTTGACTTGCTGGGTGTTGCTTTCTGGCCTTTCAAACCTTGGGCTCTTTGGAGATTGGCCTTTTGCTCTTTCAGTATTGCCATGTACTGTGGGACGTTAGAAACATCGTCGATATCCATTTTGATGGGAATATGATGGGAAGCAGAGGTCAATAGGAATGATAATAATGCTGTTCACTGTGGGAATTTCAACTGCAAGAGTTATTCGGGCTTGAAGACGGAATTTGATAATATCATCAGGAGGAATGAGGGAGGAGGTGATACCTGGAAGACAAGTAGCTGATGAGTTGGCATTCGGGGGGCGGGGTCAATCAAGCGACAGGGGTGGTTGAACAAACCATGCATCAGCCAACATTCGAGTGTGATAAAATGTCAGGGACACATGGTCCAGCAGTATTTAGTGGCCACCTTCACGACAATGACTCCAAGATTAATACATAGCATGGTACCATTCCGCCAACCTGTCGGCTGAGTGTCTTCTTGATTAACCTCTCATCTTTAAAATGGTCTTAATATCCAGACAGCAAAGAAGAAATGGGCTCCATAATCCTAGCAGTCTCTTTCAGTGACTAGGTATCGTAAAAAAATGATTTGACAGTCGTTAGAGTGTAATCCCAAGATTCAACGGTTGAGATATATATGACCAGGTATATTGTCGTGAAGCCGGCAGCTAAACAGGCCGATGACCTCGTTCAAGCAAAGGTGGTGCAAGGGATGGAGTATAAAGATCAAATAAGAAAGCGATTCAGTGAGGCTAGTTAAAGAAATGTGTTTCTATCGTACAGTTATACTATGGCGCTTTATAAAGAGCCATATTAGAGAAATTGAAACTCAATTATTCCAAGGGCGGGTGAGAGCTGAAGTCACGTGGTATCAATGAGCCGTCACTGAGTTACAAGTCGGTGGATGATGTTCGTTGCCACGTGATTAGCCTGTCTCCTCTTGGTAAAATCAAGGAAGGGGCAAATCAGTCCTTATGTGGCTGTGTGCAGATACATATGTACGAAGAGAATCATTATCACAGAAGGATCATAGAAAGCCAAGCAGCAGCTCCGCTGAGAGGGTCAATGCAGTGCGCCGGGCGACAGCGGGTGATTCTCACCTTGTCTATTACAGTGCGTCCCGAAACTGGTGCAACCGCCTACACACTTTGAGTGTTTCTCCAGCCCCACCGCGAAGACAGACCAGTCTAGAGTTATTTAGAGCTTCTCCAGAGTACCAGTGTAAGTTGGACGTGTATTGCTTCATACCGTAGATTACATATTACTGTTAAGGATATATTTGCTTACCAATTCGATACATCCGACACTGAAAAAATAATATGTGGCCCCACCAGGAGGCAATGAGCTTTTAGTCTTATTGGCCCTTCGGAGACTCAATTCCATCGATGAGTTTGAAACATAAAAGTCATTTGAGCCTTAACCAGCCTAGAACCACGGAAAGGCGAAGCGTCTTTCTTGCATCCCAATGTCAATGCCGTGTATGACGCCAAGATGAGCCACAATCTCAACTCACCCCATCGCTTCACAGGTTTGCTGAGATACAATCATGTTGTCGTAAACGCAGAGACATCAGAATGATGTCAAGAAACCAAGACGCCTGGCTGCCCAGTAAAACAAATATATATCCCTCCTTTATGCGATCTGAATGCGAAGGCGTTCGGTCGAAGACCATTTCAATCAAAGCAAAAGTAACTAATTACAATTATCAAATCGATTCGAGCTGAAACTCTCCGTGGACATACGCAATGTCTACCTCGATCACCACAGACGTCAGCAACTACGAGGCTCATGGATATGGTGACCCAAGCCATAGGATGAAAGCCTTGACCTGGCAAGGGAAGAATTCGGTTAAAGTTGGTCAGTCATTCTGCCCACCACGACCTTCGTTTCAATCTCTCGAGATAATTATCTTTTCTTGCTCATACACTTCGTTATAGTGGAAACGGCTTGCCCAACGATCATCGATACAGGCGATGTCATACTTCGAGTGACGGGCAGCACCATTTGTGGGAGTGACTTACACCTATTGCACGGTATGTCGTTTTTTTGTAGCAGTTAATGCGGATTTGTCTCATGCGGTATCTGTTATCGATGTTTAGGGGCTATCCCAGATCTCCAGCCAGGTGATATCCTCGGCCACGAGTTCTGCGGTGTTATCGCAAGCGTGGGACCGGCTGTTAAGAAGGTCAAAGTGGGTGATCGCGTTGTGGCATCCTTTCAAATTGCCTGTGGGGAGTGTTATTATTGCAAGAAGAAGCTATCCTCGATGTGTGAGCGGACGAACTCGAGCGAGGCAGCCTATAAACTATATGGGCGTCGAACAGCTGGTATGTTTCCTCTTTAAATACTTATGCCGATATTAGTTAGGCTATCATACTAATCCCTGTCCTAGGTATGTTTGGATACTCCCACTTCACAGGGGGATTTGCTGGTGGGCAAGCAGAATATGTTCGCGTCCCTTACGGTGATGTGAATCTCCTTCTGCTGCCTGACGACGTCCCCGATGAAAAAGGTCTCTATCTTTCCGATGTTCTGGCAACATCTTGGAACGCTGTTGTTGACACTGGGGTTGAGGAGGGCGACACCGTAGCCATCTGGGGAGCTGGCCCTGTTGGGCAAATGGCCGCCGAGTTTAGCTTTTTTAATGGTGCTAAAAGGGTTATCCTTATTGACGGCGGCCATGGAAAATGGCGACTAGACTTTGTCAAGAAAATTTTACCCAAGCTCGAGACAGTCGAGTATACGAATCTCGCAAAGGGCGAGTCTGTCACCTCGACCCTGAAAAAAATGTGCGACGGCCGTGGGCCTGATGTGGCGATTGAGTGCGCTGCTGGTGAGTATGCAAAAGGATGGGCTCATTACTTTGAGAGGCTGCTAGGGATGGAAACGGACACGCCTGAGCTTGTTAACGAGATGATTACCTCTGTACGAGGGTTCGGACGCTGTGGAATCACAGGCGTATATGCCGGTTATGTATATGGCACCTTTCCTATGGCAATACGACTCTCCTAACGTGGTAATGCAGTGTGATCACTTCAATATCGGTTCTTTGATGGAGACCGGGATCCGTCTTATTGGCAATGGACAAGCCCCTGTGCAAAAGTACTGGAAAGACCTATTGAATTATATTCAGCAGGAGAAGATCCATCCCCTGCATATGGTCACCCACCGGTACAAGCTCGAGGACATGGAGAAGGTCTACGATTTATTCAATAAGCGTGACCCGGGAATGCAGAAGGTTTTTGTCCAGACAAAGTTTTCCGACCCTCCAGCACCAGGGGCGCCTGCCCTAACAGAACTCTGAGCTTAATTACATTGGATAATGTTATATCGACACAAGGTTAAATTGAAAAGTTCGGATGTTTTATGTGGATTTCATATCTTTTCCATTACGGACTGGGCGCTCAAAAAGCAAATTCTCAAAAAAGGATTTTTTGAAATCATGCTGCAGTGAAATATGAGGGCAGTTTTTGGAAATTCTCACCTGGAATGACGAGCATGCTACATATCTTTGCTATTCTGTTTTTATAAAAAAAAAAGCACAGACAAGAAATATCCAAGATTCTTGTTGACAGTACAAGATTTCCTCAGAAAAATTCTTATAGCTCACCCGCTGAGTAGATATAGCTTTTATACTGAGTAGACAAGCTAAAAAAACGTTCCCTTTCTATACTATTCATAGTGCAGCCGAACGCCCCCTTTACGCGATTGTTTTTCAGTCTGACGGTCTAGAAATTTGTATGTATGAGGGTACCAGCCTTGTACTACTTCTACCTACCATCTACACATCTCAGCTCCAAGAACAAATTCGCTGTTTCGTTTATTTTGATCTGTTAATTCGTCTGCCAAGGCTCTATAATTCTCCCTCTTGTTCCGCCTTATCATACCAACATGCGATCAATCCGCTACACTAGGTATTAAGAGAAAGACAATGAATTTCTTGCCATATCAGAAGCAATACGATGATACGAATGCAATCGCATAGACATGACTCGAGGAACTTTTATAAATCTGAAACTGTATAATTGACAAGACTTAACAGACCCAACATGGTTTTTGGATTTCAGCCTCCGCGGTTTGAGTGATACACCCTTGCACATAATTTCTAAGTCTCATGCAGAGACAAAGTCAAGTCCTGATCAACGACCTTTCCGCCTGCCAATTGCACCTTTTCGATAGGTTGAAACACGAAAAAGACACGTAAAACGCCAGAATTGTCTGTTTTTGCAGTCAAATTCCGCCAAGCATGAGCTGTTCCTCGTTGGACAAATACATCACCCTTTTTCAGTATTTTTTTCTCACCAGAATCAAGGACTAATTCTGTAGCGCCGTCGATTATGACACCATAGTCGAGGGTCGCTGTTCGGTGCATCGGAACCGCTGAACCTGGAGGTACCTCAATAATTGTGCAGGAGGTGCCGTTTGGCGGGTTCAAAGGCGATGGATCCGAGAGCTGGGAGTGATAGTGCTTAATGTCAAGATTGGCCTTGGACTCTGGGGTTGCAGAAGTTGGGGGGGGAAAGCCCCTGCACAGGAAATGTATTTGTATTGAAGGCCAGAGCATAGTCTGACGTTGTGGGCTTGCCTGGGGGAACTGGGAACCCAGTAAATGACACCTGTTCCCCAACCGCGTCACTAAAGATAGCTCGGCCGCTTGTAGGATCATGGGTTGTTATGATCCGACGAAGTGGCTCGGGCTGTCTTTGTTCGACTGACATGTTAAGATCAATATCAAGATGGAAGAAGACGAATACTTTAAGTATCATTCAACGCTTGATACCTTAAGTTGAGAGACATTGGAAATTTGATGTCAGCAACACTCCCTACTTATATTATTAGCCGTATGAAATATATGACTCAAATGTAGATCATCGTAAAGTCTAGAATCAAAAATGGACCAATATTGATAAGCGACAGCTCAAAACACACCAAGAAACGAGATCACACGTCAATCCGACGAAGTAGTACGGTAATTAGGATGTGATGAAAGATGATGAGATGATGATTGATTGGAAAAGTCTACCGAACCTTGGGAGGCTACTAGCTGCCGTATATCCATGCCCGTAGGCGGCGTGGGTATTCTAGTGAACCAGTCCCGTAATCTCTCCGGTTCCCCAATTATGCTGATTCCAAGCGTCCCGCTCCGTCAATGTCTCTTCATAGTGTGAAAAGAGATCGTTGTAACTATTTAATTTTTCACTGACCACTTTAACAAGGTCTGGGAACCGACAATATGCTTTTCTGCGCATGATAGGCATATTCATATTCAAAAGATCATCTTAAGATCGTCGCGACATCCTTCGAACCATTAATAGCGAACACATCATCGAATAAGACCCCTCAGATCACTACTTGTGGAGCGGAAGGAAAGTGACAGGTCGTCAGATTACCGAGGGACTCCCAAACTTTAGTGTTTGACTTGTTTGCATTTCTACATAAAATTCTATACCTTGGATCGCCAATACAGTTATGAGACGAGCCACTGTATTTTAATGAAAGCAAATCACGGTATTGAGACTACAACAGGGATATCGATATTCCGGATTTATTTTTATTATGGTCTAGCGTTTCTTGCCAGCGGGGCTAAAGAATCACTCAAAGAGTGTAGGCGGTTGCACCAGTTTCGGGACGCACTGTACGCACTGACTCCTTGTCACCCTGGTCGCGCGACACTAAAGCAGCGCTCACCTATTCTCCCGGCTTAACAAGCTACCCATCCAGTACAAATCTCCCACAGAAAAAGTACTACGGGACAAGCTGTACGAGACACCTTTCACCACGTAGTTCTCTGGAGAAGCTGTCTTTCATACTGAGCCATTCTATTTTTAGTTGTCGAACGATGTTAATACCCCAAGGCTGGCGGCCGAGGAGAACAAGAAGAAGACCACCAAGGACTCATAGTTAGTCTTAAAGAACATAGGATCTCAAGTAAACGAAGATCTTCGATAGATCTGGATTTCTTTTTGGAGAAGGAAAAAGAAAACAAAACAAAAGATACATATCTGATTCCCTAGCAGGGATTTACACGTCGTGTCATGTGGGTTCAAGGAGCAATTTTTACTTTACAAAATCGAACCCTGCAAAGCACATTCGTTTCTTATTGTAATACAAGAGCAAAGTTAAGCCATGGCATTCAGAGCATAGGAAATTTTTGTTTCTTCCCCTTAATTTGAGAGCCCTATAGAAGCAACCTCTTCCAAGCAAATAGCTGTCCCTTTCGGCTCTTGGACATCCTAGTTAACTATCATCCACACTCAACCCCCAAATGGCAACAAGACAGATTCGGCGCTGATAAGGATCATTCTGATGGTCCATAGTATCATATTGATGATCAAATGAAAAGCGATCAACAAGAAAGCTTTTACTTTTTCCATTTAGTTCAAAGCCACGAGATTTCGATCAACATCCGCATTTCAGAGTGCAGTGTCCAGCACCGAGCGCCCCCGCTAAACTATTTGTACGTTGAGGATCAAGACAACAACCACAATCACGACCACAACATCCCCCTCTAGACTTGCAGTATTCAATAAGAATTGGATGCATATACCATAGATGATTAGATCTCCATAACTCAAACGCCCGTTGTAAGGGCCCAGAATTACCAATAATCCAACCACAGGTATACCACCAGTATCGTGTCCTCATCCAATTTTCTCGGTGAAGTCTACTTATTTTTTTCTCGAAGCTTGGGACATCGGAGGCCCAGTATTCTGGATTATCTTTCAGCTTTTGCCGTAAAGAAATCTCTTCTTGACAATTTCTTCGTAACTCCTCCTCATAGTAGAGTAGGTCAGCAAAGGCATCAACATGGTGGACCTTTGACTCCTTTTGAAAGAGATTATATCGAAAGACTTGGAGAGTCCTAACATATCCTTCTCGCTCTAGACGGGTCTCTTCTGGTGTTCTGTCTCCTGGCAAAGATAGCATCTTGGGGTCCGATAGCTTCAAGCCGTCGCTATTTTCGGAGCTGGAGGGATTATACATGCGGTCGCAACACGACACAGTATCGCGAACACGTTGAAGTTCAAGATAAAGATATTTTATTTAGCGATAAATTTGCTCTCCAATCGAGGAGCAAAGATTTTAAGGATTTCATGATAGCTGAAAAGGTGAGGTGGGATGTGTGTTGTGGCAACCAACAACCAACTCAAAGAAGACCTCATGATGACGCCACGCAATCAAAGAAGCCACCCAGGTACGATAATAGCGCATAAGATTTTGGCAATACAAGTTTCACTGGCTGATATGCGTTCTGGAAGTGTAGGACCCAATGATATCCAAGATAGTACTGTAAAAAGAACCTACTAGGTACCAAGGAAGATTTGAAAATTGAATCGATATGCCAATGATATTTATATCACAGAACCTTCCATGGTTTGCTTTGATTCGGTTAGTACTAGTATAAGTACTGCTGAGCTAGTCGTCGCAATAAGCCGCTGTAGACTCGGATGTTAGTATGGCTTTCCATCGTCAAAAAGCCGATGTTATTCAGGCCGACCTGACTCCAAGTCGAACATTCAGGGTGCCATGCTTTTTAGGTATCGGTGGCCCTGGGAGCTTCCATTTGTCTTCTACTTCACCACCATCTATCCGCTGCAGATTTCATACATCTCCCGGAGTCCATCTCCAAGTGGAGCGTCACATTAGACTCTCCAACAGATCTTCCTATTCCGAGTAGAGTAATAGACCACCAACTTGAAAGAGACGAGAAGAAATTGTTCACATGTGACGGCAATCATGCAACGTCAACATTGATTATTACCTAGGTATTTTATGTAAAATATATACATCCCATTTCCAGGTGACGCAGGTGTCTTTTGAAAAAAACAGAAGGGAAGCAAAAACTAAGATTAAGATATACAAATTAAATATATAGAGGCTTTTGGTCAGCATCATCTCAAAACCAAGACACACACAAACAATCAATCCTTCATACCCTAGAAAAGTGAATGTCAGCAACATTCGGTCATCATTTGGAGACCTTCAAGCAAGCATAAAAGGGGCGAAACTAAGAAATCCCCTATCTGGGCAGTACAGAGGGTAGGAACATAAGAACCTCGAAGCATCTATCAACCCTTCTCAAGGATTTCGATCAAACAGTCGAAGAGCAGTCTACGATTACGACTTACATCTAGCCCTTCTTCTCTTTGTCCCTGTCCTTCCCCTTTGGCTGGCTCGTGGCTGCGCCCTTGGCGCCTCTGCCGCGCCGCAAATTGGTTGCTGGTGGCCCGGGGGGCAGCACTGGCGACATCTCCTCTTCAGAGGAGGTGGAGGGTCCAGGAGGACCAATGAGGCGTTGGGAGGGCGCGAATTGAGAGATGGAGGGGACGGGACTGGGAGTCCGAACGGGGCTGTGAGCCCGCGAGACGGGGAGACATGTGGCGCGGGCGGCCTCCAGGTCCAATTGTATGTCTGCCAGGGCCCTATATCACAATTTAGTATTTGTATTAGCCATATAGCAGTTTATGAGGCTCTGTAATGATGTGTTGCATAAATCACAGCCTATATGGGGTCTGGACGTAGCGTGTATATTACCGGGCGCGGGAGATATCAAACTTAAGTTTGATGTAACATTGGACGGCGCGGTGCACGCCAGCGGCAACAATCATGATGATGAGGAAGAGGATCGAGTGCCACCGGCCCCAATACTTGAAGAGGTGGGCCAGACTGTTGACATCCCCGGCGGAGGGTAACTCGTCGTCGCTGGGGTGCTCGGCAGGCGGTGGCTTATACATTATACTAGCCACGTCCAGATAGCAATTGATGCGGTAATTCCCAAGTAACATTACCGGCATCGTGAGAGTAGGAAGCAAGACGAATTAATTGAGTGGGATGGTGTCGAATTTTTGTTAAGCCTGACGTTCGAGGTTTGACTTGACTCCCAAATACTACTACAATAGGCAGGTACGACTGACAGCTCCTACCTCTTACCTCTCTCTCTCTCTCTTACTCTACCTATTGCTTCGAAATAGGTAGGTCACAGTGTTTCCATTATCTTACTATATATATAGCTTTGAATAGCAGCAGCAGCAGCAGTAGTAGTGTAACAGGTCAGGCCCTCTTGTTACTATATGGCCTTGCCCTAACTATGGCCTTCCCCGCATACTCTTGTTGTGCCACCGCTCTGCTAGCCCCTGACAGCGAGATATCCACAATGTTTGACGACCTGGAATCGGTCATTATTGGGAAATGTAGTATTGTATAGAAAATGGTATTAGTCTGCTCAATTTAGAATAAAACCCCGCTCGATTAGTTAATACTGAAACTCACTTGAACTCGATGATAGGAAGGGTATGTTACTATGATAAGCCTTCCCTTTGCAATTTTAATGCAGTAAAGAAGAAATCGCTAAATGGTTGATTATAGCTGTTCGCAGGGAAGCAGCCGCTTGGTGATGATACTTGGAGGAATCTAAACGTGGCAGATGAGAGAGCTGAACGGGCTGGGATCAATGAAATACGAATGGTACGCGAAGTCTCCTTCAATCATTTACTTGTGTGCTAACTTCATTTGTTAAATTCAGGTTATATCTGTGTTCGAGTACTTGAACCAGCAGCTTGTTAACCGTCACCTTGTTGACACATATGGCGCGGCTAATTACGAATTGCGTGTGTTCCAAAAAGCAGTCAACAGTGTGTTCGGGCAAAGAGACTTCAGTGCGCCTAATCTGTTCAGAACTTTCATGACAAATTTCATGTCACGAATGGCTCAGTGGGCCTCCAATTGGCTTAATTCGCGTATTGATGAGCTACTTGTCACATGGCGAGCGGTGCAAAATGCAGCTACCCCGGGATCGCATGCAAATCAGGTCGCAACAAACTACACAGGTGATCTGATGGAGCTCAGAGAGTTGGTTCGACTAAGAGTGATTTTTGACGAATCAATCTTCGTTTATATGCAGGCACCAGGTAGCTAGTTGCTTCAAGTTGGCTTTTAGCTGACAAATAGGAGGGAAGTGGAGTATTTTCCAATGATATGACTAGTCTCCCCAATCCCACCTTGGCTGTTTGTCTTCATATCTGCAGATCCTAGGAATTCAGTGTTTTGCCTCTGTCTTCCGGCTCATTAATACCCCATCGGCTCTTTCAAGGCTGGACTCGGGACCGTTCTCTAAACAGTAGCACCGATGATATAAAGGAGACCATCCCAAAGTATTTTCGACTGCTAATGAAGAAAGAATCATTGATAATTCTAAGCTTCTAAGGTTGAACCTCTGAGATAAACTGCAGATAGTATGTCGTAGTGTGAACTGCGTATATAATACGTCCCGTGCGGGTTGTGTAAAGATTCATGTAAATTACCCTCCTGTGTATTTTTCGGAAACCTTGGCGTTTCCGCAAAAACGCCCGTGGACCCTGTGAGACCTGCGTTTGTCGCGTATTCCAAGGTTGTACTAGGGCCAATAGCTTGAAAACCATGCATGGGTATAAAGACCGGTCGCATCCGCATATATTCCACGCTTTGGTTTCATAGGATCAACCTCGATATCCAGCCGTGGACGTGTACAACAACATTGGAGACGTTGGCAAAGCTATCCCTTTCCGCCCACCATGGCCAAAACACTAGAAGAATTTGCTCAATTAGAGCCTCTCTGGGACAAAGCAATCCAGCATCCAGCGGATATTTCGCCTGATGAAAAACACCAGCTGATGCAATGGCCGCCTTTAGAAGAGATGCAGGCCAACTCAACCAAATACTTGGGTATGTCACTTGAAAACTTGCTTCAAAAGGCAGCTACGGACCGTCAATCCCTCACATACGCGGAATGTCGTCTGATTCGCGATCATTTCCGCATTACGCCAACTCTTGACAAGTGTGATCGATTCGCATGGCCGCAGATGCGTCCTGATCTTTACGATAAGCTGAAACAGGCACAAGAAGCAGCTCTTCCACCAATAGAGCTTCAGGCCGTTCAAGCTGTGAATGAGGTATATTCTCAGAAACAGTACGATGACTTGGAGGCAAGGCATGAAAAGCGAAAACAGGAACCATTCCCAGATCTGCAAGACTGGGTGCGAAGGATTGTCGTTCGAGAAGATGATAAGAGCTGGGGCTATGTCTTTTATCATCAGAAAGAAATGGCCAGACTGGATGAGTTCAAGGCGCTATTTACCGAGGTCCTTGAGATGTCTTTCTTTTTTAAGGGATATGAAGAGATACACGATCACAAATTTGCTCAATTTGTCCCATTCGAGGCCGATGAGAGTGACATCGGCCATTTACAGCAGTGAGTTTTCCTATATAATATCAAAGACATTGCTAAAAATTAGCCAGAGACTTTCGTGATCGCCGCGAGAGGGGTGACTTAAAGCCCGGAGTTCTCAAAAATGTGTTTTTCTTGTTGACAGACGAGGCTCATTCAGCTTGTGGCACATATGGCCCAGATATGTACTATGGATGGATGTGGGCAATTGATCCGGACTGGCCTCTGTCGGGGCCAGATGAGGATTGCTATGATGGCCGCCTCAAAATCAGCATCACCCAGATCTTTTACCGTTTCTACGAATTCATGTCTGATGGTTTCTCACTCAAAGAAATTTGGCAGGATTTCCATTACGTCAATGCTAACAAATTGTACCCAAGCTCTTGGCGGGAGCCAACTTCCTGGGCTATTACCCGACTTGAGAAATCCAAATGGCCATACAATTGATTTGATGCATGTGTGGCCTTGATGATTGTTATGTACATAGTACTAGATAGTGAGTATCATATAAACATTGAAAATGTGTGATGATCCGTACAAAATGTATTCTTCCTTCCGCCCATCTTTTCAGAGAAAAAGACGCGTGGGGTGATATCCCATGTTGAAGGCCTGAGGCACCAAGGCCTCCCATATCGCAACCCTTTCTGACTGGAGTGCGCAACAGTGGCAGATCGAATTGGCAGTTATTCGGCGGTGTCGAAATGTATGGTGGGGAAGTCGGGCAATAAGCCATGGGTGAAGAAAACTTAGTTGTGTACGATGCCCCAGTTCTAGTAATGTTTCTTGGGGCAACAAATTTCTATTGATGGTAAGTACGAGTAGCGGGTCCACTTAGAAGAACAGGCCACCTACATCATTCATTGCAAACTTCTCCATGAGGTGGCTGTGTAGATTAGCGATGGAGTGTCTGCTCTCAGGGCACTCAGTGAAAACACACGACAGCTTGAAAACAATTTGAACAACACCATATATCCAGAGCGCATACCCCAAAACAAGACCAACAGGACCTCGAACAAAACACACTCTCATCATGTTCCAGTGGATCAGGGACTTTTTTGCTGGCAACGCATCTACAAACTGGAGACGCAAACGCGCTAGCAGGGGATACCACAAAAAAGTACGGGCTCGTGAGCGCAAATTGCAACGGACGTACAATAACGAGGATGTCGCGAGCCGATATTTCTACTTCGCTCCAATGGGAAGCGAACAGCAACCGACGAGGGAAGAGATCAGAAAAATTCGCGGAAAGCGCTGAAGAAAAGGGTCGATCGTAACTGTTATAATTGACTCGGCTATTGGCAATAAATGATGTTGTCTGGTGCTCGCTTCTGGTGTCCATGACACGAAACTCTTCGAGTTCTGTCAAGCTCCCGTAGCCAAATGGCTCTGGAAGCACAGGTCTCCATCAGAAGATCAGCTATAACAAACGGACTGGTCAAAATCATGGCTTGATTTTCAAGGCTCATGGGAACATTTTTAGTAAGCGGTGATTTATGCATTCAACCTGGTTGATTCAAAGTATTGACTATCAATAGAATTACCGGAGTTCTCACCAGCTACTCACTGAAAACTGCCGAAAACTTGGAGCCGACTCTTGTTCGCTCTTTAACTCTCAACGCTTGAGACCTCTCATCTTCTGCTGCCAGGATTCTGACGGACCAAATACCCCTGACCTTTTACAACTCAATGTGATTTCTAATTTGTGCATAGCACACGAAAAGAGACCGGCGCAAGTTATGCCTGGAGAAAAAGGCGCGAGAGTATAGCAAAATGTACGGTGCGGATGTCTGCTTGGGCATACACATTCGAGAGTCTCTTGGATACTTCGATCATTGCAGAGATTTATTCTGTTCTAGCTAATTCACCTGGTAGACAGTTCGAAAAATCATTTAGATGCCTCAAAAAGTCTGTTTTCGAAGTTCCTTCGCACTCTGTAACAATATGGCTGTTTATATGGGCTCCTGAAATATCACGTGATATTGCTGTCTACAGGGAGGTGTCTATGGATGATACATACCAACTTTCGCTCAACTTCCGTTTTTAGGTCATCGAACACTTCCCGATACCAGATTTCAGGAGAACGATTCCAAGGGAGAATAGGCAAGGAATCGACGCGTTCAGGTAAGGTTTCGGAAGACTCTTAGACATAGATGCCAGGTCGATTTCCTGGGTTCCAACACTGCGTCGGATTAATGGGCTGTCGAAGTCAGCTGTCATATCCAATGACCGCAGGAAAAAAAATATTGGATTTTCTCCAGTAATTCATCATCCGCTCTGTGGTATGCAGCTGCATCACCGACAAAGCCAATTTCAGCCCTAGCCGGGATCGGTGATCTTGACGAAAGGCTTTATCACGCAGAATGTGGGCCAAAGACAAGGTATCGATGCTTCTGAAGTTCGGTAGCCCTTGCTTGTGATATACCTAAGTATAGCCCTGGTACGATGCTGTCGGCCTCTCTTGCTTTTGATAAATCCTAACCCATTCCGTGATGGTGTTGGAGCCGTAATTGTTGCGCATTTATCGGAGATGTCTTTATAGTCGGATATTGGTGTGGAGGATGGTTCGACAACAAATTTCACTCGGGTATGACGCCCAATGTGCTGACACAGGTCGGTTTCTGCGGTCTCTTAAGGCTCTATTTCAATTTGCCGCCAGTTAAATGATGAGGAAAATGCAGTATCGGAAATGAATATAGCGTGTAGCATGTAATTGCAACTGGGTGATGTAGGAAATCTGTCCTGAAGGGTCTCGTACAGATCAATCGCATGAGAATAGATCCGCGTATAGCGTTTGGTGCTTCTGCACGAGACGCGACGCGTAATGACGGCCTTCCGTATACTTATCTGTAAACACCTGCCGTGTCTAGATAGCTTTGTTCTCTTCTTTCTCTTCATATCAAAACCACTTTTGGCCTCTTTATTCTTTCATAATCTCCTAGCAGTCACGCTTGCGAAGTGAGAGGGAGGTGATTGGTTGGGCAAACTTGTCAAGATTGGGGCAGAGAAAGGGCCCGTCGTTATGGACCAGATTAGTTGAGCCGTCATGAAGTTCGTGATAATTTACAACCTCATTGAAATTGCTGCTAAAAAAAGTCGATAAGCTGGTCCACCTGTTCGCCGGATAGCTTGTCTGGGTGCTTCTCTGCGGCCGATGCACCACCAGCTCGAACAGTGACCCCAATCCTGGAAGCCGGCCTCGGAAGGTCCTCTCAGGCATCCTCTCACCGTTCGCGATCACAGAGGACGATTCATCGGTATGGGCACCTGAAAGAAGCTCAGAATGTAAGGATAATCTCCCGAGGGCGTCTTGATACGATAAGGATACGAGTGAAGACTGTGAGATATCCCTGAAATTGGTATGATGGTGTTCAAACTAATCGCTGGACCTCCTAAGAGGACCCAGCTCTTCCTTTTGAGGGGATGCCTGCGTGCGTATGCAGGCAGGTACGCGAGGTTATGTATCAACTCTGGTGGTGCATAGACACCTTCTCCACATTCCCTATCTCTTTGTATAGTTGGCGTAATACAAAACCGTGAAAGTGGTAGATATGCGAATGGCTACTACGTAGAGAACTAGGTACTAACTAGTATGTCACGAATCAAAAAAAGAAAAAATAGATCCGACCAAAAAAAAAGGCGGAAACATGCAACAGCTAGGATTCGCATGGGGTCACCTACCATACTCTAAATTACAATCACCTTGCTCAGTTCACCCTCTCCGCATTCGGCGATGTAGAAAACTTACAACCTTGAAGGAGCTTTCGAGCGAGGACTAGTATTTGATGGGACTTCGAATTTCTTTCATTGGGAGAAAAGCTCACTACGTGTGCTAGATCTCCAATCGCTTTACTGTATTCATAAACACGTGGGGGGCTATATACGGATGCCAAGAGACCGGCCGTTTCAAGGGGAAGCTTTTGCCCAATGATATTTAAAGCCAACTCAGCTGAAAAGGGTCAGTGCAGTGGTCGCTCTACAGGGTATGATTCTCACCGCACTCACCCTAATCACCCTAGTCGCGCGACACTAAAGCAGCGCTCACCTATTCTCCTAGCTTGATATTAAAACAGAGTATATAAGTCTTCTTTGTTGCGTTTCTCGTACATACGACCATAGGGTGTGGAGAACAGGGCTTCCCGTCCGCTCAGCCGTACTTAAGCCACACGCCGGCAGGTTAGTAGTATGGTGGGTGACCACATGCGAATCCCTGCTGTTGTATGTTTTGTTTTTGCCCTTTCTTCCACATCACACACAGTATCAATCAAATCTCCATCTTCATATACTTTCTGCGTCGTTGAGAGAATAAATCCACACCAATGTGTGCCCAGCGCTATGATACCCCTCTCTAGCATCGTATTTCACCAGCCCGTTAGATCCCGGCTAAGTGATCCACCGGCTATGTTAACATGCACAAGTAGGCATAGCCTTGTGCATTCTCTTGGGGCCTCAGCCGAGACTATACCTGATTTGTGAAGATAAACGGATAAAATCATGGACTCCCGGCAGATAAAGGGGGTTGAAAATCTGAACACACTGTATATTAGTGTCACACGAACGCCCACGACTGGAACATTGTATTTCTTTTTGTTTCTTATGCTATGGCCGCATCTGCCAAAGACTTGAATCAATTCAAGGTCCTTATCGCCGGTGGGAGCCTCGTGGGCCTTGGCCTAGCCCTTGCATTTGAGCGTGCTGGAATCGATTACGAATTGTTCGAGAAAGGGGAATTCGCGCCTCAGCTGGGAGCATCTATTGGAATTCACCCGCACACGATAAGGATCCTAGAACAGTTAGGGGTGTGGTCGGACATCGAGAAGCAGGTTGTACCTTTGCAGAATCGAAATCATTACGATGAAAATGGTCGCTGCTTTGAGGAATCCCATGTGCTGGAGCACATTCAGAAGATGTATGTTTTCCATGAACACTTCTGTCGGATGGGAAAATAACTTGCGAACGTAGTCTCCGCCGACCGATCATTTTCATGGAGCGATGCAAAGCACTGGAAATTCTTCATGAGCATGTTCAAGACAAATCAAAGCTGCATCCTCATAGAGCGGTTGTCGCATACGAGGAAACTGCCGAGGGGGTTATCGTCAAGACAGACGACGGTGTGCAGCACCATGGGCATATACTGATTGGGGCAGATGGAATACATAGCAAAGTCAGGAAACTGATGGCCGACAAAATCAGCCAAACGAACGAATTGCTCGCGGAGGAAATAAATCAAGGTTTTTGGTCTTCAAACACCCGCTGAATCATTTTCTTGCTAATCATATGTCGGAGCAGCCTTTTCAAGCGAGTATAACTGTATCTTCGCTGTCTCTCGGAACGGTCCCGATAAGCAGCTCCTTCCAGATGCGATGGTTCACAATGTTTATTACCATAAGCATTCTGTAGTTTCTGCAGCCGGTGTCCATGGGCTCGTATTTTGGTTCCTTTTCATCAAAGCGGCCGAGCTCACCAGAACTCCCAATTGTCCGAAATTTACAGAAGAAGATGCGGAAGCATGCATCGCAAAATATGGCGATTCACTTGTCGGCCCAGGATACACCGTCAAAGATCTTTGGGATGCACGAGTCAAAGCTACGATGGTGCCCCTGGAAGAAGGCGTCATCAAATACTGGAGCCACAACCGGGTGGTTTTAATGGGGGATGCAGTGCACAAAGTACGTGGTACCCATTCAATAATTGCACCTTTGCTAATTGCTTGCTCCAATAGGCTACAGTGAACCCTGGACTGGGCGGCAATCTGGCATATGAAGGTATCGCTCGCTTGACAAATGGCCTGATAGGATTATTGAAAGAATATCCAACTCCGTCGCTCGAGCAATTGAATCAGGTCTTTGACAGCTATATCGCTGGCCAGAAACCCAGAGCAGAAGCTGTCGTCAATCTTTCGGGCCAGATTACTCGCTACGAAGCGCAGGATACTTGGATTCTGAAATTCGCAGCCAAAAACATTGTGCCCTGGGTCAGCGACAATCTCAAAGCGCAACTATATGCCAGTTTCTCGCGAGGCGGTCCCTGGTTGGAGTATCTCCCACTGCCTGCGGGGGATCGAGATTTGATGAACGCGACTCAGGAGACTTCTCGACTCATTCCTTCGCTGATAACTGCAGGATTGGCTTTAGCGGCAGCTGCGGCTCTGCTTTGCCAGAGGTGGAACTGAGGAGCGACACGACATAGTTATGCAAATACTTGATTGGAGAAAGGGAAGCAATCTAGGTTGCTCGGAATATGAATATGAAAACATCCATGAAATGAGGACAGAAAGCTGCTCCCGCAGTCATCTTTTGGATCAATTCATGGAATCTTACTAATTAGTAATGTCCATTGCTTTGTCTAACATCATGATTTCGGCGGCACTCTCTTTTTTCCATTTCATAACATTTTACTCGTCAATGTTGAGATACCTTCACTCTTAGGATCGGCGTCGGGTTTTGCTGTGCGCAACATCGAATGTCTTCTTAAGCTTCAGGTATCACAGGAAGCAGAAGGTAGTTATCATGCCCATCAAAATGGATGTTGTTAGTTCCGGAGAACTTCGCAGCAGGTCTACAAAACAATACGTATTAGTAAGGTCCATACAAATCTGGCAGAGTATAAACGTACCGGTCAACTGGAGAGTTGTGCTTGAAGAGGCCAACTCCGGGATCGGTATCCTCCGATGCTACTTGGAGAACCAAATAGCCTCCTTTTTCAACAACAACATTTGTTGGCCACATCTCAACATCGACCTCATAAACTGTTCCATTCTGCACAGGCTGAACATCAATAGACCGATACTCCCGTCGAGGAAGATAAGGCCTGTGGTAGGGACTGTCGGAATTGACCTTGCGCAGACTTGTTCGCAGCCAGCCTTTTGTGACTGGTACCGCATCCCCTGAAGATCCCGTGTAAGGAATCTCCGTGCCTGCAGCAGTAAAATGACGAAGGGTCAAAAATAGGTCTAGCTCCAGATTATCCGGAGGCGGGGAAATCTTGCTGTCGACCGACACAGCTAGATGTGCGACGAGATTGCCCGTCACTTCAAGTTCAGAGAGACTGGGTCGCATTTTGAATTCAAGCACCTTCGTCCCCTTGATCGAGGAATCACCCGCATCATAGGATAGCTTGGATACCTTTGTCATTCTAACACTCTGAGGGGTATTTCCCATGACCAGGTCAGGAGTCAGAAAGTATTTCGTATACTCTGTTCTCGCAATAGGCCACTCTAACTCATCCCGTCGAGGAAATGTAAGCTCTCCTTCGGGGTTATTGAAGCCAACATCGCCCTTTCTCAGACAAACACTAACGGGGGGCATCTTGCCACTCTTCCAACCCGCATAATCGTCGTCCTTCAAGAATGCATCCATAAAGCTGCGGTGCACCTCAACCTCCTCATCATAATAGAACGGCAAATCATGACGCCCAACGATGAAGCGCAGGAATTTCTGCTTCGAGCCTGCCCAGGTGTACCCCTCCACATTACCGCGCAGATGCAATGTTATTCCACCCCAATTTGCGACGCTCAGTAGTGGAACTTCAATATCTTCGAGACGAAAGGTCCTCGCGTCGTGATACTCGTCGTCAAGGAAGGGGTTGTCGACATTGTCAACGTTCTGGTCTCGACAGTTCTCTGCTAATTCAGCCTCATCCAGATCTCCCTCGATTGTGTCTTCGCCCCAACGGGACTTGGAGCGACCGGGTCGACCATATTGATTTGTGATGACCTGTCGATTCCACCAGAAGTTGATGAAGTTGTTGGATAAAATGCCGCCGTGGCGACAGCGGTCGCGGTAATAGTCCGACATGCCCTCGTGAGGAACAATGGCAGCAAGGCCCTGAGGCCGCTTTGCTGCAACGCGCCACTGGCTTCCTAGATGATGACGCATATCGGAGTCAGAATTGGACTTTTCTCGAGGAGTGGGAGAAGGGGCTAGGTGCGAATCGACTTACCAGCAAAGTAGCTCACACCGAGCAGACCGACTTTGCCACTGCACCAATCTTGCACGGCAGTCCACTCGATGAGATCAAAGAAGCTGTTTGCAGTGCTGGCAGACATGGTGTCCAAGAGGCCAGGTGATTGGCCCAGACCCTGCTCATCTGCACGAACAATAACATAACCGCGTTTGGTCCAGTAAACAGGGTCCGGGGTCTCCCAGGCGGAGTACTTGGACTTATGGACAGGATTGACCTCGGAGAACGACTTTGTGTGGAAGCTGCAGTGAAGGAAAATAAAATTCAGCCATAGACTATGAGATCGGACAGTACTTCTTGCTCGTGGATAAATACTCACTCTCCATAGTAGATGTCTTTCCCATAAGGGCCATAAGTGACAAGACTAGGGTATTTTCCCTCGGCCTTTGGCCGGTAGACATTGATACGAAGAACACCTCCATTCCATTTGAGAGGAACAGAGACGTTCTTTTCGAAGATTAAATGATGTTCCTCATCCACGAAGGTTTCGCTGATATCCCGGATTTGGTTCGGCATTACGACGGTCGGCGCAGTATTAAGATGTACTGAAATTCTTGATATTGAGATTATTTTACAAGGGACATGCTGCTTAGTTCATATTTGAAACAAACCGAATCGCCTTCGTTCCTGCATCAACCATCCGATGACGAATGTCAATGTTCTGGCTATCCGGAGGGACTCCGGTGGAGGATCCCCCCCACGTTATCCGGCAGCGTCACGACCGGGCGGAGACCTTGTCTTAAATCCGAGTCCAAACTACAACTTCGGAGAAATTTGGGGGGTATAAGGTTTGATTTTTGCTTGCTGGATAGTAATACCACGTCGGCTATAATATTCACTGTTCACATATGGCTCTACCACTCGCCACCAATACGATATCTGGTCAAGCTGGGATAGAATTTCCCCAAAGTACTTTCATAGCTAGTGACGAACAGCTAGATGCAGCATTTTTTGTAAGCAAAGATCAGAAGACGTGATGAATTCAAGATATTTTACTTACAGAGTTGAGTCGTACTCCGTTGAGCATGACGTTGACAAAAATGTATTCGCCGGTGCTTGCTCCGTTCGGTCGCTCGGCTGGGTCCAAATGTTTGTTGACAGGCCTATGCGACGGGACCCTTCTGTAGTTGGTAGGCCAGGTGGGGGGGATTATTGCTTGCGGCTCGATGGCGAGTTATCTGTATAGGTAGGGCGTCACCGCTGCCAGTAAGGTGAATATGGTAGTCATCTAGCGAGGACGCAATCGTGCTGGTAGAGGTTTGGATTGCCATGGTTGATTTGAAGTAAAGTCTGACAAGAGAACGTAACAAGAAGATTAGACTTGCTGATAATTCTAGGATAAAGCTTTCACCCTTTCAACGGAGCTCCCTTATATGGGAGTAGTCTGCAATCTCAAGGGGGCGTGTGAACAGCTTCCGGTGGGGGGCGTCAGGAGACGCGGAGTTTCGGAATTTCGCGAGCATCGGGCAACACCCCGGGTTTTGACTCTGCTACTCGGGACCAGATAAAAAAGCATTTTTCTCCGTGCGAAGACTTGGAATCCTGTAGCTGTAGCTGAGCGGTTTAACAATCAAGATGTGGTCCTCAGGTTCCCACTTGAAGCGCGTGTGTGCTGCAGCAACCGACGGTCGAACCTCGAATGTTCGCTTTATACAAAGTCAGCTTAAGGCGCTTCACCAAAGTATCCTGGAAACTCGTGTCGAGATCGTTGAGACCATTTCTTCCGATCAATTCACCACCGAGGTAGAGGCGAAATTAGAATTTGCGTTGGCGATAGGCGCGGTGAAACAGCACTACGATACGATCGACTTTGACCACGCCATCGCGAAAGAGTACCGTATTGCGAGGGGCGAGAACAACATCGAACGCCGGGTGGGCCACGGTGTGGTTCTGATCAAACCGACTACCCATACACGTTTTTATTCGATTATTTCCGCCGTGGCATGCGCCATCGCGGCAGGAAATACTTTCGTGGTTGAGGTACGAGGTGGAGACGCCCAAAGATTGGTGAAAATAATGAGGTTGACTAAAATAATTACAGTGTGACGATATTCCAATTGATGCCTTGCTGTATATATTGTTTCAATCTATGGACTGGGAGCTATATGGCCTTGTTCAGGGTTCCGTGACCAGTCATGAGATTCTCTCCACAGCCCTGGTCATCGATCAGACCGGCGCAGCGATGAATCTCAATTGTGTCAAGTCCATCCCCACCCTTCCCTCGATTGCTGTGGTTGAACGCACAGCGGACGTGATAAAAGCGGCCAAAGAAATCCTCTCAGCGAATCTTGCATTTTCCGGCCAGTCACCACATGCCCCAAATTTGGTGATCGTGAATGAGTGGATCAAAAAGGAATTCATAGATACAGTTCTCCGCGAGGATCGCAATATTGACCGCGAGTTGAATTTCCCTCATAACAGAGATCCGGAATGGAAGAAGAGTCTCGCAGAGGCCCAAGCTAAGGGGGAGGCAACACTTGTCGAGTCTCATTCTGTCTTCATCGTTGACGTTAAGGAAAGGTTAAATATACACTCAATCCGCAACGACGAGCCTGATTTCTAACGCATCAGTATTTTAGCTCATCGCCTCTAATCGCTCAGCGAGGCAGTGGCAGATGTTTGACTCTGCTTACCGTCGCTAGTTTAGCGGATGCTGTTCTTGCACTTTCCTTCATGTCTGTTCACTCTGATAATGAAAATTGGTCTGCTGGCTAACACTAGATAGACCCAAATATCTCACCGCGTACCATTTCGCAAAACCGGATGCTGGCAAGTTCCTGAGCCAACATATCGACAGCCACTTCTCGTTCATCAATCACATCCCAGTGGAGATCCTCGGTAAGAGATCCAAGAAAAATTGAGGAATATCTCCCGACGGAGTGCCAACTGACGTTTTTCGCTTGTCACCTATAGTCGGTCCAGCTCTGCCTCTCAAGCAATCTTCATTTTCACATAGCCTACGCTACACAACCGAAATGCTTTCCCGACCACGACCTGAGATTATCCAACCAATTGAGAATTCCAACATCAATCTCGAAGATCTGGCTAACCTGGGATCCTCCAAATTACGACTTCTTGAGCAAAAAGCAGCAAATCCACTGAAAGGGACTGGTCAAGGTCCTGGAACAGCCATTGGATTCTTCGAGCAAGGCATTGTGGTGGGTGCCTTGTTCATTGTATTACCAGTTATATCAGCTGTAGGATATTCTACTTGGGTGTTTACACAGAAATTCATCCTGCCGAATGCTCCTGGTATCTCGTGGGCATTCTGACCACGGCTGGATCGTTTTTCAAGGTTGTTTAGGAAGTTTCTAACCTGAGAGGGAAATAGAATGAAAGGAACCCTGGAACTGAGATAATTTATCCTTTGCGTGGCCTGCAAAATGTTTACTTCGCATGGTATGCCAGGACAGGAAATATCGGGAATAGTAATGGTGATATGGGTACTACTGGTTATGCTGACACCGAATATTGGAAGGCAGGACAGCAGGCTATTGGTTCTATAGTTACTGATAACAAGAACTCTCGTGGAGCTGACAATTTGATCGTACCCTTGACGCCGGTAGTTATAGAATTCAAGTTCAAGTAGGAGTGCAAAATACACTTCACGCCAAGGTTTGGCTGTAGAGGCGCTTATTTAAGGGAGTGTTAACTAGATGATATCATTCCTAGTATAGAGAAAGATATTCTGTTCACTGGGCCTTCTTCAAAGACGTTACCAGATTTGGTTGACAAAGTTTTCTATACATTTCCAGCAATTTCTAAGAGCAACAAAGAAGTAGAAGTAAACACGCCAGCCGGGTAAAAGATCACGTCTTTATATTTTGCCTCTTTGTCTTAATTCTCCTCCATTGAGTTCATTCTAACTAAAAGGCCTTTCCTAACCGGTGGTGTTTGTCTTTCTGTTACTAGCTGACGGGTAGGATGGTCGGCTTGCTCCGCACCTCCAGGGCTGGTAGTACTGTGAATACAATGTCTAGTGAATGAGGGAAGACATTGGAGTATCAATTGAATGACAAACCTCATTTTCTTTCAATATAGACCAAATCCTAACTGACATTTCCTTTGATCACCATTCATTCTCTGACCCGCATAGATTATCTCAAGATGATAGATGAGAGAACTACTCGTCAACGGCCCAGCGTTGAGTGAATTTTCTAAAGGCCTTTCCAAAGAAGTAAACCACAAAACCGATGGCCGTGAGAACACCGATTACAATGGCGCAGATATCCAGTGCACCATCATAGCCAGACATCCGCACAAATGCTGTAGTTCCATATGAGATACCGAAGGAAATGAAACCTCGTCCTAAAGGAAATGATCAGCTGTGACCCAGGCCAACACAAGGGAAAGGAAGAGAATACCAGCACATAGAGCAACCATTGCGACATGGCCACGTTGTGGATAACAGTCCATTGTATAGACGAATCCAAGGACCACAACACTGACAAAGCTGTAGAAGAGTGCGTTCATCGTAATGACAACACCTGTCCAAGCCCAGTCCTCGGGAAACTGACAGGAGCGACCGTAAATTATACATGAGACGATTCCAACTGCCGCCGGGATCAGGCCAGGGATAAGTCTGTACTCGGGCTTCAAAATCGTAAGCTGATTTGAATATTAATCGGGAAGAAGGAGACAAAAACCTCGCTGATGCCATTGTTTCTTTTTGTGAGTGCTTTCAGGATGATATCGCTACCATAACCTGCAATGGGCTGCACCACAAATGCAACGACAGCTTGACCACCCATCACAAAACCCAAGTAGTTCGGGTTGAAGCTGTATGGGGGGGCTACCAAAACCTCGGCGAACACAGCCGACATCAGGATGTAGGTTCCCAGTAGCGCGCCGCTGCACAGAACTAGCCAGAATACAGAAGGGAAAAGAATGAGTTGTCCCAGGTGATACCAGAACTTTGGAACTTCTTTCCATCGAGGCTTGACAGCTCCCCATGGCTTAATATCCGTCCAGAATGATCTCCGCTTGAAATTTACAAAGTCCAGATTGCGTCTCTGGGAGGCAATCACCTTCCCATCCGGGGATTCATCATTTCCGCCGACTATAACAATGCGAAACATTCATGATTAGTAGATGATAACGAGCAAAATATTTGGATGATCGTACAAAAGCTGTCCAAGTCTCTGTCGTACTTTGTCTCCGGAACGAATAGAATGGAAACGAAAAAGGTGAAGCCGGTGATAATGGCGAAGATACCATACCACCATCTCCATCCTATCTCATTGCTGATGTATGAAGAGGCGATGATGAAGAGTGCTGTTCCCAGGGTTTGCAGAGAGCAGAACCATGCGATTCGATTTCCGCGTTGGTGCAGGAAGAAGGTTTCCTGTTTCATCAGCGGTGATCAAGTCATTCAGAACGGAGCTGGACTGGGCCTACCTCTGCAATCAGGACACAAAGTGCTTCACTTTGACCGGCTGCCAACGCCATAAAGTCACGACCTCCGATATGCGACCCCAAACTGTCCGAGTAAGAGCACCAAATGGCACCGGCAATCATGATCAGGTTTGAAATCAGGTAGACAGGACGACGGCCGACTGCGTCCGCGATCGGCATGGCAATGAGATTTCCCACTCCCATGTAGAAGGCTGGCCAAGTCACTAGATCAGATACCCGGGGATCGTTGTTGTACACTTTGTTGAGCTGAGGAACCAAGACACCGATTCCGCTAGCGAGCAGATTGCCGGTCATGGCATCTAGAAATGGCGGGTAATTAGATCATCATAAGGGGGAATGAGGTAATGACAAGATATCAACACATACATAGTGCGACGATGACCAGTATAAGCCATTTGTGCCATTCCGGGAGATTTAGAGGGTCTGTATTCATTCCATTAGACCACGTTCCACTTCATCCTCAAATTCCTGAAACGGGCAGCATACCTTGAGGATCAGCCGTCGGTCGGGGGATCAGAATTATTTCTCCATCCTCAATCAGATTGACAGTCCCAGTGATACGAGGCTCAGGCTTGAGATTCGTTTTTGAATCCATGAACTCCGAGAAGCTCTCGCGCGGTTTGTCTGCGGCGATGTTCATAATTGAACCGCAACGGTAAAGTATCAATAAATTCGAGTGTCGTCAGTCAGCTTTCTCCTTGGCATGTCGTACACCCCTTGGTGGAAGGCCGACACTGATATAATCTTCCATACATACGAGGTGGAAGGAGAGGAGGTGTCAGGGTTGGCCAACCGGAAGTTAGCGTCGGGAGGAACTTCTTGAAGAGGATCCTTAGCGGGACATGTGGGGGATAAACCTTTTTTTCTTTCTTTTCCCCAGACTTCCGCGGGGCGACCTCGAGTTAGATAACCTCCCGCCACCGAGTACAGGAACGTTGGGATCGCTAAATTTTTGTCTTCCTTTCATCGTATGCCACGGCAGATGAATAATGACTAGTCCTCATATTCCTACGCGGAGGATACCACGAAGCTGCACGGAATGTGCGCGCAGAAAGATCAAATGCGATCACGGATATCCGTGTGGTGCCTGTACACGACGCGGAAGGGCTGGAGCATGCATACCCCCGGAATCTAGCCCCCAGTCAATATCCCAGTAAGTTGGATCCGACGCCATCTTCCATCCGGGGCCCCAATCTAACCAGAATCCGTAGGCCCGATCACGTTGACTCTGACAAATTGACACTCCAGCATCGGATCGCCATGCTTGAAGCTCGCTTAGGTGAATCTAGCTCGACGATCCAATCAGGCGACGCAAATTCCAATCCGGAGGGTCTGCTGGTCATGCTTGAGTCCCTTTCTCATGGGAAATCCCCTACCCCCACCTACCTCCCCGAGAAGACTTCCATTGCTCCGCTCTATCAACCCGGAAAGCCCGTTTACTTGCTGCTTTTGCCCGATCGGGCGTCCAGCCAGCAGATCATCGAATTCTCTCTAGAGAATTTGACTTGGATTCACTGTGCCGTGAGAACAAAGATTTTTTTACAAGAGCATGCTAGCTTTTGGGAATGCATTGAAAACGGAAACAATACAGCCACTCCACAGGAACACGGATGGATATCCATATATTTTAGTCTGCTGACGGTGAGTATGCACCGCCCAGATGAAATATACTGTAGTATTCTTTCAAGCTCCGTAATGGCTGAAATTTCATAGGTTGGGCTATTATACATGGACCCAGAAGAACGGCCAATCTTGCCGCGACTCAAGAGCTTTGAAGAAAATGCGAGTCGGTCGAACATAGATAGCGAGAGGGGCAGGCATATCGCCCGAATGTGGTATGAAGCTGCGATCAAAGAGCTCGAGGCTTCGAATCCAATGACCAATGCAGACTTGAAGACAGTGCAGACTGTAGCCATCTTGACCTTGGCGCATAGTCATTTCGGTCAGATGGAGCAGGAGTACTTACTTTTAGGCCTGGCAACGAATACCGCACGCGTGCTTGACATGCATCTATTAGCTTCGGAAGACCGGTTTTCGCGACGATTGGCGTCCCAGCCGAACTGGTCCACGCCCGAGAATCGCCAGTTAGGGCGTCGTCTCTGGTGGACTCTTGTCATTTGTGACTGGTAAGCCGAATAATAGCACCTGTGAATGCCTGCGCTCTTCCTTTGATTTCTTAACAAAATACCAGGCTCGGGCTGTTTACCCGCCCTTCTTCCATTTCACCCTCCAGCTTCAACACAACATTGACGCCGCAGCGTTGCGATAACAATGATCTCCTACTGGAAAATGAGACACTTGACCAACAAATACCTGCACTCAGGTACCATCTCACCATGTCGCAACTAGCTAGTGTCATTTATATTAATGTCAAGGCACCACGCGATCCGAACACTGACCGTTTCACCATGGTTCTCAACCAGGTTGAAAGAATTGAAAGATCAGTGGCCCGTCGATCGGTGTCAATATCCGACAGTACACCCGGATGGGCCGTAGCACAAGAATACATGATTGGCCACACAGTTCAACTGCTTTCAGTCACGATAGCCCGAGCGTCCCTAGTTATGTGGCTGACGGGCCGACCGAACACCGAGCTGATAATCGAAAGAGGATTCCAAAGTGCATTGAAGATCGTCCGTATGCGCCAACAGCCGGTGCCACGCCTATACCAGTGTCATTGGTAAGTCGGTGAGGCCACACCTACCGTAATACGTCATTGAAATAAACGTTTTCACAGGATCATCCCGGCGGCCACTTTAGCTGCGGGTGTTTATTTAGCAATTCACCTCATCTGCTTCAAAGACGCAACGGTTTCGACACAGGTCACCGAGCGCCGGCGATTGATTCGTTACTGCATTGGCGCCATTCAACATCCAAATCCAAGCACTCCCTTGGCTATCCAGGGGTCACAAATGCTCGAAATTCTATTGCAAATAGAAATGCACAGCCCCAGTGTTGCTGCAACGGACAAGGCAACGGTGGTCAACTTATTGAAGATGACATTCCAAGATCAGGGACCCTCGTTCGACCCCATCAATGAGTATGGAGCCATAATGCCCACAGACTTGAACCCGTCAGGAGATGAGCTTAGTCTCCTTTGGCCACCAATGATAGGTGATTTTAACTTGGATGTTCTGCTTCCAGATTTGGACTGGGGTCAAATGGATGCCGAGTGGCACATTTGAGGGCCGATGGGTATGTCATCACAGAGCTGGCGATTTCACGGCCTGTATATTACTACTCAAAGTCTCACTGCTAGAAAAACCAAAATGACCTCGGAAATAGAGAAAGTTCGAACCAAATAGACGCAATATACATTTATTCTCTTCTCAGTATACCTAGCAATATCCCTCGGATAGTCTCACAACGGACATAAATCAACGCGTTCATAAAAGAAAGTTGTATAACAATTTTCGGGAACATCCTGTTATTGCAGATTGCTTCCACTAATAAGGCTTGACACCAGCAAGTTGGAGCAGGCGATCAGTCAAGACGGGCTTCTCGAGAGGGTTGTCTCTTTCCAAGGGGTCAACCTTGCCGTCAACCATCGCCTTCCCATGTCCATGAATATTGCAGTGGGGCCAGTGAGTGGTGGTCTCCCAGCGGTGGAATATCTCCGCCTTTTTCTTCAGATCCTCAGGAGTAGCATGAGAAGCGGGCGTGTAACAAGCGTAGATGATGGTGCGAATCTCATCACTCTCCGGGAACTTCGCATAGTGCATAGAGCGAGAATCCCAAAGAATCAAATCTCCTGGCTCGGCACAGACCTTAATAAGATTACATCCTTGCTCTTCATACCACTTGACGTGGTGCTCTTTGAAGGGGTAAAAGTCGTAGTGCTTGGCTCCGATACCCTGGGTGCGGTCGGGAGGGTTGAGACTGAAGAAACGGTCGAAAAGCTTAGACGAGCCCTGCATGAGCATCAGACCGCCATCCTTGGGACCGGCCTCGCTCAAGTTGATGATTCCTTGAACGCAAGAAAGGCCTTTGCGTTCGGGCGCCTGATCAACATGGGGCCACGGTGACCACTCAACGTCAGTGCGGCCTGGCAGAGTCACATTGATAGTGTCGAAAGACACTAGCAACTCCTCAGTTCCCCAAATTTTGGCGAAAGCGGCAATGACCTCTGGTTCCCTTTTGCAAATTTTAGCGTCTGGAAATGGATATTAAATATTTTGAGGATCTTTAAGCTTACATTCGTGCGTCCCAGACGTATTTTTCATGCGCGGCGCAGTAGTTCAAGTACATTCCAGCCTTGAAACTCTGGGGCAAGTTTTCGGAAGTCCAGGTGCTGCGATCATTGATATCGAAAGCAGTGTCAAATGACTGCAGCCAATCAAGAGCTTTGTTGCGATATTTGAGTGCTTTCTCACGGGATATAACGCCCTTCAACACAGCATATCCTTTGCTGTAGAAGTCATCGCGCCAATCGCCGTAGGAGGTATTCGCGTTTTGATCGAGAACACCGGGTGCCATGATTGCGTGAGAATAAATTGGATAAAGAATTTAAATCAGTTGATATTCTGTTTCTCTTGATGAGATGAAGATTGCAGACTTGAGTGGTAGAGGTCGTGAATCGCAATACTCAGTCTTAAATAGGTGTGCTCGATCAAAGTATCAACAGGCTGTGAAGTATCGTCGCCACATCTCGGCCGCAATACCCGAGCATACCCGTTAAACTACAGAAGCCGAACCCCGGACTACCCCAGACGCAGATTTCGGAAATGTCAGTTGGCAGTGCTAAGCGACGCGGATCGATTGACTGAGGCCGATATCCCCGCAAAGCACGTCCCCCAGTCGGAGCTTCCGGTGGGGGAGGCGCGCATGTGGAGTCGGCAACGGAGCAACCCCGAGGAGTCGAACGTACTCGGCGGCCAAGAAAAGAGTATATCAACATCAATTGCAGTCAAATTTGGTGAAGTTAAAATCACATTTCTTTCGTCTTTGTCAGGCGACTGTGTCAACATCACTTCATTCAATATCTCACATCCTCGAAATGCCACCTCCCGCGCAAGTCGCCAATCTTGATATCAAGGCGCCTACAGTCGGTCATAATGGCTACCAGGGCTTCAATCCCCGCACTGAAACTCTTCCGAAGGGCTGGAATGGCTTCAATTCCCGTGCATTAAGTGAGGACTTGATTGTGCAGCATGATGTTGCAATTTGCGTTCGCGACGGTTGCACGCTTTATTGCGACATCTATCGGCCTGTGACCGAAGAGAAAGTTCCAGCAATTGTTGCATGGAGTCCGTTTGGAAAGAAGCACAATGGAATCAACATGATGAAGAAAGTCCGCTGGGGAGTTGGTGTTCCCGATGGCTGTCTGAGTGGCCTGGAACGCTTTGAGGGCCCCGATCCAGCCGAATACTGCCCTCAAGGATTCGCAGTTGTCAATGTTGATGCTCGCGGTGCCGGCGATTCCGAAGGTTCAATCGTGATCATGGGTTCTCAGGAAGGAGAAGATGGTCACGATGTGATTGAAGCCCTTGCCAAAATGTCTTGGTGCAATGGCAACCTGGGGCTGGCTGGTAATTCCCATTTGGGAATTGTGCAGTGGTTTATCGCCGCCACTCAACCTCCATCCTTGAAAGCCATAGCACCCTGGGAAGCATGTGGCGATCTTTACCGTGAGCAATTTGTTCGCGGTGGCGCATGGGATAATGGACTCTTCGATCTGATCACCCGCGAAACCATTCGTGGTAAACACGGCCTGGAGGATTTCAAGGAAATGTTCCGCCGCAGTCAGACTATCAACCCGTACTGGGCGGATAAGCGTGCCAAAATTAGCAAAATTCAGATCCCTACCTATGTCGTCGCCTCCTATTCCAGCTTTGTCCACACTATGGGCTCCGTTCGTGGGTGGCTGGAACTTGACACACCCGACAAATGGTTGCGATGGGATCCTTATCAAGAGTGGTATGATTTATGGGTTGAAAAGGAATCGCGAGACGAACTGGCATCTTTCTTCTCCAAGTACCTCAGAGGGGAAGATAATGGATGGGAGAAGACCCCTCGGGTTCGCATGGCCTCATTGAATTACGGTAATACCGCACCCGAGTATCCCATCGTGGTCGACAATTTCCCTCTGCCTAATACCGAGTACCGTGAACTCTTCTTCACACAGGACCGCAGCCTCGCTTCTCAAGTACCTGTGAAGCAAACCACCTTGTCTTATAACTCCGAAAGCAAGAGTGACCCCGTTGAAAACGTTGGCTTTACCTATACCTTTTCACACAAGGCTCGGCTCATGGGACTTCCTAAAGCGATGCTTCATATGTCTTGTGATGATCTAGACGACATGATTATCTATGTTCTCATCCGGAAACTTGATAAGCAAGGAAAAGAGATGATTAACGTCAACATCCCCCTCTCAGCCGCACCATACTCGAAAGTGGAAGATATTCCTCAAGACGAGTATAGCAACCTCACCATTTACTACGGCCCAACTGGAATTCTTCGTGCTTCGCATCGCCAGGTTGATCAGTCGAAATCTATCCATCCTCAGTATCCCTTCCATACACACTCCGAGGTGCAAAAGGTTCCTCCTGGCACGATCGTGGAGCTCGAGATTGGACTTTGGGCCATGGGTATCGATTTCGAAGCGGGTGAATCCCTTCGTGTGCAAGTCAGTGGAGAATACCCCTTGATTCAGGAAAGCAAGTATGCCAAAGTCGAGCTAGAGGCTCGTAATAAGGGTACTCACAAACTTCATCTTGGTGGCAAGTACCCATCTCGGATCATTTTGCCCTTCGTGTGAGGGATTTTTGTTCGTATATGAATTTCGTTGGTTGTGTATATTTCAATTTTTAGACTAGGAAGATAGACTTTTTGGCTGTCGTATCAATTTCTGAAAAGTAAAACTCACCCGGGGCATTTATTATAAAGTCCTGATTCATCAACTTGAAGTCTTGTTCATTTAGTTGACGTGTTTCATGACCGCCTAGGCGAGCGGGCCACCCCAAAACACATACTAGTAGTAAATAGGATAAATTATAATTCTATATCTCAACAATCTTTTCTATCCCAGAAAAAAATTAAGATAAGATGCTCTAAACAATATTTTTACCTAAGCTGATCTGTAAAATGCAGGTTTTAGATCTGAAACATATTTTTTAACAGAGATATATAATAGTACTGATGGGAATGTCAGGTTAATGTGAATAAACTACAAGGTGATCAATCAAGTTTTTTATATAATTATCTAAAATAATTTTTTTAGATTCCAAGTACACAGATATGTGATTATATTATTCTCTATAGTGATCAAAAATCTAATATCAATTACAATCAAAAGTCAATGGATATCACTTTGTTGTTCAGATATGCAAAGTTATAATTCGTTTTGGTACTGCATTATCTAGGCTTGGGTTTCAGTACAATATATGGCACTAGGGCCTGGTAGTATGCACAGATAAGTAACTAGTCAATAACTAGTCATTAATAGTCTTTTCCAACATAGGAATCATGCTTTCTTGATAGTCTAAAGCGGTATCGACACAATTGATGAACCCCGGAATTCGTAGTGATGTGTCGGCTTCTGCAGCAAGGGACGTCATAGATTGCCAAGTTGAAGAGTCCTGCTGGCGCCAATTCACGATTATAGGTACTGGTAAACCCCAGAGCTACCGGTCGCAAGGACGCTGAGTTCACGATTTATTCCAATGAGATCCCGAGGTCGACTCCCGTTTACGGATACACTTGAAGCCAACCTTGGAACTTTTCGCGCTGGGCTCGGAACTTTGGAACTTGAAGGTATTCTAATATAATAACACACTGGCAGATCTCGCTCCACTAATTAGCAGCTACGGCCCATTTCCCGAACGTAAATTGAGTATTGCACATGTTAGTTAGCTCCCAATCCTCTGCTCCAATTTCGACCGGAGTTCCCTCATCCTCCACGTCTCCAACAAGCCCAGCAACGAACATTGCGCTCATGATATGATCGTCAGTAGCATGGGCTTCCCGATACTTTGGAATTTTCATCAGCATAGTGAGACTCCTCCTCAGAAGCGGCCCAGAAGCTTTAGTCATGGCATCTTCGACTTCCTGCCTGAAATCCAAGGCCCAGTCCCCTGGAGGCGTGGGCATCGCAAAGTTGTCCGCATAGCGGAGCAGCGGCCACCACACATTGCGGTACAGATTGTGTACTGTACCACCGGACCCAATAAACAAGACTTTTTCTCGACGAAGTGGTCTTAAGGCCGCCCCAACTCGCAAATGATAATGTGGGTCGAAACGTGCGTTCATGCTGATTACTGTTGTGGGAGGGCAGCCCTGGGGAAATGTGCGTATCAAGATAAGGTATACGTCGTGAATCCAGTCGAATTTTGGATTTGCCGATGCGTTGAAGCCAGCATTTCGAAGGGCTGAAATAACTCGCTCACACATTGGAAGATCAGGAACCAATTTGTAGTCGACATATTTGCTAGGGTGAACGCCGCCAATTGGTGCTTTTTGGGGGTTCGGGCTGGTGGCGACTTGAATTTCGTCCCCAGTAGCAGCCCAATGCGCGCCCTTGTAATTCGAAATAGTAAGATCACAATTCAGAATCACGATATAGAACTCCCATATTCACGTACCATGATCACGACATGTTCAATACCATTCCGACGCGCCGCATCGCCACATTCCTTCCAATAATCGGCGGAATCGGACTGTTCGCCGAGCATGGCCGTTGTATCCATGGGAAAAGAAATGAACGGGAGCCAGGCCGTTCTCCATGGCAGTCGAGTTCTTCAAATGTATGATGCTGTGAGTAGTAATTGACGATTGCCGTGATTCAAATACTTCACCGGAAGAGGTGGGGGATGGCGCCAAGCTCGGCCCGGGTTTCTGGGGAAGCCCATAGATTTTCTCCAAAAGACCCCCGGTATATTTGCTAAACATACCCTCCACTTGGCTCCGCGGACTTCTCATACGAGCCTGGCTGCCCCCCCTCTACATTCCGCCCGACTTCTCCATGGCTTCGCCGGATGCTGACGCGGGGAACGCGCCGCCCAATCCGAAACGCGTAAAGGCTGGGAAAGATTCTAACGCGGGATATTGGTGTGAGAAGTGCAACAAATCCTTTGAGCGTTCGGATCACTATGCTCGACATGTGCATTCTCGTTAGCGCTTCACTTTCCTGTAATTCTCAAGTGCTCCGTACTAACTCACGCCGCAGACGAAGACTTGCGGCCGTATCGCTGCCCTATTTGTCCAAAGGCTTTCAATAGGGGGTAGGGGCAAGCCATATGCATGACTTCCTGCGCTATTGTTAAAGCAGATGCTGATGGTTAGCCACAGGGATCTTCTCTATCGGCACAAACAGACTCATCCACGCAAAGAGGGAGCCCCTCGGTCAACACGGGCCAGTCGAGCATGCCAAGCATGTGTCCGGAGCAAGTCCAAATGCACTGACCAAAAACCGTGTCAGCGTTGCTTAAGCCGAGGAGAGCCATGCTTGCCATCTAAGAAGGATCGTGATATTCAAAGTGATTCCCATTTGAGTCTTGTCCCTGAGGTTGACCAGCCCAACCTTCTGCCATCCCATTCCAACGAACTTGATGATGGAGGCTTTGGTATCGCGTCTCCAACAGCCACAGTGGACCCGTTGCAGCCACTTGAACTGCAACAACTTGTAGAGCCAATAATGGACGAGACGACAACATATCCAGCTACGGCTCTACATTTCGCAACTCCCATTGATTACTTGTCATCTCCTTATGCACATGGCTTTTCTTTCACCGATGGTTTCTTGCTTTCACCTGCGCCAGGTAATCTTGATGGTGGGTGTTTCGAGCTGGATCTGGAGACCCTCCAAGCTTTGATGCAACCGGTTCCGAATGAGATGCAAGGATCGGTCGAGACAGACACGAGCGGACTAACGCATGCTAGCCCGGCGTCATCGAGATTCGAATTCTTCAAGCGGTCGCCATGGCTGTGGACACCAGTGCATGTTGACAATGCATACGCCGGCCAGGAGAGCCTCCGTGTCAATGAGAAGGCTGTTGACTCCATGTTTCGGAGAACCCAACAGTATTCTATCAGGGGGAAGTTTACTTCGACCGTCGTTGATTCTAGTTGTCGCGACCGAATACTTTTTATGATTCACAATGCCCCCCCATTCTACTGCTCCCATGCAGGCGTTTCCCTCGGAGTCGTATCTAGACCGCATGGTTCAGATTTATTTTGGGTGGCAAAGCTTGGAACCTTCTAGTTGGATTCACGGTCCATCATTCTCAGTAACAGACTGTCATACCGAGCTTCTCGCCACTGTCATTGGCGCCGGTGCTTCATCAATATCAATCGACAGTGTTTGCAGAATGGGATATGCCCTTCTGGAGCGATCACGTCTATCCCTCTCGGCATCAGTATGTGAAAGCATCCCTTTTGAATATGCCTGTGGACCCGTATTAACCGTCATCCAAGATTGAGAAAGACAATAGTCGCGTTCGAGATCTGCAAACTATTCAGACATACCTGCTTTGGACTTCGGTTAGCCTGTGGAGTGGATTCAAACGCAACATGGAAGTTGCTGAAACTTTCTTATCGGCTCCTGTGACGGTATGAGCTAGTGAATCCTGAAAGAGTCGATTTACTAACCGGGTGTTATATAGATGCTTCGTCGATACGGATGCTTCTCACGAACGATATATGTGAAATCAATATATCCTCTTCCAGAAGATGATGCCTTTACTACAGAGGCGAAGTGGAATGCATGGGTGAAGCAGGAGTCACTGAAAAGGTTCGTTTTTAATTCGAATCGTCGAACATTCAAATCAGAACTGCTGCTTATTTTGTCACCAAATTCAGAACAGCCATATTTGCCGTGCTCACCGATCTTCGTTGCTCGATGGCGTACCTCAAGCCGCCTAATTGCTCTGTAACTGAACTTTCATGTCCACTGCCCCTTGCGCGGGAGATATGGCTAGCACCGACGGCAGCTGCTTGGAAAGACGCGTTACTTTCCTGTGCGATATCATTTGATGAAGACCCTTCCTGGTTAGCGATTGCACAAAATCCATCCATGCTTGACAACTTGCCATCTCACTATGATAAACCTCTCATTGCCTTGGTAGCAATGCATGGCTTTTGGTCTCAAGTCTGGGCATACCAAGAAGGACAACGATTCTTTCGGGCCAGCGGGCAACTATCCGTCCAAGCTACAACAATACTTTGGCTGTCCTGCCAGCATGAAGATCTCATGAAACGCATTGGAAATTCCCAACAAGCGCTCTCAAATCAAGGACCCGATGCCTTCCATATTCAAATAGTTGCAGAGTTCTGCTTGATGGCACTCAATGTGTCCCCTCGAGAACTACAACAGTTTGCAGGAAGACTCGGGGAAGAAGAGGCTGCCACTACTCATCACCTTTTACGCGACTGGATGGCAGGACCTGAATTTAAAACAGCCGTGTGGCATGCGGGCCAGATTTTACGCATTGCAAGATCGGCTCCCACAGCTCAATTACGGGAATATTCGGCCGTCGCTGTCTACCAAGCGAGCTTGACTTTATGGGCGTACGGCCTATTTTCCATAAGCATGAGCAGAATGATATCTTCAGATATGTTCCAAACAATGACATATGGAAACGAGGATTGCCTGGTCTTATTAGATGGCCCTAATACCCCCGATACGACTGGCTTTGTAATGTTTGGAAAAGGAAAACCGGGAATATCGGTTGGGTCAGAGAAATTATTCTGTCCGTTGACCGACATCCGAGCCATCATGGCAGCGGCATGCAATGTCTATCGAGACAATTTTAATCCCGAGACGGAGACCTTCCCTCCTTTGCTGGAAAGCATGATGAACTTGATGACTGATTTGGGGAATATTGACACGGCTTCTTTCTGATATATCTTTTTTCTTGAGAAACAGCCCTTCTAAGATTGTTGTAGATCAACAAAATGTATAATTAAGATACGAAAAAGCATTTACTTAGAAACCACATTCTGGTAGTATCGGTCTTTAAAGTAATTTCGCTATTGTCCATCGAGCTATCGGATACTAGTAGAAGAAAAAACAACAACATCAAACCCCTTTTCACTTCGCGAGACGCCAGTGCATTTGATACGCAATCGCGGTAGGTACACCCTTTGTGAATATGGCCCACCACTTCGCGCTGCGGACACCACTCTCTTCTTCCATCGGACATAACTCTCGACGGAATCTTCTCTACGTCCGAAAACGTACTATGGGAGGGGAGAAAAACGTCCCCCCCACACGAATACTCCCCAAGGCTCATGAGCCAATGAAATTTGGATTTCCGCAAATCAATATTGACAGCACCCGGAAATGTCACTATCCCCCACCGGATTATTCCTCGGGTGCCTCACTCCTCGGCAATCTCGGCCGTTACCCCCTTGATTTATGTTATTAGATGGCTGGGTTCATTTATTTCTAATACACCTTCACAACTCGAAGCTCGCTGTTATCCGGTTACCAGACATCAGGATGGTTGGATCCCGTGAAGCAGAACGCCTACACATTCTTATTGCAGGGGCTGGCATCGGCGGTCTCTCGGCAGCAATTGCGCTTCGACAAGCTGGCCATGTAGTGGATGTATGTTTGTAATTTTGACACTATTGATTTGAGTGATGACTGACTTGCCTCACATCTAGGTCTTTGAATCTTCTCGGTTCGCAGTGGAGCTCGGTGCCGCAATTCACCTTCCTCCAAATGTGAACGGGCTGCTGCGCCGAATCGGTGTTCAGCCAGACGACTTCCAGTGCAACGACGCAGAGTTTGTAAGGAAATTCTATCTCTATCGGCCATGCCTGGAGAGTTCCACAAGCTCAATTTCATAGGTTTCGGTTTTCGACTCCCAAGGTAACCTTATTAGCTCCAAGGATGTCCGAAATCTGCGCGAGATCTACCCATTTGTACGTGACGTCCTTGCGCTTGTTTTATGATTCCAAGCTGATCAGTTATTGCTCAACTAGCCCTGGCAACTTGCTCATAGAATTGATCTACATGATGCATTAAAAGACAAGGCGACCTCACTGAAAGGCACTGGAGTTCCCGTCAAAATTCATCTGCGCAGCAAGGTTGTCGACTGCCATCCCGCCAGCCCTTCGCTAACCCTGATTGATGGGACCGAGGTCAAAGGAGATCTTCTCATTGGCGCGGATGGTGTTCATGTAAGTAAATTAGCAGAAGTCCTTCCTCAACAGAAACAATTTTGACGATTGACTTTTCCGCCTAGTCATCCCTTCGAACCAAAATCGCTCGAGAGGATATTGCAGCAGAGCCATCTGGTGGAAGTGCTTTCCGCTTTCTTGTTCCGATGTCCAAGGTCAAAGCCAATCCAGTCACCGCATCCCTTGTTCAGAAGGCAGGAGAACTTCAATTTTGGGATGGCCAGTATCGTCGGCTGGTGATCTATCCTTGTCGGTAAGTCGCGTTGTCAGTTCTATCCCTTGTGGTTCGCACCGCTCACATTTACTTACCTCTCAGAAACAATACCGAGCTAAATTTTGTTTGTTTACACCCAGACACTGAAAGCGATGGGTCAAATGAAGGTAGTTTGATCATCTTTCATCGTCACGATTAATTACTCACAAAACATAAATATTAGGTTGGAACGTTGCCGGTTCGCAAGACAACCTGCTTAGGGTCTTTGACGAATTTTCAACTCCCATGAAATCGCTCCTTGCAATGGCAGACCCCGATTCGATCAAGCTCTGGAGGCTTCTCGATCGCAAGGCTCTTGGCACCTGGATTAATGGCAATAGCTGTCTCATTGGAGACGCAGCCCATCCATTTCTCCCGCGTGAGTGGTCACATAATCCTCGGTTAGCTATTTCTTTCGTCGAACAAGGTACTGACATTTCGCGAAGATCAGGGACAAGGTGGTGCTCAAGCAATTGAAGATGTAAGACCATATGGCCATACCAGGGCATATGACTCCTGTGCTGATTTCGTATAGGGAATCGCGCTTGGCGCTTTGTTTCCCCTGGGCACCCCTCGGGCGGAGATCCCTGAACGTCTGGAGTTATATATGGAATGTCGTTATGACAGAGCAACCATGATCCAGAATTTCTCTCGACAAGCAGCTTTCAAAATTAGCGCGAAGGATGATGTTGGGGGTACATCTACCGATCGTTTGTCTCCCATTCAGCCCCCGGAGTGTCTCTGCGCTTGGATTTTAATGTCATGCTCTAGCTCTGGAATTTATGCGGACCAATTTCGGGCACGATGCATGCGACTTCGCCGCAAATGTGCTGCGTAAACATATGGGTATGGAATAATTGTGGAAAAAATAAACGTGACAAACCAATGCTCACCCTTTCATAGTCAGTCGGATCCCAAAGGATGACACATTGTCTACTGCCTTCGGCCTCGCAGGACCATTCGTCCTAGGATTCCTTGGGCCCGACGGCATTCTCGGATCTCCCTCTCAGCGATCGCTCGAAATCGAATTCCGCGCCCGTCGGAACTACCTCGAAACATTTCTGCCAACTGTGAAATCACGCATCACCTCTCCCGGTGGCTGGGCCAAAGCTTCCTGGATCACCCGGCGGCTCCAGTCAACCGAGTGGAAGGGAGAAAGTGAAGTCACCCTTGTGGGTCTGAACATTCCAAACGCCCTTCTTTCGCACGATGGGGAGGGTTCCGGGAATTTTACTCCCATTGTTTTCTGTGAAAATGCCGAGTTTGTGATTTCTGCGCGCGAGGAGCTCAGCCTGCCCATTTTGCTTGCTGATATCACGGAGAGTATCATGGGCTCTGGTTATCGGATAAGTGTCGGAGCTTCGGGTAAGGTTTTTATGAGTCTTCACGCAACTCTTTATGCCCAATGTTCTGGATGCTGAAAGAGGAAGCATATGGCTTGGAAGTGCCAAGATTTTCATGACGACAATTGAGCCAAACGTGCTTGATGCAGTGTTCCCTGGCTTAGCGAATGTGATCATGCGTCTACAAGGCCTTGATATTAAGAGTCCAGTTATCACCCACTCTGATACGCAGATTAACTGACGCATAAGACTTGACAACACCCGATAAATGGTCAAGTTCGTTATCTATTCAATTCTATTCATCTCTAAGTGGTTCAGGCTGTTTGAGTCCAGTTCAAATTTTTCTTCTAGCATTTTTACGGTTGTATTAGGTCGTATTTTTCTTTCTATTTCTGTCAGATAAGATTATCAATTCGAGCGTGAAGCAACATTGGAAGGTTGCATCTGTCATGACAAATTGGGGGTTCACATCGATTCTTAAATGTGACGAAAGGCGCTTGAAACGGCATTGCCATTGGGCTTGAAGTATTGAACGGAAAATCAATCAATCCAAATACCAAATCAAAGCCCGAAGCCACTTAAGTATCTACTTACGAGGTTAAAAAGGCAACTCGAAAGAAAAAGAATGTGAGGTGATCTAGCATTGCGCTCCAGGCCTCTGGTTACACTGCTCAACCTGCGAAGTCATGCACAGCTAATTCCGCATGGTGCTGTTTGCTGTTTGCGTGTTTTTTATCTCAACCCCACCCACTGGCAGAAAGGCATAGACTTTATTAGTGAGGTGTGCGATCGTCATAGTCGATATAATCGGCCTTCACCACGTTATCAACTTTACATCCATAGGCCTGTCCAATATCCAATGCTATGCCCTGGGCAAAGCGCGCCATTTCTATACTACCCCCATGTCTCACGATTCCCCTCGTGTGCCACATTGCCTGCTGTGGAGATCCGGAGCAGATCAATGCCGCCGTGGTGCACATCTGAGTTTCCACCGCGTTCAATATGGTATCCTCACTCAACCACTGCTCATATATAGCCTCCAGATTCAGCAGATCTTTGCCCTTGGATTAGCAAGCTTGCTATTAGGCTTCCCTGGAAAGAGGAAGACTCACATAGGTCTGGTTGGTATTTGAAATTCTTGTCTCGGTTTGACTGTGCTGCTGCAGGTGTCCAGAGAGTGTCAAAATGGCGCCGACCACGTTCACGTCGCTCCGCGCTTGTCTCCCCATTCTTCAAAGCCTCCGTCCTGAGATGAAACATGGTTAATATTTGGCGTTCCATAAGATCATCAACGAGCACGAACCTGGGACCGTAGTGATCAATCTGCTCCTCTTTCAGAGTCGCGAAAAGAGGCAGGAGAGCCTGCAAAGAACGAGGAACTCCATACAAAATACTTGTTTTCAAAACTGCCTCTTTGAGTCTCCTCTGTACGTGCTTCTCGTCAGGGAGACTCATTCCCTTTGTCACCATTTGGTACAGTTCAGCCACGTCGGGACCAGCGCCTGCAGCCGCCATTGCAACAGCCTATACAGTACATTTCTGTCATTTCATGTCCTTTCAATGGATCTCGGATGATATTGGCTTCTTAGACTTACTGCAATCATGTACCATTGGTCTTTTGCATCAACACTCCCCTCTGAGCGAACCTGGATTTCCTGCAAAAGTTTTAAGGGCGCCATTATCCTCAATCTCGCAGATATCACTGATCCAACAATCCCCGGACTTGCTATTAATTGTGCAACCTTTCGAAATAATAAATGAATTCATCAATTCCGACCCTCGACCCTCCCCCACCGGACCTTCGGCTCAAGTACTCCGGTGTGCACCCCCACTGAATGAATCGAGACTATTTATTGACTTGCTCGAGCGTGATCAATATCCCATAAATCACGCTTGTTACAACAAGTCCGGCTTTCCTACCCCCAGCCTCTTTCATCAAACGCCTTTGAACATCATGAGTGCCCAGCCTCTTCCAACTGTTCGCCGGCTCGTCACCGGTCACAACGGCGAGGGAAAAGCAATTGTCTGGAAGGACGATGAAATCAGTGGATCCCAGGCGGAACACGGACCTTTCCTGACACGCCTGTGGTCGTCATCCGAACTGCCACCTGATGTCAATACCTCTCAGGACCTTGGACTAGTCGATACAGGGCTGGCAAACAATGGCACAATATGCCGAGTCGTCGACTTTCCACCAAAATCTGTTGGCATGGTCCACCGATCAATCACTCTCGACTACATCTACGTTCTTGAAGGAGAAGTCACTTTAACTCTCGACGATGGCTCCCGGACAAAAGTGAAAAAGGGCGAAATAGTGGTACAACAGGGTACAATGCATGGATGGGATAACGAGACTACAGAATGGTCGCGGCTGTTATGTATTCTGATTGCGGCGAAACCTCCAGTCGTGTCAGGTCGGGAACTGCAGGCCGAAGTTCCTTTCCAGGTGTAGAGGTATTCCTCATATTGCACCTCAACTAGAAATTGTTTTTCTTTTTGCCATCTTGTCCACTCGTGTAGCAAGACATCCTTCCTCCATAGATTGAAGCGTTTCTCTCCTTTCAGTAGTAGATGAATAGGAACTTTCAAGTTTGCAAAAGTTAGAGCCAAAATAGTTCATATAGAGAGGATTGTGCAGATTTCTACATTGAGGAAAAAGAGAATTAGCTCCTAAGTTTCCCTTAAAATACAAATGATACCAGGCTTGTTAGATCTCATTCAAGTTGATCGAGGGACCCAACTTGAATCTTTCCTGGTTGCCCAAGTGGGCATTCTGTGCCCACCCAACAGCTCGAATGTTCTGCTCGGGGCAACTGAGATATATCTCTTACCTCCAAGCCCGGAGGTTCCCCAGACTGCCCAGGTGGCGAGTCAATTGATGAGTACAAAAGTAGAAAGCCACTGGCAACACCGTGACTCACCTGGGCATGGATCGTTCTGGTAAATTCGAGATAAATGCAGGAATAGCCACAACGCGTAGACAGTAAACTGGTGAGTTATCGTCTTCCGGCTTCTGCTTCGCGTGCTTCGCGTTTCCGGGTCCCCCACCGGAAGCGATGCGGGGAAATTGTGGGGATACAATCGAAGCCGACGGAGTCCATCCTTTTTGATTCCGATCCAATGTATCGAAATAATGCTATATAGCGGTATTAGAAGAAGCGGAATCTTCACCTCCGTGAAACATACCCTATAGAAAAAGATCGATCGTGAAAGTTCAAAAAACAGAATGTCTCATCAAATTGGCGGTATTGATGTCGTCTTTACGGCGTCGAACCCAAATTACCACAACTACTGGACCGATTTCCGACCTTCCAGTAAGGTCATCCTCCCTAAAGGATGGCAACGGGAACCGGGATTTCGTGCGTTGAGCGAACCGATTATTTGGGAGAAGGATGTTCCCATCGCGATGCGAGACGGAGTCGTTCTCCGGGGAGACATTTTCCGCCCGTTCTCCAAGGACAGCGCTCCATTGCCTGCACTTCTCCCATGGAGCCCATACGGAAAGACCGGAAGTGGTGAGTATTTCTAGTGATTTTGAATTGAATCAAAACTGACATTTTTCCAACTTGAAGGCCATCATCAAACAACCAGCTTTACCTGGCTGGGCGTACCAAAGGCCTCCTTGAGCGGTCTTGAAAAGTTCGAGGCGCCTGATCCAGCCGAGTGGTGCCCACGTGGGTATGCCATCGTAAATGTTGACGCGCGAGGATGCTTTGACTCCGAAGGCGACATTTTCATTTTCGGTACTCAGGAGGGCCGCGATGGACACGATACGATTGAGTGGATCGCAAAACAATCTTGGTGTGATGGAAATGTTGCTCTTGTTGGAAACTCGTGGCTATCAATCACCCAGTGGTCAGTGAATTAAGTCTATGATGGATGCTTGCGCCAACTTATCAATTCATAGGTTGATCGCAGCCGAGAAGCCCCCGCATCTGAAGGCAATCGCCCCATGGGAAGGACTGGGCGATTACTATCGTGAGAGCATCTGCCGCGGTGGAATTCCTAACCCTATGTTCTGGGATCTTCTGATGAGGGAGTTCAACGGAAAGACACAACGCGAAGACGTTGCAGCCATGATTGAGAAGTATCCCCTTATGAATTCATACTGGGAAGATAAACGACCGAGGCTCCAAGATATCAACATTCCCATGTACATCTTGGCGAGCTATTCGACCGGGCTACACACCGAAGGATCTCTACGTGCGTGGAAATATGCTGGGTCGGACCAAAAATGGTGAGATTTCCCCACTGCCGTGAATTCTACGTATTAAAGAATCGACTAACGGTTTCACTATCAGGCTTCGGATCCATCCCACTCAAGAATGGTTTGATATTTATCAACCCCTGGCCAATGATGATCTCCAGCGCTTCCTCGATCATTTCCTACTCGGTCGCAACAACGGATGGGAGCTCACACCCAAGGTTCGCCTCTCCTTATTGAGATACAACAAGGCTCCTATCAGCTTTCGTGCGGAGGACAGCTACCCTCCTTCTCGTGTGGAGTATAAGACCTTCTATCTTGACGCTACTAAAGAGACCAAAAGTGTTGCTGGCTCCTTGCAGATTGAAGCTCCAACCGAAATGGTCAGCGCCTCATACCAGTCTGATTCGTGGGAAGATGACGGTTCTTTTTTTACCCTTACATTCAAGGAGCCTACTGAGTTGATTGGAAGTTCTCTGGTAAGTTCATTGCACTTATGTGGTTCTCGGATAGAACCTTTCACTAATCGTGATATTTTTAAAGCTCAAAGTATTCATTTCATGTGATGACATGGATGATATGGATGTGTATGTCATTCTCCGAAAGCTCAATCGCTCCGGTGAGCCTCTGCTCAATTATAATATCCCGTGGGAGCATCAAAAGCCCGGTACGACTGCGGATATGATTCCAGATGAAAATATCTACAAATATGTCGGGCCAAGTGGACGCCTTCGCGCTTCCAAGCGAGCTTGCACTACCGAAGAACCCGACATGCTCGAGAGTCGGAAGAAGAACCAGGAGCCCACAGAGCTATTCTTCCCACATGAAAAGTCAGAGAAGGTCCCGGCTGGACAAGTAGTTGAGCTCAAGATTCCCATCTGGGCTGGAGGTATTTGCTTCGACGAAGGAGAGTCGCTGAGGTTGGAGATTAAGGGCCATGATCCGATTCTCCCGGAATACCCAGCGTTACGGAAGGGTCCTAAAAATTTGAATAAAGGACGGCATGTGATTTATACGGGAGGGAAGTTTTCATCCTCTTTGACTATTCCATTGACTAGGGTGTAAGGATATGGAACGCGCAAGAAAACAGACAATGTCAAGGGAAGAAGGCTAACAATGTGTCGCGGTGATGACGACCGTAAGACGTGCTATAACTTTTTTCATTTTGTGGTGAACACTGCCCATTGCTTCCAACGTTTAAGTCTATTGTGCAAACATGTAAGCACCAGAAAAAGAATTTAACAGAATAGATACTAGGACATCCATTGGTAAACTTGAGTAATGATTAGATTGTGATAAGGATAAAGCAGAGACAGTCGATATACTGTCTTAAACGATAGAAGATTCGTATGCAGCATCAGGTAAAGAAGAGAAAAAAACGTATTACCCCACCATAACGCGTCCAGCTGCGCAATCTCGGCGAACGCGATGGTCGCCGTGATGACAATTCGCGAGAAATTTCAGGGAATGCTGCTCAAGAGAATTTCGGGCAGAACTAAGAGTTGATTGGTAGTCCCCTCAACGAAAGTCTTTTCCTTTGATAGATGTCAAGAAGAGGAGAACTTGGAGGTCCCAGGTGTGCGGGATGGCCTCGGGTGACCAGGAGGATCGAATGATCGGAAATTTAGCTGCGGCTTCCTTAGCTATTGATTAGTCGACCCCGGGGTCTTGGATGAATCATCCCCTCCCTTCTTAAAGGTCGTGCCTAAAATCAATCCAGCAATCTATGGTGACTCATGCGGGTAGCAAATATGGTCTTGAAGACTACCTTTCCATCAAAACAATCATCACCGGGGACATCGATACATTGACACGGCTGTGATGGATCTAGATTTTATTATATGGCAGAATAGACTGAACCAAAGCCTCAATTGAGGACCGGCAACAAAACAAAGTTCTCTTTACTATCGTCAATTACACTGCTCAGACTATCGACTATAAAATTACTTCCCACCACCACCAAGAACACCCTTCACCCCCTTCACACCACCAGAAAGACCACTCCCAATAGACCCAATCAATCCATCACCTTTCTCAGCACCCATCCCCTCACCCAAAAACTGCCCCCTCTCATCCTTCCCATTCCGCTCAGCCCGATTAATCCCCTCCTTTGAAACAAACTGACCAACCGGACTCAAAAGACCCTTATCCCCAATCTGATTCGCAACCAGATTCGACGTATCATCTTGAGCCTGATCAACCTGATCGATACCCGTGATTTTGGTCTTGGAAAGCGAGTCTATCGATACCGGCCTCGGTTAGCAACTATGGGCCGAAGAGAATTTTCAAGCTTCGCAAAAAAAAACATACCCTTCGTCGCATAGGAAGCCTTATTATCGCCCTTCCCGAACCACCTCAGATATTGGTCTTCTATCCAAGGCATCCAGGACTCGTATTGGGAGTTGTACGCATTTTGAGCCCAGGCTTTGTAGGATTGTTTCTCTTCTTTATCGGCACTCGGCTGATTTATTCCCTTCGAGCTCCCGGTTCCCTGCTCGGATTGGAGATGTTGCTTCACGCTTTCCGGTACGTTCATGGTGATCGGTTCGAATTTGAAGTTGTTCGACCTTCGAGTTCGAGTCAAGTTGATTTTGTGCGGTCACGATCCGATTTCAACAGTATTTTGACACGGCAACTTCAAGTAGGCCCTGAATTTTCCAAAATGTGCCAGTTGTTTGGAAAATACTCGTATTCTTCGAAATAATTGTTCAGCTTCAGCTTTATTTTATTTAGTTATCTACATTTCCCTCCAAGTCTCTTCTTATAAGTTCCATAAACAGGAATTACGCAATGTGGTTCAATTTGAGTTTGTTTATATTAAATCGCATATTATGACGTCAATGGCCATCAAATCGCGAGTCGAGACGGTAGAAATGATCAAGGTGTGAGTGTGGAAACTGTCCAGTGACAAGCGCACGGGCAAGAAGATTCGCGGATTGCATATAATTGGCTAGGACTTGTATCCGTGTGCTGAGTCGGACTTGGCGGTTTATCGATCGCAGCCAACTAGTAGTGATAGTTGGTCCGATGGGGGTTGCGATAACTAGCTAGATGGAGTTTCATCATGTGGCGCAGTACTCCGAATCCACGACTACGACCTAATACTAATTATAACTTAGCTAAGTGAATAAGTCTCATAAGATATCTACAATTCATTCCCTCTATCACTCTATGAAAAAGGAAAAGCAAATCTAAATCCATATCTCACCAAGTCAACCCAAACCCACATTCCATCCTACAACTCTCAAATGCTAGCCCGTCTAGGCGCCATAGTCCTCTGCAACTTCCTCTTCTCCTCCGTCTCCTCATGAATAGGCAACGAACCCTCATTTCTAAGCCGATCCAAAAACTCCTTCCCATACGCATACCCCAACTGATAGATCTCATCGAATTTGCCAAAGTCAAGGGTGCCATAAGGATCGATCGGCGGCCGCATATAAAGACAGCCAGAGGTATTCTTCGCGCGCTCGAGATTCTCGATACTAGAGACATACGCCAGTCGGGCCTGGATCTCGGATAATGTCGGCGGATTCGGACAGCCTGAAAACGGATTCCAGCGATTGAGGATCGACCAGAATCCGCTCAGGGAGTCGCCGTAGCCTTGGGGTGTGTTGTCGTCTATAGACCCGACATCCACGGCGAAAATTACGTCCGCGCCGAGGGATTTCATGTGGGCGACTGTGAGATTGTCGATGTACCCACCGTCTAGCAACATGCTTCCCTCGTCGCAGATTGGAGGGATGAGGCCGGCTAAGGACATGGAGGCCCGGACGTAGCGCCAGACATAGCCTGAGGAATGGTATTCGGGTCTTGAGCGGGAGATATTCGTAGTGTTGCAGTAGAATTCGAGCCAGAAATCTTCTATCTGGCTATCGCCGAATGTCTTGAAGATTCCCCGGTTGAATTCGTGGCCTGTTGTGTATGATACGGTCGGGTATGTGAGATCCAATGCGAATCGCCACATACTGCCCATTCGGCCGGAGAATTTCTTCGCACGGCCGTACATTGGGACGACATCTGCGTCGCGGGCGTAGAGGGCGCCGATAAATGAACCGATTGACGTGCCTCCGATGATGTCGACCGGGATTCCGGCTTCTTCGAGGGCTTTGATGACGCCGACTTGGGATATTCCGCGGGCTCCACCGCCGCCGAGGACTAGGCCGACAGATTTGCCGCAGAGACGACGAGCGAGGCGGTGGAAGTCACCTTTGAATGGGGTTTGGGGCGAGTAATGCGGTGTTTGGTTGATGCGGCGTGACGTGTACTTTTGGATCTCTGCCTGCAGGATCTGAACGCGCTGCTTGAGGACGGTGCCGAATTTCTTGGTTTGGGGGTGAGAGGGCTCGCTGGAGAGTCGGAAGGCCATTTGAATATGATGGTGCCCGCCATTAATCCAGACTCGATTCTTGAGCCAGCGTCGGGTTAGTCCAGGAGGGCAGTAGCGCTCTGCGTGGAGGAGGACCAGCTCCTTCCGGGCAGTGGTCTTCATGCCGAGCAAAAATCGCTCATATTCGCCAATTCTGGGCGAAGACTCGGCGAGACCAACCAAGAGGATGGAATCTGCTTGGGAAATACAAGTCTGTGTCCATGGGGAATTGACATTGGTATCAGCGATGTATAGCACCAGTCCATACTTCTCCTCCAAGTCAGCTAGGTATTGCGATAACTTAAGTTTTCCCATCTTGCTGAAGGCGTGCCGACCGAGATGGTTCAGAATAGCAGCTTGATTCAACGAGGTGACGCCTCGGGTCACACCAATCTGTTGCAGTGCCTGAAGCAGACGTTGTCCAAACTCGACAACTGGAGTACCCACGGTAACTGGGACAATCGCGACCGTGCGGAGGTTCATGGTGGAGGTAGCTGTCTGCACACCGCTGGCTTGGCCTTGTTCAAGACCCTTCTCAGACAAGGGGTGCTCGACCAAGTCACGCATGCGCTGGGCAATGAGTTTTGAAACTTGGATGGTGATTCCGGGATGCTCTTGCGCCAGACTGTTGAACAGAGAACGGGGGAATTTGGCCAGCTCCGTCTCTCGGATTGCATGAAGAGTGGCAGGACGAGTAGATTCAGTCATGACTTCCAGCTCGCCAACACTTTCACCCTGGCCATACTCCCCGATGACAGTCATCTTTCCATTCTGGCCCTCGAGGACGGATCGAAGTCGGCCATTTAGGACAAGGTAAATGGCATCACTCTCGTCACCTTGGTGATAAATGACTTGTCCAGCGCCAACTTGCACCCACTCAAGTGCGAAGTCGATATGAAGAAGCAGACGGGGCAGTAGGCTGGTAATCCGCTTAGCCAGGGTCAACAGAGCAATGGGATAGCGGTCTGCAATCCGCTCAAGAGACGCCCGCGGAAGAAATCCAACATAGACGTCAGTTTTGGCAACGACATCGGTATAGGAGCGGTAGGAGGCGAGAGCACCGACATAGCCATGCATACCGCCTGGCTTGATCAAGTATAGGGATTTGCGGGATTGGCCCTTGCGACGCGATTCACTAGTCCCCGTTGCACCAGAGGTGCGTGAAGAACCAGTAGTAGTACGCCTCAGCTTCGGGAATAGTTCTTCTTGGGCCGACGAGACTGAAGGACGAGAAGAACCGACCAGATCATCGCCTCGTTCATTCACTGGAATGCCCACATCGAGGAAGCCGTCAATCACGTAGTATAATCCCGGGGGCCGCTCACCCTGCTCAACCAAGACAGAACCCTGGGGGAAGTATACCACTTCAATATCATGGCGTAGATCTTCACGCAGGTTAACAACAGGTGATGTCCCGCCTGCACTCGTCACCGACATTGACATCATAGACTCGGTCTCGCCATCTCCGGATCCCTCATAAGGATCAATAAACCCGAAGGCGTTGGAGAAGACGGCCTTCTGTCGGCGAGAGTCATAAGACAGTAGCTTGGGAGAAGCGTCCCCCGAGACATGGCTACCTTTCCGTAAGGAATCACTTGTAGTTTCCGTCAACCCAATACCCTTCATCATGCAGTCGAGAATCGATTCACGGAAAATGGTATCCTCGTCAACAGACTCCTTCCGCTGGAACGGGGAAGGTCTGACATCAATCCCGGCGGGTCGGAATGGCGCACGTTCCCGCTCTGCCACAGGAGATCCGAAGCGCGGGCCCATGAGCTCATGGCGAGGACCAAATCGAGAGAGTTGAATGGTTGATAGTAAGTCGCCAGGACTGACGCCCGTACTATCTCCGTTATACATTGTTGGCAGGCGGCTCGGCATGACAGGTCGTTGATCACTGGTCATACGCGCTTGTAGGACAGCATCCTTCCTAAGCGAGCTGCTTGAGCGCCGTCTACGTCCAGCGAAAGGATTATGGAGAGCAATGCCTTTTACCACTTCCTCTGGGCCAAGGCGGTCCCTTTCGCGCATGAACTTGTCTTTCAGTCGGTCGAGAGCGCCACCTCGTAGATCATTCGGGAGATCCCAGGTCGTGTACTTTGATATTTGGCGTTCGACGCCGAGCACTTCGGTAGTCAGCCCCAGATACGAGTGGGCGGTAGCAAATGTGACTCGCTGGAGGCGCGTAAGAATGACTTGTACAATATGTGCAGTGGCGCGTGGGTAGACGCGAGTCAGACGGCGGAAGGCGCTAGCTGGTATGATAGCGATGGTGGTGTCTACGGTAGCTCTGGCGACGATATCTGGGTGAACTGATTTGCGGCGTCGCTTTGGGGGTGGTTGCGGTGTGCGGTTGGAGGTATCATGTCTATCATCCAAATTCAATGGCGGCACCGGGGAGAAAGGCTCTGGGTGGCCATCCATGATGGTCGTGTCGCTTTGGTCATCTCTTACGGTGGATTGTGGGCTATCCATCATTCCGACGCGCGGACTGACCGGCATGGAATCGGGGGCGCGATTATTTCCATGGCCACTGACGCTTGACACGCTGGAGCTGGAGCTGCGGGACTTATGCAGCTGGATATCCTCCGTGAAGAGTTGCAAGATCGAGAAGAGGGAGGACATGGAGGCGCCATTCTTCACTTCTGTGAGCAGTTGGTAGCCTTGTCGGCCTTCCGTGTTGTTCTCCTCATCGTCGGAGCTGTCGTCGTTCAAATGCAAGGTTTCCTCAGAGCTGTGTTTGCTGTCGCGGGTGGACTTGACGAAGATTTGCACGAGGCCGTCCACCACCAAACAAAAGCCCTTTTCCTCCTCCAACATGAGTGTTTCGCCAGCGATCAACTTCCTTGTCTGCATTGTCCGAGTCAATTCGTGAAAGACGGGTCGTTCGAGGTAACCGAACACCTTGATGGCGCTGAGGAATTCATCGAGGTAGTTGGCGAGACCGGGTTTGGAGTCGCCTTCTTGAATATCGGGGAAAAGGTCGATCTGGGCTTCTTTGCGTTGCGGTTCGGGGGGTAAACGGCTGTACATATTAAGGAAGCGGTATCGGATAAACCAGCTCACGGTGGAGACGATGGCCAGGAAGATCAGCATGAGGGTGGTGAAATTCATGGTGAAGGTCAGGCTCATGGAGAAGAGGGTGAAGAGCCATGTGGGCAGGGTGAGGGTGGTGAAGGTGATCAACCAGTACAGGCCGCGGGGGACGACCTGAAAGGTGAATGTGAAGAACCAACCGAGCCACCCGGCCATTGTGGAAGGCGATGGAGGGGGGGAAAGGGGTGGTGGGGGTTGAAGAGACCGAAGTGGTGGTGGTGGTGGTGGTGCTGGCGGAAGTTAGGCTGAAGGCCAGCGACGGGGCTAGCCCGGTCAAGGACAGCGTCATGGCGGTTCCCTGTTAGTTTCAGTGCCCCAGTTCCAAGTCCTGTTCCAGTTCCAGGGTGGGCCCCGCTCCTAGTCCAGGGCCGAAGTCAAAGTTAACGGTGTCATCGGAAACGTGCGGGCCCTGACAGCGATGGGTGGAGGAACGATGAGGAGAAGAGGAGTTGTCGTCGCAGGTCAGTGCAGATGCAGCGTAGATCGGTCAGCTGACATAGTATACTAGAGTAGTAGTATACGGGTATATTATAGTATTCATGGATTAACCAATCCATGTTTCTAGAGTTGTAATTATTAATGTTAGTAAATATTTAAATAACTGCCAACCTTAGAACTACCGAGGTCCAATCTGCAAGGCTGTTACCATTACTAGTAGTACCTAATTACAATTCCTGCACAACCGTTGGTTACTCTCCGGGGGGGGCCCGACCCGCATGGAGCTAAGACCTACTATGTACTTACTAGGAGGTATATTGATAGCCCTGTACTGCTTTTAGAGCAGGAGAAAATTAGAATAACTCAAGCCTCCTGCTGAACCTTGTAAAGCTTCAAATTCCAGCTGGAAGCCCTGGATCCCGTGGTAGAAGTTTGGAAGAACTTGAAGTTTATAATCAATAATATATACGTCTTAAGGCCGCTGTTTGTGGTCTGCGACTCCACCTTAAACTTCAATTGAAGCCAATTGGGCAGTTACCACTGACCCAATCACTTTATTTTTCGTCTGAACGGAGTGTGGATTCACCCTCTAAAAATAAAAAAACCAATTATCTCCAATTGAAACACCTGAAAGAAGAGGGACTATACTCATTATAGACTGCGACAGAACCGCGGTTAGCGCGGAGATCTGGAACCGCAACCGAACAAGTGGCTGTAGTCTGTATATCATTCTAATAATTTACTCGTGGTGAGTATAAATCTGTATCGTGATTCGATGTAATAAGTGCAGGCTACTCTATGCTTATTAGCTACTTTTTACTCAATTGGTACGGCGTTAAGATAATTTCCCCGAGGCCCGCATCGACAATCGAGACTCACAGGCGAATTATTCCTATCTGACATTAGTTTGAACTTCCACTCAAGATCCAAAAAGGGGTTGGAAGTTCTTATTCGGTAATAAAATAATAATTAAATGACTTGATGATTCTAGGGGGATCTCCGCGTCATCATGGCTAGACTGACAGCGACGCGGGGTAGGGTGGGCCCGGCATTATCCCAACGCCGTTCCCACTGTTGTCGCACCACGGCAGCCAGTAAGAACAAAAGTAAGATCTGAGGATCATCAAGGCCCCCCCAGAACGCTACATTGACAGATATCAGACCAAAGACTCATTTCGCACGTCGGTCATGACTATCTGGAGCCGAAATCCCGTCTGACGGCCAGAAACTGGAACGGAGCATTGGGTAATCATGGATTCAATTCAGAGACATATGACAAAGTGATGAAGTCTAGCCATCAAGTTGAGGAATAAGAGAGCCGAGAATATTTAAAGACGAGCTAAGTCCTGTGTCTGAGTTTGATGCAATATTAAAAACTCACATTCCAAGAGACTTTCTATCCACCGAACAACAACAAATATGCTCATCTTGATTGCTGGAATTACAGGCATGGTAGGCCAGCCTTGTGCTGAGGCTACTATCAGCCAAGGCCACCAGGTCAGAGGTATAGGTCACGATCCCGAAAAGCTGCCAGTGCACATTCGTCAAAACCTGGAAGACTTTGTTCTTTCGAAAGGATTATACGACATCCCTGCTTTAGACAGAGCTGTCGCGGGCGTGGATGCAGTAATCTGCGCGTACGGCTTCCTCCCGGAAGTTTTAGTCGAGGGCCAACTCATGTTGCTCAGAGCTGCCGAGCGAGCTGGAGTGAAGGTATGTACATTCTAACGGAAATGCCCATATTGGCTCTAATGGGGGAATCTAAAAATATTTAGATCTTTCACGCCACTTCCTGGAACTATGACTGGACGTTGGGATATCTTGGCCAGCACGAGGCCTATGATCCATAGCTCGCTTTCCATACCCAAGTCCGCATCAGCTCACGCATTAAGCCTTTGTACATGCTCACTGGCATAATCGCCGAATGGCTTTTCTTGAACCGGCGGGATAAGATTTGGGACCGGGAGACCCAAACGCTCCCCTGTTTCGGTGATGGTAAAAAAGAGTGGATTTGCACTACGGCAAGTGACATCGCGGCATACACGCTCGAGGCGATCTGTGCCCCTGGTGCAGATGAAGGCGGGTTTATTCGGGTCGAGAGTTTCAGATTCACGCCGACTCAGTTTGTGGAGGCTTATGAGCGTGCGCGATCGGGAAAGGTCTCTGCTCATTTGAAAAATCAGGGCTCTGTTGATGATGTCGTTGAAATGTTGAAGAGAGCTCGCGAGACCATTCATCCCGTGATCCTAGAGGAGTATATTGGTTAAGCATATACTGAGCACATGCTGAAAGGAACCTGGGACTACGAGCCTGTGGACTGCAGCCGTTTTCCAAATGTGAAGCAGGGTACTCTTGAAGAGTACTTTAAGCAGCATACCGAACTCTGATGCTCTTATCTTACTACTATTTTGTTTTATGGGATAAAATCACCAATAACAAGGGTGGGTCTTGATTGGTATCTGCTCGAGATTAGCATATGAGCTTGAGCTGGATAAGATTGACGAGGATACTGACTCGGATGTTACCGCTCCTCAGATGGACTTTCCGGCCCATAAGAATTGGACTAGACAAGAAGAGCGGCGTCGATTATGGTGGTCTATTTGGGAACTCGACAGCTTTGCTGCTGCTGTCGCATGTCGTCGACCAACTGTCGATAAACGGAACATGCAGGTCATGATTCCCGTTTCCGATGAAAATTGGTTCTCCGATACTCCGGTAGAGTCCGATATCCTTGACCCGTCTTCATCCAAGTCATGGCGGACTCTGGAAAAACGTGAAAACCAAGATCCTCGCGCATGGTACCTTGTCGCCAATTTTATCCTACTATCCGCACATGATTTGGCACAATCAAAGAATTCCTCTCAGGAGGAAGCTAGGGCACTTGAAACGGCCGTCGCGTGTTTCTTTCTCATCTTTCCGTCTGATTTCAATATTTCCTCTGCATCTCTTTCGTTCACGAAGGAGAGATACCAACGAAGCAACTGGATAATCTCGATCAACATCATGCTCCAAGGGTATGAGAAAAATCGAAATCCCGTTCTACTTCATCGACTAACAGTTTCTAACCATGCATCAGCATATTCGTATTTCTTCGCTTGGTTAATGAAAACTCTGCAGCGAGTTCGTTTCAGAATTCCAAGAATCACTTCCTGGCTCCTCTGGCTTCAGGTACGCATTTCAAAATATGCACAGATAATTATCATGTGCATGCCAAACAGATTTTTACCACTATTCGACTTTGAAATCTTGCATATATTGCACTTCAAACCCCTTTAATTGTCTGTTTGATTATAGGTCCTGCTGCTGTGAATTTACGCACGGCTATTGAATTCAAGAGGAATCCAAAAGGGAATCGCCAGTTGACGGGCTTGGAGCTTGAACTTATCTCTTTGGTCTTGCAGAATGTTGCAAGATATTGGAAAGTTGGCTCGATTCTAACTGGTACGGAGCTATTGTATCAAGAAATATGCCGGCATCTATTACTGACGATTCACTAGATATTGTTCAGAATGTTGGTTCATGAGACACAGGAATCGCTTATTCAGAGTACGACGTCAACTCTCGACTTATTAAAAAGAGGCGGGGCTTGAGAGGTTGTGATACACTGACAACCACAAGCTGGAACTGTTTCTAAGACCCAGCCTCGGGATCATCACCATACACTGACATTCTTGAAAGGAAATCTGGCAAGATGGAGCTGCGTGATCGACACCTCAACCCGGCGTATACAGACTCATCAACGTTTCGGATTGAGAGTAGAAACCTTTAAACCGATAAATCAGACAGCCGAGTCATGTGGAATCTCACGGAAAGCTGTTGCAAATAAGCCAGTGATTAAATGTGTCCCATGTTTTATTCATTTCCCCTTGTTATTTGTTTGCGCCCATTAATTTCACACATGAATTCCATCCCTTCTAAGTAGACAAATCCTTTCAAAAATGAGCCTCGATTAACTTCCTCCGGAGGTTTGGAGGTTTCCCAAATCGTGGAGACTTTCGTGAAGGCGGGAGACGACATCAATACCAAACCCGCCAAAAAAAGCCCAGCCATTCGTAGTAACCATCAACCACCTGCCGAACCTGCCGAACCAGGAAGCGGCAAACCAGCACCATATCCACCATTCGCGGAGCGTCTTTGTTTCTCTCTCAAAGCAAGCGCAGCCATCAGAATCATCAGCACGAAACTCTCTCCAAGATCGACATAAAGAAGCAATGCACCATTTGGCTTCAGTCTAGTACCACCAGGAAAGAAACATGCTATGACGTTGTTCTCTTCATCGACCAGCTTAAGGCTTTGAAAAGGCCCAAAACTATCAATCATCTCGGAGCTTTTCCACGTGAAAGTCCGCTTCTGATGACTGATTTCCGTCTCAAAGACATGACGCGTTGTTATCAATCCCTTTTTGCTCAATCTAGCCGAGGTAGATGTTTTATCGAGACTGTTGCTTTCTAGTGTAATTTGGATATCAGATGAAAAACGGACCGATTTTGCCGAGCCCACGATTGGACCGTTAGCGCCGTTGCCGGCGAAGAAGGTGAGCTGAGGTTTATCTGGCGTGGGACTTTCGTTTTTGACGTGGTATAGCGTGGTACTGTCCAACACTACCTGGTATTCAGCGTTCCAGGAGCCGCCGGTGACAGTATACTCGGTATGCTCTGTTTGACTTTGTATCTTGTTTTCGAACTCCATTGTGATCCTCTCGCCCCGATTGAAAATCGATTTTCTACCACGTAGTGTACGCTTAATAGCGTGGAATCAGTGTATTCAGCGCTATGAAAGAGAGAGAGAGAGGTGTGAAAGAAAGTCAGAAACCAAGCTATGGATGGCCGCCTGACTTCTATACGAGATTACGTCATCGGCACTAAACCAAATCCAATCGGGCAAAGCAAACGCTCAGAATTAAAAGTCACCATGGGCGGCATGCGGAGATGTTTTAGGCGTAGAGCATTCGAATGCCGCCTACGGTGAATTTTATTACGGAGCGGACGAAGGGCTGATTGTTCATTTGGGTAGCGGGGGGAGAAGCGGAGGAATTGATTGATTGCCGGGGGCAGGACCCCAACCAATATATATATCTCAGATGGGCATATACTTTTTGGTCAAAAGCCTTGCTGAGTGAATGAACAGGTTCCGTACCTGTTGGGTGCCATCGAGTGGATTCAGAAGACACGCGAGGACTAACAATCAGTGAAAAGAAGACAATATGGGGCGCACGAGCATATGTCGATAGTAAAAAGGTAAATGAATTCCATTAACCGTTTCACGGAAGATTTCTTACTAGTAAATTTACCGAACCTTTTGATCTTGTCGATTTTGAGGCTGTGTATTTACTACTACCAGCCACGGACCTTGTATATGCTAATCAACTACACACAAGAGATACGTTTGAATGTGGATGTTAAATTCTAGAGGTCCATGTGAACAGACAACCGTTCGGAACGCCACGACCATTTTGCAATTGAAGCTTGACTGCGTATCCCAAATTACCAGCCCGAGGTCATTCAGCTGTGCTGCATCAACTTGATTCTGCTGTGCCAAACGTGCCTAGGAACCCTGAAGAGGACAATAGTTTAGTTAGTCATCAGTAGAGGTAACCCCAAGGAGGGACTCTTCACCATCCGATGAAATGTGCCCATATTTTTGAAGCAATTCTGTGATTTCCACTTTCTCAGAAGTAAAGGCCTTGTCCTCACTACTGAAGTAAGTAGGGGTCGGTCCGAGAACTAAATCCATGGCTGTATGGCCATCGGCATTTTTGATATGCGGATCGGCTCCATGCTCGAGAAGAAGCTTAACATTCTTCACCAATCGACATTTTGCTGCGAGGTGTAGGGGAGTGGCCCCTATCTTGAAATTTTGACTCAGCGATAGGTCGGTTGACTTAGACAAGTCAGATCGATGATCATCACGATTGAAGCCAGAGAGTAAATCATTGTCGGGCATGAGGGCGCTGTCATCATCTTCACTGCCTGCTTCTGAACCTTCATCCTCACTACACCCGCCGGTGCCTCTTCCACCATCGCAATCAGAGCCGTTCCGTGATACCGTGCGCTTTGTGCTTGAACTTCTTCGCCCATCGATGCTCGATTGGTCTATGGTTGGGTCATCATCTTTCACTAGAATATTGCTCGGTGATTTCCGAAGCTGGAAGTTGACATTAGCAGTTTCCGAGCCAAGGAGTACCGCTAAAATCGACGGGTCATCTTCCATGGCTGCACAGTGGAGGACTGTCGTCGCTACTGGGCCATCTTCATCCTTCATCTCGAAACAAACATTTGCCCCGGAGCGAAGCAGCAGGGGGAGAATCCCTGTCTCTTTTAGTCCATGCTCGGCACTGCACATCTTGAATGCCGTGAATAGCGGCGTTAGGGAACTTTCATGGGGGGGGGAAGTTTATCTCAGCTCCACGTTTGATGAGATATTTGACCATTTCGAGATCCTCGCCAAATATAGCCATGACCAGAGGGGAACCTGCAAACAGCCTGCATTCAACTTCGCTCCCTGAGTCGGCGAGCTCGACATACCAGGGCTCCTCCCATCCGTGCGCATTGATGTCTGCGTTGGCATCTAAAAGAAGGTCCACGGCTCTTTTAGATTTCGGCACAGACCGCGCAAGGGGCGTTGCTCCATGGCCATCAGGCTCGTTTGGGTCCTCCCCACTTTCGAGAAGAGAAGCAAGCACATTCGAAAAGTTAAATTCAGCGGCAATATTAAGGCTTGTCATTGTCCAAGGAAGACGTTTTTCGCCCAATCGTAGGTAAATCGTGTACCATGTCCTGAATGCCGGTTGATCCACGCTGCAAAGGGACATCATAGACGGCACCCATCTTGAATCTTTATCAAGTTCGGCTTTCTCGGCGTGTTCCGTCCAATTCATCGCTGCATATTCTAGGAATGGGTTATTCCTGACATATTCAGTAACGACCTTTTGAGGTTCACTATCGTCTTCGTCGATTTTGAGTGGGGTTTCGGAAAAATAAGTGAAAGAAAGCAGAGTAATGCAGATTTTTGCGAGTAATATTTCCGAATCTAGCGGACTGAAACTGTGTTTCCAAGTCTCACTGTTTTGAGTCGCATCGCCGTCGTTAATCAAAAATTCCTTGGCTGTTTGGTGGATGAGAAATACAGAGCCGTCGTCAATGGTCACCATAAGCCCGCAAGCATTTTTGATTCTCATTTCGAAGACATCTGACCGTTCGATCCCAATTTCGTCATATGAGCGATATTCAAAGTCACTTGCAAGAGCGGTGGTTATTTTCATGTCATCGACTGTTAAAGGCTCGTGGGCTGCCAGGATGATATGCAAGAGCTGTCTTGCAAGGTCTGGGTGGCGGCATCTCTTTAGGATTCCGTCGTAAGCATCAATCAGACTTCGCGGCAAGCCCGAGATGATCTTTCGCAGTTCTCGCTTGTTGGCCGGTCGCTGACTGAGGCGAATCTCCTCCATAATCAGGCTCAGCCACAGATACGTTCTGTTGTCGACTGTGTGCAACTCCTCAAGAAGGTACTTTGTCGCCTCTTCGTCAAAACCCCTTTCGCCAGCCAGCTTTGGAATATCGACGTCAATGACCAGATCGATTTCATCTTTGATCTTCTCGGATTCATGATCCCCTGACAAGTGGATTGTAGGAGTCTCTTTCATGAGATCATGGAACTGCGAATGGATATCCGAATAAGGACGGCTAGTTAGGAGAAACTTCAACTTAGGGTGATTGCCATTGCTTGTAGGATTCTTGGCTTTGTGGTAAAGATTGGTGATAGCTTCAATCAGAGAGAATCGATCATCGGGACTGCATTCGTCGAGAGCATCCAGTACGCACACGATTTGTCCGACGGAGGGATCCGTAGCTGCTTGGCAGAGGATACCAAACATGTCGTCAAACAAGTGGAGTAGTTCCTTTCCATTGAGATCATAAGGCATGAGAGCATGTTTCACCAAAGATGGGAACGCGGAGAAAAGTTGGTGCAAGATCGCAGATAAGGCGCTGAGTGCACTTCTTTGGTACGGAGAGATATCTTTGAAGAAGAAATAACAGGCCGCAGACTGGTTCTGGTGACTCAAGGTGCTTAGGCCCTCGTCGATTATCGTCTTTGCTAAAACAGATTTGCCCGAACCGGGCTTAGCAGACAACCAAAGAAGATCGGGTCCTTCATTCACTCGCCAATCGAGAAACTTATCATTCTCCAGGAACCATTTCCCCGTTTCCAGTACTCTTTTGGGCGTTCTGTTCTTCTGATTCTCGTACGGGTTCGATTGTCGGAACAGTTGTATACACTTGCGCTCCTCGTCGGTCTGACGCCAAGCAGATTGCATCCTAGTCTGCTGCTCAATGCCACGCATCATTTTCTTCAACTCTTGCTGGACCTCCTGCAGACCGCGTTGCATGCTGTGCTCACTGACTTGCAGAGCTCTCTCAATCCGCTCCCGACTCAAATCCTGAGCGATCTCGGTGCACCTTACCTCAAGACTCCTGATCCGACTGGTCAGATTCGTCCAGTCATCGGCTTTGAAAACATCTCGTCCGTAGCGTTTTGCCCAATTATCTGAATACTGCCTCAATAGTCGGGTCTGGAATTCGAGGATTGTCTTATACAGCTCGACAGCTGTATCTTCAAAGCTTTTGACCACCTCCAGGCTATCTGATTGATAGCTACTCCTAGTCAACCCAGAGTTTCCTGGTCTGATGAGTCTCTCCATGACCCTCAGCCTGCGCACAGCAAAGGGGACAGCCTCAAGGCCATTATAGGCAGCAGACTTCTGCTCTGAAGGATTCAAAAGAAGCTAAGTATACAGTATTAGATGTTATCACCACTGATTTATCATTCTTTGGAATATACCGGCAAGAAAATGCACACTCCAGCCCAGGCCAATGCGGCATGAGGCTCTGCACTGACAGCGGACGATACAAAGTCCTTGGCTGCAACCACAATCTTGACAGCTTTGTCAAACTGACCGCTGACATCCACAGAGTGGCTACCAATCTTGAGTTGCCATTGCGCTAGATCGATTTCTTCAACCTTGCTCTTCACTATTTGCCGTAGTTGCTCCTCGCGTTGATATGAACCAACGGGCGCTAAATCACCACCGCGTCAGCCATCAGAGTCCACGGTAGGATGATTTTGGACTTACGTAGATGATTCTGGGTTGGTTCGCCATTTCTTTCCTCTTGAGTCAACAAGATCTCTTCGTATCTATCCTTCAATTTCGGGCGTTCCCTGCTGAAAATAGTGTAGGCTTCATCCCACAAGTCCCCAGGCGTGCTGTACTCGGTAGTAAGACTCGCATCAGAGCTCTGGTCACCCGGTTGTAGAGCATGACTGCTGAGCACTGTTGTTATGCTATCATTTTTGTCTGTGCCCGCTGTGGATGGCGACGGCGATGGCGAGGTTGAAATTCCTTTTTTATCTGAGAGAAGCAGGCCCTTGAAGCGTGTTTTTAAGCCCATCGGAGAGCAATGTCGGCCGTAGTTGGGCCTGTTCAAGTTCCCCAATCCTCAACAATGTATTCGTACAAGCTTGAGGGGCATTTGGCGGGGTCCCTGGGCGTCAGCCTGTTCTTCCTTCCGACATCGCTAGTTTAGTGGTCTTGGCGCAATACTTCATTGGCCCTTTGGCCGCCATAGTTATATCAGAGACCTTGCAGGAATGAATAGCAAACATAAACTCACGATCATTCAAAATATCTAAACGCCTGGCGGAATTTTATTTATAAAGCCCTTTACCACACGGAATATTCCACTATGCCACTACACTAGATATTTGATAACATTGTTGTCAGAGGATCGAGGATGGAAACCAGGAATGGTACATGCATGCGGTATCTAGGAGAGAGAGAGAGAGGCTCGCAAGGCAAGATGTCACTGCCTGATGTAATGCCTGAGGCTTACGCCTCCACAATTGTCATGTCCACTATTTGAAATCTGCCAGGCTCCTAGTAGCTAGCATTCGCATCCCCAGGTGGATCCACCACTATCATGGTTTTGAACTTCTCTCACAAAATCAAACACTCTTCTTCAAAAATAGAGTTTGGACATTGCAAAAGCCCTTCAAACCATTAAGACCCCACTCAGTCCCAACACCGCTTTCCTTATGACCACCAAAAGGAGCAGTGGGACTCAGACTGAAATGATCATTAGTCCACACAGTACCAGCTTGGATTTGACGTGCAACTCGCGCAGCACGCTCCAAATCAGCTGTCCAAATTGAAGCGCCGAGTCCCATCGAGGTGTCATTAGCCCGTTCGATTACTTCAGCCTCTTCATCCCACGACATAAGCGGTACAATCGGACCTGTAGTAAGTAAGCACAGGATCGTATTTAAATAACTCGTTGACATTTTTACTCACCAAACGGCTCCTCGACGACGATCCGTGAATTATCAGGCGGCCGGTCGATGATGGTCGGAGTCACCATGTACCCCGTTGAGGGCATAATCCGACCACCTGTGGCAACCTTCCAGCCCTGCTTCTCGATGTCATCGAAGAATGTTTTGACGCGCGAGTATTGCATGTCGTTCTGGAGAGGGCCGTGGCTGACTCCGGCTTTGGACCCGTCGCCAACAGTGTAGCCATTTACCTGGCGAACCAAGGCATCGCGGAACTCATCGAAGATAGAGCTGTGGACGTAGATCCGCTTCAGATTGAGGCATATTTGACCAGAGTTCAGAAATGCGAAGAATGCGACCTGACATATTAGCTTCTCCCGCTAATTTTCTTGATAATGGGAAAATTTCGCATGCCTACCTTTTCAGCCACCTTTTCGATGTCAACGTCTGGGAATACGATGGCAGGGTCGTTACCACCTCTAATCATTCTGTCAGTCAAATCATCTTGCATAATCCCTGAATTAACATACAGCTCAAGGGTCACGCGTTTCAATGTGCGACTAGCACTCTGCAGTACCCTTTTTCCAGTAGCCGTCGAGCCAGTAAAGCTGATCTTATCAATGGCAGGGTGGCTTGTAATCCAGGGTCCCAAATTGTCATCACCGCTCAAAGACTGCACAACACCCGGGGGGGAAGAATTTCTGGGCCAACTCAACCAGTTTCAAGCCGCCGTAAGGGGTAAAGGGCCTGCGGTGTTCCTGTTAGGTGATTCAATCTCAGAGTCAGAATTATAGAGGGAAAAATACGAGGGCTTCACGATAATGACGTTGCCGGTCAACAGAGCGGGTGCAATCTTCCCAGTGGCGAGCATCAAGGGAAAGTTCCAAGGGATAATAGCCCCGACAACACCGAGAGGGACATATCTGGTGACCACAGTCCTGGTCTCATCATCCTCAATCACGTCCTCGAGATTCGGAAGGCTAGCCATGCCTCTCATCCATATGATAGCATTATCAGTCTCGAGGGTTGCCTGGAAGATCTGATTGAAATTGAATTAGCAATGTGGAGAATATTCCGCGTGAGATATGAAAGACATACCGGTTTTCCTTGCTCTGTAATCAGAAGATCGCGGAACTCATCCCGGTATGCTTCGATAGCATCGGCATAGGCTAATACTGCCTTTTTCCGATCCTCAAATGGCGTCGCAGACCAGATCTTAAAAGCAGCTTTTGCGGCATCAGCGGCCTTGTCAAGATCCTCCGGTGTTGCAACTGGAACATTTGGTAGAGCCTCCAACGTAGCCGGGTTCAACCCATGGCGAGTCGCCTCTGTTGGCGAGCTTTGACCATTAATAATTTGAACATAATTTGATCGTATATCAAAGGTGGCTGTCATTTTGAAGCGTTCTAAAGTTGCAGGATGATGAAGACAAACAAACACGATTATTTTCCCAGGTTGAACCCCGCAACCCCTCTTTTGATTCAGTTGAGATCACAAGTACATGCATGGTCAGCATGACTATAATCGGCTATACCGTTTCGCGTCAGTTTGCCACAACTCCTGTTCCCCTCCTAATTCAATCGAACCGCGGCCCCATATTTGAGGGATTCTCTGTACTACACCTAAATGCGTCATTTTGAAGAGAGTGAGTATTTCATGTGATGTAGAATCAAGGGAAATAGTGTAAAATCGTCACGGAGCGGACGACCTCGGAAGGGGCTGTTTGCGAATCTGCGTGGTAGGCTGGAGAAGTGGAGAGGGAGAATAGTTGCCAGTAGATCTCGATGGGGTTATTCTTCAGGTCTAGATCGCTCCAAAAAGAAACGTAGTTTGATCAGAGTAGCCGTTGGCTTAACAATAGGAAGTAACTACAGTTAGATAGTAACTAGCATGCAGAGATTACACAACTGGAGAGTGTTTCTCCATGACTATAGTCCGAATAGATAGCCGCAGAATGTAAGAAACGAATATAGACAAATAATTTCTCTACTGATATCCGGACAAGAGAGAGCTAACACATGTAAGATTTGAACAGCTCTACGATACTACATAGAGAGCAGATAATAATCCAGTATAATCTAAGCGTATTGTGAACCAGCTCGACCAAAACATAATAGCCGACATCTCGCAGCATATGGCTAATATTGTCCGCTCAGCTCCTCGATTCCCTCGTCTATTATCCGCTTCGGCGCCCAAACAATCTATTCAAAATCTTCAGTAGACGCAGCCTCCGGACCATAATCATACACCATGGTGTTCTTGAAAGGAAGCCTGGCAGGATCGAGTGATGTGGTTGGTACTTCGCCCCGAAATATACGAATCATAAACGTTTTGATCGAAGTAAGAACGGAATAGCATCCGGGGAGGTAGTCGTCACATGGGATGCAGATATAGCCACGCGTGGGGGTGCCTCAGGCCCCGTGCGATCTCTTGCCAATCGAACATTTTCCTTCCTCACGAATTCCAAAACTTTACCCAAACTCCTCCACCAAGTCAATATATGACTTCTCTCTTCAAAGAGGATCGGTGCCCGGACCGACTTCTCCACTTGACACTCCAACGTATCGGCGGAAGACGCCTCGTAGAAACTGTCCCCAACGCAGATAAGATGAGAGTCTTGATCGTACCATGTGAGGGAGTCGGGCGTGTGTCCTGGTGTATGAATTATTGTGATCCCAGTAGATATTGCAAAAGATGGACTGGTAGAGTAAACAATGTCCTGGAAATCGGATGCCCACATTCCAATTGAATAATATGGGCACTCTGCGGCGCCAAATCCCTTGGCGAGCGAGTGGCAACAAATACGGTTCCAATCCTGAAGATGATCAATGCTATGTGCAGAGGAAAGAACTGTAGTTTGAGGACCTTTTCTCTGGTCGACATTCAGATGTTCCGGGCCTGAGTCGGTAGGTGGTAGCAAACCAAGACCCAGGATATGGTCGAAATGGCAATGGGTGGTAATAACAAGATAGGGAAGCTGGCCCCTGGGTTGATTGTATGTTTGAGTGTTGTATAGATATTCCAGTACATGAGTGTTTCGGGGTCGCTAGAGACACCATACTCGGGATTCTTGACAGATGTTGCGCAACCAGCATCACCAAGGACTATGACCGAGGTTTCGGATCTGCCATCTTCATTAGCTTCACTTTCTCCATTGTCTTTTCGACTTCGAAAGACATAGCTCACCCATCACTATTCGGAGATGAGCATATTTTTGCAAAAATGTTTGGAATTTGGCCGTAGCTGTCGTCTTCTCGGAAAAAATAGATCGATTCATTCAAACGGCGCACATGGAATGGGCACGATACGGGAACATCAAGATTAAATTCCGGCATGGCGAGAATCAAGAACCTTGAAAGCAAATTGCTATATGTGGGATACAAAGATCTGTTGTGGTGGCGAGACTAAGAGAGGGGTCGAAAATGGAGGCTATCAATTAGATGCCTAACAATTTTAATTATACTAGTAAATCTGGTGATGATCGGATTCGGGACCGGTATGGGAATGCAGATACTGCTCACAGCTGTCTAGTCAGCCTTTCCTGCTGAGTAGTATGAATGCCTAGCGTATAATAGGAACCTAGGAACTATCAACTAAGTACAACAAATGAACACTGCTAGTACAGACACAGCGGCAGATTCAAGTTATGGAGGCTGAGTTGGAATAATATTCACAACATTGATATAGCTATTTTTCGAATGGAGAGTATAACTAGAAAACTGCTCAATATAAATATTACAAAGGGAAATATATCCAAAACACCTTGAATACAAGACTTACGTATACGTACACTGACACACTTGCGTATGTGTTGGGCAGGTGACTTCCTCTCCGCCTCCGCTCCGCTCCACCGCGGCATTTCATTTCAGGTACAACTTACTCAACCCATCACCCTCAACCTTTCAAACCACAACTGCTGTCCAGGTGATCTCCGGTGGCCTTGGAGATCTGTCGCGGCGATGTTTCAGGTCCGTTGGCCCTTCAACCCTCCCATTTAACCCCACCAAACCCACCGGCAGCCGTTGCCACGGCGCAAACAACACCAGCATAAGCTAACGAAACCAGCGCCTCCGCGACGCCATCGACTCTCGGATCGCCGAAGAGCAAGCTCGCCAAAAGACCGCTCAAGATAACCTCGCCCGCTCTGCCTCCACCCGTCGCGCCAATCCAAACAACCTCTCTGCCGGCCAACGATCCCGCCCAAGACGACACTCTGGCACTCCCGTCCGCGGTCCCGACCCCAAAGAATTCGAGGGTGAATTTACCATCGGCGATGATGAATCTTCTACTCGCTCAGCCACCCCACGTCTAGATACTCCTGATGGCACCTCCGAAGTAGCCACGCCCGTCGACAACGACGGCACTGGTAGCCGCGCTGAGGAAGCGGGTTCCGCTGCTGATCCGGAAGCAGAAGCCGGAGCTGAGGCTAAGGATGGCGATGCAAAGGTAGACAACAAAGCGACAACCGAAACATCAGCCAAAGATGCCCTCGCTGAGTCAGAAAAGGAGGCATCGACCGAACTGCCAGCCGAAGTTAAGGGCAAGCTACGGAGACTCGATAAGTTGGAATCTCGATATCATGGTACGTTCGCCACATGTGCAGATTGCATTCATACCCATGCGCAAATACAACGAAAATCAAGCTTGCATGCATAATCTAACCACTTCTCAATCTACTATACAGAACTCCTCAAAGCCTACCGAACCGCCCACTCGCGCGTCCTCTCAATCGAACCCTTCGAAGCCGCCCTCCGCGAAAACACCCCCCTCACCTCGATCGGCGAGCCCAAGGCTCTGACCGAGTATCTAAACACCATGTCACTCAAGAGCGACATGGTCCTGGAAGAACTCAAGCGCGTGACAGAGGACCGGGAAGACTACAAGAAAAAGCTCGAGGAAGCGCAGAAATCGGCCAAGGATGCATGGGATGAGGTTGCGGGGCTGAAGAAGGAGAACGAGACAAAGACCGCCAAAGACGAAAAGAAGAAGGAGAAGCAGGTCACCCCCGACGAAGACAAAGAGACCAGCGAGGAGTTCTTCTCATTCGACAATGAGGTTCCCCGTCTCGAGGGAGAGCTCAAAGAGCGGGAGGAGGAGATTGAGACCCTTAAGACCGAGGTTGAATCGTTGAAAAAGGACCTTTCTGTTACGCGCGAGTCAACTGAAGGCATGGTTCAAAATCTAGAGACTTCTGCGCGGGAATTAGTGGAGCTGCGCGATACAAAGGATAGGTTGGATGCGGAGATTCAGGACTTGAAGACTTCGAAGGTGAAGGACGTCGATGAGTTAAAAGAGAAATTGGCGTCCGCGGAGACAGCGATTGAAAAGGCCACTTCTGAAGCTGAGCAGCTCAAGACCGATCTCAAGGAGAAGAGCGATCAGATCGACAAGCTACAGGCCCAGGTTGCCGAAGCTGGAAACTCGAAGAACTCCGAAGCCGACGCTGAAATCACCTCGCAACTCGAACAGGCGAAGGAGGACAAGGACGCCAGTGAGAAGAAGCTCAATGTTGTCCAGGGACTGGTGGAGAACCTTCGGTCGCAGTTGAAGGACACCGAGTCAAGTGTTGCGAATCTGAAGAAGGAAGTCACCGAGAGATCTGAGACCTCTGCTCAACTCCAAAAGGTTGTCACTTTCGTCGATGACAATCTGAGCGGAAACACTGCCTGGAAGACTGCTAAGGAGAATGTCTCTGCTGGTCGCAAGGCTGACTTTGAGGAGATTCGGAAGAGCCTCGCTCCAGCGGCGAAAGCGCCGGAGCCTAGTGTCAGTACCCCTGCCGAGGAGGAGACTCAGGCTGCTCCGGCAGCCGCAGCAGCTGGAGGCGGCGGAGGAAAGAAGAAGAATAAAAAGAAGAAGAAGGGCGGCAAGGCGAACGAGGAACCGGCGAAGCCTGCTGATGGCACCCCCAAGGAGGAGCCGGCTCAAACAGAGACAGCTCCAGCACAGGCAGTTCCCTCTGCTGAGTTGGACGAGTTGAAGCAGAAAATTGAGTCGTTGACGCATCTTCTTGAGGAGAAGGAGGCGGCCATTGATCGCTTGAGTTCGAAGCTGAAGGGCGAGGAGGATCTTAAGGAAGAGATCGAGAGCCTTCGTGATGACCTGGTCAACCTTGGCCAGGAGCACGTCGAGTCTAAGGACAAGATCAAGGAGCTCACTGCCGAGAAAAACGCATTGGAGGAAACCATTGCCAAATTGGAAAAAGAGTTGGTGGAACTCCGCACCAGTAACGAGTCCAGCACAGCCGACTCTCACAAGATGCACACAAGCCTGAAGGAGGAATTCGAAACTCTCAAGGTTCGCTCCGCATCCCTGGAAACCGATCTTTCGGCCGCCCAGCAATTGGCAGCAACCCGTTTCAAGGATCTTACCGATCTGCGTGAAACCATCCAGAAGATCCAGCCCGAATTGCGTGACTTGCGCGCGGAATCTTTGGAGCTGAAGAACCTGAAAGAAACCCTTTCCAACAAGAATACCGAGTTAATTGCTCTCGAAGCTAAGCACGAGGACCTGCGTGCGGAGCTGCGTAACTCGAAGACCAAGATGACGGAGCGCGACAACGAAGTCAAGACTTTGAACAAGAAGATCCGACAGGAGACAGATAGTCGTCTGAAGGCCGAAGAAAATCTCACCGTTGCTCAGTCAGACCTACGCTCGGCCGAAAGCAAGAAGACCGAGGCCATCAAAGCCAAGGAGAAGACCACCGGAGAACTCACCAAGTCCCAGGATGGCCTCAAGAGCTCTCGCACTAAAATACGCGAGCTAGACGAACAGCTGGGACAAGTGACGAAGGAACTAGAAGGGCTGCGCGAAGAGATTTCTCTCAAGACAGCCCAGCACTCCAGCGCACAATCCTTAATGAACAGCATGCGCGACCAAACAACCGAAATGGCAATGCAAATGAAAGAAGCACGCGAGAAGTGCGACAGTCTCGAAGAAGAGCTAGCAGACGCCCACCGCCTCCTCAACGAGCGAACCCGTGAAGGCGAGACAATGCGGCGCCTCCTCAGCGAAATCGAAGGCCGATCCGAATCCAAGGTTAGAGACTTCAAAGAGCGAATGGAGGCTGCCGTTGAAGAGCGCGATCGTGCCGAAGACGAAGCCAGTACCCAAGGACGTCGCCGGGCGCGCGAGATGGAAGATCTCAAGGCCAAGGTGCGCGATGCCGAGCGCGCTCTTCGCACGGCGGAACAAGATAGAGAGGAACTGGAACAGTCGCAGAAGGACTGGCGACGACGACGCGACGAGCTAGAACTTCTTTCCGAACAATCGACGCAAGAGGTGGAAGAAGTTCGCGCAGCGATGTCCGGGTTACGCGAACAGCTTGACGGGAGTGAGAAGCAAGTGCGCGATCTGGAGAAAGAGAAGACCGAACTCCGTCGCTCGGTCGAAGAGGCAAATAACAGACTGGAGAAATTGCGCCGCTCACACAAGACTCTTGGTGAGGATGTTCGTCTGCGCGGGTCGCCGTCGGGAAGACAGTCTTCGCGATCCTCGATGGATTCCGGTTCCAGGCGTGGACTTGCATCACCGTCAGGCCAGCAGGAGCGAAGTGCTTCGATTCACCGAAGCGAGACACCTACGGGTACCGGAAATTCCAATGCCAATGCGAATGCCGCGATTGACTATATGTATTTGAAGAACGTCCTGCTGCAATTTATGGAGCAGAAAGACAAGAACTACCAAAAGCAGCTTGTTCCTGTTTTGGGCATGCTGCTGCATTTTGACCGGTGAGCATACCCTTTCCTTCCCTTCCGGTCATCCTCATTGGAACGATATACTAACAAGATATACTAGAACGGACGAGCAAAAGTGGATGTCGGCTATCATGTCCAAATGATCGATGTTCCAGATGTATCCAATGAACCACCCAGCACATTGTCCCTGTATAATATCGTGGCTTTATCATCTTTGTGTAGAGTTAATACCATACCCTTTCTGCACTGCTTCCAACGACTCTACGTCTCACTATCTACTTGATTCTGTACTGAGGAACCCGTCGCCGGCTGCCGGCTCCAGGTTTGCCGATGTCCGCGCCCTTTGCTTGACATCGGCCCGAAAAAGCCGACTCGGACCCCCCGAAAAGTGGAGCCTTTCTCGGAGGCCGCCGAGAAGTGCTACAACAAACTATTTTATAGGACGGAAAAAAACATCTTTACTGATTCATCTTGTTTCATTTTGTTAGTAAAGCAAGTCACAAAAACTACCCCCAACATCACCTTCACAGATTGAGTTTCAAAACCCAATCTCCATCCAATCCCACCTTAACCCTTCCCGTGGGTCCATCCGATCCCCACCCCCGCCTTTCGCTGTCAAAAAGAAAGAACCGCCAAATTTCACCCTCCGCAGACCTCCGCAAATTTCTCCTCACGACATACCACACCCCAAACCACCACTACTACTCCTTCACAATGGCCGAAGCAACAATCCGCCTCGCCACGGCCGAGGGTACGAATTCTTCCAGGTCCTCCATACGCATAAAACTAACAACATCCACCCCAGACGTACCCAAAATCCTCCAATTCATCCAAGAACTTGCCATCTACGAAAAAGCCCTCCACGAAGTCGAAGCCACAATCGAAAGCTTAACAAATACCCTCTCCTTCGCCGGCGAAGCCCCCAAACGCGGCTCAGTCTACACAGCCCTAATCACCCCTCCCGCCACACCTTCCAACGCCAACCCGCAACCCGTCGGCATGGCCCTGTACTTCTACAACTACAGCACCTGGCGCAGCGCACCGGGTATTTATCTTGAGGATCTTTACGTGCAGCCTGAGGCTCGGGGCAATGGGTACGGATTCAAGTTGCTCAAGTACCTTGCGCGCCAGGTTGTTGAGATCAAGGGGCGGAGATTGGAGTGGAGTGTTCTTAAGTGGAATGAGCCTAGTATCAAGTTCTATGAGCAGGTTGGTGCTAAGGGGATGGAGGAGTGGATGAAGATGATGGTCGAGGGGGAGGCTTTGGGGAAGCTTGCTGAGGGGGTTTAAGGGATCGAGGAACAAGGTTAAAGAACCGAAGGTCTGACAAAGGAACCAAATGGTTGAAAGGAGAAAAAAATGCATGATGGAAGTTGATAGTTCGGACGAGTAAAATAGCATATTCCATCGCGTCCATGGACTTTTCTTTCTTACATCTTTGTCCGCGTTCAAAATCGCATTTCTCGTAGTTGATAACGAGGTCCAGGTCGCGCCTGTGCCTCTATCTGGCTGGTTGAGGAGTATATCGACTACGAAAAAATATTATTTTGTCAATTTTTTCCCGATGTAATTCTTCTAAGGTATCTGAAACGTGCTTTCATTGACTTGACATTAGCATTGCTCAGGCTGGCTATCACAGCCAAATATAAAGGCCGTAACCACAAAGGAGTGATGGTCACGAGGACGAGGTATTCTTTGATCCAAAATCCGAGAAGATTGTATCTCAAAGACATGTATAAATACAATTCATCCGGCTCTGGGTTCGGGAACCACATATGTGAATAATGGAAGAGGCTCAAAGAGGCCACACTCACATCTCGTTGGCCGAGCCATAATGATCAAAGACGTGAAAAACTAGAAAGGCAGCGCAATCTTCTAATATGTACAGCATCTTCGAGTTCTATTTTTAAATCTCTTTCTTTTCTACCTTATGATATGATATGCAGGCCATGGGAGCTAAATACTCGTCCCTTGTCCCGTCGCTCACTCCTTCAACAAAATCTTCAACTGTTACTTTCAAAGTTCTAAATTTTCATAAATCCTCGTTCTTTTTTTCTTTTGGTATTATACTATATAATATTATACTAAATTTCATTTGTTACCGAACCATCCCGTTTGACACCATATCTCGTGCGTCGAAGCGTAGATCCGACGAGCCGCAGGAGATGAGGGAGAGGCAGTCTCCCGAACTCGAGGGCCCCGAGTGGGAAATCAGAAGAGTCGTATCTGATCCTATGGAACTTCTGCCGGTAAGATCTTATGTACGCTTTCGACCTTAGGACCCTCCTATTACGAATTGCAGAATGGTGCCAGACCGCGGCGGTTGTAAATCCCATGCCAGCTGGACTGGACTAGGCTGTTATCTCTCGAAGAAAGGATCCCCAGGATATCCAGCACTTTCTCGAGACTAATAAGGATGGCGACGAACACCATCAGCTTGTGAATGTCAAAGTTCTTATTGTGGCGTATAGAAATAAAACGCTTCATTGGGATGAACAAGTTACGTATCTCTCTGATGGGAAGCCTCTTTCAAGAGGAATTTCTTCCTGGGACGATTTTCATAGATACCATGAAATGTGTGATGGGGAATCATTTTGGTTCGAAGGGGTCAGTTCAATTTCTTTCGTTTCAATCTGCCCCCTTGGACATTTTCGGGCAGTAGTGGCGGCCAGGGATCAAATCTATCATCTCACATGTCGAGCAGTAGTAGCGACCGGGGATCTGACTCAGAAGCTCCCGGCTCGAGCAGTGATGGTGGTCAGGGATCACATTCAGCAGCTTCTAGCTTGAGCAGTGTTGGTGGCCAGGTATCAGTCCCAGCAGCTCCCAGGCCGGGCAGTGGTAGTGGCCGGGGATCATCTTCGGGCTCACACGGTCCACCAAATCGAGACCCACCATCCCAAGCAATTTCCGTCCAGGAAACACCGATTATAACACCAGTGGGTCTTTCTGCACGCACTGGCAGGGTACTTGATGAAGATGCCAGGCTAGATGATCTTGGTGACGATGAAGATGTGGAAATGACAGATTCTCCACCTAGGCGCCGGCATAGGAAGATCCTATTATTTTAGTTATTTTGGGAGTGGCTCTTCATCTTCAGCTTGTTGAAGTTCGTGTAAGAATTGTTTTGGCTTGCTGAGATTTTTTTTAGCTTGCTGTAGTCAGCACTAGTACCGGGTATTATCCTTCAGTTGTTCCTTCGAATAATTTGCATTGTTCAGGTTTTGAATATGTAGGTGTTCACTCAGGCCCCAGGCCTGCAAACCTGAAAACTTCATTCAGTGCCCGGAGAAATGATGCATGTCTGCGTAGTAACCTTTGCCAAGAAAATCATCCAAAGCTCACAGCATCGGAACTATAAACTCGTCAGATTAGGGCATGTGTCACCATGTGGCAGTGCTGACATCAGCAGCACTAATAATGTTTGGCTTTGAAGGATTGGCTTTGTGGAACGTTGATGGGTTGCACGGGATATCTGAGTAGTTGCTCTTCGCAGCCCTGAGCCCTGGGAGGTACAGAAACATACAACGATGCAGTCATCAGTCAAAGATAGATAGTAACTGAAGCTGATATATGCAAAGTCCCAGGTACCACGGCACCTTGAGGCAGGAGCGAGCGAAATGACATCAATGCAGATAAGACTGATAGCGGAGGAATGATTCTCCGGGCTGAAAGCGGCACGCGTCGCACGGTCAGGTGACTGGAACGAGCGCGTCGAAGTCAAGTTCAAGTTCAAATTGTCCAGTTCCAATTCCACCTCAAAGAAGTTTGAGAATCAAAAGCGTAGAAACATAAACCAGAGTAGTTAACATACCCGAAATATAATAATGAGTGATTATTACCGAAAGACGTAACATATCCAGCATGCGAAATGAATGCCATTCTGGGTACTGCCAGTCCCCACCGCCCTATCTTAGATAACTCGCAACTTCTGCTTACAGCATCACCCACCCAACTGCTTACCTCATTACAGCTTCAACTTCTCAAGATCCCCTCTAGATTGCCTTCCCTCGACCTTAATTAGTGAAATTGGTCATCATATCGCCTGATTTCTTATTCTTCTTCTATCTCGCCTTTTTCCGCCCCTTTTTCATGCAACCTGCGCTGGCTCCAGCGCCGCATCCCAGTATGCAGTCTGCTCAGGTAAGCAACCACTATTCGACGCGTTTGTCATCAGTCGTCTCCCGCGCCAAGTACATCTATGCTCAATGGAAGACGCAAGATGATCGCGATACTCCTGGATGCCCACTTCGTCGTCGCTCCGACGCGTGGTCGGGTTCCGGGCAGAGTCCCGCCCCCTCCGCCGTGTTCATTGCCCCTCTCCCTGATGTGTCCCACTAACAATCGCGATATAGGACCATGATGACCAGGGTATGTGATCCACATCGCTCTCACAGGGCCATTCTCGTGCTCTGCCACCACATCAGACTGTTGATCTGCCTTGCCCTTTCATCCCGGACATTTCCGGTTCGGAGCGGGTTGGCGGCATCTCATGGCAACGCTGGCAATGACGCGACCCCATCAAATAGAAAACTAACTTGATATCGCGCCAGTCCTTCACGACCAGCTCCTTGCTGTCCAGCATAACCTGGGCCAACGTCCCCAGCCCCAACCTGGACAGCAACAGCATCATTTGCAGCCTAATCCGGCTGGGTCGCGGGATCAAACCAACATCGATCCGGCCATCTCGGGGGGGCGCCATGATGGCCGCCCCGCAGACTCCCACTCAGCCGCACCAAGGATCTCCAGATGACACGCCCAAGGGATTCGGCAAGCGTGAGCTATCAACCTCCAAGCGTGCCGCCCAGAATCGCGCCGCCCAGGTAAATCATCCCCATATCAAGTGAAACGCCTTGGCATCTATAAGTGTCCCCACTCACCCCTCATAGCGCGCATTCCGCCAACGGAAGGAGACCTACATCCGCAAGCTTGAGGATGAGGTCAAGAACATTGAAGCGAAGAACGAGCAGCTCAAGCAGCTCGCTAACGAGAACTACGCTCTGCGAGACTACGTCATTACTCTGCAGTCACGCCTGATGGACTTGCAAGCCGATGTCCCCGAGCTTCCACCCAACATCGATCTCAACCAACCGCGCCCAGATCTCTCCCTCGCCAGCAGTCTCGGTGGGCCCTCGGGCTCAATGGTCGCTCCCACCGGCTCTCACCAAGGACAACACCCTGGTAACCCTAACGACGACATGAACTCGCTGAACCGCATCGCATCGGCTGGGCTCATGCGCAAGCCCCACGAGGAGACCAACTTCATGAGCAACAACTTCCAGCCCCAATCCCAGCAGAAGCAACGCATGCGTGGAGATGAGAACCAAGATGATGGCTCCGTGCAGAAGCAGGAAACTCATGGCCTCCCGCTCGGACCATGAATTACCTCTCCGTGACCTAACCCGAATCCTCACTTTCCTCCGTCCATGTGCAATTCTGCTGGTCACACGATATCCTTTTTTCGTTTTAATTCCATATTATCCTTATCTTTGTTTCTCATCTCGTCCTTCGCTCTTCAGTACCGGTGCGCGGCGCGATCGGTGACGTCATGTCTTTGGCTTGACATGGTGGTGTTTTCTTTTCCTCCTTTATATCTCTTTTACTCTCATGTGTCTGGGCTCTAAATTCCTGTGCTGACTATCGGTGCTTATTATACCAAATGAGTCCAAGAAAGTGCACGCATATTATTTATACTCCCCCTTCATATCTCGGCTCACAGCTAGCTACGCATAAGAGTGGCTCGGTCCACACGCTCCCAAACCACATATCAATAAAGGACTTTTCTCTGAAACCTTCCAATATTACTGCTCCAATCCATATTCCCTAATCAAAACATCTGCACACGTCGCACCAGTAACATACGCCGTGGCCTGGGTACGGTTATTGGTTAGAACAGGCACAACACTCATATCAGCCACGCGGAGACCCTCAAGGCCCATGACATGGAACCCACTATCAACCGCAGCGTCATCATCTCCAACTTTACCCATCTTGACCGTACCCATAATGTGCCATGAAGAAGACACACTCTCCTTCCAAAATTGCAAAATATCCTCATCGGACTCGGACTTCGGTCCCAAAACCGTGGCCAACGTATCCTTTGCGAAGGAAGGATGTTTCGAGATCTCCAGCAGATGACCATACATATCAATCAGAGCGCACTGGTCAAATGGGTGCGATAGAATCTTCGGGTCGAAGAGAAGTGGGTCATCCGGGTTCGACGATTGAAGTCGGACTTCGCCGACCGATTGTACATTCATCAGGAAGACAGCTAAACAGGTGTAGCTATAATCTGACAACATGCCCGGGAAAAGGAGATGGATCGGGAATCCCGCGACAATCTCGTAGTGAGGGATGGATTTACGGCTCATGAATTCTTGTCTGGATTTCGGCAGTGCTTTAAATTCAGCGCTTGAAGTTATCGTGTCAGATTTGAACCAACCGATTGTGAGCTCGCATCCATATTTGCTCCAGGGGCCAGTCCCATCATCTTCCCACTGGTTTATGGCCTCGGCCATAGCTGCTTCATTCTTGAAGAAGGTTCTCCGGTCGTTTGTCTCTGGGTTTCGTGAGAGCAAGAGCGGCGCGAGGAAGTGGTCTTTCAGTCCCATCGTGGATGATTGGGATGTTGAATTTGTTTAATTCAGATGCTGGGCCAATGCCTGAATGCATGAGTATTTGGGGGGGGGGGGTCAAGCGATCCGACGCATATAATGACTTCTTTCGAGGCAAAGACTGTCATTGAATGGTATCAGCACGATGTCCCACTGTCAACTCATATCTAATTCTCGTCAACAATGTATACTCACATTTTATTCCTCTCGTCTGAATGCCCACAGCCCTTTTCCCCTCAAACAGAATCCGTTGAACAGGAGTATCTTTAACAACAACCAAATTGTTCGGTGCATCAACCAGTAGATCCTTCGCTGTGCTTCTCACCCCATCCCCAGCAGAATGAACATACAACGCCATACCAAGCGGATCCCCAGAATTATGATCCAAATTCCTCTTCAACCCCGCCTCCTCGAAAGAATCCATCAAAGGCACTAAATCCATCTCCCACTTTTTCGCAAATCCAACCTTCAACGCACCTTCATCACCATGATCGCCAACAACAGGATTCCCATACCTCTTCCCCTCTTCGCTACAACAAGCCCCCAACCCAAACGTCTCAAGATTCTTGAATCGCTTCTTCATCTCCTCCCACCCAAACCCCTCATCCCCCACAATCTCCGGCCAAGACTCATGATCATCCCTCGCCCCGCTAGTATTTATGCCAAAATTAATCGAAGAACCACCGCCTAGTCCCTTGCCGCGCGAATAGTCTAGGATACGTCCATCACACCCATCCTGGGGAGCAGTCCCGTACCCCCAATTCATTGACTCTTCTTGGAACGTCATCCATCGCTTACAGATCACGCGATGCGATTTTTCTTCATTTTTACCGCCTGCTTCGAGGAGGAGGACTCACGATTTGGCATTTGTTCGGGAGAGCGCCGAGGCGAGTGTGCATCCTGCTGGTCCGGCTAATTGTCGGGTGAGATGAAATGAGTATTCAAGTTGGAATGAAAATAACGATTGCAATTGTGAAGTACTAGTAAGTGTGGAATTTTGCGCTCCGGAAAATAACTTACCACCGACGATGATGAAATCAACCATCTCTGCAGCCATGATGAATAAATAGGTACAATTGACCAGATTGGATTTCGTGTAAGGTTGTACAGAATGACCATACACCCCGCTTTGTCAGAGAAAGAGGCCAGAGAAAGAAGAAAGTGGCATAATGATTTAGAACCTAAGCCAGCCTCGTCAAGAGCCGAAAGGGCTAGCTTAGCTTCGCATCGCGCGATATAGAAGGGCCCGACATCAGTTTCCATGCTACGAACATGGAGATGTTCTTTCAAACCCTAATCACACGATACTGATAAATAGCATGTTCTGCATATACCAGTAATAATACCCACTCTTTTTTTCAGGCTGTAACCCCGATACAAAAGCCTAAAATTAGAAGCCTGGAGTTTCTAGAGGATTCTTTACAAATGTAACAAAACATCGCAAATAGAGCAACATCTGAATATGCAAGGTGTCAACTTCTCCCTTCTGCATCTTGTTGTTGCTGCTGCTGCGCTTCATGCTTCCTGGAGGTCCGTCTGGGGTCGACGTGATAGGCAAGACTCAACAGTAAGGTTTAGTTTCAAGATTTCCACCATTGCTTATGATCACGCAGCAATTTCAAATCTTATTTGATACCAGGAATTACAACAGTAGCTATCGCCTTACAGCCCTCGTTATGTCACACCACTCGGCAGATATCCACGATGCCTATCAAACCCAGATTCTCAACCGCTAGGACGGAAATTCAGATTATGCGTCCACGCCTGGTAATTTCGCTCACACGCCCGCCACCGTCTACTCTCCTAGCCCTGCCCCAGATTGTGCCACGGAGCACCTACAGCACAATTATCTTGACTTTCCCCCGCTGGTTGAATGGGAAGAAAGAGGTGAATATGAACAACTGCCACCGAGATATGTCTCGTACACAATTGCACGAAGGCTCATACTCAACCGTAAAACGGTAGGCAAAGTAATTGAGGAAGATCTGGTTATAGCTGCTGGCAATTACAAGGGAAGTCACTTGCAATTGAGGAGGCGTACAAAGCTGATTTTCATAACATTTGCCATGTGATCTTGGAGAATCATCTAGATCTTGAACTGATTCTCGAGGATCCAGACTCTGACTTCTTCGTTTAGCGCGGGATTCGAATTGGGACTGCTCGATTCCTACATGACATAGAACAATCGGCCACTGCGAAGAAATCAAACGAATCACTTGACCAGACTGCTGAATCATCTCTCGTCGCTGCCCAAATGATTCAATGGCTATGATTCCTTTGTCCTACCCTGAGTTTTTGTCATATTTCTGCGAGGCGAGCGGCATTCTTTTGTACATTAACTTTGAGCCTATGTATTACTGTTTTCTCGCATTATTGGGTTTCTAGATTCTTTGCCACGTAGGTCATTCGGTCAGTAGAGTGATGTTTGAGCTCAGTTACAAACTGTAGTCAACGCCCGCCTTGTCTCATTTTTTGACTCACCCCGCTACTTTTTTTTCAAAAAGATCCCTTACTTTGCCTGACATGCACATGAGACCTAGCTCCTACTGCAGTACCCACATAATAGTACTTTTGGTGCTAAAGCCAGTCGAAATTGCTAAGTGGCGAAGCGTAACGGCGGAATGTAACTATATCTATCCGGAGAGATAGACTAGATTTCCCCTGTCGCCCTAGCCCCGCACTTATCAGAGCGGAAGGGTGGCGAATGCTGATGTCACAGGAGCTCCCCAAACGGATATAGAACAACACAAAGAAGCAGAAAGAAGCCATAGCTGGAGTCTACGCGGTCAGAACAAAAAAATTTCCCAATTACCGCTATAGTTGAATAGGTAGCACCTTGTCCATTTTAACTCGTGCCCTTTGCAGTAGGTCTCCTCCAGTCTTTGAAATCACGTTATGCTCAATCGTTTGCCCATCCCTCGCTTGCCGAATCGACACGTATCTCGTAAGCTACGCCGCGTCTCTCGTGCCTGCGATGAGTGTCGGTCACAGAAGAGGAAATGCGATGGCTCTATGCCGACATGCGGCCAGTGTGCTCGTGCGAAGCTGGCAGTATGTGTTTATTCTAAGTCAAAGAGAGATCAAGAGCGAAGTGAATTGGAGTTGGCAAAGGAGAAAACCGATCTTTATGAGAGGCTACTTCGAGAAGCATCTCACGAAGTTGAGCTCCCTCTGGCGAAAGAAATCGAGAAAGCATTGGTTTGTTCAATTGACTTCGTGTACTCCGATTAGGCTGACTGGTCGAATAGCAATCTTCAGTGCAGAGATCAGTATCTCGGGAAGATGGAAGCATGTCCTCAAATGCCTCCTCGCCATCTTCGGTTGGCTCTCTGGATGCCCTCGATGTTCTCGATGAAGACGTCAACAGGAGCAAAGACAGTAGAGCAACAGGTTATCTCGGCAAGAGCTCAGAGGTTTCCTGGATGCGTACTTTAGATGCTGAAGCCAATGATCCGTATCGCAGCGAGAAGGAAATTGAAAATAGCAGCAAATTTCCGCATAAGAGGACTGCACCTACGGTATCGATGAACTACCATATCGAGCCCGCCGAGTATCCGGGTTCAGAGATCGACAACCCATACGCATTACCTGCAAAATCGTCGGCAGAACGACTACTGAGATTATTCATGGATAGTGTCCAGCCGTCTCTTCCCGTCATTCGCCAAGACCTTTTCACAGAACAATTCCACTCGTTTTATTCAGGAATGTCAAAACATCCGGGAAGAAAATGGTTGGCCTTGTTAAACTTGGTCTTCGCCATTAGCAACAAATTATGTCAGCTTTGCGGGCAAGAGTTCCAAGATAAAGAACACAGGTTTTTCTCACGAGCGCAGACCTTGAATATATCCGAAAGCTTAGTGGAAGACCATGAAGATTTGCAGCAAGTGCAGATCGAAACACTCGCAGCATTCTATCTGTTGATTTCATCACATATAAATAGGTGTGTCGCACATATAAACTTTCCAGACCATCAAGAATGGCCAAGTGACTCTCCACAGGGCGTGGAAGATGATTGGCACAGCGACTCGCTCCAGCATCTCCTTGGGTCTGCATCTCCGAGCCACGCACAACAAATTGAATGCTTCAGCTCTCGGAGCTCGACATAAGCTTTGGTGGTCAATTTTCATCTTAGAAAATTTACTCTCTGTTATGACTGGACGAGCCTCTGGCTTAGCGAATAGCTTCCTTTCGGCACCTCCACCTCTCGCCTCGAAGGATCTTGATCCCTTCACTAATGGCGCTCCAAACGACCCTTTAGAGCGGCTATCTGAGAATCCACCTATGGAATGGACAATGAACCAACAATATCAGCACCTTCAAGCCCAGCGGGCTTTAACAAAAGGAATGGGCGCGACCAATGAACTATACTTTTTTTGTCTCACTGACCTGATCGTTATCTCACACACTGCATCCACCCGGGTGTATAGCACCGATTCCGTGAAGCAAGGATGGGATGAGATTCGGAGCCGCATTGAATTTTACAATGGAAAGATGGTTGAATGGCGCTCTAGTTTACCGGATAGCATAAGGTTTGAGGTAACAGATATCGGGCCAAATTTCCCAGCCAAGGACGCCTATAGAGTTTCTCTGGCGATGCATTATCACAGCTCTCGAATCGTCCTCAACAGACCATGTCTCACTCGAAAGAAAAAGGACGGGAAGGGGGAGGTCAAAAACCCCTTCTCTCATGCGAGAAAAAGTATAGAGACAGCCTGCCTTGACTCGGCTCTGGCAATGCTTTCTATCTTCCCAGAAGAACCAGGGGCAGACTGGCTTCGATCTGTACCTTGGTGGAATGCTCTTCATTTTCTGGTTCAAGCTACCACCATATTACTCATAAAGGTTTCTTTGGAAAGCTCATCACAAAAGCAGAAAGGCCCAATGTCCACCGGTCAATCGAGTAACGACCAATCTCTGGACCGCTCTACAGTTCTCGATTCGGCAGCGCTTCGTGCCGCAGCCAATAAAGGGTTACTGTGGCTATGTCACCTCGGTAAAAACGACGATTCTGCGCGTCGGGCTTTTGAACTCTGCAACAGCTGCGTTCATCGTATAGAACCGAGGTGCTTCGTTGCAGAAGACACCGAGGGCGTAAGCAATGCACTCACCGCGTCTCATCTAGAAGTACCTACAGATCAGAAACATCAGCAACATCGAAGCAGGCTCGACGTGTCGTACTCTCAATTTGCTGGTATGAGAGGCTTTGGCTACGACCACAATCTCAGTGGCGCTACTATACCCTTGGGTTTGGAGGATACAGAAGATATTGGGTTTTTTGAACCCTCCGTTGGCACCTTAGGAGTGGATATCGACATGTCCGACTACATTCCTGACCTACAAAACGTGAACTTGGATGAAGTTCTGCAATCTCTCGCATAAGCAGACAGGAATTCTTTCTATCCTTTGAAATAAAACTACACCTTTTCTTTTTGATAGGGTGCGGTATTGCAACGCTTTCGAAAGTGTAGAGGGCTACTGGTTGATCATTTGGGCTTCTATCTGCGCCATCTCCGCCCCAGAAAGTTATATAAGATTTTTCGCTCGCAGTGATTTCTTCAGGCTGTCACGGTTGATTATTCAGTAAATCGCTAATGTTCGTTTGCGTTAGCACGTTGTATTACTGGCATTTATCCTAGCTGGAGTGGCTGTACCTAGCCAGATATAGGCTAAGGAAAGATAGTGGGGGTTGTCCTGACCGAACTTATTTCAGTGCGATATGAGTGACTGTCTACGAAAGAAGATCTGTGTGTATGTCTGGGTTTAATGTGTTTTCAAATCCGCTATATAATAGAAAGGTATAGAAAGAGGGTCAGACATAGGATATTGTTGATTTAAGCACCTCTGGAACAAAGCAAAAGGTGCCAAGTTGAATAACGAGGGGCAATGATATGTGAGCTGATTGGCTTATGCTATTTATTGCATGAGCCTTGCTTCCTAGAACAGCGGTTAACTCATATCTTCTCTATCGTTAAACCTGCATGGCGGAATTTGCCTTCGGCACTCTGCTGTCTTACACCGACATCATGGACGCACTGCTGAAGGAAGGCGTAGAACCCTTAGTCGGGATTCTTTTCAAACTTTAGCCAAGCTGTAAGGGTTACTAAGGTATCAGCTAGCACTGATTGGTCAGGTAAGAACTGAGGGAATAAGCCTAAGATTCGATGGTAAAACAGAGACTGATTCTTGAAGAACCTTCAAAGAATCAAGGGTGTTACAGTTAGTTATAACATATCAAAGGTCCCCGATTTATAAGGGAGTTGTATATAAATCGGATATAAGTCTGATCTAATACTACTCTAGTATATCCCTATCTGTCTTTCATAGTGTTCTATACTGTTAGTTATCTATATTATTACTTTATCCTAATAGAGGGAGGTTTAGTATTAAATTAGTTCCTAGTCTAATATTATATAGTGTAGTGGAGATTCCTGATCTCAACATCAGAATCATGTGATCAAAGCCTTGGCAATAAGGTGTCGCTTATGGGAGATATTTAGTTCGCGCTATAGCATTCTAGGAATACACACACCTGTCAAGTGTCACGATTCGGTCTTTTTCTTTCCTGCGGCGGTAGCGGTATCTGTGTACTGTTCATGAAGGCTCGGATGCCTTAGGAGGTTTTATCTCAGTGGTCATCGCCTTGCCTGCTCGCCTCACACTACGTGTGGTGGTTTTGTCTCTCTGCGATCGACCCGTCTGCTTGACAGACTGCCAGCGAGCATTCCCATCTTTCGATAAGTAGATCAATTAATTATAGGAAATAAAACTACTATACCCATAGGATACTTAAACTAATCAATAAGTAGTATTAGCTAGGTAGATAAGCTTATTCCTAGTACTAGACTAAAAAAGCTTATCTCTGAGTAGATCAGAAATCAGTTATCATACAAAGTAAGGGTCGATTCATAAATAGGACAGATTGGTTAATTCTCAAAACTAGAACTGCACGCGCTACATATCTCACTACAAGAGTGGATACCTTGTTACTGAAACACCACGTCACGGGATCTCTGCCTATTGAAGAGCGAGAATCCCCATTACACTAGTTAGTGGCAATTGCCTACGCGTACCTACTAGTTAGGTAGTTTCTAGTAGCTACCTAGTCATCATCTCTTCGTATATAAGAGTAGTACTTAGTGACCATTAGCCGATCAATATTTTGCATGAAAAAGGTAGGACCAGGATTCTGCCCAGCCAGAATGATTCCATCCCCCCTGACCGCTAACTTATCGGCTGCCATGGCTTGGTTTCTTCAAAATTTCCACGGACCGCTAAACTACAAAACCCAAAATAGACACTCGAATCGCGCTCGTTTTTCTCTACAAAAGAATTACTAGCTCGGCATTTCAAGATTGTCTGACTATGTTGTATTATTCGGGGCTGCCACGGTACAATTAGATCATACCTCCCTAACGCTATCCACATGCTTTGCATCTAGATCTCTAATACGTGTATCCTGACCTTGGTTGTGCTTCTCCTCGCGCACTGTCAGGAGAACAATTCCCGTCGTCCAGATAGCCAAAGCAATACAGCACCCAATCATAGCCCACATCCCCTTGGTGAATCGCGGTGCAAAGTCAGCCGAGTAAAAGAGCAAGATCCACCAGGCATTGACTGCATTGCTACCCATATTCATACTTGCGATGACCACAGATCGGAAGCGATCATTCTGATAGCGCATGGCATCATTGCACCACGCAAAAAATGTAGCCTGGCACGCATAGACAGACCCAGCCCAATAGTATGCGGCAAAGACAACCGCGGTATCATCAAAACGGGTCAAGATCAAAGCAGAGGTGACAATTCCCGTCATGGCAATGAAATATCCGACCAGGTAGCGCTTACCGCCCATGAAGTCGGTCAAGGTCGCCCAGAAGAGTGTCGATATAATACCAACAGCTGGAATGCCGGTTGGGTAGTTGTTCAGTTGCGCCACAGTATAGTGGTTGGTCGGGTGAGCCTTCATGTAAAGCGCGAGAAGGGCGTTGGTAGAAAATGATTCTGTTTCTCCGGCGATAACCCACAACATGACGAATGCGTACCAATACCAAGAGGTGAACAGGCGTTTGGCGAAGGCAAGGTTCAAAGGGACCTTTTCGGCGGCAGATTCTGGAATACGCGCAATTGCCATCGCGCGCTCTTCTGAGCTCAGATAAGGTGCCTTTGTTGTTGTCGGGGTATCTGGGAAGAGCATGAACCCGTAAAGCGCGATCGGTATGGTGATCAAGCCATCGATCTGGTATTTGTTAGTTTTGGAGTAACTTTTCAGCTTCAGAATGAGGATTCATACGATAAATAGCCATCGCCATCCCGATAGGCCGTGTCTGCCATCAAGTGATGATTGGATGCCGGTTTGAATAAAGCCTCCGAACATCGTTCCGGCTAGGCCCGACGCGGTGAAGATACCACTTCGTTTTCCAAGCTCTTTCTCTGTGTACCAGGAGCCTAGAATATAATGTGTTCCGACAAAGGTACTCGACTCAGCCAATCCTAGGAAGAAACGGATGGCCATGATTCCCTGTGGGTTGTGCACTGCAGCGGTGACCATGGTCAAAGCACCCCATATCACCATCATAGCTGGGAAGAAAAGGTGCGGTCGCCAATAGGTCACTGCAAGGTTGGAGGGCAATTGCCCAACAATATACCCAACAGTGAAAACAGTATTGATCTGATTAAGTTCATTTCCTTTGAAGTTCAGCTCTTCCTTCCTGCGAATAATATCGTCAGTCTATTTCCGAACGTAGAGCGATTCCCCGCTGAATCTCATGACTCACATTCCTGAGACATAGGCATTGTTAAGGTTGCTGCGATCCAGGTAATTCGCGAAGTAGCACAGACAGCAGAATGACAAAATAAACGTGTCGATTTTGCGCAGTAGCTTAGTCTCACCAGGCACACTCTCATGGCCCTTCAGATAGGATTTGAATTGGCCGAGTAGGCCCATTGTAGTTGATATTCGTACTCCCCTGATGTGGGGAAAATACAATGGCAAAATTTGACGTCGAGTGGATCGGGGGAAGGGCTACTTATCTATCCGTGGTTATCTGTCTAAGTCCACACCCAAAAAGGCCGCCGCAACACAGTGGCCAACCGTTATCTTTCCAGATCTCGGTTTGATATACCGTATTGCCCAAATTATGAGAAGAATCCTCTGCTATCAAGGAAATCAAACTGCTATCTCGATCAGATCCTTGACTTTTGCCCGAGGCTCACTGCAAAAAGTGCGGGGATGGCTCCACTTTTCAGATTAGCGCTCACTTGCAAGCTTGGCAGAAATACATAGCCTGCCGGACTAGGAAACTAATCTACACATCTTATCTGTCTTCAGATGAGGGGGATCGCAACGGCCAATTGCTACTAGTACCAGTAGATGTGCAGTTGAATCACCTGGATGTCTCCATGAGGCTTGACCTGCCTAAAGAAGGTGAGAGATTCGATTAGAAGAACGCCAGTACGAAAAATACGGCGAAGCCAAAACGTTCCCACTCGCTATTCTGCCCGTAACCGCGTATTTAATGTCCTGCCAGTGACAACAATTTACGCGATACCCTAGAAGGTCAGACAACAACGCGACGATTGTCAACGCTAAGATGGATAGCACGGCACATTTTCCGGAAACCAAAAAAGACCCCGCATGATGAGATACAAATGAAGAGCCCTTCCTAGGCTGTCCTCCTGGACGGCTTACTCCCATATTCTCTGTTTTGTTTCTATTGCTGAGAAACTAGCCTCAACCATGTCTTGGGAAACTATTGCGGCTCAAAAGCGCGACGCTCTTAAAGCGTCCATTCCGACAGAATGGGTGATTCCAGCAGATATTCTACCTCCTGAAACACAGGCAGATGTGACAGGGTTTCCCAGAAAGTCTGGCTGGTTCACTGAGCGCGAGTTAGAGATAACATCAACTCCCGCACCTCAAAGTCTCCTCAATATAGCAACCGGCTCCTGGACATCAGAAGAAGTCACTCGTGTCTTTTGCAAAGCCGCAGCCGCAGCTCATCAATTAGTACATTCTTCCAATTAACTCTTCCTCCGCATAATCATACGCGACAAAGCTAACTTGATTGAACAGACCAACTGTCTGTCCGAAATCCTCTTCGACAAAGCCATCGCTCGTGCACAAGAGCTTGACGAATATCACCGAACAACAGGCAGAACCAAAGGCCCATTCCACGGCCTCCCAATTTCAATTAAAGACAATTTCAATCTCATCGGCTGTGATTCAACTGTGGGATTTGCCTCTCTCGTCAACGATCCGGCGACTTACAACAGCACTCTGACCGACCTCCTCCTTGAGGCTGGCGCCGTCCTCTACGTCAAAACAAATGTTCCAACAGCCATGATGATCGCCGAGTCTGTTAACAATGTCTTCGGCCGTACTGTGAATCCTCGTAATCGAAACCTCACCTCTGGTGGATCCTCTGGTGGAGAGTCAGCTTTAATCGCCTTCGGTGGGAGTCGCCTTGGAGTTGGAACCGACATCGGTAAGTGATCTCAACGCAAATCAATATGGGACCAGTCCTAATTTCTCTTCGCCTACAGGGGGATCACTCCGAATCCCAGCCGCATGCACAGGAATCTTCACTATCCGTCCATCCTCCGGCCGATTCCCCAACTTTCAGACCCGCTCTGGTCTCGCAGGCCAAGAAGCCGTCAACAGCGTCAACGGTCCCATGGCTCGATCTCTGCAAGAAATAATCCTTTGGGCGAAGACCATCGTTGATCAGAAACCTTGGATCAACGATCCAAAGTGCTTGCCAATTCCTTGGCGCGATGTGACTCCCAAGCGAACTCTCAAACTCGCCGTCCTCTGGCAGGACGAGCAAGTCACACCAACACCGCCAGTCAGCCGAGCGCTGAAGGAGACGGTCGCAAAACTGCGACAGGCTGGCCACGAAGTTGTTGACTGGGATCCGAAATGGCACTCGAAGCTAGTCTCTATCCTCGGTCGCATGTTCGTCGCTGATGGTGGGAAATCAGTCCGCAAGTTGCTTGATGCATCAGAGGAGCCTTTCCGGCCGGAGATGGAAGCGTACTCTCAAGCCACAGAGATGGGCGTGTATGACATGTGGCAGCTGCAACTTGAGCGGAACGGGATTTGTAAGGCATACCTGGATCAATGGAATGCGAGCGGCATTGATGCTATTCTTTGTGAGTTTGTCCCCGGAAATTCGACCTGCGGTTTTTAATTGGAATGCTTTTAGGCCCCACAACTCCATACAGCGGCGTTGAGAACGGAAAGTTTGATTATATCGGATATACTGGCGTTTTCAATGTTCTCGACTATCCTGCTGTTTCTTTCCCCTGTGGCGTGTCGGCCGATAAGATCATTGATGCAGTATACCCTAACAGCGATTCGTTGGGTAAGGTCGATACGCAGATTCGGAATGATTGTAAGTGGCTTTTCCTCCGTTCCCCTATGTTCTAGCTAACTGATTCGCTAGATAATGCGGACTCGGTTCATGGAATGCCTGTCAATCTGCAACTTGTTGGACAGCGGCTCGAGGATGAAAGTGCATTAATGATGACAGAAGTGATTCTGCAGGCGCTGAGTTGATATGAAATAGTCAGTGAGATGTTAAAGAAAATGTTAGAGCTTCTGCAGATTCTTGAAATTTATGAATATAGACGATTTAAATTGGCTGCTTGTAACAGTCCCGTCTTACTGCACAATCGGTTTTTTTGAAGGACAAATTCCTCGAATGGAAAATGTTGGACGCGGACCTTAAGAACGTGAGCCTCTACCGATTGACTGCATCTACATGTCCTCGCCACCTCCGTACCAAACGCGGTTTCTCCTCATCGTCAAGCCCCTTTCCTCTCCCACGATAAATTCACCACCCTCGCGGATAGTACCATCAGCTTGAGGCCAATATTCAGACACAAGTATCTCGTTGATTTCATCAATCTTGTCAATCAAACGCTTCACGCGCGCATGGTCAACTTGACCCTTTTCCCCCTTCCTCGACGAGAAACCCATCCTGATTGATAAATCGGGCGATGGTGAGATGTGCCGATGGAACGATGTAACGAGAAGCCACCGGGAGGTTTGCCTGTCGCGTCATTTCGAAAATGTCGCGGCGAAAATGGTGGTAGCTGTAATCATCATTCGAACCCCTTGATTGGCCCCTTGCAGGCTCGCCGGCAGCCGGAACAAAGCTCAGGGCCAGTGCGGCGGAGTCGAAGCTAACGATGGGCTTGATGAGACGTGTCTTATGACTCATTGGATACTCAGATATTTGATTCGGGGTCACTTCTGTCGAGGATTTCAGAGTTTGGACGAGTCCTTCAATCTGGTCCTTGGTCAAGGAATGCGCGACTTCAAGTACCGTAATGTGTAGGTTCTGCGGAGGCATTGTCCAGAGCGCTATTAAGAACAAATTTGGTTAGAATAGGACAGGTTGCGTCACCATCTGAGATTAAACAGGTCGATGGAACTCACAAGGTGCAACGGCTTTCAGCTCATCTTGCACGTACACGATCAGGTCGCGGACTGGAGAAGACGGGCGCCCCCAAAAGACCAGACAGTTGCGGGGATCGATATAGTCATCTTCCTTGCGTGGCCCATCCAGTCGCATGAGAATTTCGTCTAATTTCCAGCCTGGAAATTCATCTGCGAGGATAATTTCTTTCTGCTGAGCGTTGCGATTGATTCGATGGTTTTCGTATGCGGATTGCAATTTTGCCTATTTCGATTAGGCTTGTAACGATAAAACGGAGTCGAGTGAGACTTTTCTCCTTACTGGATCGTCATGTGTTTCTGTGATCAGCTTCTGAAACGGGTTGTCCGTCGAGATGGCGATTGAAGTCATGCTGAGGATCGCGGTTCCAAGGTCCAGGCCTTGACGTGACAATGTTCACCGGATGATGCCGTTTCGTACTTGCAGAAGAGGGCGTTGTGATGTTATGCCCAGGTGCTTCCTTTCCGTGTAGACTGATATGTATATTTCTTGTGAAGCAAATTTCACTGGCATGACTCAGGGACCGGACATATCGGAGTTCCTGAAGATGAAACAGCCGCGTAAGCGAGTTTCGGAAATTAATACCCCGAATTTACCCCACAATGGCTGTCGCGGAGTGGCAATCCAAAAATAAACTCAGGAAAAATGTCACAAAACTTCTTTCATTCGCTTCAATAACCAGGGCTTGTAATGGAGCTCAAAATCAAGATTGGTAATAATTGCAAGGTCGATGGTCAGAAACTGCGAATTTGAAGTTGGAAACTGAAAATGGCTTGCCAGAAATTTGGGAGTCGGCTGCAGGTTCCGATATATATTATTACTACTTAGGTAGGTAGATAGGTACCAAGAGCCCTGGAGCGTTCTAGGCCTGGAGGTCCGTCAACCTTTAACTTGAAGTTCAAGTTCAAACTTGGAGTGGAAACTTGAGTTCTGATGAACAGTAGACCCCAGGATTTGAAAATAGTATTCATGCATTTTATTGAATAAATTATACTAATAGTATTAAAGAGTGAAGTTTCGTGGACTTTGAAAGTTCAACTTCAAGTTATGCCCTCCAAGGTTGCTATATTCGAGCAGTGCTCATGCCCGTCGCAAATCTACCACTGGATTTTCATGGTTTAGGTGATTAAATGGTAGTACTAATTTAGGTCATGATGAGGGAAGAACTCAACTTTAACGATTTGGGCAAAACTTTGAAACAAGAGCGCGCGCTTCCAGTTTTGAGGCAGATGCCCGACAATATTGGAATCAGTTTACTACTATGAGCAAACTTGCCTCTTAGCTTGATTGCCTGACCGGTACTACACTCATGAAGTCGTCTGCTCCACACAGTATTGGGCTGCGAAATCCTAATCTAAGGACTGACAACTTATCTTTATTAAAAGATTATAGAGAAACGAAATTTTATGTCAACATTGCGCAAATAAAGGCTACCTTGTATAGACATGAACATTAATTGCGTAGGCAACTGATAGAATCGAGAGGCATATATCATGGAATTATGATTGCTGTTGGAATTGAGGCCGATTGAGCCTATTAAGAACAGAAGTAAAATAAGGACTATGTCCAACTTTGAAAGGAAACGTGATCGTCGACAAGAAAATTGAAGACAAAAGGCAGAGATGCCAAATGTCACCGACAGAATCTACTCGCATCACCGACTAATCCACCTCAGATCCCCATTTAGATCATGGCAAAGGCGCAGAGAGCACCGAAGACGACGGCAACACCAGAGAAGGTGGTACGTCCAGCCGCGTTGAAGGCGGGGGTGGGGGTGGCCGAGGGAGCACCACCGTTGGTGCCGGGGACACCGCTGGAAGCGGAGGCAATGGGGGGCAGGGGCAGTGGGGATCACACGCATAGAGGTGGTCTTGGACCAGCCACTGGGGCCAGCGGAGATGGGGCAGACAGTCTGGTAACGGGTAGAGGTGACGGTGACCACGGGCTTAGGGCCGGAGGGGGAGCCGGAAGACTGGACAGGGGAGACACCGGAGGGAGATCCGGGGTAGCCAGAGGAGGCAGGGCCAGTGGGAGCAGGGCCAGCAGGGCCGGAAGGACCAGAGCCAGAGGCACCGGGAATAACGGTGGAGCTGACAATGGCGCTGGTCTCAGTGTCACAGGGGGTGGTGGTAGGGGCGGCAGGAGAAGAGCCAGTGCCGGAGGCACCGGGGATGACAGTGGAGTGCACAATCTCGCTGGTCTCAGTGTCACAGGGAGTAGTGGTGGCAGGGACAGAGGCCTCGGTGGTAGAGGCACCGGGGATGACGGTAGAGTGCACGATCTCACTGGTCTCAGTGTCGCAGGGAGTGGTGGTGGCAGCGGGGGTGCTGGATCCATCCTTGCAGTCAACCTCGCCGAGAACAGCAAGGCACAGGTTGATGGGGATGTTGATCAGACCGCCGTTGTCATTGGAGCTCTGCTGGCAGTGAGCCTCGCCGAGAACAGCCAGGCAGACATTGATCGGGACGTTGATCAGAGAGCCGTGGTTGCCAGTGGAGGTCGAGGCCTGGTCACACTTGGCCTTACCAAGAGCAGCAACGCAACCGTTAACGGGGACGTTGATCAGGCCGTTGGAGGTGGAGGTCTGCTTGCACTCGACATCACCGAGGATAGCAGCACAGAGACCAACGGGGACGCTGATGAGCTCCTCAGTGGCCATAACGCCCTATAAACGAATTCATTAGCTACAAGGATCTATATGCATGATATTGCAGATCAACAGGACATATACTCACGGAGCAGGAGGCAGCCAGGGCCACGAGGGAAGGGATAATAGTCTGCTTCATCTTGTCGAAAAGAACGTAGATTTGCGTAAAGAATTGAAAGACGTGATTGGTATCTTGTTGGAAAAGAATGGACGCTGAGAACAGCAAAAAAGAGTGACGATGGGACAAGGCCTAAAGGAACGAAGCAGTTGCAGAGAAGAAGAAAAGGAAATCAGTCAGGTAATGTAGGTTGAGGAAGTATTGCCAAAGCGTCCGGACCTCCACGCTTGCACTGTCGGAAAAGGGGAGACGATGTCGATCCTCATGGAAAGATGACTGCCAAGCAAGCAAGAGAGGGTACCGGTATACGACGAGGCCCGGTCTATTCGCTCGACGAGAGCTTTCTGATTGGTGTGCCCCTGTTACTCATCAGCTTTGTTGACAAGTTCGGCTGTGTCTCGAACTAGCATGGGATAATAAAAACTCTATATGCAATGCAAGACCCACCCCCCGAGCCACTAGCGGATGTAGTGCATTCTGTGATTGATCCCACTCGCAGACCACAGTCCTCGGCCTGCTAGTGTGGTTTACTGGCCCCATCTCTTGTTTTTGCGCTCGTGACAGCTCGCTGCCTTGTTCAGGGGTTATGTTAACCTGTTTGATGGCACAAAGTTACTAGACAATGGTTCGGAGGCATATTGAATGGAGTCGATAAAACGCCTCTCAAATACTCCGTATCCCGCCTGCCCCCCCCCAAACTGGTACTTGTTCGATAAACCACTCTACAAATCAATACTTAGTGGTCCCACGTCCGATATCTCAGCCTGTGACCCCCGCGATTTGTGCCCAGACGCGACAGGGATACCAAGCAGACCGCTTATTACGCCTCCCGAAAAGCCTCCTCCCTTTCACCTCGGTGGTTCCTTGCATTTAGTGGCGGTCGGCCTGAGCATGCGGAAATGTAATCAGGGAAAATCCGGGGGCCACTATCATATGCATCAAATGCAGAGTAGGATTAAATTAGCCATGCGGCACACATGGACCACGGCCAGGCCCCCCCAATTGTCGCCTACCCCTTTCCCCAATGCATGAAAAAAAAGATGCCCAGAGCTGCAGGCCAGCATCCGATCACATCTGCAAGAACTGGCGCATTATTGTAGATACATCAAATTAAAAACAAACTATGCCCTGGGCTGAGCTATGGTGCAAGCCACCAAACCAGACCCTGCGAACGTGTGGACCTCGGCTTTTCAGGGGCGAACACCGTGCTGAAGATATGAACTCCACTGTCATTTCGATCCTGCCGTGGCCCACATTGGCAGTTCCCACTCGGTGATAAGCGGGGATGGATATGGATCCCACTCGGAGAACTTTCTGCAATACGGTCGCAACACAGCCAGCGCGCGGTGTGGCCCGCCTCTCAATTCTCAACTCCATCCCATCCCGTGCCCGTGGGTCAGCTTGACAAATGGCGAAGACCCTGAAAATATCAAGAAAGTGGACTCCATTAAGAATGGAGTTTCTTTGCCGAAAGTCTCAGATTGGCCCACACACGTAATCCATTTCTATCAAACTTTTATTTGTGGATGCCACTCCGAAGGATGGAATATGGAGTACGGAGTAAAGTGTCGCTCGATCCCCGAAATATGATCTATCCCGTCTATGATCTGCTCGGATCGAGGTGCGTATCGTGGAAGTGTGTGCTAGGTGCATCACTATGCCCTACCAAAAAGCTAATTCAGGGACTCGGAATTCGGCTATCGAAGAATTAAGACCAAAGCGCTCTCGTTGAAGTTAGTTCTTTCACTATTTTGGGGAATATTCTCCCAATACATGCTTGGAGTGGACTAGTCCTTTTCCACATTGGAAAGAAAGGTTCGATGGTGTTATCTTGTACCAATGAACTATGCATTCTGATTAAAGAAAGGCCAGAAGCCGTTATGTGGTTCTGGCCCCTTGATCAATTGGTGGCTTAGCTCCAAAAAGGGTGTGTTTGTCAAGATTAGAGTCGCACATCCCCACGCGTGTTGCGCATGGAGGCCGAATGAGAGCCGCCGGCAGAGCAAAATGAGTTGTTTGATTTGATGCACCGGAAACCGGCGGCAAGCCCTATCTCTCTATGTACTTCGTACAGCCAGCTTTTGTGTCTGCCTTGCCTCCTCGCGTCGGAACTTCTCTCCGATACCTTTCGCTTCTTCATACTTTGTCCAGGTCCCCTTTCTCGCGCTGGAGGAGCAAACCCCATCAATGTGACCACTGGTCTGTACTCGCAGTTCATGCAAATTTGGCGATATTAATGGCTTCCTCACAGAGACAAAAGCCTTCAAACTTGGTGCCTTATAGTGATACGTATGATAGCGCCCTTGCTTTCCTCACACTGCACACAGGATTTTTTCTTCGATATTATTGGAGGTGGTGGGCCAGTTGAAGGCATTGGCTTACTGCCGGTGGCGGGTGGTCTAGTCCATTCACGAACTTGAATTACATGAGTTCAGCTCGGTGAAAGCAAACACGGGTATTGAGCTTACCAGGCTATTTCTACGAAGGTGAAGCCCTCCCCGAGTGTGCCATGTATGTCATCAATTCATATCCGTGGCACTCCACAAAGCTCGGTATTTCCCATGCTACTGATAAATTGCAATAACTGGTCTATCTTGGTACATAATCTGATAGCTGTCATAAACTTGCACATACTAAAGCTCATGCACATCATGAGCTGACTCGTCAGCCGGCCGAGTGGGATAAAACCGAGGATGAAAATGGCTGGCAAGCAGACAACATTGGTCTCAAATTGGAACTTGCAAAGTACCATCCGATCATGTTTCCTTCCACCGAACTGATGTACATGTTTGAAGCCGGCGAAAAGTTCCGTTACTGGTATTTCATTCGTCTCACTGTCTTCAAAATCACCTTTCCAACGAACATGGATAACATGGACGACAAATACCAGGATATAAAGGCAAAAGAGGATGCCCTGAAAGTCCCACAAAAGATCATTGAAAGAATTGGAAGCATGTCTGCCTTCGGAGGTCCTGTTTCCGGTTGTTCCTCCCCTAATTATCCTAGTATACAGAATGCTATCAAGAGTGTGACCGACTAAACACTTCGCAAAAGTGCGTAAGATATCAGGGAGCTCCGAGAATTTAGGAGAAGCACATTCAAAATTCTAGCACCGAAACCCACTCATTCAAACCCATCTCCTTCTCCACCCCAAAATGCCACAACAATGGAGGTCACCCAGAAGCCCACCCAATCTTAAACGAGCGCTGTTGGCATCGCCCTGTATTTCCAGTAACTGTATGCTGCTCTCGAGTGTCTCAACGCGATTGAGGAAGCTCTCTATGATATTCAGAAATCGGCCTAAAATGCTCGTAGGGCACCAGAACGCCATTGAACTGGAAGGGAAATGGCTAAAATTGCGGGAAATAGCAAACGCCCGGGCGTCTTATTCAAGTTCCAAGGTTGCAAACGAGAGATATATATTAGTATAGGATGAGTTTCAGGGTCATTAAGGCTACTACTCGTGCTTGGTGGGCCTCAAATTTCAAGGCGTGCTGTGTTCAAGTATATTTCCAAGGTTTCAAGGTTGACCACCAACTTTGAAAGACAATTTGAATGATTGAATGACGTACCTAGGTAGCAAAATGGTGACTGCACACATTTCCATAAAGGATATTCGCATTACTGTGAATAATTCCAGGATTCGGCGTATTGGTGAGAAACCTTCATATGGACAAGAGACATTCACGGTCCCACTCTACGCAATAGCGTGCCGAAGGCAGCATACCTAGGTATATAAAAAAAACCCTGGGCGGTGATTTTGGAACTAGAGAAGCCGATTCGTACCGAGATCGCCAGTTTTCGATTGAATCTCTTGGAGAAATTTGGAGAGTACATTCTCTAACCCGCCTAGATTCCTCATGGGTTTCGAGCCCATGCTTAACAGCGTGGTCATGGTGTTGTTGAATAAAGGGCTGGGATCACGGTTCATTGGATTGACCATACACACATTTAATTGTTAATATGCGGATCATTCGCAGATCATGTCCACCAGCATTCGGGATTTATTTCCTTCGAGTTGGGAATTTTTCGTCGGCATTCGTGCCACATCCCACTTCGCTGAGTTGAGAGAAGTTGGAAATCCTTCCACTTGGCTCCAGGGTTACTTCCAACTTGAACCTTGGAAGGCTGTAATAATAGGAAGGACAGGCAGCATCCAGTTCGAATCTTCCCAAGCAACGTGATTTTCTTCCGCCCTAGCAACTTGAACTTGCGGACGTGATTAATCTGTCAATGCTCCATTGGGCAGTAGAATAAATCACCCTTTGCTCCTGATGGAACCCATCCTCATCATGGATATATCTTCGCGCCGTTAGGTCACTTTCAGATGGTTCACTGAGCGATTTCAAACTTGAAGATTGATGGGCCTGAAAGGCTCAGGCCGCAGACAGACATACAAACTAGATACCTAGGTACGCACGTATGTGAATTGTTATTTTCCACGACAATTAAAGTACACATTCATTATCAAGTCCCCCTTCTTACGGCCGTTTTTCGAGTTGCATTTACCCCTGTTTCACAATGCTATTCTGCAAGTCGTGATTGGTCAAGGTTCCACCGAGAAATGCTCCCGCACAGCCCAGTGCGTCATCCCTCCAATAAGAAAAGCCCACAAGGTTGCAAGCTCCGAGTCGAAAGAAAATCATTGCGATATGCAGGAACTGGACCCCTAATTCGGGACCCTGAGAAAAATAATCTAATTATTACCGTGCTTCATAGAACCTATCAGTGTCCCTTTACGGAAACTGCTGTCCCGCCGACAATCAGCCCCATGAGTAAGCATTGTCTTCAGCTTACCCTTTGTAGAAATTGCTTATGGTAGGAATAGTGCAATGGCTTGTTTGAGCTCTCTCCAGATCCTTCAGGTTTCAATATGGACCTTGAAAATGGCAGGAAGTTGCGAGGTGCCAGTGCCAGTGGCTGCTCAGGTGATTGGTGGCAATCGAAGGTCTTTGATCTTGACTCTGGTATATAACTCAACTCCAGGACTGTTATCAATCCATCCATACTCGAACTCACAAGCTCATTTCAATCGAACCCCTGCTTCTAGTACTTTAATATACACCATGGCGATTTTCAAGACCGCAACTCTCATCGCCTTGTTAGCCGCACTGGCAAATGCCGGTCATTCTGCGGACCCTGGCGTTGGCTCAAACCCAAAGGCCGAGGGTGCAACCGACAAAGTCACTTCCAAAACTGGACCCAACGGGTACGGACTATTCGAATGGTTGTATTATTGCGCAATTCATTCGGCTTGTTGACTTTATTCATAGATCCGAAGATTGGCTCAACACTGGTATCACCGGAGGTGGCTGGAAGCCGCCTTACCTCGCCCTCGAAGACATCTACCACATTTCGCTAGATACCTTCTACGACGGCATCGGATCACCCTGCAAGAAATATGACAATTACTTCCAAAGTGCTGGGTCGAAGTACAGCATCGATCCCGTCATCCTAGCTGTCCTCGCGATGCAGGAATCCTCTTGCAATGCCGATGCCGGCGGCCCAACCCCCGGATTGATGCAGGTTTCTTGCGAGAACTATCCCAACGGGAAGTGCACCGACTCGATTCAGGACAACGTCAATGCGGGAGCCAACTATTTCCACGGGCAGCTCAAGGAGACTGGAGGCAATGCGATCCAAGCCTTTGGCAGGTACAATGGATGGTTCGTGGCTGGTAGCGGGTTGAACCAAAACAAGGGACTTACTGAGGATTATCCCTGCTCCTCAGAGGGACGGTCCAATGGCGAGCCCCAGAACCTGGATTATGTTCATCAAGTGCTTAATGGTTGGTTGCTGGGACTGGATGTATATGGCGACGACAACTGGATTGGTACTTACAAGTGCGACCAGAAATGCGGTGATGGTAGCAAGTGTTAAGTACTAGATCTCAAGGCTGGGGACGTATTGGTTTCCCTATTGAGATTACCTAAGTAGTACATAGATCCACGGTTATTTGGGAATTTATCAGGTCCGCCACAATCATGAAGACAGACTTACCGAAGTGAATATGTCTAAATCCCATGTTGCCTTTCCGTTGTTGCGTCTCTGAGATGGACAAACAAAAACACACGCTTTCACTGTCTCGCTGTCTCATGACCATCTCGCTATCTCCCTCAAACCCCCACCTCAAAGCTACTTAGCCTGGAAGAAGATTGTGCACTAGCTGACCGGTGACAAGCCGTTGGCTCCGCTGGATGCAACGGTTGCTGGTGCGGTTGGACTGTCGGCAGGCGACGAGTCCCTAAAGCTGTAAGTGTAGACAGAACGGCAGCGCTGGATAAACCCCTAGACGGGTCTTAAGATGTACACAGGAGGTCCTTTCGGGTCGTTCAAACAACCAAACGTCCCTGGGTGCCCACCAAGTCTCGAAGTGAACATCCGGGCGTAAGGAGAAGCAAAGCCCGGCACTGTGACCTATCTTCGAACAATGCGTTTTGGAGAGAAGTCACGTCAAATTCTTCCCACCACATGTTGATATCCTTGGCCGAATATTCAAGTCAAGAACGGTATGAATAGTGTCTTCGCTTGTATAGAAGAACAGAAACTCGCTTGGAGTCTCATATACCAGAAACAGTGGCTTTTGGGGTGGGTGATGTTGTTGCACAAATTGGGATATACTGGAAAATGTGCATGTGCATCGAAATAAATGTCGTGACCTTTCCGAATCGGTCTTGTGGCTGCTCAATTGGTATGCCGTCCGTTTTGGCTTTCTTGCTCATTCGGAGGTCGAGTGCTGTTTCTGGGTAAGCCGTCGGCAGCAGCGTTGTAAGACATTGTGGTAGCGTGTGGTTTTTTCAGTCTTTAAAATCTCGTCAGCTTATCAAATTGCATTTTGTGGGCTGGTGGAATGTGTTCGTTATCTCACAACAAGCTTTCTTCTGCCTCAACCCGTGTTTCTCCGCGTGCAGGATGCGTTGATAGTCTGCGATGGGGTGTTGCATGGAAAGAGGGTCTTGCACTAAATATTTGGTCTAAAATCGGCGTGGTCAAAAATTTCTCGCTAAATTCACTCCCACGCCTGACGCCTCACGTCGCTTACGCGAGTGAAATCCAGACCGAAGATAAGCCACTTGGGTGGTAGATCCCAACTAGCTAAACGGCATTGAATATGACTGGCGGGAGTGAATGAAGAAGATGAAAACGTTGATGAAACCAGAAAAGAAGTGAGAAGAGATGCAGAAGTGAGTGAATCTAGTATCTAGAGAGGAAAGGCACGCCTTAGCGACCTGGATGCCTTAGGCCGCAGCTACCTAGGGACAACAGCAGCATTGAACCTTGCAATATGGCAATTCATACTACCTTTAATATAGAAAATAGCTTCTACATTATAATTGTAGTGCTTGAAAACCATCAACCTAGTAGTCTTCATCGTTTTCATTTATTATGATCGTAGTATTGAGTCAGCATTTCACCTGTCTTTGAGGTAGTCTATTTGCAAGGTTTCAAGCTACAATGATATTTCTTCGTGGCATATTCCCTTCGAGTTTGATCTAAAGACATCTTCGTTTTTAGATAAAGGCACACGTTGCTTGCTCTCTAATTAAGCTCTTCCTTTTGCTGACCTTTGAGCATCTTTTGTGGTACATATTGACGTTTTGCCCTGCTGTATTGAATACAAACCACGGATAACTCCGGATCAACAGCTACAAACGGGAACTAGAGGGAAGATGTTGCGAAACAATAGTTTTTGAACTGAGTACAGCTGTGGTTTCCATGCGCCAATTTGCCATCCATAATTATGCTTCATACAATTTGTGGCCACAGGGACCTCTGATATAGGGCTTGTATCAAATATGCTGCCTCGCCTTGACAGGTAGAGCCACGACGTCATTGCCCTTTCTATCCTCATATGACACATCCACCTCCGTGGTCCGATGAATGGCGTTTGACTCGTAGATCTCATCCTTCAAAATGTGTCCTGTATCAAGATCGTCGATCCCTGATGATGGCTCTTTGTACATGACGTTGCTGTTAACCTTCCCGTGCACCGTAGTAGTCGTCTACGATTCCAGCGCAAAGTCACGATGCGTGCCCTTCCCTGCGTTGAGATTTTTGAGCGGAATATGGGCTGACATGGTTGTATTGGGAGGCGTCATTCGAGGAGTTGTTGCCCCGTATGGATCGGTAAAAGGGACGTAAAGTAGGTATGCTGACACAGATCATCGTGAGGGTAATTTCGGAGTTTGTCCAGATACATGATTCTGTCACAGCATCTGTACTTCTGTTAGGACATTGAAAAAGCACAGGGAGGCGGGGAGAGCTGTCAAATTACAGAGGTAGTCATCTAAGACAGCTAATGCATTGAGATCGGTTGTTCGTATAATTCCACAAATACCGGCGCTGCTTCGGAGTTAGTATTGCACGATGAAACAGCCCGAGGATTTAGAGAAAATTGCGAGGGAGAGAGGGATGAGCGTTAGAAGGGTAACGCACATAATTCCGAGACTTAGTGATAAACAGATATTGACTTTTTCTTTGAACTTCATGTTCAATCCTCAAAGGGCAAACTATGATTAAATGGCAAGAAAAAAGTTCCATGACGGCAGACCAACCTGTAAGTGATTAGCGACAAAACACTTGGTCAGAGGGAGGATGTCTATGAGGAGTATTCTGTCTGCTCAGCTTTCTCCTCTCCATCTGCGCATTTTTCAACCTACCACACCTACTACTAGCTGGTTACCCGGCAACTCTAAGTACACACTGCATGATCCAATCACAAATCCTCTCGGGGATCCCATGAGCTAGGAAGCACCCCCGGTGGAATACCTACTGGTCGTTGTTGCGCCATATCCTGCGCTTCTGGTGCATGCTGCCTTTTAACCGCAAATGATGAGAGAACTGAAGAGCAGGATCAACACAGAACAATCTCCAGACATGGTACTTTTGTAATATGATTTGATGATCACAGACCAATGGGGCATGTCAGGTGGAGACAGCCTTCTAGCTGGACTTGCTAACGAATCCCTCGCTCTTCCCCACAGCGGCTGGGCTTGAACGCAGGATTCAGACCCAACCCCGGTGCCAGACAAGGCTGCGCTGCCAGTCATTCCACGTTTTACATACCACGTTTTTCATACATCGTTTTTTTCGATCCACGGTAGATTATAATTTAAAACATCAGGAACGCCAATAATGCCGATCGTGGCTTAAGGGAAAGCCGTTGTCCTGTCGGCCAATGTACCCGACAATTTCCTTCAATTGAAACAACCGAAACGCAAGAATGGATAATCTAGCAGCGCCCATATTCCCGCTCCTGAAGGGTAAAGTCGCAATTATCACTGGGGGTTCCCAGGGCATGGGGAAAGCTACTGCAGCTGTTTTCTTGAAAGCAGGCGCAAAAGTCGTAATTGCAGATATCAAGTCCGAACAAGGCGAAGGGGTGGCGAAGAGCTCTCTGCCATTGGGGATATTCATTTTGTGAAACTGATATCTCAAGGTCTGATGAGGTCCAAAATCTGATTGCGCAAACCATTCACGAGTATGGGCGGTTGGATGTTGCGATCAACAATGCGGCTCATTACCCCGATAACACTCCTCTTTTGGAATTCGATGAAAAAATTTGGAGAAGGCTGATGGATGTTACTTTGACTGGAAATCTGCCAATGGCGGGCTGTCATTTAGTTCGTATTTGAACAATACATGTCGAACTGAAAATACTCAAGGTGCATTATATCCTGTCGCCTCGAATATTCCGCCACTTACCTTCGAAAGAGTGACTAGCAAATACGTCTACTTGACGTGACCACCTAAGCGATTTCTCAACCGAATCATTCCCGTCGGTGTAATCACCAATATGGCCATCCATTATTTTATTCTCAAAGTCCACAGGATATGAGTCAAAATTGGCGAGTAATTGCGCCGGGTCGCAGGGAGATGACGGGCTGCATCGGTAAACTCATCGAGGGTTTAGTATCTGGCAGTGCGACCGGGCTCGTTCCACTGTTGGCATTACCCGTGAGTGTGCATAGGTTAGTGAGCCACATGCTCTGCTTAATTCATTTGAGCCGAACTTGAAATTGTCACTAACCTTTTGAATAAGTCACGAGGACCTAGATGTTCTTCCGGGCGAAAACGTCGAAGATGAAGAAGGCGACATATCTTGTACGAAACGGTCGCGGAAAACCGCACTACCACAAAATCATTCCAGCAAAGCTGCCCGAATCGACCATCACGATATGCACGAAGTTATCCATCTGGGAGATTCCTCTCGTGTCAGATCGTTGTCTAACATGCCATCCGAAATCCATTCTAGGATATTCGCGTGCTTAGACGACGTGATGGATGTCCTGCACTTTAGCCTTAGCAGTCGATATTTCTGGGCCGTCGGGCTCCTGCGTATTGAGGAGCATGTTGTTTGCTCCCTTGCTCCCTGGGCCGGTGAGCCTATCATCTGCATAGACGATCGCTGCGACCCAAGCAATTATCCTTCTGGGTTGCTCACTCCGGAACAAGCGACCGAGGTAAGAGAGTTGAACCAGGTCTTCGACTTGAATTCGTTCTCGATAAAGAATTCATACAAAAGGGTCGGAGGACTATCACTATCGCAGAAATTGCAAGAGGCGTTTCTCGAATACGAGTCGCATTATCCCATGCCCGAGCTTGACCGTGTCGAGATCACGATGGGACTGAAGCGCGAGATTCTCGAATTTTACCCCCGCGACCAGACGTGGATTTTACGCAACCTCACAACAAAGGAATTTGTGAGAGGCGAGGCAATTGCACTCCGAAAGGAATTCATTCATGGGCCTCAAATCGACGTGCTGGGGTTTGCGGAAATTCTGATTTCGAGGATTTCGTGGTCGGATGAGGTTGAGAAGATTGGTCGATTTGATATTACATCTTTATCACAAATTGGTTGCGAGAAAAAGTTTGACTCGTGGAAGGATGTAAGTAATGAAATATTGAGAGAGCTTGATTTGATGATCAGTGAGGAAACTGGGGACGATTGGCGTGACCAGCTTGCAGAGCAACATCAGAAGTCGGCGACTTCAGCCTTTTCTAGGTATCTTTGAATTTAATTTGTTAGGTTGGTATCTTCCTTCTCGGAATTTGAAAGTCGTTTCCAGCTGAATGCATTGTTTTGTCTGACACTAACCCATTTGATGAAGTGGGCGTTGAATCTAGGATATTAAGGCACCAAGGCACTAAGACAGCAAGGCGTCACTAACTATGCGGCTCTGTGGGGGAAGTTAGGCCGCCCCTCTCCTTCTCTCCACTTCACTCCACCATCACTCTTTCCACTGCACTCCTCATTCAGTCTACTCTCGCCAATCGCTTGATTCATTAATTGCATCCAAAATGGGAGAGAAACTCTCAATCTTGTGCTTCGGCAACTCTCTGACCGCTGGCTACTACAATTTTGGTGAACATTACCACCCGTATGCCGGAAAGCTCAAAGAAATCATCCAGCCAGTGATACCTACTACAGAGATCACTACAGATATCGCCGGACTTCCTGGAGATCTAGTCTGCTTTCCGGGCTCATTCATCTCCCGCATAGCAGAGCAGACAGTCAGGAAGAAATACGACTGGGTCATCTTTCTCGGCGGAACAAAGTAAGACTTATCCCTTCATCCAGTCCCAATATGGTTCCACTTGTTGGCAGTGCTGATTGACACCCACTCACAGCGATATTGGCCACGGAAAACCGACCGATGATATAGTTACCGGTCTCCAGAAGGCTTGGTCAATGGCGCTCGACTCGGGGGCCAAGGTCCTCGGTTTGACTATCCCGGAGTGCGCTGCGAAGATTACACGCATAGATGACAAGCGTAATGAGGTCAACCGCCGGATCCTCGCTCACAAGGCAGACGGATTGTGAATTGAATTCAATTAACTAGAACCGCGTCAAGCCCGCTAACAATCATCTAGTTTCGCCTTCGACCTACACGCTGCAATCCCCTACCATTCCGCTTCGAAGGAGTTCCAGAATAAGGTTTTCGATGATGGACTTCACTTAACCCCACATGGATACGACCTGATGGGTCAAGCAATTGGAGAACATTTAGCTGGGCTACTCCGGTCTTCTGGAGCTCAGTAAAGCCTCCCGGTCCGAGATGGCAACCTGTCGAGAAATGTTGCCCTGAGTTTCGGCGTGCGAGATCGATTCAGTTTACCTGCAATTTTCATACCCTCGCTGCATATTTGAATATGGTTCTTTCCAGCGACCTAGATAAGTATCTCCACTCTTGACAAGGCGACCTGTCGTCTTTTGGTTCTAGGTTCGGATGGAGTTACAATAGGACATCTTTCAGACAATCATCATTTCCTCAAATTCGAGTACTCGCATCGACATCTTAAGTACAAAAATTGATCAATAGTTACTGGGGATCGGATGATAGGCTTGAGATATTGAAACCTCAGATCAGGTGGTGTTTGTGGTTGTCATAGAGGAGACCACAATCGGATTGCACCACATTTTCCATCAATGGCATCTCAACTAAACAATCGGGAGTGTCAACAAAATTGATGAGACCGGGGGACCCTAGATAATATCTTCAGCAACCACATCTTAATAGACATGAATAATAAAACCCACCTATTCCCGCGTAACGGTAATATTAGCAGCAAGTGATCTGTGCTCAGTAACCTGAAGCGAATCCCACTGAGCAGGCTGGTACAGATACTGTTGCGACCCATTATAAATGAGAGAGAAGAGTGTACCATCACCGGCACCCTCGAACTTGAATCTCTCCCAACTATTCAGGTCACTCGCATCACACGAGATATCCCCGTTCTTGTTCACGCCCAAGAGCTTGCCGGTACTAGCGTTGCGGAATCCAAAGCCGTCGTTGTTTGCCTCTGCGCGCCAGAGCTGGTTGCGGGCTTTTTCCCAGATGCGCATGTGGACTTCGTGGTCGTTGTATTTGCCGGGGACAACGCTTAGAGCGCCGGAGCCGGAGACTTTGATGGAGTAGGTGGCTCCGTTGACGAAGCTGGTTGAGGAGATTGAGACTTCGGTTTCAGACATTTTGGAGTTGGAAGAGGGTGAAGTTCTTGGAAGAAATGAGGTTGATATTGATGGACTTGATTGAAGTGGAATGAGTTGATTGTTGATGGAAAAAGAAGAAATGGTCGATGGTGGGCATTTATACTATTCTCGAAGATCGATTGAAAAATTGTATCTTCGCCTGCTCGCCTGCTTTTCCGGTTTTCGTCCTCAGCTCGTGCCCGACGAAGTAGGCACCCCGATGGCTGAATTCGCCAAGATTGAGATCACGATGTTGCCCAGCGAAGGCTTCTAGAAAGGCAGGTTACAATGTAGACTCACATCTCGAGATGACTGTGTCTTCTGGGTCGCGTTGCCCTTAATTGGCGAGGTGATCTGGTCGCCGACCTCGGGATTCGACTCGATATGGATCCAGGCTCATTATATTCGATGCCAATATATTTCCCGACGGTGGGCAATGGAGCGCTGGGCAACCGTAAGAATGCTTGAAGGACAAGCCACATGAAGTCTGAACTGGATTTGCTTGGGCGCTCATGAAACTTGGCTTAGAATTGCATGGGATTGAAATCTTGACGGTTATCTTCGTCTCCGCTGATTCGTTCCGAGTTCGTGTTCAGTCAATGTGGGCCAACTGGACAGCTTCATTCTTTCTAGGAAATAATTCACAGCCATGGAACTGGAAAGAAATTTTTGAATATCAATTAGTCTACAAATTAGTCCTCCATGTCGCGTGTCGATTCATTTTTCGATTCAAGAAATAATCAAGGCGCCAAGAAATCGCCGGCTGACAGGCTGCGGCAACAATTTCCAAGGCGGCTGACAGGCGGGCCTAGGTCTTTTCGGGATTTCGGACATACCCGTAGACGGATTGTTCAGCTCCAAGAAATCGGCTTGCGGTGCTTGTGTGATCTTAATGTGTCTTTGTGGCTTGGAAGTGGTCATCATGCGGGGCAACTTGAAGGTCACTTGCGAGCCAAGACCTCCTAGTTTCGTATTGTGCAGTCTACGATATACCGGAGGGGTTATGAAATAAGCAGGTTGTATTCGTTGAGACTTCTTATTAGGAACTCGAATCATTCAGAGGATCTAGGCTGACCGTGAACGTAGTACTACTAGTTAGTAGTTGCAATGTACCTAATTGCACTAAACTTTTAACTTACTCCATCCCTACCTTGGAGATTGCTACTACTAGTACTAGTACGATCTAGTAGGTACAGGAATCAAACTCACTATCATGCTAAAGTAGATATATGCCCGTCCGTGTGAAGCAATAATGATGCGGAAGTTGAAGCTTTCAAACACTGGAAACCGACGCTCTGCCGGTAGGATTGATAATTTCTATCCAAGATGAGCTGTATTTCTGACTCAGAGATATGCCTTCTCTCCTCGTAGACTTATTCTTTCGCACATGATTTGCTGTTGGAGGTTGACTTTAAGTCTTTCGAATCCGGTGTGCTTCTCGAATCTGCGTGATGGCACTACTTTCCCGCAGTTGGCAAAACGCATTCAAATCACAGTAGCCTATTATCCATACCTAATAGTGAAACTGGAGTTCGAGGAATGCATATTGGTGGCCTAAGCAACGGGTAGTCTATAGTAGGGTCTATAAATGCCATAATCTATGCTAGTACTAAGAGTAATTTAGCAGTTTACTTGTAGTGCATAGTATTCTATAGAAGGCAACTGCAAACAGGGCAGGCAGGACCGGACTGTCACCACCACCAAACCACTTCAAGTTGGCAATTCTCCTCTCTCACTGACCATCACCACAACAACGCCGCTCCCTCCTCTTCTGCTTTCCTGCTCTTTGCTCCCTCTCTTTCACGTTACTCTAACTATTACTCCGATCTTGCCCGTTTTCCCTCCGATATTAAGTGGGCCCCGTCTCCTGCACTACGCGACAGGAAGCTACTTCAAGGTATGTTCTCCGAGCCCCCAAGCCGAAAATACTTGCGATATCATTCTGACCTTCTGCAGCCAGCAGCGATCCGAGGAGGGTCGCTTCATAACGCAACCAACCAAATTTGCCTTCTCTTGCTATGGCAGAGAACACATTAAATAACCACTTGCCCGGGTTGTGAGAACGGGTGGCGGGAGCTGCGGGTCTTTCCAGGAGGATATGATCGTCTCGACACCCTGGTAGTAGGGGAAGACTGACATAAGGCAAGCTGCCTCACGGGTCTGGGAAGGTTCCTTCACCCCATTTGAGCGCAACAATGCGACTCAAGTGCTATTGGAGCTCCAGGCTCTGGAGGTTTGGCAACGGCATTTCCACTTGGTCATCTGCAGTCATTGTGAATACTGTGCCGGACTGGGAAGCTTGGCAAGCTGGAATTTCGGGTACTGTGAAGGACTTTTTGCGCCAGATTGTAGTTTTGGAGTGCTCGATACACTCGAGGCGTGTACATCGCAGAACAGCTACTCGGAGTCGGCGGTGTAGGTCTACTACTATGATCTCGCACTAAATCGAGTTAGCTATATCCTAAAAGCTGGCTTGGATAGACTTATTTGGCTCTAGAAAAAAAGTATTTAGGTATTTGCAAATATCATCACAGGACTTGAGAGGTCCTGCTTGCCCTTGGGCTTTTCTTTCTTTGGCCGCCTCTTTCAATATATCTCTGGCAGGTATAATTGCCTCGCCTAGAGAAAGAAAGTCAAGCAGTGCATGGTGTCTCGGAAGAGGAATCTAGCGTCCCAGTGGTGTACTGGAACTTTGATTTGGAGTACGTTTGTAAGGGCCGAGTGTAATGTCGTACCATCGCTTTCCTCGCATTTCGAAGCCATCTTCGGACAGCCAGCCACTGAACAACAAAAGGATATGAGTCTTTGGCATCCAAGTTCGTTAGATTTGCACTTACATATTCATGGCACGCCTGACCACTTCAGCATTGCCTCGACATCTGCGAATGTCTTTTGGAGACAGCCCACCTCCAATGAAGACAGTGAACTTTTGGCGAAGCTGCATCTCTTTCCCTGCTCTTCCCAGTCATCACCGTGACATTTTCGGACCAGATCGCACATCCTGATGCACGCGAAGAAGAGTCCATGCTTGGAGATACGATTCTGACACCACGAATCGCCCACATGCTTCGTTCCAGCAAACTGGATAAAAAGAGCCTCCATAATCGCAGTCTTCTGTCCAATGCGTTCATCAAATCCCTCCCCGGGTTTTCCTTTCACGAAGCCCGGGCTCTCTGGGCAGATTTCGCCGCTTCGGTCTATGTAGAAGGGACTTTGGATCCTTGGACTTCCTCTGTCCCCTTCTCCGATCTCAATGCCTTCCTCCACTCTTTGATTTCAACCTTTAGTATTGCTGTGGCCTTTTAATTTGTTCATAGGTGGCAATCCTTCTCAGGTTGAGCACGTAGCTCCCGGCCAAAGCTATATCTCCGTTCTTGGCCTTCCAGTGGCAATTACCACATGCGGGATGGAGGTCAAACATTGTATTGCATGATCGAAAAAGGAACCCTCCGCCGATGAAGTGGAAACAGTTGGGCTCCCACGTACCGGATCATGATACTGTCTTGGTATTCTTCTGATCGAGGAGTCGGACGCATTGATACCCAGACTGGGCCTCACGAAGAGCAAGCTCTCTGCGTATCGTATGATGGATCTTCTGGGTAAATCCAAGAGGAAGATAAATATGAGCCACTTTTTTCCAGCGGGAAGGAGCAAATCAATTGTTTACTTTGCCAAAAGGGAAGGCGTGGCCAGGTCGTGGTTGCCCTTCCATCCGCCTCTCGCACTTCCTCAACTTCGCAATTGCAGCTCTGTAGAGCTTCTTCTCTCGTATTATCCCATTCATCAATTCCCTAGGATCTCACAGACCCTTAAAAGCTCCCAGGAACAAAGGCTGCGCGGGACCAGGCTGAGATTTGCTCATCACATGAGCTTGTGCCTAGAATAAATGAGGCTCACGTCCATTTATTTCTCATGGGGAGACTAGATTAGGATAGCACTCTACTATAAATACTGTATCTTGGCCATATCTTGAAAGATAGAGGATGTCGCTAGTTGTGATTGGTGGATTGGATGGAAGCCACTTAGTTGGACCGATTCGGGCCGATTCAACTTATCCCTTTCTTCACTTCAATTTTCAAAAAAACAATATTCGAAGAGAATAAGATATTCAAATCATTAATAGTCACTGTGATGTGACAATGAGATAGAGTGGGATGACCAATTTCCGGCAAAGAAAGTCATTCAAAGGGTAGCAAAGCTTTAATGCTGACTGAAGAAAATGACTTGTATGCATCATGGTATGCCTAGGTGGTTGCGAGTAAAAATACGATTTCAAAAGCAGATTATATCACTTTCAGAGTCAGTTACAGCTCCTAATTTCATACTTTGCCGGACTTGGTTCAAGAGGGTTCCTTGCGCATGGCCAAGAAAGCATTAGACAGCTCATTGGTCGTATTGGGTATTGAGACGGGTCAGTGAGCAGAAAGACCTCGATAAATCCCAACTAGCCAAACATTTGCCAACCTTGCTGGAAAAGGGAGGAAGGTTCAACACCATCGAATTGCGCAACACCAGCCTCTGTGAAAGAAAAGCTATACCAATCGTAGTCCTGGGGTATATCTATCGTCACTGGATCGCTTGCTCCCAACTCACTAGGTGGTTCAAGGTCATTGCTATTAGTATCCGCCAGATGGAAGCTGTGTTGGACTTCTGAGCCTTCGCTTCCTGTAGACCTGTTCATCGTGAATGGTTGCAGTTGCTCATTTGATACATCCATTGGCGTTTCGAAGCCGTCGCAGTGACGAGTTTGTGCTGCCAGATCGTCTGAGCGCATATTAAGTTGACCATGGGTAAGACGTGCTGAACCATGTGGTTGTAAATACTTTGGTAAGTGCGTTCGCAACGCGGAATTCAATATCTCCCACTTTAAGGCCGTCAAAATATGATAACTTATACGCGGGGCAAACTGAACTTACCGGACGTTGTAGAGCCCTGGAATATACACGAAGACGATCCAATAGATGCAAAATTGACGTAACAGAGCTTAATCTGGAACGACTCTCGCTCATTTCGGTGGGGAATCCATTCATCGTACCGCTCGCGCAAGATCTGTCTATGACCAGAAGGACGATACCCACAACAAATGCGCCATAACCGACAAGAGATGGCACAAATGAAGCATGACGCTGACCAGAAAAATAAGGCTCTAATAGAAGTCGAAATATACTTGCGTGTTTTGCTACTGCTGCTGCACCTTTTCTCTGCGTAGCAAGGTCGATTTTGGGGTCATCTTTGATACCCGAGAAAACAGGCACGACCATCGAATGTATGCTTATCTTGCATTGATAATAAAGGGCATCATGCACTAGCCACATGACTTGGTTTTCGGATGTCCAATTTTTGTCATTGGCAGAGCTTCTGAGAGACTCAGCCTCGTCAAAAAATGAAGTTGCCAATTGGGATAATTTCTCTCCAGTATCGATATTATGAGAAACCTCAGAAGCAATACTATCTTTGCACAGAAGCTGAACTTTTGCCCTAAATATTTCGTCAAATCTTGTTTTCCGCAGATTCAAATTCGAAGTTAGCGCGTGCACTTACCAGACGCCCACCATTTTCATCAAGAGTGCTGGGGCTCCGGAGGGATCAGCAATTTTCGTTCCATTCGTCAAAACGCTGGAATGCCAGTCCTCGTCCATAATCTCGCCAATAGTTATTTTGTATCCTGATGAAGTGCTGTGAAAGATACCCGGCAGCGGCAACATGGCTACTTCCTGCCAGCACGCTTTGATATATGGTTCTGGCTCCATGACAATACATGTAGATGTCCAGCAAGCCCAGAAGCATCGACGACCAAGCTCCAACTCGAGCGACACGTCCCAGTCATTCATCTCATTGTGTATCTTCTTGTTATATCCAAGCAGATGGCAGGCACGATAGGCCAACGCTAAAGATTTGTTAATATAAAATCTCCTATGATGTGGGTTACAAGAAGCCACGAGCATGGAAACTTACCAAGACATAGGCTGCCTTGGTAGGGCTCGCCAATGCCAAACCAATATAGTTGAAGGGACTCCAGCGCTTGAATTATCATAAGAGATGGTTTTTCCACGGCCAATACCATGGCCTCCTTGAATGCAGCTGTCGCCCACGGGAGACCAGAAGAGTGGTACATGCTCAGGACTTTCAATTCCACATGGCAATAAGTGGCGTCAGCTTCGTCGTTCGACACACTTGGTTGAAGATATCTCAAGGTAGCGTGTTAGCTGAGTTGTCCGTGGAAACAACAGTGATGAGCCTCGACGTACAGGGTTGCCAACGAAAACAAAGCTCTGAGAAGAACGACATGGACTTCACCGTGAAGGTATTGCTGAAAAAGAACAGACTTATAAAAAAGTAAAGGTGCGTTATAAACGCGCGTAAAGTATAGTTCTAACAACGAAAGACCAAGTGCAGTTGGTGGTAATGGTGGCTGGTCCGAGATGCCTGCTGGTTTTGTTAAGATTGGGCTCATCGTTCGTAGCTGGTTCGGGTATGACTATTCAATAATCAGCAAATCAAGACAAATACTCTCTGACATCGATGCGCCTGTGCATTGGGCCTTACATCGGACAGCATAGGACCACCTGCAGCAAGCCCCGCAGGTGCATCATTTACTTCAGGGTCGCAGTGGGCAGATGGAGCCCCAGATAATGGAGTCTCCAGGCGCGAGTCTGCAAGCATAACATTAGAGGCAACATGTTCCGGCATTGAAACTCGCGGGATGCTGTTTGGCCTCTGCGACTCGGTGATTGGCGTCTGCTGCGACGAAGATTCGTCATAGAGTCGTACCATGGCAGTTCGCGAAGAACGAGCGCGTTGTCGACCGTGTCTTACTGCCCTATCAGGAACTCGAGGACCACGTGGAGTCCGCGGTCCGCGACGGTTTGGAGGCAATGGATAAGAGCATGTGGTGTCGAGTCGCTGGCATCGCGAACATACGGGACGTTCACGACCACACTTGAGCTAGAAGCGGGTGGTTCATTTTCAGCACATGTCGCATATCCGGCCTTCGGGTCGATGTAGTCACCTTCTGTTCGCGACACCGTAAACATGCAGTCACAGATGTGCGCGTTTCGGAGCCTTCACCCGCTTGGCCACATCCTGAAGCTTCAGAAGTATTCATAATCCGTCGCTGCAAGAACTGGTCGCACGGAACTAGTTATTCGGCACTATTCAAGTTGCAAGTATTCGGGCCGAATCGTCATTTCCTCACCGCTGTGCATCATAGTTTTGGCCTCAGGCATTATGAAGCGTGCCTGTTTTCGCCCAGGTACTCTAACCCCACTTTAGATGATTCTGAGCTCTTGCCAGTCGCATTCTCGTCGACTATTGTATACGAAATTTTGACCCAGTCCGCCGTCCGATAAGTATATGACAGATCATGCCACCGGTAGGAAGCCGAGGCACGAAATTCGTGATCAGATGAAAGAGGGAGAAAGAGCTAAGGGCGAAGCTATAGAGACAGGGGCGGCCTGGGATCTCTGAGGCGCGATTAGCCCTCAACAGTTTACCATGGACTTCCAAATCAGGATTCCTATTTTAGGTTGCTCGGGTGGGACTTCGCTAGACTACTAGATCGTCCCTCCCAATATTTTTCACCTAGGTACCAGCTACTAGTACCAATGACCTCAGGATTCCGTGGAAGATTCCATAAGTACCGCATCTATATTTTCAGATGGACCGGAAACACCTAGCTAAATTGCGAATGGACGGGCGTGGCGAACATGATGCAAATACTACATTCAGTCCGACTCGACGGTCAACAGAGCTCTACGTGTCCATTGCGCGGGTGACATTATGCCTCGGAAGTAATTCTGCAGCTAGCTGGCTAACATGCGAGGTTACCAAAATCGAATCCTGCCCAGGTGGTCTTCCTATTCATCTTCATCTCCATCTTCATCCGAGCCTTCACCAGCCCCCTCGAGGGCAGCAATGCGACTCAGGTGCCATTGGAGGACGATCGAGAGGAAAGTGAACAGCCACATAGGCTTTAAGATGGACGCCTGCCCCAGCCCACATGCATCGGTGCCCTTGGTTTTCCCACCTACAAGAAGTGCAGCATCTGAGGCCAGCAAGGCGATGATGATGTCTTTCATGTCGTCGAGCTCATCGAATACCGAACGGTCTTTTATAGAATATCTTCTCGAATTTACACTACCTAGTAATAAGATTAAAGTTCCAAGGCTGGAAACCGCACCACTGCTGTCGTTGGCCGTGGGCTTTTATGCTCGAATTATTGCGAGGTTAATTTCATTTCTCGATGAGGTGCTCAGTCGAAATGTATTGCAAGGATGTCGAGGCCAGGGTGTTGCCCAGGTGCTTGGGGTTTATGACCCGTAGACTGGGCAATTCATGCAATGCGGTGATACATTTGTGAATGCTACAGTAAAGGAGGATATAACAAGACAATTAATAGCTTTAACAATTTCTACCAGTCAGATTACTTGAAAGTGTGTTACCTATGGATTTCTTTCGCTCTATAAATTTGAAGCCAGCCAAGTATACATGCATCTCCTGTGTTTATCTACCCGTAGCGCTCAAATTAAGCAATTGAAGACAGCTCCAAGTAAATCAAATCAAGTGATAGGCAATTTTCCTCCACCTTTTGTTTTCTTGACAAAATACAACGGAGCAAGTAATGATTCAAGGATACGAGTCCATCCCCAAGTACCGTCCTGCAACCGTGAAATTTTTGGCAGGTGAAGATACTTCGAACTGGTCATATATGGTTGCCACTCGTCACCATCGATCACCAAGAAAACTGGATAAACAGCACTCGCTTGAGCATCAGTGACAAATCAGGTGCCGAATCCATTTATCTAGATTAAGTTTGCGCTTGAAACGATCTGTACTTTCCAAAATCGGCCGCCGCTGACGTGATACCCCAGATTGGGCAGTTGTACTAAGATGCCAAGCCCGCATCAATCCCCGATCTAAGCCTCAACAACCGATCAAACAACAAATACCCAATCGGCGGCTTCGCCGGTTTCATTTTCGGTAATTTGCCAGAAATCCTGCATGGAGTACTTTCCAAATAGATTTTCACAAGTACTCCTTTGAGTGTAGTGTGCCTGCCAGATGTCCGTGTCAGGAATGACTACATCTCCAATTCCCAGTGGTTTACGAGGCTGTGCTTACATTTGTGAATTCCACATGGCCTTGATGTTCAGTGTCTTGCTTTTCTAACTACAGGATGTCATTGTCTATGCGTGTATAAAGTAGACATTTACCGCCGAAGATGAGTCTTACTTTCCACATTCCACTTTACCTATCTCTTCGCGGTTGAATAGCGTGAGAACCTAAAGTCGTGGCCCGTCATGATGTTTCACCAGACAGCGGTGATTACAACACTGCTCACCCTCGCAACCGGTGTTGTATCATCTCGCAGCCAAGCTTGCACTGCCAGAAGTTTCGCATCCCTCAATCTCAAAGGAATTCACATCAAATCTCTTAATGTTACAGCCGCGCATGAGCTTTCGACTAGCGGCCGCAATGCTACTGGAGGTGTCGGCATTATACCTGACGTTCCTGGTACCCCAGTAGCCACGGTGAATGCCTGCTTGATCCAAGTGACGTACACTCACCCTGGCCAGCATGACGAAGTGAACGCTTATATCGGTCTTCCTTTCAACCGACAGGATTGGAATTCTCGTTTTGTCATGGACGGTGGTGGTGGCTGGTCCGCCGGCGGCGAGAGTACAATTCTTTCGCCACTCTTGGAGGGATACGCAACATCTTCAACAGACGGTGGACACGACAACAATGCATTGACTGCGGAATGGGGTCTCACCAAGCAAGGCAAGACCAACTGGCCGGCGCTGATTGACTTTTCTAGCCTGGCTATTGCTGAAGCAGCCAAGCTCGGAAAATTGGCAACCAAGATCTACTACGGAAGAGACCCACACTACTCATACTGGCATGGATGCTCGACTGGTGGAAGACAGGGACATGCAATGGCACAAGAATACCCCGAGCTCTTTGATGGAATCGTCGGTGGTGCCCCGGCAGTGAGTTGGGACAAATTCGCTCCGGCTGGCTGGTGGGCTCCCTTCATGGCTCAGCTGCTTGGTAAGTTCAAGATGTTGTGTACTCTTCTCATTTAGATCAACGTTGCTAATCAAAATTTCGGCTCGCAGATACCCGTCCACCAACTTGTGTTCTTGATGCCTTTACGGCTGCGGCCACTGCGGCATGCGATGAGCTCGACGGCGTGAAAGACGGCATCATCGCCTTGCCAGGACAGTGCCACTTCAAAGCCTCTTCTCTCGTCGGTCAAAGGATCAACTGCACCGAGCCTGCCGGAGAAATCACTATCACCAAGAAGATGGCCAAGCTAGTTGAGGCTATCTGGGAGGGACCTCGATCCAAAGATGGTCGATTCGAATGGTATGGCTTCCACTACGACTCCAGCCTCACCTCAATGCTCGGGACAACTTGCACATCTGTCGACAACTGCACGGTCATTCCATTCCCAGTTGCCGACGACTGGGTCAAGGTTTTCTTGGCCAGGGATCCTTCCTTCACTCCCGAGGGTCTTAACCGCGATGATTACGACCACCTTTTCCGCCAGTCAATTGAGCAATATTCATCCGTTATTGGAACTTCGAGCCCAGACCTTTCCAAGATGAAGCACGTCGGTACCAAGCTACTCGCATGGCACGGAATGGCCGACCAGCTGGTCCCAACGAACGGAACAGTCGACTACTATACGCGCGCCACTGCATTCGATCCTCATGTTTCGGACTACTACCGTTTCTTCCTGGCACCTGGAGTCACCCATTGTGGATACGGTATTGGATTCGATCCCAGCCAGACTGTCTTCGGCGCTATGCGGGCCTGGGTTGAGAACGGCACTATCCCTGATCGCCTGGAGGCTGTGGCTTCTGCCGTGGGAACTTCGGACGCCACTGCAAAGCGTACAGGCTATCTTTGCCCATACCCCCAAGTTTTCACCTACAAGGGAGGTGACCCCTAACGCCGCTTCATCATTCACTTGTGTTTAGTGAGGCCTGAGTCCGTTCCGAGGTTGTTTCAATCGAAGACCGAAGCTTCAAGGTCGATCGCCGGCGGCTCATAAATCAATGTTCAAGTTCATAATTATGTTGGACATAGATTCTGCTACCCCAGTTTCCATTCACTCAAGTTCAAGTTTAAACCACCCATAGACAATTCGAAAGTTCAAATTCAAGTTTCCACTCGCAAGTTGTTGAAATTTGTATTTTATTTTATATATTCATGTTGTCATCCAATTATCATGCATCAGAGGGCTTCACGTCGTATTCGACATCCGTCCTGATAATATATTTAGCACCTTTCCTCACCCCCGTACCCTCATGTAAAAGGGCACCATTTGCCTCGCCATGAGGGAAGATAGCGACGGATCCCATGACAGGTCGAACTGGGTAGGCATTCAGGGTTCCCTCCCGAGCAGCCGGCAGGAAGAATGTAGTCTCGCCACCCTCAAACTCATCATTGAGATATAGCAAAAATGTGTACATGGAGCTTTGCCTGTTATCCTCGGGCGATGAGTCGTACACGTAAGTGTCATCGGGAAGGATACCAGACGGAGGCCAGGCACCATCGATGTGACAGCGGTATTCGGCGCCGGGGACATAACGGTATACGCGGAATCGTCGATTAATACCGCGAACAAGGCGGCCGTTGATGGAGGGTGGTACGTAGGAGGAGATTCGGGCCCAGAGCATATCGTGGAATGTGGTATCGATGACCCAGTAGAAGTTGTGGGCTAGAATGCTCACGTCTCCATCTTCGCGGAGCGGCGCATCGGGAAGGAAATTGACTGATTCGCCTGCCGCAATGATCGCTTTGCACTCCTCCTCGGATAGCACATTCATGGCGACACCGAGGCCTGGCACCGCAGGATGTGGGTGGTATGTTATAGTCGGGCCGACGGGGGCTAGAGGGACGGCATTAGGGGCGGTGGTATAGAGGATCGCGGGGTGGTGGTTCGGAGGTTTGCGCTGGGGACCGGGGGTTTCTTCGATGATGCGGAGCGCGGTGTGGGATTTGGGAGCGTGGGCGAGAATCGATTTATCGAGCACGGAAGCGTATATTTCGAGGGAAGGGCTAGAGGGTCGAAGGTCCCAGATTGACTGGAAGGCGATGGGAGAGGTGGAAGGGAGAGCCTTGGGGCTGTTATCGGTTGGAGCACTGACGCGGAGGATGGCATCCAACACAGCGAGGAGTTCCAAATCCTTCGGAGTCCGTTCCACAGGGTCCTTGTCGAGTGTATCTGGGTGTGTTGAAAGGCCACTGACGACATCCAAGTCTCGTACCCAGCGACACAAAGATCCAATCTTAGGTTGTTCGCCCTTGATTCTCATCTCAGCAAGGAGGATTCTGGCATCAACATATTTTTGATCGGCTAGGGCACCGGTTATACGCGCTGTGAGATTTGCGCCCTCTGTCATGGTGTTAGCCACAGCTAGATGGTGCAGTCATTGCAATCCGATCATAAGAGATACGTACCAGCAGCATTGGCTCCTGTCGTGCATGCCTGGCGGAAGTCATAGACGGCAACCCGGAGGTCCTTGCATGCCTTTGACTTTGTGAGATTGGGATATTGCGCAAGAGTCGTAAGCGTCTCAATCGTAATGTCAAGTTCTTCGTCTGAAACGACCGTGTTGAGGTGTTTTGGGTCGAGTGATGTGCCATCGGGCGGCGGTGTCAAGGTGACAGGTGCGGCTTTTTGAATCTTCTGGGGAATATCGGCTTGCGCATTGCGCTTCCGCTTAGCTGCTTTGGACTTTGCCATTATATAGTTTGATCTGAAGATTGACAATTCACAGACAATCCGATAAAGAGACGATAGAGGTGGGGATTCTAGGTTTTTTGTGGATGCGTCGTAGGGCGGAAAATTGAATTGCCGATTGGCCCACAGGGTGGCGAGGGTTTTGAAAATGATGCTCTATCACATTCCAAGGAAAACTTCACTATACATAGAATGCGTCCATGGGGAAATGGTAAGAATCGAAGGCGAGACCATAGTCGAGAATTGCCCTTTGATGATGATGAGTGGATGGCGATTGGTCATCGTTTGAACTCGAAATGTGTATTTTTTCGAAGGGGAGATCAATCATCCAAGGCGACTGAGATCCAAGTCCTTTGATCGCGGGTAAGTCAAGATATTTATCGCCTTTTGAGTATTTCAAATTATTGCTCAAGATAAAATTTGTGGTCCAAAGTGATTCTGAATTTTCAATCTATCTTCTAGCCTCCTGGCATCAAGCCCTGGAGTTCAACATACGGTGCCACTTCCGCGTCGGTTCCTCCAAGGTTGTTGACTTCGTTCTCCTATGATTGTCCAAGAACCATTCCATTTATGTCAGGTGGTCAATTCTGATTTAGCCAGCGAGGGAGTCTCACTTCTCGAGGACTATCAAGGATCCTCACCAATTAAAATGAAAATCATCTGTGGACACATGTCTGAGGCTTTTTCTGAAGCATTCGGGCACATTATCAACAGCTTTGTCTCTCCTTCAAGGAGGCTACTTTTTACATAAATCTGGCGTTGGCTCCAGCTGGTAGACTACTGGTACTTGCATAAGTGACTACCCTAGGTCGTTATCCTGCCGTTTGTTCACCCCGTTGCGCACGATCTATCTGGACTGTATTCAAATCGGCCTGGGCTGATCTCAGGGTCGCATTGCATCTCGGTGCGGGAAACTGCGAATGCCAGTGGATATTACAGCTTCAGCGGCCCGTGCCGGTATTTTTGCCCTACAACACGTCGTGGTCACGATTTCAACCGATCGAATGCTGTCAGAATGGTTAGCTTCAAGGCCGGTGTTTCATACTACAGACTAAACAGTGCCCACCCATGCAGGAACTACGCTAGAGCAGCCACAACATGGACCACATATTTTAATATTCATTAATATATTTGATTGCGACGCTGTGACATTTCGCCTATCTGTGGCGGTACTTTTGACTCAGTCAGTACGCGCATCCCGGGCCGCGGCGAAGCCCGTGCCAACATTCTCAGGGGCTGAAAGTTCACCCGAAAGTTCACCAACACGAAACATTGATGTATGCTGTAGGGGGTAGATAGGCTTTATTCAATTATTATGCAGAAGGCAAAATAAGATTTGAACTATCAATTTGGATTAATTATTTACCTAAACTTTTGGTAGAAACTAAGATTATTTAACAAGACGACAGGTCTGCTAGTCGTATAAATACCAGAGCGCAGATGCAGAAACCTTGGAATATATCATATATCGTTGGACATGGATCGTTCATCATGAATCGAAGATAGGCCCATAGGCCGGAATCCCCTGGGATTCAAACTCGTAAATAACCTTTTTGGTCATAGCAGGGTTACTGATCACAAAGACGGCCTCAGCGCCGAATTCAGTCACCTGCTGGCGTACAGTCGGAAGCATGTCAACACGACCATCACGACTGGTATCGAAAATAATGGGATCAGGTCCCATTTGATGCACAAGGTCCATGACACCCTGCCCGTAGGTCTTGACTGGGGTTCGGGTTTGCCAAATGACCTTGATTAGAGGCCGATTCTCATCACCCAGGAAGCCGAGACAGGGTCCAATTCCAGACCCAGTGGTAACAATGATAATGCGGTTAAAGACGCGCATACCATAACCAACACCACGCATCAGCACAGCACGCTTCCAGAGGTAAGCTGGCGGGTTTTGGATAGTGTCTGCGGTCCAGTCACCGGCCTTGGATACCACAATTGACCAACTCCTACGATGACCATGGCCGTGGGGCTTCACAATCTTCTTAGGCTGCTCGGGTTCTTCAAGCTGGGGAAGGTCTTGAGGCTCCTGAGGCTTTTCAGGGTCCTGAGATTTCTCAGATTGTGTCACATTTTCTGAAGATGCTGGATCAGGGAAGCCAGCAAAACTGTGCCAGTCACGAAGAGGATGCTTCGTGACTTGAATGCCCTTGGCAAAAGCAATTGGGGTGTGATCAAAGTGAACACGCGTAGCATGAGTAGAAAGTGGCTCAGTCTGCACCTTGACTTTTCGCAACAGAATCCATGGATGAGCCACAGCAACGATGGCTGCAAGCAATAGCCAGAAGGCGGGAAGGGTGATCAAGAAGTGGCCGAAGGAGTCCAGCTCAGCTCTGCTAACTTCGTGGACAAAGATCATCACAAGAACGACGAAAAGAGCCAGGATAAGCCATGAGGCAAACCGATGAGTGAGCTCAAAATAGTCGTGCATCTTCATACGGAAGGTGGGGTATGCCACAATGACCATGACTGCCAATAAAGCAAGGATGATATATGAGACAGCGATCGGCGCAGCCGAAAATCCGTGATCTGAAGCGGGACTGATGGGTGAAGAGGTCCAGTAGGTTTTTGACACAACCGCAACGAATCCAATGTACCATACTAAAGATGCAGTTCCGCAGCCGCTGTGAACACCTCCGTAGTGGGCAGCATTTGCAGCTCTGCGGCGGATCCAAAGAGGCCAAGATCTAGGAACAGAACACACAATTCTATAGATGGCATTGACGACCATTGGGTGTCGTGCCAGACCGCAGGCCACCAGATTCACAGCCGTCGCATCAACAAGTGCCAGTAGCTGGCGGTTTGAGATCATCACCCAAAGGAACACAGCCAGATTGGTGAAGAAGACAACACCGAACAGACGTCGATAGACCGTCAGGACATTGTATCTCAAATGCGAGAAGGCCTTGCGCTTCGGCTGAGGAGTCTGGGCCTCGAGATCATCTTCCAGAACAGCCGTCTTCTCATTTTGAGCTTGGGGCTTTTTAGAGAAGTAGAGCTCGAAAATGGTATTGTCAGAGTTAAATCGATTGTGGGCCACCCTTGCAGGGCGTTTCGGGAGGCCCAGTTCTTTCCTTTCCGCGTCCGACATGGCCGATAGGAGGTGAATGTAGGGAGAAGAATAGGATCAAGCGGATCACGTCCCAAAGGCAGAAACAAATAGTTTATCTTGCGGGGGACCAGAAGAGGGCAAGCACTCTGCGTGAGGCTGGCTGGTAGAGGGAAAAAGTCTACGGAGTACGGAAAAGGGATTTCATGGAAAGTCACTCACGAATGCCCCATAGTTCCCGGTTTACCCATTGCGAGTGGGGATCTGAAAGATGGTGGCAGCACCATTGTGGTAGTGATATGCATCACCACAGGCAGATGATTTCCAATACAGATTGGAGCAGCGCCAATGAAGCACCTTGCTGATCCAAACCCCGACACCATTGCCCCGGGACATTCGACCAAGGTCCAGCCGGAGATCGTCACTGCGTAGCGGGTCCCTCATGTGGAAATCAGGGCCACTTGGACTGTCCACTTAGGTCACCCAAGCTCTCTTTAGGGTTCTGTGGGAGTGAATCCACGTTCGGAGAGCTTCGGCCGCCCCGCGGTGGGACAAGCTGGGTCAAAAGAAAACATGAATGTCTTGCTGATGGTTAGTGTACTCCGTAGCATAACCCACATACGTACATGAACTCATGGTCTTGCTTATGGCCGATTAGGTTATAGTAGCGGTGAAGACTCGAAGAAAAGAGAAGAAAAGAGTCGATAGTTAGCGGGAATAGTCGGAAAACCCACTAGTTCAAACGGAGAATCAACAAGGCCCGATAGGTCGCTTAAAGCATCCTCACATTCCCGATTCAGATTGGCAAAAAAGCCTTGCTTCAAGCTCTCACGTTTCTGCCATGCATGCATGCGGAGTCCGGCTGCTCTGAAAAGCCGCTGGTGTTACTTCCATATGCTCATGCGATGTTTACAGGGGACCAAAGTACGAAACGTGGGACGCATGTCGTACTCCGTACGGAGTACCGCATCTCATCTCTTTACCGATTTGGAGTCGAGGGATTCTGATGAGACTTGGCCAATGCTAGCTTGCTCCGCAGCGGACTGTCACCTCGGCACAAAAAGTTTTGTCACCATGTTGATCTGATCGCCTAGATCGAAGTCTCGTCGATCTTGGTCCCATCTTCACGGCGCAGAAACCTTTCTCTGCAAGCTGCGGGGACCCGCCTGCAACGCAAACCCCCTTGATGGGGTGGATCCATGGGCAAAAGGAGATCTTTCCGTGACAGCACTTCCTCCCAGCACATGACTGCCGCTTAGTGCCTCGTGCGAAGGATTTCAAGTTACTGCATCACTCCAGCTAGCCATGCAGCTAAGGGAAATGATCCCAAATCCTTCATACACATAAGTGAGGGGACAAGGACCTGGGAGACAGGGGAAGGGACGGGTGGTGTCCGAGACCCACCGGCGCCACCGTGTTGGCTGGCGATAGGCGCTCGATTAAGTGGAGCTTCTTGTATTCGCGACTATACCTTGTTGAAAGTATCGAAACATTTCGAGACACGGTATTGTAAGTAAAATACACTCTAGAGTTCCCCTACTGTAAGGAATTCACCATGCCTCGTGGTGTTACAGAAGATTAGTCGAACGGGATAAATTGTTATGACTGTACACGATACTCTTAAATTAAAAGAGAAAAATATGAAACAACCTTGAATAAACACCGGTATATGTCTATAGAGCGCACGCAACAAAAATATTCAGCCGAGTCAAAGTGACAGAGGGTATGCAGTGGTCTCCACATCCCAACATCGCTTACCCCGAACAAGACCGACAACCTCAAAATAACGCCATGCCCGAATTCTGATTCATGCATACCTAGCTTGAAGCTGGTACGAAAGAGCTAGCAGCAGCGATCTTCTTCGCTAGGGCCTTGGTGGGTTGGGAACCAAGGAACTCGAAAGAAGTCAGCTCGGCGCCCAACTCGCGGGAGACCCAATTTTGAACCGCGGTGGCTTTGAGAGAATCAACTAGAGACAATTGTCAGCATTATAACCCATAGAAACGATCGAACCAAGAGCGAATATCTTACCTCCCAATGCGGATAACGGCAGGTCCATATCGATAGCATCGGCAGTTGTAGCCATTTCGTTTGCCAGGTATTCACTCAAGACGTCTGTGACAATCTGAGTGGCGGTCTCGGGAGTATCAGCCTGTTTTAGCAGGCTAGCAGTAGTAACGGCGGACTCGTCCTCCTCCTCCACGGCAAGAGACAGGCGGTGATCGAATTTACGATCAAAGAGCCAGTCTGCCGGAGGAGTCTTGCGAGACAGATTATCAGTCATACCAGCAACAATCTGAGATGGCAGTGGAATCTTGCTGTTAATCACGACCTTGAGCAAGGTCTGGAGCTCTTGAGTCATGATCTCAGTTCCTTCCAGGTGCTTGTATCGGCGGCGACGTTGTTCCTGATCTTCAGCAACATCACTGAGACCACTGGCATCTGGAACAAGACCGATGTTGATGGATACGCCAGAAAGCCCGTTGGCACGACGCCACTCCATGAGACCGTCAATGAACCCGTTTCCAGCAGAGTAATTAGTCTGACCCATATTACCAATGACACTTGCCACAGAGGACAAACCGACAAAGAAGGACAAATCATCCTCGGAGAAGAGATTATGTAAATTTAGAGTGCCACGGATCTTTGGGTCAGTGGACTTTTTCCAGTCATCAAAAGTCATGTTCTCAAACATCGCATCCTGGGAAGTAGATGTCAGCTAGCTAATCGTAGAAGCTGGATATAATAGATAAATCTTACCTTGAGAACTGTTGTGCATTGTATAACACCTGCCACATTCCACTTCATGCTGCGAATTTTGAAGACGAGATGCTCGATATCTTCGGCTCTAGAAATATCACATTTCACTATGTCGACACGGCAGCCCTGATTACGGAGTAGATCGAGGGATAGTTGTTGGCCGCGTTGCGCGACGCCGGATCGTCCGAGAAATACCAGGTGCCGAGCCCCAGATTCAACTAGAGTCTCAGCAAAAGCTAATCCTAGATTACCCAGACCACCGGCCAGAATATAGGTGTTTTGAGCAGGTAATCTGGTAAGATCGGGCAGTGGGAGGACGATTGGAACCTTTCCAGGTGCCTGCAGATCAAGTATAGCACGAGTGTGGTTAACTTGGCAGTGCTTGAGAGAATTCTGGAGATCGGATACAGGGAACGAATTGTAGGGCTCAACTCTATCCAGCAGTCGATGCTTCTTCATGAAGTCGATGACATGACGAAGGGAGGAATGGAGGTTTCCAGGCTTCTCCGAGAAGATCTTTTGTAGCTGGGGCGAAGAAAAGGTACAGCCACTCTCGATAAAACTTTCTGGCAGCGCGCTGAGCTTCATATCGCTGGACAAGTTGATGTATTGCCCACCAGAAACAAGGCATCTTGCTGCAACTCGGCCAGGATAGCCACCCATGAAGCACACACTGGCATCGACTCCACTTCCGTTGGTTAGTCTGCTAACACTGGTCTCTAGACTGCTGTGAACGCTAAGAACACGGTCTTTGAGAGTCGGGTAGCGCGAAGCCAGAATATCGATTGTGTCCTGGGAGTCGGTAGCAACGATGACTTGCATATCCAAGGCAAGGGAGTAGTCAATCATTGATCGCAGAGTTTGGCTGATGGGGCCGACAAGCAAGATGGAATCGTTCGATCCGAGACGCCCGACCTTGGTGATTATTTGGTGCGCGTTTAGATATGCGATTGGGGTCGAAATGACCTTTTCCGGGCTCATATTGGCGTGGATCCTAACGGTCTCACTTTCAGGCAGGCGCATTGTTGTCGCAAGTGGCGATCCTTGCGAAGCCAAGGTCAACACTTTGTCGCCGACATCAAGATCCCGCACGCTGGAGCCAATGCGAGTGACTTTGCCGATTATCTCGAACATTGGCAGGCCAGTATCTGGGGTCTTCCCAGATTCACCATTCAAGTTGGACAACGAAGCCATCTCAACCTTGATTTCAGCTTGGTCCTGAGAAAGCTCCGCAGAGAAATCTGGCTGCTCCTCCCAATGGAAGGTATCCGCATCTTGGTATTTCAATTGGAGATGTCTGGGATCAAGCGCGAGCTCAGAGGGAACTGGCCTAGGGCCATGCATCAAGGTCTGCATCGCCTCGTCCACAGCGGGTGTTTCGATAACTCGTGGAATAAGTAGCTTGCCGTTAGAAAGTCTGAATTCCAAGTCCGATCGGCGAGTGGACTTTTGAGTGGTCAGTTGCAGAACATGGAGGACTGTGGAGGCTAGGCAGGTGCTCTTCTTCAAATCATGCTCATCGACGAGGAGCTGGGGAATAGTGGTGTTCCAGTGTTCATTGCGCAGTGTTCGCAAAAGACCGCTCATAGCACCGTTTCCAGCATTCTCTATAGGTCCTTGGCCCCAGAAGGGTGAGACCCATAGAAGGTTCTGGGCTTTAATAAGGCCCTGGAGGCTCTGCAGATCACTTTCTTTCCAGTCAGAAACCCAGGAGCTTTCTAGATCAAGCAACGAAATGACGGTTTTGCCTGCTAGAGAGGCAGCTTCATCTAATCCAATTCGTACCAGTCGAGCGCCACGAGTGGTGAAGACCTTAGCGAGAGAATCGAAGATGGGCTGCGATTTTGACATTTCCTTTCCACCCAGAACAAATATCTCAGGGTCAGTGGTCCAGGCCTCCGGTGTCTTGCGAGCTATGATAAAGCCACGGTCTGCAGTCAAGTCGTAAATTTCAAGGCTGACAAAGCGTTGAAGAGTCTCGATGGCAAGATCGAAGTTCTTGTCAGAGACCCTGATTGCTGCAAAGCCACCTTGGTCCAGAATTGTGGGCAAAGAGGACACAACAGCATTCATGGTTTTGCTGCCCCAGATGCTTGGCTCATCAAGAACAATCAAGTCATAAGCCGCCTCGGAGAACGATGTTGGAAGATCGTTAATAGCCGAGAGAGAGATGACTTGAGTTCCAACATTCTCCCCAGAGATTTTGTCCTTCAGCTCATCATCACCGCCGCACAGGGCGATGGTCGCTTTACTCCAGCAAGGTCTAAATCCTCGGCCCGGGGCGAGAGCTTGGAAAGCTTGAATCCAAGGACTAGATGCGGTGGAAGTGGCAATCAGTGCTCTAGCGTCTCCATTGGTATGACACAAGCGCTTCATCCAGTCACTTGGCTGCAGCAGACCATTTTCGACGGATGTTCCCTTCTTATTCTCTGCGTCCGCTGAGGCAGTGGCGTGTGGGGATTCGAGATGCTCTTCCCAAACGATGGACGAGTAGCGGCTCTCTGAGTTGAGATCCTGCTGCTTTTGAGAGTTGGGGTTGAAAGGAAGTCGTCCAAGACGAACACCTTCGAAGGTAACCCAAGGCTGCGACAAAGAAATATCTGACGCAATACACTGCGATCGCGACTTGCCATCCTTATACTGACTTTCCGTGTGGATCACAAATTTCTCACCGGCTTGAGGTTGGAATCCTACAGAGATATAGACATGGTCCACTCCGACGGGGATGTTGGCGTTGTTATTCGAGAGGGATTCGGAGCATGATAGGAGGGCACTCTGGAAGAGAGAATCAAGAGTGGTGGGGTGAATGAAACTTGCAGATTCTTTCTCAGAGGGCATGCCTGACTTTGTATCTGTCACCGAACCGGATACCCAAATACGAGGTGCGGATTCGCAGAATGAAACATCGGTCATAGCTTGGAAAGCAGGTCCAACTGTGAGACCTCCAGTCTGCGAGAGCCATTGATATGCCTGGCTCATGTCGCCCGCTTGAGCGACATTCTGGGTATCTTTGATGCGAGCAACGGCAGCAGCCCAGTTGTCAGCACATTGGATACTGTCACGATTTTCATATCGCGTCGCAAAGGCGCCCTTTGAATGTTGGATCCAACCACCACCCGATGGCAGGGAGAAAATTCCAAATTCATACCAGCCTGGCATTCCTGAGTGGGGCGAGACTTGGAGAACAGTTTCGAGACCTCTATCATCATCTGGAATCACCACACCACGCATAAAGTGAACATCTTGGAACTCAATTCCTTTGATGTTGGCTTGGTTCTCCGCCATTTGTCTTGCGGCCTCTGTGACCATTACAAGCATTCCAGCGGCCGGGAACATGATAGACCCAGCCACAATATGGTCAGACATCCATGGGTTCTCCGAGAGGCGAAGGAAATTTCTCCATCGAGGCTCGAGGGCATTTTGGTAGTCAAGAGGAGCTCCCAGGATATCGTGGCGCGGGTGCTTGCGCTGTCTTAGTTGGGCAGTCTCGAGAGGCTCGTGCCAAAATGACGTCTGGTGATTCCAGGGATAGGAGGGTAGATCAGAGACCATTGCCGGAGGGGTGGAGTCGACACAGCTATTCACTGCGGCGAGGTCTAGTGTATGTCCTGTACTCCATAGAATACCAGCAACTTCAAACGAAGTCTGCAGAGAGTTCTGGTTGCGTGATACCAGTGAATGGTATGGCAGCGATGCCATGCTTGGACTGACAGCTTGCAGAATTTGAGAAACAGGTCCCTTCATGACAGAGTGTGGACCAATTTCCAGCAAAGCTGTCCATTTGATCGGGACCGGGCGTCGACGACCCTTGATAGACTCGCTCAACTTTGAGAGCTCCGTCACGGCAGCAGTGAACTCAACTGAGCTGATCATGTTTCTTACCCAGTATGGCCCACCCAACTCTGCAGGGTAAACACGCTCTTTCGTGACAGACGAGAGCATGGGAATCGATCCATTGAATCGATCTTCTGGCTCGATACAGGCAATTGCATTTCCGACCACCTCAATCAGATCCTCCATGTGAGGTGAGTGATAGGCGGTGTCGATTCGGAGCTTGCGAGCAAAAACACCATCTGCTTGGATCTTGGCCTCAAGCTTGTCAATCTGGTCCACATCACCAGAGAGTGTTACGCTGACGGGACTGTTGACACAAGCAACGACAACTGAGCGAGGAGGCAGCTCGTCGAGATACTTCTTAGCGCCTTCTGCTGAGAGTCCAGCTGCCAGCATACCGCCGCGTCGATCACTCTCGGCAGCCTGCTGCGAGAAGAAGCCACGGAACCAGGCCACCCGCATGGCGTCCTCGTGGGAAAGATAGCCAGCTGCATATGCACCAGCGATCTCGCCGCTGGAGTGACCAACCACAGCCTGAGGTCGAACGGACCAGCTCGTCAAGAGATCGACCAATCCAATCTGCAGCGCACATGTAATGGGTTGACTGCGATCAGGCCGGTTCATCTGACTGTCCTTTCCATCCAAACGAATTTCTTGGACGATGTCGAAAGGACAGCCCATTGATGTGAGAATTTCTTGTGACCGAGCTATGCTCTGCTTAAAAACCGGGACCCTCAACAGTTCTTTACCCATACCAGGCCACTGGCCACCCTGGCCGGTAAAAACCCAGGCAAGTTTAGTTTGGGCTTTACGGCTCGCGCGGGCAAATTTTGGCAATCCTTTCTCAAGGCTGATCTGCAGCTGATCGAGGGAGTTGGCGACGGCAAAGCTGCGGAAGCCCAATTGCGAACGGCGTGTCAACATAGTATGAGCGAGGTCTTTTAACGGCATGTCTTGCTCGGACTTTTGTTGACGTAGAAGATATTTGCTCCAGTTTTCGCCAAGTCGCTCGATACCAGATTGATCAAAGGTCGAGAACACCACGATACGAGGAAGGGGGTCTTTGTCCTCACCGTCTCCCTTGAAGAACTCCTTGGTGCTTTCCAAGATAAGATGGGCGTTTGAGCCACCAAATCCGAATGAGTTAATACTTGCCCGTTGCGGCAGATGATCGGGCCAAGGCATCGTTTTGTCACTAAGGCGTAATCTCCATTCATCTAGGCGGATTTTGGGGTTGATGTTTTTGAAACCGGCATTCGGTACCAGCGTACCCTTCTCCAGGCATAGAATGACCTTAATTAAACTGGCGACACCAGCGGCACCTTCAGTATGGCCAAGATTGGTCTTCACGGAGCCCACGTATATCGGCTCATCGGTCGGAGTTCGAGCCTGGCCAAGGGTCATTCCAACAGCAGATAGTTCAATCGGATCCTGTTGATTTGTGTTAGCAGATCGCATTCTGCATTTGTTTGTGGTTTCAAAAATCTGTTCCCACTCACACCGACAGGAGTACCAGTTCCATGCGCTTCAAAATAAGCTGTATCCCGCATTGAAAGGCCATGCCGTTCATAGGTAGACCGAATCAAGTTCGCTTGAGATGTTGGACTTGGCAATGTAATTCCAGGGGTGCGACCGTCCTGATTAATTCCAGTGCCTCGAATGATGGCTCGAATGTTGTCGCCATCGGCCATTGCTGCCGACAGAGGCTTCAAAAGCACAGCACCAAAACCTTCTCCTCGACCATATCCATTTGCGGACTCGTCAAATGAGTGGCTTAGGCCATCAGGGCTCATCATGTGCATATATGAAAGCCTTTGTGTAAAATTAGGGTGTAAAATGAGACTAGCTCCTGTCACAAGGGCCTGTAATCACGATATTTAGTACACGTTAAACAATGATACAGCTGATATGTTGGGACCTACCATTCCGCACTCGCCAGAGCGCAAGGCCTGTGTTGCAAGGTGAACTGCAGTAAGACTTGATGAACAGGCGGTATCCATCATAATACTCGGGCCTTGCAGATCAAAGAACCATGATAACCGGTTGGCCAACATAGTTCTGCCATTTCCAGTGGCTGAGTTATGGGGCATATCATAAATGTCCCTGGTTGACAATAATTCATAATCATTGGTCATTGAGCCGGAATATACAGCCGTATCACTCCCAGGAAGTGTGTCAATGGGAATTCCGCCTGTGGTTTTTGATTAGCTGAAAATGCAATTTTTCCTCTTGATTGAATCTCATGCCCAGGTGGACTCACCATTTTCAAAGGCTTCATAGGCTACCTCGAGCAAAAGTCGCTGTGCAGGGTCCATTCCCGCCGCCTCCTTAGCGGTGATCGAGAAGAACGGCGCGTCAAAGCGCGCCGGGTCTTCTTGCAAGAAGAAACCACTATCATGATTAATCTGATTGTCGAGCGCGTCAGTCCAATGAAATAAATGCACGTGTCAATTGGGAACTTCGTACCGCTCCTTTTCGTTCATGTGTCGGGTGATGAAAGGCGGAGGCTTCGTAACGACTGGAGGGAATCTTTCCGTGTCCAGTTCGCCCCTCGCATAACATCTGCCAGAATTCCTCCACTGACGTTGCACCTCCTGAAAATCGACACCCGATTCCAATCACCGCGATTGCCTCCATCTCTGGGTCAGTGACCTTCGCGGTCGGTATTCCAGGCATCTTGGAATTATTATTATTAAAGGGGTTGAGAATAAGTTGCTTTGCAAAGGTCAAAAGAAAAGGTCCAAGAGACGGGCTGCTGTGGGGTATTAATTATACTCGGCGAGTGACTTCCGGGATCGGGAAGTCCCCATCGCCCTGGCAGACTAATAACATGGAGATGTGGATCTTGTAAGCTCGGTGTCAAGGTATGAGAAGCCTGGCTATCACACGCGTCGTTCACTGGCCATCCATCGTCTTGGGAAAGCCTGGTGGAGCACCGAAGATGAGTGAAATGGGCTAGATATCCGGTAGGTTCACGCTACATCTCCTGTAGAGGGCCGTCTAGCTCTGGTAGTGTAATATTAAAAAAATAATTGCCCTTGCCGATCGACCATCTACTGACCCCTAATTTGGCAGAAGTTCTAACCTCTTGGAGAAGAACGTGCATGCATCCTTCATTAGACAGATCTGAGGAAGAGTTTACTACGGAGTACAAAGTACACAACCTTGATTCACGGAATGTGTAGCTGAGGCCGCCCCCCATAGCAGATCATGGAAGAAGTTCCTTTGAGCGGAGCCCGAGATCCACGAACCAGATCGTCATTCCCGCCAACATCTTCAAAACGCGAGAAGTGAGGGGCAATTTGATATCACGAGCATACATGAGATGCACTTTCGCGTGCCACCCCAACAGCTGTCTGCATCGTGACCCACACGCATTTTTATCTCCCATGCATTTGTGCTTACCTTTTGGAGGGGGGATCTCGCGAAGACAGGGTGAAACCTCAATACCGGACTTTGTTTTTGTATTACAGCGTCTTCATTACACATGCAGGAAACGATCTTCGGTGCATACTCCACCGGCCCGCAGGAGGGCTTATGCGCAATTGTTAACCTAAAGTCCACTCGACCGTCTTGGCAGTCCACGCGCGCCAAACATCCGCGAGATGTGATCGTGGGTGAGAAGATCCCGAACTTGCGTTCCCGCAGTGGAGAAAAGTACCCTGGCCTCGCTTGCCTCTTCCCTCCGGCCCCCCCCGGTTCAACAATTTCTGGCCTGCACAAGGTGGCGGCAAGACAAGACTCCATCGTAAATGGGTGAAATTAATATCACTCACTGAAACAGCTTGTTCCTTCGGAAATACATCTCGTCCATTTGACACTAGTACGTACTATCAGCTTTTCCCATCGCTAAATTGTGATCCTTCCGCAGATGAGCATTGAAGCCACATTCCCTGTTTATTTGGGGTTTCTGGATCCTGAGACTACGAATGTCTATCCGCAGTGTGCTTTTTATTCCTCACGATGCGAGCTCAGGGGCTGCCCCTCGCCCCCACATCCCCGATGTCCACCCCTTTTTCTCCACTCCCACAGTCTAACTGGAGTCAGAGCTTACGCTAGGTAAATAGTATTTGATAGTTTCTTGTGATTTGACGTATAAGCTCCTTAATGGAACTTTCTGCCTCCACCAGGCATTTAGCAGGATTTCATGACGCTAAAATGTCCAACTCACCTCACAGCCATTCTCGAACCAAATCGCAGCTTTCCCCAGCTGGAATTTGCTATCGACAAAACTTACCTCGGCGGGGAGCTTCCGAGTTACGATTTCCTGTCCTTCCTTGACCGTCTTTCCTTCCCCACATCACGTCGCCATTTCGAAAATGACTACCCAGAGTGCAATCGTTGTCCAAGAGCCAGGTCGGGCTGCTCTTTGTCAGGACGTCGCTATTCCTGAGCTGCCGGAAGACTATATTCTTGTCAAAACTAAAGCAGGTATGTCGAGTTGTCACATTCAACTCTCTTGTCCCTTACGTCATGTGCGGACTAATTGACTAAGATATGGCCTAGTGGCTCTGAACCCCACGGATTGGCGTCACATCGATTATGTTTCCTGCAATGGAGCTACCGTGGGCTGTGACTACGCTGGCGTGGTTGAATCAGTCGGTTCCCAAGTTAAGAAGCCATTCAAAAGAGGCGACCGAGTGGCAGGGTTTGTGCATGGCAGCAATGCAGTTCGTCCCAATGGTGGTGCATTTGCTCAATATTTAATTGCCAAGGGAGACCTTCAAATCCGCATACCCGATAGCATGAGCTTCGAGGCTGCGGCTACATTCGGTGTTGGTCTGACAACTGTCGGTCAAAATCTTTACCAAAGCATGGAGTTGCCCTACCCGGGCGAGGAAAGCGAGGAGGATGAAATGAATATCCTCATCTATGGAGGCGCAACCGCCACCGGCACTCTTGCAATCCAGCTAGCCAGGTTATCCGGGCTTCGAGTGGTCACGACATGCTCCGAAGCAAACCGCAGTTTGATGTTCGAACTCGGCGCACACGCGGTCTTTGATTACCATGATCCACAAGTTGGCGAGCAGATCAAGGAGGATACCGATGACGCTCTTGAATTTGTTCTAGACACAATCTCCACGCCCCAGTCGGCAGCAATTTGCAGTGCTGCTATCTCATCTGCAGGAGGGTCATACAACGCTCTTCTTGATGTCAAATCTTCTCGAGATGATGTTGATTCCCATGTCTCAATGGCATATGATGTCTTGGGTGACCCCTACCGCATGAGTGCGCAGGAAATCACGCCCGATAGCAGTAACCCTGAATTTGGAATTAAGTGGTGGAACATTGTGCAGAGACTCCTTGAGGATCGCAGGATCCAGCCCCACCCATATCAGGTCAAGCCCGGCGGCTTGGAAGGGGCCTTGGCCGGGCTTCAACTGCTGCGAGAAGGCAAGATCCGAGCTAGCAAACTGGTCTACCAAGTTGAGTCTTCTTGATCAGTGGGAAAATAGCATTATTTTCGAGTCGTTCAAGGCCTGTGTCACAATCTTTGATTAGAGTGACGCTCGATCCATAATTAGTATTATCAATATATTATATCATGAACTGACGACGAATAAGAAATGCGGCCGCGATTGTCGCAGCCCCGGCCTGGGATCGTAAATATCCTATTCCATACATGCTTACATACTAGTACCACACAACCTTGAAACCATCAAGTAGGAATTTCATGTACGGTAGCAGTAGTGGATGACTCGGAGTCGGAATCTCCAGGTCTAGACCCAGGGCTCATTATTGCCCAGGTGTCGTAGCGGAAAACCCTCGCAGGCCCGAGTCTACGGTCGTAAGCCGCCGGGGAAGTACCTAGTACTAGTAGGTAATAACTTAACCATGAAAATCCAACTTGGATTCATTGGTACTGCTAGTAGTAGGTACCTAGTAACTGGTTAACTAGTAGCTAGTACTGGAGGCACAGGATAGGGATACTCGCAGAGAGACTGAAGATGTTGGTGACATGAAGATGCTATGGAGAGAAGTTATCTACATGGCAGGCACACGGTGGGCACCAGCTGATTCAGAAACATGAGGCCTGAGCCCTTAGGCCTCAGTAGCTAACTAGTAACGTGTTTCACAACAGAGCGGGCCGCTCAGGCTAGCGTGCCACCCCAAAAACACATAATAAATAGGGTAAATTCCAACTCTTTATCTTAACAACCTTTTCTATCTACCTAGGTATGAGACTAAACTAAGATAAGATACTATGAACAATATTTGTAGCCAATCTGCAGAATTTTTAATCTCAAACCTTGGAACTTGAACTGAAAATATCTTTTAGAAGACTCGGAGACATATCTTGACGTCTAGGATCCATAAATTAAATATGACCTAGTATTGCTCAACTTGAACTTCAAGATTTTTCAAGTCATACTAGTAGTAACTTTATAAAAGTATTATTGGAATTAAAAAATCTCTGATTGTATCATTCTCCAGCATAAGTAAAAGTTATACTATAAATGACAATAAAAGATATCACCTTTTAGTTCAGATATTCAAAATTGTAATTTGTTATATTTACTGCATTTCATGAGGTGGCCCGCTCGGTCATGAAAAACCTGGGTACGTTAACTATCTAGGTATCACCGTAAAAACGTGGAATCTTGGAAGTGTGGGCACCATTATATATTTTTGGAGACTGAGAACCTCGAGCCTTCAAGTTGGAGTTTAATCTCCACTGGCAGAGCTTGGAGCGCTGAAAACCTCCAGGGCTTGGAACGTTGGAATTAAAACCCCGGGCTCTATTCCACCAACCTACTAGGGTAGGCACGTTCCAACTTCAAGTTGAAGGTCGATGCACCCGGCTGTAGGTACTCCAGGGCTAGACTAGTACTACTTAGGGACTACCATCACTAACTTACTTCAAGTTGGACTGCAACTTGAGTATCGACAGAACTAACTGCAGACTCGGCCAGCATACGTTGCTCAGCGCAATGTTTAACCACTCGGTGCATTCCTTCATTCGGTGCCGTGAGCACTATCGATGATAAGAAGCGTTCAACTTGATGAATCATGTGGATATCGCATTCTCCTGATGCCATTCGTGGATTAATTACTAACTGTTTCGAAAGCATCTCGGTCGCCACAACGAGATAGTGAAGAAGAATTCTATGAAAGTTAGTCAGGTCGTTGGCATATTGGCATAGAAACATGGGCTAAGCGAGTTTTGAATTCAACCTACCCGATCATAGATGGATTAGTATGCCCGGGCATATATTTGATGAGTTTGATCGATGCCCTGGCTGCATTCCGACAAAGAATCCCAGAAAAGTGAGCGATATCTTCGGATAAAAGTCCGGAGCTGTATGATTGAGCAAGCTCCATATAAATACTCGAACCGCGAGAATTGATCGCGCGATGAACTGATAACAAACAGTTGAAATAAGAGAAGTGGAGACTGAGAAGGAGGATGGAAGCATTTGATGTGGGAAACGAAACCGTATCGTGAACGTCAGGACGGAATGTTTTAGGTACACTCGCCTTCCAGCCTCGAAGTCTTTCGTCCAACACAGCCACTGAGTCGGCAAGACCACATGTTGGCTGTTCAGAGGTTTTCGATGAGCATAGGAGTTTAAAAACCTGGCCTTTTATCACCGAAAGCTCGCAATAAGATTTGAAAACGTCGAAGTCAATTGGTTCCTGATCGGATGGTATGGTACAAAGATGCGATGATAGGCCTGGTGAGAACTCAATGTCGATATACTCGTCGGTCTGTCCTAGAGAAGTGCCAAAACGCAAGGAAATACTAGAATAGTCAGAAAAAGATATTATCAGCCCTCTATGAGAATGCATACTCTTGATCTAGGCAATACGCGATCCAGAAGACCATTCGGCAGTGTTGGAGATTATCTTCGCAGCCAGAGGGCGTGTCTTTATCGTCATCCAATCTTAAAAGGTCGTGAGTGATCCGAAGTGCTGATGTGACAAAAAGGTCGCATGGCTTGTCATTCAACGTTCCAAGTAGGAAGAGAGCCTGGAACAAACATTAGATTGCTCAATATGAGGGTTGGGAAGCATTTACCATTCCAAGAAGGGCTTGCGCCGCCCAGAGGGTCGGAGGGCCATTACACAAACTGCTCGCCACTTGCAAAGCGTTTTTCATGAACATCCAACTCATTTGATGGTTCGACTGCGCGATATCGGACTCTCTTGAGCGCATAGTATGTGCCAATGCCAGAACAACATTTATGCACGCCCAGAGATCTGCTTGGTCGGGATTTATGCTGTTGTCCTCGTCATAGACAGATAGTAGCAAAACCGGTTGAAACAGTGGACAGAGCGAGTTGAAATTTTCGAGGAACTCGAGGAAGAGTACCATGGTATCAGCAATACCTGGGAGAGGATAGAATGTCTTTGGGGTAGATGTCCCGTCAAATGTTTCATCTTGATCTGGGACTGAAAGGGAAGACATCAAGGTGAAGTTGTGTAGGTCATGATTCCTTAAATTGTCCATGACATGGTGCTGACTCGCTCCATGGCCAGATTCTCTATTGACACTCTTGTCCTTTGTGAGGCTTGGAAGGATACTTGGACATGCCAAGTTTTGTAAAAAGACATTGCAGTCGATTTGCGCCACTGAAGTAGCCCTGCTATTAGGCAAGCTAGTGGGCGCGTGCATGGATGAATCATGTGTAGGAAGGTTTGAATGATCCGATCCTGAATCGCTCATCGTATCCCATATTGCATCCAATCTATCCTGTGCTTGGACTTCGGACATGTCCCAGGAATAAGGAGACTGATCAAATGACGTGGTCGTTCCAGGCGGGTCATTAAGCGGTCGCATCAAACCTAACCTTTCAAAAACATTTTCCATTCGCTCAATATTTGATTCAAGTTCATCAATCTTGCTTCGCCTAATATTTGTTTGTAAGAGATCATCAAGAAATGCAATGGAATGCTAACTTCTCTTTATTGCGACGACGACGGTATTCATTGACCGAGCAGGGAACATCGAGCCTTTCACAGGAAGTACATCTGTTCTTCGTAGTCATGTCACATTTTATCTTTCTGCGATGACACTCAAGGCAGGCCTTTAAAAGGTTAGCTAATAAACGCGATGGGGCTCTGCAAATATACCCACTTTTCTTGTCCAGCCACGTTTACCCACACGATCTGATAATGTAGGCATCGTGGCCGTTGCGCCGCGGGGGGTTCTCAATCCTCATTTTCGAAGCTGTTTCGTCAAAGTTCCAGTCGTGAGGGACCCTTGATCATGACCCGCCATGGGCAATAGCTAATTGAGACGAAGGCCCAAGCCCACAAGGGAAAACTCAGATATCTCAGAACTAGACCGAGTAAATGGCGATTGGAGAGAGAGGCTCGCCGGGATATCTTGAGATGGAAGGGAATATCAGGATACCTTCCAGTAGAGTCAAAAAGAATGGGCGACAAAGAACGGGAAAGTCAGAGAAAATCGAGTCAGGGACTGCTTTCCCCGCAATATGGCATGACAGGCTCGAATTTTGACCTAGGACTAAACGCTTAAAAGATAGAGCAATGGCAAGTGGACAGCAGAACCAAGCCCTGACATTCACTTTACAGGATCTAACTAAGATAGTCATCGGTCCATTCAATCCTCCAGTCATGTTGAGTCTCGGATGCCCGGAGGTTCTTTTAGCCAAGCCGGATGTGTATTGATACGGTAAGACATCCATCCGAGAGCGTTGGTATCGGTAGAGAGCAACGCCGGGTTCCTCACGACCACCTGGGCGTCACAAGATTTGACCGACAAATAGGGGGGAATTCGTAGGTTCATAAAGTATTCTTCCAAGGTTTGGCGAGATGAATCCCAAGCACGAACTTATCGGGATGACTAAGCCTACTTTGATTACTGTTATGTGCATAAATAATGTAATTGAAGTGCACAATATATCCTATTAGTAGTACTAGCTAATAGCGAATCAATAAGCTCCTACGCAATATACCTAACAAGTTCCGATTTTCGCGCGGAATCCGGGGGTTTTCTTAGATATGGCACAGCCCTATCTCATCCGATTACGCCGAAGTTTAATGATCGGTCCGCCGGAGGTTCTTGATGTACCAAAAAATATCCGGTTCTGATATATGCCAACCAACATACACAGTGAGCCACATCCGTCACCCACGATATTTTTATTTATTTATTTCTTGCATTTATTTGCCATCTATTGATGCCTAAAGCTGAAACTTTTGATCCGAGCCGAGTCGGATGGCGGAGCCTTACTTGAATTTATACTTTTTCCGCCCATTGTTCTTTCTATATCTTTCTTTGTCTGTCCACATTTTCTTTTTGTTTCTTACGCAACCCCTATGTCCCGTGAGAGGGTTTGTGTTGCAAGATGTCTCTCTTAGGGACGATTAATCCCAACATGACCCGATCTCAATCCGTTGTGAGCCACAATGTGCCCCATACTCCATCTCCAGGGGAAGAGGAAGGAGATGGGCCGTATATTCACCACGAGTATGAGGAATCTGAAAAGAGCAACAGTGGTGCTACACTTCGGGGGAGAGGAGAAGATTGAAGAGCAAGTAGGCTCGCTTGTTCGGCAACTGACCAGGCACTCGACTCGATACTCTGTGACCGGCAATCTTGAGAACCCTTTCACCAGCGACAATGCCGACTCAGCTGTCAACCCCAACAGTCCCAAATTCAATGTGCGCAATTGGATGAAGAATCTCTTGGCTATTCGCTCCCGCGATCCTGATCTATATCCCAACCGAACCGCGGGTGTATCTTTCAGGAATCTCAGCGTGCACGGATTTGGATCGCCCACTGATTACCAGAAGGATGTTTTGAACAGTCTAATGGAGATCGGAACTATGATTCGACGTCTACTCGGTTCAAAGTTGCAGAAGATTCAAATCCTCCGCGAGTTCGACGGCCTTGTGAAAAGTGGAGAGATGCTCGTCGTGCTGGGAAAGCCTGGCTCTGGATGTTCCACTCTTCTCAAAACAATCGCTGGTGAAATGAGTGGTATCTCGATGTCCGAGGAATCGGTGATGAACTATCAAGGTCCATAATTCAAATCCATACATCTATACTATGTACTGACTTCTCGAATTCTCAAGGAATCTCGGCGAAGCGAATGCAGAATAACTTCAAAGGCGAAGCGATATACTCTGCCGAAGTTGAGAGCCATTTTCCGAATCTTAGCGTTGGGTAAGGAAAACTCTACCATCAATTCATAACACCTCGGATCTAATGGAATGATTCGATTTTGCAGAGACACCCTCATGTTCGCTGCCCTGGCTCGAGCCCCTCGCAACCGCTTCGATGGAATCAGTACCCAACAATACGCTGAACATATGCGAGATGTCGTGATGGCAATGCTCGGCCTGTCTCACACAGTCAACACTCGTGTCGGAAATGACTTTATTCGCGGCGTCAGTGGTGGTGAAAGAAAACGCGTCAGTATTGCGGAGATCACATTGAGTCAAAGTCCATTACAGTGCTGGGACAATAGCACGCGTGGCCTTGATAGCGCGAACGCCCTTGAATTTTGCAAAAATCTGGCTTTGATGAGCAAATACTCGGGTACGGCTGCATGTGTCGCGATTTACCAAGCCTCTCAAAGCGCCTACGACGTGTTTGACAAAGTTACTTTGCTCTATGAGGGTCGCCAAATCTATTTCGGGCTTGCAACAGAAGCAAAACAATATTTCGTGGATATGGGATTTGAATGTCCTAGTCGCCAAACAACCGCCGACTTTCTCACATCAATCACAAGCCCGTCAGAGAGACGGATTCGTCCAGGTTTTGAAGGTCGTGTCCCTCGGACCCCGGACGAACTTGCGGCGGCCTGGAAATCGAGTCCTTCTCGTGCGAAGCTTCTGAAAGAGATCGAAGAATATGAGGGTGAACATCCGATCGGTGGCGACTCTTACGGTAAATTTGTCCACGCCCACCGAACTATCCAGGCAAAACATCAGCGCTCTGGGTCTCCATACACCATCTCGCTTTTCAATCAAATTAAGATTTGTACCATACGTGGTTTTCAACGTCTTCGGGGTGATTTCAGCCTAACCATCACAGCTCTTGTCGGCAATTTTATCATGGCCCTCATCATTGGGTCAGTTTTTTACAGGTTACCTAACAACACGAGCAGCTTTTATAGCCGCGGCGCTTTACTGTTTTTCGCAGTTCTCCTGAATGCATTTTCCAGCGCCTTGGAGATTCTCACGCTCTATGCTCAACGACCGATCGTCGAAAAGCAGTCGAGATTCGCATTTTATCACCCCCTTGCCGAAGCTGTCGCATCGATGATTTGCGACGTGCCCTACAAGCTCATCAACTCCGTCACCTTCAATATACCTCTATACTTCATGACCAACCTTCGGCAAGAGCCGGGTGCGTTCTTCATATTTTGGATCTTTAGTGTCGTGACGACATTTACAATGTCTATGATCTTTCGCACTATCGCATCGGCATCGAGATCATTATCACAGGCCCTTGTCCCCGCTGCAATTCTGATCCTCGGTATGGTTATCTACACTGGATTTACCATTCCGACTCGCAACATGCTTGGCTGGTCGAGATGGATGAATTATATCAATCCGATCGCGTATGCTTTTGAAAGTTTTATGGTCAATGAGTTTCACAATCGGACATTTCCATGCGCAGCAATCGTGCCTTCTGGTGGTGTGTATGACAGTATCTCGATGGAAAATCGTATCTGCTCTACCGTTGGTGCCGAGTCTGGCTCGACACTCGTCTCTGGCACGCTCTACGTTGAGTTGAGTTTTGACTATCTCAAGGGACATATTGGTAGAAACATGGGTATCTTGATTGCATTTCTGGTGTTCTTTTGCGGGGTGCATTTACTGGCAACGGAGTTTATTTCTGAACAGAAATCCAAGGGCGAAGTTCTTCTCTTTCGCCAAGGAAATCAACCAAAGTACGTTGGTGGCGAGTCCGATGCGGAATCAGCTCCCTTGCCCAACACGAATGAAAAGACCGACGAAACAAATCCGGAGTCCACATCCATCCAACGCCAGACAGCCATTTTTCAATGGCAGGATGTTTGTTATGATATTAAAATCAAAGGCGAACCCCGGCGGATCTTGGACAACGTTGACGGATGGGTGAAGCCGGGAACATGCACCGCTTTAATGGGAGTGTCTGGAGCTGGCAAAACCACGCTGCTCGATGTTCTTGCTACCAGAGTCACCATGGGAGTTGTGACAGGCCAAATGCTTGTGGACGGTCAGCCTCGTGATCAATCATTTCAACGAAAAACTGGATATGTACAACAGCAAGATCTCCATCTACCTACATCGACAGTTCGTGAGGCATTGGAATTTAGCGCTATCTTACGCCAACCAGCATCAGTCAGCCGCGAGGACAAAGTCGCTTACGTCAATGAAGTGATCACCTTATTGGGCATGGAAGCATATCAAGATGCAGTGGTCGGAGTCCCTGGAGAAGGACTCAACGTGGAACAGCGCAAACGTCTGACAATTGGCGTTGAGCTTGCAGCAAAGCCTCAATTGTTACTTTTCCTGGATGAACCCACGAGTGGATTGGATTCCCAAACGTCATGGTCGATATTGGATCTCATCGATACGTTGACCAAGCACGGCCAAGCTATTCTCTGCACTATTCATCAACCTTCGGCAATGCTCTTTCAACGCTTCGATCGATTGCTCTTTTTGGCGAGAGGCGGTAAGACGATCTATTTCGGCGAAATTGGTGAGAATTCAAAGACATTGTCCAATTATTTCGAACGGAATGGCGCGCATCATTTATCGCCTGGCGAAAATCCTGCAGAGTGGATGCTAGAAGTTATTGGGGCAGCACCGGGAACCCACAGCGAGATCGAATGGCCAAAAGTCTGGCGAGAGAGCCCTGAGTATGGAAAGGTCAAGGAACATCTGGGTCAGCTAAAAGAGACACTTTCCGCCAAGCCTCAAGAAGCTGGATCCTCGGGCGCATATACGGAGTTTGCAGCCCCATTCTACACGCAACTTTACGAATGTTTGGTTCGCGTCTTTGCTCAATATTACCGGAGTCCGATCTATATCTGGTCAAAAGCGGCACTCTGTATTTTCACCTCGTTGTATATCGGCTTTTCATTTTTCCATGCTCCAAACTCGATTCAGGGACTGCAAAACCAGATGTTTTCTGTGTTCATGCTGATGACAATTTTTGGAAATCTTGTTCAACAGATCATGCCAAATTTTGTCACACAGCGGTCGCTGTATGAGGTCCGTGAGAGGCCCTCAAAAGCCTACTCGTGGCAGGCGTTCATGACGGCGAATATTATCGTTGAGCTCCCTTGGAATACATTAATGGCAGTTTTGATCTTCGTCTGTTGGTATTATCCGATTGGTTTATATAACAATGCCAGTGAGACAGGTTCGGTGAGCGAGAAGGGGGCTCTCATGTTTTTACTCATTTGGACCTTTCTCCTTTTTACATCAACATTTGCACACATGGTAATAGCTGGCATTGAGCTTGCGGAAACAGGCGGAAACATCGCAACGATGCTCTTCTCGCTCTGTCTCATTTTCTGTGGTGTTCTCGCGACAAAGGATGCCCTACCGGGATTCTGGGTTTTCATGTATCGCGTTTCCCCGTTCACCTATCTTGTGTCAGCTATGCTGTCTACAGGGCTGTCAGGAGCCGATGCCCGATGCGACGCATTGGAATACTTGACCCTTTCCCCGCCATCCAATCAGACCTGTGCAGAGTATTTGGATCCCTACATTTCTGCCGTTGGCTCAGGCTATCTCCTCAGTCCCGAAGCAACATCCGACTGTGCACTGTGTACGGTCAGCAAGACTGACACCTTTCTCGCACAAATTGGCAGTTCTTATTCCACGGCTTGGAGGGACTGGGGCCTTATGTGGGTATACATTGCCTTCAACATCTTTGGTGCAGTGTTCATTTACTGGTTGGCGCGAGTACCCAAAGGAAACAAGACCTCCGGCACCACCTAGAGAAAGGTAGCCATCCAAGGACGTATCTCCTTAAATGTGGAGAATCCTACATTTTATTCGACAATCCCTTCTCTTCAATCTGTCTTTCACTTCAAGTTTCTCTCTCATTTTTCTCTTCTGTTCGCTTTTCCCTAACCGTGTTTTGCCCGTCTCATTCGTTTCTCTCTCATATGTATTCACATATCTCCATTTTGACCCCATAATTACCTTTAGTCTGTCTGTAATTAGAAAAAAGAAAATTTGCATATTTCCGCTTCTCAATTCTCGGAATGCCTTCCTCAAAGAACAGTCCCAGGAACCTTGGAGTTGACCGGGCGCTCCCTAGCGACAACCTTTGCTTGAAATTACTAACTATTCCTCAGCCGGTTGCCGCCATGAAGCACCGTAGAGCATCCCGGTCGTGAAAAGCTCTAGTTTTCAAGTCAATGAAAATTTCATTCAAGTTGTCATGTTTGATTTCATTGAGTAAAGAGTGGCAGTGGTGAAGGCCTAGATACGGATATGTACTAAACTAATTCCTCTCGTACGTATTGGCGATCTCATAAATTAAGAACCGAAAAATCCATCTTCAATACCCGCCGACACTATTCACGATGGACCCAGCATTATCGTGCAAATTCATATCCTGTGCCGTTTTGGAATTTCATTAACGTAATCGAGTTTTGCCCATCGAGAAAAGCTTAGCTCCAGGTGTGATCAGCCAAATCGTGACGAGCACGATCACAGTTCACCTTTCCAGTGTGGGTGTAGCAAAGACCAGCAACACCAGCCCCCCACATTGCGCCGCACTCCCACATAATGATAGCGAGGTCCCACAGCTCCATGATTTTCTGCCCATGGGGGTAGGCCAAGTCAGCTGCGAGGACATGTCCGACAAATTCACTCTCAGTGGGTAGACTATCGGCTCCCTTAACGTAGGCTAGGACCGGGTCAACCAGTTGCTCAAGAACGGCGCGAGTCTGTGGCAACATCTCGCTGGAAACAAGGTCCTTGAGACGTGCTTCAGCACTGGAAAGAGGTCCGCTGCCACGCTCGACTCTGGTACCGTTGGCTCGGAAGTGCTCCAGCTCTGGTCGTCCTTCCGGCATGATAGGGGCGATGGCCGCATTGACATCAAGGTCAGTTCGACCGAGAAGAGTGATAGGGCGGTGGCGGCAGTTAGAGAGTTGCCACCAGTGAGTGAATAGAAGGCAGAGAGCCGCTGGGTTGTAGGGGTCGTTGTTTCGGTACCAGATCATTGCGCCGAGTAAGCGTGCATAAACTTCGGACAGAGGCCCTTCCTCCAGGGAGCCACGGGTCAACGAGGGAATGATGTTACTGACTTCACCGCACATCATATCAGGCCCAAGATCAATCCAGTCATGAGCAACGCAGCCGAGACCAGCGATAGCAGCCATCTGCTCACCACCGCCAGAGTCATAGTAGACGTGGCAGAACACAGCATCAGCGACCTTGTAACGGGCGAGACGATCAAGATCATTCCAGACAACCATGCACGGAGCGGAGTCGATGGGGTCATTATCCTCAATGATGGTTTTCTGCCTCAAACAACTATAATTTGTCCCTTTAATGATACGTATATCGTCGATATGGGGGCCGGCAGAAGCAGATGCTTCAGCAGCAGCAGTTACTTCCGCGAAAGCAAATGAAAGTCTGTCCGCAACTGCAGAGTTGTGAACACCAATGGAGTAATCAAGAACAAAGGCAGTGTCCATGATAGCCCACAGGCCAGAGATAGATCCTCCATATACACCCTAGAATGATTACAAGTTAGAAATGATTTGTACACGGATTGGAAAAGGAAAGACTCACCCGATTGAACCCAGAGGATAGCGCAAATATGGAGTTATTTATCAGCGGACCTTCGCAAAGCTCTGCCGAAAAAAGGTCATCGCTAACCTGATCTGGAGAGTCTGCTACGCCACTCAGCTTCGGAGGCAGGGGTTTGCGAGCAGTGGCCCATGTTGGCATCTCAACCTTGCGAACCTCGGCAAAGTCAAGGCGTTCGGTTTTGCCAGTGGTGACAACTTTGTCACGAGCTTGCAAAAGAACACTTGAATCGGCTAGTAGTCCAACTGCGCAATCAACGCTGTCTGCGACGCGCGCGTTTCTCAACCAAGATATGCTTGAGGCGGCACCAATCACTCCTTGAGTGAGCTCGGTATCAGCACGACGGGCCAGGTTGACAGTGGTCGTCAAAAGATCCGTCTCTGAATCATAGTTTTGTGAAAACTTTGGCGCTCCGGGCTCAATGGGGCTGATCCCGTGGGTCTTGAGTGCCCAGCAGGCAGATCCATGGGGGGGATTCTCGAACAAGGCCCTCCCCACGCACATGCACGGTACTCCAGGTGGAAGTAAGAGAAACAGTGGCATTGGGATCCTCGGCAGAGAACTCGTCAGTGCGATCACCCCAGTGAGAGACAACCGGAATGCAATCGAAAGCTGGCGAGCGACTAAGGCCACCGCTGACGACTAAACCGGGGAGCAAGTCGGAGATTGGCTGAGCAGCGCCCCGGATTGAAAATGGACGGTTAAGCTCATTGGTGCGAGCGAGAATCTTATAGAGCCGAGACTTGTTATCGATGGAGTGTCGAGCAGCAGCCTTCTTGTCACGCAGCTCCAGAGGCGAGACTTCCGCGGTGTTGGAGATGAAGTCCGTCACGTCGCGACAGGAGATTCGCTTGTTGAAAGAATGCTGGTGATCAGCACGAGGATCAACGAGCCCACCCCTTTGAGCAATTTCGGGGAGCTCATCTAGCCGAGCAATGTAAGGCATGGCGCAAGCACAGGGAAGTCGAGATTTAGTTTTCGGGTATCAAGGAAATACGATCGGTGGATCACTTTGTTGATGTTCTTCTTTTCAAGTTCCTGCTCGAAAGCAGCCTATTTATATATTTTTTGATCTCTCTAGGATGCACTGATCCGATGATTGCTACTGGGAGTGACAATCGTTTGTCTTCGGGAGCAACTCAGCTATACTCCGGAAGAGAATGCTGATTGGGCGGCATATTTTCATTTTCGCGCTTTGTCGATGAAGTCGATGGTAGCACATTTGACTGTACCATTACACAACATTTGAATCGAGTGCATTGCTGCTGCATCTTATGCAGCAACAGAATGAATACTAAATTCTAGTTCGTGAATCCGGTAGATCTCTCTACTTCGGATGATAGGTTGTGTACCTGAGCACAGAACTTTTAGATAGATCGGAATTGTAGTTTCTGTGGAGTGCTTATTGTGTAACGCGGCATATATTTGTGTAACTTCGATCCTCCAGGGCTTGCACGTGTGAATATTTTGTACGTCCGAGCCCTGGTCGATCTTGTGTAACCTCAATCCGATTCCTCTGAGTAATCTCCGATTTGAGATTACTGAGATTAAGTTCAGGCCCACGATTCTGGCCACACCGCTAAAAACGACTGAAGCTTGATTGAGGTTGGCGTGGAGGCTAAACATTCAACTGCACCAACGAGAAACTATGGTCAGGTTTTTAGCCTCCAATCATTGAACTCATGAGGTTCTCGCAAGTTTTATCGGTCCATAGAGCTCAGTTTTCTGCTAACTCTGCGCGATATCTGGTGTCACCTCAGGATGGTGTTTGGATGCATATGGGTCCGCATGAGCCACTCGCCTCATATCCTGCATGAAACTATTGAAAAAGCCCAGGAAAGCGAGAATCACTTCAACTATGTATTCCAGATGTCCGAGTTGCATTACGTGGCTTACTTGCACCAGCCTTCCCTTATTCATATCAAGTGGACGTGGGAGAAGAAACAGAGCCTACCTACTCCGCACCCTACCATCTACTCTCTGCATTCTAGATATGTCTACCCTCCAGTGATTACATTGGATATCAAATACCTCCTCTCAACCGTTTCTTCGGCTCTAAATTCTCAATTTTGCCACCCACGAGAGAAAAATTATACAATTCTATAGAAATACACTACTCTTGCTAGGTCTGCGAAAGTCCCACTTATTTCACAAACTGATGATCGTTCATGACGTGATTTTATGCACAAGCGCTTCTAATTCCAAACAATTTCTTATTTGCGGCAATCGATCGAGTGTTTCTGCTAAGGTCCAAATATCAAGGGTCTTCCAACTCTCGGTGGAGGCTATTCTTTATATACAACCTTTGATATTTCTCCAAGTTGACTCTACATGTTCGGGGTAATGATTGAATAGTATTGGGAAGATGCCAGATCGTATAATTTTCAAGCTATTGACAACCTAAAAGTGAGGTGTGTCCAAATTTATACAGGGTGTATCAGTGATACTGGGACGCTTCCACGTAGTCATAGACACTGGGTCGGTGTGGTTATGAACCGCGGTACCTCTTCCTAAATGAGCTCAAGACAGAGCGATGTCCAGTATCATTGCGGTTATTTCACGTTGATGTAGCTCCGGAGCCCCAATTTGACTGGCACGTTCTTGGGCCGGGTCATCATAATCAGCGAAGGGCATATTCTCCTGCGGTTGGAGTTTGAACTAGGAATATGCTTTCATTCCCGGCTCAACCTGGGGACCCTATCGGATTTTCCTAGCTCTAGACTAGCACTAAGCCCTTTCATGCTGCTTCTGGCTTTGTGACGACCAAGAAGCTACCTCGCCTATCTCTTAAGTTCTCCATTCCGTGGGCAGGGGTGTACCGGAGTTCAATCCAAATCGGGAGTGATAAGTAACGGTCGTGGCGTGGGAGAACTTGCTGCCATTACCGACGATTGCGTATATAATCCACCGTCGCGGAGCAAGTATCTACCGTTGGTGTTGACTCCCATTTTCGTGGCCCTGATTGGTGTGCGTGGATGATTTGCGCAGATGACGTGGCTATTCAAGTTATGCTCCTGGGCTCCGCTCTCTGGTGGGGTCTCTATTCTTGAAAGGCAGCATGGGCAATTGACCCTGCTCGCCGGGGAATGTTGAGTTTATCAGAGTCAGAATCGATGGTATTGGAGCCGTTTGGTCGTAGCTCATGGCCTCTTGGTTCCATACCAGAGCATCAAAAGGTGAAAATCCCATTTGCCATCTGCCGTTGGCATCCCCCGCTAGCATCTCCCCGTTTCAATGATCGTCACGGAGGGCTCCCGCTTGGTCAGGCACGCCGCCTTGATTCTCGGGAACTTTGACCTGCTGGCTGAGGTAGTCGGCCTTTTCACGAAAGATCTCGACCTCCTGGGCGAGAGGCTGGATCGTCCCCTCGTGATTGAGCGCATCCGCGTCTTTGTTATAAGGCCACTTCATACTTCCAAGTCGAGCAGCTCGCCAAAAATATCACTAGTCTTTCCGAATATATTGGCACAGCATTCCAGCTCTGATCTCTTTGCGAGCTCGCAGAAGCGGCAAGTTGACTTGTTCTTGGAACCATGAAAATCTTCACACGCATCAAGGGCTTTTTCGAACTTGATTTTGACTCGGTTATCGCAGTCATGTGTGCAAAGGACTTCGATCTAGCATTTTATTAATGCTGTTCTAGGGGCTTCATATCATTCGCCGCAGCCAGTTGATCTCTCAGCGCTGCGACCTGTTTGTTCTGCCTCCAGGCATAGTATTCGAGACCAGGTTTGGCAACCAGGAAAACCGACAGATAGAGCAATAATGACATGGGGATGAAAAGGGCCCAAAACAAGCGCCAGAGCATAAAGATCACTCCCCCGATGCTCATGTTGACCGCAGCAGAAGCTGAGACAGGGTGGAGATTTGGGTCACCTATACAGTTAGAACTGGGTTCCAGGAGGGATGACCTTGTGTGTTCTTCTTTCATGATCATCTTCAGGAGCTTCTGCCTCACCGACGTACTACAGCTCCGCTTCCCGGTCGGAAATTCTGCATTCTCTTGGAGGTATTTGAACCTGTGGCGTTCTCTGATTAGCTCGGTGAAATGGCTCGGACCGTTGGATTGGGGCTGTCACTCACCTAAACACCCGCCAGATGAATACCGGTGGTGGTTGGGCACATTCAGAGCACTGTTCGGTCTCACGGGCGCTTTGCCAAAAGTTGGCAACTTGAACACATGTCGGGTCCAAATGAAGATATTGCCGAGGTGAAAGCAGAAAACGATCGAGGTTCAAGAGAGGAGAGGTGATTTATCCCTCCTGGGCTGTTCGCGGTGGGGTCTCCCATGCATCTTTCAACTTGAAGGCCGCACTATTACATCCGAATTCCTCCTCAAACATTCGTGTGCTTGCGTGGCCATGGGTTTCATGAAAATCTCTGGTCCTTTCCGAGAAGAAGGTGGCTGGGGAGGGTGGCTGGGTGTAAAGAAGGAGGATGACGAGGAGGAATTGTAATTGTTTGTGTTTTGCTCTGTTCAGATAGAGAGGGCCTGGTTAACACGACAAGCTCCTAGGAAGGAATCGCAAACTTACTCACAAGCGCCAAGGCGAGGTTTCACCTGGTGAAGCTTTCCAAGGTTCATTCAAATGATCTATATGTTAACAATTGCAATTACGACCAGTTTCAAAGACGAGATGAAAGAATCGGGCAAGGTGCCCAGGTGAAAAACAAAAAGCGAGGAAGAAGTCAAGGATATGCTCCGGCGACTCGGTGATCATTCCATTCATTGAAGGCGCCGTCGATTCGTGAACAAGGTTCGTATATAAATGTATATCAACGATTCCCGATTCAGTTAGGGCATGGCAAAGGCGGGAAGGGAGCTGCGCCTCAAAGTGTCGACTGGTTGGAAAATTGCACAGTGTCTTGAGAAAGCCCATCACTCCAGGCAAGATGTGTCAAGGCTGACGTGGTGCCAATAGCGCGGCGAGGTTCTCCGGAATGGGAGATGAGGCCTATACGTGCCAAACAGAAGGGAGACTGGTCAGCCATCACTCCGGTATAAAGAAGCCAAGAAGTAGCCAGGAAGTTCAATGAGGTCAAACCCGCGATGATCGAAACACATACTGAGCCAGAAACGTCGACAAAGGGCCCCATGACAGTAGAGACCGTGTTGATTGGAGAGGGAAGGGCCTTTGCAGAAGACGCGGGGGATGAGAAGAGGAAGAGGAGGAAGAGGAAGAAGAGGAAGTCTACAAGGCAATTACCTATGGTACTATCTTCGGAAGGTGCGCACACCAGCACCTTCCCCCTTCAACTGCAGCTTCACGTGCCTTCCTCGTTAGCGTAGTTATAGTCATGTGTCATCGTGGTGCGTATTTCCCTCGTGGAATCCTGTCTTCTTCACCAGCGTTTACCATCCATTCTCTCTAGAGGGATGCATCAAAAATTCTTGTGCTGCTTGGTAAGTAAATTGACACTTGGACCTGGAGCACAGGTTCGGATAGGGATAAGGCTGGCTTGACGATTCTCGATTTCAGCTGAGAAATTGCAGCAGGGAAAGAATGGCTGAAGCGGTGAAGAGCACTGCGAGGCGCAGCTTGACTCCTACTGCACGTGTAGCAAAATCTAGCGGAGGAGACGTGGACTTGGCCAAGGCATCTTCCTAGGTTCAGAAGTTTATAGAGGCCCTGGAGTAACCAGAATGTTTACCGAAGGTGCAACTGTGAGAACACTTGGGCAAATGGCAGTCAAAATGGCGCAGATGCTTGGGCGCAGATGCTTGGGAACTGATGAGGTAGAGCACCAGGATTCGATCCACATGAAAGACATGGGCTAATCGGAATTCAGACAGCAATCCACCTGCAGAGATAAATGCTGCCGCGTGTGCGTGTGGGATCGAATTTGCCGGACAAGGTCCCCTAGGCCAAAGAAGGGGAAGAACAGAAACCAAGTCGAGAGAACATTGTATTGATTAACACTACAAATTAGTGGGAATGCTCCTGCATTGTCGTTACGGGAACTTGTGGATCTTGGTTATGGTTCAGAGCAACTATATGGGGTGATTGGCACCGTAACAATAGTCCCATATCAATCTTTAAGGATTTTCTAGAAGGAAAGGCTAGTTTCGCAAGTAGCTAGATAGTAACTCAACTGTCTCAAATACGGATGTTTCCTCCAGTCTCCAGTCGAATGATCTAACATAGACTTGTTTGAACAAGCTAGGTATGTGATTTCGCAGACCCCCAATGTGTGTGCTAAAGAATGGTCGCGACCAAGGTGATGAACCAATCCGCTTCTTTAACCTATGTATAGACCCTGAGGTCGCCTTGAAATACAAAGTTGAGGAGATAAGACTTTATGAAGGATTGAATTCTCACTCGATATCTCCCACTTTCCAATATTCCTTCAGCGAAGGCGTCTACAATAATGAAGTAAGCATCCAAAAAAGAGCAATAGTAAGGCTCCTCCAGCACCAGCAGCGATACCAATTATTATTGATAGATGGTTTCGCGCCCATGATGATGGATTCCCGTTTCCTTGAATTTCTCCGGTGTTCGTGTCCCCATTGCTCGTGCCCCCATCATCTCCAGTATTTGACTGGTTGCACCCATCTGCTTGCTTATACTGGCATGTTACCGAGTCGCAACATTGGGCCTCCAGCTCACCACAAGCATCATTTCCGCAATCGCATGACTCGCCAGATTCAACAATTCCATTCCCACACTGTTCAGTACTATTGCCCGTCGGTGCCTCCACCAAACAGGACCCGTCGACCTGGCCAGATCCCAGTTGGGAGCAAACACTTCCAATCGTGCAGGGTGAGAATCGTGTCATAGACGATTCAGATACAGGGTTCATGATGTACTGTCCCCCGGTATCGCAGGTATTCGATGACAGTGGACAACACTGTGACCGCTGGGATTGACATGTATCTGCAGTGCAATCATGCATCGCTCCAAAAATATGACCGGACTCGTGGCTATACTCTAGTCAGTTGATGCTTCTTCTCGGCCGAACGACAAAAGCTTACGCAAATACCTGCCACTGAGTCTGGGTTCGAGCGACGACATTGGCACTGGATCCCCCGTTGTTATAGCCACCCCCCGAGTTGCACAAGGCACCAACCCATGATACTCCGATTTCGCCCACAGAAACGGAACACCCACTTAACAAAGTCCAGTAAGCATTGCGATCGTCAAGGGAGCTCCTCCATTGAGAGAAAGTCTGAAGACGCGTGTTCAGATTCCCTTGCGAGCATGGAGCGTTCCACGCATTTATCCTTGAGCCACTGGTAGGACATTCAGTGTCACTGATAGTCAAATTTCGTATGCCCAGAGATATATTGAAGCTGCTCTCAAAGACCACCGATGCGGTATTAACCATGTTCAAGATGTATCGGTGAGTGGAATCAGTGGAGTCGAAGCTTGTAGTGAAAGTACAATCAGTGACTATCCCAATGTAAGCTATCCGTCTCGTGCTCGGACAGCCGTTCGTGCTACCAATGTTGGCTATCAAATTACTGTTGTCCCATTGATTTGAAGATTGTCTTTTGTGGGAGAGGTATTCCGGCGAAGTTTTGCATCGATTGTCGAGGCTGTGTGCCGGTCGTTTTGAGGATATCATCATTGTAGAGCCGTTATTGGTTATCTTAGGCTCAACGGTGTACTGATCTTTCATTATGGTAAATGTCCCACGAAAGGAAGGGTTTGCCACATCCCAGATCAATTCTAGTCTTGCCCATCCGACCTCTTCGCTTGTCTGTGGTGTTCTTCCCATGCGAACCGATCCTCTGGCAAATTGAAGAGCACGATGGAATGATTCAAGATCCTCCTTCTCATTTCCATCGCTGCTCAAATGTCGAATAGAGATATCATGTGCGATAAGATCATCGTTTCTTTCTAGGATGAAGTGCAACCTTTGATTATAACTTCTAATATCGGTGGTTATATTGAAGATTCGAGAATCATATAATGAGTAAGAGACGTGTTGATTGATCAGGTCAAATGAATCTAGGTCAACTAGCAAACCGGTCAGAGTCACAGTGTACTTGAAGAACAATATCTTACTTACAGCCGGCGGCGGACAATTGCAGAAACTGTAAAGCTAGTATTTTTGAGACCACCAGAATCCAAGGCAACTTGATTCCACGCATGTCGAATACAGAAATTGACTTGCAAACCTTGGAACACTTCTCTGATTTTATCTTGAAATTTTTGAAATTTATCAAAAAACGGCATATGGCACATTATATCCATTCAAAGATCCGACTTTAGATACTCTAATTTTGTCAGCTTTTCCTCCACATATCATAGGCTGACTTTTCCCTGTGATTGAATCCTAGCCAAGAAATAACAGCAAGTGAATTATGTTGCTGTGGCATATCGATCAAACCAATAACGCTGGGTAAGACTTTCTAAGCCTCCCTCCCCGGCGGCATTGCAAAAAAAAAAAGCCACTGCCAAGTCAAGTAGTGGAGTGCGAAATCATGGCTGAACGCGCGTCTAAGATCAGAGAAATCCAAGATCCGTGAAGCAATGGCAGTTGCCTGGGATTTAGAAAGTAAGGAATTGCAATCTTCTGGGAATTTTCATGTTTGTCAAATGGTTAGGTAAGACATTTAAGGGTCTTCAGTCCATTCTTGCTTGGACGACCCACATTGATGACACGCTAAGGGTGGGTTTAAATCTACCCCGATTGCTGACAGGCTTGGCACGGAATTAAGAACTCCCTATCGAAATTGCTGACAGCTAACTATAATAAGATTCATGAAAACTGTATCCTTGGAATAGCCGTCCCAACCCTCCACGGATACGAAAAGCGGACTTGTAATGCCGAATTTGCGAAATTCAAACGAAGTACTAACTGACGTTTCTTAAATTTTGACTCACGGTGTTAAAAACCATGAGCCGTGACTTTAGCCTCTGCGAAGTTCATAGGTTCTAAGACCCCTTTTCTTCCCGACTTCAGATACAGTTGAACAATTCAAATGATTCGGTTTTCTCAAATGGAAGACACACTCTTTCCCTCCGCTCGTTCTTGTGCGATAGATCAACAAATCAGCATCCTTGATGTTTTTGAACTTAGCTTCGCATTTTCTAGCATCCGAATAGAGATCAAGAGGTCATAATGGTGACTAACGAAGGCAGCAGAGTTTCAGTACATGCAAACTGCTTATCGATGCGAGGACGATTCCCATCACGTCAGCGAGCCACAATACCATGCAGAGGTCAAGAATGCGTGGTTTTATGTGGATACCTTCGCCAAGCCTATTTCTTCTAGAGCGGGCTTCATCGCAAACGCGGAATGTGGCACTTTGTTGCTAGACACGCGTTAGCTTGCTCTTGGCGGTAGTGTTTGTTCCCGGGTGCCTAAATAGGATTGCTCGAACACCTTGCCAAGGTAGGTCAATTGATCGACATAGCAATCGTTAGTTGTGAATTTTGTCCTCGTTACCTCTGGACGGTGACGTTGACAGCCGATTCCAGGGATGGTACCAAGGGAACAGACGGTATCGCACGGCAGTTGTGGGTGGCAATTTAAGATCCAGTTATCTAGTACCTGGGTATACCATCAAATATAAAAGCCACGAGATGCTGTCTCGGTAGAGGGTCATGAAACAAAGGGTGACGGCTTCTTTCAAAGGGGCCACAATTATGTAGAAGACACAATTACAGGCAGCATACCGATATGCTAGTGGGGTGATCTGAGACAAGTATGGGAATTTGAGGAGATAACACATAATATCCACTCCTTGACGACTCTTTTCTTCTAAGAAAATGCCCTTCTGTACTTGTATTGGTTTATCTAGCACGCAGACAGAGGGAACCAACTTCGGGAATTGCACCCTTGAAATCAATTATTGACTTTGACTTGGCACCTTTGCAGTGATTCGTCCACTTCCTGTCGATTCCAGCTTTAAAAATATTTCTTGGACGATCCCTATTCCGGACTGGGTCCATGCAACTCACTTACGCCAATCATTCTAGAATATTAGTATGCACCCAGGTACAATATTCAACCCAGAGAGGATAACGTGGGATAGCCAATGAAAAATGTAACCATGTCTGGATTTTGTTGAGACCCGCCCCGATTGCTGACAAGCTTGATACGGGATTAAGCACCGTCTATCGGAGTTGCTGACAATGTTGTGGCCATTATGTATGGCCTCCCAGTCAACGAACACCTTTTTGCCAATATGATTACACTAATATGTAGGGAAAAGGTTAAACTGTGTCGATTGAACTGTTAGTGGCTGGAATCTGGTAAACAGAGATTTTCTTGGAGGATTAATTTCTCGATAAACAAGCATTGTCCTGTCATGCCGCCATTTGAAAATTCAGTGGATTGAATGTTACGCAATCGTCTAATCTATTTGTGCACTTAGCTTCACACTACTTCTTATTGAGGTGCTCTTAAGCTAGAATACGGACTCCATATAATGAATTCCTGGGAAGGAAGGCCCCATTCTGCACAGATACAAAAACAACCATTTCAAGCATTCGCTCCCCCATCAACGGCCCAAGTCACCCCCGTGACATAACTAGCTTCATCACTCAAAAGAAATGCGACAACATTTGCAACCTCTGGTGCTTCTCCTAGCCGCCCCAGCGGTACAGCAGGATCAGTTCCTTCGGCGCCACTCTCTTCGTTTGCACGAAGCATGGGTGTGTCAATGGGGCCGCTAATAAATGAAATCAGTTTCAGTTGTAGAGGGTAAAATGGCATGTACTTACGGCATCACAACATTGACTCTGATCCCCCTTTTGCCAGCCTCGAGCGCGGCGCTCTTAGCCATACCCACACCCGCATGCTTGCTAGTACTGTAAACCGACCCTTTTGAAAAGCCCCGTTCGGCGAACATGCTCGCCACGTGGACAATGCTTCCCGGCTCTTGCAGAATCCCTGGCTTCAATGCCTCGCTGAGGACGTTGAAGACACCTCTAACGTTGGCAGCCATGATGAAATCATATTCTTCGTCGTCAATCTCCCATATTTCATGGTGTCCAAGTTTATGGCCCGCGGTTCCAGCAAGATTTGCAATCCCATCAATTTTGCCGAATTTTTCCTTCGTCAAGCACAGGAATGATGCAACAGATGAACGACTCGTAATATCGACAGTTAGGGTGATAACCCTGGCTTTCTGCTCTTCACTGAGCTTGGTAGTGAACTTTGAAAGACCGTCTTGGCTCAGATCACATAGTCCCAAGAGTGCGCCGCGGGCTAGCAAAGTTTTTGCTGTGGCTAAGCCCATTCCAGAAGCACTCCCCATGATAACAAAAACCTTGCCAGCGATAGACGCCATGTTGGTGCTGTGAGCCAAATATGAATCACTGAACTGCCAAGAAAATTGTATTATCTCTGGCTCATAAGTGTTCAAGGGAGCGATCCAAAATATAGATATATGATATCCTAGATGGAGGTTGGCTCAAGGCTGATGGGATGACGACCTTTTATCCTGACATCATCTGGCTCGGCATTTGCGATTGGCTACTATATACCACTACTCACAGAGCATTGTGCTGTACTCCGCCCTCCATACCTGGAAGGCGGCCCATGTCAACACTAAGCACTTTTGGCCTTAATACTCGGATAGATCCACCCCATTGATTACTGATGGTTTCTCGGATGGGAAATATTTTGCTAGTAAACATCGAAACCCAATCTCTAGTCGAGTGTGCCGATTTTTGCGCCAAAGCGTCATCTTTGGCCGCTATCTTGCCGTCATTCGCTGAAAATTAATGCATATTGCTTACTCGATCCACATCATAGGGTGGGCAAAAACTTAGTCACCGCCAAAATGGGGTCCGGGATCTCTTTTTCTTGCTCTGTAAATTGGTAGAGGAATGGCCGTTGACTGACGCGAACTAAGCCATTTTAGACTTGGAGAGCGGATGAGCGAGGTACCGCTATACTATTGTGAACGAAAAGCATGTCTGGAATGTATAATCAATGCAACAACTTGAATGGTTTAAATGGTGCTTTAGGTGACAGTACTCCGTGAAACCGTCCTCATTTCGTGCTCGCGCTAGCCCTCAAATGGGTAAGTGGAGTGTTATCTCCGTAGTGCAAGGAATGCCCAAAGTCATGTCATCGGCGAAGATTGATCCCTGGGCCCACATTTCCCTGCACTACTAATGCAAAGTGCTTATGCCAAGACATTTTTTATACCAGTAGTGGCGCTTTTCCGATCAGAGTGTTGGGTAGATGAAGTACCACTAGTAGTAGGAATAACGAAATATTTTTGACTAGCCTATTAGCAGCGAAAGTACTACAGATAATACTCATATGACACCTAACGCACATGACGGTTTCGATAACAATAATTTTATCTCTTCTTATATAATTGAGGTTACCGTAGTTTAGCCGGCCGCCTTTGTTTATATGACCACATTTGATATCATTTCCTCTGAAAACGTATTTCACAGGCTTTCATCCAGGTGAACATCAACCTGAGGTTTTATGCCAATAAAATTCATGCTACGATGTCTTCCCCTTTGGCAGTAACTCTACCAACTGGTGCAACATTATGGGTATGTCGACGCAGTAACCTTCACCTAATAAATTGGATGCTCATTTTATTCCCAGCTCTTGAATTTAGGGACTGTCGACCTAGACGCGGCAAATTTGTTGGCCGGGGAGAACCAATTCCCTGTGGACCTTCCACCACAGCTACATCAGCGACGGGATTTAATTATGGTGGCGGCATTGATCTCTCACCCCGACGTAGGTCTTACTCTTTTTGACACTGGCTCAAGAGCTGGGGCGGTCAAGCGTTAGAATGCGGCCCCAGAGCTTGGGAAAAATCAGTGCACGGCCTACCCGAAGCTATCAAAGCTACTAGAGCTGGGAAAATTGCAGATGTGAAGGCTGTGGTGCTGAGTCATTTACATTGGGACCATACCGGAGGCTTGGAGCACTTCTTTGGTACAGGCTGGTTTTCTAAATCTTTAGAAAGGAGTGAATCTTAGGCCTATTCTGACTTTGTTCCACAAAGCAGACTGGACATTTGGTGTCACGAGGATGAATTTAAGAATGCTTTCTGGACGTGTGCTACGGGGGTAGAACAAGGAACCTATTTGAAAAACTACCTAGTCATCGATCGTTTAAATTGGAGAATCTTCTCTGGACAAACTTTCGACATATACCAAGGAGTGACATTGCATTATTGCCCTGGACACACTCCTGGGTAAATTTCGATGGAGCTCAATCTTGAGAAGACAGGCTTCGTGGTGCTTACAAGAGACGCATTTCATGTCAAGGAGAGTTATGAGCAGGGTATCCACCCAGGCACATTAACGAGCTATTTCAATGACTGGCACTGCAGTCGAACCTATCTGCGCAGCCTGTTGCAAAGAACGCGAGCTAAGGTAGTGCTGGGACACGAGCCCTCCTATTTTAATACTTTGAACGCTAATCCTCGGTATACAGATTAATTGGGATTAGGATCTATCGTGTGTAGGATGGAACGAGATAACTAATTGATGCCGCTAGCTGCGGTAGAAATGATACTTGCCAACAGACGATCACGTGCCGCGCTACCCGTCTCAAGCTAAAATCTCGGTTCGAATGAGTTGTTACAATTCAGATTCCTATTTTTATCAGCATGTTATATCACCGAAAAAAAGTAACCTGCGCTTTCATCGATTCCATTCCTCATCCCCTCCTGTTAGTAAACTTCTCAATGCGTAATGGGATACTAATTCTGTTATTAGATTCTATGTTAGTAACAATATCTCCGTGTTGGTAGTTCTCATCAGCTCTAGATCAAACTGATTGCCGCAGTTCATGCAGAAGACCAAAGGCTTAATTAATCTGTTTGATTTCGTGAGGCTTAATGGCCTGGTCGATGGACAGTTCGACACTCACTCGCAACTGGGTTGTTTTAATAGTTGATAAAGGTTTCTAGAACGCTTTGTCAACATTCAAAGACTCGGTTTTGCCTTTTTGCTTTCCAACATGCTTTTGGCTTCAATGTGAGCGATGGAAGTCCGACAGCTGCATGTACATGATGTACAGTGAGGTTCCGAGTGATGCCAGTGCTTTGGCTATATAATGCACGAACCTTCACATCGTTGTTTAGACTGGCGGGTACGTTGGCTGGGAAGTTCTCATAACTGTCGGGATAAATGCTCGCAATTTCGGGGGGCTTCAAACGGTCATTAGCGTCAGCGCCTGTAATTGCCTCCTAGTCAGGATCGCCTGATACAGTATCTGGTCGCTGACATGATTTATGAGCAGAGCTTCTCTTGTGCCTCTCGTCTGGGCCAGGCCATTTACTAATATATGAACGATGACACCACCGGTGGGAAGGAACCTTGGAAGTTAGGGAAATGTATCTTTACTACTAGTGCTATTGGTAGGAGTACTAATACTAGTAATACCACATTTATCCAATCGCTGTCAGTCATTACCAAGTATACTAGTAGTACTATCAGACACAGGTCTTTCCAATTACTACTACTACCTAGGCATTGGAAGAGCTCTCGGGCAAGCTGCCATGGGAAAATCGTAGATCTGCATCTGGATTCATATCGTGTCCTGTAGCCAGAACTTTCAATTGCTCCTCTGAAAGAATCCCTTCGAGGACGCATCCTTAGAAGAAGTTAGTGGGCACAAATGGGGTTGTTTTAAGAGACTGGTAAAAGGAAGCCCTACACAATCTCTCTTTTCAGTCATTTCTCCAACCCATGAATCGATTCCCCAAAACCTCGAAATTAAGGAGCTCCTCGGGGCTTTCGGCGTAATAGTGTATCTGGGCATCAATTAAAGCTAGATGATGTACCATGTCTGACGTGTGGGTGTACTTTTCGAGCCAGGCCGTCTGTATGACTTGATCAATGCCTTGATTCCCCGATTTCAATTCAGGCAAAGCCGGTATCCCATTTTCAACTGACAGTTGAGGGGTGACTCCGTGCTCCAGGTGAAACATGAGCGAAGCCAGTGCAAATATGCCAGATGCCTCGGACAAGAGTGGCGAAGGGCCATTGACCGGAAGTGGGAGATCTGGAAAGACCGGGTTTGGTTGGCCGCAAGGATTGTCAGCGCTGAAATCACAAAGAATTGCCGAAAATCGATCGTCAACAAGCACATTATCAACTCTCACATCTGCGTGCGATACCAAGGCTATGGAGGTGGCGCAGAGCATTGGCAATATCGCGGTATAACGTGATCCGACGAGCCTGTGCTGATTTCACTTCTAGAGGTAGTTGTCGATATTTGCGGAGATATAGTCCCTCTGGCTGATTGGTATGTTTGGCTTGTATGATGTGGGGGTGCGGTCTATTTTGCAGCTGTTGCAAGACGGTCCGTTCATCCTTCAATAGACTAAAATGAAATAGTGTGTCCGAAGCATAATGCCAAAGGTCGCTTCAATATGCATCGCTTCTAGGTGGTGCAGAAATCTGACAAGTCTTCAGAACAATCTGGTCGCTGACATTGTAGACTTGACCAGCAGCTCCAAAACCCACGACATCCAGGTTATGCTGAGGTTGTAAGCGCACAGTGTAGGTTTCGCATGTTAAAACGCGTTCTGAAGACATGTCGAAGGTGTCCTTGATTGGAGAAAGGGAGGGGCACCAGTGAAAGGGGCGCCAACAACATTCATGTCGCGGTGCTGCACGATAGCCAGGTGGGGTTAAGGAAAATGCAGTACATTAGCGGCCTTGACAAGTCATCCAGCAAAAAGGAGACGAATCGAAAACTACGCAGTAGCGCCTGACTTGCTAAGAAAGTATTCAGGTACTTAAATTGTATTTCTCTCTTCGAGAACCTCGTTCATTCCAGGCACTATATAGCTACTCACACACAGAACACGTAATACCCTCTTGGTCTCAAGACTTATAGTCAATACGAGTAACTAAAAGGTATCTACTTCTTTCCATCTATCTTTCAGCTTACCAAAATCCCTTCCCTTGTTGACTTCTGAGTTTAGAAACTTGGCACAGGACTTGTTTTGTACGAAAGTCAGGACTTCCTGTCGTTGAAAAATAAGATGATACTAAGCGAAATAGATGTGTGACAATGTCCGAGGAATTTTCGGGAGATGCGGTCACGAGGCAGTGGTGTATATCGCAAGATGTCGAGTTGCTATTCAGAATCAGAGTACTTGTCCTCCTGGTCAGCGTGAGGATGTATACGACTGGCAAGAGGACCAGGATGACGAGTATTGCCCCGCTTGCAAGGGGGAAACCACGCCAGAAACACCTTGAAAGGCAAATGAGGGGCTCGGTGCCCGTATTGTTCAACGAAAACCACCTGGGCATCCACCCCCTTTCGCATATTTTCAAAAATCACTTGCTCCTGTCGTCCGCCCCTAATTCATGTTGATGCCCGCTTCTTTGCACTTTCAACCCACTGGTTACGAGGAATGAAATCTCTGTCTTATTAGTGAGGCTCATTGTTCTAGTATGCTGACAGTGATCATCTTGCCAATTGGTCACCTCGTTTAGTAGCAAGGAAAACCTGATGAGGAAGTTTACAAACGCCCTCTTTGTCGAGGGCCTGTGTAACATTCAAATCGAGTATAGACCATCTCCTTACAGGCTCAGGTAAGTCAATATCAGCTGGGATTTGAATATGATAGTAGAGTGCTGGATTCAGAGTAACATGAAATTCACGGTCGGTATATTTGCAGAATTGTTCGCCGATCTGGTTATGCCGTGTTTGGGGGGGGGCATCTATATCGGTCACGGTGACATAGATAACTACTCTAGTAGGATCGGAACCCATAATGAGAGGTGAAAGCAAGTTAAGCTATTTTGCAAGACGTAAAAGTGTAGCGAATGATGATTGATTGGGTTGTCGTGTGGGATCAGTTGGGATTAGTTGGGATCGGTTGGAGGGGGTGTGTCAGCCTTATGCTTAAGGCATCTAATCATGCCTAAGGTGACTATTATCTGGAGTATGCTGGCTGTTGTGTCCCAGTTTTCAGTCTTTTCAAGGAGCGTCTTCTCATAGTCCGGTTCACTGCCTATTCTAAACCAAGAACAGCTGACCCGGTGGAGAATCAAGCTTCGAGATATCAGATGAGAAAGTGAGCGGCTTCGTTCAAGATTTGGATCGACCTTCACCAGTTTTTATTAAAAGTAGAAAATTCGTACTACGGCGCCCCTTCAAGGTTTGTATACAATTTAAAAGGATGCTAATTCTACAATGTGTTGAATCTACTTACCTTCAAGTTGATGCACTGAATCGACATTCCATATATGGTGACGTCATGGGGTCATTCGTAGAGACTTTTCCTCATGAAACAATTCTCTCTAAGAAAGTTCGCGTTCCAGTATATATTATCTACAACAATTCGATTCCTCGTATCCATTTCTTCACATTCATTCCAGGTAATATATCCCGATGATCATCGATCTCGGCGAATCGGTGGAGATTCTCAGGAAAATCCTCGGACAGTTCCCGAGCATTTGATTCGACCACAAACTCCATCTTGGCAGGCACTTTCACATTAAACATCTTAGTGGCAATATCTCCGCATTCGGAGAGGGGCGCTAAGACTTTAGTCTCTATATCTGCCCGAGGAAGCTCCCCGTTCACCCCCGAGTGCTAAGAGCAAAATGTCCGAGGATATCGCGACTAAAAGCCGCAGTGTGCATATCGAATTCTACTATAAGAGAACGACTCCGCATATTTGAATTGATCATCTGAAGTTCGCCAACAGCCAAGATCAAGATGAAGTCGAGTATCATTCTAGGAGCGGCACTTACTGTCGCCCCGGTGTGGGGACAGGGACATACCCTCACATCTGAGACGATTGAGAAAATGGGCAACAACAGTCTCTTCGATCGTTGGAGGCCAACATCTCATTTCCTTGCGCCAGCAGGATGGATGAATGTAGGTTGTTCTTTCCAAATGGATACTGTTGTTGAATGATGCTAATTCAGTAGGATCCGTGTGGCCCGATGTACGATCCTGTTCGGGGACTTTACCACTTACATTATCAATTTCACCCAAACCATATCAGCTGGGGTAGGAAATGGCCATTGCAACTCATTCGATCTATAAGCTAACTCCCATAGGCAACGTCTCCTGGGGACATGCTACATCCCCCGATCTCATCACTTGGACAGATGTCGACCACCAGCCCGACAACGACATTCCAGCGTGGAAAGACACAGAAGCCCAATCCATCGGAACAACCAACTCGACAGGCAGTGGCAAGCATAATCCCGCGCCTATACAACCACCTCGCCATTTTCTCCGGTGGTGCTCAACCCGTCAGTCTATCCGGTGAAGTCGACGGTACAATCCTACTCTTCTACACCGGCGCCTCCAGCCTGCCCACGGCATGGAACACGCCCTACGCTCGTGGAACAGAAAGTCAGGCCCTCGCCTACTCTACAGATGGTGGAATTACGTGGGAACATTATGAGAATAACCCAGTCATCAGCGAGCCCCCAGGGAACTGGAACATCACCGGCTGGCGTGATCCATACTTTGTCTCGTGGCCAGAGCTGGACAAAGTGCTCAATGCGACCGAGCCTCACTTCTACGCCGTATTTGGCTCTGGCATCCGTGAAGTCGGTCCTCGTATGCCTCTTTACAAAGCCCCTGCGTCAAATCTCACCGACTGGACCTTTATGGGTGCGCTGTGGGAACCGAAGAAGAACACTTCTCTGGGTAGTATCGAGGAAACAGGATCCTATGGGTTCAACTTCGAACTGTCCAATTTCTTCTCTATTGGCGATCGCTACTTCGTCAGCATGGGTGCAGAGGGAGGCAACGTGAGCTTCCACCAGAACAAGTGGTCACTCTGGAACGAGGGTACAATTTCCGTCCGCTCGAATGGAAGCATTGCCTTTGAGCCGGTGTCCGGTGGTGCCAGCGATTGGGGCTTGTTATACGCGGTAAGCATTGCCAGGATGGAAGTTGCCATAGAAAATGTTCAATATTCTAACTCTTTCAGATCTCATCATTCAACGACACAAAGAACGACCGTCGTATACAATGGGGTTGGGCTCAGGAAGATCTCAACGACTTTGCCGCCGTGCAACAAGGATATCAAGGCGCATTCGCTTTACCCCGAGAAATCTTCATCCAAGATACTCCAAATGTGATCCGGACCTCCTCTTCCAAAGAAGACACCCTCGGCAACGCACGCTTCTTCAAAAACGCCAATGGAACATGGACAGCCAGCACACTCGGCGTCCGCCCAGCCCCAGATGTCGTAACTGGTCTCCAGCACAGCGCAAATCATACGAGATATCCCTGCAACGCTCGAAGCTGCAAGACAAACAACATCAAACTACCAAGCCACCCCTCCAACTCCTACCAGCTTAGTCTAAGCATCAAGCGCACCACCGGCGTGGCTGGTATCACCATCGCCGCATCGCCGAATCGAGAAGAGTATACGAACATCTACTTCGACCCATCGAATAACACAATTGGCGTCGACCGCGCGCATTCATCTCTTATCAAAGAATTCACAAACTACACCCATGCGGGATATTTCAAGCCGTATCAGATTGCTCAGGGCAAGAACTCTTCTTCTACCGAGACCATCGATCTAACTATTTTCGTGGATGGCTCTCTAATCGAAGTCTACGCCAACGACCGCTTTGCCCTGACGAGTCGGATTTATCCCAGTCGCGAGGATAGTACGGGTATTTCCTTGTTTGCGGGAGAGGGTGTTAATGTTGAGTACTCCAGGATCGAGATTTGGGATGGATTGCTCAATGTTTGGCCTGAGCGGCCGGGGAATAGTAGCTCATTGTTGGTTTTTGATACACCTGTTGAGACGGGGAATTATACTTGGTGGACTGGGAATTAAGAGTGCATGCATTGGCAAGTGACTCCAGGGCTGGAAGTTGGCGATTTATAGTGGGAGTCAGTGGTGCATTCCAATAGTTACTAGTAATATATTGCATCTTTTTCGCATCATAAGTGGATAGCATTTCTTTTATTCCAGCAATTTCTATACAACGAACCTTGGACTTCATTCTTCGATTCTATCTGCCCGGATGCTGGACCAGCTCGGCGCACCACAATAATGATACTCTTCGTTGTACAAAATCAAATAGAAGAAAACCATTTATCATTCCGGGTATATGTATATCGAATGCCAAAATCAAATCAAACAAAGCCTCCCCGATTCGTTCCGAGAGACTGGTAAATCACATCGCCCATCTAAGACAGAGAAATCTTCGGCCTCTTATTATTCAACCCCGGCTTGAACCCCGGCGCAGGTCTCGAGCGCTTCCGCTCATTAGCCTCCATCTCAGCCTTCATAATCCTCTCCTGCTCAGACATCTTCTTCGGCACCGCCAGAACAGACCCCTTCTTCCCAGCCAAGGGATTCTTCTTCGCGCCAGAAGCAAACACATTCTTCGGCTTCTGCGCTCCAAAGGACATCGAGATCTTCGGCGCAGGTGGATCGGCGGGAGAATCTGTCGTCGCAGACGTAGTGGTAGCCGTAGCGCTGGTGGTATCTTCGACCGGAGCATCAACGGAAGCATCGCCAACAACTTGACCCTCAGTCTTCTCCGCCGGCCCAGCCGGCTTTCCTCCAAATCCAAAATCAAGCTTAACTTTCTCCCCATCATGCTGCAACATCTTCTCCGCAGATTGAGCCTCCTTCTCTTCTGCCTCTAACCTCTCCCTCGCCTGTTTCTGCGCCCGCTCAACCTGCTGCCGAATAGCCTTCTGCTCTCGCTCCTCATCACCCTTATCCTGCCTCTCCTTCTTAAGCAACGCCTCGCGCTTCCGCAACGTCTCGGGCGAATTATCAATCCAGGCAATATGCAACCCCTTCTCCGTATCGTCGACTTTGCAAATTCCCTCTTTACCCAGGTACGCGACGTACTGCGTGAGAGACTTCCACTTCGTAGCGTTAAGATGGATATGCGATTTGTCGCGAATAATTTCTACACAGTGTTAGCCTTGTATTGTTCTTGTCTGTCCTCCCGAAACGACTGACCTTGATAAAAATGATTAGCATGAACACTCTTCGTCCCATGCGCAGTCCTCAACGTCTCGATGAAATTCTTCGAGAAATCCCGACTAAAGCCCTCGATGTGTGATTTCGAGTCTTCGCCGATGAGCATCATTTGGCGGACGTGGGATTCGCTTTGGACGTGGCATTTGAAGCCGTTTTCGTCTGGGCATTGCTTTTCGCAGGCTTGGCAGTACCATCTGTGGACCGGGAGTTAGTTACTGCTTGACCTTACTTTTGACGAGGAAAGTTGCGGGGAGGGAGAAGGTGCAAAGGTGCGGAGCGGCGCGCTGGTTGGTGGACGTACCGTAGGCGGCCGAGGCCTTTTCGCCTGCTGGCGTTTGCGATGGCTTTCGTTGAGCCGGCTTCTGCTTTGGGCATTTTTGGTGATTGGGAGGTGAGTGAGGAAGTAAGGTGAAGGTCGAAGGTTGGTTCAAAGTTGAGGCCGCAATGACCGATGCTTATCCGGTGGCGATAAGAGTCGGCACGTGATTGATAGGCAGTGGACAGCCCGTTCCTCTTGTATGGCTACAGGTAAGCATAGGAATAGCCCCAATGATGACTACAGTAATGCTCAGTCTACAGGAAAGCAGTCAGGTAGATAATGATATTGCTAAAATGTAAGCGTATCTACCATCGAGCCAGGCCGTGTTCGTTTCAGCCCAGGTATTACCAAAAGCAGGAGAACGGCGGGCTATTCTCCGTCCGGGAACATCCACTTGCCCAGTGGCCCCATCATATATGATAGTAAAACAGAAATCAGGTCGCGTCACAAAGGGAATCTCCGATCTAAAAGAAAAGGAATCTCTAGTGAAAGGGACCGAAAAAAAAAGTGGAGAAAAATTACAAAACAAAGAAGAAAACCGGACAAAACCAAAGGGTAGGTCTGTCAACGCCATGCGCCAGAAGGGATCTTTTTTCGACAAGAGGTTATGAGAAATGGTAGTAGATGATGGTTGTACTCGAAATCAAATCGAAATCGAATCGAAATCGGCGGAGAGAAGAAAGAGAACATCGAAAAAGGATGGAAAAAGAGATCGCTGAGTCGTCAATCATGCGCCGGAAAACAAACGCCCTGCCCTTTTCATGCACCCTAAGTGCATGCCGCCGCCGCCGCTCAAACGAAGCAGAAGTCGGTCATGCCCTCCGGGCCGAAGTCGTTGTACTCCGATCGGGACATGAAGGACTTGGTCTGGCCTTGGTCGATCCCGAAGAAGACCTTAGCACAGACCTGTGCACCCAGGAAGGCTGCTTCCTCGGAGCCGTGTCCGCCCCGAGAGGTACTGCCGGGGCCGGAGCTGGCACCGGGAGTGTTGCTGTTCGGGCGACCTTTGAAGTCCGAGTTGTACTCGGGAAACTTCGTCGCCTTGATAACGGTGGGCCCCTGGAAGTGACCAGCTCGGTGCTGCGAGCCCTGGTCCATGCCAGGGGTACCGGGAACAGTGGGCATCCCGGGGTTGTTGTGCGTGGCGGCGACCAGAAGGGGATTCACGCCATGGGCAGCAGGATGGTGCTGCGGGCCGGGTTGGCCTTGGCCCATCTGGGCGGGCGTGTTGGTTCCGCCGGTGGGGATAGGTGTGGAGAAGGTGGATGGAATCTCCGAGGTGAAAATGGAGGCAGAGGGAGAGTTCATGAACTTCTGCGTGATCACTCCGAGAAGAGCCTGATTGAAACCTGGGGGGGGGGTGGTTAGCTAGGGTCAATAAAGAAGAATTCGAACTGGGGAAACTTACCACGGACTCGACTGCCGGCTCCCACGATCATGAGGTTGCTCCAAAGCTCGTTACGCTTGTCGTTGGGGCAGGAGTTGATCGCGTACTGAACCTGGGAGGCAATATCATCCAGAATTCCATTGCTCAGGAGAGGGCCGGCATTCTGACGCGGCGTTGCTGCGAGGAAACGCTCCACGCCAACAGTGATCTCCCGGACGTTGCGCTTGTAGCGCTTGGAGCCACCAGCTTGGGCATCGTTCTCCATCTCGACGAACTCTTCGAACTGGAACGAAGCCCGCTCTTTCTGAGCGTTGGGCTGCTTGGGATCGACCTTCTTGCCGGTCGATTTGTCCTTCTCCATGTTCGCGAGGTACTCGGACGTGTCACCGCTGACGATAGCCGCGACATCCAGAACGCCCTCGTCTCCTCCATTGCCCTCGGAGGTACCCTCGGTGGAGGCAAAGTTAGGGCCAGCTGGCTCACCAGGACGGGTGTTGCTCTGGTGAGCGGTGGCCGCAGCGCCGGGAAGGGGAGTTCCAGGTGGGAGGATCTCAGCAATATCACTCCGCTTGAGCTGCTCGCACATCTCGCGGGTGAACCCCTTCGGTCCGAGAAGCTCGAGAAGGCGATCAGTCATGGCATCACCGCCACATCCGGAGAGCGCGATACCTCGACCGATCTTTTGGGGAACGGAGCCGACGATCGCGGTGACATCGGTCTTGGTCTTGCCAACGTCGATGACAAGCCCATTGAGAACCCCGAAGCCCCAAGAGGTAGCAAAGGCGGCATCCACATATGCAAACCCCGGGATGCTGAAGTTCTCGAAGACGAAGCGGGTGATCTCCTCCCGGTCAGTCTGGGTCCAGCCGGGCTCGGCCACCATGAGAATGGGGGTGTGGAGAGGAGGGCTGAGCAGGTTGTAAACGTGCTGGAGGAGGGCGAAGAACGCGTTTCGGTTCACGATGCGGCCGTCTCGAATGGGATAGACGGCGCCCTCGTCGGACATCACGTCTTCCTCGTAAAGGACCTCTTGGGCAGGCTCAGTCTCGGCCTTTTCAGCGCCCTCGGCGGTTCCCTCGCGAGGAGCCGAAGCTCCTGCATCCTTCATTACGACATCCTCCTTGAGGGGCTGTCCAGATGCGCCGGGAATGGTGGTAGGAGTGGTGTTAGAGGTAGAACTCTTGGTGATCTTCCGAATCCGATGAGGTTCGTACTCGCCAGCTTTCTCAGCTGGGAACATGCGCGTCGCGATGCGAACCTTTGCGGGGCTGTATGGCTCCGGCAGGCCGAGTTGCGCGAGGGTCAATTCAGAACCGGGCGCGATGAGCTTGAAACAGTCAGTGAGGAATTCCATAGCAGGTAGTTAAAAAACACTCACCGCGATGTGTTCATCTTTGAACGGCGCCATTGGATGGGCTTCGCGACCAGGAAAAGACGGATCGTCTGGTGTTAGAGGAAGGTTTCTGCGTGGGTGAAGTCGCAGGCCTCTAGGGATTCTACGAGAAAGACGCTGAACGGGGGTTTCAGATTCAACGCGCGACTCGCTGGGTCGAGCTTGGGACCGAGTGTGGTATCGAGCATTGCGAAGCTCGTTTGAGTACGGTTAAGTGGCATTTTGGGTAGGCGGTGGGTCTGGGCGGTGAGATGGGTTGGAGGTGCGTGTAAATTGTGGGGGTGCGTGTCAAGGGTGAGTTGTGGGCGTGACCATGGGCATATGTGGGTCTGCTGCGTTTGCTTCCACGCGCCAATGGGTTCACTTCCTGATTCGTCCAGTACACAGCTCAGTAGTAGTCTATGCCCTAAACCCTGGACTAGGAAATTTGCTGGCAGATTCAAATTCAAATTTTCCTAATTCAAGCTCCTGCAAATGTATTTCTATTCTTGATTCTCGATAAAGTTTTCTGCGGATACGTTCTTTGTCATAGTATCTACAATAGCACTATTCCTCTCCTAGGATGGAGCTCGAATAGTAGTATAATGGCATCATGATATTTCATTGCTACTATTTCTAGATGATCGAGGACCTTCGGAAGCTGTTTGGAATCACGTTAGATCTACTCTTTATCCTATTCATGCAATCCCTATTTATTGAAAGTATCCCAATTCCTCGTGCCCATCAAACTGGATCAATGTTCAGCATGCAATCTAAACAGAGAATAGTGATCGAGGCTGGTGTTACAATCAGATCCAGTTTCGGCTTGCATAAATGCTCTAAATACTCTTAGCAAAGCTGCTAGATCATTTGCGCAAATTAAGAGGTATCCGAAATTGTGCCAGGTAGCGAGAAGTCGATAATACTCGAGTGCTCAGTGTTCAAAAACAATTTAGCAGTAGGAGTATGGCTCAGTATCCTGATGATTAAATACCGGGCTAATCAAGCTTCACATTCCTAATTCATCTCAACTGGCATGCATCTTATATCTGTGTATCCCGTCATTGCAAAATCTCCGGTGTGGTACTCGTCGGTGTAGCAGTTGTGGATATTGATGCTTTCCGGAATGGTAACGACGGCTGCCACGGCTCGTGAACAACCCCTGACACGGCGCCATCGGCAATTAGGACGTCAAGAATTCGTCAGTGTCATCCTTTAGCCACTTCCCGGCCTGAATAACAGATCCATCTGTGTCGAAGCATACCGCATTCCGAGCAAGCTATGCCGGTGTATCGGACGAGATAGATGGCGATGGCCCGACCTTGATAGTCGTTACCACTATGCCGGTGCTGGAGTGTAGAAATTCGGGTGCATGAAGTGGTGGCAAGAAGGGTGGGAAAGAGGAGTGACAAAGCACAGATATCTACCTAGGTAGACAAAGGGCATAGCTTATCCGCCTGAGGCATGCCGCCTTCAACATAGGCCTTCCTTAGACATAATAGTAGCTAGTGAATAGCACTACCTCTGCCTCCGGCTACCTTTTCTTTTCTATTGATCTACGATGACGGCTCAATGCAACCATGGAAGATGAGAATCACCATATGAGGGATATGGGGGTGCCAACTTCAACAACAACGACTTTTTACAATGAACGCCCTGGGGGTAGACTCAATCAATATTTGGCATACAATCCAACCCTTGGAAATAAGGAAAATTGTACTGTTCAACCCCTTAAAATAATTACACTGACCCAGTAGGAGCTCTATCATCTACTCCAATTGTGCTGTAGTCTTTCTTGCACTAGCACGACTCATTTCGGTCTCTGTATCGCCCAATACTAATACCAACTCATGCTGACCTGGTCTGGATAGAGTGATCTCAATAGTCCCATCGGTAATCTTGAAGTAGAGTGCCACGGAAAATGGCATTTAGAAATATCCCCGACCTCGGGAGTCGATATGGTTTGCACCCTCGTCCCATCCGCAGTACAATGAAGTTTCGTAAAAAGAAATCGAGAATCGAGAATCAAGAATCAAAAGTGAAAAGTGAAAAGTGTATAAATCGGCATCCGCATCAAGACGTAGATATAATAAATTGACCGCCCATAAACAAACCCAAGACTCCCATCAACCAACCCAACCGAATATAAACCAACGTAAATCCATCAAACAAAACGCCCATCCGTTTTCTCTATGACCAGCATAAATTCATCCATGGCGTGTGTTCCACCTACTCCGGTCCCTGATTATACTTCTCCGTCGCAGACCGGAACAACTCCTGCTGCTGTCGGAGCAACTCCTCCTCAGAAAGTCCACTCTGCTCCATCTTGCTCTGTTTCTTCTCGCGGGACTGCAGGGCACAAAATAGTCAGCATTTCCATTCAGTGCTCCGATCTGATCTCATCCCCGTTGTCCCGACATACCTTCAACTGCTCCTTATGATCTTCCGCAACGGCGAGAATGTCCGGGACGTAATCGGCAAACCCGAGTTCTTTCAGGGCCTTCTCGACGTGTTCGCAGGCGATGGTCTTCTTCGCCTCCTTCTCGCTTATCTCGTTTGCTTCGGAGGAAATCAGCGTGATGAATTCAACACAGCACTCCATCAGCAGGTCGCGCGCGTCCTTGGAGAAGGTTTGGCCCGATGAGGGGGGCAGGATCTCGGTGATGATTTTCTGGACCGTCGCTGTGATCAGGGGTTAGCTAGGAGTTCCGCTGTTGAATACGCTGACTCGAGTAACTCGGTACGAACCTTTGGGAAGCGACAAGTCATCGTTGGCTGAAGTGAAGAAGTTAGTAAACGCGACAAAAACACCACGACAGAACAATATGCGAGCTGCGGGAGGAAAGCATAGGATTATGGTCCGGACTAACAGTTAAATTCTCGATCCGACATGGCGACGATGCCCAGAACCAAAAAATGCGAGACCTTCAAGAACAGAGCCGAACCTGGTGGGGAGTGGAGAGGGCTGACTATTTCGCTGGGCCATCACTTCCACGGCAGAAAAACTGGTTACTCACCGCTTTGCGGATTACTTCAAGGATTTTTTTTCCTGCTCAACTTCTTCTCTTCTACACAACTCAATCTCATTCAACTCTTCCTCGAGTGAATTGAATCCTCTTAATGTTGAGCGATTGATTCCCTCGAGGATACTTCATTAATGGTAAGCTTCCTTTGCTCTCTCTCCCCTCTCCTTTCTCCCCTGACTGCATTGCATTCCGTGCAATCGCATCTACATGATGAACTTTTGTTGTCGCCCCTATCATACAAAACCGTGGTGATTTACCTGTCCTAGCCAAACGGACTAGCTGAAAAGAAAATTCAAATCTCAATTGATTTTCACTCAAGTGTGGAGTTTCTCTCGCTAACTTGTACAAAAGATTTAGGGCTATCACAGCATCGCATCGCATCGCCAGTACCATCCAGCCACTCAGTTGGACAATCGACATCTTTAATACATCTGATTTTTCTTTTGTTTTGTTTCTGCTTCTATAGGTATGCGAGACCCAATACAATTACACTCTTCTCCTACCCTCTTTGTATGATGAACCTCCTACATTCCATGCTAAGTATGAAGGTGTTTCACCACCTGATGCTTATAAAATGTAAATGCTTTTCATCTTTCGGCTGATTACAACCCACGCCATTACACATTGTTCACACTCATTGCTTTGGCCGCATCATACTAATTGATGTACAGAACCTAGTCTTAGTCCGGACCTTCAGAGTGTATCCATCGGGTCACTCGATATAGCATAATACCTTCATAATCAATGCAAATGCAATTAAATCAAAGTCTACCTTCCCAGAGTCCATCCAATCTGTCTACTTGAAGTTCATATATCATTCCTGAAATGCACCCAACTCCTGATCATTCCACCTGCAAAGAAAAGTCAGCACAAGCTCCACATCCACTTTCAAGCTCTTCAAGCCCAAGCTCAACCCTCGGAAGCTCAAGCTCAGCTCCACCACCCAAAGAAAGAACCACTCACGAAAGAAACTTCCCACTCAAACCAACCGGCGCATCAAGCACAAGTTTCCCCATAACATGCCCAGGCTGTTCAACCCTCAACAACTTGCCATCCTTATGCACCCCCGTAAACTTAGCATGCATCTCCGCGTCCAAACTAGTAGCATGATCCTCCCGGAGCTCGCGCTGCATATTTGTATCGACCATTCCGGGCCGAATGGAGACGGAGACGACGTCGGGTTCTTCGGCCGCGAGGCTGATGGCGAGATGGTTCATTGCGGCCTTTGTCGCGCCGTAGAGGGCCCAGCCTCGGTATCCGGTTACGGAGGCGCCGGAGGAGGTGAAGATTATTTTGCCGTTGGTGGTGCGGAGGTGTGGGAGGGCTGCTTTTGTCTGTCGGGTTGGTAGAGGTTAGCTTTCAAGTTGTTCTTTCCTGGTTTTTATGGGCTGGTGGTCATGGTGAGGGCCCGGTGATAGCCTGAGTTTGACCCCAGTCAAGTTCAGATGAGATATTGTATATATCATGTTGGAATGCGCCTTGACTAGTGGGGGTCGGGCATGGGCGCGGACTCGAATGAAACGTACAAAAGCAACCAAACTGATAAAGTTCACATCAAAGCCAGCCTTCCACTCATCCGTATTAGCGACATCTATTTTACCAACCTGGCCAAGAACACCATGGTTCAGAGACCATTCCGTCCAGACGGCCGAAAAGTAGACACGGCGACGTCGACGGCCTTTTGCGCGAGGCTAAAGTCCGCCAGGTCGCCGTTGACGACTTCAACTTGCTTTGGGTATTTTTCTTTGAGAGCTTGGAGCGGGGCGAGGGTTCGGGCGACGACTACGACGTTGTGTTGTTGCGGGGTTGTGAGGAGGTATTCGGTGATGCAGAGGCCGATGCCTGTGGCATTGCGATTGCGATTGCGATTAGCTGGGAGTGAAACCGGGGATGGTGGGCTGGGAGAGGGGGTGGTATACCTCGGGAGGCACCGGTGACGATAATTGTCTTCGACATTGGGTCTTTTGGCGAGTGAAGGTTGCGGAGGGGAAGTTGTCGAGGCAAGCTCCAAGAGGAGGCCGAGGAAGTGCGGGGCTTAATAATCTCCGCGGCGGTACTTGGTCTGCCTCGAGGTGTGCGGGCTTGACTGCGCGGATTGATAGCAGTACAGAGGATGCACTGGCAGGAATTAGATACATGCGTAATGTTTTAATTAATGTCAATTCAAAAAGGTTTCTTAATGTTTTTCTAGCTGTACCTATTGATTCCGTAGTATTCCGTAATAGTACCACATATATTACTCCCAGCTGCGATTCATATCTCCCTTCCCTAGAGTAAATCGAGCATTTCGTGATATATCAATAATCGTATCGATTGAATTTTATCTCAACCTGATTGTCCTCTTCTTTTCTTCCACTATAAAAGCCACGGCTATGGCGATGGCTATGCAATGTAGCAATATACTAGTACTCTACTTTATACTCCTCGGGGAAGGGAGAACAATTTCTCCCCGGACGCTGAGTCATCCGTGGAGCTGTCCAGAAACTTCAGGCATTCGCGATATCAAAGCACCTCCCATCTCATCGCCATCGCCACCTCCACCTGCGCTCAACCCAACCCCCTCCGAGTCCCTGCGCTATCCTCTGATCTCCAGCTCTCACCTCTCCTCTCCACTTCCACCTCCACCATCAACCGCCGCCATGGCCAACTACCTCGCCTCCATCTTCGGAACCGAGCAAGACAAGGTCAACTGCTCTTTCTACTACAAAATCGGCGCCTGCCGTCACGGCGACCGCTGCTCCCGCAAACATGTCAAGCCCTCATACTCGCAAACCGTCCTCATGCCCAACATGTACCAGAACCCCGCCTACGACCCCAAGAGCAAGATGAACCCATCCCAGCTGCAGAACCACTTCGACGCCTTCTACGAGGATGTCTGGTGCGAGATGTGCAAATACGGCGAACTGGAGGAACTAGTGATCTGTGATAATAACAACGACCGTAAGTCTTTCTTCTGCCCCCGTCCCTCCCCCCAAATCAAACCTACACCTGCCTCGGCCTCGGCCTCCTCCTCTGCAAGATCCCAGCTAATCAATTCCAATTCCAATACCTCAGACCTAATCGGCAACGTCTACGCCCGCTTCAAATACGAAGAAGACGCCCAAGTAGCCTGCGACACGCTGAATTCCCGTTGGTACGCCGCGCGACCGATCTACTGCGAATTATCGCCCGTGACGGACTTCCGCGAAGCCTGTTGTCGACTGAATAGTGGCGAGGGCTGCGTGCGCGGCGGGTTCTGCAATTTCATTCATCGCAAGGATCCCGGCCCTGAACTCGATCGCGAATTACGGAATAGTACGAAGAAGTGGCTCCGCGAGCGTGGTCGTGATGCGAGAAGTGTGTCCAGGAGTCCTAGCCCTGAACCTACCCGGCGGCGATTCTGAGTTGCGAAATGAAGCGGAGCAGTGCAGGGCAGTGCAGTGCAGATAGGCTGGTGCAGAGTAGTGCGGTGATCTGGTAGTGCTGTTTCTGTTGCTGCATGGTTGGAGTTGTGTTTTCGTTTTGAATCTTGGACAAAATTCCGCATGGGTCGTTTTTTTCTTCTTTCTTTTTGGCGTTGTGGTGATCTTGATAATTGGATATCCGAGTTTCCCTTATAACTTTTACTAGTACCTCTCCAAGGTCTAAGGCTGGCTTCGGCATTTTGCTGCTTTGTATTCTATATGATATGATATCAACTGCATTTCAAGTTTCTTCGGGAATATAAGATCTTTCAATCAATTGATAAGTACTAGAGTTCTATTAGTAGTACTAGTTGATACCACCTGGGTAGCAGCTTTGCCGAATTTCTGGTCCAAGTTGTTGAACGTCGAGAACTTGAACTCGCCAAGGTGAACTTACTTCATGTGGACCTCGGGATACAATATTCCCTTCTGTTTCTAATACTAGTAGGTGAGTAAGACAACCTCGAAACTCGGGGAGTTTGAATCTATAGTAGGCCCGAGATGTGACTTGCGCGAGGTTATTCCAGGTTCAAGTTTACCTAGGTTGATTCGGAGAATTGGTGCGCTGTAGGCCTGAAGTATGGAGCACCTAGGCACTATATATCCTACGCAACCCACCAGTTGAAGTATACCGTGACGCGAACTTGAACTTGAACTCCCTCTAGGGCTTGAAAGCGCCCTGTAAGCCAAACACTGGCATTTAAAAACCTTGAAATAAACCAAACTATCTCTAGAGATACTCCTATTTGAAAAATATCCCACCCAATTCTCTCTATTTCTAATAAATAAAGGATTGAGTCTGCAACTCGAAGGCTTGGCACGCGACGCGCCGCGCGTGCCACTTTCAACACCCACTTTAGCTTCAACACCACTTCACTTGACCACTTTCTTTCCCACCAGCTCCGAGTCCACCTTCACGATGGACACTGATGGCTACAATGACGCGAATCGCGCCTTTCTACAGGCCTTCATGGGCCGCTCCTCCATGACCCTCGAAGACGCCCAACCAATCCTCGCAGCCATCCTCTCCACCCATGGTATACACACCCCACCTGCAATAATTGAAGCTTGGAGATGACCTACGGACAGCAATACTAACCACAAAATCCCACCTCTAGAGCGCCGAACCGTCGACCCCGAAGACATAACCCAAGAACACTTCACATCCTACATCTCCGCCGCCAACACCGCCATATCTCCCTTCGACCTCGAAATAAGAAGCACCCTCCGTCAAACCCAACCAGATCCCTCCACCACCAATGGCAATACTACAGAAACTACCCCAGACCGAGTCTACGCCCTAGTAAACACAACCAGCGACCCAATAACCCAACTATCAACAACCTACACAGCCGACGAAATCGCCTTCGTAAAACGCATCCTAGACTTCATGTTCGACACAAACAACACACGCCTTTGCGAAGGAATGGCCATATCCTCGATCCAAGCAATCCAACAAGCGAAAGTCTCCGCCCTGGACAGACGCCACTCGGAGAACCCAGCAACACAAGCAACCCAAGGCGGCGCAGCGCAAAGTCTCAGCATGACGCAAGCAGAAAGCATGATGCGCAATCTCGTGGACGAGGGTTGGCTAGAGAAGAGCCAGGCAGGAATTTTCAGTCTAACGCCGCGCGCGCTGATGGAGCTGAGAAGCTGGTTGATTTCGACGTATAATGATGATGATGGGAACTCGCGGCGCGCGGGGAGGATTAAGTTTTGCGCCGCTTGTAAGGATATTGTTACGGTGGTGAGTTTCAAACTTCGTTTCGCGCGCGGTTGGGGTTGAGTCGAGCTGACGTTTATAGGGTCAACGGTGTGGCGAACGGGATTGTAAGGGCAGACTGCATGATCACTGTGTTCGCAATTTCTTTCGCGTGCAGCAGGCAGAGAAATGCCCTGTTTGCAAGCAGGATTGGCCGGGCGATAAATTTGTTGGGGAGAGGGCTATTGCGGCGTCGAATCGGCGGCAGAGTCGAAATGTGAATTCGCATTCGAATGCGAGTGCGAGTGCGGATGTGTCGCGGGAGAGTGCGTCGCAGTCGAGTCCTGTACTCGGAGGCGTGGATGGGGCTGATGATGACGATAATGATGAGGAAGAAGAGGAGGATGGATCGGACGAGGAGTGATTTTGATCAGTGCCTAGGATTTATTCGTTTTGCCTTGCCCTGCCTCGTGCTTGGGCGGGCTGTGCGGATGGGTACTTCCATTGCGCATGACGCAATTTCGCATTCGAAATTCTGGCCGAGGTGATGGAATTGGACTTTGAAGTTTTCAAGAGGTCCCAATATACTCGACAGTCGCAGTCTTGCCGATGTCATCAACGGACTTGATGGCACCCGGCGCCCCATGCCAGCGGGCTTTCGCCCCTCTTCTGTGCTCAGCATGGAATGTCGAGGAATATCATGCCTATTGGAATAGGACTACGCGAAGCTATTAGCAAGGACGGAGTGGATATCAAGCTCGACACAAGAGACCAGACAATATAGATGCTGGCCATGTCGTGCAAACCACGAACTACTCACACCCCATAACAGAGCCGGACAAAGATCTACAGAGGGAAAGTTGAGATGATAGAGCCATCTTCCAATAAAATGAAGTGATTTCCATAGCCATATTCTCCCGGTAGACCCATTGAGGGAATGACTCCATCTTCATCTCCATCTTGTAGGAAAATAAGCGGCTATGGTCCCCACTCTCATCGGATATCGCCTACTGGGCCCGCTTCCCCAGATTCAACTCCGCGTTCAACATCATCTCGACCGCGAACCCCAACCCCAACCCCAACTCATTTACGACCTTGAAACTGAGCTAGGGGACAATCGCCATGCCAAAATCAAGTAGAGGCCGCCCAGGTATGTCGTGATATGCTCTGTAGAAGAGGTCCATTCTGACCTCACCACACCAGGTTGTTTAATATGCAAAGCTCGGAAGGTATTTGAGTGCAGTTCTCCAGCTAGCTATGACAACAAGGAAACCTTCCTAATTAAATCATTGACAGGTAAAATGCGACAACCCAATCGAAAATTGCACACCATGCAGTAAAATGCGCCTATCTTGTCCAGGATCCAGAGCCAGCACCAGCCCGAACACCAACCCCTCAACCGAGCACGAGCTGTCAGAAATAGTAAACGAAGCTTTCAAAAAGGCCGGCCGGAAACGCCGACACGTCGGGGCTTGTCAAGCGTGTCAGGTTTCTAAGAGCCGTTGTTCGCGGGACAGGCCGTGTCTAAGGTGTGAGGATAAAGGGCTTAGTTGTGTTTATTTGGTAGGGAGACTTGGAGCGGAGAATACAATGAGTAGTAGCATCCAGAGGAGAATAGGTCGGGGTGAACGCAGAAATGAACGTGAGAGTCAAGAGGAAGGGGAATATGAAGAGCAAGACCAGGAAGAGGAACAGGAGCAAGGACGAGGAAAAATCCCCACACAGGGACTTGAAACACTTCCACAACGTATAGAACATGATACCCGCGTGAGAGCCCTCTGCGAGATATTCTTCGTCCATGTCCATCCGCTACGATGTTTGAGTTTTATCCACAAGCCCTCTTTCATGCAGTCTTTGGATCTGGGACGGGTTTTGGTCGATTTCGGAGAGGCGCTTGTTTTCATTGTTTGTGCTTTTGGGGAAAGGTCAGTTGTTGAAGTGCTAGATGAGGATACGGATTATACTGACTCATTTTGTGTTTGTTCAGATTCTCGGCGATATTTTCGACAGGGCCACGACTTCAGCCTTCCACTCCCTGGACGAATTGGGCAGAGAGGGCGCAGGAACTTGCATTGTCGAACCTAGGGAAACCGAGTGTTTCTAATTTGATGGTTGGTATACTTCTTCTTGAGATTCTATGAGAGCAATACTAACACTAAATTGTGCCGTACCGACAGGCCTTGGTTCTCCTATGCGAATGGCACATCCGCTTTGGCCAAGAAAGTGCAGCATTCATGATGTCCGGAATCGCATCACGGCTTGCGCAGTTACTACGTCTTGACGCTGAACCAGCAAAGGAAAGTCTAGACGGTATACCGAGTTCGCTCATCGCGGCTGAGAAAGAATCAAGACGGAGACTGGTCTGGTCGTGCTATGTCTTAGACGTGACGATTAGTTCCGGGGTAGACTTGATTTCGAATTGGCCATCTGTACCGAGGACTCGGCTTCCCTGTTCAGCTAGAGAGTTCATACTGCAGCTTCAATGCGAGACGGGAACGCTTTGCGCGGAGGCTGGGGCTGTGGATGGCGATAAGAAGTATAACATTTGTCTGGAAGCGTACTTTGTGCGAATCATTTACCTACGCAAGCAGGTACTGCGGTAAGTTAACTACCAGTAGCTACTGGATCAGCTGGCTGTACCAGCCCACTCCTCTCCTGGAACGAAAAAGCTTCAGATTTATCAGAAAGGGGAGTAGGATGAGAAGCATTCTGCAAAAGCTGACATTCTCGAAACATTCAGTCTGATTCGACAAGACAATCCAACCACTCTATCCGAATTCAATCAGCTGGTTTTATCCCTTGAAGAATGCGGCTCAGGTTTCCCAAGACACCTCCAACTAAACGAGACGAACGCCTACATACATGAAGAGAATCACCAGCTGGCAGCTTTCTACGCCCTCCACCTCTTATATAACCAGTGCTTTTGCGATCTTTACCGCGTTACACTCCCCGGCTACCGATTTCCGTTATCCGATGCCATTGCACGAGAAGAACCCGAGAGAGTGGGTAGTCTCCGTGATCAGTGCGTTGAGCGAGCGCAAGTGCTTACAGATATAATCCGTGGTGCACTAAGTCGGGGGTCAAAGGGGTTTACGGATTCGATTTGCTCGATCTGTGCATACGAGTCTACTAAGATTCAAATCATCTACGCGCGGACATGTACGGGAGAAGGAAGTGCAGGCCTGAACTTAAAGAGAAATATTCAGACGAATCTGCAAGCGCTGAATATCATGTTTGAGTGGGATAAGAAGAGGGATGCTTTGGTGAGTGCCAAAATTCGAGCTACTACAGCCCCTGAGTCGGTGCAAAGGCAGCTTTGAGTTTTTCATATGCTAATTTAATTAAAGTTATCGTCATTGTCGAAGTTACTTCAAGAATTTGGATTCTCGGATTTGGCGACAAATTGGCTGGATCGAAATGGTACTAGGTGAGAGACTGCCCAACATCAAGTCTGGGTGACATTCAATCTTAACTATTTCCTAGCTTCCCTAGTAATAAAGAAGATGGGACACCTGAATCATATCATCTTCATCCGCTGTCTTTGTATCGAATGGCGTGGAAGGAAATCTCATGGCCTCGAAAACCGGACACGAATGTTAGGGTGCAAGTGCCCCAGTTCAACTCAACAAAGAGTATGAACATCGACTCAGAAGTGCGAAATGATATTGCTGGAGGGGATAATTTTGCGGACATGACCGATCCTGCAGCTGGAAGCTCCTTCAACCTTGACGAGCTACCAACCGCTGAGACAATGATGGATATCGATTCATACCTGCAGATTGCGGATGACTTCTCGAACTATTTGACTTGGGATCCTTGGGACTTTGGATATGCCTAACCTTGGAAATATTGCTGTCATTGTGACAGAGGCCTGCTATTAAGGTAATACGTGCATTCGATGTATTAGTTTACTATATAAAGAGTTATCTTCCACTACAATTAGCCGGTGCTTTATGGCCGGTCTGGGAAGTGGCATCTTCCCGAACAAGCCCTGAATAACCATGGGATCATCCTGCTCCACTTTCGCCTTGGAGTTGGTCCTCCATGACCAACATCACCCCTTTTCTCATTTCTAGTTCCATCTGGCTGGTGACGAAATCAATGGCCAAAGCAGGCGGGAGTCGCCAGACCGCGAGTCCACTGTAAGCTCCCGATCTCAACGACGAGCGCACAGAAGGCGATGGCGACACTCACACCACCGTATAAATATGCATGGCGCCTGCGAAGATTCGAGAGTTCCAATACCCATGTACTGACCGTCGTGAGACACCCGCAGAATCCGTCCATGACACCCTGTAGCACCTGACAGCCAACGATGCTGCCTCCGCCAAGACTAGATGCACCGATCGAAGCATGTTGGATTGAATACGCCATTCCCAGAACCATTGTACCACAGACATTGACGGTAAACGTTCCGAGGGGAAAAGATCGTATACGGCCGTTCAGTTTGAGGGAAATGAAAAATCGGACCAGACAGCCGACCGGAGCGAACACCAAAGAAAAGATAACTGGTCTTCTCCACAATTCCGGGCTCCATAGAGTATCCTCTTGCAGACGTCCCGGCAGTAGAATTACTAGGCAAATAACCGCGACCCATGAGAGGCACGCGAGGACGACCGCCGTGGGGTCTATGATTTTGCGCAGCCAGTGTTGGGGAAGACTCGGCGTCCAAGGAGATACGCAGATTGCGAGGTGGGCACCGAGAAAAAGGCCAGCCAGCGATAGACCGATCTCTGTAAACAGCACAGCAACCAAGGCCATGAAACTGAACCCTCCATTTGGAGCTCTGGCCGTCGCTGGGGCCGGAGCAAATAAGGATATATCCGCGTATGGACCAATCGGTACAGGAAGCTTGTTGGCCAGTGCCAGATACAAATCTCGAAGAAAGGTGGAAAAGGACGTCAGGCTCCCGCAAAGCCCCGTCGTCAGTCCAATGTAGAGTGGGATTGTTTTCTTGTGCGCCTTCAAATGTGCCGTCCTTCGGGCATCGTCTTGTCTCACCTCCGCCGGAATTTTGGCGTCCACGTCTTCGGACCGGAAGAATTCTTGATCCTCGCTTAGAAAGCCCATAATGAAACTGCCTCCAACGTTGGCCCAGAGAACGCTGGTGTTCACCGGTGACCCGGGGTAGAATGTCAAAGATTCAATAGTGATGCGGAGGAGCGTGCCAACAATTGAAAAAAAGATGAGGTAGCCTACGATACACGTAGTCCGTACTATCTTGGATAGCCGATCACCGATCGAATTGTCAGTCCTGGTTCCCAAAATGGCACCGGACGCGTAAAAGTCAGCATTATCGGCCTGGGCAGGCTCGGGTTTCACTGCTGTAGGTGCATTCGGTAGGTGCATTTGGCGCAGGTGCCGAGTAGAGCTGGGATTGTCGACCATGACTGTTCGAAGCTGGGATATGCCCGGGTGGAAAAGAAGAATACATCTCGCTGTAAGTGTATTTCTATATATTAGTACTTTACCGGCTCGGGCGGTCCGGTCGAAGTGACATTGATGGGATAATGAATATCCACTGATGACTGCTCACTGATTGATTGAATGAAGTCGTCGCTTTCATCTCACCCCGGCTCGATTGAAATTCATAGTCCAGTGAAATAATGATGACTCGGAAGGATGAATGATCAGAATGATAGATGGATGACTATCGGAGGAATGACCTGAGGTTATCACAAAACGGTTGGCACGGCAGGCCTTAGCAGCCACTAGAGCCTGATCCTTCAGGCCTGTAATCACGTACTTACTCTGCTTTGTTTAATTCCGATTTCATGAATCCATGAGCTGCTTTCTGCAGCGGCGTATAGATTCTGGAATTTATGTCATATTATCTTTTAACCTACACTCAGCTGTATATCCTGTACACCCTGAACTAACCCTAATAGGCCAATGAATGCTTGTACGGGTTGCAGAAAAGAAAAGAAAGGCCAATTTCAATGTCATGATGACAGAATCCGGCTGATTTACTCCGTACCGCTCTATCCGTTCCGGGTGATCCGTTGGAGAGAGGATGCTCCAGCCTCGGAGTATTAACTGATGATTGACCCACCCGCCCTCCGGAGTTCAAGACGCCCCTCAAGATGAAGCGCCAACGTGTCGGAGTTGCCTGTGACAAATGCCGGGAGTTGAAAGCTAAGGTGTGATTTTTTGCCCCCATTTCCTCCCTATCTTTCGCGCGACAGCCTGACCAGTCTTGTGGAATTGGGCATAGTGTGATGGGCGACAGCCCGTTTGTTCCAGATGCGAGGGCTACAGCTTCAACTGCACCTGGTCCACAAGGAAGCCTCGAGCATTACGGACTAGTGCAGCAAGCACATCCGATGAGCTCACTGATGGCCGGCAGTGCCGGTCCCCGCTCTCCCCTTTGCCTTTGCAAGATAATGTGCCGGCGTACTCAAGAGCGATCATGTCATACGAAACACTGATCGAAGAAATCCGGACCAGGTTGGATAGCTCCCACCAGGCCGCACTGGATTTAAGCCTCCAAGATATCCGGAGGCTTGTGCCCAAGAGCCCGGCAGAGAATAAGCAGGTGCCTGATGGTGCAAATGCTATCACACGCGTGGGACTTGCAACGGCTTCCTCGCCGACATATGTAGGCAAGGCAAGCGACATTCATTTTATTCAAAGCATACGTCAATGTGTTCATGGGCCCGGGGCCGAAGAAGAGGTGTCTGCTCAGAACTATAGCCAGACTTACGTCTCGGAGAGCTTGAGCGTTTTGACACATCCGTTGTTATTCCCGTCGCAGACGGAGGCGGATCAGTACCTTGATGTGTATTTATCGACGATACATATTGCCTATCCGTTTATATCTAAGCCAATTCTGATGGACGCATTTAAGCGGTTTCAGAATGGAGAAGTACATGAGCCAGAATTTCGCCCGTGGCTCGCAATCTTTAGTAAGGCCCCCAGGTCTTCAGTTTCATCCCCCCGCGGAGCCTTCTTCTCATGTGTTTCTTTTCTCTTGGCTTCTTGTCGGAGAGTGACTTGTACTAGTAACTTTCTAATTGACTCCTTTTCTAGATTTCATATTCGCCATCGGATCGTATTATATGTCTTTTCCACATGGGAAGCATGCCTGCGTGCAACATCACCAGCGATACTATGAACAAGGTCTCTACTATTCCCGAGAGCTGAGCGCGGAATGTTCCTTGCTCAGTGTCTGGGTATTGCTAGTGCAGTGCTTTTTTCTGCTGGCTGTTTGCCATACTGACCGGTAAGAACGATCGGCCATCCATTTTCTCTTTTAGTAGATATTTGGGAGTGCTGAGCGCAAATCTAGTTGCTGGAATACGTTGGGTTTTGCGATTCGAATGGGACAAAGCATCGGTCTCCATGTGGAATCCCCTTCTACCGTCAGCTCTCGTCAGTCGTGGATGACGGATCGCGACCACAAGCGCCGAACATGGTATTCCATGTACGTCTTGGATCGACTGCTAGCTCTTCAATTAGGCAGACCGATGGCAATCCATGAAGCCGAATTTCAGGTGGAACTGCCCTCCGTGAACGACCAGTCGCCATTCATCTCCTCTTCGCATGAAGATTCCGGTTCAGGTAGCGCCGCTGAGCATGGATGCACCATGGCATATTTCCTCCAAGTGATTCAGTTCTCGCACATCGTCGGATTAGTCATCCATAATATATATCGACCAACTCAGGTTGACTTGTCTCCAGACCAAATGCTGCAGAGTGCTTCCACTCTTGATCAAAGCTTATTGGATTGGAAGATGAAGCTGCCACGGCATCTTCGATTTGACTTGGGACACACTTTTGAAAAATCACTATCATACAAGCGCCAGGTAAGTGTCTTTCCTTTTGCTCATGATTTGTCCACTTGTTTTTCAATGCCATCAGGAATGCTGAGTGTAGCTAGCGTAACATGCTTGCAGTAAAACACCATCATCTGCGTGCACTCATACACCGGCCTTTCCTCTGCCTCCCATTGCTTCGGATGAACAACCAGCCCTTCATGAATCTGCTTCTGCGTAATAAAGAACGAATTGCCGAGGCAGAGTGGAACTGCGTGCATGAAGCCCAGCAGACTGCGCATCTGCTGCACCACGTCGTGGACGAGGAAAGCTTGGTCCATGATTTCCCTTGGTGGCAGATGATATCTTGCCTGATCTGCGCGAGCTCCATATTATTTGTCGCAGAAAGTTATTGTCACCACAGCAACGGTACGAATGGGAGATCCTCATCGCAAAACCTGAGAGAAGATGCAGAGACCTGTTTGAAGGTATTTGAAGCTCTCAGCGTCAACTCGGCTGCGGCGCAGAAGGCCGCGGACATCTTAGTGGGGCTTTCGCGGATACGTCGATCTACGGAGGAAGGTGGGTTCTATCAACTCTGTTGCGAGGCCGATTTGGAATGAGACTTTCACTGACTATGATCAATATCCAGCGGAATCTGATAATACTGCCTCCGTTTTTCCATCTACCAATTATGCTTCCACCGAATCTGCACAACAGGATTCTCTTCCCCATGATCCAGATCACCCTCCCTATCCCCCTCGCCACAGTCACCTATCGACATATCGGCCTTGTGTGACTGGCCAAGTGAGATATCCAATGCTATGGAATGGTCGGTCAGGTTTTTTGATTATCCTCACTTTCAACCATCCTGAGCCTTCTGTTTCGGGCTCACACTAGTCAGGGTTTTTGGTTGTTTCCAGCCCTGACTTGTACTATCTTTCTCAGTGTAATGCATGCTGGGGCTTTTTAGCGACCGGCAGTCGGAATCTTTGTTTTTTCTCTTCGTGGGTCAATATTCGGGTGCCAAATTTAACACGCGAGTCCGAGAATCTTTGACTCGGAACAGATTGAATGGATTTCCACGTTCATCAAAAAGCTGTATATGGCGTAGTAAATGATTTTTTCCAGTTCGAAGCCGCCATATACAGCATGTTTTCCCCCTTTTAAGACGGCTAGAAAAAAACCAATGACATAGGTCCTGTACCATCAGGCTCTCCACGCCGTAGCGAGGCCCAGGAGTGCCATACACTGGAAGGTGATCGGAATCAAAAAGCAACCCAGAAGGCCGTACTAGAACTTACCTGGGTAAGCAGAAGATGGATTCTGAATCCGGGCTAATTAGGTTACTCCTTTCGCTGGTCATGATAAAGCAAAGCAAAGAATATTGTAATAGGGGTATCATTTTATCAGATGACGTACTATGAGCAGGCCTTTAGGGCTCCACTGCGTAAGCATTGGTAGTGTATAAGCCCCGGCACGCGCGGGCCGACTATGAAGTCAAGAGCGATGACAACCTGCCGTAACTCCCGATGTCACTGATCTTCAGGACGCTTATCTGAACAAGTCAATACTATATGTCAATTGAGGAAGAATCAAGTAACCGGGTATCTGAACTAGCTTCGTCTGTTTCCTCTCAGTCTGAATTCTTACAGCAATCTGTCTGAAGGGTGTCAGGAAAAGGCATGTAAATAAATCTAGTCATAACTATCATACAATCATTCGAGGACCTGTACCGAATCAACAATTCTACGCTTTTTATTGCTGTCTGAGAATCACCGGGGAGGCTTCTGTTTAGCCATTCCTTCTGTTCCTATACCAAGCCTTCAAGATTCTGAACATGCCTCGCATGGCGTCGCTCCCAAGTCGTTCGCCCATTCTCTCGTAATGTGGTCGATCACTCGGGGCAGTGCTGCTTCCCCGCGGCCGACGAAGATGATAAAACTTCTCGTTGCAGAGCGGACATCTTGTGTCACTGCCACAAATCCAATCATCTATACAAGGTTGGTGAAAAAGATGTTCACATGGCAGTTGTCGCAAGAGAAAGCCCGGTTGCATTTCCTCTAAGCATATGATACAAACATCTGGCACTGAGTACCGGCCTTCTTATATGCAAATCAATATCAATGATTCATAGAGAGGCATACCTCTCTCGGCTGCTCACATACCAGGAAGTGATGTTGGGTTATCTTCAACGAGAGGCATCTGCGCCAAGTCCACCTCATATTTGGCGGAGTAGGCAGTTTGCATGGTGGGTTAGGAGTGCTTCAGAATGCTTCAAGAGTTCGATATGCCTGGCAAGTGACAATAATGAATTTTTTGTGGATCAATAGTATGGACTATGGGGCAGTCATACCACTAGATATATTGAATGCCCAGATGGTGTAAAAATTCAAGTTCCACATACTAGTAGGTCATTACTCAGCCACTTGGGCATTTGATTCTCACTTAATGAGGACCTTCTGAGTCCGCAGGGGTAAAAGCCAACTCACAACCTTTGAAAGAGGGCAGGTCTATTAAGCACTGGCAAGCGATACGAGAAGGGCGCAATATAATTTACATGACACATCATCGGAGGAACTGATAATTTGACAGGCTGCCGGTTTTTTTCGTTTCTCTTGTAAATTTGAGTTCATCGAACAGGGGTGTTGTTTATTTTGCAGATAACCGCACCCCCTTTTTTCACTGACGAACCGGGTAGGACGGGAATCGCGGAAGAGATAATTAATTATAAAGAACCTTAACCAAGGGAAGAGCCATGACTTGGCTTTCTTTGGATTACAAAAAAGAATTCATCTATGATGACTGGCTTCTACATAAATATGCCATCCCCCATGGAACGGGGAGGGTTGACGGCAGAGGAGCTCGTGTACGCTCATATGCCATGTTATTTTGGAAATCAAGATTGCACAACTAGTAAGTATTCTAGGATTGTATTAGGAATCCCACTAACACCTCTCGTTTGCTTGTGCGAGGTAGTCCCAAGATTTCTTCCAGATAGCTGTACTTTATGCTGGAACACTCTTGGAATCGAATCCTCTTGCCGCCAGCTTCCATGTGGTCATACTTTCCACCTAGCTTGTATTGACCATTGGATTCGATCCCAAGATGCCAGTTGCCCTTACTGTCATCGCACATTCTACTGCTTCAGGCGGCCACTTTCAGAAACAGATAAATCCCTCAATCATGGGCCCTCCGTGCTGACGGTTTTGAGAAAAATGAGATTATGGATCGCCAAGAAACTAATTGTAGACTAATGAAATTTGGTGGACTATGGCCTATACTAGTACCTTATCAAGTAATCATTGGTTGAGTCAGTTCAAGTAGCTGAGCCCGTTATTGATTAAATGTCACAACAACAGGCACATTATACGTGGGTAGTCATCTGCCCAACTGATCTCACACGGTTGAATAACTCCTGGGGCAATAAAATCGCATTAAGTTTTGGAATATGTAGCCATAAGGACATATGTGCTGTTCCTGGCCACTGAAGCTCCACGACTTTGGCTGTGGCTCATCTCGTCTTTGACATGCATCCGGCACAATTCACTATAAATAAAGCAGTGATATCAACCCACGAGCCTTGAGTCGGCAAAATCTAAATTATCATCTTGTACTAAGAGAAAAGACATTATAAGGCTCTAGTTTTCTATCCCTACTATACCCCAAAAGAATAACAGATAATATTCTTGAAAGTTACTTTGGCAATTAGTTCTACGATATGGCGAGGGAATGAGTGATCAGTTACTGTTTGCTTGATTACATCGACATGTTCTACAATGACGTTCCTTGGATAAATTCTCGGTTGACAAAAGGAGGATACCGGAAATCCCATAATTAAGTAAATTTTTAGACACCGCTCCCACTTTACTCAGGTCCTCAAGTAAATAACCGGATGGGAATTTCATTCCGTTTCATCAGAACCTCCGTGCTATCCGCCTTTTCCGACTTCAACCAATTTGCCCACCCCTCGGATGTATGCTAGGCCTAAAATGATTTACGTAACAAACATGCGTTTGTTTCCCGAGTCGAGTCAGATAAGATGTCACTTTTTCAGGAAATTCAGTCATAACATTAAAATTACAACATGTTTATTGCGGTTGTTGAAACATTTACTCCCTCCAAGTATTCTAATTTAACCTTCCGTCCAATCCGGAATTCGACCAACTGACCTCATGAATTCTTGGGTGTTTTTTAAGTGGTTATATGATTACACATAGCTTCAAGTTGATACGTCATTATATAATGACCATCATAGCCTCCTATTTATTTAAGTTTATCAATCGAACACTAAGGGCACAGTTCTCGAAGCAATTGTTTCAAATTATCTCCTGCTCATTAAACAACACATTACTCCAGAATGATTAGATCTATTCACGCCGCGCAGAGGCTTGATTCGAGAGGATGTCCTACTGTTCAAGTTGAGCTCACAACTGAGAAAGGTGAGAAGCTCCTAAGCTATCTGTCGCAAATGGACTTGCCTCACACAAAAACAGGAACTTTTCGCGCGTTAGTTCCTTCTGGTGCCTCGACGGGTGCAAATGAAGCCGTCGAACTGAGAGATGGAGATGAGTGTGCCTATGGCGGTCGAGGCGTACAGGGAGCTATTTCAAACATCCAAAACGTCATCGGTCCCAACCTGCTTGAGAGCGACTTCAGGGTGGATACCGATCAGAAGAAGATTGATCAGTTCCTTAAGAACTTGGACGGGACGAAAAACAAAGAAAGGCTTGGAGCAAATGCTATCCTGGGCGTGAGTATGGCATGTGCCAGAGCCGGCGCAGCACATTCGGTAAGTGGGCGCTTCGAGTTCACCAGCCCCATGGCTGATCATCACCCCCTCTCACCATTTATAGGGGATCCCTTTATACGAATTTCTCAGACGTGAGGCCGGAGCGAAGAAACCATTTGTCATGCCGGTTCCATTCTTCAATGTTCTCAATGGTGGGGTACATTCAGGAAACGAAATGGCATTTCAGGAAACCATGATTGCCCCGGTCGGTGCCTCTTCAATTACAGAAGCCGTAAGAATGGGCAGTGAAGTCTATCAGCATCTGAAAAAGGTCATTACTGAGAAGTTTGGATCTTCTGGTCAGCCAATCTCAAAGTATCTACGAAGTTCGCAAGCGCAAAAGCTAACATTCAAAAAACAAGCCATTGGCATTGGAGATGAAGGAGGCTTTGCTCCGCCAATTTCGGAGCCTCACGAGGCATTAGACCTCTTAGTACAGGCTGTGTCGAACTCAGGACTCAGCGGCAAGATCAAGTTTGCCATTGACCCCGCGTCCAGTGAGTTCTTCCGAGAGGGCAAATACGACATCGGATTTAAAAGCACTACGAATTTGAAAACAGCGAAGGAAATGATTGGCTTGTATCAATCTTTACTGGAAGAGTACCCCATCGTTCTACTCGAGGACCCTTTCGCCGAGAATGACTGGGATAGTTGGTCGGAGTTCAACAAAGCGTGCCCAGTTGAACTGGTTGGTGATGATCTACTCGTCACTAATCCGGAATATGTGCAAATAGCAAGACAAAAAGACGCCTGCAATGCTATGCTGTTGAAGATAAACCAAATTGGGACTATTTCGGAAGCAATTGAAGCGTGAGTATTTTTTTCCTTTTTTTCTTTTTGAAAGGTTGGCGGTATGGAAACACTGCGATGCTGACTGTTAACAGAGCAAACCTCGCTTACAGCTACAACTGGAGTGTATTTGTTTCTCATCGCTCTGGCGAAACGACTGATGACTTTATTGCAGATCTGGCGGTAGGATTGGGGACAGGTCATCTAAAGTCTGGCGCGCCCTGTCGCGGGGAACGAGTTGTTAAATACAATCGGCTCATGGACATCGAAGCTGAGATTTTGGCAGATGGTGAGAAATGCCTATTTGCTGGCTCCAAATTCAAGAACGCAAGCAGATTTTAGAGTTGTATTTCCAATAAAAGTCGACTGGCCACACTATCGCTCTACACTCTACTCTTCAATACACAGAAAATTGAACAGACCCCGCTCTGAAGTTTGGGAAAATTGTTTTCTTTCCCCACTCGTATATTATCAGTTGCTCTAGAAAGCGTGGCAGGGTAATTATTCCCAATCGGTTTACCTATCAACACGCATGAAAATTCAAGCTCGAAAACATGGAAAAGATTGTTGCAAAAATTCAATCCTTCAAGGATTCCTTTTGCTCGTACCCTGGAATGCTTCTAAAAGTTTTCTGGAATTGATTTTTGCTTGGGTGATATTTCACCAAACCTTAGGCGACTGTGAGTATAAAATTTCATATACACCAAATGTGTCCCCACTTCCTTAACGGGGAACCTTATCTGCAATTTCAGCTGGCACGTCCTTCTTCCCAATGAATCTGATCCAACGGCCAGTATCCTCAAATTCGTCCTTGACACCTTCCAGCAGGTGCCCGTTCTTCCACTGCCCTGCCAATCCAACCACGCCAACTTCACTGGCGTAGACACTCCATAATTTGAGCATCTCGCGGAAGACTTCGGGCATTGCCTCACTCATATCCTTGACTTCTCCGGGGTCCTCAATTACATCGAACAACTCCCACCTCTGCGGACCTCGAGGAAGTGGTACATAGGTGATCTTATAGCGACCTCGCCTCAGTGCACCACTGCCAGCGATCTCCCACCCGAACTCCTTCTCCTCCCCATGAATTGCCATCACCCCAGGAGAATCAGGAGATGTATCCAACTTCTCTGCAGCCATAGCATCCAAAAAGGATTTCCAGCTTGCCCCTCGCACCGGAGCAATCTGCCTCCCCTTGTACTCGGTTCCAGGATGAGTCAACCCAGCATAGTCAAGAATCGTAGGCACAATATCCATAACCGTACAAAACGAATCCACAATCCTGCCCCCCTCCCTCGAATTCTTCACTGGCTTCACAACAAGCGGAACCCGACAGCCGCCCTCCGTCGAAAACATCTTATACAACCTCGACGGCGCCGTAGCCGCCTGCGCCCACCTCGACCCATACCAAACAAACGAATCCGACCTCCCGATATTATCCAAAGAATTATCATAATACTTCCGTATATGCTCAACAACACTCTCCCCAACCAATGGCTGTGCCTCATAACTCGCCCCCTCGGCCCCATTATCCGACATAAAGTAGATAATAGTATCATCATACTCACCACTCCCTTTCAAATACTCCAAAACCCGCCCAATATTCTCATCCATCCGATCCACCATTCCAGCGAAAGCCTCCATAGACCGTGCAGACTTCGCCCGCTCTTCAGCATTCATATCCTCCCACTCGCCCTGTTCCCCGTCAACCGTAACAACCTCATGAGGAACAACATCCGGCTTCACCATACCAAGTTCTCTCAATCTCGCCAGTCGTCGCTGTCTCAATGCCTCGGGTCCATCATCATAGACACCGCGGTACTTATCCATCGAAGACTTAGGCGCCTGAAGCGGCCAATGCGGCGCAGAGAAAGGCAGATACGCAAAGAAAGGTTTTTTGCGATCCTCCTCGCTGCGCTCATCAAAGAAGTCGAGTAATTTCGTCGCATAGTGATCTGACGAGTAAAAGTCACTCGGCAATTCGTTTAGATATTCACCGTCCTGCATGTGCAAGGCCGTAACAGCCGTTTCAAAGAAACGCGGCGGTTCATTCAAAACATCTTCGTATTGGGGTTCATAGCCTGAGGTGAAAATTAGCCAAGTCTTTAAAATGATAGTAATAGAATAAAGCCCAAACAAAGCTCAACTCACCATAATGATTCGCACAACCCGGTAACAAAGCAAAAGACCTCTTAAACCCACGAGCTTGCGGCCCAAATTCCTTCTTCAGCCCAAGATGCCATTTCCCTGCCATAGCGGTGAAGTAGCCGCCCTCATTGAGGAGTTCTGGGATAGCAACGACGTTCTGCGTAAGATAGCCCTCATGACCGGGTGCGCCCTGGTGAGCCGGAGAATTGCGGATTATCTCGGACAGTTGGCCTAGACCTGTTAGGTGGTGGTCTGTGCCTGTCATTAGCATTGCTCGCGTTGGTGAACATGCTGCTGCGACGTGGAATGAGGTATAGCGTAGGCCGCCGGGGGCGTGGGCTAAGGAGTCGATGTTTGGGGTATTTATTTCGGAGCCGAAGGTGCTGCAGTCGCTGAAGCCGAGGTCGTCAGCGACTATGATGAGGATGTTTGGTGGCATTAGGGATGTTCAAGTTGGGGATTTGATGGTAGGTGGAAGATGAGGGGTGTACTGAGCTTACTGTATCTGTAGTTACTCTGTACTACCAATGCTTGTTGCGTCGGGTCTCGGCTGGGTCTCGCTCGGCTTTCGGGCCGGGTATTTGTTGGGTAATGTTTTATCCCATCTCATCCTATACTAGTAGCAAGCTAGTAGCATAATCGCTCTGTGACTAGTATGATACCCGAGTAGGAGACTGAGAATGAAAGAATGTAGCTATTAAGTTGGTACCACTGTAAACTACTAGTAGTGCAGCTATGTCGGATAACGCCCTGGCGGAAGAAGTATTCAAGTTCAAAAGAATCATCATTCATTCATTACATCATAAAATAACAAAACACCAACTTGAAAGACAGCTAAATCTTGCTCTTGTTATCATCCTCAACCTTCAGCAAGTTCCAATCGGGCAGGCCGCTGCACAAGGGATATAGGCCTTTGGGGAGAGAGTCGTTGGCCTGAGGGGGCTCTATCCGGTATTAGCACTAGTAACTGTCGATTAATTATCATGAGCTGAATTTGCTTACCGGTGATTTCGGCCCCCGAGGGAGCCTCCTGCTGCTTCTTCCTCGCCGCCTTGCGGAGGCGGTACTTGCGTTTCTTTTCTCTCCTCTTCTGTCTCCGAGCTTCGATCATCATCTTCGCCACATTCTGCACTGGGGCGGCGCGTGTCTGCTCGGCATTGGAACAAGGTCGCGCGTACGGCCATAGAAGTGATGACAGCCAGAGTATTCAGCTGACGGCATGCAACTGTGGCATGGCTATAATTGTGTCCATGGATAGTACAGAAGTGTGACGTGTTTTAACTTCGACGTACGTGATATGAAAAAATCCATTCGACTAATGAACTTACCTGTCGAGGCATGCTTGCTTGGGAAAGCAGCAACGAAAAGAAATGGAGTATCGGTATTGAAGTTATTCGGAGAAAGAAACGAGTGCTAGCTTCAAGTTGGATGGTGGTGGTGAAAGTAAAGAGGTGAAGATGGGGGACGAGGCAGGAACAAGGGTGGAACGACTAAGCTTTGCTAATCCTATAATTACGGCAGACACTGTAGTCCTAAAGATACGGTATAAATATCTTAAAACTTGGTACCTCATTCAGTTATATAGTCAGTACCATTAATTGTGAGGATCAAGCACTGGCAATCAATTCAGATAGTTCCAAATTTATATGCGGAAATACCAGGGACCCCGGGACATCACTAGAAACAATGGATCCATTACCATGATGTTTTGTGGGAAGGGCAAATCAAATAATAAAGCTTGCAAGAGAGGTGGTCACAGAGGAATACTAGTATGTGTGTGGATGAGAAACTATCTGAATCAAAAGGACCTAGATATAGGAGCGCGGATTGACAGAGCCTATGCAATGGGACAAATGTTCTAATTGTGCACCAGCAGGCTAGGCACTCTGCTGTGAATCAGACCGGGTGCTGTGATGTGCTTATAAAGCTCCGGCAGGACTTAAGAAAGGTGTTGTAGCCTTGCTTCCCTCCCTCCTGTGAAGCCTCTGTGCCTTCACATTAATGATTCTTGGAAACAGATTCGTATATTCCTGAGAGGCAGCGTCCTCGAGGAGAATAAAGTCGTTGGATTGAACTTCGTGGTTTTTGTCTAACCATTTTACTCATTGAAAGATTCCTCCCGGGTGTAAATGATAATAAGTAGGAGTATATGCTGTGTGTTCTCTTATTTATAGTTCAAGGTCTGTTTATGCCTCAGGTACTAAGGCACTAAGGCACTAAGGCACTCAACACTCCACATCCTCCTCTTCTCTTCAACCACTCTACCCTCCCCTTCCCATGATCCTACCTCAAGTTCAATTCAATTCTGGTCAATCCAATCCACTTTATTTCATCTCCACCCATTCTTGCTTTCCAGAGTGGAGCGGTCTCGAGTCTCCTCAGATCCCCGCAGAATGCCCGATAATCGTCCGCTGCGGGCCAGCCTCCCCACACTGTGGCTTGGCCCACGCCAAACCCCAACGCTCGGGGAAATCGATGACGATAGTGCCGGTTCGCCAACTCGGAATGCCGTGATGTGAGCCTGAGGTCTCCCACGGTATCTCGCGGTCTGCTCCTTTCATCAACTCCGGAGTATGGTTCCCTGCTTCCCTGCTTCCCTGCTTCCCCGCTGCCGGCTGTTCCGAAGCCACTACGAAAGCCACCCAGCCGCAGACGCCATTACATCGACTTAGGTTTGCCTTGACTAAAGGCTTCTTGGCTGCACTCCTCCTTCTCCACCATTCAGGCATCAGCTCGTGGACGACCTGCCTCAAGCGGCCATTCTGCAAGACTGCGACGCCATCCTCTCGTAAGCTTTGACTTTTCGATTTCCCCACAAAAACGCCCCAGAAGGAAGGACGGGCGGAACTGGGCCCGAGCGAGCCTTTCTCTCTGCCAGGTGCCTGGCGTGAACTGAATTCGATCGGCACTTCATTTCCTGGCAGGCGATTTATATATCTCGGCTCCGTCATCCACTTCGGTCGTGGCTGCTCTTTGTCCTGTTTTCTCCCACCGGTTCTGATCATCGGCAATAGAGATCCACCAAGCACTTCTTCTGCGCAAGCTATCGCGTTCAGTTGATCTGATCTGATCTGATCTGACCTGAGCTTATATCCTCGAACTGCCCTACAGGGTGCGAGCGCGACACGATGCAGCTCAAAGTCAGTCCTCCCGCCCAACCCGAATGAAATAAACTGACGCCAGTCCAGACCCTTACTCTTGCACGGGCTTTGCCTCTGCTTCTCAATCTCACTAATCTGGTGGATGGAGCGTCTCCCAAGAGCCGCATTGCAAAGAACCTGAAGAGGTACGGCGGCCCGAAACTGGCGACCAACTTCAGCAGCAATGTCTATCCAACCGATTTCGACGGCGTCACCTGGGATCAAGATAACTGGCTCCTCTCCACTACAAACCTGGAGCAAGGCCAGTTCCAGTCTCGTGGATCCGTCGCCAATGGCTACATTGGTATTAGCGTTGCCAGCGTTGGCCCATTCTTTGAAATGGATGGCGAAGACGACGGGGATGAAGGAACCAGCGGATGGCCTTTATTCTCTAAACGTCAAGCCTTCGCGACCGTTAGTGGCTTTTTCGACTCCCAGGCAAATACCAACTCTTCCAATTTCGGTTGGCTGTCGCAGTATGGATACGACAGTGTGATCAGCGGTATTCCGCACTGGAGTGGCCTTATTCTTGACCTCGGCGACGATACATACCTGGACGCAACGGTGGATAACAACACAATCTCCAACTTCAGCTCTACCTACGATTTCAAGGCGGGTCTTCTCACCTGGTCGTATACCTGGACCCCGGATGGCGACAAAGGGTCTTTCAAAGTCAACTATCGTCTTTTCACCAACAAGCTCTACGTCAACCAGGCCGTGGTAGACCTGGAAGTAGTTGCTTCCAAGGACGTGAATGGAACGGTCGTGAATGTCATTGATGGCACTGCTGCTGTTCGCTCAGACTTTGTCGAGTCGGACCAAGACGATGGTGCAATTTTCTCATCCGTGCGACCAAATGGAATCAACAATGTCACTGCCTACGTCTACGCCAATGTGACCGGAAACGCTGGTGTTGACCTGTCAACACTCCAGGTGGTCACTGATGCGTCATATCTCAGTAACAATGACTCATCTATAGCACAGTCCGTTGATGTGAAGTTTACCGCTGGGCAATCCGTGAGAGTGACCAAGTTCGTCGGCGCCGCATCGACCGATGCATTTGCGGACCCGAAGAAGGTGGCCAAGGAAGCTTGTTCTACTGCGATGAAGAATGGATGGGCCAAGTCACTTCGCGCGCATGTCACCGAATGGGCAAGCGTAATGCCAGATGACTCTGTCGATCACTATACTCTCCCTGGAAATGGATCCCTCCCCGCAGACAGCATCATCATCGACACCGCCATTATTGCCGTTGCCAACACATACTATCTGCTACAAAACACTGTCGGCAAAAATGCCATCAAGCAAGCGAACAGCACTGCGCTCAACCGAGATAGCATTTCAGTTGGTGGATTGACCTCCGACTCGTACGCTGGACAGGTTTTCTGGGACGCCGATGTCTGGATGCAGCCGGGTCTCACGACATCGCATCCCGAAGCTGCTCAGCGTATTACCAACTACCGTCTGGATAGGTATGCACAGGCGCAGGAGAACATCAAGACAGCATATGCGGGTTCCCAGAACAAGACCAGCTTTTCCCCCTCTGCTGCCGCGTATCCCTGGACAAGTGGGCGGTTTGGTAACTGCACAGCTACTGGCCCTTGCTGGGACTATCAGTATCACCTGAACGGAGATATTGGCATCTCCATGGTCAATGAGTGGGTAACTAGCGGCGACACCAAATTCTTCAAAGAGAACCATTTCCCTATTTATGACTCTGTGGCTACTCTCTTCACCGATCTCCTGGTACGGAATGGGTCTTATTGGACGCTGACCAACATGACGGATCCGGTATGTTTCGCTTGTACATTCTCATTGCTGAAACTTCGAACCAAACTGACATCTACCAGGACGAGTATGCGAATCATGTCGATGCAGGTGGCTTCACTATGCCACTTATCGCAGAGACTCTTCGCCATGCCAATTCCTTCCGCCAGCAATTTGGACTCGAAGAAAACTCCACCTGGGACGATATAGCTGATAACGTCTTGATTCTCCGCGAAAGTGGAGTGACGCTTGAATTCACGACTATGAATGGTAGTGCCGCGGTGAAGCAGGCTGACGTGGTTCTAAACACCTTCCCTCTGGATTATACTGCGAACTACACTGCCCAAGATTCGCTAAATGACCTCGACTACGTGAGTTCGCCCCCAACGCACATGAAATAGCACTGATGCTGACTATCACAGTATGCCAATAAGCAATCTCCCGATGGGCCGGCTATGACTTGGGCCATTTTCTCTGCTGTTGCGAATGAGATGTCACCCTCGGGCTGCTCGGCTTACACATACGGATTGTATTCGTTCAAACCCTATACTCGAGCACCCTTCTACCAAATGTCCGAACAACTAATCGACGATTCAACTATCAACGGCGGCACCCACCCTGCTTTCCCTTTCCTGACAGGACACGGTGGTGCCAATCAGGTCGCCATCTTCGGATATCTGGGTCTTCGTTTGCTCCCTGAGGACTTCCTGCGAGTTGATCCCAATCTGCCACCGCAGATTCCTTACTTGAAGTATCGCACATTTTACTGGCGTGGATGGCCCATCTCCGCTTGGTCCAACCACACGCACACCACAATCAGCCGATCTAACTCGACGCCTCTGGAAACTGCAGACCTACGCTTCGCCAACAAGACCATTCCCATCCATGCGGGTCCCGACGATGACATCACCGTTCACAACCTGCAGCCCAAGGGCTCAGTCACTCTGCAAAACCGCCAGATTGACCTCAAGAAGACCGTGGATGGAAATCTCGTGCAATGCCAATCTGTTCAGTCCGAGAGCGCCTACGAGCCTGGCCAATTCCCAATCTCGGTCAACGACGGTGCTACTTCGACAAAGTGGCAGCCTTCGTGGGCGGATAATGTGAGCGCGATCACAGTGTCCTTTGGCAAAGAAGCAGGATCTCTGGTCTCAGGCTTCTACTTTGATTGGGCACAAGCACCTCCCGTCAATGCGACTGTCGTCTTCCACAACAAAACCCTCGGCAGTGCAGATATCACAATGGGGAGCCAAGAATCAGACTACCAGGTGATTTCTACACTGAGCAATGTCAATCTCTCGGACCCATACGATGCAAACAAGACCAATCTGGACGCTATCGCCATGCCCGTCGGAAACACTACTAATGTCACCCTGCCTTCCGCAATTCCCGCCGCTAGGTACGCGTCTCTGCTTATCGTGGGCAACCAGGCCCTGGACTCTGCCGATATTGAAGCGAGGAATGGCACCGGTGCCACCGTGGCTGAATGGGCAATCCTTGGTCAAACGCAAGGTACCGGTAATTCCTCCAGCGTGGGGACTGCTAAGCGGATGAAGCTGCGGACGGCAGGACTGTCGGACTCGGGCTCCTTTATGCGTCGTCGTCGCGAGCTTTTCGTTTAAAGGTAGACTAGACGTCCTCGTCTACGCACCCAGGCTACAATCCCATCATGCTGCTTGTATATAAAAACTTTCCATTTCTCGTTCAATACAATTGGTTATTTCAAAAACTGTGCTCAAACCACAGCAACATCAACTATACATAGCATCCCCAAGTCATTTAAATTCACATCACGCATCCAAGGCAAACCGATCCAAAAACTTAAAGATCCTCAAGCCCTCCTCAATATTCTTAACAAACTGATCCCCAACAGCCTTCGCCACATAAACACCCTCCCTGTCTGTCGAAACCTGCGCAGCCCTGAGCGCACCAACACCCTTCCCAATCGCACCAACCGGTTTCCCAAACCGGAAAGCATCAATGAGGATATCTAACGGCCGCCCCGCAGGATAAAGCGAAGAAGCCTTGCTCTGCTTCTCCGTAAACGACCTCGCACTGAACAAACCCTCCGCACCCCCAGCAACAACAACAGCATCGAACTGCACAGCGTCCGAACCAGAATAAGTCTGATCAACACCATCACCAAGCCTCTCCGCAACAACAACAACATCAACACCAACACCCTTAAGACTCTTCGCCAACTCAGTCCCAACGCCCAGACTCGAGCTATTCTGCACAGAAGCCAAAACCCCAACCTTGAGCCCCTCCAGCTTAAGCAATTTCTGCCCAAAGGCACCAATATTCGCCGTCGTGTTGTCGTGGTAGAAGCTTGGGTCCGGAGCAGGTGCTTCAACGCCAATTGCCTCCGCAACGCGCTTGGCGAGATCGTTGCTTATCCGGTTAAGTTGGATAATAACATTCTCCCTAACGACCTGCGAGACAACATTCGAATTTTCAAACCGCATCGCATCAACGACGAACTGTTTCTCCGCCTTGACAAGACTATTCCAGAATAAACGCGGTTGAGACCAGACGTCTTCGAACGTGGAGCTGCGCGTGCGCTGCAATTTACCATTTCCGGTGCGGGAGGGCGTGGTGAAGAAGCCATTTCCAACTGTTTGGTTTGCCTGTTTGGGCGAGCCTTTGTTGAGCGTGTTGGGGGTGTAGGCGTCTTTGTTTAAGGGGATGAACATCTGGCCCGCGCCGTCGCGGTTGTTGTTGTGGATCGGGACTCGGGGTTGGTTTATGGGGAGTTGTTCGAAATTCGGTCCGCTGTGGCGGTTTAGTTGGGTGTCGAGGTAGGAGAATAGGCGGCCTTGGAGGAGGGGGTCGTCACTGAAGTCGATTCCTCGGACAATGTGGCCGGGTTGGAACTGGGGGGATTGTTAGCTGGAATACAAAGGAGGTATGTGGGTTTGTGAGGAGTGCTGGGGATATGACTTACCATGACTTGCTCGGTTTCCGCAAAGTAGTTCTTTGGATTGCGGTTTAGGGTCATTTTGCCTAGTCTTGTGACGGGGACGTATTCCTCTGGGACGATCTTTGTTGGATCGAGGACGTCGAAGCCGAAGCGGAGTTGGTCGTCTTCGTCCATTATTTGCACGCCCAGCTGTTGAGATGAGATGTTAGCTCTGCGAAAATAATGTTCGAAATGATGCAAGCCTAAAGGTTCAAGCTGCTAATATCGATCAAACTCACCTCCCATTCAGGGAAGCGTTCAGCTTCAATCGCATCCCACAAATCCTGACGCAGGAAATCAGGATTCTTGCCGGAAATCTGCTGAGCCTCCTCCCACACCAAACTGGCTTTACCCTGCAGGCCCTTCCAGTGAAACTTGACAAGCTTCGACTTCCCGCTGTCAGTAACGAAACGGAAAGTGTGCACGCCGAAACCGTCGACATTGCGGAAAGATCGGGGCAGTCCGTGGCCAGCCATTGCCCAGACAAGAGTGTGCAAGGAACTAGGCTGTTGGCTGAAAAAAGTCCCACGCCGAGTCGTGGGCTGTTGCAGCTTGGGGGATCTCGTTATCACCGCTCGGCTTGACGGCGTGGATCAAGTCAGGGAATTGGATTGCGTCCTGGATGAAGAAGACTGGAATGTTGTTTCCGACGATGTCTGTGTCATTGCTAATAGTTAGTGGGCATATCATATTGATTGATTTCCGTACTGCGTACCAAAGTTGCCCTCATCGGTGTAGAAGCGTGTCGCGAATCCGTGCACATCGCGCGCTGTATCGGCACTGCCTCGACTACCAGCAACGGTCGAAAAGCGCACAAACATGGGCGTTTCTTTATCTTTTTTCGAGAGGAAAGATGCGGCTGTGATGTTCGACCAATCGGCATACGAGGTGAAAACTCCATGGGCGCCAGCACCGCGGGCGTGAACAGCACGTTCAGGGACCTATCGCGGGAAGATATAATTAGCGCAGGAATTAAAGACTGCAGTTATCTCGACATACACGCTCATGGTCAAAGTGTTGGATCTTCTGGCGGAAAATGAAGTCCTCCAACAGAGTCGGGCCACGCTCTCCTGCACTGAGACTATTCTGATCCTCAATTGGACCGCCAACATCCGAAGTCAGGAAGGAATCCTTATCATCGAGATAATATTGCGACAAGAATTCCTCGGTATCGCCAGCAGCACTGTTGTCTGCCCGACGGCGAAGCTCATGTGGATTATATTCGCCAGCTTCACCCGTCATATAAGGACAAGCCGCATTGGCAATTCCGACAAGGCCGGTGGCCAGAGCAAGCAAATGCATCGCGTCGGCTGGGATACAAGCTTGATATTTAGGGGGTAATCAGGTCAACGGGTGGGGGAAAAAAAAATGCAAAACGGCGACGACGACAATCACGTCGTATTTATATGCAGGGCAGACGAGAGAACTTGTATGCCCAGGTGTCTCTGTAATTCGCGGGGCCGATTGCAGAGCAGACCAATCATGTTTCCAGTCTGAACAAAAACCAGACTGAGCAAGCACATGGTCGAGGTGCAGCTCGCCAACCAAAAGCGAATTGATTATTCTAGCACGGCAGGCTAGAACCAACATCCATGCCGACTGTGGAACACAACTGGTTTAACCCCATGCCCGGTGGAGAAAATGGTTCGGCAGAGGACCCTCTTCATCGTGCAAGGCCAGTGTGGTACCATATGCTCGTTGCCGGTGGACCGTTGGCCCTGTTCCTAGTCCCTAGCGTCGCTGGGTGCATGATAGTCAATTAGCGATTGGCTAGTTGCGACAGGGTAGCTATGTCTGCGGCCGAGTGGACATCCAGAGTGCCCAGGCTGCAGAGCAGACGCATCTGACGACGGTCACAGGTTGAACTTCCGGTCAATTGGGCTGGACTGGGCTGGGACTGGGTGGAGCATGATCGCGGAGTGGTTGTGATGCACCGTGTAGCTTGGCGGATTGGCTCTACTTCGGAGAAAATCCCAGGAAAGGAACCAAGGCTGCCGATTCTGTCGGCAGGAAAGTGAGATACGCGTGGACTGTTTACCTGGTGCCCTTGGCAATTATTCAGCGGGGCTGGTCTTTCAGTTATTCTGATTGCCAAGCTGGAAGGCCGAGCCAAAGGTGCTTGGTAATGAGCTGGTCTGGAGCAATGATGCGCACCCGTGCCTAGCGTGCCCTAGTCCAGCCCCTCCAGGGATAGTATCCACTCAGAATGATGGCTTTGTAACTCCCCCACGACGGTGGGACTTGGCATTGCAAGAGGCTTGTGAGGAAGTACAGCGTGGGAAATTGATGCCACGCCCATGACGTGGAAAAAGTCTTGGTGTTTGCTTTGCAAATCTTGTCCCGGTACTTTGTGCTCTGTAGTTTGTGATTACTGGTGGATCTAGGGGTCGTTGCAGACAGATAGCCACCGCTTGTGCAGACGCAGATCTTTCGGATCCATCGATGTTGAAACAGCAGAATTGTCTCAGGCCGATCTGTTGTTTACTTGTTACAGCGTCGAGGTGAGGAGGAATCGCCTTGCACGCCTTAATATGCCCAGGTGTCTTCAATGCTGAGCCCTAGAACGTGAGGACTGAGCCTGAGATGAAAGTGAAAGATCGTCCTGAACTGCTGCAACATACCCCTGCTAGCCCTGCCCATCTTCACCATTCTTGGTCTGTACTTTCTCTCCGCAGTTTTACCGACTGTGGATCTACCATCACGGTCGCAAGATCCTAGGCGTGCTCTGAGTGGTCCCTCAGATGTGATAGCCAAGATAGACTTATTTCTCCTTTTGCCTCTGGGGAGGGAGCGAGGTAATTTTAGCTGATGGCGGTCTTGTCGTGCATATTTCCCCTCAGTGTATGCCGTTCCTGACTGCTGCTAATTTTGGACAACGCGGAGATGGCATGGTGGGCGCAAAATGCCTAGGAGATGGGCATGGGGCACTGACGAAGTAGAGAAATAATCACTTTATAAGTCCTTGCTAATTTGCACAATGGTCGGGAAGTATGTAGGTAGCTATGCGACCGAGATTCTTTCTTATCTTCCTAAAAACCAGACGTCTTTAAATTGGAGAAGCTAGTCCCGCTAAGAGACAATAGTCCCACCTGTGGAAGAACTAGTAGAGAACGAATACTAGTATTAATAGGACTATGTGGATATAGATACGGAGTACAGAGTATGCATTCTAAAATTTATGTACAACAGCGCTTTTTGCCCAGGTGCATGAGAGCTCACTCGAATAAGCAGACTGAGTAACCTATTGCAGGCTCAGAGTTCAACCCATCTCCTTCATCTCATCTATTTACTACTCAATTGAGATTTATCAGATCATCTTCTCATAGTACAATAATTCTATCAGGGGTCCTTCTTGAAACGACCCATTGCAGCAATATTGCCCTGATCAGGTAAACTGCGATCAACAAAGCCAAATCTTTCATACAACGGCGCACCCGTCTTGCTTGCATCAACGTATGCAGACACCCCATCCTTATCAGCCAAATCGCAGCCCCATTTGACTAGCATCGAGCCAGCCCCACGCTTCTGGAAATCAGGGTGGGTGCAGAGCATATCCAGATCTGGATCGGACCCCAGTTAGCCTCATCTTGCGCCCTGGATATCAGATCTCAAAGAACCCCGATTTACTAAACTCACAATAATGCTTCAAATCTCCCATAACACGACTCCGATTCCCATTCAGAAAGTCAAACACACCCGTAGCTTCGTCCCCGGGGGTTTCCTCCGCCCAAGGTGGAAATCGACGACCGCGCACTTCTATCGAGGCGGTGTCCCACTTCGCATAGGCGAGTATTTGTGCTTGACCTCGCTCGTCCGTGATCTCGGGATCCACTACCTTGACATAGTACTGGTATGGCTTGGTCTCGAGATCAAGGGTAATGTATCCCGCCGTCCATTCTCGCATGCCCGGTGTATCGGGGAATAGTTGCATCATGTCCTTGTCTTTTGAGAAGGCTTTGAACCAGATGTCGACGCATGTTGGGATGTCTTCTTTGGTAACTGGTAGCAGCAGGAGGGGAGATTGAACCGAGCCCATTTTGGCAGTGCAATTGTTCAATGATCAACTTTGGAGTGAGAGGATTGTTTTCGATACTTTTTTTTGATCGAGGGGCAATGCGCCTAATGTAACTTCGCTCGCATATGTGGGGGCTGCTGAAGCGGGGCGATCTCACGCACCAGATCAACCAAATCTACAGTTGGCGGTCCCTTCACCGCAAAGGTTGTTTGAGGTTGCATTGAACAAGCTTATCCGGGGGAAATTAAAAAAAATTGCACGAGTAAGGAGGCACCGGGAGGGTATCGTTCGGGCCGCGGAGAACAAACTAGACATCTATTAGTTCGATATTCGAGGCTCTGCCTCTAAAAAGTGACTGTACTGGCATGTGCACCTCGAATTTGGAATACATATTCCTAGATGGGGAATTGCATAATAAATTAGGTTGTGCGGGGTGGCTGGTAAATTCTGCCTAATACGAATGATGACTGCAGCTTCGCTGCTGATGATTGGTCCAACAGATACGAGGAAGATTCTAGCGACCGCTGAGAATAGCTTCAAGAATTTTGCAAATGCGTAAGCAACACGGTGGAATTCGAAACTGATACGTCACAAGGCGAGGCGCATGTTCCGCTGCCTTCCGTCCGAGTGGTGACGAAAAATCTATTATATCAAATATGAAATCTAGTACTCCGTACATGCAGTCCAATGGGTATAATTAATACTTGGGGAAAGAAGTGAAATTCCACTCCTGTCCACCGCTTATCAACTGCTGATCAAGACTGTTGTTGCCGCTGGCGACGAAAAGTACCTTGGCGAAGGCGGTCTCAGTGTAGTAGGTGAAAGGTACCTGCGCAGGGATGAAAGCCACGTCACCTGTCAGGAGAGTTGCCAATGGAAAATCGCCGATTTGAATAGACAGAGCACCCTCCACAACCTCAAATGCAGCTGCACCATCCAGGGTATACAAAGGAGGGCTATCCTTGGTCTGGCGACTGAGCGAAAGGGTCGAAATGGTGTAGTTGAGATCTTCGGCCTGCTTCGGCTGGACGAGTGGCTGGATGACCTGGTATCCGTGCTCAGAGCTCAGATACTTGGGGCCATATCCACTGGCCAGGAAGTAGGGCTTTCCAGGCTTGCCGAGATCGTTATTGCCGGTGTGCCAGACACTGTTGTGGGAAGGCGCAGATCCATTGACGAGATCACGGCGAGCCTTGAAGCTCAGCTCGGGGTAGACGTCGTATTTCTTCAACGAAGACATGATCGAGCCACTTGGAGTACCGGCGTCACTAGAGGCCTTGGGTACAAATGGAGTATCTGTGCCGGAGGTATAGTTGGTGCCGAGGGCGTAGAAGAGATCCCTGTTGATATGTCAATTGAATGTCCACGGGGCCAATATGAACGCAACTTACTCGAATCCACCAGGAACGATAACACCAACCATCTCAGTATCAGGGTCCAGCATTTGGAATGTGTGAGTGGTGTTGCGAGGAACCGAGCCAAAGTCACCCGATGTAAGAAGACGGCCCTGTTGTTCGCTGTCGCCCTTTTGAGCCCACAGCTGGAACCGGCCCTTGAAGGAGAAGAAGTTCTCATAATGCCGGCGATGAATATGAGGCAGCACACCTAAACTCCCACTGGCTGGGGCATTGGTGCTCATGAGGGTGAATGCATAACCCGACGACGGACCGGTAACGGTGAACCGGTAGAGCTGGGAACCAATCGTCACAGAGTGCGAGTTGGCATAGTGAGGGATGACGTAGGGACGGGGAGAAGAGGGCGCATTTTCGACAAACAAATCATCAAGAGTAGGCTGCTGTGCCTGGACAAGACCGGCGCCGAGGGAGGCAAGTAGAACGAGTGGCGAGGTCAACATCTTTTCTGTGATCTGATAAATTCCTCCAATTTGAAGTCGATCGATGGTGCCGGGCCAAGTTGATTATATTCATCTTCAGGAGCAGCCGGGATTTCCGGTCCAATTTCGATTAAGAAACATCAACTGGGAGGGAATTGGGCGGCGTGGGGCCTCTGAACGGGAAGATTCTCCGCAATGATGAACCTCGCGCGAGAGAGGTTGTTTAAATGGGGTGAAGAAGTGGGCATACATCGGGAAACCCGGATCGGCAGAGTCAGGTACAGTATTCAGGTACAGGTTTTCGACAGCCCGGACGGTCCGGTGTTTAAACCTGCGAAATGGTTGCGAATTTCATGTTCCACTATGGACGATCGTCATCAAAATTTGCCCAATGCAGATCCTAGTCCCCCTTCGGCTGCCAACGGCCCCACTGGCCGGAGTTTCAAAGTCGGCATAGGGGCAGGAAGAAGATTCAAAGCCGATACTCCGAGTTGTGCAGAATAAGGGATATCCGGAATATCTACTCCGTGAGGATCCAACGATCTTGTGCGGTGGTGATGATGATATTTGGGTTGTTGTGGTCGGCAATTCTTTTGATTGAAGATCCGAATGAAAAAAGTTACCTTGGTCATAGGATGTTTTTTGAACACATACGGAATAGTGACGAATGCCTCTCCGCTCTAAATTATTCAATTATTCTTGGAAGTGAAGGTAAAAACGAGGCGGTATTAAATCATTCGAAAGGAGATTGCCATCCTACGTTGCCCGAGGATCACGGTAATAACTTGAACCGGACAGTCGTCCGTTCGAGTTGATTGAGGATATTCTGGGAAGTGGGCTCCACTCTGTGAAATCGAGGAGGAGTGGAGATGAAATGGAGGTGACAGGAGAGAAAGGGCCTTCTTTCAAGCCCTGCAGGAGGAGTGCGCGTAGTATGGCCATTCCCCTGACCTAATATGTCACCATTTTATGGTCTATACAAACCTAGGAACTGTGATTCTAGACGCTCCAAGGCCAGAACGTCCGGGGGAATGGCTGTAGGTATGCTAGTCATTAGTAATCTTAGGTTAGTAACCTTGGAACTTGGTATCTACTACAGTGTTTCCAGCTTTGGTTACATAGTACTAGGTCACTAAGATTGCACTAGCACACACTCAGGTAACTACTAGTACTATCCACGGTGAATGAGTACCTAGCTAGAGATGGACGAATTAATATGGCCCCAGCAACTAAGATTCGATTCAAGCCTGAATAGTACTATTTGGCTAAAAAATACCATATTTAGTGCTCACAAAGGGAAAAATCACCCTCTTCATACTCCTTATTAGCCGTCACTGACCTGATTCCGCGTTCCTCCATAAGTTCTAGCCTGAATTTCTTGGCTTCTTCCATAGTCATGGACGAACCTAGATTCTCACCAACCATGCTTTGCAGCTCTGCAGGCAATTGTGATAAGGCTTGGTTGACGAGGCCCTGTTTGTCTTGAGCCCATTTCTCGTTTTGCGGGGGCACATTGGCCGAGGAAATGACTCGACGATGAGGATCCACCAGAAAGAGTGCCAGAATCTTTCTATGGCCCGGCTTAGACGGATCTGCCAGTGAGAATGACGACACACGATGCTGAAGGGTATTGGGAAAAGTGAGAAGTCGCCCTTCTTTGCAAAGTACGCCTCCGAGGTGCTGAGTGGTGTTGCGTCCTCCAAAGCCATCCACGTCGTCTCCAAATCCAAAAACAGCCTGCAAGAATTCATGACGGCTTTGTCCGTATCTGATTTCCTCATCAATCACCGCACGTTTCCGAAAGTCCAGAGTATTCTCGGTAATGTTTTCATTGTCGTAGTAGTAGAGCGCAGTAGCGCAAATACGTTCGTTCTGGAAAAGCGAAGACTCAGTACTTTGATCAAATCAGAGCCAACTGAAACATCAGTTATTCTTACCAACTGTCCCTCGATGTGCCAAGAGCCCCCATCATAGTTTGGCTTTTCAGGTGTTAATTCAATGTTTGCCAGCTTGACGATAACTTGAAGATTTGTGTCCGGAAAATGCTGTCGTATGTTCAGTTTTCCAGCTTCCTTCGGAATCACGAAATCGCCGGGTTCGGGAAGAATAATAGGCTCAGTTTCTCGCCACTGCTGATGCCGATCCCAGAACTCTTCCTCGTCGAAATCCTCTTCATCTGATAGTGACTCTGGCTCAGGGTCTGGATGCTCAGCATATTCAACCTCGCAATAATCGATTCTGGGATTGGGAAGCTTGGACAAAGTCTTCTCCCAAAGTGGCAATGTCCGAGAGATGACCTTCTCAACAACTTCATACAAGGCTTTGTGCTGCACAGGATGCGCATTGTTGATGTATGACACAATTTGACAATCCCCCCCCTCCAGAAGTTTCACCTCACAAGGGAGCCATTGGAATTTAGGACTATATAGTCTTTCCGAGCGGTAGTCAGTGGGCATGTAAAAGCTGAAGCTAGATGGGTCGGGCATCGGTGGGCCGAGATCTTCCTTCGGGGGAATTGGTACCGGGGATCCCAGCCCCATATGATATAGACAGTTGCCAAGGCCAATACTACTTCTTGCCAGGATGCGAGTCTTGCCATACACGACCGGGAAGAGAGACGGGTGCACAAGATCGACAACTAGGTCATCCGAGCCCGGGTGGTAATCCTTTTGGTCCTTTGGCACGTCTTCGAGTGGCTTCACTGCATCTTTCAGTGCTCGTTGCACTTCTTCGGGGATTGCAGTATCAGACTTGACAACGCCGGCATCCATTACTGTGACAAATCCTGTATCTTTGAGTATTTTTGCCTTCCACTCAACCTCCTTCAGTATCCAGTCGATCATTTTGGGTGAAACGTCCTGGCCACTCTGGGCGATTTCGTTCCGCCATTTCGCTGTGATTTCCCCATCAAAGACCTACCAGGTGTTAGATATTGAGTACTAGCACTCCTATCACTTTTAGATATTAGAAGATACCTTTCGATTCCACTCGGGCTTTTCCATGATCGTGTTCATGAATCTCATCATTACGATTTCTCGTTGTGTGATCGCATTGTAGCTAGATATCATCGTCAAATAAGAATAAAACCAGCACATTGATAAAGACAACATACTTTGATCCTCCTGTAGGCTCCAGGGCCAACGGAAACCCTTGCACAAACTGGTCCAACACATTTTTCTAGCTCGTTAGAACGTGGGCACAATTGGTAAAGCTTCGCGGGTTACCTTTGGCCGCTTATTCAAGGGTATATTGAATCCTGGCATCAGTGAAACTGGCTGCTTTTTAGAAATGAAATCAAACATTGCAAGTTTGCTTCTCGCTGAAGACGGCGATAGGATTACTTTCCAGACAGCATGGAACCGCGACCCTTAAATTACCCTCGCGATCACCCCAGGGGGCCAGGCAGAAGGTACTAGTTTCAGGCAGAACGGCACAAAAAGTGACGCTAAGACCCTTTTGGTTACACTAGCCTACAGTGGCAAGCGATGATAACTCATCCATCTCTACGGAGTACTTTCTCGCCGTCAGGTAGCTACCTGAATATGTATTGGTGCCTTCTCAGTGACCTACAATCGGTCTGTAACATAAAATCTGGAATAGGCATCAAATGGGGCTTATCTTACCGGCAGAACATTATGTAGTTATGGATATGGGCGAGTTATTGTGGCCCCACGCTGTAGAAACTCGGATCGCTGGATTTGTCATTGATTCGCTTTAGGTTGGGGGCCAATTCTTTCAAGGTTTCAGATTTCACCTATTTTATTATGAGAGAATGATCTCGCTATCGATTTATGGAGTTGGGTCCGGCCGCATGGCCGCCCCATGATGCGTATGTGCAGGTAAACCCAACAATCACCAGCAATATTGGGCCCAAGTGTATACAGGGAGAAATAAATAAGAGGTAGAAGAGAATAAAGGAGTGAAAGAGATCCAGGACTATTCCAGCCGTCGCGTCGTTATTTGATTGGCAAAAGGAAAGCGCCAACGCTGCGAGAGAGTTAGTTTGATACTAGCGGGTTGATATTAGGCAGCAACTCACGATATAGCAGTAAAGCACGCGCACAAGATGGCACCCTCCAAATAATTGGTCTTTCCTTTCAGAATAATGAAAGAGACCAGCACGGAAGATCCCACTAGAGTGACCATTCCAAAGCTATCAAAGTGCAAGCTCATTGGCTTATCCATAGCCCATCCAACAAGAACAATCATCGGAGCAACCAGGAGGCCAATTTGAATAGCCGATCCAAGTGCAACGCTAATAGCAAGATCCATCTGGTTCTTAGCTGCCACAACAACAGCGGTGACATTCTCTGCCACGTTACCGGCAATAGGAATGATGATAAGTCCGACGAATGACTCTCCCAGAACGCCGCGGTCATTGAGAACATCGAAACTTGATGCGAAGAATTCGGCGCACATGGCGATCAAGATCGTCGCAAGAGTGAGGACGAATAATGACATGCCGCGGTTTGCCAACACGGTATTGCGGCAATAGTGGGAATCTTCACCTGCTTGAGAAAAGTGGCTTTTTGTGCGTTTGTGGCCATAAGAAGTAGCATCCCTCCTTTCCTCCGTATTGATGTGAGCCAAGGGAAGACCCGCCTCGCTTTCGAGGTCTGTGGGCTCCGAAGCTGGACCAGCCGGAGACGAGACTTCTCGCATTTCAGGGAAGGCTTGACGGTCGCCCTTTGCGCTGTCTTCGGAGTTTCGTCGTGACTCGATATCTGTGAAAACGGGGTCGTAGGATGTGCGATAGATGTTTTGATCAACAGTTTCATCTTCAACCGGAAATGCTAATGAGCGGGATCGAAAGATATGCGGGTGGCTTCTGAATTGGAAAAAGAGGTAAAGAAAGTAGATTATGAGAAGAATGATCGAGACGCCTCTGCTGAATTCCAGGGCCATATGATCGGCAGTTTTCATGCTTTTCACGCTTCCGTAGAAAGCACTCTGTATAGATGTTAGTGTGAATTTTTGAAGTAATCTTGCAATCACTAACTGGAATCATAAGACAAGAGACTGTCAGGTTCAGTAACCCAACGAATGAATGAGTGACATCGTTGTTGTAGGTTTGATCTGGGCTGATCACGCCCCCAGCGATGATCGCAGATCCAAGAACGAGCAGCAGGTTCACAAGGACTGATCCCAGAAGGGACGCTTGAACAACTCGGATGTTGTTCTTCAATAGGGCGGTGCTAGTTCGACAATTAGTACCAAATTCCAGGATTATCGGGAATTAAGATGATCGGTCTCACATACTGTACTTATGTTAGTATAATCTCGAAAACTGCAGACAGTCAGAGGACGAATTCACTCACAAGATGATTAACTCGGCAAGATTGCCTAGTGAAATATTAAGCAGTGCTCCGGCAGTTTCACCCAGATCTTGAGCCAACCTCTCGGTCGCAAAAGTGAGCGTTATCGACAACGGGACGATGGCGATCAAATTCCAGATGAAAACAACCAATGCCGGCATCTCGAGAGCAGAAAAAATAATGGCGACCAGCGCGAAAACGAGCGATGTAGAATTTTTGAACGATAGTAGGACCCTGAGCTGGCTCTTGATGGCTATAATGGGACTTTCGCAAGCAGCACACCCCGGGGTTCTCTACTCCTAAAATCCGCCGAGGCCTGGCTCTTGTGGAATATTCTCTTGATCTGATGGGGGGGCCTCATCTTTACGGTGCGCGGCTGGATCTTGATCTTCATGGATTTCAATAAAAAAGTATTAGCATTACTAGATCGGAAGCATGAGTGGTTTAGAAATGACCCCCGATTCGAAGACCATTTCTTGAATCGATGCTCACTTCCAAAACTGCGCTCAGAGGCACAATCTGCCATTAAACCCGATTCTTCCTCTAGGGAAGATGCTCCAAGGCCAACATTGTGATGATGATTCCCGTCTCGTGCTGCATTGCCATTCGTGACCATAATGGAGAAAGATGTCGTCAATTTCAGAGTTTCGGGGTTTCGAGTGACAGGTTATGGAGGTCTCAATTTCGGATCCAGGAATTATTTCGTATTCGGTTTTATGAGTGACTGGGGTCGGAATCTTAAATAAACGAGTGTCGTGAAGGGATCGCGTGGTTGTCGCGTGGGGGGTTGAGCGATTTGTTTGGCAAGCGACCCAATCGAAAAATCTTGCGGAGAGGGGATCTTTGGCAGTTCAGAGCCACTTGACATTTTAAACCAGCGGGCACTCCTTTCTTCCCCCCTTATGACTGCCAATTTCACGAATCACGTGTAGGGAGTGAGATGATCGATCGTGGCATCGTTAGTGGCTTGGTAAAGGCTAGCCGAAGTTGGTTTGTGGGCAATACAATTCCCTCAGGGGGGTCAAGGCCAAGCCAAATGACCTTTGCCAAGAAGATAAGCGTGTGTCGTATTCGGATGACTGGTTGGGCGTTATGGAGAGCGGAGTTTTAGTGAATTAGTGAACCAATTGTTTGGTTTCAGGGGCCTTGAGGCATTTAATCCGCCTACACCCGCCCCTGAAATGCCAGACCCTTGTCCATCACCGTTGAACCATTGATCATGGGGATAGATAAGATGGCTGAAATACAAGCACAAGACTAGAACATTGAATGTGACAGGATATCCAACTTTTCCAACCCGAGCCTTGTATGAAAAAAAAGCCATGATTGTCTGTCAGAGCTCCCCCGCTTGTGGCCATCCAGCATTTTGCTCCGCTGATCATCTTCCCAGAGCAGAATTTTTGGGGTTCAATTTTTTCGGGACGTCAATCATTTCCCTTGCCTCCGGGGTGATTTTCATTACAGGGTCTGGCAGATGAATCGGCCTTACAATGAAATCAGCCTTACAGGGAGAGAAGCGGGCCTTAAAATTTCAGAAATTTATTTTTCTTAGAAATACGAAATTCCTCACGGGCCATCTAGAGCATGGGAATAGCCACAAGAATTACATTGTCTACCTATTAATCTCGGAAGGACATTGGAGATCAATTGATAGAATTAAAGCGACCGTATTCGCTCCAACCAATCCGTACTGTGTGGGGAAAGTGTCAGTGAGAGATACTCCGTACTAGTGCCCTGTTTCGTACTTCGTACTCGTTTCAGACAGAATAGATTCAATTGCGCGATTCTTTGACGGATTGGCGTTTTCCCGTGCCAGTGGCTCATATATTGGACATTCGGGGTTGTACAAAAAGGTGAAGGGTTTTTGACGGCTCTGCCCAGGTGTCAACGATTGCAAAGTTTCTGCAGGGCCGGGGGTGATCATTTGGGCACCTGAACAGTCAATTGCCCCTGGGTACTCCGTAGTATACTAATATTTCCAAGATTTGATTTCCAGATCACCCGTCGAAGCACTCCAGGGCTGATGATTCGACCCGTGGACGAGAACCCCGGCCCCGGGCCTTGGAACCTGCCAAAATTGGAAGTTTACCTTGATAAACTCTTAACAGTTTTGTCCAGTATCCTAGCGAACGATAACTTAACGGGAGCAAAAAGCAAAAAGCAAAAAGTTTTCATACAGCTATCAAAGGCTGCGATAAAAAAATCATTGAAAAATAAAGTGAGGCGGTGCAAGACTAGCAATTTCCATCGACGCACCCCGCGCAGACACCTCCCTTCTTCTTCTTGAACTTTCTACCCCTGAATATTCAACAATATCCGCCAACAAGCCTACAATGAGAGAAAGGACGATGAAAATTGGAGATCTTTCATTCGATTATTTAATTATAGGCGGTGGGACCGCAGGGCTGGCAGTTGCTGCACGACTTAGCGAAGACCCTGGAGTCCAAGTGGGGGTCATCGAGGCTGGTCCGTCGGCCTTAAACGGCGAAGATGGCGGGGCTATCACTGTGCCCGGTCGCTACGGGGAAACTATCGGTTCGAAATACGATTGGAAATTCGAAACGACACCCCAGCCTGAGCTGGCGGGTCGATCTCTTCCAATGCCTCGTGGACGCGTTCTTGGTGGTACAAGTGCCTTGAACTTTATGGCTTGGAACAGAGCTCACCGTCACGATTATGATGCTTGGGCGAATCTAGGAAACGCCGGCTGGGGATGGGATGATTTGCTGTGTGTGATGAAACTGGATACGTTCTGATAATGAAAAAATAGCATCTGACATGTTGGCAGTCCTTATTTCCTCCGCAGCGAGACATTCCACCAGCCTAGTTCTACCCATCAGAAAGACTACAATTCAAGTTATCAAGCCGAGTTCAACGGTACTAAGGGTCCGATCCAGACAACACATACCAAGGAATATGGCCCAACGCACCAATACTGGCATGGTACAATGAATGCCCTGGGCATTCCTTCTAGTGATGATAGTCTCGCAGGGGCCAACTACGGTGCTTGGAATATGGTTTGCAGCATTGATCCTAGCCAGCAAATACGGAGTTACGCTGCTTCGGCTTACTACGCACCGATCACATCTAGGGAAAATTTGCATGTCTTTACAGACACGACTGGGCTGAAAGTTCTATTGGAGAAATGTGACTCGGGTCTGAAAGCGACCGGCGCAAGTGTACGCCATGACGGGCACATCTACGAGATAAAAGCAAGAAGAGAAATTATCCTGAGCGCAGGTAGCTTACAATCGCCACAGATCTTAGAAATGTCGGGCATTGGCGCACGGGAGGTTCTAGAGGCTGCGAGAATCGAAGTGAAATTTGAAAATAAAAACGTGGGAGAGAATTTGAAAGATCATATGAGTAGGCAGGAACACCACCGGTCCATAGGCTCTCCCAAACTAGGCTAAGCTGACATTCCTGGATATCTCTAGTGTTTGCGAGTATATACGAGGTGCTTCCGACCCTCTCATCGGGGAACGACATCATCAGCAACCCAGCTCTACGGGCCGCTGCCGACCATGCATATCAGACCACGCGAACTGGCCCGTGGACTGTACTTCCGTGTTCGGTTGCTTATTGTTCAGTGTCGGACATCACGTCAGAGAAACAACGTTGCGATTTGATCTCGTACTCGAAAATCCTCGAACATCAATTCGAAGGAGAGGCTATGAAAGAAAAATTACGACAACACGTAAGAGAGACCTTGCTGCCTAAGTCTCAAGGTCAAATTGAATATATCTTTGATCTGGGGAACTGGTGTCCATTTTTCAAGGCAGATCCGAATAAGAAATACGCAACCATGCTTCAGATACTACAGTATCCATTATCGCAGGGCTCTGTACACATCCGAGCTCGATCAAATGATGCCGATGTTGTCAGTACTGAAGAATTGCCCATCCTGGACCCGAAATACTACATGGGCATGGGTCATTTCGATAAGAAGATAATGGGCCTGGCGCGAGAGTTCTCAGATAAGATTTGTCAAACAGAGCCATTAGCAGGAATTATCAAAGGTCGTGCATTTCCTCCATTGTCGAATGGTTTAAACGTGGGAGACAAAGTGTCTGATTTGGAGACGGAGAAAAACGAACGACTGGACGACGCGATGATGGAAAAGTACACCATCACTGACTGGCACCGTACGTCCAAAAACATCCTTGCAGATTTCGTCACAAGCTAACACGATATGTAGCCATCGGTACCTGTGCAATGGGTGGTTCAGGAGGCGCACGCGACGGAGTTGTCGATACTCGTTTACGAGTCTATGGCGTAGATGGATTGAGAGTAATTGATGCCAGTATCATGCCTCTGCAGATCGGGGCTCATCCCCAAGCAACTGTGTACGCGATCGCCGAAAAGGGAGCAGCCATGATCATAGAAGACTGGGAATGCATCTGAAGATTGAATATTTAGCTGATGTCTGCTTTGAAATCTACAAGAATAACATAAAGTTTAGTCAAAACGCCCGGATGCTCGGACCGATCTCCAGGGAATGTTTAGTGGCTGGACAAGCACGGCTAATCTTCGGCTTATGCAGAGTCATTCGTATACCTAGGTAGACATCCCAGTCAAAGCTTTCTTGGTCATCTGCCTCTCGTATCTATTTTGCTCACAACTATGCCTTGTACGTGGCTTTATTTCTATCGCCGAGAAGCTAAAAACGCTGCAAATTGACCTATTTTCGCTCGATTTGACACGGAATCTTGCTTCCGCTTCCAGGATGGGGTGAGACAGCGTGGACTCTAAAGCATACGATCTCCTACAAATTTTGTTGGAAATCTAAAGCAATGACTTAATCCCACTCAAGTGATTCAAAGCTACCACTTCTGAAACCATGACTGACGGTCTTCTCTGGCGACCGGCTGGGTTGGGCCGTTGGGAGCGCGACATCGACGAAGTGGAACAGTTCTACACAACGTTTGCAAGAAGATTTATCGGAACAGGGCGTGCATCTTTCGCCATGACTGCCCACGTGTCATTATACATCGTCCGTGATGGCGATACGCTAGAGTCGCGTGTGATCGACGCGTTGCGGAAAGCTTGGGTATGCCTGCGATATGACCACCCAACTATCGCGTCCTGGGTGGAATACAACCGAGAAGCCAGAAGATGCAAAAAGATATATGAAGAATTTTTGAAAAGAGAAAATATGCCTGATATGACATCCTGGCTCAATGCAACATTCAGGCTAGTGACGCACAGCCAGTCCGGCGAGGAATGGTGCAATTCAGATCCACCTGTTCCCAAACTTCCCACGCTATTCATTGTCAAGCGAAAAGATGCGCCAGACCATTCATTGATTCTGGATCTAGTACTCAGGTCGCAGCATAATATTATTGATGGGCTTGGCGCGCTTCAGTTACTGGGTAATCTCATCCGCTACGCCGCACGAGCGTTTAACGAGCCAAACACCTTTGTGATCCCAGATTTTGGCGATGAATGGAAGCATTTAAGTCCCCCCTTAAAAGTTGCAGCCAGTATTCCCAATATTCTACCACCGGAGAAACAAGCGAGGTTTCGCCAAATCGTGGAATTGAACACGGCTATGCGTAAGGAGGCCGAGGCCTCAACAATCCCGTTTCGGTTTGGCCGCTCTATACCGGGCCATCACCAGCGTGTCGCCTTGAATGTATCTCCACAAGTTTCTTCTCGGATTTTGCTCGCATGCAAGAAGATCAAGGCTAGTCTCACTCACGTCTACCATGCCTCAATCGCCATGACTATGCGGGACCTCCAGGAGCCGCGGTGCAAAAAGCGATTGGTTCGATATATCAGCTATGCCCTGCTAAACGAGCGTGGACACTGTCAAGAGCCATTCAATGCGACTCTTCACGCTGCAGCAGTTTATCACTCAATTTCAGGACAAAGCATGGCGATTGATTTAGAAGTTCCGGACACATCCACCAGTCCGCCCAGCGAAAGCAAAATCCGAGATGAGATGCGAAGGGTCGTTGAGGAGGTCAAAAAATATTATCTGACTATTAAAAATGACCAGGACCACTTATCAATAACCCCCTCGTATTGGCAGCTCGCAACGCCCGGATATCCGATTGGCAAAGAGGATCCACCCGTCCCAGCGCCCAATCCAATGCCCTCGGCCTCTATCTCCAGTCTCGGCGTTATCGACAATCTTATCCCTCCACAGCTGGGCCCATTTGAAGTTGAAAACCCTTGGGTAACAGGAGAGGAATTGGGCACAGGATTGGGGTTATTCGTGGGAACATTCCGCGGTCGCATGTCCCTGAGTGCCGCATATAATGATGCGTGGCACGATAAGGCGGAGGTGATGAATTTTGTGGAAAAATGCCACACGCTAGTCCTAACTTGCCTCGAGGTATATCGCGGCTAGCGAGTTAGTTCCGATAATTTTCATGCATGATATCAGGCTGAGAACTTGAACACGGGGAAGCCAACAACCAGTTCTGCACGTCCTACGTAACCAGACCCAACATTGCCAAATAGGCAAACCAAAACCAAACTAAACGGCGAACGACCATTAGCGTAAGCACAATAATAGAGTTTCTACCCCACACCGGCTTCTTATCAGCGCGCGGCCCCCCTTCCAAGTTAAACCTTTTGTGCCTCGTGGTTTCGATCCGCGTGGCCTCTTCGTCCCTTTTCACCCCCAATCCCTCCAGGATGCCAACAGATCGACAGCCTAGAGCAACGCGTATAGTCCGCGTTCGCACGGGCTGTTGGACATGCAGGCGTCGCAAGAAGAAGTGCGACGAGATTCGTCCGATTTGCGGCGGCTGTTCACGGAATGAACTTGGCTGCTCGTGGCCAACGATAATCCCCGGGAGAAGGAATTCCAGGCCCGAGAATGAGCTGTCAAAAGAAAATGCGGATTTGAGGCGATTCAGTCTCGCTGAAACGATTGACGAACACGAGGCGATGAGATTATCGACAAGTCCAGCGTCAAGGCGGCATTCCTCCTCAATTTCGTCGATCGGGTCGCCATCAGTTACTGCTAGTGACGATGCAGATGAGCCTATGGCACAGAACTCGCCAGCAGATCACCGACGAAACTCATCAACTGGAAGTACCAGTAACAGTGACATCTCTCTGATGCACAGGGCCCACGTTGGAAATGTGGTGCCAAGAACAATGTCCATGCTACCAGGCTACGATCCAGAATCATATCAACTTCTCAGTCATTATTTGAGTACCACCGCAGACTGCATGGCGAACGGATCAACTCCGATCAATCCATTTCTGGTCCAAATTGTACCCCTTGCATTTAGCAGCGATCTTTTACTCCAACTTGTCATCACTCAAAGTGCGGCCCATCGTGCCTTTCGCCGGCGTGATGAGACAGATGCTGTCGCCCACTCCCATTATTCCAAAGCTATCAAATTATTCAGACACGGGGTGACAGAATTTATCGAAGGAAAAGAGCCAAACCCACTCATGTTACTCGTTGGCGCCCTTTTGATGTGTTTCACCGAGGTAAGACGACATTGCACTACCAAACTACTCGGGGTATACTCATACTAACTCGAAGTCAGACGGCAAAAGGCGACATGACAGGCACAATATTCGACCATCTATCGGCGGCAAATACACTGCTCGTGAAACTTCTTGCGCAGAGTGACGCCGCCGTACCCGGGAGTTGAAAGATTTCGTTATTGAATATTATTCCTACACAGCGACCGTGAGCATGATCTCAATAGACGCCCGACTCAGCGGACAGCTTTTTTTAAATTTCGAGCTTGAGCAACGAGCACGAGAACTTCTACAAACGCAATATGTCGGAAACCTCTGCGGCTGCTGGCTTGAATTACTTCTCCTGATCCCTTGCATCTTCGATCTTGGCCGCCAGTGGATGATGGATGATGGTCCCGCGACGATACCCACGGCAGACGATATGGCAATGTTTGCGTCTATTCAAGCGCAGATTCTGCGATGGTCACCTTATCCATTTGTGGTTTCGGAGGTCTATCTTGCTGGGTTGATCTTTCAGCAAGCCATGCTCATTTATCTGTACACATCTCTCGGCGGCTATGAGCACACATCGGATGGGATCTACAATGGCCTCATTCAGACGGCCGTTACAGAAGCAATGACATACCTGGCGGAGTTATCCCCCGAAGCACGCATCAATTCCGGCTTATGCTGGCCCATCGCCGTGGTCGGTTCTTGCCTGAGTAAAACTGAGCAGCAGGACTGTCTCAGAACACGCCTAGTCGCGATGGCGACGCATTTTGGCTTGGGAAATATGCAGAGAACACTCCTACTTCTTGAAGTGATGTGGCAGCTACCTCAATCCGAGGCCGGACCTTGGAACATCTGTCGGACAATGCAGCAGAATCAAATTTGGATTTCATTTGCTTGAGCTCGGATCTCGCAATTGGATTTTCTGGTATCTCCTCGCCATGGCCGACGTAAACTAAAGCAAAAGTCAACCCACTTATGGCCCGGCCAAGTTCTTCGGCGCCTCTGTGGCTGGTCCCTCAGGCGTTACATGCGCCTTCGTCATGCCTCCATCAGCGACAAAGTCAGTTGCATTGACAAAACTACTCTCATCACTGGCCAAAAAGATAACAGCATGCGCTTGCTCAATCGCCTCGCCGAACCGACCGCTGGGAAAATGCACCTCGCGACGGGACCGCTTCGCCTTATCATCACCAAACCAACCCTGAAGAAGGGGTGTATTCAAAAGCGCAGGGCAAAGCGAATTATACCGGAAACCTATCCCAACCAAGCATTATTAGCGAGTGTCGTACCGACACAGAACCGATTTGGAACATTTCAACTCACCCTCTCGCGCATGAACAATGCCCAATTCCCTGGTCATCGCCAGCACAGCGCCCTTGCTAGCAGTATACGCCAACTGGGCCGTCGCAGCCCCAACCAGACCAACCACAATAGCAGTATTAATCACACTACTAACCTTCTTCCCATGTCTCCGGAATCCAAGCACAGAATGTTTAGATCCAAACCAAAGACCCTGACATTAATGTCCATCGTGCGATCCCAGATATCCTCCGGATACTCGATCGAGTCTCCATCGTGTGGATGCATGATTCAGCATTATTAAAAATGACATCAATCCCGTCCCAGAAATCTAGATGTGACACTGCGGCTTCGAATTGGGATTCGTCTGATACGTCGACGGTCTTTGTTTCGACTTTTCCGGCTCGGAGACTCGGGGGTATGGCGATGTTTACTTTTTGAAGGGCTGCTGTGAGGCCTGTGGTGCTCATGTCTGTCATGAGGACGGATGCGCCTTCGCGGAGCATGAGGACTGTGGTCTCGAGGCCGATGCCGCTGTTGGTACATCATCAGTATGGTCGTTGGTTCAAGTCCTTTTTTGTGCCTGCCTGGGAAATCCGCGAGGCCGGGCTTACCCAGCAGCACCGGTGACGGTGGCATTTTTCCTTCGAGTCGTCCGACAATTATGTTGTATTTTAGTGATGAATGATGGGATAAATGTAAATATCTAGCAAGATTTGCAAATTTGGAGTGATGAAAAAGAAAAATCAATTAGAGAATTGTAGATTTGATATCCAGTATTAGTGAATGACTGTAAATGGAGTCCCTTAGGTACTACCTTTAGGTCCAGTATATCAACATTTTCAACAAAAGTCCACATCACCAAACGCCGTTCAGAGGCGCACTGAATGCTCAAGCTCTGCGTAAAAACAGTTCCCTAGAGCGCTGCACGGGGGGTTCGTAATCGCGCTCCTCTTACGGTCTTGTTGGCAGACGCTGTACCATGGTCAACTATCACCTTGGAACGCGGGGTAAAAAGCCACCGAATACGAGTTTCGATAAGCATATTGAATTCGTTCACGTGGAGCTGCGACCTGAAGTCTTTAACCGCGCTTCAAAAGTGAGCGCGGTCCCGGACCGCGGTGTGGGTCTGCGAGCGCCACTCGGTGGAATGTCGACGAATGTCAAGGGAAGAGAGGGGAGTGGAAAGGAAGTTGGAATACGTGGTGGATGATGTAATTAGCCAGATCATGATATGTAGCTTGAGGATTACAGGGTATTGATTGGTTTACTAGGAGAGTAAATTGATTTATGGGCATCGATTCATTTTCTTGCATTCATTATGTACATATCGTATTTGACCGAAATAATTCTAGTTACCTGATTCACGAAACAGGTATGAAAACAGTTTTGCTTAGGCATTCTTAATATGGTAGCTCTTCAGCTTGGTGAAACCATCGTAGGCTCGGGGTCCAAGGGTGCATCCCAGACCAGAAGACTTCCAGCCGGTCCATGCCAGGTCCTAGAGAATGTATTAGCTACTGCTTAAGACACGAGAAGCATGATGGATCGCAGCACTTACCGGAGCGGGATAGTCGCAGCGGTTGAGGAATACTGTGCCAGCCTCAACCTGGTCAATGATTTCCTCACCCTTGGCAAGATCCTTGGTCCAGACACTGGCAGTCAGACCGTAATCGGTGTCGTTCATCAGAGCAATGGCCTCCTCGTCGCTGGAGACCTTCATGATCGGCATGACAGGTCCAAAGGTCTCTTCCTTCATGGTAATCATGTCGTGGTTGACATTGGTCAGGACAATGGGAGCAAGGTAGTTGCCCTTGAGGGCAGTGTTGGCCAGATCAAAGCTAGCATTCTCGGGGGTCGAATTAACAGCTCCCTTGCTGAGAGCGTCATCGATGTGAGATTGGATCTTGACCTTGGCCGGGGCGGAGATAACGGGGCCAGTAGTGGTGGTCTCATCTTGAGGGTCACCGAGTTTGTAGCTAAGAAGAGTGGTTAGTATCGATATCCTCGACTGGGAAAGGCAGGGCTTACTTCTTCAGCTCCTCCTGCACGAGGCGAACGAATTCATCGTAGATCTTCTCGTGCACATACACGCGCTCAACAGAGCAGCAGCTTTGTCCGGAGTTGAACACGGCGCCATCAACCAGGTTCTCGGCAACATTCTTGACATCGACGTCAGGGCGCACGTAAGCAGGATCGTTACCACCGAGCTCAAGGTTGACAGGCTTGACCTGGCGCGCGGTTGCCTCGCGCAATCTAATTCCGCCGGCAGTGGAGCCAGTGAAGGAGATAGATTGAACGGCGGGAAGTTGGGCGACCTGGTCGAGAACATCCAAGCTTCCAATGTGTAGGACCTGCAGCACATTCTTGGGCAAACCGGCCTCGGTGAAGATCTCTAGCAGTCTGTCGCCGAAGAGAGGGGTCTGAGGGGAGGGACGAAGGAGGACACTGTTGCCAGCAATCAGAGCAGGAACCAATGCGTTAACGGTAGTCAGGTAGGGGTACTATGAAACAGGAACGATTGGTTAGTGAGATATTCAACCATGCAGTGTACAGGAAGGGAGCTCTTACATTCCAGGCGCCGACAATCAGCACGGGTCCCAGAGGAACTCGCTTGACAGAGCGGTTGAAGCCTTCTTGGGGTTGACCGGGAAGATCTGATAGGCTCTCCTCCGCGATGTCCATCATATGCTCTGCACGAAGACGCATGGTCTTGATTTCTCCGGCGCAGTACCGAATGGGACGACCCATCTGGGTAGTGAGCTCCTTTGCCAGCTCATCGATGCGGGTGTCGACGATATCGAGAGCGCGCTTCACAATCTCCTTTCTCTGGCTCAATGTAGTGGTGCGATAAGCTTCGAATGCTTGCTTGGAAGAGGCGGCGATCTGAGTAGCGTCCGCGAGAGAAGCGCCAGGCTGGTCAAAGATGACCTCATGGGTGGAGGGGGAGATAGTTCGGATTTGGTTCGACATGGCGATTTGCGGTGTATGTGAAGGGGTATAGTCGGAGTCGTAATTAAGATATGTGTTGAATTGAAAGTCCAATGCACCCGACGGAGCTGGAATTTATAGGAAGCGCGGTGAAATGGCAAATGGCTCCGCTTATCGCGGTCTTGGAGGGGGGCATTGCGAGGGAAGCTTTCAATTGGAGGTTGAAAGTTGGAAATTCCCCACGACCCCCCCTCCATCAGGTGACCGATGTTGCCCTTAGTCAGCGTTGTAGACTTGCATCTTTATACCCGGAGATTATAATCATTTATCTTTGAATAGAAGGATAATTCGAAGCGGATTGATGTTCAAGTCGTCCAATTGCCTCGCTATCTGCTATTTTCGGGTCCATTAAATTGCGGGTTTAAACGATGCCAACCTATGTTTGCTGTACTACACCCGAGTACGTGTTTAAGGTATATAGTCAGTAGTCGAATATTGTTTCACAAAGTTTTATGTGATTACTACTTAAATTATTTCAATCGTCTCATACTGATAGGTGCTAGTTTGGACATCCAGGTCACTTTGCGCAGGACTCCGTAATGAATTTTACAATTTCTCTTCCCAGATTTTCCCCATCAGTCTTCTTTCCTGCTCTGGACTTTCCATCCGTATACTGTTCATCGTTGAAAACCCCAGTCTCATGTCGGACCTTCAACACAGAGGACATGATAAATTCGGTAAATTCAGGATGAGCCTGGATGCTCCATATGCGTGCGGGCATATAAAGACCCTGAACCGCGCAGCGAGGACTGTATCCCAAATTGACGCAGCCCTCTGGCACTTCATGCACTACATCGCGGTGCATTTGTTGCAGATACTACAAGATGGTAGTTAGCCCGAATATTAACTGTATGAAAATATTGACATACCAGTTTATCTTGCCCGAAAATATCTTTACCAGCATCCGTCAGAGTGATCTCTTCCACAGAGATTTCCCAACCATCATCACTCCGTCCAACCCGAGCGCCTAACGCGCGCGCTATGATTTGATGGCCGAAGCATATACCAACGACGGGCTTTTTATGTTTCTGCACAATACCATATACGTATTGAGTCAGGCTCACGATCCATGTCTCATCAGAATGGGCATCATGTTCTGCTAAAGCTTAGTTGTTGCTATCAAAGGATATCCGTATGAGCAAGGTGGTCACTTACTGCTTCCACTGAGCAGAAAAGCATCAATATCGTTCGGATTGGGATAGACTGGATTCTCCACGACATTCCATTTGCTGATTTCAAAATCCACGTCGCAGTTGGCCGCCACTAAACCCTTCTTCAACAGCGCTTCAAAGATGACTCCATAGTTGCCGACCTTCTCGACAACAGGCGCGACTGGCGTATCGCATTCAAGAATCGCAATGCGGAGTGTTCTTGTCATTTCGGAAGATGGATTTCGGATAGTGTCTGCCTTTTGCAAACTTCCGGTTAGGTATCATACCTTTATGAGGGCTTTCATCCAAACTTTTGGTAAGCGCGCTAAGACCCACTGCGCGGTCCGAGGAGCATTCCCCGTCGTGATGCTTCCCGACGGGCGCGAGAAGCTCTGGCCAATCATTATGCCTTCCGCGCTGTCTCATAGATTGTACGTCGATGCGACGGGAGGTATCTAAATTATTTGGGCTCATCTATCGCCACTATTTAAGAGATTCAAACTGCCATATAAAGTATACTGGTTTACGACCGATCCTGGGTAGGCGGGGACAACCAAGCCGACAAGATTTACCTCGATAGAACTATAAGTTTCTGCTGTTCAAATGTCAAACTCGCGATCCTACAGAAAACCTCCAGAAGATAGTAATTGTATCCCATGCATTCCATACAGCTGACCGATCTGAATTTCGCACCCACAATCAGACCCACATGGGAGGGCCAGGGGCTTGGATATATGTACAAACGATCTGCTTTGTACAGCACCAAGCTAATTGAATTCCATGTTCCGACAGAACTAGAAACATCTAGTAAATAAAATAAAATCCACAAGCCGGATCGCTCTCCGATTGAATGGATGTACGCACATTGCCCCGCGGGAGGTTTCCGGCCTGCCGATTCACCGATCGAGTTGCGGGGCTACAACCTTCCAAGGAAAGCTTTTATATACTACTGTCCTTGAAGTTAGCAGAACATCTCAAGGCTTTTGATTAAGGAAACCACCTGGGGACTAATAATCAATTCAGGAAATGAATCTTAGCTTTGAATGAATCCTTCAAGCACATTTTGAACATCCCCGTGAGATAAGGCTGAGCACCCAGAATGGTTAGATCAAGAGGGGCCAAAATGATCTCCACCAACAGATGCTCAGTCTCAGATCGAACTAAATGCTTACATTTATCCTGATTCTTTACCCCTCATTTTCTTCTTCTGCGTCTTACCCACGCACATCGTCAATATGGGAGCTGTGCGGCCTGCTTTGATAGACTTCCAAGTCATCCCAGCAACCGAAGATGATTGCTTAACGCTCGCGCAAGTGGAGGCTATCGCCTTCGATAATTCAAAGAAAGAGCCTCCTGGGTCCAATACTTTCCAGATAATGTTTGGCTCATACAGCGACGTAGGTAATGAATTCCGACGAGGCAACTTTCTCGAGAAAATGCAGACCGACCCGACAGCCCGCTTCTGGAAAGCTGTGATCAAGGACGAGAATGGACAGGAAAAGATCATTGGCTGGGCTCGTTGGCACTATTTCACAGAGCCTAAGATCATAGAGCCCTTGAAAAAGGATATTCCTTGGCCAGCTTCGGCGAATCCCGATGCTTGCAACGAATTTATTGGGGCCGTTGAGCTGGCGAAGAAGAAGCATATGGATGGAAAGAGATTCGGATGTAGGATATTCATGGAAATCCTCTCATTTTTTATCTTGTCAACGCTAATACAACATAGTTCTTCAAGTCCTTGCGACACTGCCAGAGTATTGTGGAAAGGGTGTTGGGTCAGCTTTGATGCGACAAGGCCTCTCAGTTGGCAAGGAGCTGGGCTTGAATGACTATTGGGTTGACGCATCTGCTGATGGTCATGATCTTTATGAGAAATTTGGATTTGTTGATACAGAACCTGTTCGATTGGACGTCGAGAAATATGGCGGGGTCGGCACCATTTGTATCATGGGAATGAGAAAGACAGAGTGAATCAGAGAGTGGAAAGCTTGTCTATAATCTTGCTTTCTGGCCTTTCTTCAAAGTAAACTTTATCCTACGAAAGGACTTAGTCGTCATAATTGCCACTCCTTGCTACTGAAGACAAAACTAAAGATCACAATCTATTCAACTCTCGTGTTTCATTCATAATATGCATAGAAGATCTCTGTTTTTCATTTTTGGGCAGCATAACGGCGATTGACGAGTCATCGATCGTGATAGCAATAAGCCCGAGTGTGCCAGGGAGACAGATTTTTTAGGAGGTGGCTCAGCTAATGGTCGTGATATGGTTCACGCTCCATAAGGGAGCAAAGTAGTACGTCTCCCAGTTGTTTACGAGGCGTTCGAAAACTGAATACTTCCCAGTGACTCGGCCAGAAAAACGGCTCTTCCGTGCTTCTATCACCGGGAAAAAGACTTAATGCGTCCCGTGTTTGTCAATGCGAGCAACCAATCAGCGTATTTCGATCTCACAAGTTTGTGTGTGAGTTTGTTCCTGGGGCTGTGTATAAAGCAAACGAACGCGGAGTCTTTGCGCTTGCTCGCGGGGGGGATTGCAAAAATGAAAGTCGTTATCATGTTTGAGAAGCCAAGGTCTCGCAGTAATAATGATGGGGTGAATATCGTATGGGTCACAGCTCTGTCAGAAACAAACGGGAAAGGCACGAACAAATAGTGATTGCTGGTGATAGAAGACAAGAGAGCGAAGCTATTTCCTGCAAGCGCCGGTGGTGTCCGTATCTCAACATGCTCAGCAGTCTCTCTAACACTAGTCACAATCAAAATATTCTCTCATTTCACCTCCCGAGCAGCCGCTAAAAATCTTTTATAATCCGTGATCCTATCATGAGTTCAAAGTTTCAAAATATTTGATGGAACGTTCAAAACGCTGAATGGGAATTACACTACCCCTTTTGTCATGAATTCATCCAATGTCTCTTTGGTAAGATCAAAATAGGTTGATTCTACTGAGTGACTCGTGTTTCCAGGAGCAAATCATCAAACATCTGGTGTGCATTAGCCGTTCGCGCGGTGTGGGCTCTTCTCCCACCCTACTGCCGAGCCCCGAGGAACCCCTGCATTTTTCAACAACAGGGGCCATTTGGGCACGCATGCATACGGGATTTGACTAGTAGATACGGGATTTGACTAGTAGGCTCCCTATTTCTCGATCCCCTCTGTATAAGGATGCCTTGTTGAGTTGAGGGTCAATCACCTTTCTTTCAACAACGGAATCCGAGCCAACTTTGAGGTATTATGACGTCTCTAGGGCAGATCTGCTCCAACTGGGCACCGGGAAGCACCGATTGCAAAAAGGTCGGCAAGTACGGTTGCAAGAACTGTCAACTAGTGACTGTAAGTATTCTCAACTCGCCACCCTTCAGAAATATCAGCCTCATTGTATCGGAACGGAAACTAATAGTATCCATATCCTAGTACTGTGACAAGTCGTGCCAGAAAGCGGACTGGCCCATTCACAAGGTAGCATGCAAGTCACCCTTGGGTAAAGATACATGGCAGCCGGATTGGATTATCGAAAACCGAACCCCAGAATTTATGGGCGGAGAGCCCATTGCCACGGTTTTCGGCAAGAAGAAATATCTCTGGGGGAATGTCCCTGCTTTCGATCTACTTCGGCTGGATAAAAACGAAGGAAGTGAATACGGTGGCGAAATACGTATTTTATGTGCCGGTATGACTTCCAAGCCTTTGCTTACCTTTGCGTGATTAGAAGGTTTCAGTTATACTAAACATGTTGCCTCTTGCAGCTTCGGGGGATATCCGACATCTCGTCAAGACCATCGCCCAATTACCGAGCACTTATAACGGCAAGATCGAGATGACCTTGAACGATCGAGATCTTGATATTGTGGCACGTAATATCATTCTGCTTCTCATCGCTATGGTGGTAGAAGATATCGATACGGCGTCAGATTGCATGATTTCTCTCTGGTACTCAGCCCTCATCCGCGAGTCGGATCTCAAAATCCTACAGCAGCAAATTAAGCCCCTAATCAGCGATATCTGTGATAAGATTGCAGAAAAGCCGCCCGGTGGTCTCTTTGGTAAGACATGGACGTTTGGGAAACGCTCGGTCAGGGTCGTCCTTGAAAAGTCGGCATGGATCCGTCTTCTGTCGTTCCTTGACGTACCGACAGGCTTAGATGTCCATCAAGCACAGAAGATCCGCACTGACAATACTCTCGCGGAATCAAGAAAGGATTATCGAGATCGATACCTTTGTTTAATTTCTAATCTTCACCGAGTCGCATTCAACCGATTCCGCGAAGACGGTCTTCTTCTCCCATTTGGGTTCCCCAGACATGACTTTCGAGTGCCGAATCCGTGAGTTAAGGGCAGACCAAAAGAAATACATAACAATAACATTACCCAGTACCTTTTTTCAGGATGAAACCACGTGGCCGATGCAAGACAGCGCAGATCCTAGGCACGGGTGGCCTGCAGAGGATGTCGAAAGGACACCCTGTGGCCCAGCCAGCGCGGACATATATGGGAAGTTGTATTTCTATCTTCGAAGAATCCTACCTTCTTTTTTGAGTGGTCTTCGTGGCCTTGAAATGGCCTCCTTCAAGCTTTTTCAAGCCGATGTGACTTCTCTCTCTGACCTTCTCGAACCAGATTCCTTCGCTCGGATCGAGGTTTCCAATATATCGGACTCCGGATGGTTAGGAATTCACCGTACACTGGCCTACATGATGCCTCTGCTCCAGAAAAGGAATGTCAATCCCCACGCGACGTTAATTACTCTCTTCATGAATGCAGTGGAGGAAACCCTGACAGACGAAGACAAGATGCGGGATATGACACCAAGCAGTGCATCATCGCGAAGACTCATGCGGTATATTCCGCACAAGGGAAGCCGGGTTACTAGATATGACCCAGTCCTTGTCAAACTTTACATGGGGCGTGATCTGGTAACGGGATATGACTTTGCTTTCGACAGGTATGCGAAAACATGGTTGCTATTTCCAGTAAATGGTGTTTCTTGGAAGCCATTCTGATTATTAATTTAGGTATTGCCGTCAACTGGAGCCCCAGAAGATAGAACAGCTTCTGAATGCTGTCATGAAGGAAAACCATACGATCATCGACAAATGGCCGTATAGGTTGAAGTTGAGGCCCAGCCAGGCTGGTGCTCAGGAGGAATTTGATCGGTCTCTGAGTAGTGGGTTGACAAGTAAGGAGCGATATGTAGAGTGGAAGAGGACTGGGTAGAATGATTCCGGTGAAGAGAGTAAACCGCCCGAGCACTTTTGACTATTTCTTTCCTGAGTTTCACCTAGTGCATGCTCATCTTTATTGAGCTTTTCGTTGATTAAATCCTCGAAGACTGTGATTTGAATCAAAAATTTCCTAACCCGCTATATATTGCATCCCAAGGCGCGTATATTGCCGCCTGTTGGCTTGCCTGCCTAGGTGCCTCAGCTTTACCGTTTTTCAGCGGAGATAAGCAGGAAATATGGTCGATGTCTTTCATCTGCCCACTCCGGATGCTCCGATACAGCTTCTTTCGAAGGTACCCAGTCTTTCAATCCAGTCAACTTGAAGCCGTTCTCTAAAAGAAGAGTCACGTATGTTTCCACCGTCCGATGGTACTTTTTGACACCCGATACACCCAACCAACTTGTGTAGCGCCAGCCCTCCTCGCTGTAAGAATTCAGTGGCCAGACTTTCTTCTCCTGGCCCCCTTCTTGGACAGAGGTCCAATCTGGACCCGGGATTGTTGGAGCTGAGCAAATGGGGTGTTCCACCGAGAATACCAATTTACCCCCTTGCTTCAACGAAGCGAAAGTCTCGCGATAAAGTCGAGAGAGATCCTCAACGTAGTGGAATGTCAAGGAGCTGTAAACGAGATCGTATCTGCCCTCCTCCGAGCTATCCCTGAAGGTGATTTTATCGAGATCGCCTGTTTCGAAGACAATTTCACATAGCCTATTCTCGGCTGCATCATCGAACTCCTTGGCCCGGTTGATCATTTTCTCAGAGAGATCAACCCCTCTGATGTGCGAGGCGCCGCTTTCGCGTGCCCACCTGGAAAACCAGCCATAACCACAGCCAAGATCAAGGACTTTCTTCCCGTCCAATTCTTTCTCATCGGAGTTCAGTTGCTGAGTACTACCTTGTAGCACCATTCTCCGTAGAACTGGCCATTCCGGAGCGGAGGATAGCCCTCCCTGTGAGCGTGGAAGCGTACTGTAGGCCGAGAAGAACTCAGGAAGGTCGTAGATGTTTTGTGCTTCGGACGACATGGTATGATCATAAAATCAAAAAGCAATAGCTTCCAACTAGATGCGAAGAGAATTGAAATTATTTGGAGGAATTTTAAGAGAAGAATGCGGACGCTCCCGACCTCCGTTTTCCGAATGTGGTCCCCGACTTATGATGTTGTCATTTATAGTGACAAGCACAACTTTTGCCAGAGTTGCTGAATATTTTTGGCTATATCCCATGCCAAAATAGCCCACAATTGAATACTACAGGTCCCTGTCCTGCAAACCCTCTCTCTCTAAACGCCTACTTATTTTTATGGAAGTTGATTCTCGAAATTTCTTGATGTGTACGCAATCACGGGAATAACTTACGCGCCGATAATGGATCTCACACACAAACCTTAGCATGAAGATCGATCTCACGATTACCAACTAGCGATAGCCGTGGATCAATAATAGCAGTACTCGTAGTATGATGTTGTCAAATATGGAAATATGAGACTGAATGCATATGGTAGCTTACGGCATTTTATCACAGACAGTCACCAATCATAAAAAGGCAGTCAACATTAAAATCGTCGGTGCGCGATTGCAGTATAGTCAAAATTCATATTGGCCAATTACAAGCCTGCAAAAAAGTGCTGCAAATTATGACTGTCCATTTCCATTCTCATCCCCTTCATCCCCATCTTCCACAAATGCCTTGTGACTACCGTTTTCCTCCTTCGATTGAGCAGTCGATTCAGTCTCAGTAGCAGCACCATCGTCATCATCATCATCCATGTGATCAGTGATATCTGTCGCAGTACGCTGCGACTCTGGCTCGGGCTCGGGCTCAGGCTTTTCCTCTTGCACAGCCTTACCCTTGTTCCTCACAGGTAAGGAAAATCCCACCTCACTCTTCCCTTCAGCCCCAGATTCATCCGGGGCCTGTGATGACTTGGAGCTTCGAGCCTTGCGGGCGCGCGCGTGTGCCCGACGAATCAATCGATTGTGATAATCCTCTTGCTCCAGTTCGGTATCTTCATGAAGGATGCGGCGGGCTGCATCTCGACCAACAACAGGAAGACGATCGATTCCATGGGGATTATTGGGTGCGAGCTTTGGGTCGAGAAGTCCGACTTGAACGAGCACACTTGCCTGGTCCCAATAGACATGTTCCGAGTAAAGACGTCCTCCCCGCAAGCTAACAATGCTCACTAACATTATTTCAACGTTCTTGTTGGTCGGTGCTACGCCGGGAAGCATCCATGGAATTTCGTTTGTGTGTTCGAAGGAAATGTAGAGTTCGTCGACAATGCGGTCGGCTCCGGTTGTTCGCGATACAAGACTGATATGCATCGAGGGAGGTAGCTTGCCCAGAAAGAACTGTCCGTAGAAACGGCGCAGGGCTTGATTTCCAATTCCGCCGGATAAAGTCGAGGTATATGTCACGGAAGGCACTTTGCTCTGGACGTATCCCTCCAACGTTTTGGACAAATTTGATCTGAAGAATTTCGCTGCGTCCGGTCAGTTTCGGTTCATCATCTGTGTCAATTTTGGAATCTAATGTACCTTCCTGATGGTCGTCCCAGCGCCTTTCGAGATCCACGTCTCGAGAAAACCCCTTTCTCAAAACCTTGACACTCCGAGTCCAGGCAATATTCGCTGCGAGATTGTTATACTCCTCCATGTCATGTTCGGCAAACCCAGGCTCCGCATATTCGTAAGTGAATGCTGGATAGGCAAGTCTCATGCGCTCCCCAGTACCTAGTCCAGGTTGAATTGGTCTCGTCTTGCGGCGCCTCTTCCCTTGTAATCCCAATGCTTGTGGTTGTGCGAGGACATCGATCGTTTTGCCCGCCAGGTGGACCAAAACAGGCAGAGAGAGGGCGAAGCTCGTTCGAGTATCAGGGATAACGGTCGGGTAGTATGCGATTAGACCACAAAGCCGGCTACAGTTGAATGACTTGCTGTAGTATTCCAGACAGTAGCTGGCTGCTTCTCCAAATGCTGTTCCATAATTGTTTAGCTGGGGGACCATAACGAATCAACACTGGAACGTCATACCAATCACTGCGTAATTCTCTCCTACGCCCAGTCCCTCCTTCACAGTCTTCAGTTGGCTTTCGTACTCCTTCCCTCCACCATTCAAAGGTAAATAGACGACGTCGAACCCTTCCTCCTGCCAATCTTGGATAGTTTGGTTGTCGAATTCGTTGGTCTCAGAGGTGATGCAAACGCGCGCATTATTGTTGCCATTATTATAAAGCAGTCCATTGCTTAATCCGGGGGCACTGATAGAAACAGTCGCCATGTTGGAAAATGCGACCGGTGGATGTGTTGGTGAGTTTCTGTGCGGATTCCCCGCGTGGGTGGATTTTGAAGAATATGCCGACCGATGATTATTCCGTGGGATGTATTTTGACCTAGGATGCAAGAATAGTCTAGAATTATTTAGAAATGAAGCTCAACGTAGAAAAGAAGAGGCCTCTGTGCTCGTCGCATGACAGCTAACGGGTCTACGTCATTGGCGCTGTCAGGTTAGCCTCGACGTCATTTGTGTCGCCTTCCATGGAAAATGACCAGGGAAAATAGATTAATTGGCCATTTGGGGTGAGGATTCGATGGAACAGGGGTTATCCGTCACTCAGTTGCCCATTGAATAGATGCCTTTAGTGTCTTCCTCTTAAGAAAAGATAGGAACCAGATTTCTAACTAGAGAGTACGATGTCGATCGGCGGATCGCTCTCGACTGAAATCCACTAGTTCTGGAAGATGTCTATACCGGGAATAGCTACAGCTAAACGCTTCAAAACGAATTGCTGGTCCCACCTGGGTGAATTAATATATCTCTGGGACCGAAAATAGCCCTGTAAATGTATTCATTTTCTTCGACCTTGGAAGTCTCATAGTATCTGAAGGGTCCAATGCGGAGGAGAAACTTGAAACTTCAGTGTTTAACTCTGGATATCCTCGGAACGTTGCCTCAATAAAGATGGAAAGTCAGAACCATGAAAATATTGATGTCTTGAAATGATTACAGACATCTAAGAGGCCTCGAGGTAGCAAGCGAAGCATTTCGTGCATGTTTTTGGGATCTACCGGCTAACTTGAACACCATGGAGGAAACGTGTTAAGGGCGCATTTTGCAAAAGTATAACTGAATGGTCATTCGCAGGCCAGTGCAACTTGATCCCGAAATCAGGAGTCCGGTCTAGTTTCATAGCTGGCCCCAAGAGAGCTGCCTCTGTGGCAAGCATCACCTCGAAAGGGTATCTGAGCTTCTCCTTCAGCACCGAGAAGCTGGTAATGGATATTAAGCCTCAATCTGCGTAAGCCTTTCATAGTTGTGATAGTTTTCACATATTATGAGAACCAGGAAAAATACGGTCCCCTACTTTATCCCATCGCCAGCCATAGTAAGATTTATAGAGGGAGTTTCCTAGGTCGATTGGGGTATCTCAATCCCTAATAACAGCGAACCTCTGCGGAAGCAGCACATATTGGAGGTCAGATAGTATTCAGAAGACTGGCTTTATCCCATCCTCCAACTGAAAGGTATTTCCTGAGTATAAAATAGGAATAGCCTCGGACTAACTGCAATTTACGTTAGAGGTATTAGCTGCCCAGGTGAGGAGGGGAAAATATATCGACTTAATCTACATCTTGCGGCATGTTACGAGCAATGCCAGTCTGTTCTCGACCATCCACGTAGCACGAATTCTTGACCAACAACATTCTCGTATCCCTAGGGTTTCCCCACCAAGTATTTCATAGTAAATCTTGTCTCGAATCTCCCGCGGGGGCATATCGAAGAATAGACATTGTTGTTTTTGAGTGTCGGGGCTATCTCGCTTGCATCGGCGAAGAAATGCTCCATCAGACGGAAAACTGAGAGCTTGCTGGCGAGGGAGAGGAGATTTTGATTTCTCTTCTGGTAAGGAAATATTCAGGTAGCCGCGTTGTTCAAGTTGTGGATTCCTCACGCAAGAGCCCCAATCGGCCGAAGAACGGGAGAAGAAAAAGCTGGCACACGCAAAGTGTACAAACCATACAGTGAAAAATAATAATGAAGACTGGTTTGATCCATGATGTTTTCTTCTTCGAGGTGATAGGACCCATTTCCTATTAATTGAAGAGCAGTATCGGTAAACCCCGGTTGCTTTATTTGGTCAATTACGAGGGGGGTTATGGCATGCTGAGTTTCCAGTTCCAAGGTTTCCTAATTTGCTTTTGTCTTTCAACCTCGGCCCCCAATCGTGATGAAATCAGTAGAGCCACATGTGTGTCAAGACATAACTAATAGGAGATATTGCTACGACTAGCAGTTATAACAACCGGTCTTTCAATTCCTATAAAACAAGCGGTCTGCGACGTTATCTAAATTCACATACATTGTAACTTCAAGATGATTGATCCTTGATCTATATATGACCAATTATCGGTCGCGAAACCACGTAGAACAGAATCTGACACGATGGCCTGAAATAGGTAAACAATTGAGATTATTACATAGTTGAAGGAAAGCGACAGGTGCCCACTAGGCAGGTGGGTTATATAATAGGTCTCCTTTCAAGGCTGGAACCTCAAGTTGAGGGAATACTAGTACTATATCGTACAAAGAAAGACAGGATAAGGTTTAGATCCTTGGGGGAGGTGGGACTTGGTGGAAGAGATGAGCGGGAAACCACCTAATGTGAAAAAAAGTCAATTTATTTGCTTACCTTGCTAACACCTCTACCCAGAGAGCAGTGAAAAGATTCTGACCAACAAGTCTGGGGGATGCTAGATACTAGGAAATGTACCTAACGTGGCCATGCTGGCGTTCCTAGGGGCTTTTCGGCCCCTCTCAAAGCTGCGGCCCTCGAAAGAAGGTGATCAAAAGACTGGTGCATTACGGTCGTTTTTGAAATCACTTTGATCGATACACTCACACACTCTCTCTTCTATCACACCGCCAAGGCCTTGGTGTAGTGAAGCGGCTTAAAATAAACGCCAAGCCATTGAAAATACCTGAGCGCAGGGTTGTGAGAGCCCGGGTGCAGGACTACTGGACCCTGGGCGCAGGACTATTGGATTGGATTGAAAAATTTTCATGGTTCTGAACACATCCATGCAAGTCTGCGCCCAGTACGGAGTAACTAAATGCCGCTAAATATGCACCTACGCCAGCCCCTCGTGTTTGGCAATTACGAGGAGTTGCCGTTCTGCGAGCGGGCGAATAAAGAGTCTGAGGTAGAAGTAGGCTGAGTGGATAAATTCAAATTAACCCCAAGTTTCGATGTATTCGTTATAATTGCCCTGGGCTTCGATTTTGCAAGCAGAATAAGCATTAAGCATTTCCTGGCGCGAAGATCCAAGGAGGTCGTGATAGCCAGACTTGCCGATACCGTTATGCCTCAGTCGATCGATCATCGTGTCAAATACACCTCTATGCGGACTGTTTCATTGACAGACCAGCCCGACCCAGACACTTTGACCGAGAGATCAGTATCACCCAACCGTACAACACTCACTTCTGAGCCGACCCCTAAGGAAGACCATTCCCCTGCGGTATGGGGATTGGGATGGCGGTCTCCAACCCTGATGGTTGTGCTCTATTTATGTGGCCTGGCATTATCGGTAGGCCATCATCTATACTACAACAGCCTCGACAATACACTTGTTAAATCAGCTGAGCAACAAACCTGGGCAATTCGGATCGGAACTGGTTTCGCATTCGTCGTCAAAACACTACTTGTAGCCGCCATCGGAATTGCGGCGGTGCAACAGATTTGGGCTACTCTCCGCAGAAAAAGTGTGAATCTTCGCGGCATCGATGCCATGTTCAGTGTTTTGAGCGATCCGCTGACCTTTTTTGTCCCTGATATGTGGATGTGTGCTAAAACACTGACTCTGCTGGCAATTGTCTCCTGGTAAGTAGTGTGTACTAGAGTCGATTCAAGAGTATGGGATTATTAACCCTGTATCTAGGCTGATTCCCTTAACTGCTCTAATCACACCTGCTACTCTATCGGTAAATTTAAAGACAACGTCGACAATCACTCGAATGAGTGTTCCAACTGTGAACTTTACGGAACATTTCTGGACTGACTGGGCGTTAACTGAAGGGGCGGGTTGGATTTATGGTCCATCCTTTATCATCAGCCGTCTATTCACAACAACCTCCTCATCAGCTGCCATCATTCCCCTTACGCCGCCATTGCCTAACTCATCCTATACCCTTGAATTTTGGGGACCTTCCTACAAATGCCAGAACCTGAGTGAGGTTATCGCTGAGACGAAGGGTATCACCTACCTTGATGGGTTAGATAACTATACCTCCTTTCAGGATGTGTGGCATAAATTTGCAAGTAACTCAAGCGGCGATAACAATGTATACTCGGGCAGTACACCTTCGTTTTGAACAACACGCTTTTGATTGCTGCAAAGGAGTACCGGGACTCTCTGACAGACAAGTCAACCGAAACATCCCTTGTTTGCCGGCTCTGGAACACTTCCTATGTGCTAGATGTATCCTTCAACAACACCATTCAGGCCCTCATCCCTATCTCGACCGAGTTAGTCGCTCCTTGTAACTGGAGTTCATCGACTGGAACATCCGCATTTACAGACTTGTATCCTAACAGACCGGAGAGCCTTGGGGGCTATTATATAACCCACCTGCTCTTCTCATCTCTCATCGAGGGTACTCTCTCCATAGGTTCCACAGGAGCCCTCATAGGCGAAGCAACCCGCCTTATGCAGTCTAGTATCTTTGAATGTCCAGAGCTTTTGAGTAGCTCTAAGTATACCGTGGCCAGCCGGGTGGCCAATCCGATCTGTCGCAATAGGACATTGGCCCGAGCTCTGGAAGACCTCTCGCGGAACTTTACCTACAACCTTCTCAGCTTGAATGCAGCCAGCACCAATGTACCTGTTTCTGTCAACTCACCCCAGAACTTCTACAGTTATAATTGGAAGAACCTATTTGCGGCTTATTTAACCGCTCTAGTGGTCACTCTTGTGTGTATTACTATCGGGTTGTTTGCTCTGTGGGGCAATGGCGTTCCTCAGAATACTTCATTTTCCAACCTGCTGAGAACAACACGAAATCCAGACCTGGATAAATCAACAACTGGATATTGCTTGGGCTCCGACCATTTACCCGATAAGCTTAAGAAGGTTAGGTTGCGCTTCGGGGAGATTGAGACACCTAGGCCGTTCAAGCACGCGTCATTTGGATTTGAAGAGTCAGTCATTGATCTAGTGAAGGGTGAAAAATATTACTAGATGGTATTTGAGCCATACAGATGCAGAAAGCCTGACGAAATAGGAAAAACTGAAATACGAGAGAGTAATATGATACCCGCAAAAACAATTTCTTCTAGTCCCTCAAAAGGAGAGAACGTCACAGTACCCCATTCATGTTCGAAGTTGACAAAATGATACTTGTATTTATTGTGCGGGTGTGTCCGCATAGTATTTTTAGCATCGAACAAAGTTGAAATAAAACATGTTAGCCGACTCTACGATACTCGTTGACTGCATGGGTAGACCAAGTGGAAGAAAAATGGATAATACGAATGGAAAACTTGAAGTCTGCAGCGACTTTACAGGGGGAATCATATCCCACTGTAACCTACGCCACGACTGTTCTCTCTGGGGTTTCATATTACTAGATATAACCCAGGAGTATTCCAACCCAATTCCAACACATAATAAGATCACCAAAATGAAAGTCCATTGTAGTTGTCTACGTCTCTATTTTCCCGTCTTTGTGGTAGTGGAGTTTTTCAATTCGCCTACTTACATGAGTAAATGGGTAGTGATGCCACTAGATGTTAACTTCCAAAAGCAGCACACGTTTTCCAGATGCTCAAACGATAAATCATCAAAACCTGCAGAAAATGGAGGATGAAGCCTGCGTCATTAGCTACTTTTTCATTTTAGACCAAAAAGATTTGATCACGATGACAAAAGGTCCACCATAACTTGAAGATATACCATTTTCAAGCAGCAGATGAAACAACGATCGGCAACAAAGATCGGCAACTCCGGAGAATCATCCCCTCCTTTCTCCTTCCCTGGACATTCCCCACGTGGGGCCAGTTGACCTACAGATTTAGCTCTGTCCAGCCTGACCTTCTTATCTGGATGCCTAGGTTTTAACCGCTGTCAAAGCACACTTAAACCCCTTTATTGGTCTATCTTAATCGGCTGTATGCCTGCAGCAACCTGCATGGCCAGATCGTGAGTGCTGTATACCGAGTGGTGAGGTCATTCTGCATACAACGAAAAGGTATTACAACTCGCACACGAGTCACCCCGCCACGTTCGTACGATCCAAGCACAGGAAAAGGTCGCCTGTGGTAGCGAGCTCTCAGGATGGATAAGGTTGTCTCACAACGCACGGTTGGCCCTGTATAGCAACTGACGGCCGAACACCACGAAATGTGCTTCGTATAAAATTCGTGGCTGAAGTTTAAGATACGCATGACTTCCCGGCTAGACAATAAGGTCGATAGATCATCCGAGGCTCAACCTCCCTTCTACTCAATATAGGAACGAGATGGAAGAAGACGGAGTAAATCGGGAAGCTGGCTAGTTTTGACCTACAATGAAAATTGGGGGCGGGGCCTAGATCGCCATCGTATGGCGAACATCGGTGGCAATGCGAGATAAGGACAGTGCGAGATTTTCTTTTACAATTTAGGAAGTCATCCTTTATCACTTTGTAACTAACCCATGTAAACAAGCATTGAATCTTCTACAGCGTAGAGTTTGCTTTTCCATATATCCGGGCAGAAATACCCTCCCAAATCAACAACTCCAGGTGAAATCCGTAACAAAGAACAAGTAAATTGACAAAGACAAAAAAAAAAGACAAAAAGCAGAGACAGATGTACCAAGAACTCCACCCCACTTCCGACAAAATCAACCAAAAGGAATCCTCCGCATCTAACCACCCGTGTCACATTGCCAAGCAGCACCAAGAGCCGCCAAGCAGCTTTCCCCCGCATTCAAACGCATCAGAAATCCCCAGATCATCATGCACCAGCCGCCACAGTGGCTACCTCCCCCGTGCGACGTGTTTGACTCGCCCCAGCCCACGAAATGTGGGGTTTCCCCCTCCTGCACCAAGTCCCGGTGGCCAGTTTCTGTTTCTCTTTGATCGTTCTCTACAGTGTATTTCCTGCGACAGACCGAGGCATCTTTCACATCTCGTCGGCTAATATTGATTCAGACCGTCGTTCAGGAGTTAACAAAGCTCACTAGCTGACTATTCAAGGCTGGGCACTCTGGGCAACATTATGGTCGTCACCTGGTACTGGTTTAATTATTACTGGTAGCAAAGCCGCCAACCAATAGTTTCTCGGGAAATCCGAGTCATTCCCCAGCTGCTGAGCGTGAAACTCAATCAGGTATCTGGCCCGAAGGGGAGAAACTCTCGATTCCGACCCCATGGGGTAGTGTCGCAAGTTGGTCTCCGCACGTTCCTAGTCCCCTATTGTGGGACGGGAATGATAAAAGCATGCTGAGATCCTTGTGTCGCTCTATTTTCAAAGCTCTATTTTTGTGCATGACTATTGCTGTCACTATTCCTGGCATAATCTTTCCTACACCCATAAGGTCACGAAATAAGATTTACCATCCAATATTCTAGCAAATCCTTTCACCGAATTCACCATGGGCTCCACGCCCGATGAGAAGGTCATGTACGATGATCGTATCGAAGATATCGCACAGAAGACGCCCAGTAGCGGGGAAGAGGAGGAGGAGTTCACAGAGGAAGAACAGCGAAAGATCATTCGACGCATTGATCTTCGGCTTGTGACTATGACCGGACTGGCATACTGCATTTCGTTGATGGATAGGACTAATCTAAGCGCAGCAGCTATTGCGGGGTGAGCATAGCAGTTCAGCCTTTCACATTGTTGTTTGCGGTCACTAACAAGTCGCGAAGATTGAAAACAGAGTTGCAGCTCGGTGTCGGAAATCGCTATGTATGTGCCTCCAGCTTGCCCGTGGTGATGAATATGCCCGATTAACGAACCAATAGTCAATTGTTGTGCTCATGTTCTTTGTGCCTTACGTTCTCTTCCAACCACCCATGACCGTTCTCATTCGCAAGATCGGACCAACTATATTCTTGGGCACAATTGTCATGACATGGGCGGTTATTATGATTGTACGCCAACTTGAAACTCATCTCGGGTCTCCTTGGAGATATCCATGTAGACATGGATGGATGCTAACGCGATAAATTCTACTAGGGGACGGGATTTGTTAAAAATTGGGGACAACTAGTCGGGCTACGCGTTCTACTCGGTGTCTTGGAGGCGGGTTATTTTCCGGGTTGTGTCTACCTGCTTTCCTGCTGGTATACCCGATGTAAGTTGCCATGAATGGTATCGCTCGAGTTGTCAAAACCATTGACTCAAGCGTTGCAGATGACGTTCAAAAGCGATTCTCGGTCTTTTATCTCATCGGCTGCGTTGCCTCCGCATTGTCTGGTATTCTGGCATTTGGCCTGATGCAATTGTCAGGTACTCATGGCCTGAGTGGATGGCGCTGGATTTTTATCCTTGAGGGAGTGGTATGTTTATCAGCCGTCGCCATTTCTTCCCCTTCCGCTGATACTAACGGGTGAAGATCACCGGGTTCATCGGCATGCTCTGCTTCGCCTTCTTAGTCGACTTCCCCGATCGTGCCTCCAACTCCTGGAGATTCCTCAACAAGAAGGAGAGCGACTGGGTCGTCCGCCGGATCAACAATGATCGCAAGGACGGCAATCTCGAGGCATTCTCCTTGAAGAAGTTCCTCAAGCCAGGACTCGATCCTAAGATTTGGGGCTTCGCTCTGATCTTCTTGTACGTGTGGTCTACAGAACTCACTAGGAAAGATACATGCTAATACTAACACTTCACAGCTGCCTGACTACCGTTACCTACGCAATCGCTTATTTCCTGCCGATCATCCTGATGGAAGGTATGAAGTTCGACGTTGGCCGAGCACAATGCCTCGTGGCACCACCATACGTTTTCGCCGGTATGGTCATGTACAGCACAGCCTGGATCGGCGACAAATACAAAGTTCGCGCCCCAATTCTCATCGGAAACTGCCTGCTCTGCATCATCGGACTACCCATGATGGGATTCGCCAAGGGAAACGCGGTGCGTTACGCAGGTGTCTTTTTCACGGTCGCAGGAGCAAATGCGAATATCCCAGCCTGTATGGCATATCAGGCGAACAATGTGCGTGGTCAGTGGACTCGCGCATTCAGCAGTGCGACGCTGGTTGGATTTGGCGGTATTGGTGGAATTGCCAGTAGTTTGGTTTTTCGCGATCAGGATGCGCCGGAGTACCGGCCAGGCATGTACGCTGCAATTGCGTAAGTTTGACCCATCACGAATATTCTCCCTGACTCTTTTCATGTACACTGATATCTCCGGCGAAACAGGTGCAATATTACGATCATTGTGGTGGTGTGCTGTCTGAGTGTGTGGTTCTGGTTCTGCAACAAGCAGGCGGAGAAGGGCGAACGCGAGATCGAGGGGGAGCCCACTTTCCGGTATACCATTTAGGTGTAGGTGTGAGGTTTCAGTGGATAAAGGGTATGAATCACGACGAATTGAACTGAATTATTTTATAACAAAAATTCTGGAATATGGAGAGCAGTGTACGGAGTATGTAGTTGGGGAGAGGAGCTCTGCTTTCCCCGGACTCGCTGTAAATCACATGACTGCGATAACGGAGCATCACATGACCCTATCTCCCCGCAATTTCTCTTTCCCGGCACTGCGGCGCTAATTGTGTAGTGTTGACGGGACGAATGGAAGACGGGATTGAGTGCCATACTTGTAGCAATTGAATGAGTTTATCGGAATATGATTAAGATTAGGACAAAGCAGTGAGAACAGAGCAACAGCAATCGAGTCATCCTGGTGACTGCAATCACCTGATGTGATAAAAATCACATGACTCCATCGCTATCTTTCCGCAACTTCACTTTTCCCTCGGAAAACGCTCAACCGCCGAGTGCCACCGCCAACTTCATTGGATTTCGACCCACATTCTCCTTGCAGAGCACCACCATTGGTGCGATAGGAGTTGCAATGGAACTCGGATCCACTCCCGACCCCGTTATCGCAGTTTTCCGTCGCGTTGCCCGTCGGTCGGCGACTCTAGGGTTCACGCTTCCTACGGCCCTGAACCACCGGGAAAAACGAGGCCGATGCGGATCTTAAATATTATTTCTCTGTGATCCTGTTTAACTTCTTTCTTCATTCTCCTCACTCTACCTCCTCATCCCTGTCTTCTACCTCAATTGTGTCGTGTGTTGAGGTGTCTCTCCCCCCACCCTCCCTACGTCACTCCCCGGTAGCTCTTCATGGCGGCATCGTTGTTTGCCCTGCGTGGCGGCCGCCAGCTCGCTCTGCGTTCGCGTGTGCGAGCTGGTCCCTCTCCGGTGGCCCTTCGCTCCGTGACTCTCTCGCCCTTCAATGGAAGTCGTGGCGTACACACCAAGCAAGAAACTCCCGCTGCTCGCCGCGGAGTATACACTAGCTCCGTCTATGCTCATGGCGACCCTCACCCACCTGATGTCTTCCAACCCCTCGATACTTTCCCCCGCAGACACATTGGCCCTTCACCCGATGCGGCCCAAGAGATGCTGGCGGTCCTGGATCCTCCCGCCGCATCCCTCGATGAATTCGTCAAGCAGGTCCTTCCCGCGGACATTCTCTCCAAGAAGGACCTAAAGGTCTCCGAGCCCCACGCTGACATCAACCTCTACCGCTCAGCTGTGCAGGGTGGACTTGGTGAGACCGATATGCTCAAGCTCTTGGACACCTACCGCAAGAACATTGATGTGTCCGGAAAGACCTACATTGGAACTGGCTACTACCCTACCATTGTCCCCCCCGGTTGTCCTCCGCAATGTTCTTGAGAACCCCGCTTGGTACACCAGCTACACTCCCTACCAGCCCGAGATCAGCCAGGGCCGTCTTGAGTCCCTTCTTAACTTCCAGACCCTGTCCGCCGACCTGACTGGCCTGCCCTTCGCCAATGCCTCCGTTCTCGACGAGGCCACTGCCGCCGCCGAGGCTATGACCATGTCCTTCGCCACTATGCCTACCTCGAAGCAAAAGAAGGCCGAGAAGTCCTTTGTTGTCTCCCACCTCTGCCACCCCCAGACTATCGCCGTTATGCAGTCCCGCGCCGAGGGATTCGGAATCAACCTCGTCATTGGTGATGTGATGGCTGATAACTTCAAGTTGGTCAAGGATCAAGGTGACCACCTGATCGGTGTTCTGGCTCAGTACCCCGATACCGAGGGTGGTGTCTACGACTTCCAGTCTCTCGGTGACTCTATCCACGGTCAAGGCGGTACCTTCAGTGTTGCCACCGATCTCCTGGCCCTGACCGTTCTCAAAGCCCCTGGCGAGTTTGGCGCTGATATCGCTTTCGGTAACGCCCAACGATTGGGTGTCCCCATGGGCTTCGGTGGTCCCCACGCCGCTTTCTTTGCCTGTGCCGACAAGTACAAGCGTAAGGTTCCTGGTCGTGTCGTCGGTGTCTCCAAGGACCGCACTGGCAACCGTGCTCTCCGTCTGGCTCTCCAGACCCGCGAGCAGCACATTCGTCGTGAGAAGGCCACCAGCAACATTTGCACTGCCCAGGCCCTCCTTGCCAACATGACTGCCATGTACGCTGTTTACCACGGCCCTGTCGGTCTCAAGTCCATTGCTCAGCGCATTGTCTCCATGACTGCTCTCCTTCGCCAGAAGCTGGTCGGCCTCGGCTACAATGTTCCTGTCCGCTCTAACACCGAGGGCGAGGCTGTCTTCGACACTCTTGCCATTGAGCTTGAGAACGCCTTCGAGGCCGATGACGTTATTGCTGCCGCTCGTGAGAAGAATGTCTTCCTGCGCCGCTTCGGTGACAGCAAGGTCGGTATCTCTCTTGACGAGACCGTCGGCCGTGACGAGGTCAAGGGTATCCTGGATATCTTTGCCGCTCACAAGAAGGCTTCTCCTGTCGAGGTCGATGGAACTCTGTCTGTCAGCCCCATCCCCGCCAGCCTGGAGCGTACTTCCTCTTTCATGACCCACCCCGTTTTCAACACCCACCACTCTGAGACTGAGATGCTCCGCTACATCAAGCACCTCGAGTCCAAGGATCTATCCCTGGCCCACTCCATGATCCCCCTGGGATCTTGCACCATGAAGCTCAACGCTACCACGGAAATGATCCCCGTATCCTGGCCCGAGTTCTCTCAGATGCACCCCTTCATGCCCGCTGACAAGGCCAAGGGCTACATCCAGATGATCGATGATCTGGAGCAGCAGCTTGCCGACATCACCGGCATGGCTGAGGTCACCGTGCAGCCCAACTCCGGCGCTCAGGGTGAGTTCGCTGGTCTGCGTGTAATCAAGAAGTTCCAGGAGGCTAGCGGCGAGGCCAAGCGCAACATCTGCCTGATCCCCGTCTCTGCCCACGGAACCAACCCTGCCTCTGCCGCCATGGCAGGTATGCGTGTTGTCACCATCAAGTGCGACACCAAGACCGGTAACCTGGATCTGGCTGATCTTAAGTCCAAGTGTGAGAAGCACGCGGACGAGCTCGCCGCTTTCATGATCACCTACCCCAGCACATTCGGTGTTTACGAGCCTGGTGCCAAGGAGGCCATCCGCCTGGTCCACGAGCACGGTGGCCAGGTCTACATGGACGGTGCTAACATGAACGCCCAGATCGGTCTATGCTCTCCTGGCGAGATCGGCGCTGATGTGTGCCACTTGAACCTGCACAAGACCTTCTGCATTCCTCACGGTGGTGGTGGTCCCGGTGTTGGCCCCATTGGTGTCGCCGAGCATCTGCGCCCCTACCTGCCCGGCCACCCGGCCAACGAGTACCTCCAGTCCAAGCGCGGCGATACCGCTTCTCCCCCGATCTCTGCCGCTCCCTGGGGCAGCGCCAGCATTCTCCCCATCACATTCAACTACATCAACATGATGGGAGACCGAGGCCTGACCCACGCCACCAAGATCACCCTGCTGAACGCCAACTACATCCTCGCCCGCCTCAAGCCCCACTACCCTATCCTCTACACCAACGAGAACGGTCGCTGCGCTCACGAGTTCATCCTCGACCTGCGCGGCTTCAAGGAGACCGCCGGCGTTGAGGCCATCGATGTCGCCAAGCGTCTGCAAGATTACGGCTTCCACGCCCCCACCATGTCCTGGCCCGTCTCGAACACTCTGATGATCGAGCCCACCGAGTCCGAGAACAAGGCCGAGCTGGACCGATTCTGTGACGCCCTGATCTCTATCCGTCAGGAGATCGCCGACGTCGAGGCCGGCAAGCAGCCCCGCGAGGGCAACGTTCTCAAGAACTCCCCTCACACCCAGCGCGATCTGCTCTCCAGCGAGTGGGACCGTTCTTACTCCCGTGAGACGGCCGCATACCCCCAGCCCTACCTGCTGGAGAAGAAGTTCTGGCCCAGTGTCACCCGTGTTGATGACGGTAAGCTTTTCTCCCGCCCCTATCATTATGTCACAGCATTTACTAATTTTCTATGCAGCATTCGGTGACCAGAACCTCTTCTGCACCTGTGGCCCGGTCGAGGACACTGAATAGATTATGATACCCATGTGATGGTTTGGTTTAGTTTGGCTTGCTCTGCATTTTGTGATCGTGACCCATTGCTACCTAGCCTAGACTAGAACTTGTTAGATTGAGTTCTAGAGCTAGAGTGCTTGCTTGGTCTGACTTTCAATTTTTTTCCTTCTGATGTATACATTCAACATTTCCCCCTTTTCTTTCTGTTTTCATGATCACGACTCATGTTTCAAAAGTGAAGACTATTTCAACATTAAATAGCTTTCTTCCTGTGGTTTTGACTGTTGGGTACTGTAAATAAATTAATTGATCATTGATACTGTTACTATTGTTTCTTCTTCTCTGTGCCCACAAGGTTGTCGTAAATGCAAACTCGAACATTCGGAAGGTTTCCCGAGCCGCAATTCTTAGAATGCTTGGACTTTTTTCTCCAAGTATATTTCAACATCTTTTGAACATTTTAATAATCCGAAAAGTCATTCACCCATGACTGTCAGTGGTGAGGTGCCAGCTTCGTGTTCTTGCACTGCAAAGTGGGGCAACACCTCGGGGCTCAAGGACTCGGAGCTGATCGTCTCCTGGGCTTGTAGAGCTACCATCTCCCCTTTTGACAGATATAATTTCCGCAGTCAGATGTCTGTTACGATAAAATGCCTAGTGCTATGGTTAAGCATGGTCCATCGTTCCTTGAGGTCAGTTGCACAGCAAAAAGCGGATGACAAACACCACTCACCCGCAATAGAAGTCCGTCTTTGCCCGCAATTTCTTATCAGCGGTGAAATGACAATACAATACACAATTTCCATCCCACTTACACCGATATGCCACCAAAACAACATCGCAATATCCGTATTGAATGTAAGAATACGTAACAATAGTCGGAAACTGCCGATCCCCGCCACGAACTCTGCCCTGTTGATCGCTCACGACTACGACCTTGAAACAATTTTGCTAGAAGGCTTCGATGCAAGGGCACTGCGGAGAAGACTGTCGAATGCAGAAGGAATAACCTTGATAGATTTACCCCAGAGCTGTAACTGATCTCGGCGTTCGGAAGCGTGTTTTATCAGGCGACGTTACCGCCACCTTCTTTAAGCTTTGACCCTTGACAGAGGATATATCAGGCCCGCGTTCGCTCGGTGGAATATTTTTGAATCTGTGGACTTGCTGTTGAGTTTTGAGACGTACATCTACTAGATTTAGATCTTGCATTCTTGAAGGCTTCAAGTCGATCCCCCACTGGCACCTCCATCGCATCGCATCGCATTACCAGTGACCAATTGACACAAACCGATTGTGAACTTGAAGCTGCAATATCCTGTCCCTTTCTTCGAAAAAGAGAAATATCCTTCATTATGAGACGAGAATACGAATTCAGCGTTTACCGGGGGACCTTCATCCAGCTTGGTCGGCTGCCCCAGTCAGACCTGGTTCCATCACCAGCCAAACCAGAGCTGCAGCGCACTCAGGGTATCCTATGGGTGTCCGCCGAGAGCGGTAGAATCAAGGGATATGATTGGAAAATCCACGATGATGAAGCATTTACTGGGTTCATGAGCAAAAATGGCTGGGTTGATGTTGATGGAAAGACGAATGGCAACCTAGGCGGCGCGACCAAGGTGAAGATTGTCGAGGCACGCGAAGATAAGAACGAATTCTTCTTCCCTGGATTTATTGGTGAGAATGAATACTTTCCATTATTTTCTAGGCCTGGTGAACGCCATTTTTGACACTCGCAGATACTCACATCCATGCGCCTCAATACCCAAATGCAGGCCTGTTCGGGTCTTCAACTCTGCTGGACTGGCTAGAGACCTATACATTTCCAGTGGAATCAGGTTTTGGCACACAATCAACCGTCAAAGGCCAAAGCCAGGCACAGAAGCCAGAAGAAGCACCGGAAAAGGCACTACACATCTACGACCAGGTCGTTTCACGCACGCTCGCTCACGGCACAACCTGCGCTTCATATTTCGCGACAATCCACGTTCCAGCAACTAATGCCCTGGCAGCAATTTGCCAAACACGAGGCCAGCGAGCCTTCATCGGCCGAGTGTGCATGGATGAGCCAGCCTTCTGCCCTGAGTACTACAAAGATCTTTCCGCCGAGGATTCTCTATCCGCGACAAAGGATACAATTCACTATATTCACACTCTGGACCCAAAGGGCACTCTAGTAAAACCCATCGTCACGCCTCGTTTCGCACCAACATGCTCTCGGCCTTCTCTCACTGCGCTCGGTCAATTGGCAGCTAGCTACAACCCTCCACTGCACATCCAGACACACATCGCAGAGAACAAGAACGAAGTGGCACTGGTGAAAGACCTCTTCCCCGAAGCGGAGAGCTACGCTGCAGTTTACGATCAGCACAATCTGCTGACACCACGAACCATCCTCGCGCACGCGGTCCACCTTTCAAAGGAAGAGCGAACACTCGTCAAAGCGCGCGATGCGAAGATCTCCCACTGTCCTGCCTCGAACTCAGCCCTCGGCTCTGGAATTGCCCCAGTGCGAGACTATCTGAACGAGGGCATCACCGTTGGTTTGGGAACGGACGTCAGCGGTGGCTACAGTCCTTCCATCCTCGAAGCTGCTAGACAAGCTTGCCTTTCATCGCGACTACTCGGCCACACGAAAGACTTTGTCGATTATCATTCCCATGACGGCTGTGAGAGCAAATCTGTCGGATTGGAAAAGCTCTCCGTTGCCGAGAGTTTGTACTTGGCTACCCGTGGCGGAGCCGCTGTCGTCAATATGGAAGACGATATCGGTGGTTTTGAGATCGGGATGATCATGGATGCGCAGTTGATCCAGTTAGGCTCTGTGAGGATGAATGGCGTATCTCCGCTATCCGCTACTGCAAATATGAATGGGGGACCTTGTACCAGTCTGATTCAGTCGGGACCTGTTGGTAATGTGGATATATTTGGAACGGAGTCTTGGGAGGAGAAGATTCAGAAGTGGGTTTGGAGTGGAGATGATCGGAATGTTAAGGCTGTTTGGGTTGGGGGCAGGATGGTTCATTGGAGAGTTTAGATCTTGCTGCTGTATTGAACTTGCTTCGGGACTATTTAGTATGAGTACAAGGCGTCCAATCTGCACATATTCGATTTGAGAACTCCTATCCGGTTTTTGAAGATCTATCTCGGAATACAATCTCGGTTTCGGTTTTGAGAGGGAATGCGATGCAGTAGCTCGATAGGATACCTACTAGTCCAATTGTACTTGGAAGCGACGGTCGCGATTTTCAATCGCTTGACTAATCACACTCCAGGGCTAGCACTAAGTTTGAAATCTGCTACATGGGGGCCAAATTTATGTCGCCGACTCGGATGCCGTTACGTCGATCGGCCCGATCCACCTAGTGCCCCGGGGGCCAACCCCACTAAAATGTGTCTCAAAACTGTTGCTGCCCATTCAGATTTCTCCTGGCGATAAAATGGCCCCGAGACTTTTCACCATTTGCAAGCTATTATGACAAATCTTGCCCACCGGGGAGAAGCATTGGAGTTTGCGAAGATAGAGGAATACTCCGAGCAATCACGCAACGTGTCCGACTATTTGAAGATGATCGACCTTGTCAATTATTTAAGGCGCGGCCACTCCGTCATCCGAACAGCATCAATATTCCCAATCTATTCCATATTGAATTACACGCACCCCGATTCAAAGCAAACATGTCCCAACCAACTCTCCTGATCATTCCGGGCTCCTTTTCGCCCCCAGCCCTTTACAAAAACCTCGTTGACAATCTCCGATCGCTCGGTTTCGAAACAATCGTCGAACCCCTCCAATCTGCCATTCGAAAGGAGTCTCCGCCATCGTCTTCAATGTACGACGACGCATCCCACTTTCGCAACGTGATCACCAACCTAGCTGATCAGGGAAAAGACATCGTTCTTATCCCCCATTCATACGGCGGAATCGTCGCCAACGAAAGCGCAAAAGGACTTCTTAAGTCCGATCGATCGAAAGCCGGAAAGACAGGAGGAATCGTGGAAATAATCAACATCAGCACTCTCACTCCCGCAGTGGGCCAATCTGGTCTCGACGTTGCGGGAAAACTCGGTCTTGACCAATTCCCCGTCGAGGTAAGAAATCACCAAAGAACTAGCAGGGTTGATCGCAGTCTGACTCAAATAGGGCGAATACATGGTCCTCGAAGACGAGGGATGCGCGAAGGCGAACTACAATGATGTTCCCTGGGAGCAGGCGTTGGAAATGGCGAAAGGACATAGCGATCATTCAGCTAGGAGCTTTAGAGACAAGCTTACTTATGCGGCTTATTTGGATATTCCATCATCGTGGGTGTTTTGCGAACAGGATGTATTACTTCCGCCTGCTTTTCAAAGGGAGACGATTGATTTGATTGAGCAGCGGAGTGGGAAGAAGGTTCGCGTTTTTGGAATTGATGCTGGTCATTGTGTTACTTCGACTCGGCCGAAGGAACTGGCGGCCTTGATTCAGAAGATCTTGAGCAATTGATTTGATCAAGTTTACGAATGCATGTGTTGCTTACGATCTTAGCCTAGCTGGTAGAATTGAGGAATTGTCGTTCTAAATAATTGGCTACGGCTTCCACAGCGAATAGTTATTGATAACTTCTGGACAATTTGGCCTTAAGTGCATATTTATTCTCTGCTAAAGGTGTAGCTAGTCAAATATGCAATTCTCACTGGAACAACTCAACGCAGTCGAAAATCTAATGAAATTGGGGTCAGTTCGTGCAGGCTCAGATAGAGAAAGATCAATGAAAGTTACTCACAAAGTTGGGGCTCAGATAAGTATCACCCGAGCTTCCGGAAACAACATTAATGGTAATCTGCAAGATGTCAATTATCTTCATTAATAAGTCTGTATCCATGATCAACTTACGGTGTTAGTTCCAGCAACAATCGTGCCACTGGGAATAGTAACATCATAAACTTCACCCAGACCACGGTAAGCGCCGCGAGTAACGCCGCGCGAGTCAAGGTTGGTGGGCGCGGACGGAGTACTGCCGGTGTAGCTGTTGATCTGGAAGTTTATGTTAGTAATTTGTATATCAGATGAACTCAGAGCAGAGTCATACCGTAGCTTGGGGCCGACCTCCGGCAAATGAAAGGGTAGTACCGATTCTCAGGGTAGCGGCACCAGTCTGAGAGGACGTCGCAGTGAACTTGATTGTAATTGGCGAATTCACTGATTTGAAGATTGCCATCGGGAACTGGGACGTAGTAGAGCTACCGACAGTGTAGGTACCGGGGCTCCAGGATGACATGCGGCTGTCGGAGGGGTGCATACGAAGTTGATTGGCGGCGTTGAGGAACCCGGTCGGTCTATATTGTCAGCATCGACGTATGACTTCGTTAATGGAATCTACTTACTGTCCATCCCAGTCTCCGATCTTGAAAATCGTTGTACCGGTCGTCACCTTTCCAGAGATGCTCTTGGAGGTGGTTGATCCGGCGGTAACAGTCACCGAGGAGGTTGCGACGGCAAATTCTCCCTGGTAGTAGACCATGGTATAGGTACCAGGCTTCATAGCGGGAGAGGTAAATGACCCGCTAGAAGCAGTGTAGGTCCAATATTGTGCAGCATCGTTGTACCAGTGGATGACCCAGTCGAATGAAGAACTGGCACCGGAGGCTGTTCCGGACACATAGCCTCGTCCAGAGGTTGCGACATAGCCCTTGATACCAAGGTCGGCGAAGAAAGAAGTGTCGATGTTGGTGCTGGGGGTACCGCTGCGACTGAAGTACATCATGTAGGGGCCATGGAGACCTTGACGGTAGCTTTCGGTCTGGACGTGGCCGGAGTTCTATTTTTGTCAGCTTATGAAGTCAAACATTGTCGGTTTAAACCATACCATGTACCAGTAGAGCCCAGTGTAAGAGCCGACATTGTTTGTGTTTATATCGCTAAAGATGTCAGTGAGACTTTTTCCGAGCTTGTGATGATAATATGCTTACCGGTGGAATGGTCCACCAGCCGATGTCTCGTATTGCGGAATAATCATGCAGACACGGTGGGCGCTGCCGGAAACACCTGAAGTTCTGTTAGAGTGTTTCTTTGGGCCCATCGAAAAAAAACACTTACAATGTCTTTGATCATCGATAAAACGCTCGCTAGAGTAGAACTTGCTTCGGGTTTCGCCATCAACGAGATACTGCAATTAGTTAGCCTCGCACGGCTCTAGTTGGACCGGTTTACCCACCACATCCGAGCCTTCGATGGCAGTTCCATCGGCGATGTTCGACACGTCACCGAAGGGTTCTTCGTTGGGGAGTAGGTCCGCATTCAGTCGGGCGATGTATCGCAACTCGCCGACGGATGGTTCTGGAAGAAGTCAGCTTAGCTAAGGGAATTTCTCTAGCCCGGTGTAATTCACCAGCAGTCGTATAAGTGGCCATATAGATGATTGGATCGCCGCTGTGAACAACATAGTAGTGAGTGAGGGTATCCGTTGCGCAAGTGACCGTGATGTAATCGCCTATAATGGTCAGATTCTCTTGTCAACCCATCTGGAGTTATAAGTGAACTTACCACTTTGTGTCGCACTGACAGTGGCAGTTCCTAGACCCGATCCGATGTGCGAACCAGTCGACTGGTACTGCAGCTCAGATCCGTAGAAACTGATCGACGAGATGTCACAACTGGTGCGGGATACGGTAAACTTTAGTGGGTTAGTCGATCCAGCATCCACAACATAGGTGCCAGAGTTAGTTGTGAGTCCAAATGCAGCATTGGCTACTTTGGCCCAGAGGGCCAATGCGACAACACCCAAAGCCCGAGAGAACATTGCGATGTGAGGAGTTGATCAAAGACAAGCACTCGCAGACAATCCGGTGGACTTTAATGTTTTCTCCCATCTGCCGTTTATATACTGGCTCCAAGTGCCATGCCAACCCTTCACTTGAAACCCTCTATCCTGAACGGTGGAGATTTACCGTTAGCTCAGCTCCGTCCCTGCAAAGTATTCGGGGATTATGCTACATTGGATTTTGGTTCCACCAATCTAGGTATTTCATCCAGGCTCACATTAAGGGGTTCGAAGCATTCGGTGCCCCTTTTCGTCACGGCAACTAGTCACAACCCTCCTTGCACGGCATGATTTGTGGAGCAGACTAAAATAATCTAATGCATCCTAGTGCACTGAAAGAACCTCATATCATCATCATACACGTTCAGCGATGAAATCATCCGAGAGGCTTGCCAAGAACCCCTGCAATTCCATGTGGGGTGCATGGGATGTTTCAAGAGAGCGGCGGCTAGTGGTGGGTAAAACATCAAGACAGATGGGAGTTATCCGTACTTGGCGAAGCGTACGAGCACGTTTACAACTATCTATGCCGTACTGAGAATAGGATCTGCATCTTCAATAAATTTTTCACCCCGCCCGGAGTTCAATTTTCAATACTCGGCTCGCTTTACCACGAGAAACCGAGCGGAATCATGCAGTTCGTCTATACGCCTCCTCATGTTGTGCCAAGGCCTCTGCGGGGTACATAAGCCCTAGCTTGTTTGACTGGTGGATGATTCCTAAGAGGTCAGAACTTCGCCATAGTATGTCCGATGAGAGTCCGTGGCTGTCATGGGTTCCAGGAAAGGAATTCTTCATGCAACATTGCTTGCTGATTGGTCTGGCTTTTGAATCCAAAGCATGACACTGGGCCCAGTGAGCTAAATGCCCACTATCTACGGGGACAGACACTCTAGTGACCTGCCTAGCATAATAACTAGCCAAGACAAAAGCATTCTCGCAACATATTGTCGAGTATACCCCCTTTAGAGGAGTTGCCCGTAATCCAGCCCCCCCTTTGGACCCGGAGTTGTCACTTCTCACATTACCTCACAAACTTCATAGTTTGGATCTCCGAGTCCCGACTCGGAGGTCTCAAGACACAAAATGTATGCACAGCCAACCGAGTGCATTTCTAAAGATCTCTGGAACTCAAAACTCTTTTGGTGTGAATTTGCGAAGTGAAGAGGAAAATCAAATTTTCTCCCCAGGGCACGTCGTTTATTTCCAACTTCGCATGAAGAAGTCCTTCCGCGAGACAAGGTGACGTTTTTAGGTTTTAAGAGCACGGTTCGTTCTTCCAGCATTTGGTGAGTGGATGAAAAAGACAAAATATGGTCATTTGAAGTGATAACAAAGAGAAGAATGCGAAGCTATGTAAAATCCGCATGGTAGCATGGCAGCCTTGGTGCCTGAGGCCGCGATACGCCCGCCTCAACCGATTCAAAACAGACTTCTCTTCTTCTGTTTCACCGCCCACTCAGCGATTTTAATTGAATCAACATTGGATCGTTGTAACGTCGCTAGGTTAAAATCAGTTCACCGCGTGGAATAAAATCTTGGTCGTCCCGGCACGATCATCTACGGGGTATACCGAGAAGTCATCGCCATGCCGCTTCGAAGACCTCATCAGAAATCCCGCAACGGCTGTACTGAGTGCAAGAGACGCCGAGTGAAAGTATGCAGCCCGCGCCCTATCATCAAATTTGCTCTTTTCACTACCGAGCTCACCACTTGTCCCTTAGTGCAATGAACAGCAACCTTGTCACAATTGCATTAAGTACCAGAGTCAATGCATCTATCAGACAGATCTGGGACAACACAGACGAAGCCCAGTTAAGTCAGGGGTATCATTTCCTACTGTAGATGAGATTGATTCAAATTCAATCATCCGCGCTATAGAATCATCCGCCGCTACACTTCAACATAATTTGGCTAGAAGCGCAGACTTCGAAGCAGCAGATCTTGAGCTCATGCATCACTTCAGCACGTCAGTTGCTAAAAAGTTATCTAATCGCAACGAAATCCAAGAAGTCTGGGCGGTCGCACTTCCCAAAGAAGCATACTCATGTGACTACCTCATTCACGGGTTACTTGCTCTTTCGGCTATTCATTTGAGCTCTTTCGACCGAGAGCATAGACATGATTATATGGGCCTGTCTATCTATCATCTCAACAAGTCTCTTGCTGACTTTAGGAAGTGCCTTGTCGACATATCAACAGATAACTGCGTACCATTATTTGCCGCTTCATCTGTTATGGTCATCCATGTGTGTGCGCAGTCTGCCCTGGAGAGAAATCCAAAGGCAACCCAAGGTAATCTCCAGTCGCAAATTGAAATGCTCATGAAGCTTTTCAACATGTGCAGAGGGGTTGAGACCATACTTGCTCCGTATAGTGAAGATATCCGTGGGAGCTCTTTGAGATCTTTACTGCATGAGGACTACTCTCTAGTTTCTTCTCTATCAAGGTATCGTCAAGACGAGCTGCAGATAATCTTGTAACGATCCAAAATGAGGACTAACGCGTACCGAAGTGATCGGAATACCTGTCTAGCAAATGAACCTCGACTCTCGGACCTGAAAAACCTCGTCTTAAATCAGATTTCCGAGCCGGAGGAACAAGTCAAGTACCTAGATGCTGTGGACAAACTTGGCACCGCATTTCGTTTCATGAGTGTCGCAAAACAACCACTCGAGCCGGGTGCAGCTTTCGTGTGGCCAATTTTGCTACAGCGAGACACCATCCATCTCTTCATGCAAAGGTCTCCGATTTCACTCTTACTGCTGGCACACTATTGTGTAATCTTGCATCATCTGGATGGCTACTGGTTCTTACACGGGTGGTACAAAGCACTACTGCTTGAAATCACCGAGATCATGCCTTCTGAATTGCAGCCTTGGGTTCTTTGGCCGAAAAATGTCTGCGGCTTGGTTGATCTTTTATAACATCGTGGACCCCAATATATTAGGAATTTCGACCACCCATGGAAATATTTTTCGAATTTTGATACAGTGTGCGACTGTCGATGCCTCATAAATGATCAAATTCCTGGATCGAATCAAATACCTGATGAACGGTCTATCTAAGAATTTAATGTTATACCAGAATCCACATCCAAAATAATGACTGCCCCTACATGAGGAGCTTGAATTTGAAAATTCTCAATGTTAGCTCTCATCACCTATTACATATCTTTCACTGCCCCCCCCCCCCCTCAGCAATTCTGGGAATGTGCCGTCCAAGTCCCCGCTGCCCCCTCACATAGATCTCAAAGCTTCGAGTGAGTGGCGGCCCCCCCCTTGTCACCCTGGGACAATATCACAGAAGGGTGAAATACGTTGATCGCCACCATTGCAAAGAACATCAGCGTCGAGTCAAAGACGTACATGAAAGCCTCATGGCTTATCAGATAGCCGTCGTTCCCCTGCGCATATTCGATGAGCCGAAAGACTGATCGTATCAAAATCAAAATGCTCGAAAGATATAATCCCCAAAGAACAGATTCCCAACTGCGCATGACATGGAGGCCTTGGACTTCTCTCGCGTCTATTGTTTGCCGGGTGGGTTGCAAGCGTATACGTTTGTGAAAGACAACCGAGGTGATCAGGAAGAAAGAGAAGAAAACAAGTTGCACACAAAGGCCTCCGATCGTTATATGCTCCCCAGTCTTCATCGCAGTTATGGTTCCACTTGCCATAATACCACCTCCTATAAGAGAGTTTATGAGTATCCTGAAGCATACAATGGACGAAGGTCGATCTCGTAAAAGCCTTTTTCACATACCTGCTGCCTGCATTACGAACGCAATCACATCACCCGTCACGAAAATCCCTGTCATCCATTTCAACGGCACGATACTGAAGCTTTCGGCGCGAAGGTAGAGGATCAATCTTCCGAGGACCATATAAATCGACGCAGCGTAGAGAGGGGGGTGCAAGTAGAATGAGGATCGTTTGAATGGAGTAAATCGGTACACTTTGGGTGTTCGAATGTGAAATTGCCCGTGCAATGTAGCCGATTATCTGAACTACCAGCTCCCAAAGTTAGCAGGTCGGTTTACAGATGCCGGGCTCAGAGATGATAGAAAACTCACAGATTCCCCCGAGGACAAAGGCACTGAAATACCAGGCGCGGCATTTGATGAGTTGATAGAGATGGAAGGCAGTCGTCAATAGAAACAGAACGATGAATATCACAGCCGCCGCCACCGAGGGGGTGTAGCGGTAAAGTTGAAAGTCAATGTGTCCCTCAGAGTCGCCCATGATGGAAGGGGCAGTTTTGTCACGGAGTGGTGATGATAACCTGATGCTGAAAGTGAATTTGAAAGGAAATGAAGCGAAAGTTGGGCGGAAACTTAGAATTTTGAAGCGAATGAAGGAGATATTTTTATAGGAAACCACAGCCAAGATATGGAGCTCACTGCCTTCTAAATTGTCATCTTCGAGTACAGAATTCTCTTGGGTGGATGTTAGGTGGAACCCGTCGTATACTACGAAGCCAGCCTCGTCCATTTTAGGCTTAGTGTACGAGCATACGAGAACCAATCATCTTCAAATTGGTCTTCTTGGATTCCTTTTCCACAATTTCTGAGTTTCTGTCAAGTTGAAGAACACTTTTTGGCATTGAAAATAGTCCCGATCGTGGTCATTTTCCGATTTACCCGTTCAACAACGTGAGTGATCCCACTATACCCTTGGAGAGTGAGCTTTGAGGGTAAACATGCGGCTATCTAAAGAGTCAAAATCTACAAACGCAGAAAAACCCCGAATGTACTAGTATATTCAAGTTGACTGCCGGGGCTTTGATCAAGTTGACCCAAGGCCTTTGGCCAATTCAAAAATTCATTCATTGCAAAGGCCTGGTGAAGAACGATACTCAAGCCTAGTGCCTGGTATACATTCTAGAGCTATCCACTTAATTAGACGTTCAGCACCAACATGGTTGGTAAAAAAGCAGATCAGAGCTCCTGAAATCATGAATTCAAGTTCAAGCTTTAAACTCCTTTCCCAATGCTACTAGCTAGTACTAGTACAGTGCTTGCAATGTTACAGTCAGGGAATGAACCTGAAGACATGGCCCACACGAGCAAGGCCGCGGCCCAGATACTCTCACCTATCGATACTTTACGCCGGAGATTTATACTAGACATGATACCAATACAGAAGAAGCAAACTTTTTGTTATACTCTAGTACAGAAACACGGCAATGAGATTGATTTGGCGGACTTTATCCCTTCCATCATGTACTGCCCCACAGTCCGGCGGTTCACATGCTGATCCCCCGGGTGCATCCCGGCTGATTCCTTCAACAACCGGGTGCATTCCGGACTTAGAAAGTACCAATTACCACCACGCGGGGATTTTCACAAGGTGATGACCAAATGAATTGCCCCAGATTTTCCCGTTTTTCGGTCAGGGCCAGAACCAGAGCCGCGGTCACAGTCCGCGGGTATGTATTCCGGGGACCCCGGAGAAAGCCAGAAGAATGATGGGATGATCTCACAGTATCCACTTTTATCCCAGAGTTCAACACTGTTGGTGGGATGACGGTAATCAGCGTGCCGATCGGGCACATCCGATGGTGTGCCTTTCACCTAGCGATGACTTGCGAGAGTGGCTCATCCATTCACGCTCTTTGATCGAGCCTTAGACCCAGTCTAGTGGCTGCGATCTGCAATGTCTTGCACACGTGCAGCTGAGCCGAGGATGTTTGTTGCTCTTTGAAGGCATGTCAAATAAGATCAACTTGATTTCTTTTTATCTACCCTCTCCCCATTTCAAAGGCTGCAATTGGAGACTCGATCTCTCGCGGAGAACAGGATAGATCTCGTGTCACCATTGTCATCTACAGTTACACACCACACCACACCACACCACACCACACGTTGTACGGATATCTCCCGGTCGGAGTCAATATGCTCCTCAGCCCCACCGTCCAACTGGCCGGGGTCCTGTCTGTGCTCTTCCTGGTCGTCCGATACATCGCCAACGCACACCACCACTACAGACAAGCGAAGGCACTGCACTGCGAGAAACCTGCAAGTGGAGCTTCTAGATTCTTTGGAATCCCTGCCTTCCTACGTCTCAGCAAAGCCGTGCGTGAGAAGCGATGGATCGACTACCTGACCGATCAATTCGATATCAACGGCACAACATTCAGCCAGCGTTTCCTCTCACGCAGGCTAATCACCACCATCGAACCGGAGAACATCAAAGCGATCCTAGCGACACAATTCAAGGACTTCTGTCTAGGAACAAGGCACGAACAATTCGACCCGCTACTCGGTGATGGTATTTTCACACTCGATGGAGCGGGCTGGTCGCATGCACGCGGCATGTTGCGACCGCAATTCGCCAGGGATCAGGTACTTCATGACCCTGCTATATTCAATCTGACTTCCTTAATAATCGATTCACCCAGGTCGCCGATCTATCCATGCTAGACGACCACATCTCACACTTAATCGACCTCATCCCGAAAGACCGCACCGCATTCGACATCCAGCGCCTCTTCTTCCTTCTAACCCTAGACTCCGCAACACACTTCCTTTTCGGCGAATCAGTCGGCTGCATGCTCCCCCCATCAGAAACAACCGGCGTCCTCGAGAAATCCGCCGTTGGCAACGCGCAAGGCTTCGCCGACGCCTTCACAACAGCGCAAGACTACCTCGCCGCCCGATCGCGCGCACAGGGCCTCTACTGGCTCGTCAATCCCAAAGAATTCCGCGAAGCGAATCGTCGCGTCCACGAAGTCGTCGACCACTACGTAAACGTCGCTCTGGAGAGAAAGCGTAATCCCGATCCCAAGCAGGGTGATGGTCGGTATATCTTTCTCGAAGCACTGGCCGCCGAAACCGATGATCCGAAAATGCTGCGCGATAATATGTTGAATATCCTTCTCGCTGGTCGTGATACAACAGCCAGTCTGCTGAGTTCGACGTTCTTCTATCTCTCGCAGTATCCGAATGTGTGGAGCCGACTGCGCCGGGAAATCGTCAACGAATTCGGCGATGTTAGGAAGCCTAATGGGGAAATTACACAAGCTAGATTGAAAGATCTGAAATATCTGCGCTATGTCCTGAATGAAGTTCTCAGACTGCAGCCTCCTGTTCCGGTCAATTTCCGCGTGGCTACGAAGGACACGTCCCTGCCTGTTGGTGGGGGCCCGGACAAGCGCTCTCCTGTTTATGTGCAAAAGGGACAAATGGTGGCATACAATGTGTTCGCCATGCACCGTCGAACGGACTACTGGGGCAAAGATGCGAGAATTTTCCGACCGGAGCGGTGGGAGGAGAATGCGAAGCATGGTTGGGAGTATCTTCCTTTTAACGGTGGTCCTCGGATTTGCCTTGGTCGTGAGTTTTCCGCAATAGCATAGCACGAGATCCGATGCTAACTTGATTCGTAGAACAATATGCTCTTACTGAAGCCAGTTACACTGTTGTCCGACTCATGCAGAATTTCGATACGGTCGAGAATGCGGATCCGAATCCCCGCCAGGAGCCGATTAAGAATTCTAACTTGACTATGATGCATGATCGTGGTGTTCCGGTTAAGCTGTATGCGTCGGAGAAGATCTGAGTATGACAGTACTACTAGTAGTAGATTTATGTCGTCACGAATCACATTGAGGTTTCTTCATTTTATTCTAGCTGAACACACCAAGCAATATAGCGAAACTGAGGGAGTCTCGAGACCATAAGTGGTTGTTGTAAAGAATAGACAGCACAGCCACGCGAGACATTATCCCCTGGGCACAGTCACAAAGCAATTCTCCTTCGCCAGGCCTAGTATACTAGTACATACATACTATAGACCTACACACAAAATAGAATAGTTTCTGTCCAAGTTCGAATAGGAGAAGCTTGTGCTCTAAAACGCCCCCATCTATCGAACTTGAACTCATGAAGGACGCTGTGAACAAGGTTCCAAGGTTCTCAATAGTGTCACGCCAAATTTCGGTGGAATACTGGTAGTAGAGAGGATAACTGGCAATCTCACGCCCGAAAGAACGACTCGGAGGAGCAGCGGGTAGGTCAGGTGAAGTAGGCGCAGGAGGCGCAGGAGGAGCAAGTGAACTTGGAATGAGCCCTGGAGGCGTAGGTAGTTGTTCTATGCCTATTTACTATTTACCTACCAAGGTAGATCCGAACATGTTTTCGCTGATCGTACCTATCTACTGCTAGTAGTACGTAGATGAATATTGATAATATCAACCAGATGATCTCCGGATGCGGTGGTTGAAGGAAATCACCTGGGCATGCAGGTGCGCTGATTGCTTTTTCTAGAAAATATTGACAGAACGTCGATACATATATAGCCAAAAAAGAATATCCAAGAGAGAGGAAAGGAAGAATAAAGTAGAGAGAAGAGAAATAGAGAGATAAAGAAAACTGATCTAAAGTGATACACCCACTCCGTGTATCCCTCTCAGCAGGAAGAAAGAGAAGGAAGGAAGAGATGAAAGAAAGAGAACAGTGAGATAAAAGAGAAACACCCACATTAACAGTGGGTGAGTGACATTGAATGCTCATTTTGGAATTAATAAAGAATAATAAGAGCAAAGTGGAACAGACTCATAGTCTATGGGAACACATAACATGCATGATCGGGAATAGTAAGGTGGTACGGCATTAACTTAAACGGCACTTCACGGAGCGGAGATTCGGGATGAGCAAGTCCAGCATCAAGAATCAAGAGTATCTTCAACTCATTCGGTTATCAAACGATTGCGAAAATTCGGGGGTTCAGGGACAGCCGGGCGAGGATCAGAAGGGCAGCGCCGAGGAGGAGGGTGGACCCGGAGAACATGGCGATAGAGAGCCAGCCATGCTTCGAGACGAGCTCTCCGCTGATGGGAATGTTGGCCATCGCGCTGTAGAACAGTCAGTAAGGTTTGGTACAGCCACACAAGCGAGGGGATGATACGTACGAAAGGGCAGTTGATCCCACGACGGTGCCAATGGCAAGGCCCATGGTGTGTCGGCTGGCAACCTGTGCGGCGCAGGCCTGCTGGAGCGAAAGAATTCCCTGTGCGGTCATGAGCGAATGCTAAGAAGGAAAAGAGGAGAGTGACTTACACCAGAGGCAAAGCCGTAAGCAGCGCACCAGATGACCAGGCCCGCGACGGATGTCACCTTGGTCCAACACATGGCGATGATCCCGGCCAGGAGGTTGGAGAGGATGATCAAGTTGAATTTACCGTATTTATCGGCCAGCACGCCGGGAATCACTCGGCCAAAGAACGAGGCACCGTTCACAATGGAGATCGTGTAGAAGGCAAGGGTGGAAGAGAATCCCTTCTGGATCGCATACGTAGTGATGTAGAAGAACGGGCCAAACATTCCGAAGTAGGTGAAGAACAGAGCCAGGCAAAGGAGCAACATCGCCGGCTTCTTGAACAGCTTCTTGCGTTCCTCCTTGAGGTCAACGTTTTCTTCTGTGACTGCGGCCTGCTTTTCGGAAGCCTCTTTAGCATGGTCCACGCGGTTCTCTCTTCCAGACACCTCCGTTTCGGAATCACTAGTTGCGATGGGGCGTTTTGGGGCCGGGACTGGGGGAGCAGACGGTGCACTGGCAACTGCGCAGGGCAGAATGAAGAGGGGAATCATAATGAATGCACAAATGCGCATGGTCCAGGGGAAGCCGAGACTGTGGTTCTTCATCATCTGGTCGATGGCAATGGGCCACACAATTCCACCAAGAGAGGAGCCACCGAGGACAATACCCATGGATGCGGCTCGGTTCTTCGCGGTCACATTCTTAGCGACGAGGGCCAGCATTGGCCAGGAGACCAGGGACATGGAAATGCCGAGCAGAACACCTTGGCAGAGGAGGAACTGCCAGAATTGTTTGCAGAGGGAGATCATCATAATACTGAAGACCATGCCAATGGCACCGGTGCAGGTGAGGAGCTGGAAGTAGGAAGGAGCCCGGAAGTCAGCTTCTATGCGATTATATATATAATGAAGTCTTGAAGTGGAATAGCGAGACTCACCTTTGGACCAAAAATGTCCATGAGAACACCAGCAATGGGGGAAATGCCAAAGAAAAACAGAACTGCAATGGCACCCAGCCATGCGATAGTCGATAGATTGCCATTTGCAACATTAAGGCCACCATGAGCCTTGTCGACGCCGTAGATTTCTTCAAAGACACCGAACGAGTTCATGAAGCCAACGGTGCAGAACAGACTGGTCGATGCACCGGTGATGATCAGCCAGGCGCGGGCACTATAGAAAACATGTTAACGAGAACTGGGTCAGAATTGGGGACAAGCATACTTGGACTGGGATGGGGGATCGGTAGTGTTGGCCATGGCGGGTAAATGGGGGGGGTGAGTAGATGAAGTTGAGTGGAATTGGAAGTAGAAGGGGAAGATGGGATTGAAATAGAAGAAGGGAGTTGTAGAGGAAAAGACCGAGAGAGGAAGTAGGTGACCTTGAGGAGCAACCAAGACCAAGACTAAGTACTCATCGTTCCTGCTGAGACTTTTGGTATACATCGGAGCCTCCGCGGAGTGGGTCACATGTTTGGGCCTGATCAGATAAGGGTAGTATGGAGAATACCATTAATACTGTATCACGCGCGCCCACGCGTGATAGCCTGCACTGGTTTTGGCCTAGCTCTGTACTATCTCGTACCACCACAATTCACAACGGATATCAGCACGGAGTCTCCGGTCTTCGGTCTTCGGTCTTTTGTCTTTTCTCTTCTTCTCCGACTCCGATAATTCCCCCGAACGACAACATCACCCTGAGACAAACATTAACTGCAATTGACCCCTTCGCCTTCTTTCTCCACCCCGCTGACGACCCGGTCACTTTTCTATGCTCAGCAATACTCAGCCTTCAGCCCTGCTTCTGGTCCGTCTTTATACCATTCGGCCCCACTGCCAAGATGAAGCGTAAACCCTCCCCCGGAATGCATCCAACCACTGGCACTGGCACTGGCACTGGCGCCACCAGAAAACAGCCCCGACAAGACCCTGTCTCATGCGAATCATGTCGCAAAAAGAAACTCAAATGCGATCGAAACCAGCCATGCAGTAGTTGTTCTGCCCGGAAACTCATCTGTAGCTATGGAAGCTATGGCCATGGAGCCTCCAGCCCCGGAGTGAAACCAGACAGCCAGTCGGAGGAGAGGCCCACCCATTCCAATGCCAATACCGATGCCGATCCCAGAGCTATCTTTCCGCTGGCATCCTCATCCGTACAAGGACAGCCCCAAGAAGGTCGACCACACTCAAGACATGACCGGAATGAGCCCCTCGTCACGGCCGACTGGCTGGAGACTATTGTCATGGCGCATCGAGTCCCTTCCGCCGCCCCAATCCCCATACGAGGTGGATTGACCCATCACCAACGACCTGAATTTCCCCAGCCATGTCCAAGCACCATATCCGGCAACCTTCTCACTCTCGTCCGCGGCGGTCGCATCGCTTCAAATGAAAACCCCGCCAACATCCATCTTCCCGCCTTGTTGCCCTCCGAGACCGAAGCTCTGGGCCTGTTGGCATTTTATTTCAACCACCTCGACTACCAGTATCATTTGATAGTCGCTAGTCGCACGAAGCGAGACATCCATGCCATCTATGAAAGTGCAGCTAGAAATGAACCGGTCAATTTGAACCATCTTGCTTTACTGTTTAGTATCATCGCCTCCGCCCTCTTCTACCAGCTTCTCCCCACCGAATCCGCAGAGTTTGCCGAGATATGTAGTTCAGAGATCGCATTCCTCGCCGGTGCCGCTCTGATCCAGGCTAATTACATCGCATATCCCACCATCGAGGGCCTCCAGGCGACCATGATAATCGCTCATCATCTCTCCAGTAATACCCTCAGCCCGTCTGTGAGCTCCTTCTTCGTCCATGGCGCGCTGGTTAGTCAAGCCAAAGCCCTGGGACTCCACGCGATGGACAACGCATCGCATTTAGAGGAACGAAAGCGAAACGGCTACGATAGAACGGAAGTCGAGTTAAAGCGAAGGCTATGGTGGGACCTGGCCTCGTACGACTGGTAAGTCAGCATCCTTTTCGATCACCGCTCTACGCTGTCGATTTCCATCCCATATGCTAACCCATTGTCACAGGTTAATCGGATTCCTCAGCGGCCCGCAACAATGGACATACACAATCCACCCCAACAACATGCACGTTCGCAGACCACTGAACATCGAAGACGAAGACCTCGACTCCAACGAAACAGGACACCCACTATCAACCCCAACATGCATGTCATACACCCACTCCCGCCTACGCCTAGCGGAAGTATGCCGCGAAATCGTCGAAAAAGCCGGACCCGAACATCTCGACGGAGTAGAAGTCGCCTACGAAAAGATCCTCGAACTAGACAGGAAGCTACACGACGCGCACGCCGAACTCCCCGCCTACTTCCGCTACGATCAGACCGCGCGCCGGGAATACAGCGATCTCTACCGCGATCGACCGGCAATCGCCTGGCAACGCGCCTTCATCCAGCAAGGCTTTCACTCCCGTCTTTGCCGTCTGCACCGTCAGTATTTTGTTCGCGGGGCCAGAGATCCGCGATACTCGTACTCGCACGTCGTTTCCTTACAGTCTGCGCGGAAGGTGTTGGAGGTAAAGCGGATAATGGACGAAGAAGAACCATTCTTCTCGCCGAATAGCTCTTTCTTCTGGGCGGTTATGCATCACGTCTTCATGGCGGCGGTCATACTCCTCATCGACGTCTGTTTCAACTGGGACGATATCCTCGCCGAAAAGAGGAAGGAAGAGGTACTGAGTGCATGCCGGATGCTCAGCCGCGCACAGCAGTCGTCATCCGTCGCGCGAGAAGGCATCAATGCCATGATGGGTATTCTCCGAAAACACTGGAAACAGGAAAAGCGACTCGCTGCACAGACTGAGTTGTCGGGGAGTGGGTCCGATGGAGCATGCTCCTTCAACACGCAGCCCCAGCCCCAGCCCCAGCCCCAGTTCCAGTCCCAAGTCATGATGCCGACGTCGACCATGCATGGAGTTGGAGCCAGGGCCAGCTACCTCTCCCCATCCCAGCCCTTCCCCCTTCCTACGCAGAATTACGAGGCAGTGAACCCAGCTGCCTACATTCCACTGGAGGACTTGTGGACGGAGATGCTGGATGGAAGTGCCCAGGCTGGCCTAGATACACCCGAGTGGATCGAGATGCTAGCAGAGCTGAATAATACAACAGGGCCCTGCGAGTGAAGCGGGCACGGCAGTCTGTAGCTGCCACTTTGCAGTAAGTACCTACTTCCCTACTGGCTATCGCCGTCTATAACATCACTCTTATCTCTACTCTGTAATATAGACAAAGTTGCGCGGCCTACAGGTTAGGCTTCATTAATGCCAATGAAATAGAATAATTAACTTTCTAATGAATATCATTTTTGTGGTGATTGAATGGGACCTTTTGTATGGTAATGGTATGCTGGACGGTGTAAAAGTAACTAAGGAAGGAGCACGCAGTCTTCGTGTACATTTGGACACTCCTGTAAATCGTACTCAGGATGAGTATTTCTGGCAGTGCCCTTATTGAGTAAGACCCCATCCATCCAACCCAGCTAAACCACACGGACTAACACTAACCCTACCGCACCTAGACACGAGTCCTGACGGGTCAGCCATCTCTAATGAAAAAAAATTGATGCCGCATCTTCTACTGAACCGATGGTCGCCCATACGGTTATTTGAGTGGTGTTGCAGGACAAAAGGAATGCAGAAGCGCTGAATGTTGAAACCAACCAATGTAGAAAAAATCATCTCTCATCGATCATCGCGGTCGCTCTATCTGGAACTGGATGGTTGCTTGTATTGTTATGGTGTTTGCGCATCATCTGTGCTTAATTCCGTCTGTCTCTTCTTGCTCTTCTCCTCAATTTCTTTTCTTTTCTTGTCTGCTACCACACATCACCTGCTCTTTGTATCTTGCTCTGCGAGTGGCTTTTGAGTAATGGGATTCACTTGTTTCTCTACTGCGGGCCTGTGGGGCAGGCTTATCCTCATCCCAAAAACGAGGTTTCATTTCCATGTCAGCCTCATCACATGATGTCTTGTTTACTTTCAGAATTGACCCCACCACGCTGACAGCTTCACCTTACCATTTCACTCGTTCAAATGTCCAATCCAATGTCTTCCCCTCAGCCAAACCCAACAATCCAATCCCTCGCCACCCGCATCAAAACCGGCCAAATAACCCGCATAGTCGTCCTAACAGGCGCAGGAATCAGCACATCAGCCGGAATCCCCGACTTCCGATCCCCAACAACAGGCCTATACGACAAACTAGCACCACTCAACCTACCATACCCAGAAGCCCTCTTCCACATAAGCTACTTCTCGCACTCACCAGAACCATTCTACGCCATCGCCCGCGCACGCCACCCGGCAAACCTCAAACCAACTCTCTCCCACGCATTCCTAGCCCTACTGGCCAAAAAGAATATACTCCACTTCCTCTTCACGCAGAATGTCGACAACCTGGAAGAAAAAGCCGGTATTCCGGCTGAGAAAGTTCTCGCTGTCCATGGGAGTTGGAAAAGTCAGCATTGTTGGACGTGCAAGGCTTCATACCCGGATGAACTTATGGAGAAAGCCATCAATGCCGGCGAAGTCCCGTACTGTCTGGAAGCAGGCTGCGGTGGGGCGATAAAGCCAGACGTGGTGTTCTTCGGCGAGAATTTACCGTCTGCATTCGATGAGAAGATTCACCTTATATCCGAGGCGGAGTGCATGCTTGTTTTGGGGACTAGTTTGCGGGTAGCGCCTTGCTCGACGATACCGAGACAGATAGCAGCTGGTGTGCCCAGGGTGTTGATTAATATGGAGAAGGCGGGGGATTTGGGCTCCAGGGAGGATGATGTGCTTCTTTTAGGGTCTTGTGATGAGGGGGGTTTGTCAGTTTGCGGATGCGCTTGGGTGGAGGGATGAACTGGAGGATCTTTGGCGGGAGGTTGGTGGTGCTGAGACTAAGCCGGAGTCAATGGATGGTCCTGATTTGGATGCTTGTATTGCGAAGGCTGCGGAGCAGATGGATGCGAGGTTGGGAATCTCACAGGGTCATAAGAGGATGTTGGAGGGTCATCTTTCTGATAAGTTTGCCAAGATGATGGCTGATCGGGCGGAGTGATGTACGGCATCGGCTGGATGTACAGAATGAGAACATACAGAATAGCCGCCTCCCAATATTTTCTATTTTATAGGAATCGCAACGACCACTCCGGACTCAGAGGTCTTTACGGACTCGGAACTAACACCTTTTTATATTCTCAATGATGCAATCATGATGGGATGACAGCCGCGGGTTGCAATCCATCCGAGTCCATCTACAAGCCTATCCCGCTCGTCCAGTCTGAGGTTGTCCCCAAGCTTCAAGCTTCAGGCTTCGGACCCCTCTCCAGACCTTTCTTACAAGAACAAAAAACTACCAACTCCCACCTCCTCCACCAAAATGGTCTGCCATCCAGAAAATCCCCTCCCACACATCCACCGCTACATAACAACCCACAGCACAGACGGCGAAGCCGTCTTCGTCTCCCACGCCCAAGTACCAGACTACATGCCCAGCACACCAGCAGGCACAGACGGAGAAATCGCCCTGTTATACTCAACAACCTCCACACCAGCAAATACATCCGACGAAAGCGACATTGCAATGTACGACGAATTCCTGCACCAGCCTCCGGGTATAACGGTTGAGAACGGGACTGTGTTTCGGATGATTGATTTACGGCCTGGCAAGGTGACGCCGATGCATCGGACCGTTAGTCTTGATTATGGGATTGTGGTTGAGGGGTGTGTTGATCTTGTGCTGGATTCGGGGGAGACGAGGAGACTGGGCCGGGGAGATGTTTGTGTTCAGCGGGGGACGGCGCATTCGTTTCGGAATGTTGATCGGGAGAGGTGGTCTAGGATGTTGTTTGTTTTTTTGCCGATGCGTAGGGTTGTTGTTAAGGGGAGGGAGTTGGAGGCGGAGGTTTATGATGAGGGGTTTGACAAGGACGATGGAGATGGGGAGGGGAAGGGGGATGAGGGGGGTGGTGGCGATGCTGATAGATATGGAGATGGAGGTTGAGGTTGAGAGGGATTGTGTTATGTTCTGCTGGTGGATTTGGATAGATATGTGCGATTCTGGGATGATATCTACACTTTGCAGGAAGATCATGATACTTCTTGATGCTCCGTATGTAATACTAGTAACCTCGTGTATTTCTCTCCTCCGAGTCTTCAGATCTACCCTACTACACAAGGGCTCGGAGTATGCCACTTCAACTCATTTTACCGTGATTTCAATCTTGGATTTGTCTTTTTCAAAGCTGGTCAGTCCTCAATCACTGGCAGATTTCACTGCTGGGAATACATACAGAAAGCAATGTGATCCTTGATGTTCTTCGCCTTTTCGTACGGCTCTGCATAGTACCACGCTGCATCTTCGACACTTGTATCTATATGTCTCTGTCAATATGTGATCTCCAACCAACTTGATATTGATACCCAATCAAGTTCGGGTATTTCTCACCTGCCGTATTGATGCGGTAGTAGTTTGCAGTTCCTTTCCATGGACAAAAGGTCGTGCTATCTGTCTTGACGAAGACGGCGTTATCCTGGATAGAAGAGCGTGGGAACTGAGTTTGTCAATACTGATAGTCCCATAGTATCTCTAGCTGCCTGAGTTGGAATCTGGGCTGGAATGGATCATATCATACGTAGATGTTCCCTTCGACTTCTTCCCAGCTGGAGGCCGAGGCCAGAACGAGATCGCCTAGCTTAGCTTCGGCGGTGGTCATTTTTGCGCTTTTGACTGTACTTCTTCTAGTTGGTGTTCTTCAAGTTCGTCGTTGGCTATCGGTGTGATGTTTGAGGTGTTGTTGAGAGATAGCGTCACTGCGGGGAAGTGCCGATCCCTGTCTTCCGAGTCGGTCATCATTCGGGTTAATGATACATTCGGTGAGCTTATGACTTGATGATGCTTGCTCATATTGAAAGATTCATAATAAACCTTTTACTTCAATATTGCAATCCGAACGTCCAAGGTTGTGTATCGATTTGATAGAGCGAGTGTTGGTACCTTGATGCCCTGGTGCCTCAGGCCACAATGTAGATTACCTCATGCTACAGATAGAGAATCCGCCAATTAATTTCCGCGTTTCAGAAGGAAATCCTTCATCCTTCGTGGATTCCATTTCCTAAGAACTTCGCACATTCGGCATTTATCCAATTTAACACCGAGCCTTACACCTGGCAGCCCCAGTTTTCCTCAATTTGTCAGCCAGGGGTAGGGGCCGCCAAGCACGCAAGGCTGCAAGGCCACACTAAACAAGCAAAGTCCGACATTCAGCCCCAATATTGATCAGCAAAAAACAGTCCATTTGGGTAAGTATCTGTTATGATCCATTCTATCGCCCCATGATGATAAATGGAAGATTATCAATCAATTTAGAGCTACACGGCTTCGGAGGACTATAAAAGCCACGGACAATGTATTCATTGAAAAAGTACACAGGAAAATCAAAACACTTCAAACAAGTTTCCAATCCTCCAGCCATTTCCGTTTCCAAAATGGACACCCCAATCCGCCGCATAATCGCCGAACACGACAAGAAAGGCAAAGCCTCCTTCGTGACCGATGAATACCTTACCCCCTACGACCCCAAAACCGCACCAGCCTTCACAACCCCAGACTCCAACTCGGGCTTCGGCGTGATCCAAATCCACCGCTCCCGCAGCTTTCCCGCAGATAATATGCTCCAGCTCCCCGATCCACACAAGACTCTCGTCCCACTGGCCGATACAAAGGGGCCCTCTTGTCGAATTATCGATCTCCCACCTGCTGAAGCGGGGTGGATGCATCGGACCCTGAGCCTGGACTATTTTGTCATCTTGACCGGCACGGTGGGGTTGATTACGGATGGGGGTGTGGAGAAGATTCTGCAGCCGCATGATGTTGTTGTTTGTCGGGGACGAATCATGAATGGGTTAATCGGGGAAAGGAAGTTGCTAGGATTTTTGGCGTTGTTGTGCCCAGTCAGGAGGTTGTTACAGAGGATGGGGTGAGGTTGGAGAAGACGCCTGCTGGGCCGATTTATGATCCTGAGGAGGAGTGAGATGGATCTGGTGGATGTGCTTGGAATGTCCATATGGGAATTGTTCAGTTTCATTTGCTCCGGCGTGGCGCTCCATAGAGGCAAGGGGATATACTGGAAATTCGAGGGTAATGGATGATGGGGGTCTTAGAGGTCATTTGTACCTGTAGAATTCCGGTTCATAGTTTTAGCAGACAATAAACTAGTATGATCGATCTTCAGAACATACCCGATAATATAGTTACATCATGCTTCTACCATTCCGCTTCGCTCCCCGAGGTCCGACTTGCAAAAAGTGACCCTACACCCGCCGATTCTGCCCTGTTGGCATTTCCATTGTGTATTCCAGCCCATAATCCACTCCATTATACCAATTACCCTCGCTGCTACCCCGGAAACAAATTTTACAAGTCACCTGCCTCAGGCATCAGCTAACCGCACCTTCCTCGTTTACATTACAACTTCATCCCAAAGTGGAAGATCGTTTCTTTGTACACAATGGGTTCACGTGCTCAAGTAGACACCTTCTTCCACTCGGCACCTTCTTTCCTTCAAAACGGCGAGGCTGACTTCAATGTCGCGTTGGGCATAATCAGTGCGTTTGTTGTCCAGAAACCACCAACATCGCGTGGATATCAACGTTAAAGCTAATTCTCCTTCCAAATTCTAGCAACCTGTGGTAGGCACCTACTGCTACCTCTTTCTTCAGAATTTGTCCTTCGATTCCCCCAGAATGTGTCTGGGGACATTTTGGATAGTTATACGAAAGGTGCGGTTAACAATTCCAATGTGTTTCCCGCCAGTGAGATCGAGAAGTTAGGCAAACCCGCGACAACAGAATGGAGCGTTACAAATTCCACGAGTTGCGTTGTAACGCGTACGACCTCACGCCAGTTCCTAATGTGGGCTGTTCCGGGCTGATCGCCTTGGGCAAATAATGGAAAATCTTGTCAGGCTACGAGACAGGCTCTAAACACTTCATCTAAAGCTTTAGGCTGTGGAAATAATTTCTCCTCCCTAGCAAAGCAGGGTGCAGGCTGGCTGGTGGCGTTACGGTACACTAGTGAGGTGAGCGGCTTCAGCCTCAACCCCGCTCAGGAGTTAGGCTAGGTAAGCAGCGCAGTCCCACCATCCGCAGTTGCCTCATCCTGAATTTTGTCTATTTTGACACCACCTCGTTCTTAATGTTACGGGTTTGTATAATCCTTCGCTCTACGTTGGCTCTCTTCTGTAACTACGCCATTTAACACCGTATGGAATAACTGAACCTGAACACAATATGGAACAACCCGAGGCCTCGAGAGCCGTCTTTCATAAATACCTGCGCGCCTTCTATCCTTTTCATTCCACAGAATATGTCTCTCCACCGACGATCACCCTTCCATTAGATCAGGGCAATATCATCATGGTTCACTCCGTTCACACCAATGACTGGGCCGACGGAACCTCGTTAGATTCTGGGAATCGAGGCTGGTTCCCTACCAATTATTGCGAAGAATATGATCAACTCCCTATGCGCCCCTTGTTGAAGGCACTGAAAGTCTTTTGGGACACTATCCTAGATGGATGTGGCTCATCAACAAAGGATTTCGGTAATCAAGACCTGATGCGAGGCCTCATTTCTGGTGTTCGTTTCCTTCTGGAAAAGTCTGAGTGCTTAACTAGAGAAGCACTCCTCGTCAAGAACCATGATGGGCTTCGCCGAATCCGCAAGGCCTTGCTTTCTGATCTTTCATCGCTCGTCAAGACCGCCAGAAGGTTTCAAGATGTTGCTAATGACGCGCCGGCGGAGGATGAGGTTGAGGGTATTCTGGATGAGATGCTCCTCAAAGCTTTCAAGATTGTCACCCGTGGTGTTCGCTTCCTCGATGTCTGGGACCAGGAGGTTGGTCTAAGTAGGACAGTTGCAGAGATGGAGGCGGCAGGTACCCAATACGATCTGCCCCCAACGCCAGCATCCGCGACATTCTCCTTGGCTGACCCTGCCCCGACTTCCGATACTTGCACCGGACGAAATGAGTCTCGGCAGATGAGCCCCAGTCGTATGGACTTCAGCGGCACGTCGATGCGAACCGAGACACTGGATCAGCAGTCTCGTCTCATGTCTATGTCGACAAAGAATGTCCCGGTATCCCACCAGGTCTCGCTTTCTGGTCCCTCGTCAGCCGTTCGTGCGCAGAATCTTGTGTCGGAGCGTCTGGGGACCTCGTATGATGCTTTTCTAGGTGTGTTGGGAAGTTTCATTGGCCTTCACATGCAGTCACACTCGTCAACTGAGCTGGCAATAACCACCCAGCAGGCCGTGCAGTCTTGCTGGACTTTTCTGAATGCGATCGAGGCCATCTGTGGGCATGATGCCCAGCGAAGTGCGCTCCTGAATGAGGCACGTAAGTCGATGAATGAGAATCTCATAGAGCTGGTCCACGCCGCGGGAGACGTGTTCCGGCCTGCCAAATCTCACGACGATGACCTGGTCTTCATGCCAGATGAGGGGAAGCGAATGGTTGTCGCTGCAACGGATTGCGTCCGCGCCGCTGGTAATTGCCTGGCCAAGGCTCGCCTGGTGCTGGAGCAAATCGGCGACATCGAATTAGACCCTGTCCAGGAGGAAACCACCACCGACCAGGACGTGCTAGGCATTGTCACCTCGCAAGCGTCCCCTGACACGCCGACTGACCAGGAGAAACCGCAAGAGCTCCCACGTAGTCTTTTCCCTCCGCCTCTCACGATTCCAAGCTTGCCCAACTCGCCATCCATACCTGGCCTCACGGAACAAATTAGCGACATCGAATTAGACCCACAAAGCCTAGAAAGTCCCATATCACTGAATCAATCAGATGCCGTGGACTTTTCCTTGACTAAACCACTCAGTGTGGACCAAAATTTCTCTGCCACAATAGGGTCGGTGTCTCAATATGCGTCCGAGCGAGTATTTTCTGCAGGTCAACCTTCCACTCTAGACAGTCAAAATGCCTTAACAGCCCCGACAGCTGCCACGACACCAACATCTTCAGAATTGGAGTTGGAGACAGAAGATCTTCGAACAATATATTCCGATACCTTGACCGTGGATGCCTCGATCAAAGATAGTTATGTTAATGAGCTCGCTCATGAGCTTTTCAGAGTCATATCTACCTTCCGATTAGACTCTGCATCCATCAAGCGCGTCGCTGATGCCATGCCTGGCTGCCTAAAAGCCTTTTCATTGAGACTAGGGTGTACTAGCTCATCGCAACAGGTCCAGCGAGACGTGACTGTGTTCATTCACAAATACAGATAGTAAGTTCTTGGATATCGCTTTCGGGCGGGGTCTTAGTATGATATTTCTGGCTGACAATCTTTGTAAAGTGAAATAGTCAATGCATTGAATAATTCACTGGACAGTCCATCCACAGAAACAGAGTCCATTGTGCATGACAATATGCCACTGGATGAGAAGTTGCAACTCTGGTTGAGACATGAGGCGGACTTTGCAAGTGATGATGAGGCTGATCCTTTCGAACCCCTTGAGCTTCTCCTCCCACTAATCGAAATAGGCGAGGAATCCAATCCCGATGCTGACCCTGTCATGCCAGAGCTACAGAAATATCGCGAGTGTGTTCTCGAGACCCCAGCGTATGAATGGCTCCTTGGCGATATTCAGAGACGTTGTCTTCTCGAACCATCAAATCCAGATATAATGGCAAACATTGCCAGTGCAATCTTGCAAGCTCTACCGTCCCAGCTCTGCCTTAGCAGACGAGAATCTGTGCCGTCTTATAGAATCACATATACTTTGGACTGGGACTTGCTTTCCTTCCTGGAGGATCAGGAATACAGCGAGGGCAATGCTGAAGCGCTCCCTCTAGTCATCACACTCACTGGCTCACGCGAAGCAGCCCAGGCGCTGACTTGCGCACAATATCTTCATCAGACGTGGCCATCTTCTGCAGGAAAAATGCTTCAGTTACTGCAGGCTTTGTTAAGAATCAGACCAGGGGAAACGGCCGCGGGTAAACCATCATATCGAAGGGGGCATTTATCTTCTTGTTTACTAATTGGCATTTAGGCAACCTGCCTGATGGTACAAATCTTGTCGCTTGGTTCCATCCTCCCGAGGCGTCAAAGAGTCCCAAGACCGTGTTTCAAGTCGTGGGCTCCGCCTATTCAATTGCCGAGGTAGGGGAGCAGCTCTCCTGGCTAGGATCAGCTCTTCGTTCTTCATGCCAGCCTGATCAAGTCGTATATTGTCAACCTCAAGTTAGCAATATGACAACAATTCCTAATCAAAGTCAGGGTGGCAAGAAGCAGAACGCTACCGAGTTCAGCGCAGATATATTGTTTGCAATGAAGCATGTGGAACCTTTTTCCAAAGTCAACGGAGAGTGCTGGCACGATCTTTTTCGAAGCGGTGTGGTCGTTGAAGGCTTCCCAATATCCCGACGACCTGAAGTAGGGACAGTGAAAGGTCTTGATATTCTACTTCCTATGATGGCTCGCCTTGCACAAGCAAATTATGTGAACACCTTTCTGGGGAGTGTGGTCATCAAAGGATTTTCTTCCATGCTTATCCCAACTGAGAATCATAAAGAGATGATTGTGTGGCATTTGGTTCACAACAGAAACGGCGATCGAATATCATACCTCGACAGCACAGCGCTTCCTGTTCAAGAATTGTCACCCTCTCTGCTATCACAGGCCCGTCACATTCTAGGCTGGTGTACAAGTGTAAAACATCTTGCAGGTATGATTTGTCGAAATCTCTATGCTTCTTCTACTAACACGCATAACTTTTTAGGCACACGAGATGCAGCGTATGGCATATCAGGCTCCCATCTTCCAAGGCTACGTGATGATGGACTTCTCAGCCAGGCGTTCATTTATAATGGACAGATGATAAAAAGCGGTGCAGCCTTCTTAGTGGGGTACAAAGATACCCCACTTCATGTTTCTAGAGGTGGTTACCTTCGGAAACTGAGATGGTTCGTCCAAAAGTCCGTTGTCCTCTGGGACGAAGAAGCAAAGCGAGGGTGGTTACTGAATGGAGCGAGCGCCCTCCTGCATCTCGTGCGTTCCTCGATCCTGCATGATATCAAGGGACCCTTCAGTTCAGAGTGTCATTTCAAGTGGGAAAATTTTGAAGAGGGAACGGTTGATCCAAAAAACGCGTCCGAGTTTGCTATTGCGGTTCTTTTGAACCACAAGAATCGGGCCCTCACGATCTATGAAGGCAAAGACGATCACGTCAAGTTTGAAGATCGAGTTACACATTTCTTGAATATTTTTGAGCAGATATTCGATTACCAGGTACATGCTGCCGGGCCAGATGGTAGTGGATACCGTACGAAGGCTATTTCCAGAGCCCATTTCGAAGGCTGGGACTTTCACGATCTCGCCACAGAACTAGACCCGCTCCATCCACGACGAGCGACCTTTGAGTCCAAGGGAAAGGCATGGGTTGATTTCACACGGTCAATTCACGCAATCAATCTTCTAGGCCGCAATTTTGGTGAGATTCTGGCACCGTCGGACATATCCTGTTCACACTGGGCTTCACTTCCCAAGGATCAGTACTATCTGGCCGTCGGGATATCAGATCTAAGGATGGTTCTTGAATATACGGGAGACCTCACGACAAATCCCATACGTCTGAGTGAGAATCTCGTATGGCACAACTCAGATACGGTCTTTGAACCATGTGGCTGCGCTGGTACCACCGCAGATCACGCCGATATAGTACAGGTGATATTTCCAGACACGCTATCAGCTAATCTAGAGACCTGTTCTCATACTGCCAACTTATCACACCATGGAGCAGTTGTCTTTGGATGTAATCGTAACTTCCAGTGGCGATGGGGTGATACCGGAAATCCTGAAAGGGACGAAATCACGAACTATCAAAGAACCCCGCTTGCCCGAACCATTGAGATCAAAAGCACGAACGCTAGCTCACTTTCGATGGGCTCTGGCAGTGATGTCCTTGACCTATCCAGCTCCCAAATCGATTCAACGTCCACAGAAATCTCTATCGACAGTGCAGCCGTGGAGAATGAGCCAGTGTGCCCAAAGCCCCTTGTCCGATCTTATACCAGGTGGCGATTGGAGTCACTCAAACCCGAGGACTATGCTGTTGGTATTGTGTGTGCGCTACCCTTAGAGCTCTTGGCGGTTCGCGCTTTATTCGATCAAACCCACCCCGATCTCCCTTTGTCTCCTGCGGATTCAAATCATTACGCTCTAGGCAGCATGGAAGGACACAAGGTTGTTGCTGCCTGTCTTCCAGACGGAGAGTATGGCACGAATTCTGCGGCGGATGTTGCAGCCAATTTGAGAAGAAGCTTTCTCTCGGTAAAGTTCTGCCTATTGGTGGGCATTGGTGGTGGTGTTCCATCGTCAAGGAACGATATCCGCCTCGGCGATGTCGTTGTTAGCAAGCCGAATAGCATGGGCCCCGGTGTGATTCAGTACGACATGGGCAAAGCCCTCGAATACGGCGAGTTTCAGCGAAGTGGATTTCTCCAGCCACCTCCTCGACTGTTAATGACTGCACTCAGCAGTATGAAATCTGATCCCGAGATATCGCAAGTTCCTCTGCAGGGCTACATTCAAGAAATCGCAGCTCGCAGGCGGGAGTACCGCTACCCTGGCCCAGAACACGATCGTCTATTCCCCAGCCATTATGTGCATGATGCCAAGCACGCCACTTGCGATTTTTGCAACGCAACATATGTCATCAAACGTCCCAGTCGATCAGACTATCGCCCGCAAATTCACTATGGCCTCATCGCATCAGGCAATCGAGTCATGAAAGACGCAAAACTTCGCGACAGGTGGAGTATGGAGAGAGATGTGCTTTGCTTCGAGATGGAAGCAGCGGGTATCATGAATACTTTACCTTGTCTTGTTATCAGGGGCATATGTGATTACTCGGATAGTCACAAGAACAAGCGCTTTCAGGGATATGCGGCGGCAACGGCTGCATCGTATGCGAAACTCTTGTTGTCCTATATGAAAGATAGCAGTGACTTATACGGGGCGGTGCTCCGGTCAACGAAGGAGGATAAAAGTCTTTTGGGTGTTTTTCGTAAGATTTTGTCATGAAAAGAGCGAGAATTTCCTAGGTTTGTCCGATTGGTTTTGGTTTAACTTGGTCGATTTAAGATTGCGGTAAAGAAGATAGAATCTCATTCGTATGTGCTACTTTGGCCCATAGCCGCTCCGACATATAAATAAATTAGTGAGACAACTCCCTCTGATCCTATCTCGGACTGTGCAGACTACTGGCTCGTTACTGCGTATCCCCTATCTATCGCTCAAATGACAAATCTAATTATATCAGTTATGACAATTGCACAACAACCGCTCAGACAAACGGAATTTCTGTTTCCGACTTGAAGACTTGGAAACCTTCTCTGAAGTCAACTTGCAGTGGACTTAACTCGGATACTTACATATGCGTTGGAGTACCCAGCAACGATACTTGCTCATCGACAATCGCTGGAACCACCACCGATGGGTCGTGTCAATCCAGCACCTCCCTGCCACAGCAACTGCGACAACCACCTCTACTAGCATAGCCACTCCATCGCCCATTCAGTAAACTTCAATGGGATATTGTAAGCCCGCACAGTACTAACACAAAAAAAGACTGGAATGACAAGTGGCTATATAAGATTCTACAAGGTTGAGACAGACAATGACTGTTATGAAATCGCACAAGATGCGGGTGTAACACTCAAAGACTTGTATAGCTGGAACCCTGCCTTGAATGGAGGTTTTTCGGGTCTTCAAGCAAAGAATACGTTTGTATTGGGGAGACTGGCTATGCAACAACCATCACCACTGGCTCACCGGTCCCTGTCACGCCAACTCCTACCCAGGTAGGATTTAACGCACAAAACTTCATTCAAAGACAAGTTTCACACTAACTTATATCAGACTGGAATGGTGGACGGTTGCCTGGGGTTCTACGATGTCCAGAAGGACGAGGGGTGTGGCGATATAGCCTCCCGAGCAGGTATTGCTACATCGTAAGTTTCTTACTAGGCATATCCTGACTCATTTCCCTAGCTAACCTCATCATCACAGTGAATTTTATAGCTGGAATCCAGCTGTAAACACGGACTGTGCAGGTCTGCAAGCATCTGTCTTCGTTTGCATTGGAACTAGAGGACCTATCACCACAATCACCAGTGGAACTCCAGCGCCGGCGACAACTACCAACTAGATAGTACTTGATTTTTATTTCAATTTTTGTCTCTCCAGCATCAGACTTGTAATATATGTATGAGCTCATGAAATAAAGGGCCCTTACTGCTAGATTCATGTCTCATGCTTAAAGCCTACTGAATATCTCATGTACATTCAGTGAAGGTTAATCTATGATACCATTCCGTGTGCTTAAGCTCCCATATACTCTGAGCCTCGGCTCTCGGCTTTATTGCAAGTTGCCAATCAAAGGGCACGCATAATTGCAAGAACTTCCACTCTCGGCCCGTGGCGAGACGATCCCAAGGTCCCATTATCTCATTCAATTTCTCCTCGGTCATAGCATCCTTCGCTCTTTTCCAATTGAGGAAGTGAATTGTCAGTCGAAGCGACTGCACGGAGGAAAATTCATTCTCAAGAAGCCTGAAGAGAGCAGGGTAAACTGTTTCCCAGGCCTGTGCGTGTTGGCTACTACCAAGCCAAGAGTGAAATCCAATTGTAATATCCAGGGACTTAATAAGTCGCATGCAAATGGGTGACAACATTCTTGACAAGATGAATGGTGAGTCGATCCCTTCTCGTGGGACGAAAACATTTGTTCCATAAAGAACTTGCAGCGCTTCTTCGTACCTGATTTCAATGTAGTCAGTACAATAAACTTGAATTGCCAAGCCCAGCCCGACCAAGACAACATACCCAATTTGACAGCACCTCAGCCACTCAACACCCTCGAATTTTGTCCCGGGCGTTGGTCTCACTGACACCCCCTTCTGCCTCGCATTCCACCTCTCGTCGCCGCGGTCGGGACACGATTCAAGGTAAGTATCTTGAACAAAAGAGTCATTCTCCTGACAAACACTATGCCACCAGTCCCAGCGTTTGCCTCCCCGTTTCGTTGGCGGTTCAAAGGGAGACTGCAGCATCCACGCATATTCGATATGTACGCGTCGATTCCCCATCAATTCAATGTATATTCTCCTTCTCACTTCGGGGGGGTAGTCCAAAGAATCCACTCGCATGTTGGTCAGCGCGTGTCTGTTTACATGATATCAAGGACCTTTCTCCCGGAGCTGGAATTGGTAGTTTCCATCCATTAAATCGGTCTCCCTTGATTTCACACGTTAAGTCTGAAATTCCTATTGCTGTAGGCCAACTTGCCGACGGTCGATCGCGGTCATTTCTCTTTTTCTCTCGTTTGAAGAATCTTTCGAAAATTTTGGGCGCCATACTAAACAATCCTAATGTCGCACCGTTGGGAGATCGAGGGACCTTTATATAAGTGGGGGACGTGGCGTGTGGGGCTCGGTGCGTGGAGGTTTACCCTTCAAAGTTCCCAGCAATTTGCTACACCAAAAAAAAAAAAGAAAAACTTCCATTTTTAAGTGATACAAAATTATAGAAGATGCGCACATACTGACAGGTAAACAATTAATGATGATAAACTTTCTTTACATTTAATGCCCCTATTTATAATTTCATTTAATTAAGAATTGGTAAAAATCTTGAAGTTGGAGCCACCCGTGGATGTCTCCATCACCATGGAGAATGTCCTCAGGAAGAGGATTACTAGTACCTTCGATTATATAATTCAACACCTGACAATCAACACCAAAGCGCTACTAGTACATTCAAAATACTATCTTTCATAATTTTAGAAACGAATTCAAGTTTGGCCAGATTCTTCTAATTCAACATTGGAAGCTCTCAGGCTATTTGTAGACTTATGCTCAATCAGCAATTTATTTACATACTAGTATTTCCGAGTCGTCCACAATATTCATACATTTAATGATCACACAAGCGTAACCAAAGAAACCTAGGTCCAAGGCCAACTTCAGATACTTAAATGCACCTGCCAGCACATACGTCACCTGGCATACCGTGGCGTCTCGACACGTTGATGAGCTAAGGCTCACAGCTTCTTTTTTTTCATCGAATATCTCCCAGAATAATAGGAAATTGCTGGTTAAAGGTTAATATATCATATCATGCAAGAAAATACAAACTTGCGGGATTACATGAACGAAAAACCTATTCAAGAGTTTCGTGGCAGATATCCCTTAGATGCCACTCGTATCCTACTCCCTATCAGTCCCTAGGGTTTATGGTGTACCCAAAACTATTTCCACGGCCTGGAGGCCCGGCCTTGGCCGATATTCCACCTAAAACATGATTATTATTCGAGCCTACAGTCGATTGCCTTCTAAGACGATTCGAAGACCTCCTGGTGGGGGCACAACTTACTATTTGGTTAGTTTTCTGCTGCGCGCCCTGGAGGTAAATTATTAAAGTGCTATTGATAGTCTATTTATTCCAGTTATCCTGATTATCCGTAATTCCAGTTCAATTCAGTCTGGGCTGCTAAAATAAACTACCTAAATTTTCCACCACTGGCTTCTGTTTTGTCCCGTCATCCTGCTCATGATTGTGAAAGGACGAATGTAATGTCTTAATTGGTAGTTCAGTGCCCAACCCTCACTCCCAACGCGACATTGAGCGATAAGGGGACATTTATTCATTATCTACCCGTTGAACGAGAGCTGATAGTCTCAAGGTCCAAGGTTGGCTATTCTAGTTTCTTTGCCAGGTGGCTGAGGCACGGACCCACGGACCCATCCGAGATAGCTCTCTAGACGGCACAGCTGGCGATCTAACCCAATTACCGGCTTCCACAGTAGGTGAGAAAGTCAAGCCGGTGCTTCGGTTAGCGCCATCCAGATGTAGAAGGCCCCGGCTCGAGTCGGCCAAACCTTTCCGACCTCGGGATTCAATGCTAGTACTACTACTAGTAATCTATGTATATATGGTGCTACCAGTAATGGTACAGTGTGAACTAAACCGTGTGCATAAATAGAAGAGTCCAAACCTCTTGTACATACTACTTCGTCGCAACTACCAGCCGAGAGAAACTCGAAGATTACTAGTACTATAGGAACCGTTATCAGATTCACCACAGCAATGGCTTCCAACCCCCCTGGCAAATGCTGCTTCAAAGGAGTGAAACACGAGGGCTCTTCAAGCGGCAAGATCATCAAAATTGGCGAGATAGAGGCTTATGTTCAGTACCCCGACAACTCATCCACAGAACGCGGAATTCTTCTGTAAACTCTCAACCCACCTTTGGCCAATTGAGTATAATGACAATGGACTAACTTTGATGACAATAATCCAGGCTGACCGACGTTTTTGGCCACCGCTTCATCAACTCCCAGTTGATCGTCGACCAGCTAGCAGCCAACGGGTATTTCGTGGTTATGCCCGACCTTTTCGCGGGCGATTCTGTTGCACTTGACGAAGCGGATACCGTTGATTTCTCTAAATGGATGACCGGCGGTTACTCGGACAACAAAAGAGCTCACTTGCCAGCCGCGATAGACCCAATAGTCGAAACTTGCATACATGAAATGCGGACAAATTATCACGTCAAGGTGAAAACATGATCTCCCAGTGAATAGCCGCCCCAAGGCCAAAGCAGAGGAATGTCAGCTGAAACTGTGCTCGCCAGAATCTGGGTGCAATTGGATACTGCTTCGGATCCAAATACGCGATCCGTTTCCTCAAAGCGGCCGAGACTCGAGTTGACGCTGCGTTTATCGCCCACCCTAGTTTCATCGACAGCAACGAGCTCGAGGATATTGCAGGCCCGCTTGCCATTGCGGCCGCGGAAAAAGACGAGATTTTCCCGTACTCGAAGCGGCGCGAGTCCGAAAAGATCCTTGAGCGGGTGGGTATGCCTTATGAGATTACCGTCTATGGCGGGGTTGAACACGGGTGAGTTTGAGTCTCCAAGCTATTCTATCTAGCATCTACCCATAGATGTTGTGTCTGAATTATTTTCTGATTGAAATGAAAATGAAAGGTTCGCTGTTCGGGGAGCGGTCGATGATCGTAAGGTGCTGTTTGCGAAGGAGGGCGCATTTAACCAGGCTGTGCGGTGGTTTGGAGAGTATCTTGGATAAATTCTTGTCTACCATAAGATATCGCTAGGTCTTTGTTTAATTCAACATCCGCTCGGTCATTTAATATTCCGCAGGTGTAGCGTGAGCAGTAAGCCTCATGTAAGCGATGGGCCAGCCACCCCATCAATTCTCGTTCCACGTGGCCTTGCAAGACGACATCCCACAAATCATCTGCCAGACTTTGCATTGGTTGGACACTTGAGCGCGGTTGCAGGATTAAAGAATTCGTGTCGATTGTGATGCTGGAACGGCGGGGCTTTCGCTCACACGGCGAAGATGCATCCATTGACTCTAGGGGGGAGCACCCCGCATCGCCGTCGAGCGCGCACTCAAAAGGCGTGTGATATGTGCCATGAGATGAAAACCAAATGCGATGGTGCGATTCCATGCGACCACTGCAAGCAGTCTTTTCTTGGTTTGAATGCCCGGTCCTTCTGGTGTCCTGCTGACGTGTGTGCTAATGGGTGAAACAAAAAGAATGTGTGTATTCAGAGTCACGGCCGAAGAGGCGTCGAAATTCTCCACAACCTGAAAAGGAGCAACGGCAACGACCGAGGACCTTGGCTGATGAAGAAACCCGTCGCCATCATGTGGCTGCAAGCATTTCAATGGACTATGCGTTTGAACCAGCACAGGCTGTGGATGAGGTTGTGTGGATACCCGGAGATTCCAAAGTCCCTACTACAGATTCGACTCCGGCGTTAAAAGCCATCAGCGGGGAGGCCAGGTTCGTGTTGTCATCTGCAGATAGGGCATTTATTGAACGACTGCGAGCAGAACTAGGTGAATGGCCAGGGTCGGATATTGAAAAGAGATTCACTAAATTGGAACGACCGACCCCGCGCTTCTTTTCGTGCAACCGTGCACCGCGTGCAGCTGTTCCACTGCCCCCACTCCAGAAAGCGAGGCACCTGGTCAATTTAGCCCTGGATGCCCATATATTGTACCAGGTGGTTCAAAGAGACCTCTTCGATCATACTTTCCAACTCTTGTTCTTGCTTGAAGAAGGGAATTACGGTGAAGAGGAAACAAGGCATCTACCACTGGTATATGTGTTGCTGGCGTTGGGGATTATTTTTGAGAAACAGAGTGACTGTTCAAAAAGTACAGCGGACGAGAGACTCGCGGAAGGGTAAGTCGTGATCTACTAGTACGGAGAGGCAATGCAACAGATTTCTGACCGAATCGACAGACTGGCCTATTTCGACACTTGCCGTGATCTTATAGATTTGGAAGACTCCTCCCTTCTGACGACATTGCAAGCACTGTTCTATATGAATATGTTCCTCCTGGCGACCTCGAGTCTAAATTCTTGTTACACATCCCTTGTCCACGTGCAAACGCTGGTGTTGCGTATGAGCCTCCACCAGCTTGACAGCAAGAATCAGGATGCTGTCAATACTGAGTTGAAAGCAAGGCTTTGCTGGTCAATTAGACAGCTTCTGGTTATCGTCAGCACATCAACAGGTCTTCCGAGCCCCATAAGCGGAGATAGTTTCCACATAGATCTGCCAGCGGGGTTTCAGAACAGTAGCGCGTCTAGGCAGGCCGACTCGGGAGCCAATCTGCTACCAAGTAGGCCACTATTGGATAGCCCTGGCTTTCTTCACTTCATCAATCTGCACAACATACTTGATCGTGTGATTCAAAAATTGTATCCACCAATGCCAGTAAAGACTACACGAGGTTCCTTCTCAAGTCATTCCGTGAGCCTTGAAACCGTTACGGACTTTGAGAATCAATTGAAGAACTGGTCAGACAATCTCCCTGAGAGCTGTAAGCACAGTCAAGACGTCGCACATTTTGAAAGGTAATCACCGATCGCTTCCAAACCTCAACACAGCTAACATTTGGTTTAGGGCAAATTATGAGCTTCTCATGGCATATTGCCACGTCCAAATGTATCTCTACCGACCGTTCCTTCACTATCTGACCGGAGCATCAGTCAACAAATCTGATGCTTCATCACGAGAATACTTTCAAAAATACGCGTTCGCGTGTATTGAGGCCAGCCGCAATATCATATACATGGGGGAGGATATGAAGAGGAACGGGCTCCTGTTTGGTTCGGAATGGCGGATTGCTCACATGCTTCTCACTGCGGCCCTGACCCTTCTCTATGTTCCTCTTGGTGATAATAATTCGATTCTTGCGGCTTTTGTCGTGACAGACTTGACGATCGCCAAATCGCTCTTAAATGCACTTTGTCCGTATTGTGTCAGAGCTCAACGAGCCCATCTTGTGCTTACGGTCTGTTTCTACCCACTCGACGTATATTGTGCCGTGGCATATTGCGGTGGCTAATTCACTCCCCCAGGTACTCACAGCAGCATTCACCCCTCCTTGTGAGGAGCCGTTTCCGCAAAGTCAGAAACAACATAGAATGTGGTCCAGGCAGCCATTACCAGACGGACCGGACCCGGGATACACCGCGGCGTTAAGAATGAGGCTCATCCAGACTCCTTTAGTACCAGACCAAGGTCACAATAGCCACTGGGTCACCGCTACATCCCCCCCCTTTGCAATTTTCACCCACCCAACTTGCTCGAGATGTACTCCCTCTGCGCTCATCGTCACAGAATGAAATTCATCCCCTCACGGAGATGAGCCAGTTTAATTCGAGGGAGGAAAGTGCCAATGCACCCACAACGATGACTTCACCGGTGGGGATGCATAGTATACCATCTCCTCTACAAAGCCCAGCACTGGAAGCCATTCTTGACAAATCAGGCTTAAACCCCGCGACCGCATTCGATAACCATACTCCGTATGATTTCGAAGCTGCACCATGGGACATTTTCAAAGATATTGCATTCGATGACGAACCGTTCAATCAACTGTTTAGAGATGGCGCTACAGCAGGTATAGATGGGACTTCCGAGAGTTTTGTTTCCCGTTTTGGAAGCTCTTCCTGACTGGCCACAGCTGGGTTCTTTTGTCCACCAATGATGTCAATATTTCTTCTTTCCATCGTCTAATTTCCACTATTTCCTACGTAATCCAAATGACTCGAGCGACTAGGAGCTAGCATTGTGCCGGATTCTGGGCTTATAGATTAAATCGGCCTGCTGTCGCTTACATTTCCGCACGCTAACCTCCATCTCGGCTCGGCAAATCCGGCTGTGGACGGCCGCTCTATGGAATGTCAGCGTAGAATAATGTTCTGTCGCTCACATCGATGGCATTTATAAACATTGTCAAAACAAGGTTCTCAAAGACCCACCATGTGACCGAAGAGGAATTTAGCAAACCCTTGGAACCGTTCTCGCTCATCTCGCTGTTTCATCGGCCAACCAAGCCAAACTTTCCAATATGCCGAAAACCAAACAAGAACTAGAATCAGTATGTTGATGACTTTATTTCTTCCCAGCCTGATTGTAAGCTTACTGTGTAGAGGGGCAATTTTTCGGACGATGAAGATCACCCATTGATGGATCTGGATAATGGCATTGTAGGCTGGGAAAGCCAGCACGACCCGGAGAACCCCAGGTAAGCAAGCAGCCGAGCCAGAGTGGGAGGTCAATGGTCACGGTGATTGGAAAACTCAAAAAGACATACTTATCCATCATAGGAATTATTCTCTAACTCGAAAGTGGTTTCTCTTGAGCCTCGTCAGCAGCATCACATTGGTCAGGTATGCCTCTGTCTCTGTCCTCTGGCAGATTTAAATGTTTAGTTAGTGCCAGAGACCGAGTTGACTGATTGATAGCCCATTCTCTTCCTCTGTCTTCGCACCGGCCGTTGGCCGCACGCAGCAGGAGCTCGGAGATACTTCTTCAATCCTGGGTTCGCTTGCTGTGACGAGTTATTTATTCGGGTACGGCGTAAGTTACATGCCACTGGCAGATGCACGCACTCGCAGAAAACGGAAACCATCTGATCAACCCATCATCTTAACAGACCGGTCCTTTCCTCTTCTCCCCCCTGAGTGAGATATACGGTCGCAGATTCGTCCTCAGTGCGGCCAATGTGATATTTGTGCTCTTTCAAGTGGCCTGCGCGCTTGCGCCGAATATGCCTGCCCTTATCGCGTTCCGGACTATGGCTGGAATCGGCGGCTCGGCGGGGTTAACTACTGGCGGCGGAGTAGTCGCTGATCTGTTCACGACGGAGCAGCGAGGGCTTGCCATGTCGGTTTTCACGTTTGGTCCATTGTTTGGACCTGTTCTGGGGCCCATTTGCGGCGGGTTTATTGCAGAAAGGGCTGGCTGGCGTTGGGTATGTTTTATTTGCTCGGTCTTAAGAAGACTTCCTGCCCTGTAATTATAAGGGTCCTTGACTAATCACAAGTGCAAAATAGGTATTCTGGATTCTTGCCATCTCTGGCGGGTTACTGACCTTGTTGGTCATGGTGTTTAATAGAGAAACGAACCCGATCGTTCTGATCGAGAGGAAGACAGAGCGCCTACGCGAGGAACTACAGAATGCAGACCTCAAAAGTTGCTACAAGACGGCCAATTCGGAATCAAAAAGAAACTACCATCACAACTTACTTGCTCCATTCCGCCTACTCCTCTCCCCCGTCGTCTTCCTCATATCAGCATACATTGCAACCATTTACGGATGTCTCTACCTTCTCTTCACAACCGTCACCCACGTTTTCCAGGATGTCTACGGATGGAGCACCGAGCTCAGCGGCCTATCTTACATCGGCCTCGGCCTCGGGTTTCTAACAGGCCAAGCAGCCTTCGGCCTCCTCGGCGACCGCATAATCGGGCACCTGAAGCGTCGCAACGAGGACGGGCACTTTGAGCCCGAAATGCGCCTTGCCATCAGCATCCTTTTTGCGCCATTTATCCCAATCTCCTTCTTCTGGTATGGCTGGTCTGTCCAGTCGCACACACACTGGATCATTCCCATCGTCGGACTGTTTCCCTTCGCCATCGGGGCCGTCGGGATCTTCTCCAGTCTGCAGACATACATTGTTGACTCATATACGCGGCACGCAGCCTCGGGTATTGCGGCGATTACCGTTTTTAGGTCGTTTGCTGGGGCATTACTTCCGCTTGCTGGGCCGCCGATGTATGCGGCGCTGGGATATGGGTGGGGGAACTCGCTGCTGGGGTTTCTTACGCTAGTGATGATACCCGTGCCTGTGGGCTTTTACCTGTTTGGATGGAGGCTGAGGAGGAAGTTTTCGATTTAGTTCATGGATAATTTTGGGTGATCCAGAGGGGGATGCTAGTATCTGTGTGAATGTATTCAGCTTGAAATTATAGATGAGAAGATAGACGACGTTTCGTAGTACTCTTTTGAACTTGGGTTGCAAGGTGCCAGTTGTATGGACTAGTAGCTATCTTCAGTCAGAGCATGTAGATTAGCTTCGGTACATACGTTCCAGGGGCTACATACAGCCTGTGGCTGGGAAAAGCCTGAGGAGTTAATCAATTGATCTATCGATCAAACCGGCACAGTACCTGATAAGAACCAATGCCCAGTTTATAGTAAAGGTAAACCCGCTGCGGGTTACCCGTGGATGCGTAAAGATATTGAAATCCAACCCAAACCCACGCTTAGCGAGGGCTGGAAGGTATGCAGCGATGGGCCGCGTTAATCCCCAGTACATAGGTAGGCAACAGGGTCATTGGCCTACCAACTCGGCTGTCTATGTCATGTTCTTCAAAGTATGAGGTTGTTCTCTGTCTCGGGTAGTACTAGTAGTATATCATCCCGAAGTCGCCGTCGGCGTTTCGAAAGAACTTGAGCAGTACTAGTACTACAAGTCCTACTAGTAACTAGTTACTGCTAGTGGTGGTATTAAGTTGAAATATAATGTCACACAACCATGACATATATAGCTGCCGAGCTGCGATATGTCCGTCCAATTTACTACTACTAGGCTTCACGTTTCACACGGCCCGCGGCGGAAACTGCATCAAATGATCTCCCCGGAGTGCTTAAATGTGTTCTATGGCTATCGGGATGATCATTCGCCGCCTCTGATGACAAAAATAATCCAAATTATTCACTGGCAAATACCTTACAAGGAGGCTGGTGGATTATGCTCAGGTGACTAAGCGCCAAGCACAAGCTGACTTGTTTGATTGGCTCGGCATTTTGTAGATTCCTGCCGCTTTCTTGTAAACATACATATGCGGCTATACAGATCAGATAATGTCTGGGGCTTGGCTTTCCTTTCTCAGCTGCCGCCGTTTCTATGAAGGCGCTCAGACTCAGGCCCAGTGATCAAGTTGTGATCGCTCTGTGACCAATCAGGACTGCTCAGTGGTAATTCAAGGCTGCGCAGTCATCATGCGAAGCTTAGTTAGCCGATTGTGAGCCATGTCCAATCAACGTTTGTTTTCTAGGATATTCCCAAATTGGTATGGCCTAACAGGCACAACTGGCGCGCTCATGCTTGTAAGCTGAATGTATCCGTTTAAGAAAAAGAGGCCTGCGCTATTTCTACCCACCGCATCAAAAATGGAAATGAAAGTACCCTTCTTGTTCATTAATAGTGGCGATCTCTCTCGTGTCTAGCGTAAGGTTGTAATTTCTTAAGTATAAAAAGCGGCCCAGAGTCCTTTTGCACATTCCATCAAATGCACATTCCGCCTCAACTTGTCTCTGCCAAAATCTAATTCCCATCAAAAGGTATGACTCCTAGAGCCCGAATCAGAGAATATGAGCCGAAAGACCCTTCCCAGGCGTGGTGATGGAGCATGAAGCCAAAGAAAAGCGCCGTCTCCAACTGCAGAAGAATGGCTATCTTACCGGTCCGCACGAAGAAGACGAAGTTCTAAACAAAGATAAGAAACTTTCGGAGACCAAAGAAAAACACAAAGAAGCTCTTGATCTTTACAGAAAATTATAGACGAAGAAATGCTGACTTCTGCTTAGCTTTACGGCAGACCCGGAAAATGGTATTCAAGATTACGAAACGGTTGAAGGTTGTTCGTCTCCACGCAATGTAATGGTGAAGAGGTTTATCTGCTGGTATGTCGCCTCTACTGTTGGTCGACAAGGTAACAGGATGAATGGAATCCATCTATCTATACTGTAATGTAATGAAGAGGCTACCATCTATAGCTATCTGAAAATAAAGCTTCCACGTTCCGACTGGCTTCCAACCGTCAGGCATCCTTTGTACTGCCCGATATTGAAGGTCAAAATATCTTCAGATAGAGTACGATCTTCAAGTTTTTATAATTATCCAACTGCGGAGGCTAGCCTCCATCTGTTTCTTCCAAATAGGCTCCAACTCCATCCTTTCTATATCAATTCTCGCCTCTTCATCTGGCCTCGAACTCTCAGCCATGCTCATCCTAGGGAACTTGGCTAAGTTTGCTCCTTCGGCCCTCAGGTTTCTTTCCAAAATAGGCAGGTTGCGTGGATCATCTTCAAAAATCTTCACACTTGTCTGGTCGCTCGATGTCGCGGGTCAGAATATACTGAAGTAAAGTAAGACTCCTGACTGATACTAATTCTGTACAGGCAGAGACTTACTTTTTATCCATTTCTTCCGAGTAACCTCCATCTCATTCCTATCTGCTTCCTACTTCGCTTTTTCATCTTGCTCTGAGAGTTGTTTAAGTTTCTCCGAAACCCAGCTGTCCGGCATTGAAGGGACCATTGTTGCCATGTCAGTTTGTATCTCCTTGATTCTGGTCTCTACCCAGGGATCCTCTTTGCCAGGAGGTAGATGACCACGCATTTCCTCCAATGCTTCGATTTGCTTGCGAAGAAGTTCCTACCAGAAAGTAAGGCCTCTGTCTGATTATCACTCAATTGCGTAAACTTACCAGCCACTCTTTCTTGAATTGAGGCTCTAACGCTTTTCTTGCTGCGTCGCGCTTTATTTTTTCAGCTGCTTTCTTCGCCTCGTCTGCTTCTATCCAGGCAAGTCGAACAGCAAGTCCCTTCGGGCTCAACCCCCCGCCTGCATTTATATTAGACTAAGGAATTCAGGTCAAGATCGAATAATCCTTACCAGATGAGAAAACCACGCCATCCTCATTCATGAGGTCATGTAGCGTTACGGTTCGCCAGACTGGGCCGTTAGGGCCCTGGCCGTGCGCGGTCAGGTCCAACTTTCCATTCTTCATGACAACCTTGGGATGAGGGGATACGAGATTAGAAGACAAGGTATCATCTCGGTAGCTAGGAATAACAAGATAGTCCATGCCACCTGGTCAAAATCAGCGTTAAATTCTTTTCAAGAAATGATAGTGGATGCTTACCTTTGGCGGCCTTGATATTTTCATCGAGATAAAACCTGCTTTTATTCCAATTGCCCTTCAAATTTCGAGCATCACATTCAAGGTATGTTTTGCGCTTTGACAAGTCGTTCCAATATTCAGTGACGCAGCGATAGTTTGCGCAGCTGTCGGGCAGAGACTTCCAAGTGGGCCGAAAGGGGGCTGTAGCTTTACGAATTGACGACATGATAGGGATACGTGTAGATATTGTATGAAGGATTTGGATAGGATGGAAAAGGTCTTAGTGTAATGGGGAGGAATATGTAGACACAGGATTTTCACGAAATATTTATACCTAGTCGGCAAGTTCAGGATCGCAGGTTAACCCACCAGAAGTAGAGCTGAGAACAGATAGTTTTGTAGATCAGATGTGGATCTGCGGGGCGGTGCCTATCAATTCAGCAAAAACATGTAACATGACGGCGCTTTTGAAAGATGCTGAACCCATGAAAGCTTATATTCTAGCTCAAGGAAGTCAAATATGTCACTATCTTCTATCTCCAGTCATATTATATACAAGGAGGGGCAAAAGCGAGTGGGTGGCAACGCAAGGATGTCTTAAGTCGTAGTGAAAACCTAAAGGGTGTGGCTGGCTGAACTGTGGGGCGACTTTTCAGTTTCCAAGACAATAATATGCCCGATGACAACAAATGTTCAAGATTTGCAGAGGGTCGAGTAGATCTTGTAGCTACATAGTCAGATCTGTACTCCGTCGATGCAGGAAACTAGTTCAAGAATGCAGAATTACGATCTCGATGTTGGCCTGTGCGTGAATGGAGAGAGGAAATTCCGCAGTCAAAATCCCGAAACGAAAAAGATTTCACGGAGCACTACGCGCGAACAATGGCGTTCTCTAGTTTTCCAGTCCTCAAGTCAATAGTATTGTTTCTCTTTGACCGATTCCTAGCGGGACGAGAATGTATCAGTCAACCCTCCTCATGTTCGCACGAACATGCGAAACCCACAAGTTGACCCATCGTCCCAGAATATCGGGTGGGATAGTGCTGCCAGTGCGTGTTCACAAGTGGGGAATGGAAATAGGAGCCTATAGGGATCTCGGGGACACGGAAAAGGCATAATGGTGGCTGGAGATGCCTGGCCGATCTTTTCTTGGACTGGGGCCTTTGCTACAGGGTAAAAGTCGGTATGCCATATACCTCAGGTCAGGACGTGCTTAATTCTAATCAGAGAGTAAAAGCGGCGAGGGGGTGAGCACTAGAACGGAAAGGGGAAGCCAAGAATTGCCAGACATTATCCGGTAGATATGCAGGCATAACTATTGAATACCCATGGATACAAGTATATGGCTCTATTTCTGTGCTGAATCCGGCATGCATACGTCGTATCGGCGAGAGCTTGAGATCACTTCTTAGGCTTGCCGTCCTGCACCGACGAAAAAATCCGTTTTGCCTGGAATTGAAGGCACCACACCCAATCGGGACATGGTCTCATGCATGATGAGATGTTCAGCCCGCGGGGTCTCATCAACCCAACCCGAGCCGCTGAACACACTGCAAAGTGTTCAAATATCCTCAATGATCAATACGGAGTAAACCCGAGACCTTTGCATTCTGCGCCTAAAATTTTGCAAAGCTCCTGCGAAGCACCCCCGCCATCAAACATGCTGCACAAGCTGCGGGCAAAGCTCCGTCGTGGTCGAGGAGACCATAGCGAGGAGAAGGCCCCCACTGAGCGCCCTGAAGACCATTCAACCCAGAAAATTGAGCCGGCTGGGCAGGAAACTGCGAAAGATGATCAGGTTGCTTTCCCCAGTTCCGCGCTATCTGCCAGTGCCCCGGAAGATCTATGAAAAGTGGCGTTTGACAGTCTCAGACCGCAAGCGATGGTTACCGACGGAGAAAAGTCGCTCGTCTCTCGAGGTCACTAAGGAAGTCATCACAGAGAAGGAAGGAAAATATACCGAGAATCGCAAGAAAGGACTCTCCATTCGAAAGCAAGATGGAAACGAGGTCAAAGTCTGTGACATGGCGCAAAACATCCTCACTGCGGCGTTGAATGTGAAGGAAGTCATCACGACAATTGTTTCTTTCGATCCAACTGGTCATGGTAAGTTTTATTGACTAAATTTATCTCTGACTTCGTGGTTCATGGAAACTCATGGAATGAGAATATAAAGCGTCGTGTGCCTAGGCGGTAGTCTCGTTGGGGTTGACAATACATTTATGCTTCTCCTTCCAGAGATCGAGACCCCTTCAAGCCGATCGGAATTGTTAAATTAGATGACCCAAAATGACATACAGGTCCGAGATGCAATCTCCACGTCTGCCGAGTATTTGGCTGAAAATCTTGCCTATTTCTCTATTATCGAGAAAGATTGTCGATATCAAGGGAATCAAAACAGTCCACACTTGGAAAATGCTTTGGTGGCTGCCTACAAAGCTATACTTGAGTACTCCGCTGAGGTTAGAAAGAGAAACAGTGAGAGTAAGGCAGGTAAGGATTGAATGCTCGTGAAAATAAAAGTGGACAGAACGAATTGACTAACTTTGTTCCAGCTCGGATCGGACACACACTCATTCCACTTACCCAGCAGTCATTTCAACGGCTCAAAGCTGCGGTGGATTGAAAAAGAGTCACTGTTGATACACTTGCCGATATCATTCATCGACTCCGTAACTACATCCAATGGTGGTGGCGGTTGTGTTGCCGTCACTAACGTATAGCAGATACGTAGAATCAAGCCGCCGAGATTATTTCCAACATTGATCAACAAACAGAGAAAATTCAGGAAATTCATTCAAGGATTCTGAGTAAGTTTTGTTTGATTAATTGGTGAATGTAATGATTCAGCTGTAATATCTAACCATCGGACCGATATAGGTGCTGATGAGTATCGGATTCTTGAATGGCTGTATCAGTCCCCTTATTCAACCGCCCAAAACAGCGCTCAGGATCACCGGGGTCAAGGTACAGGTGATAAGATCATAGATCTACAGGAATATAAGGAGTGGAAGGTTTCTCCCGGCGGTATATACTGGCTGTACGGCATTGGTGAGTATATAATATCTGGCTTGAACATAAAGCCATGCTAATGCCTCGTCAAGCGGGTTGCGGAAAATCGGTCATGTGGTAAGAAAGCACAAAGACAAAAACGGACGATACCGATCGCTAACAAGGTTCAGTTCAACTATCAGTGAAGATATCAGCGAGCTTTGTCAAGGAGACCCAGATAAGCGATTTGCTTACTGATACTTCCGATTCAGTACTGTCGAATCACAACGGGTTGATATCATGGTCAGATGTATAATCCGCCAACTCCATCCAACTCCCCTTTCAGACCAGATCAAAGAACTTTGGTCGCATCATGGTACCAAGGGAAGTCAGCCGAGCCTTAAGGTTCTCAAAGAGGTACTTCACCGTGTTATTGATGCCTTTCAAGGCAGCATTTTCCATTGGATGAATGTTCCGAGTCGGCTGGGAGTCGAGAAAGATCCCAGTCACTGTCTCTTCTTGAAGGAGTCAACAGGAGACACGGGAGCAAAACTCATATCCTGGTGACAAGCCGACCGGAAACGGATATCAAAGCAAGACTTGGAGGACACTCGGCGTTGAATCTTGAAGACAGGCTAGAGGAACACGTTGCGACATTCGCCAGGCTTGAATTCCTTGAGTTGGATTCTAGGATCTTTGGCCCTGCTATTAGGAACCGAATCATTGGCGAATTACTTGATTTGAGAAGATGTACGGTTTCCATTCAATTAGGCGGAAAGCGGTTGCTGACGTGAAAAAAAATCGTTACTTGAAGCTCCATCCCCAAAAATCATGCCAACGTATCCTTAATCTGCCCAACAAAATCAACAACAGTCTCCTTAAAGCTGCGATAGTTCACCCCCAACTCATCCGCCACCGTCTGCCCATCAACACCATACGGGAAACTTGGCTTCGTACCCGAAACATAATTCTCCGTAACAACACCCCTCGCCCACTCGAACTCGCCCTTAATGATATCTGCCGCATACTCATAGGAAAACGGGTCGAAAGCAGCAGGCAAGAATCGCTTGCCGCCCGCCTCGGGTCTCAGCAGGGCTTGTACGTGCGCTTCAGCAAGATCGCGCGCATCGATCCACGCAGGGACACGAGCGCCGGGTAGCGGGTCCGCGCCAGCTGCCACGCTCCAAAGACCAGCATTTGACTCATTGAGTGAAGCGATATTAGCCACAGGGTGGACGACGGGTCCAAAGACCATGGGCGGGCAGAGGGTGACCAGGTCGAAGAGTGGCTTTTCGGTCTTGATGAAGTCCCACGCTGCTAGTTCAGCATATTTCTTGGACGCGCGGTAGGCTATGACCGATGTGGCGGTTGGGGCTGCGGCTTCTTCATAGGTGAGTGGGTTCCAGTGCTGGGCAGTGTAGGTAAAGTCGGGAGTTGGGTTACTGTTGACATCGAGGATTGAGGCGAAGGATGATGTTAGGACTATGCGCTTGACATTTGTGCCGGGCTTGGCTGAGGCTGTGAGGATGGATTTCACGCCGTTGATGGCGGGGAGGATTAGTTCTTCTTCGTTGTTTGTTGTGTTGTAGAAGAAGGGCTGTATGGATTAGTTGGTCAGTATGGTATTTTATGGGCTAGAGGGTGTAGAGGGAGGGTAGACCCACGCTGGCGACGTGGATCACGGCATCAATGCCCTCCATTGCGGAGTCGAAAACGCCAATCTTGGTGAAGTCTTCCACGACGACGAAGTCGAGCTTGTCGGCGTATTGGGGCCGTGCGGCCTTCATTTCTTCGCCTTTATTAATTGACCGCGTTGAGCCTCGAACTTTCAAGCCCTTGGCTAGCAGATTGTCGACGACATGGGCGCCAATGAAGCCAGTTGCTCCTGTCACAAGGACGTAGCTGTGTCCAAGTGGATATATGTTAACGCGAGACAAGGGGTGATTGGACGGGGGTCAGGGGGCATACGATGGATTTTGCACGGTCATCTTGTACCTGTTGTAGGAGTGAATTGGATGTAAGCGATGAATGTGAAAATAGTGGGAAACGGTAGGAAGTTGAAGTAGTCCCTGCATATAATGACACACGGGAAATGGTTTACCCCTGGTACCCCCATACCCCGCGTGGGATGTGCGGGTACGAAGCCCCAGCTACCCTAACTGTCTCGAAAGTTGGTGATTTATGACCAAGCCAAGATCAGGCTTCTACTACATCAAATAACCCAAGATAAGAATGATCCACGAGAAGAATATTAATCAATAACTGGCAAATTTCTTGGATAAATCTGACCTCTCATTATGAATGATCAATGATGAAAATAAATGGAATGGAGAGTGCTTGGGGGATGTGGGGCCCCGCCAAAGTCATATGACTTGATGGAGTGGGGGAAGAAGTTATGGATCCTCCGGCATCGGGGATACTTGTTTGCCTTGTCCTCTAAGTCCAATCTACATCTATTACTGCAAGTCCAGGATGTCTGTGAAGCTACCCTTGTTCGACCTATACAACCCATTATCGAAAGCAATAGTCTCTGACCTCAAAGCAGCCCTTTATCAATTTGGAGCTTTCCGCCTGGTAGTCCCTGAAACAACACGTCACCGTCACGACGCTATCATCGAAAATGCAAGCTTAGTTCACTTGCCAGTAATAGTGTTCGTGACTAACTGAATATTCAAGGCTCGGGAATTTTTCAAACAGCCCATGGCAGGTAAAGCAAACATCACAGACTACTCTCCCCTTCGATCGGAGCGTGTTCGCGGCCGGACTGAGATACCCAAAGAAAGTATCTATTTTTTTCACCATAGCGCCGAATTGAAGTACCCCAATGGACCCTGTTCCACCTTATATTCCTCAGTCAAATTATTCAATGGGGTATCTCCAGTTCCCCCTCTCCAATATTGAATCTGTACTAACCCTTACTTCGAAGGAATGGACCCCTGTAAGGCTGCATCTGCTGGAGACGGTGTCACAAGTACTGAATGCGAACATCCCTCTAAGGGGCACTACGCTCCTTGACTCTGTCACGGTCGGAATTCACCATTATGATTCTCGCAACCTTTCTGACCACAGCGCTCATTTCAATCCTCCCCATATGGATAGCGGAACATTCACAATTTTATTCCGTTCTCATCATGAGAACGACGGCCTGGAAATCGCTGATCTCGAAACGACAAAAAGGAAAGACAGCGAGGGGGTGGGGGCAGAGGCATCCTTTATACCTGTTCCTACTGCAGGTGACGGAATACCCGAAGTGGTCGTCTTCGCAGGCACTAGGCTCCAGCGTATACTTGGGCGGGACCAAGTTCGGGCTTGCGTCCACAGAGTGCGTGGTCCAGGTCTAGTGTGCTGTAGACGCCCTGGGGTACAGCGCATCAGTATGGCAATGTTTTGTGCTCCGGCTCCCCGAAGCTCCGAATGATGGGGGAGTGTAAACCTGGACTGTCTATCTGTCGTCACATTTGTCTCTATAGATATTACTAGTTTACATTTCTCCTTGTACCACACACGATACCCCTGTTTTGAGTACTGACATTTCTTCACTCTGGGCTCAAAACTGTCATTTTCACATTTTCGGCAAATAAAGTACATGTCGTCATCGACACAATATTTCAACTAGTACACACGATGCACCAGAATAAGTTTTGCTGTGTCCGACTTTCGGCCACTCCCCTACACGTTATATGCTGAGGCCAATCTCCTATTACCATTTGTTTCCAAGTTTTTGAGGGTTTCCTGATAATTTTGAAGGATATCGCTACCATTGCCTTCTGCAGAAACCGCTGCCATTTCGCGTTCCTTCAAGATGGATATTTCATCGTGTTTGTGGGTGATCTTAGGCTCTTCCTGGCCCGGCCCCAGCTGCTGTTGGGCAGTGGATAAAATATAATCCCAGTGACAAGATGTAGTTTGGAATTCCTGAGTCTCGGCGACCAGAGCAGCAAGCAGGGAGAACCTTCTGAAATGTTAGCAGTTCCATATTGCAAGTAATTCCGGGGGAAATACTAGCATATATCTCGGTACCCCGTCACAACTGAAGTCATGTCATTTTAGGTTCACGCCTAGGTGGTATCCTACTCGAATGTATATTGAAGCTTACCGAGCAACCCATATAAGACCAATCCGAGGGTCCTCACAGACCGCCTGCAAGATAGTTGATCGCAATGTTGGATCCATTTCTTCTTCGCCTGCGCGTCTCAGCTTGTTCTCTTGGAGAGACATCCTGATCCTCTTCCCTTCTCCCACGAAGCTAAAGGGGACAAAGCCCTGAGCCGTAGGAACATTTAGCTCCCAGGAATCTGCAACTTGCACGAAATCAATCAGGAAATTCCTACTGATATCGGCATGCGAGAGACTCTCTTGTTTGTTCAGGGCCAGGTAGGTGATTGTCATGATAGACTGGATGCTGGTAATTTATGTAGTGGAGAGAATATTTTATTTCGTCTCGACAGAAAAAGGAGGAGTCTGTGTGCTTATTATACCAATAATTTCGCAATTAAGTACAACTGCCAAATGTTTAGATGCTGGGAATGGGGCCGCTGCAACGTACAGATAAGCTAGGTTGAATCTGGCCAGCATTGATACATTGCACCAAACAGGCCTTTTTAGGGACTAGTGTGAACCTAAATTAAAATCAAGTCCCGTGACATCGCGTCTGTTTACACCGACTTAAGTTGTCTGCTTCATACATTATCTAAACCTGGGACTGGTTCTAGAGCCTCGACCCAATGTCGTCCAAGGAAAAAAATGGCGAGGGTGTACACTCCCACGCCGACACTGTGCTGGGTACTTCAGTCAGCGCGGAGAGCGTATTTGACTTACTGAAGTTGAACTCTACTTCTATCTCTACGAGACAGTGGAAGCGGATTGTCGCCTACTCTTTGGTTCAACTGTATCCACGGAATACACCTATTTTGCCTTTCATAGCTCAATTGAAAGCTCAGCTAGGAGCCATCGATATTCTACCGGATCAACTTTACTCTGTCCGCAGAATCGGGCATCGATGGCAGGCCATTGTGTCCTGGGCTTCACGTGACTGCGACCAGCCCCTTACAGGGATCCTTGTTGTTCTAGACGGCTCATCCCGGTAAGGGTCGAACTCGCCTTTCACGGCCTTCTGCTAATCTAATTTCCAGCTGGGAACGTCCTACCGATAGTATATGGCAAGCTGCCTTTGATGCACTTCCTAATAAGTTGGAAATAGTGCGCAGGGCGCAAAGTAAGAACAGAGAAATTGATCATACAATCAAGAAGCTGAAAAGTGAAATTTATACCAATACCTTGAAGCGCTAAGCTTTGCTTACGGTTTCACAGACTTATTTACTTTCGTCAACCACCCATCTCATACTGAAGTAAATGAGGTAGTTCCAAGTCAAGGTAACACATCTGGAGCTGTTACCATTGCAGTGAGCCCAGATTTGATGGCCACTGACTCTGTTGATGCCGAGCCTCTTATCATACTTCTATCTTTTTTTGCCAACCAGGAGGTTTCGGTCGATCTTCTATGCCGTGGAACTTCCCCTCGAAAACGATGGACTGATGATGGGGAAATCAGCTATGTAGACCCGGCCACTCTAGGCCTTTCGGATGTTCTGATTCAGACATGCTCCGCCGAGATCTTGACTAAAACTTTATTCAAAATCGACTCTGCTATCACCTGGAAATCGGCTACCACTTTCAGCCTGACCAAAGAACAAAGAGATAGGACGCTCAAGCTGGTTCCTTCTAGCCTCTATCCTTTCTGGAGTCTCCAGGCTCTTATCCTGGCCTGTCGTTCAGTGCCTTGGAAATATCTGGAGTACAATCAACACTTCGATGCCTGTTTTGCCGCTGGTCACTGAAATGCGTACAGGTTCTGTGACGCAAGTCTCTTTTTAACGCACATTCGATATACCCTGGAAGAAGCTCGACGTTATTTTGAATTTGAGGACATGGCACCTGTGGTCAGGGTTGAGATCGCTCTCAATCTTTTGGAATCATCTCGCTTTTCTCTCATCGAGTGGAAGCAGTTCGCGGTCGACCAGGCAAAACAACTCACGAATGGTCTCGACAATAGCTATACAAGCTCCTACCTTGCGCAGAGGCAATGTCTTCTCCACCGGCTCTCCGGTAAGACAGATCTTGCTTTTAGTGCTCTAATGAATAGCTTCCCTCATCAATCCAACCGAAGGTTACACGCTTCATATGGCCACACCATCATTCAACGCGCTTTAAATCACATCCAGCTTGATCAATTAGACAAAGCAATCGCCACACTAGCAACATGGCGTCCAGGTTCTACGCCATTGTCGGCAATGGAGCAAGTTGTTCTCTTTCGACAACAACTAATTATGGGAAAAATTCTACGTTATCAAGGTCACTTCACCGCGTCATTGCAATCTCTACAAATCTCCCAGGGAATTGCTAAAACAAGTCAAGATACTATTTTCCGCGAAGATGCAAGTGATTTGGTATGTAACTTAGCTGATACATTCCTCGAGTTGGATGACCCTCCTGAAGCTGAGAGTCGTCTTCGAGATGCGATCGAACGTCGACTGCCTAGTCAAGGCGCGCTAATAATTGCTCTGGCCGAATGTATTTTCGCGCAGAGAAGGTTTGTGGAGGTAGACAACACGCTCCAACCCGTGTTCGAATCCGATATCAAGCTTACGAAAGTGGACGAGTTACGTCTCACTATCCTCCAGGCTAAGCTTTCGCACGTTCAATCTCAATTTCCAGAGGCTTTCAGGTATTGGACACAAGCCTTGGGTATCTTGCGGCGCTTATACGTATCCAGCGGTCGTACAACACGCATAATTCTTCTCTCGCAATGTCATGTTCTACATCACCAAGGACTGTTTGAGGTTGAAAACCGAACCCGAAGTCATCTTGATGCACTTGATGAATGCGCTGAGAGAAATGGAGCTATCTGCTGGATCTCTGGCTTGCGTCATTGGCAACACTATTTGGAATACAATTAGTTATGATCGAGGGCCATCCTACTTGGTGCAGCAAGTATCGCGAAATAAATAATGTCACAAATCTAAGCAAGCTGTCTTTTCCGAAATTCACGTGAGAAACGCGCAATTTGATTTTTGTTGTTGACAATTTATACAAAGTCTTGGCACTGGTAGTGCAGGCAGCCCCAACGTGGAAGGCACGACTGCTTCCCCCGAATCAGGCAGCTGCTCACCTTCGCCTTTTCATCACACAAACCTTCGCTTGTTCTCTTCTTCTACTCTCCACTCGAGTTGCTCCATATTCAACGCGTGCAATCATCGGTTCACTTCATCGTCAGTTCTGCTATATCGGGTTAGTTTTTGCATCTCAATTTCTCCATTGACTGACAATTGACCACTTGTTTCACAGCCCCACGACAATTGAGCCGTTATTCCTGACCATATGGTATTGCCAGTTGAAGAACATGGCTCTCTTGTACAGCAGTTGAGCCTGGATTGAAGCTGTGAAATCAACTGATCGATGGGAATTCATATCGTGAATGTTTGTGGAATAGCTGCTGCTTCGAAAAACAGCTCTTTTACTCTTTCTAAATATACGATGATTCTAATGATTGCCCTTCTCTCGTTGCTTTCCGCTTGACCTACCTAGGTGGAAAATTGGAGTTCTCATTTTTATCCACTAAGCTTGCTCATACATAAGGTTCCAGTCAGTACGACCCTCCTTAGAAGTAGTCGACTGTTATCCCTCCTCGTAGCTAACTAGTGTAAATCAGGTTTGCAATCACTCGGCTGAGATCTGCCTACTAGCACTACACTCATGCAGGCTGCAATTCTAACGGGTGCAGCGTGGTGGGCTCAAGTTTCCAGAGTTTTGTGGTCCTACACAGGCAGTCACGTTCGACTCACCTCATATCTTCTCTCTTTTAATGGTTTTAGAAAAAGGAGCAATATTTGGAAGTTACTTTTTGGTCACAATGTTCTACACAATTTTAGCTATACAACCTGATCGGAGCCCGTGGACCCCCGCGGTTCCGCGACTGCGACATCGGGAGAAATGCTATATTCTAGCGTGGTGCGAACTAAATTGCGATAAAATACCGGTGGTAATGGCATGACTATATTTGGCAGTTACTAGTTGAGATAGGCAAAGCGGCGAGATGAACGTTCCTAACGCAGCGGTTCCACGCGCGGCTCCGCTTGACAAATAACATCATCCACGCGGCTTTCAAAGGTCTACTTGATTATACTGTCGCCTGGCTGGAGTTAGTGGACCAATTTATTACCCTCAAAATTAGCTCCCACCTAGTTGCGTTATCTTCGAGTCCGGTTTGCGCCATTTGAACAATCTGGACTGTGATTTTACCTAGGTACCAATATCACCAACTGAGGTCGACCATCATGCCTGATCGAACTATGGAAAGAATGGATTCAAGGGCGAAAAAACGAACCAAAAAAACGATGAGCCTTGTCTTGAATCTTGTTCCAATATGATCGTTGTCTCGAATCCCTACATCGAATCTGGGTCCTCGGCCGACAAAATGAGCATATCGAGATTCCCGCAGGAGCTGTCGATCCTACTCAGCGGGGCAGACATTCGCATTAAGCTACCGGGGAAGAGACATCTTGCCAACCCAGAAGAGTTGATAAAAATCAACTTCCATCATCCCCTGCTTTCCTCCAACTACTATGAGCGATACGATATCTCGAAGTCCTTGGAGGCCTCCGATCTGGAAAAGGAGCTCGAAAAAAAGAATATTCCAAACAGAGAAGCAGCACCATATGCCGATGAATCAAAAGTAACTATCGGAACTGATTGTATGGAGTTCCTGAATGGTGTTCGGACCACACCCGATGAGCATGAATTCTTACAATTTATGTTAAAGTCGCCTCCTGTTTCTGAAGAGACGATAGCCCTCTCAGCTAAGCACAGCTCCATTCTGGAGACTCGCTCTGACTAGCTACTGTATTGAGAGTATAATCGATTTATGCTGAATCATTGTACATCGAGATATAAATTTTCCTTTGGCCTTCAGATATGCCGTCGTCCTTTTATTGAGTTCAAGTTTCCAATATCTTCGAGCTTTCGTTCCTCGGGTCTGCATGACCTTTCTTTTACAATTATGCTTTGAATTTTAAAGATGGAAACATCGTTGACGGAACTTGAATCATCCACGCCATTTTAAGTTTAGATTCTTTTAGTGGGTTGAATAAGATTGTCAGAGGCTTGCTGCTGATGAACATAATAGAGGACCAGGAGTTGGAAAAAGGTCATGCAACCCACCAGGGGGTGCCCTACAGACAGGGTTACGCACGACCGTCTAGCGGAAATACACTTTTCCTATGGCCAGCAAGTTTCCTTGAGGTTCTCTTTTGCGCAGGAGTGTCACCTTCACTTCACAGGATACATTTTTTCAATTGAACTTGGTTCCCATGAGGACTCGGACCTAAGGTGCGAGGAATAAGGAATATGAAGGATCATATATGCACAAGGTATGAAGCATGAGCAACAGCCGTGTTTTATGACAAACAGCAGGAGATCCTTCGCATTTTCAATTCATCTAAAATACCTGGTCATGACGCAGCTGTTGATACAAACCCGCAAGGGGTTGGAGCTTCTCTAGAGGAGCTTCTTGAGCCACTCCTTCAGTTTCATCCCTTGTTCTGTCTCCGTCTTAGACCCGACATATAGATTGAACACGGGAGCAACATGGGCCTCTCGCTCCCCAAAGAATAACTCCACTGATGGGAATCCGAGCTTGAATTTTCGCAGTCAGTTCCGTTAGGTTATTGATATGATAGGAGATGAGACAGGTGCGTTACCTTGACTTTTTGCACGAAATGCTCAATCATAGGCCTCATAATCTCATTACCTCCTCCTAGCACAAGTATATTCGTTGTCAGGGCATTTTCAAACCAAGTCGACGGGGCTGTGGAGGCATCAGTGTAGTAGTCTCTGTCGTTGTCGCCGAGATATCCACTTGACCACGGACCAGCAACTTGCGTCGTGATCAAATCCCCGATGTTGTTGGACGACCCGGTAGGAATTAGCTCCAGAGATGTCCAGGGGGAAAGCAGTACTACTCCCGCGAGTGGCTGATCCAATTTCAGATTAGGGATTGCAGGATGGCAATGAGACAGGTGCGACAACACGCCGACTGCCAAATTTCCTCCAGCTGAATCTCCGCCAACCAGCACGTCCCCTGGACCGCGGTGTGTTTCCGTCACTATATACTGCAGCGCCTCGATCGCTTGAACCAGTTGTCGTGGGTATTGTGCGTGGGGGACCAGGGTGTAGGAGAGGACGAAAACCGCGAGATCATGACCAGCGGTGCGAGTGGACACGATTAGCTGTTCGAAGAAGTTGAAATAGGCCATGCTAGCCGGTAGGCAGAAGCCTCCTCCTGGATTCATGGACTTGTCAGTGTTAGGAAAGGGTGAGCTAGATTCAAAAGGCTCGATAGATACCGTGATACCAAATCAACACCTTCTTCGCGTTCCGATCTCCGAGCCAGTGACCCTTGGCACCGCCACCTAAATCCACTGTCTGGGGAGGAAGCCGTGCAGACCGAACATATTGTAAGTACGTGGCCTCCGTCGACGGCGAGACTAATCTGTCTCATTTTAGCACCGAGTGAAACGATTCGGGTAGGAGGGCACTTGCTGTAGCTGAAGTGGGGACAGGCGCGTTGTCGCCCTCCGCAAGACGGCATAGGCGATGTGGAGGTGGAGGCTCGGTGCCCCTTTCTTGCCTCGGAAGATACCCGTAAAAAGGGAGAGAAAGCCCACGGTCAGGATTGAGATTAGCGCTGGGAGCAGATCGAGCCTCTGTAGAAAGGACAGCGTTGTCACGGAGGAAGCAGTATTTGCTAGCTTGGACAACGTTGTCTTTTGCTCTTTCATCAAACGTAATTGTACAGAGTGATGGAATGAAGCCATATGAATATGGCGATAGGGTGTATGGAGAGATGATGCAAGGCGAGGAAGAAGCTGTAACTATGGCAGCCTAATAGTAACCCTTGGAGCTGAAAAAGAAAATCACTTTTCCACCCTAAGAGTGAAGCAAGCGCAGGTTTACGGTAAGCTGACTGATCAGAGCTCTGTGATGGAAAGCCATTTTTGGCATCTGCACACTGCCCTTAAAGATGAGCAATTAACTTCCAAGGTTGCAAATTTACACGTGGGTATATTTCGTGGGACCTTTGTGCGGAATCCAAAGCCGAGCACATCGGTTGTATAAGCTGAACACGGCTCCGCCAGCGGTTCCGCTCCCAATCCCGGACTGGAATTAGTAGCCCATTTTCATCGATTGGAGCCTAATTCCTTTGTATCAGCCCTTTGAGGATCACAAATATCGGCTCCCAGGCAACGAATCGATTCGTAGTGAGTAACTGCGGACATTTCGGCCACTGTTCTCCCCAATCGAATATGAATGGATGTTTTTTAAGCATTGGTGTGATCTAGGCCTTGGCGAAGCCTATTGGAAACCTAGTTAGAGTCGCCGCGGCTCCGGAGGATGGACCCGGGTGACTGGCTCGAGTGCGGGGAAAGTGCGGGGAAAGTGGGGACACGAAATACGCAAGCGTCTCAGAACGAAGCTTAACTCTCTAGCTGCAGAGAGGAGTCTGATGTATTATGATACGTATAGCTGCCTGCTATACATGCCCTGCTCGATCTAAAACAGCGAGATCCCGATTTCCTTCGTTTCTACCCTCATCGACCACGTTTTCGTGTGCACCATGTCATACCACCATGAAAAGATGCAGGACCTGGAAGGCCGGTCAGAGGTAGAATTGCAGTCCCCAGAGGTCGCCTCCACGGAGCTCATGTTTCCAGATGGTAGCTACCAAGCCTGGCTCACTGTGGCTGCTGGGCTGCTGGCACAAATCTCAAGTATCGGATTTTTGAGTGCGTTTTCTGTCTTCCAAAGCTACTATAGCGAGGTGACACTACCTAAATCGAGTGCCAGTGATATATCCTGGATCGGAAGTCTGCAAGCCTTTGGCTGCTTTTTCCTGGGAATATGGGCCGGTATCCTGTCCGACAAACGAGGGCCCAAATGGCCCTTTGCTCTGGGGACATTTTTCATGGTTTTCGGAACAATGATGGCATCAATTTCATCTTCCTACTACCAGTTCGTCCTCTCACAAGGAATTTGTAGTGGCATCGGATTCGGGTTAGTTTTCACCCCAGCCCTTGCCATTCAATCACAATGGTTTTTGAAGAAACGTGGATTCGTCGTTGGCTTGGTTATGTCAGGCCAAAACATCGGCGGTAAGTGAAATTTCCTGGCCCCGGTCATGTTGGGGTCGCCAAATAGAATCCGCTGCTAACTTGTTCCGCCGTTCGGACAGGTGTCATCTGGCCAATCCTCGTGGATCGCCTCATTACCACTTACGGGTTGTCACTCGGGTGGACGCTCCGCACCATTAGCTTCATGCAGTTGTTCCTTATGGTCGCCGCCACATTGATGGTTCATCCACGCTTCTCTGACATTCCTCGGGAGCCGATCCCTGTGAAGCAATTCCTGACCGATAAACGGACCTGCTTATTCACGTTATCTTCATTCTTATTTTTCTTTGCGATCTACATTCCTTATGTCTGTACCCGGATCCGCGATCAAATTCTTCGCAGTACTAACATGTTTCTCTCATCAAGTTCTACATCACCCCCTACGCCATGCAATGGGGCACTTCCCTCAACATGGCGTTCTACATGTCGTCAATTCTGAACACTGGCGCTTTCTTCGGTTGTTACATTTTCGGCGTGGCATCCGATCACGGTCTTGGCCAATTTAATGCACTTACATTGGTGGCCTTCGGCTGCGCTGTGACGGCTTTTGGCTGGATTGGAACTAAGGACAATGCGGGTATTGTCGTATGGAGTATTATTTACGGGTTCCTCTCCGGCGCCCTCCAAGCGCTTGTGTCGCCGTGCATCTCCCACTTGGCACCCAAGCCAGAACTGATCGGTACATGGAACGGTAAATCTACAAAGCTTTCATTGTCGTTTGTAAAGATGTTGAACTAGACCCTAACCTCGTGCTAATAGGGCTCTGTATAAGTGTAATTTCGCTTGCTGTTCTTGGCATGGGACCGATTGCCGGAAAGTTGCTTGATAACACGGGCGGCACTAACTATCTCCCCATGCAATTGTTTACGGCGGTACTTTTGATGGCGGCTAGTTCTTTATATATCATTTCACGCCTTCTCGTTTCTCGGAAGGCGATTGTCTGATTGAGTTAGAAAATTGATCACATCCCGTTCAATCCTACTCCTACGTCAAATATTTCAAAGGCTATGATATGCCAAAGAGTCCTGTTCAGAACGGCTCTGCCTTAGCTATCAGGAGAAATTTGCATGTCGTTCCCTAGGGCTCATACCTCCCACGTCTCACCATAGTGTATGCTAATACTAGTCAAGGTAAAGAAAGAGAAACGAGATAGGTGAAGTGTCAGTTGCGTTCCAGATTACATAGTATTCATGCCACTCCTATCTTGAAAATGTGCGCCAACTCGTACTAGTGTAATATCCAGCACCAAATGCTTGGGACTCCAGCAGCTGTATATAGTACTGTAGATGAATATGTCGTGATCAGGGTTCCATGGCTTATTTTAAAGCCCGGGGCAACCTATGTCAAAACCTCGTCACGGCGTTGACTATCTAGAACTCAAAGCCGGAAGGTATATTTACTAGGGTTACCTATGGGAATCCGACAACACTATTAGAGGTTTTGCTAGTTTTGAAATTTCTAGGGCGATTGGTACTATGGAGCTTAATCAAAGAATGTCATTGTTTAAAGACACGGCTACTCGCAGTCAAAAGAGACTCTGTGCGGGAAATAGTGATTGTAGATAATTGTGTCGCCAAACTGCATCGTCTATCTCCATTCAAATGCGGAACCCAGGTGTAATTTCTTCGAATATCGCAATCTAACTACAGGCGCGAGCTGTGCTCCGTTGGATCCTCAAGCAGATGAGCGAGTTCGCTGTACGGCACACCAATACGGCCGAGAGCCTTATAGAAAGCTTGGGGCTGAACCCAATCTTCGGGAGCGAAAACACCGGCAAGCTTCGAATCGTCCTCCATTGCCAGAACCATGAAGGCGGCACAAGCACCTCCGGTGATGGCAGCCATATTCTTGAAAAGAACAGCGCCTTCACCAGCCAGGCCTGTGCGTTTCATCTGAACGACCGGCATGCCATTGCGAGTACCGGTGACTCGAACAGTCAGGCCACCGCAGTACGGCCCAATCTTGCCACGAGCAGAGTCGAAGAGGAAGCTGAGCACTTCTCCAGTGGTGCATTCACCAGTCTTGATCTGTTCAAGCATCCCATACATAGCGTGCCGCCACGGTCCACCGGCAGCGTTGGAAATAATCTGCCAGAGCTCGTTGAGTGTGACGTCGCCGCCACGTAGGTACGCGCTGGCCCCACCCAGAGCACCCTGCCATCCTTCAGCCGGATTAGGATTGTTGATCAAATTCAGAATAAATTCAACGGCCTCGTCAACGCTGATCTGTTGCCGCCTCACGGCGTTACCGAGTCCACGGGAAATGCCATTAAATGGTGCCGGGTGCAGTGCACCAAGGCAGCGGATCCGAGTGGCACTAGGGAAGAGCCGTGGGAGCGTCACAGGCTCCGGGTGGGCAGTTTCGTGCAGGAGTGTCTCTCCGTGATCACCATACATTGGCGCATAGCCGGTTTCAACCCACGATTCGTTGACAGTGGCCTTTCCATTGGCCCATGTCAAACAGGGACCGGCGGCGATATGCATCAGGTGCTCCAGAACAGCCTTGCCAATTCCAGGTCGTTCATCACCAACTAGCCAACAGACATCGATCGAATCCACCTTCTCAATTCCTTTGGCAGCATCGATAGCCATGACATTCGTGACACCAGGAGACGCGCCGCAGCCGATGAAGAACGGCACACCGGCAGCCTTTGCCTTCTCGTGCAAGGCGAGTGCTGCAGTAGTACTTTCCACATCGTCGTCAAAGTCGAGGTAGGGAACCTTATTCTCAAGGCAGGCTGAAATAACGGGCTCGCTGGTCTTAGAATAAGGTCCGGCGCCGAGGACAACGAGGGACGCGCCCTTCGTGGCGGCAAGCAGGGCGGAACGATCATAGAGATCCAGCTTCAGGGTAGTTGCCCGTCCAGTAGGAAGTTGAGCTGCGAGAACATCAATGGGACCGACATTAATGTCGGTGAGAACGAGCGAAATATCCTTGGCTGCTGCAAAGCGCTCGATGGCAATGCGACACATCGCACCGGCAGCGCCGATGAAGACAACCCTCTTGGGGCTAGAGAAGAGGGTAGCCATAGCAAAATATGATAGTTCCGACGATCGGGTTTTGACCTAGGATATTTGGGGAAGGAAGAGGTGCTTGGGTATGACCGTCAGACAAGAAAACTGTATTGGTGCTTTTATATCCCATCGCGGTCTCGATGAGTTAGTAAACGAGAAAGTTTTCCCCACCGTTACGAACTAAGTTGGCCGATCGCTCCTCCCACTCGCATCCTAGATAGAACCTTGGCGCGATGTGGAAGCTTCCTGGGGCAGGCAAGACGCCGCGGCTTCAGTTCGGTGGCTCCGCTTTTCACAAGGCGACACACAAGAGCCGATTTTGCGGGTCCGAAAATCAATAATGCGAGCGATAAGAAGATCAAAAATACGAGGATGTCTTGAAATGCATAGTGTTTATGGTCATAATTTGATTGGAAGTCACTAACCCTACCAGTCTATTCCCGAGCTTGATATTGAGGTAGATAGCTCCCTAATTCTGATTTGTATACAATTCTCGGAATCTAAAAGACTGTATGAAAATTATCAGAGCTTCAAGGGCATCCGCAGGGGTATATAACAGCCCCACGACTGCATTACCAGAATGGAGAGATAGTAGGAAATTTGAACCATTCAGTGATATTATCTGTAAACCTATTGTATCCATGTTGGTGCGGATTGTATAACAATAGCTGTTCAACTCCGAGTCTACCTAGGTTACCACCTGGGCAAGGTATGAAAGAACTTCGCGAGAAACTTCGACCATTTGCCCGGGGTGAGCCCCCACATCGGTATAACGAAGCTCGGGGCATGGCGGAGTTCCACAGCGGAGTCAAATTGACGGGCAAGTCACTACATCTAGCCTATCAGAAGTTCGCAAGCAAGGCAATTATGCGGCAAAACTGTAGATCGCCCTTCGGAGCCGCCGGAGCCGTAGAGGTCGCGGAACCCCCCAGATCTTCCAACCTGAAGGTCCCAACCCTGCAATTGTCTCGGGAGTTAGACTGTTGCCTAATAACTAGCAACGAGTAGGATCACTACTACCCACTGTCGACCGGGCTCCGCGGAACTGGACTACCTCCAGGGCTACCTAGTATCAGTGCTAGTATTAGCCTTGTATAGCTAGCTATGGAGAACGTCAGAAATAGTATCGAGCGCCAGGGCAAGGGTATATATAGCACCTATATATACTCAATGAGCAGTAGTATTGGAGGATCAACCCTGAAATCAAAATCTTGGTTGCTGAAGTTCAAAGTTTCAAGTTGTTAAGCTCGACGTTAAATCGATATATTATGAGTCCTTATCGCAGCGAGAAATTCCAAAATATCACAGGGCTTTTTATACAGCAGAACCGATAAAACATGACGGATACATTCGATGTGGTAATGGTTGGGGCAGGCATGGCCGGAATCATGGCAGCCCGCGACCTCAGCAAAGAGGGATATTCGGTCATCCTTCTTGAGGCTCGAGACAGAGTCGGCGGGCGAACTTACACCAAAAGGGCCTTTGGTCGGGAGGTGAAGCTCGGAGGGGCATACGTGCATTGGTCACACACAAACGTATGGCATGAAATGCAACGACATGGAATATCGGTGAAGGCTCCCATCGGCTCTGAGAAAGTCTACTGGCTGGCGAACGGCACCATGCATTCAGGAAAGTAGAGTGACCACGACGTCGCTGTGGAGCCTGTCATCACCCGTCTCGTTGACGACGTTTGCCGTCGCTTCCCGACACCTTTTGAGCCTGGTGCGGTGGACAACAGCGAAATAGAAAAAGAGACCCTTGAGGACCGCATCAACTCTTTCAATATCCCCACATACGAGCGCGAAGTCCTCGATGGAATTTTGTCGGGCATGGTTCACGCTTACAACCCGCATGGTGTCTCCTAACTCCTCCTCTGAGTGGCTGCGAATTTCGGTAGCTACAAAGCCTTCTTCGAAACAGGTAGCTACTGGGCTATTGATGGCGGTACAAAACGTCTGATCAATGCCATTATGGCGGAGTCGTCCGTTGAGCTGCGTATCTCGACACCTGTCAGCTCTATCACTGACAACGGATCACAAGTCACTGTTACGACGCGTACCGGCCACAAGATTCATTCGCGCTCGGTCATCGTTGCACTCAATACCATTGGAGACATTAAGATCACACCAGATATTCCTCCGCGCGTGCGGCAGATGATTGACCAAAAGAACCCAGTCATGGGTGGGAAGATATGGGCGCGGGTCAAAGGTGAAATTCAGCCCTTTTCTGGCTTCGCCTCAGTCAGCAAAAGCCCTATCAACGTAGCCAGAGTTGAAAGTCGCTACAATGGAGATACCCTAATTTTATGCATGTGCTCCGATGTGAGAACAATTTGTGCCGATGACCGCGAGGCAGTGCAAGCCGCTTTGCGAGAGTTTGTCCCTGACATCCAAGTGATCGATACGGCTAGCCACAACTGGGTCACCGACGAGTTCTCTAAAGGCGCCTGGATGATGCACCGGCCTGGACATTTGACGCAAGGCGCACTCCAGATGCGCCAGCCTCATGGTCGTGTTCACTTTGCCGGTGGAGACATTGCTCTACCTGTGGTCACTTCAATCGACGGCGCTATGGGGACCGGTGCAGCTGCAGCGCGCGATGTTGCCTCTGGGTTGGCCAGTGGTAAGTATTAATTGGCGTCTCGTAAGATCATATATCAGATATACTAGTAGAATTTGAATTGTGTTTTGTCCGAATGTTTTAGGTCGTTTAGAAAATCAATTTACCCCCGGCGCTCCACTCCGTCTTCAGCACATCGTGAAATCAACCATGATACCTCGATATTGACAACCTTGGAACCTCCAAATTTCAAAAACATACTAGTATCGAGTTGTTACCACCGTGACACGGGCACTCCATTGCCTACTCCTAGTAGGTACTAGTAACTTGAACTTGAACTTCCAACTTGAAGCTTCCTGATGTCACCACATTGCACGGATAGTACTACTAGTAGTATAGTCTACCTAGGCAACCGAATTGACCGAACCAACTCACCGCCAGTGCCCCAGTCCGAGTCTACTAAGTTCCAACTCCATGCGGCATTCGATTTTTCTTCTAATTTGCAAAAATAGATTCGTTGCAATGGTTTGGCTTGTTTTGATGAAGTATAAATTTACGCGCCGTCAAAGTGTGCGTTTTAACTACCCCAGTAATGCTCGGCTAGTTGTCAGGTTATTTTGCTGCTGCCACCTTGTCAATTCCAATAGGTGGTACTAGTAGGTTTTCAAGAGATACCAAATCCGCAGATCTCTGACTGGCTTAATTTATATGATACAGCATAAGGAATCAACTGGGAATTTATTTGCAAGTCAAGGTTTTCTTTAAGTTCAAGCTGGCTTCAGGCAGCATCCAACTCGTTCGGAGCCCGCGGGATCCGGCGGTTCCGCGGCTCCGAAGTGGGCGGAAACTTTGACCTGCATTGTGGCGCGAGCTGCGTCGAGATCACTTGCTGGCGATAATGTCACGGCTGGAAGAACGTAAAAGAGCGGGGTGGAGTTCGGATTGGATCGCCATTCCTCGAAGTTAAGAAACTAACTAGTCTATGATGTGCCCCTCCTAGTGAATGTGAAAATCTGTGAAGACGCACGTACACGAGAGATACATAGGATGAACTGAATTACAACATAATGATATGTAATCAGTGTATCATTACATACCGCTGGTATCGATCTACCGGCAGCTCCCATTCGAGTGAAGCATATTGCCTCCTTCCCCGCATGAACCCCAGATCTCCAGATTTACGCCTTTCGGTCTTCTGGTTGAGCCACTTACTCCCTCCTCGCCCCCCAAACCCTAAACACCCCGCACACACATGACAGCATTCAGTTAAAGAGGATCTGTTGAGCATCCCTTTTTCTAATTTTCACATTGCCATCTTGTGAAAAATTGGTCCATAAGTGCAAATGCCATGTCGCAAGCACATTTGAAAAACAGCCCACGAGGCGAAGCTCAAGTATCCGAGTCCAGTATCCTCCTATCAACGTCAGCAGCCGAACCGCCTATGCAGCTGCTCGATAGTGTGAGCTTCGATGGCATGTTCACAAATGAATCCATGGCGGCAGACACTTTCGCGAACTACATTGCGTTCCTGTCATCAAATCAGACTGGCTTGCAAGATGAGCGAAGCCATGAACTTCAGAATTGGAGCATGATGACTGATCCTGCTCAGCAGCAGTATTGCGCTTCACTCATACCCGGCATCGACGAGCAATCTGAAGTCATCCAATTTCCAAATATCAGAACCAAAAGCGCCGAACCTAGAGACACCATCGGTGGGCCTCTTGATTCAACCAGCCCTGCCACTGCGACCAGTGATATGGGGGATATTACAGGCAACGAACGCCCGACAGCAGAAAGCCCCCAAGTTCGAAAACAGCGGAGACAAAATCATTCGTGTGATCAATGCCGGTCATCAAAGAAGGCCTGCGACTTGCCGTTGACGGTTCGAATCAGCCATAAGAGTCCTTCGACCAGTTGTTCAACATGCGATAACCGTGGAATGAGATGCACAGTGACTTGGCTGGCAGGCAGGAAGTCGAAAAGAGAGGCCAAAAAGCGGGCGAATATGGTTTCTAACGTGGCTGAAGCAGGCGACATAAATGCCGAAGAGCAACCTGCATATCGCTTGCGGCCTCCTATCCCGGAGGGCATATCAGCAGTGGAAACAAATCTCTCCAGGCAGCTCGATTCACGCAAGCTAGGTCTCCAATATTTCAATCTTTATGTCGATGTGTGTGATGTGCCCATCTCTGAATGTCTCCTGCAGGGTAGCATGCCGCCCCAGTACAATATGGGTATTGCGGCTTTGGCACCGTTGAGTGGAAGTCGGAATTTGGCGATTCATTTGAAAATAGCGAAAGAGTGGATAAATAGTTGTTGGGAAACGGTGTCTGACGAAGATCTTTGGTCTTCTAGCGGGGCATCACCCCATGCATTTCGCACAGTCGCTCTATTGGACGCCATATTCCATTGCAAAATCTACAATGAAGTCCCGCACGCGGTCGCGTCACTGCGTGACGCATCGATCAATGATACATACAAATGGGTTGCCATTGCCACTGCATCGCAATTCACCATCGAAGGAAATCATTCGTCAAGTTATAGCCGTGACCTTGCCACCGCTGCTTGGCGCAAAGCCAGAGAGATGATATTTGAAAATATGGCGGCCACCGACTCATTCCGACACTCCTTGTCGATGGCATTGTTTGGGCTAATTATCTGGCCGAAAATAAGCCCCGAGGAAGACTATTTCTCTGAAAGAGATTCTGTATACGTACTATGCGAAGGGATTCGTCGCCTTGACTCGCTCTGTGCCGAGGCAACCAGACATCTTGAAGATGTCGAGGACAACTCCCTATATTCAGCGGGAGAAAGGTCTTGCAAATTGGCGCCGGATGAGAAAGAAAAGATTGTCGAGTTAATCGGTGCAATTCAATGGCTGGCCAATTTCACAAACGATGCGGTGATTGCCACTTCACACGGAGCGATTTGCCCAATGCCTATTAAAGCCATTATTGATATCAATCCTAAAGGCACTCGGAGAACTATGCGGTCTCTTCAAGCGCCGGATCTAGCGACTTCAGTCAATGCACAAAAAGATCAGGACATAGAAAATTCAATTTTTTCCCGGGCTATGACACAGCGGCAGACCCTGATGGCCCTCGAATGCAGCAGCAGAAGTTTTCATACAGTGAAAGATGCCGTGAGAAATTCAGCTCTGTTGCTTATTCTACTCTGGAGGGCCGTGGCATCTTTTATGCTGGTTGCTAAGAGTGTTCGTACTGGAAAGGCCGACTACAAAATCATCGCATCGCGCTACGAGGCAACAATGAACCTCGTGGTACTGTGGAGATCAAGTTTCGGTATATTTGACGGCAAATCGATCGAATCTCTTCAACAGTCTTCATCCGAAATTCGACGTATATTTGCATTTTGCGTGAACGATGGTGATCTAGGTGTTCTTCTATTCCACGAAACTATGCAGAATCTCGAGAAGGACCTTGCAGGGAGGCCCCTGACATCAGAGAAGACTAGTCTCTGCGATATTCTTGATTCCACTCGATCTTGTCTTCAAAGCCAAAGATCCATGAGTGCAGTCCAAATTTCGACACTTGCCGCCATATGCGGGAGAGTATCGAGCGCTGGGATTCAAGGTAATGGTGGGGCAAAGTTCAATGTTCAGGATATTGGAGCACGTCCCGTGAGTTCGAATCCCTTGAATTATATATTCACTTTTCTCGAATGGCTGACATGGTTGACAAGAACCCGGTAATGGTTGTGCAAGCACAAACACTTTCTGCAAGGGCCTTTGCCGATGACGTGTCTGGTCGAGTCCGCGAAATGGATATGAGAGGGGCGTCAAAAACGGCGAGTAGATTGGAGACGTGCCTTGGAACTTTGCAAGACCTTCATAAATCTCTTACCACCTTTCCCAACATTTCAGTTGCGGCATGATTGATGCGCTTAGGCGCTTAGTCTCCAAAGCTTCATTTAAGTAACTGGGGGTGGGAAAGTGGCCAATCGAAGTTTGATGGAAGCCTCGCACCACATTATAGTAAGAAAGTAAAATGGTCAGCCATTATCCTCGGCATGTTCAATAACATCCTAGTATGAGGTTGTTCAACGTGATTAACGTGTTTCACTACCGAGCTGGCCGCCCTACATTATTCTTGAACATGACTTACAAGGTCTCAATCTGCTTATATAGTAGGTCTCCTCTTTAATGGTGATATAGAGAGTAATGTACGATTTTGAAAATTGTTCTAGATCATTATTTGAAAGGTTCACGAAACATGCTTATACTTTTCTGGACAAGGGATCAGTATTTATATCTCTGCTGCAGAATTCGTTTTTCAATTTTATACCGTGAAAATTCGTTAATAATGCCATTTTGATTACTAGATCTTCAAGTAAGCTCTCAAATAGCAGTAGCCACTGCGTTTTGAAGTTCTAATTTATCATATTTACTATTGTGTTTTGAGGCAGCCAGCTCGGTAGAGTTGCGGAAGCCCGGCGTTTTGGGACCGAGGCGTACCGTGACCGTGACGGTAACATTACTAGTATGTTACAAAATATCGTATCTTTGCAACCCTTCGGTTACCACTCTCGTAAATTCACTATCGATGCGGGTCAACGGTTCGGTCTTTTCGTGATATTCTATGGCATAGCCTAGGTCTTGCGGGAATCCAGGGCGATCGGTGCTTGAACCATCTTTATCTCGGCTCTGCAATTCCTGTCCCGCTACCTGTATTTAAAGGGTTGAGATGGAAGGAGGGAAACGTAACCTAGCGCTGGGCATCATCTACCAACACGCAACCCAAATTTCAATTTTCTGGTCTTTATGACTCTTTTCCATTGAGACAAATCACATGGAATCATGGAATTCATGACTTATCAACCGGCCATCTTGGTCGAAGCCGAGAGTTTCGAAAATTCTGGCGGTAGGGTGATGGAATTCCAGTTCGATCTAGAAAAGGGCTCACCCTATCTCCTAGCTCACGGCAACGGGCTGCCCGTCGCAGATGCAACAACCTCCGTTGATACTTCACCTGGTTCATATCATGTGTGGGTGCGCGCCAAGGACTGGGATCCAGGTCATCATCCTGGGAGGTTTACTCTGATGATCAACTGCAAAACACATGAACCTGAGTTCGGTGCAAACGACAAGGACTGGTCATGGGAATACGGCGGTACGATTCCACTCGAAGGCAGAACAAGACTCACATTGCACGCATTAACAGGCTTTTGCGCACGCTATGACGCTATCTTTCTAAGTCAGGAAGCTGAGGCTCCCCCACCCGAGGCTGGACGGGCGTGGAGGCAGGTCCTTCGTGGACTACCGCAAACCCCAGTCAATATTGGGTACTTTGATGTAGTTGTCGTTGGGGGTGGTATCGTTGGATCTGCCGCTGCACTAGCAGCTGCGCGCTTGGGGGACCGGGTGGAGCTTCTCCATAATCGACCAGTACTCGGCGGGAATGGGAGTGTCGAGATCGGCCTTCTACCCCGTGGTAATTCACACGCAACATCTTTTCTAAATACACAGGATAGGGTGTTCAGATAGCCAAATGGGGTGTCCACTGAGTAGTGCCCGTTCATCACGGGACTGTTGCCTACCCTCATCCTAATCGGGTAGCTACTACCATTTCCCCTTCCATTCACTTCTTTTCTTCCTCCTCTTTATCTCTTCCACTTCAACCTCTCTTCACATGCCTTGTTCCACTCTCCCCTTCTTCACTTTTCAACTTTCTGCTTCTCTTACGTCCGGTGAGTTTTCTTCCCATCAACCTCCATTGGAGCGAGCTCAACTAACAACTCACTTGGCTGTTCTGGTGCGAGGGGAGTGACGGTCTGGCCGATCGAACAGAAACAAGCTCTTCTCCAGCTCCTGCTTAAGAAGAAAGCAAAATGCGCCGTCTAACACGCAGCCGAGGTCGAGGCCCGACCAGATGAGACCATCCCATAGCCTATCCAGCTAAGCCCTTCAAGTGCGCACCCTGGACGCTCACGCGAAGGCAAAGAGGCCGATCGAAAGATGCCCTTTGCAAAAACCGACAACCCGAATTCTTCCGAAGCCGCCAATGAGTTACGGATCGTCGCATAGAGATTGCCGGAAGGCGCCCGCCTCACTGATACCGGTGTTTACCTCGCGGCCAAATCGATCAATGGAGCCGAACGTCTTAAACGACATCCGTACGATGTTATCCACGCGAGATCAGTCATATCCGCTTGGCGCGTCCCCTCTGGCAAACCAGTCATCCTTTGGGGTCACGGCCTTCCTTGGATTGCTGTGTCACGGCACGGTTATATTTTGTGGGGCGAAAAGCTCGCATCCCGTATGGGTTGGCTACTTGATATCGGTTCGAAAAAGGCGGGTTTCTCGGAGGATGCAGGCTTCTTGGCTGGCATTGTGCTGGCCCCTTGTGATATGTTGCCACTCGAACCTGGCACGTTCCAAGTGGAGCTCTTGAAGCACGTTAATAACACAGTCGATGTCGACCCTCTCCTGAAACAGAAGTGTCTGTGGAAAGCTCAAACTCACGTCTGCACCCACTGGGAAGATCTCGTCATCGAGCCGACCGAAGGCGGTCCTCGACTTCGGCGCATGCATCGTGGCGCTTTCTTCAAACGCTCATGTGCTACATTTTCAAAAGTTCTATTCCTAATTTGTGCGCAACACAATGTTCTAGTAAGTTTGCAGGAAATGGATCAGCCGCCGAGTCGCCATTTGGAGGTATGAAGGAGTCTGGATATGGAAAGGGGAGTGGCAAGGATGTTGCAGTCAACGAGTATCTGGTGACCAAGACTGGAGCCCTGACGATCGAGGGACAGTACTGAGCAATCATTTTGAATATTCGAGAGTACATATAGTTAAACAAATCAAATTGGAAATTAGAAATGAGTATGACAGTGTCTTCGCGACCAGTATTACTAGATATTGCCAGCTTGCACCCTGGATGGTGACCTACTGTCGCGTGTTATATGCGGTGCAACAGATGCTGTAGTATTCGAAGACTTCTTAGCTCTCTTTCTAATCTACATGGTACTCAAGCACTCGCACCTGAATGGTGAGAATGCGGCATTATCATTCCTTGACGGTATAAACGGCCCGCTCGAACTCAGCCAGAAGGTCGACAGCTCTTTGGTCACCGGTAGGCAAAAGTTGGGACAAGTACACACCAGCAATTCCCTTTTTCATGTCGACCCACTATCTTGATGTCAGCTACAAGTTCATAGATGGGATACATAAAGACAATGACAATGCTTACCCAGTAGCAATTGGGGAGTCCGGACCAAGACAGTGAATACTGACTGCGGCCGCCGGGCACATCGATCGTGTTGAGCAGGCCGCTAAGCCCGTAGTCAGCAGGGATATTGCTAGGAACGGCGTTATAAATTGCGTTGCGATTTGCCAGAGCATGGTCTTCTTGGTTATCCAAGCCCTTGCGGCTCTCAAGGTTTGGCTTGAACATCAGCTCCAGAGTCTCGGGCCGGAGCAGTCTGTTCTGCAATACTCCGAGGTAGATCTTGAGAAGATCAGGCACAGTTGTGTATATTCCACCACCTCCAATGTCGTCTGCGACAGGGTCAGGCATCCAGAAGTCAGTGACCTCTCTGAGTTGGCGATCATCTCGTTCCCACAGCTTCACCTTTCGAGTGCGGAGATCCTCTCTCTCATCCAGGTGAAAGGTAACGTCCCTGGCTCCAACTGGTTCAAACATGTTCTTCTCCATATATTTTCCCAGTTTGAGGCCCGTCACTTGCTCGACCTGGTTGTTGTTCTGTCAGCTAATTGTCTCTGTGGATTCTCCAACGTTCTCTGTACGGCTGGATACTCACCATCAGCCCAGCCCATTCAAGTCCAGGACTATACATCCACTGTTCTCCGGGCTCAAACACCAGAAACTTATGGAAAGACTCTCGCTATTCTGTTTAGTAGAGTGCGCCAAGTCTCGGCAGTGAATGGACATACAATGGTCTGCAGGAACAGAGGTCGGTCGCCTTCCAGCTCTTGGTAGCGCGTCGAAAGCGGATGCATAAAGGTATAGGCCATTCCAGATGAGTGGGTCAAGAGGAGTCTTGAAAAGACTCTGTGAGAAGGATGTATGCAACATTATTGATTTGAAGTGCAACATACCGAAGAGTAAGAGGGCGTTTTGCTGGTCTGAATTGAGGTTCGTTCTTCTCACTGAATCCGGTCAAAATTTTGGGGTCTTTCCACTCAGGTAGGATGGCAGAAATGTCTGCGTCCAAGTTTAAAAGCCCCTTTTCGACGCATTGCATGACCGCGATGCTTGTGATAAATTTGGTTGCGGACGCAATCCAGTGCACATCGTCAGCTCTGCGAATTTCTCCCTGGTCACCACCGAAAGTCTTCGCGTAGTGGAGGGTTCCTGGGAATTGTTATTGATGTGGTAGACAATTGTTCTGTTCAATTATGGAACTAACCATCTCGATTCACGGCACCAAGGGTGATGCGAGGCAGGGGTTCTCCATCCTGATGGAGAAAGGATTGGACAGCTTCGTCAATGAACTCCATTGCTACGATATACCCGTATGGTCTTCAGATTGTTTGCCTTGAGAGAATAGGTTTCTATTTTCAATGGAAAGGGCATTGTATTTAAATCGTCAAATGCCTTGCCTTCACACTTTGTGATTTTAGTGCCCCCCTTTGCTTTTTAGTAATGATATTAAATTCTCTTCTGGTTTTCTATGGTAAATATAATTGGAGCGGCCGTGTAACTGACCGTTTCAGTGATACCGTTAGTTCTGCAATTCGATAAATTAAGCTCAGACGTCGCAAAACGGCTGAAAGAGGCAAAGACGTGGGGAAGTCTGTCACGATGAGCTACCTGCATCAGTAGTACCCAGTATTTTTTCCTTTTCCACCCGGTGAGGATGTTCAAGTTGTGGATAAGCGGTACCGTCGAGTCATCGGTCTCAACATCTGCGAAGTCAAACTCCCCGAATCATGAAGAAGCCAATTGGCGGAGTCGGATGAACCCTCGCTATCTGTCCTAAAACGGAAAATATTTAGTGGGGCGGGCGGTTTAAGGTCCACGGCGGGTTGTGGAGCAGAGTACGGATGCCTTAAGTTCAAGTTCAAGTCCAAGTTTTTAGTCATAAATGACTGATGTCACTGCCATCAAGTTCCAAGTACAAGTCTAGATCATCAATGTCTAACATCATGACTTGATAAAACAGATTTATCTTCGATTTATTCCCCCGCCAACGCAGCCAAACCAATTTTTCACCCGGTCGTGGACCAAAAATCTTCCTGATTAAACATGATCGAGGGTGAGACGTCTGTCCAGGATTGCTTGCGGCATCGCATGCCGAGCCTGTCGATATATACTGGAGGCAGGAATTATCAGGATTGTCTCGATCGATATAACAATGCACTGGGCGAGCAACCGCTAGTTTGCACGCGGCCAAGGACCGAGCAAGAGGTCTCCCAGCTAGTTCAATTCTGTACCGAAGAATCGATTCCCTTTGCTGTTCGCTCGGGTGGTCATGACTTCTTCGGTCGCTCCCTGGTTCACGAGGGAATTCTCATCGACATGCGCGCGATGGACTCAGTCATCGTCGAGCCGGACCGAACCAGCGTGCACGTTGGTGGCGGGGTGATTTCCGGCGCCCTGCAGGAAGCACTTAATTCCGACGGATTATTCACCCCTACTGGACAGGCAAAATCCGTGGGATATGTATCGTGGGCCTGTGGTGGAGGGTATGGCTTCTACGTTGGCACGTACGGGTTTGGGGTTGATCAGATCCTTGCGGCCCGGGTTGTTTTGGCCGGGGGGAAAGTTGTTGATACCGACGAAGATCCCGAATTGCTGTGGGCACTCCGCGGCGCTGGGGCTGGCACATTTGGCATCATCACGGAGCTTCGTGTGAAGGCGTACCCAGTACCTAAACTATATGCCGGCTTTCTAGCCTTCCCCTTGACCGAGGCCGCATCTGTCATGGATAGGATCGAAAAGCTCCTACAGGATGACTTTCCTGATGAATTTAGCGGAGATGCTGTTGCAGTGAATCCAGAAATGTCACCGATGCCGGTGGTCGAGCCCTGTTTCATTTTTCTTTGGTGTTGGACTTCGGTCGACGGAAACCTTGCGCTTGCGAAAAGCTTTCTTGAGCAGATGATGCAGGCTGGCAGGGTACTGGGAAACACGGTCACGGAGAGTAAGCTCCAGGCTTCTATTACGCAGTATATAAATTCCAGCTAACCTGACCTGGTATTCAGCTACACCAGCAGCTTACGGCCTGGGTGATTCGTCATCAGGAACCTTCTTGCGCAGTCGAAGTATTGACGGTATACATCGGAAGGTTGGTGCCATCCTCGAACGATGCCCTCCACCACATCCGCTGTCCGCTGTGATCTTTCATTATAACCATGGTAGGGGCGTTCGACATGGAGTCGCAGATAATGTCGGGGCGGCGTTTCCGAATCGGCACCAGCATGTCATTCTCGGGCTCCATGGTGGAACTAGATCAGGCCAGGCTAATACACAAGAGCTTGCGGATGCAGCCAAATGGGTCACAGGGTTGGAGGAGGCAATTGATCAGAACGGTCTCTCGTTGGAAGGAGGTTTCCCTGCATTTTGGCCCCCTGATCAGGTGGATGTAGAACGATTCTTTGGGGAACAGGGAGCCGCAAGACTGCGGCGATTGAAAGCACAACTGGACCCGAATGATGTATTTCGCCATGCGATGCCCTGTCTCAAAGCAGGCTGAATGTGCTTGAATATAGAAATTCTGTGTAGAAAAACAATTGTGGCCTTAGGCTCCCGTTTGGTGGATGATTAGTTAATTTACACGTGATGTGGCCATCCCGCGTTTTCGACAGCCACAGCCAGTTACCAATCTGATCCAATTTCTAGTGTCCAGGGTCTTTACCAGTATTGAATGCAAGAGGAAGTACAGGTGGCCATCAACCCATCTGACTGGATATGTCTTTTCCCGGCTTTCGTTTCAAGCAAGTGAGAATTTGCTCGTCCTCAAACGCGAGCGCGAGCACGCAGCAGGAGCACGAACCCCTAGCGGGACCACGGCGGAACAAAAGCAAATTGGGCTGTCGAGAATGCAAGGCAAAGCGCGTCAAATGTGACGAGGCCTATCCGATATGCAAGCGGTGCCAGCGCCAAGGACTTGTCTGTTCGTCAGCCCCACGATCATCACAGTGGCAAGTTGAGACGCCGTGGCTCTCACTGCAACCTAGCACACTTGTTAATCGAAGACTACTGCAATATTGGCTGGAGAAAGTCAGCCAGACATTGGTCATAGATCCTGAAAATAACCCATTTCCATTTCTAACTTTGGAATACATCACCCAATCACCCGCACTCCTCCATGCTATCCAATCGGTCAGTGCCAACCACGAGCAGTATTACTCGGCCATCGCCCCCATCATCGCCCTTGAGGAACATGGCAAAGCCATAGCCTGCCTTCGAAGAGAGATAAACCGAAGTCAACACGCGCCTACAGCACACTTCTTGACTATTTTGTTACTGGCTCTGGCGCAAGGTGCTGATTCTGACATGACAGATTATGGCAAGCAGCATTTATTTGGTGCCCGTGCCTTAATAAAGAGTATGCTCCAGGACACATCTATGTCGACGACTAATTACCATGCTTTCAGGCTCTGCTTGGGGATGTATCTCTACTGGGACGCATGCAGTTCGTTCCTGGTAGATCCGTGTGAGCCAGACGGACTCAATTTATTGAATATGTCCGATACAGTGCATAGGATAGGAGACTGGCACCATCCAATGTATGGAACATGTAGCAAACTACTGTTTATGATAGGAAATGTCGGACGGTACTGCCGACATATCCTTGACTCGCCACAAAACCGCGATCTCTTGCAAGAAGCCATCTTGGAGGGCCAACTGACTACCTGGAAGGCAAGCCCCCCAAATCCCGGGCTGGGCCACTTATATGAAGCATTCCGCAAGCACGGGCTCATCTTCCTTTATCGAGCCCGTGCGCATGCAAAAAGTAGTTGTCTCGCGGATCCAGGCCCGTCTGAAACGCAAGAATATTTGATTCAACAATACGCCGAAGAAACAGTCCGCCATCTGATGCAAATTCCTGCAACCTCAAACTACCTTAATTTCCAAGCTCTCCCTCTTGTCACAGCTGGCTCCGAATTGTCGGGATCAAATCACTTTCTGCGCGATCAAGTGCGTCACAGGCTTCGAGCCATCTATTCATTGAATCGCCTTCCTACAAATTTACTGGCCCTTCAAGGTCTTGAAGAAATATGGGATGGCCGAGACAGCGGGAACCAATCGTTCTGGCTACTGCACATGCTTCAGAACGACCGGCGGTTACTTCTAGGATGAAGCTATGTATCGTTAAATATATGCGACTAGTTCCTAGGATAGAAAATGATGTACAGTTTAGATGTCTGCGTTGGTGGGTGGGTCCTGCGAGAGAGAATGCTTGGTGAAGAACATCCTGATCGACTAGCATCTCAGCACGAACTCGCACGTGCCTATCAATCCAACTGGTAGATCAAGCAGCCTGTACAGCTACTTGAGCATATGGTCGCAGTGAAAGAGAGAACGCTTCGTGAAGATCATCCTGATCGACTGGCGTCTAAGCGCGCATTCATTTTGAAACACGAGCCAAATATCGATAAGCGGGACAGGTGCGAACGAACTCCTCTTCACTGGGCTGCTGGGTACGGTTCACTTGCAGCTGTGAAAATTTGTTAGACCAAGTCGAGAGCATCAATGTCTTTGACGTCAAAAATACTACTTCATTGTCGTACCTAGTATTGCAAGTGATCCAAGTCTCGACAGTATGACAGCAACTGAGGCTTTTCTGAGGAAAGGTGGGGGCCAAGATGGAGTGAAGCAGGGGTGTTCCAAGGAGGCTTGGGTTTGGTACTTGACTTATTCTCGACTGCTAGTTATGTTCGCCCGAATGTGTGAGCACATTACAGAAAGACAGCTACATACAGTAACACCTTTCTATCTGGCTAGAGTGCTAATCAAAGTAAACTTGTGTTCAAGTTCCGCAGACGTCTATCTTCAAGCCTGAGTGTCGAAAGTAGCCTCTAGCACTCTCTTTCTTTGCACCGACCGTGTCAATACATCATGCAAGAAAAAAAAATTAAACCTTTGATCGGGATCCACTTTGTAGTGACTCCAGTTAGGTTTGATAAAGCTTTTCAACTCAGCAAAAAACTCCTCGATTGGATTTAAGTCCGGCGAGTAGGGTACCTTGTAAGGGCCCAGATATGATACACGCGTAGGCGATGTAGTAGCGTCAGCGACATTGATTGAATTGAGGAGAGAAAGAAGAAGAGAGAGAAGCGACAGAAGGAAGAAACTACATAGTATGTACATGGCGTGGATGCCTACCTAGGTAAGTAGATGACTAAGGTGTCCACGCAGGAAGTACTACTACTAGTAAAAACCTCAGTTCGTTCCATACCTGCATTGTTCGCTTTTTCCTAACAATCCAGGGTACCAGGTATCTGACCACCTGCGCAGGTAGGGTACCAAGTTGGATTCCCTCAGATACTAGTATTAATGGTAAAATCAAAAAGAAAAACTGAAAGAATGTCCTCCAATCTGTACTCTGGGATTTTATCATATTTTACCAGAAGGAATTCCATGACCCCATCCATTCCAAAACCAAAACAATCCCCTAGGGCTGAGCATCTGGGTATTCAATACTGCTCAGAAAGTTTCAGACATAATTCTCTACCTCCGGTGGCCACCGATGTGCCACGCAGACTGTATTTTTCAAATATAGAAATTCAATGTCATTCATACATTATCATCATCTAGTAGCAAGTCCCATCTCCAATAAATTTACGCTCAAACAGTATCCTCCGAAGAAGCTTCATAATCTTCATCGCTAATAGCAAATTGATCCGAAGTAGCCGACCTATCGGACTCATTCTCATCCGAGTCCTCGCTTTCATCCATGAGGTCCCCATCCCCTGTCTCACACAACGAAGCAAAATCAAGCAGGGTTGTCAGTCCCGTCTGTCGACAAAACAGCATATCCTCAAAAAGACCCGGGCTAGTAACCTCGATATCACACTCGTCAAGCACCAAAATAGCCTCCTGAGCTCCCTGAAGAAGGACCATCTGCTCTTCATAGCTCAACTCCTCAAAGATATCACTGACCACCTCGCCATCCCTCTTCTCCAAGACGATCATATATCCCTCCGGGAAAATACTCGAGCACATAATTTGACCGGTGAAAAAACACCTTGCGAAGCAGTCTGGCACGTCAACCCCATTATTCTTTCGCCGCTCGATAGTCTCGTACATTCTTGATTCGATCGCGTACCTGATTCCGTTAGTTGCGTTGCCAGTGGGGTTTTGTCAGGTTATACGTACTTATCGAATCCGTCCAGTCCCCAGCATCTGGCAATGCATGTTGCCCCATTGTAGATGACTTCGAAGATCGCCTTGGATGCAAGCCTATGTCCGGAAATTTCGCCAATACACTCAACAGCCACCGTTGGGATTTCCCCGTCGCCGGCGATGATCGTGTTTCGTGTGATAGGGCAGCTTACGAAACCATCGTTCGTATCAACATATTCCCGTGGAGAGGGCGTTGTAAGATCCGGAAGGGAGTCCTCGTCTTCATACTTCATTATGCTCGCTCCGTGGGGGGAGAGGCAGCCGGGATATAGAGTCCAGTCTCCGGTGACAGCGTGTAAGGGAGACTCTTGGGCGCTGAAGTGGAACATTTTTGTAGAAAGTGGTGATTTGTATATTTAGAGTGCTTGCGGGTGCTAGTATTCAATGATAAAGGTATTTAGTTGAGATGAGAAAGATTCTAGCACCCCGGGGGTTTTTATAAAGTCGTGCCTGCCAGTATACATCGACCTTCTAGTCCTATTTGGGAAGTATGCGATCTATGGTTCAGGTACCTTCTTTGGGGATATTTACTACTATGAGCTGTGTACTTTTCCTACTAGGACTAGTACGACAGGAGCCACCCTCTTACAAATTCGACAGCGCCGACACCGAACATGGAAGCTGACGAGCTATATGAAAATCGTGGAAAGATCACTATGAGATCATCGAAATTTCATTTGCAAATCATTAGCATAGCTTGCAACACTCAATAGTGAGATGAAATGATCTATATTCTATCCCAAAAATAGTATGCTAGTATTAACTTTGCGAACTGATTGAAGCGCCTGAGGCTATCTCTACCCCATCCGTATCCATGAATACCGTGAATCTTAAGTGTCCGAAATAGATGTAGTACTCAAAGCATCTCCCGGCCCTGCTTGGCAGTCTTGATCAGGTCAACGTGATTGCGTCTACGCGTAACAGAAATCTCCGTTGCAATGCGGATAGTGACGTGAGGAGAGAGAACTCAACGATGAGGAAAGGTCTTTGAAGGGGCTTGAGAAAAGATTGGAGGATCTGAAAACTGCCATATATCAGAATGAAGAACGTCTACACACGGCAGAGTTTCTAGTCCCGGAGGATCCTTTCAGGAAGATTTACCACAATCTCGGAGAGGGTCCTAGGTGATTTCTATGTTTGGAACTAATTAGGGATAGCATAGCAAGGGGCGGATGTTGTGGCAGAGAATGCAGGTGCTGTGAACGTCACTATGTATCTCGTCCGATAACGGGAGCGTGGATGCCCGGTATTGGTCACTGCAGAAGTGAATGCTCTTGCTGCTAAGGAAGTTAGGGTATGATTGGAGTAAGGAGCAGGAGGTGCGGGCTGTAGATGGCGTGATCGATAGCGTTTCTCAGACCGGTCCAGCGTATCTCCAGGGACTACACGATCCGTACTTTATACACGGGAAACTACCCTGGTATGAGGAGGCTATTTTACACCAGATTGAAAAGCAGGGAGATGAACTCATACAAATGGGCACTTAGGGTGCTCTGAAAAGCTCGGGGGCATGGAACTTATGACTAGTTCCGGTCATCAGACCTGGGAACAATTCACATTCCATCTTGGCTAAATCACGCTATCGATCGGTGAGATGTCTGGTATTTAAGCTTTCTCGCGTTGTCTACTTTTATTTTTGCTTGGTTGTGCTGAGGCTAACTAGTATACACTGCCTCAGGCATCTAGGATGCTGCTTGCTCGCTGCCTTTGTCTTCTATTAGTATTAGTTTCGCTCGCTTCTTGCTCTCTACACAATACACAGCTTTCCTCATCTCCTAGCTTTATCAGGTTGACTTAGAATATTTGCTTCACATCAACAGGTCACGTATCTACTAGTCAGACTATTGTCAATTTCAGAATTTATTACGTTCACAATATGCGAAAAAGCAGCCTAACAATGAAATTTTTTCAATATGATAAACACTCCCCACGGTTCTGGTCTGCGGGTCCAGGTGACCTATAAAAGGTATATCTATAGCCCTCGGCTATGCCCCTCAACGCCTGATGCTATGTATCCGTAGTTGGCTTTCAGGCCTGCATGTATATAGGTATGAATCGAGCAATCGCATTAGATGAACTTATCTACCCTCCAGCATGCGACTCGTGAAGAAAAAGCGGACGAGTTTGGAATACTCTTTCTAGTAAAAACCTGTATCTCGTAGATATTTGACCTCTACCCCAGGGATTGTGCCAAAACGGCCCTCTCGGCATGTTCCCTCAATGCAGATATAGACCCCGTCACAGGTTTTAAATCACTCGCTCTCCCAAGAGCACTGTCTCGTCGGAGGAAAAGACGACCTGTGGCCGTTTCGGCCAGTTCCAAAAGGCAGAGATCGCGTCTCGCACTCTCAGCATCGGGTTTCTCAGGCAGATTCAGGTTGCAGAATACCGTTATCACAGCAGACATCAGGTAGAAGGGGAGGCTCCTAAATATAGTTGTCAGACGCAAAGATGCTCTAAAATGCTATCTTTGGGACAGACGTACCAGAAGCTTGCGGCACTCATTCGGGGCTCTGAGTCGTCAAGAAAAAGTAACAGAGAACGACTTGCCTCCACGGATAGTGATAGGCTGGATTGCAGGCCATTTGACATTTCTGTCAACGGCGAGGGGCCTGAGCGCCAAGCACTACATCGGCTACAGGCAAGGTGGATGAGGTTGACGCAGCAATAGTAGTTCATATGTGTTAGGACCAGGTATGTGTTTTTGGGCTTCGTTTGTTTTGGCGCAAAGGAGAGCTGCGGTCGGTGACTCTCCGGTAATGACATTCTCCAACACTCGAGATCTTCATCTAGTTCGCGGATTGAGCGGAGAATGTCGATATCAGACTTTTGAAAAGCCTTGTGGGAGTAGAGGGCTACGTATGTTCGTGACTTGATTTTGCTGAGACGCAGGTTGCATGGGAAAATAGGGCCGCCGGCTTTTGTGTCAGTGCTTGCTGGGGAGTAGTCTAGACACAAGTGGAAGTTCTCTTCATACAATGAAGGGATACTGGTGATGCAATCCTCGTCCCTAAGGCAATGCGGTTGGCCGGTTCGGAGAGCCAGATCTTTGTCGAGGGAATAGCAAAACCAGAACAGAGCGCGAAGATGTTGCCTAACGGTTGGTTGTGAAGTACCGTTCCAATCAATATTATCCGACATTGTGTGCGCTCCGACCGCCATTAAAAGGCGGGAAGCAATGGAAGTATGATTAACTGCAGTTTGTATCTCACCGGCGAGGGTACTGATTATTGCCTGGATAATAAAGGTTAGTTATAAGGGATGGACAAGGAAGCTTCGAGGCAAATATGAAGCAGTGGAAGCTAACCAGTAAGATAGCGGTCTGTAACGCATCCAAGTTGAGAGATTCTTGGACAATAGCTGGAAGAAATGCGGTCGCATGTGCAATATAAGTATCGCGGGGAATAGGAGGAAGTTCAGCGCCATGGTAGCCTGGGTCGAAATGGTAGAGAGAGGAAAACATAGCCATAAAAGCTAGTATGCATGCCTGCGCGCTATACTTTTCAGCAGGTGAGATGCGATCCGAATACGCCGTTTGGATGGTCTGAGAGAAGAGAGCCGGGTCGATCACTGGAAAGATCCGGCGCATAGGAGAGCATATATACACGTTGAGGAATCTGTTCAGCAGCGATTCTTTTGGTAGGTCCAATGGCGTTTTGTTGAAGTCTGGTAGTATCGAGGTCTTTGGCTCTTCACCGGATCCATGCTGCGGGGTTGGGAAAGGAACAAGAAGCCCGGTTCGAGACCAGATCCATTGAAGATTCTTGGGTAACAGATTCGGCACTCCAGACTGAAGATTTCCAAATTCCCAGCCTGCAAAATGGAAGGGCTTTTGTGGCGGAGTAAGCGGAGTGGACTGAGGGCACTCAATGGCATTTCTAACTTTAGAGTTGGTAAGTGAGCGGACAAAAGAAGAACAAACATGGGGCAGCACCGACCATGATGGACAGTGTTTGCCCTGCGCTCATCGAGGCGCCTGATACGCTCTACCAGACCAACCCGCTTAACCGTATTTTTCCTCCGCCTCCGTGGGCTTGTCCTGGTATATGTGCACTCTGACTGTTGGTGGAGGCACTCATTGCATGGACGCTCACTGTCACACTTGATCTGAAGGGAGTTAGATTTTAAATCATTGATAGTTGGAAGACAAAGCGGTACCTTCCGTCGATAGCAGGTATCACAAGCTGTGAACTTTGGCCCAGGATGAGACATACGGAGGGCAGTGACGAATGATGAAACAATATAAAAAAATGAAAATGGAAGGAAAGAAAGGCGGAGGGGCAAAGGATGTCTGCCAGTGTAATTCTGGCTTACATTTTGACCCACTGTGACCCACCCAGTCCCAGGGAAGGGGGGCCTACACATACAGGTACGAAATTCCGTTAACTAACGGACGGTCATTGAAGCTGCTTTTTCTATCTATCTATGATTCACTTGCCACAAGCTGCGCTGCTTCCCTCACAGGATCCGATATCCACGCAAATGCGAACATGTCTTTGGGTAGCTCCGCGCTGGGAACATATCGATGCAGTTCATGCAGCATTTCCGCCCGTCGCTCGTCGTTTGTTCGCGACATCATCATCACTGTTACCGCATGCGAATATCGAATTTTGTTATACATATCGAGCCGGTGGGACAATTGTTCTGGAGTTATGTTTGTCGTCAACACCCCCGCGAGAGCGGCGGCATCTTCAAAAGCTTGCGCGGCGCCTTGACCCTGATGCGGGAGCATCGGATGAGCTGCATCCCCAATTAAAGCGAGCTTACCCTTCACAAACGTCGGCGCCGGGTCGCGAGAAGCCAGACTCCAAAGTTTGACATCCTCGGCCATTCCGCACATCTCGAGCAGATCCTCCCCGAAACCGCGAAAGGTGTTGACCAACTGACTCACGCTTCCTGCGTTATGCCATGAAGCATCCCCTCCAATCTCTTCTGCTGAACTAGGCGGATATATTCCGGCGCAATTGAGTAATCGCTTATCGCGACAAGGGTATACAATCAGCCGGCGGTCCAGGGTGGTGAACACGTGAACGCCGTTGAGTCCGATTCTTTCGAGCAGGCTTTGCGTAAGTGGATTATCTCGCATTTTTTCGACGGGGATCAGGAATCGGAAGCAGCTTTGGCCAGTGTTTATAATGGCTCTGTTTTCTCCCATGATGGCTCGAACGGAGTGGGACTGTCTCTGTTAATTTCGTCTCTGTCAATGGTCATCTGGGCAATACTTACGTGAACACCATCGGCACCGACAACTAGGTCACCAACATACTTGCTTCCATCTCCGAGCATGACCTCTCCCTTTTCTGCATCCTTCGAGCCCACTTGATCAGTCACTGTGCCTGAGAAGATAGAACGAACTCTACTTACAACGGATATTACCGGCGAGGAGAGCCGTACATCGATCTTCCGCCCGTCAATGTCCTTGGCAGCAATAGAGCGCAGCGCGTTGTGCAAGTCCACCCGATGAGTCAGTACCCATTCATCATACACATTCAAATTCTTCCGATGGTCGTCCGTGATCTACCGCTGTCAGTTTGGGCTTTGGAGGTCAATGGGAAGCGGAATTACAATTGTAGTACACGGGATCTTTCCACTAGCATCCCAGATCTGCATCTTTTCGCAGTGGACGGGATCTAGCGAGTCTAGGTTACAACCCCATTGTTTCAAGATGCGAGTCGCATTCGGCGGTACGTGGATGGCAGCTCCGACCTCATTCAGAAAACCGGACTTTTCAAAGACCTGATGGGTTTCATATTAGATAGACGTTTACTCCATCGCACAAAATGACTGACCGTGATATTGTGCCCTTGACGACTAAGTGCTATGGCAGCACCCAGGCCACCCAGGCCTGCGCCGACAACGATAACATTCAATGGCATCCTCAGCCTCCGCGATCTTTCACAGAAAAATGACCTTGAGATGAAGAGCGAATATCGATAGTATGAAAATGTATTACAACACCAAGAACGGGGCACCTGCAGAGCTTTATAATTTCTCAAGTGTGGACATCCATGGATTCACAGTACGATTTGATCTGTTTCACTACTTCCAGATCCCGCTTAGTTACTACACATTGCGTCCCACAGTACTGGCCATTTTGCAGCATAAATACTTGAAACGGCCAAGGTCCGAAATCAAAGCAACAAGAATCAGCCTTTATCCGACGCGGACCCCGCAGATGTGCAGCGCTAAGCTCTTCTACATATTTATCTAGTTTCGAATAACTTCCGCTTACCTCATCGGACCCTGTGCTTGCAGTAATTCAAATTCCGTAGGTCTTGGACCATTAGATGATCAACAATTCAATTCGACAGTCATCATCATGACTTTCAGGTTGCTTCAAGCTTGAATGCGCATAATTATCTTTGAATTTTGAGTATGTAGTCTGAGTACCGACAATATGTCATCTTTTTTGAAATATTTCCCCACCTGGGCGGTCATGGTTATGGTAATTCATAAAAATACGGCCCCACCTCGCCAAGGGTCCAATTAATATTGTAGAAATTTGATGTGGGGCCGGTTAGTCCCGGAGTTGTTCAAATGTGGTTTACCACGGTGCGTAACTCAGAGGCCCAGATGGGTGACACTTCTTCATCTTCCGTGGGCCGCGCTCTTCAACTTGAAGCCACCGGATTAGATCGGCGTAAAAGCTAGATGTCTCCCAAAGAAGCAAACATGGCTCGCGGTTTTCGACTTTTTATACATCTAGTATTGCTGAAGTCCGACAGCGACCATGGAAATAACCTTGCAATGTTCAACCCTCATGAGACTGCGCTGAATCCAGGTACCGGGCCTCCCGGTTCTTGATCTGCGGTTTTTTTTCCAGACGAGAATCATGTCTCTGAAACCATCCTTCTCTGCTATTGTCGGCGCAGCAGTGACGATAAAACTTCTAATCCTCGCCAATATTGAGCTACCTCTACTGCTCTGCTTACTACGAAGGCTCACGGCAAATTTCAAGGAAAGCTTTTGTACGTTGACTATCACCAAGGCTCAGTAGGACAGTCTGTGGGGATCGCATATCACGCACTGAAAGGCCCCTCATTCCCAAATCTCATTCAAGAATTCCAGCAAAATTACCTGACACAACGACACATCGGGAAAGCCGTCTGTCATGATGAATACTGGGGCGCCATCTAATAGGCTCTTTCTTCACCAGAAACCACAGGATAATACTACAACTCCCATACACTAGGGTACATATGGAGCAGCAGCCGCTATCCCCCCCCTACGCAGAGGGTGTCTTTCTGGATTTATCCTGGATCACACAAAATGCAGCGGCCATATGTAAACAGACAAACGGCACAGACTTCCTTCCCTGGCTAGATACTACTGGCGACTCGATCCCGCAAACAATCCTCGACCTGATCGGCGCACTTTCAATGGACTTTCACCCAATGCCCCAAGACGTCCGCTTCTAATATAACAATGTCTCCATGGTCGTCATGTCTATCATCATGCGATTCTTCTTCATACGGCGCTTACCGGAATCACCTTGCAAAACTAGGTAACCTCTTCATTAGGCTCTCACCGAAAGGGATAACCTCCTTCGCGTTTCCATATCGGTGGTTTATACATTTATATCGTCACTGATCATGGCTGGGCACATTTAACCCTTCCGCGTAGACTGGCACGTCACGGGGGGGGGCCAGTTCGCTTTGACATGGATGGCCATCTGGCTGGCTCACCATGCAAATTCATTTTTCGATAATAGACTACGCAGCAGCGATCATACATATACCTTTTATCCTATATTCTATCCTGACCTGGATTATCATGAGTGTGAGATGTACCACCGTTGGAACAGTCCCTATAAGCGGGCGGGCATTTAACTGATATTGAAAAATTTAGCCTAAATTTGTTGAATAATGTTCCAGTGTATTCTACTTACTACCTATTCTATACTGAATACCTACACTTGGTTTGTTACTGTTATATCTAAATTAACAAATAGGTCTCAATCTAGACAATAACGGGGCGCCTTGAGCCGTCATGACGTAGAGATCTTGGCAATTATGCAGAAAAGAGACCGCCTGTATTACCCGCGTTAAAATTTAATAGAGTTCCCTGCGTAACTTCAAAGAGGGCTCCATATTCTACTATATGTCCTGGTACCGCAGTCATCGCCGTCCGGGATTAGTCGAAGCTAGTGCATGGAGAGCTATGTGTTGGTATTCCACTTCGGTGTTATATACTGCTCGGACGGCTCCTTATTAGTACGGCCCGTGTGGCGCAATGGTAGCGCATCAGACTTCTATATGGAGTAATCTGGGGGTTGCGAGTTCGAGACTCGCCATGGGCTGGATTTTTTTTTTGAGGAATTCGAAATATTCTTCTCTGCTGCTCGTGTTAAATAACGCGGAGGAACGAGAAAGAGAAACACAAATCTTGAGAGATGATCAGCCAAATTTGCGGACAAAACTAAGCTCTCACTAGCGCGACCTTATACTAAACCTTCCTTCACAATTTATTATTTTTCCGGTCGAAAAACCGAGACCTGATCAATCGATTTTCTATTTGTATATTAGATTTTATTCCTGTCTTACTTCTAAGAATCATATATTACCAGTAATGTTATCTCCCAGGGACAAAGTGAACTATCTTGCTAATTGGTACCAATGCACTTGGTGTAGTATCTCTCTTTCATGAAAATTATTTACTCCCCTGCGTCAACACACGATTTTGGCTTAGTGGCTGGCGGGCTTTCTTTACCGCAGCCATAGTACCTAAGCTAGAAAGTTAAAGATTTAAACTGTTGCTTTCTCTCACTCATGGATCTTGCTGGCATGCTTCTCGAGATTATTCCGACACTGTTCCTGCTTAAATATTCTTTTTATCATATTCTCTATTTGAATATTCTTCCAGAATGAGAGATAGAATTCAAACAATCAAGAAACCGTGCTAATTATCTCTGACCTATTCATAAATTCGGTTTCTTGGTATCTTTATTGTCTTGTTGGATGAAAGGAATATCACCGCCGATCGGATATTAAATCATGTCACTTAAACGGGACCCGTATCAGTCAAAATGAACATTCGGTATTTAAAAGATTTAGTCGCTCACCCAATTTCCATCAAAGAGCTGATCAAAGCGTTATCTTACCAACTTCAAAGGTCTTCCTTTTATCGTAATCCCCATGAGCTTGTCACAAAACAACATTCTCCTTAAATTACATGCAACCGTACCGGTTAGGTGCTCAGTTGAATCGACCTTCCCGCCAGCGAGCGTGATGCCAAAGAGTGCCCCTTTCTTTACTAATGGGTTTAATTAAGGCCACGAAATTCCTGGAAGGCCTGACAGAACAGATGGTGCTTGTCATTGTCTTTTCACCCGGCTAACCTATTGAAACTTGATGTATTCTGGTTATATTTAGCTGCGGGAGATAAGCAAGGTATCTACATATGCCGCCCTATCTAGCGCTAGTACAGTCCGAGTCCTGCACCCGAAGATCTGAAAACCACTGGCAGATACTCCAGAAGTCACATGCAGAAACCGTGACAGAGAAAAGTGTTCCGTTGCTATTTCTGATCATTCTTGCTTAGAGACACTGCGAATAGTACGCATTTTGCACCTGGCAAGTATACGGGCTGGCACACACTGTAGCCCCCGTCCAGCTAGCGCCGCCACACTGCGCCCAATGGGATGCCGTTGCAGTCGCAGTGGATCCTGTACTAGTGGTTGTTTTGGTCGTGGTTGTGGTTCTGACTGTAGTGGTAGCTGTCGATGTAGAGCTTGTGGTAGTGGAAGTGGTTGTAGAGCCGCCAGAACTGCCTGAGTTAGAGGGAAAGTAGGCAGACAAGAGATTAAGGTAGTAAGTATAGGCGGTTCCGGAGGGCGGCTCAATGGAGAAGATATAGGTACTCCACCATGGCCCCGCGGCCCACCATGATGCTCCGAGCCAGACATCACTGTTGTCTTGCATGTAGCTCAACATTCCGGTCACGGCGCTCTGACAGACTGAGTTAGCACCGCCGGCAAACTCACCCAGGAAGCCAAGTTTTCCATTGCTTTGCAGCCATTCTGTCGCCGACTGTACACGCTCCTGACCAATTGTTGAGCTGACACATGTGTCGGATGTACCAGAGCCGTCCGAGTCGAGATACTGGTGCATCTCGTAGACAATTTTTTTCTGGGGGTCCGTCAAGTTGACCATATTACTATTGACTGTTGTCCACGTCCAGGCACCACTCCACGAGTTTCCTTCCACAAAAATGTACTGTGAGGTGGCCCCAGCAGCCCGAATGGCATTGATGGCCGCTTGATTGAGATCCAGCACTAGTGTTTGATCCTCGGTGTTGAATTCGTTGTCTGGAAATTTCAGTAAGAGGAGGAGAGGAAGTGAGGAAGCAAAATGGCAAATACTTACTCGTATCAAAGATAACCTTGTCATTCGAGACAAACTCCGCTGCCACTGTCGTCCAGAACGCAGCAAAATCACTCGTAGAGGTGATAATGTTGCCATAGCTAGTTCACCAGTGAGGAAAGTTTCTCATTCAAAAGATATGAATGTCAACTTACTATCGCCCAAAGTTGTGTGGGTCAACAATAGCGTAGGCACCGGTAGAAGTGATGTACTCCACGGTCTGGCAATAGATAAGTATGGGTCGAATTCGAGATAAGGACAACGTACACTTTTCAGGCTTTGCAAATAGACCGCATTCGGACTTGAGGTCAATGTAGTGGGAACCAATCTCTCCATCAAGAACGGCACTCGAAAAATATTCATACCCGCATCGCGGAGCGTTTGAATGGCCGATGTGTCCGGCCAGATGTAGTCAGTTCCCAATACACCCGGAATGTTCCCATTGCCGAACTCCGCTCCAGACTCACTCGTGCCAAACCCTATGGAAAATTATCAGTTTCGGCTCGGCCTTAATAACCCCTATACATACAAACAAAGGACGATGCCCGCTTGGAATGACTCTGAGGCACTGCCAGAGCAAGGACGGCGCTGGCTAAGAGCGGCAAAATGTATCTCATGATGTCGGATGTTGATTTTGGATGTTTGATAGTTCGATCGAAGGAGTGTCCCAAGGCAATTTATATGGAGTGGAAGCAGAACCCATATTTCCGGAGCTGTCAAAAATGCCCTGTTCCTCCGCGGTGATGCAGCCGTATCCGTCCGTTACCCCTGAAGAAAGTTCTTCAACATCAGCAGTACTGCAGGGGTCCTGGCCAGAACTAGGTTTTTGGATCTTTCACGCAGGTTGGCTAACTCATTTTGAAAAGGCCATCTGGAGATGGATTCCCGCGCTAAGACGAATTAGGTCCTGCAGATTGGCAATGGCTAGATTGGGCACGGTATTAGGCACGGCATATGGGAATCTGTAACACCTGACATCGGAGATGACGAGGGAATCGTAGGACTTTCCGCGTAAATTGGAAATCGAGTTCAGACGTTGAAAACGGGGAATATGGAGATTTCTCCGGGGCGAAACTGGCAAGGTAGCTTGAGTGGAAACCTTATTACTGAATTCATCGAGAAAACAAGGATTAATTCTGTTGCGGGATTAGCGGGGAAAAGTTGTCACCTCACTACCCCCTATACATGCGGGGAAACCAGGTCGAAGCCAGGAGCGATGGGTATCTTGATCGGGCAAGACTACTGGAGCTGACATGCTGTGAATAATTTGACTATAGGTCAGGATAGATTCTACATCTCAAAATGACTTCGGAGTTGAGTATTATCGCAGTTATGTTCGTCACACTTCTGCAACATGCAGGGCAGCGCCAGGCGAGAAGCCCTGTGCGCCTTTCCAGTTTGTTTGCTCCTTGTGGATTTCAACCACCACAGACTAGTCGTAGCGTGCCGTAACACTCACGGCACAAAGTAATCGACTCCGTGTGGACCGTATTCAAAACCAAATACTAGTCGCAGCTACGGGAAAGTACCTTTTGTATGCAGATGCCACGCATACAGTACATGACTTCCAAATTGATAGGTCAAGGTTTTCGGAGTAATTAGTAGTAACGCATTGGCTTTTTATTCAGAAAGATAGATCAAAACGATATAGGAATATCATGAATTTTGTTGAACGATAAATGCAGTTATTGATCAAAGTATAGCTAGTCTATTCCAGGCCACATGAAATCGGATGCTTGTCTCGATTATGGACTGTTGCACTTCGAACAACGCCCAAAGTCTGATAGAAAATTATCGGGGAATAGGTTGGCAGCAGGCTTTCTTTCAGGAATCACCATTTTCTACTCATATAATTTATCTATTTGGAAGGCTGTGCCTGTACCACCCCAAAGTGAATCCTATCTGCTCAGGCTCGCCTGAGGAAAGCAATTGAAGAAGGCCTTGTTCGTTTAGATCTTCACATATCTCTTTTTCCGATATAAGTTCCCCATCCAAGGTGACGTGCTCCACTTTGCCATGCCTTTCATCGTTTTGTTTAGTGTTAATTAGCTCGGTGAACCCTGGCTGTGCAACGGATGCCGCATCTCCCCTTTCACTCTTTCTCTCGCCGTCGGCATCGGTCACTTTGATTTTTTCACTCAAGAGCAGTTGCGCTTGAATCGCTAACTGTGAGACCGTGGTATATTCATTATGCCAGCACTTGTGGACAATATCGTCGATAAGGGGGTCCCCATTCAACGCCGGGAACTCCATACTCTGTAACTTCTCCACATCCATAGGACCGTGCTCATGAGGATCTTCGGCTAGGCATCGGTCTCCATAGACTTCGAAACTGTAATTGATCAAATAGTACAATGAGCCAAGGGCGAATGTTTCTGTCCGAGGACCAAGAAAACCAGACGTTCCACCTTCTCCGAGTCCTTGATCGGATTCTTGGGCATCGAGTAGTCTTCCATAGGGAGCCATGCAAGCTTCGTAGACTGTCCCAATCTTCGCAGTACAATCAAAGTCGGGGATTTTCAGTCGGTCGCGATCAAGTAATATGTTCTCAGGCCGTAAGTCACCGTGAGCCAGGCCAAGAGACTCTAAGAAGGCAACAGCTAAAGCGAGATCCTTCATCCACGTTGTTCGTAAGTACAGAGGTTTTAACGTTTCTACGGATGTAACGATCATTGTCTCCTGGTTTCGAGTATGATTTCTTTGTATCCTGGATGAAAGAGACATATCTATATTTCTGTTTAGTTGAAATTCATCAACAGTTAATAGACGCCGTACCTCTCATATACTCAAGGAAGATACCTCTATCAGAGATGAGATAACATTGTATGATAGATGAACAAGACGAATTCTGGGAGAAGATGCGATATATCTCAAGCTCTTTGGCGAATTGCTTTCTTTCAAACTCACCAGACTTCGGAACTTTGACGACGATCCGAGGGTGAACTTCGTAAACAAAAGAAATCCCACCACCCCAGATCCAGTGGACATTGGTAAATCGATGTTTGGCATCCATCGAGCAGAGGAAAAGTGATGGCAGATGAGAAAAAGATCAAATCATGTAATCGGGAACTTGAGAGCTAAGGAAAGTCTGGAAGAGACTGCGAGAGAAGGAGAAAGGGGTGAGCTGACATAATATTATGTTATCATTGGTTTGGCCTTGTACTTAGCTGACTCTTTCAGCGACAGACGGCCCTAGTCAAAAAGAAATAGGAAAAATAGGAAGACGGTTATAATCGTGGAGTAAATTATTGTAGAGCCGGGGCAGCCGAGTCAAGAACTGGAAAGGACCACCCGCCGGATTTCAAGTTTATATGCGCATATTCTCCTTCAATAGTATGTGATATTCCACTCTTACCTACATCTCCTTACCATTATAGGCACCGGTATTTGGTCGCTTCGATTGCGATACCTTGTTATTCCAAAAGTCTCGACCACCGTTATCGCTTATTAAAACGCCTAGGCCCAATGCAGGACTCCCATGCCGGAGCCTATACCCATCTGCCGACTCGAGAGTATTCTGACCCATACCGGGACTCAAAAACAAAGGATCACCCGTGCTACCGGCAGTTTCAGCTGGCTTTGGGACTATCTGGAACAAGTTCGCGTTCCATTCAATCCCGTCCCCTTTCGGTAGAGTTGAGTTTGCAGTTCCCACCCAAATATTGTTCGAAATATTTGTACTTGGCGGGACTGCAATTTCGAAATCTTTCTGTGGACAGTAGACAACATTGTTGTAAAAGTCCAGATGCACGTTATCACCATTGCTGTACATTCGACAGTCATTCTGGAACACATTGTATCGAACAATCTGTCGTGCACCACCGGGAGTTCCGCAGCCGTCGCAATTCAGGAATATCCCCCCCCCGCGTTGTCATGGCTGTAGTTATATTCGACCGTACATGTCCCCTCGTTACCCCAGTCACAGTCAAATGCCTCGCTGTCTATATCTGACATGAGAGAATCGTGAACGACATTGTATCGCATGACAGCGTCTTGACAGCCCAGTACCCAGATGCCAGCGAAATTTCCCCCAGTCCATGGGTATTTGCCGTGACCAAGAAACCCAGCCTTGTTTTGTTCGATCATAGGTGACTCGCCATAGGAGACAACAACGCCGTCACCACCGACGTACGATATTTCGTTGCCCCAAATTTGTGTGCCTTTGCCACGGTTGTCCATTTGACCAACGCGAACTTTGATACCTCCACCACCGCAATCGTAAATAGTATTGTTGTAGATTTTCACGTCATCATACCGACTGGCATTCTCGGTTCCATTCACTAGGATTCCACCGGAAGCAATAAACGCGGCGGACTGGGTTGCTTTGTTTGTCTCCCCGGCAACGTTGTAGACAGTAATGTCGTGGATATAGAGGCCGTGGTGGACCGTCCCATCACTTGAAGTCCCTACGATACCACGCCTCCAACCGACGGAGGATGCAGGGTTGATGATGGCAATATTTGAGATATCCCAATAATCCTGATTTGTCAGACTAACTGCTTCAGCAGCCCCGGAGCCGTTGATGATGGGAATTGGCCCGCCTCCGTAGCTTGTCAAGGTAATAGGACGGCTATGGGTGCCACTACCCTTTGGGGACAGTGTTCCAGTACAAACAGTTCCCGACTTGACTTGAAGTGAGTCTCCTGGGCTTAAAACAGCGTTGTTGGCTCTGCTGAGGGTCGAAAAGGGACGCGATCTGCTTCCATCGCCCGATGTAGCCGACCCACAGTCGAGATAAATGTCTTTGGCGAGCAGTGGTTGCGCCAAAGCGGCGAACAGGGCAATGCCGCGAACAAATCGAAGGGTGTTTGATGTCATGCTTGAAGTTGTCTTGATGGTAAGCTAGGCCTTTCGCGCCGTCGATGTTAGCGAAATTCTCGGCAGTAATCAAATATTAAATAAGGATGTTCTTCGTAAGTGAGGGTCATGTCGCTCTGGAGAGTTGCATCTTGTTCATGTCGCATCTCTGCTGGGTGGACCTGCCGAGGCAATCGAACGTTGGAAGAGGGAAGATCATCTCGGCGCGATCCTTCGTCCGGGGAGTGTTGATCGGGCTATTTCTTCACCCGCGACTCCGCACCCAAACACCAACCATTTACATGAAACGTTAACAATTTACATCACCTTCGCGTATGAATCTGCCCAAAGGATATTTATTTATTGCCCAGAAAAATTCCAGGTCATCGCGTAGTCCTTATTCTAGTCACTCACGGCAGCCACTTGAGATAGCCTAGTACATTCTTCAATCTATCATGCTGTTCCAAAATACTTTGCTCTCCAGTATTATCCCCCTTCTGGGGTTCTCACTATCCTGTTATGGCGAAACATCGGCAACAGTCACTGCCTCAGCCCCTTCGAAGTGGGTGCACCCAGGGGCGATGATCAGTCAATCTCAACTGGACTTCATTCGCGAGAAAGTGAAGAATGGTCAACAACCTTGGAAAGATGCCTACGCGGCTCTTCTTACTGATAAAGGGGTCGCAAATCCGACAGATCCATCACCGCATGTTATTGTTGAGTGTGGTTCATACTCAAATCCCGACGTCGGTTGTACCGTGGAACGTAGTGATTCGATCGCCGCGTATGGAAACGCGTTGGCTTGGGCAATCAGTGGCTCCACTGCATACGCTCAGCAGGCTATCAAAATTATGGATGCGTATTCATCGACGATCCAAGGCCACAATAACTCCAATGCCCCGTTGCAGTCTGGATGGGTTGGCTCGGTGTGGGCGAGGACAGCTGAGCTTGTTCGCTACACAGATGCAGGATGGTCATCCGCCAGCATCAGCCAGTTCGAGAAAATGCTTCGTGATGTCTATATGCCGCTCACGGTGAATGGAACGGACCACAATGTCGCCAACTGGGAACTTGGTAAGCCACATCCCTCTTGGGATAGCAAGAAGCAAAGACTAATATTTTATTCTCTAGTCATGACAGAAGCTGCAATACTGATGTCAGTCTTCCTAGAAGACGCTGAATCGTATAACACTGCAATGGGGTGGTTTCTGAAAAGAGTCCCAGCAACAGTCTACATGACAAGCGATGGTGAATATCCCGTCGCAGCTAGAGGACAAAGCTCCTCTCCCGACGCGATTATTGCTTGGTGGTTCAACGAGACCACTTTCCAGCAGAACGGCCAAGCGCAGGAGACATGCCGTGATCTTGAGCACACAGGCTACTCATTTGCATCCATGGCACACGTCGCCGAGACTTCCAAAATTCAAGGAACGGATCTTTACAAGACAGATCTAGGGACGCGACTTCGTTATGGCCTCGAGTTCCAGTCGCAATTCGTTAACGGAGAGTCAGTACCTTCCTGGCTTTGCGGAGGGAAGCTGAGTCTTACCCTGGGCCCTATCACTGAAGTTGGATATAATGCTCTCGCATTCAGAATGGGTATCGATATGCCTCAGACTGGAAACCTCACGTTCAAACAGAGACCGGCTAAGGAGAATGGGCTTTTTACGGCGTATGAGACACTCACACATGGAAATAACAGAGCCTAGACAGTGTGCTGGAAGAGAAGAATATCAAATCATTTCTCGGGTTCAATGCAATATCCAGTATTACTTATTCGACGGGATTCAATTGTTACCCAGGGGCGATGCTCCGCTGATTTCTTAAGACTTAAATTAACTTGTTTCGATTTCGGATTAATCGCATGGTTCAATTCATTGTTCAATGATAATTCCTGCTCAAACGAGACCCATGTCTAGAAATCTATTGCCCAGCTCCAGAAAATAGTAATCCGCGTAGACCAATCCATGATCCCAAGTGCGATCTGCATGATCCTGGTTAAAGTTCGCCGTCGACCTCTCCAAGATCCCATCAAACGACTCTCCGTCGACACTCTCTCTTGCAATTATCTGTATATTCTGTGTTTCCTGGTCAAAGCTTATTCCCATCTCACACTTATTATACGAGAGAGCAGCCGTGTCCTTGGCAATGAGAATGGAATAATCCAAGTACCGCCTCGCCAGCTCATACCTCCCAGCTCCTTGGAGTAGACTGTAGAGAATTACCATTCCATTTGCAGCAATCATTCCAGCAGAAACATCTCTCAATGGAGCCTCGGAGCCTTCGACAATTGTGTGCGTTATTGGGGCATCAAAGTCCCACAAAGGAACATATCGCCCAACACCATTCTCATCGACAACGTTTGGAGATGATTCCAAACGGTAGATAAAATAGTCTGCGAGGCCCAATGCAGCCTCCAGAAACCTTGGATCCCTTGTCCAAGCAAAGGTTTGAGCGTAGCCCAGAATCGCCCATGCTTGTCCGCGTGCCCATGTTGAATTGTCGGCATAGCCTTGCGCTGTGAGCTTCCTCTTAACTTTCCCATTATCCTTCGGAGAGAGATTCGCGGCGTGGTATGTTGAAAACATTGTTTTTCCGGGTACGACGGACTCGGTTCGAAGGTGCGTAGATAGGAGGGTTTCGGCGTGTTTGGATGCGATTTCAATCAGACGAGGGGATCTGTTGTAATTCCCAGCGTAGAATAAAAGGTCGAGATCTAGCCTATCAGCTTTGTGAAACAAGAAGGCAAAAGGTCAAATCTTACTGCAAAGACTATCAATAATGACCAGGAAATCATCTTCCATGCTGGTGATGCTGTGGTGCGCATTCTTGAAGCTGTCCCAGCTGCGAATCGCCCCAACGCGCTCATCGTATCGGCTGGAAAGACTTTCTGCTGCAGTGAGCAGCGAAATCAGGCTTTCCTTGTTGCCAAACAGCTCCCAATCTCGTCGGAGGGCAGGCTGGACGATGAATCCGAGATCATGAGTGTCCGTTCGTTTCGACATAGCGTGTAGAGGAGCAGACCACTTCTGGCATAGATCTGTGACGTGCTCAATCAGGCTGAGTGGGAAATTCCGTGAAACGTCCCCTTTCTGGCATGCTTTTGACACGCTTGATCCAGGATATTTTCGAAGCCTTTCCAAGACGCAGTATAAATTCCCAGGAAAAAAGCCGCATGTCCAGAATTCAGCATCCCGGCACTGGTATTTTCCCTTTTGTGAGCCGGTTTGGGGTACTGTCTCCGGGAAGCACGAGGGGGGATCCTGCGTGATGTGTCAGTGCTAGCGTGAAGAAGCAAATTCATTCGTCTGCACTCACATTCTGAACCAAGTATCTTTCTGCCGTACTCATGATCTTAGCCAAATTGTTTTCTTTGTAAAGGGGAGCCAGAATTGTGGCGAAATCATCGGCGCTGGTAGCTTTGCCAAAGACCGGCTTTCGGGAAGAGAGAATTGAAGTGGCGCCCGTTTGCATGTCTTTACTCCGGGGAGGAGAGTTGATAATTGCCGGTGCCATGCCTAGACAGAGTGAACGAGCAGATGTGTTTGTTTGCTGATAGCGACTTTGCAAACTGTTATTTAAATCCGGGCGGGCTGGAATGTCGCAACCCTTTTAGTTGACCGTTTTGGTTTACAGCATCTCGGGTGGATAACTCCCCCCGAGACCCGAGTGTGTAGCAAGGCTGGGCTGCGGCGCTCCATAGCGGCGCTCGACCCAGTGTTTTTGCCCTTATCAAGGATATTCCAGCCCTCGGTAGAAGCTAACTAGGTACTATATGTATGCAAGTTGGCTCACCCTCGATACCTGCCCAGGTGGTGAGTATATCTCTCAGTAGGATACCGGGAAGATACCGAGTCATAAATATAATGTTCACCGACTCTAATACTACCAGCATCAACCAGGTAATCGACTGTAGGATGCAAGGGCCGGCGGGCACTGGCACTGACTGACTCACCTATGGAAAAAATGGCATAGTTATTCGTCCTTTAGACTTGAGGACACTCTCTTTCCTCTTGTTCTCCTTGTCCCCCACCTTGCTTATTTTTAAGGTATTCCTAGTACTAAATAATAATTCGACGTAGTATTATTTCCATTCAATTCTGTGCAAAAGCGATGATTAATTTACAAATGAGTCATGGAAGCTAATGATACGATCCATGTCAATATATTGAGGATCCGAAAGGAAGGTATAAAGTGGTGCGAACCCATCAACGCCATCTGCCAATTGCGGCATTTGACGGTGCGCAGGAAAGATATCGCCAAGTTCCATATCGGCCCTTGTCTGAGGTGTTCTCGTATATGAAAATGCTGGGTTGGTCTGAATTTGGCTCTGGTCTGTTGGTCTCTCGCTTTGAAATGACCTTGACATTGGCGTTTGTGTGCTATCAAGATGGCGTTAGCAAGGAAGTGCGATGTTTTCATGAAGTGCACGTACCTGGAGCCTAGCGAACTGCTGTCATAGCTAGAGCCTCCAATTGTTCGGTTATTGCTGATGTAGTGTGACCGATTCCCGGTGACTGGAATGATACTGTGACGTTGTTGGGCCCGACGCTCCTCTATCCATTGACTGTTATCGGGGCTGCGTGCGGGAAGCTCAACACCTAGAGCACGATTCACCTCGGTGATATAATCGAATGATAGGGGCCCTGATATTTCCTGAGACACTTGCAGCTGATCGAGTAGGCCTCCGGCAAAGTTTCTAATGTTGTCGTCCATTTTGAGTTCGGGATTCATAGAAGTCCAGCGGTCGGACATTTGTTGTAGGCTTGTCAATAGGACGCCGTATGTATCCGGGAGCTTCGTTTTGTGGATATTCGAATGCACTGCAGTTAAGGTGTTAAAAGGTTCCTGTCCCGTGGATTGAAAAGCCCACCTAGTATGACATGAGCACTGATGAATGTGCAGAACGAGAATTGAGGGCTGACAAGGCCCACAAACGGTGTATATTGCAGATACTTTTGTACAATATTAGCTGTCTCGAGAGCTGCCAGCTGACAAGTCTCAGCACTTGCCGTGCTAGCCAGCTGAAGCTTCTCCAGAATGTGCGCTCGTGGATAGGCAATGCTCTGGTGGAGGAGAATCATGGATGTGTTGTGGGTGATATGTGCGAGAGTCAGGTTTGGATCCATGTGAACAAAGGCCGGTTCTCTTGATATATTAGAGTCCTTCCATCTCCGAGGGAGAAACATTTTCCAGCTGTAGATATGTTAGCTTCGCTGGAACTTTGTTTTGTCTCTGCATGGGAGGGTGTGGTACTGACTGAATCAATTGAAGATCCAATTCTTTGAAGCGTGTCAACCAAGCACTGAATTCATGTCTATCTTGGAGATCAACTGGTCGCTGAAGGAAGAATTTAACCACTCTGTTCAGGGACTCGGTCGCTTCTATGCAATATGCAAAGGATCCGATTGTCGAAACATCGACAGTTCTAGCTTCGGGTGCTTGCACAGCAGGCGACACTCGCTCTGAATTTGGAGCTGTTGGTGGAGTCTCCTTTTCTTTATCGGCTAGAGAGGCAAAGTGACCGGGAAGAAAAGACACGGACTTAACCAGCCTTGCCATAGAAGAGTCCCAGATGTTGAAAAATGGGGTGGTCACAGGCTCTTCCTTTACCCAGTATAGCCCATCGCTCGGCAATCGGACCTGAACATCATCGCTTGATAGGTTCATGTTCCACCTGCAGATAATTGAGGTCAGGCTCAAAGCTAAAAGAATTATTCCGATATGATGCCTTACCCAGTCGTAATGGAGCATAACCTGGCAAGATGTTAGAGGGAGCCAAGATAGCAATGCTGGTAAACCTTACCGATCTAGCAAAAACACGTTCCAGAATACCCTTCGTCGTTCTTCTGCTTCAGTCCAAACCCTTGCAGGTGGTAAGCACTGCAGTGGCTTGAGACACGCTTCTCCGGGTTTTGTTTCATCAGGCTCGCGGTTCAGACCCAAGAGCACAACCGCCCTGCTCAGAGTGCCAATAGCTGGCCAGGCCTTGTTCGCATTTCCATCCCCAACATGTACAAAGGCGATTATTATCAGGGCCTGTATATTTTCCACGGTGATATTATCCATGATTGACAAGAGAACACACTCCCGTGATCTCTGGAGAGCATCAGGATGTTGCGTAATCCATTCCTTTGCCAATCTCTCGTTGGCGATATAGCGAAGAGCACACACCATCATAGCATGCAATACAACGACCAATTTGGGTCGCTCGGCAGGGTCACGCAGGCGTGACCGGAAGAGCATTTCATGAATAATTGGAATGAACGGATGTACAGCTGAGAAATATGCATCAAGCACCGCATTAACCAAGTTGTCAGAGGGCAGATATGCCGATTGTCCACTGGGCTCTCTGTCTTCCGGTGATTCTTGACGCCTTCTCTTGTGAGACGTTGTTTGATCTGGGGCCGTCGTAGGTGTTCTTGATTGAGACGCTTCATCGACTTGGGCAATTTCCATTGGACTGCGCAAACGGGCATCATTCTGGCGAGAATTGTTGCTCCACCACTCTTCCATAAGGGATGATACCACGCCACGGATTGTGTTCACGTCATGTCCAGCGTACTCTGTGCTTCCGGTCACGTTGAAATTTGCTTGTCGAGATCTGACGGCATCCAGCTCTGCTTCCAGCGATTCTAAAACAAAGCTATTCAGTATCTACACACAATAGCCGATGGGTAGATCGTACCAACTCTCTGGGTCAACGTCTGGATAATGCCGATCTTCACACCCGGTTTGTTCCTATGATAGTCGTACACGCATTCCACGCCTTTCAGAGGTTAGTGTCAAGATCAGTCATCGCTGTGGGGCAAAATCTCACCAAGACGGGCACAGCGAGAGCAAGCTGGCAGCTCTCTCGTACAACGTAGCTTCCGGCTTCGACATGTCTGGCAAGCGGGTGTCTCTGCATCGGTTCCCTGCTGCATAGGGGCATCCCGGGCATCGGAGGATTCCATATTGTGGTTGTGTAAGTCGCGGAGGAAGGGAATCTCCCTCGGACTAAAGCTCCCGGGCGCATGGGCCTTTGTCGAATGGAGCTTGTCCGAGCTTGGGAAAAGTGTGGGGTTTAACGCCGGGGAAATGCCGAGGTGGTTGGATGTCACGTTGCCGTCGGAGTAAAGAACGCTCCGCTCGCTTGAACCAACTTCCCCTTCACAGCAACGGACTAACCAGTCTCGAGGGGTTGAGCAGTCCTCCCAGTTCGCAAGGACGTACCAATTTAGGACTACCGTCATCATGCTACTCTTTCACCACCGATTCACAACACCAGTGGCCCTCCAGACTATGAGCGGTCTTTCTGAACATCACCCACGCCTCGACGATTGAATACCAAAGCGACCCAAGAAATGCCGCCCCTCTCAGGATTTTCCGACAATCCGTTTTGCGATCGAAAGGATGTCTTGGTCGCAACTCAAGCTCTCGTTGCCGCGTTGAGGCCATACTTTTCCCCAGGGAAGGCTCGTGTCCAGCTACCTGTTTACTCCGGTGCTCACTTTGACGAAGCCGCGGCACAGCTCGAAGGCTTCGCACGACCAATATGGGCCATAGCTGCAGCCGTTGCAAATCCCGCCAACAAAATTACTGCAGAAATTGCCGACTATTGTGATCGATTGGTGACTGGCCTTGCAAACGGAGTCAACCCCGAACATCCTGAATACTGGGGTGCAGCAGGAGATTGGGACCAGCGCATGGTTGAGGCGGAGCCAATTTCATTTGCGCTTCTGATCGCTCCAAAGACATTCTACGAGCCTTTGTCGCCAACCAGCCGGCGGCATCTATCGGATTGGCTCTCTGGCCTGAACGGCAAGGTCATGCCCGTGAACAACTGGAGGTGGTTTCGGGTATTTTCAAACCTTGCCTTGTGCCGAGTGTGCGGCGTGTCTTTTGAAGATGTCAGAGACTACATAAATACCGATTTTGCAGTACTTGATCGATTTGAGATTGGTGATGGCTGGTCCGCTGATGGCGTATGGAGAGTGGACGATTCTCCGGAACAGGAAGCCTACAGCAGACAAGCGGACTATTATTCAGGAAGTTTTGCAATTCAGTTCAGCCAGCTACTATATTGCATAATAGCCGCAGAAACAGATCATGATCGCGTCCTTCGTTATCGTCAACAAGCAAAAGACTTTGCTCAGCAATTTTGGCGCTTTTTCGATCAAGACGGCGCTGCGATTCCGTTCGGTCGCTCTCTGACTTATCGATTTGCAATGGGTGCCTTTTATTCGACATTTGCCCTGGCAAAATGCTGCGACTCAGACACATACACTTCCTTGGGCTTTGTCAAGGGGATGCTTTTTCGTCATTTAAGATGGTGGGCAAGACACTCGAGTGATATTTTTGCCACGGATGGGACCTTGAATATTGGCTACACTTATCCGAACATGTTCATGTGCGAAGACTACAATTCACCCCAGTCACCTTACTGGGCTATGAAATCATTCGTGATACTGGCACTACAAGACGACGATAAATTTTGGACAGAGCCTGAAACTTCTCATCCAATGACTGCTTCGAATACTGGCTCACCTACTGCTGGTGTTGAATTGGTCTATCCACCACGTCAAATACTTTGCAATCACCCAAACGGTCAACACCATTTTATGCTTTCTGGCGGTCAATCCTGTCACTGGCCTCTGAAAGCGACAAAAGCAAAGTACTCCAAGTTTGCATATTCATCCGCCTTTGGCTTCAGTGTTCCGACTGGAGAACTGTTGACCCAGATCGCTCCGGATAGTACTCTCGCTCTTAGTCGAGATGCAGGAGAATCATGGACTACGCGATGGGCGACAATTGGCAGTCCTTGGGTCATCACTCTATTCTTTGGCGGTGCCGAGATTCAATGTCTTCAAAGTGTATGGAGACCGTGGAAAGGTGGTGATATCGAGATTCAAACGACTCTTATTCCCCCGTCTGATTGCCATCCAGACTGGCACATCAGAATTCATCGTATTAGGAATGTTAACACAGAATCCACGGACCCGGACCCCATCAAGTTGAAGATTGTTGAAGGAGGATTTTCAGTACAGGGAAAGCGACCGAGGCAGATGTCGCAGTTAGCGGAAGACTGGGGGAACGCTTCTCGGCATGGAGGAGTGTCGGAAGGCACTGTCAGCTCCCTCGTCTTCAGTGATGCCGGCATCTGTGGCGTGAAGAATCTTTTCCGGGAAGGCGCTGGCACTTCCGAGGGCAAGATCTTGAAGTTGGATCCGAATACAAATCTGATGGAGCCAAGGACATTGTTACCAACAGTTCAACATGATACCGATATTCCTCCAGGGTTTAAGGTCACCATTGCTTCAGGGGTCTTTGCGATCTCGAAGGGTGCGAAAGGCTTGGCCCGGGAAGAGCTTCGCGAAAGATGGTTACGACACCCTACTATTGAATCGGAGCTAGGGCGATTAATTGAGCAGAATAATTGAAATAATCCATTCTTGTTGAAATCTGCTCAAGGCGCTGTTCGTATAGACCGAAAGCACACAATATCCTCTCGGGCTCTCAAAACTGCTTATTTTAATCGTACCCTTGCCTAGATATTTTGGACTCTTAGGGTTGTACATGGCTAGGTATCTGCCTAGTTACTGAGAGAGTTAGCACTGGTACATAGTTACTCAGTTACCTACCTGGCGGTGAGAAAGTAGAATTATGGCCTCCTACTGTAAACCACTCATAGTAGTACATATACAGCATCTTTTCTAAATAGGCAGGATGGGGGGGTTCAAATCGTGAGGGGGTTGTCCACTTAGTAGTGCTGATAATTCGAACCAGCCACCTGGGCAAGACGCGCCCAACCCTGGAATGTAGGCGGTACACCTCCAAGCCTCGGACGATTCCTTCGCCCGAGCGACGGGCCTTTCCCCGCCCGACGTGGCGCCAGAGCTAACCATTTGGATACAACCCATAGTGACAGTGGGTCCAATCTAACAAGACAGCACTGCCGCTTGGTGGCATGAACTCCCCCCAGATTACCGGCTGATTAGATTAGACGGCATACATATTCCACTCTTGCTGCCATGTCACCAGAGGAATCCGCGCCGAAGATCACTCAATATCCATTTCAATCCGAATTCGCATCACAATGGGCTCCTCACAGGAGGAAGATAGACACAGCGCAAAGGTTCCTTTAGAGAAAACGACAAGCCATGATGAGGGCATGCCAAGTCGCGAAGCTTTGCTTGAAGCTCTTCGATCCGAAAAGCCATCGCCATGGTCACCGAATCTGAGAAAGTTATACACTTTTTGCTTGATTGCTTTCCTCTGTTCGACAATGAATGGTATGTACCAGATCATCTTGACAGCTATCCGGAAATTCGTTGCTCATATCGTGGTATGCAGGATATGATGGATCCATCTTTGGATCACTTCCTGCATTGGACTCCTTCCGGGAACAATTCGGAGTTGAGAAGAACGGTTCGAAAATCGGATACATCTCCGCCATGTACACCGTTGGTGCAATCTGCTCTCTTCCATTCAGCGGTCCAGCCTGTGATTTCCGAGGAAGAAAATGGGGCACATTTATCGGGTGTATCATTGTGGTTGCTAGCACCTTCGTCTCCGCCCTTTCCCGCGGCGTGCCTCAATTTGTCGCAGGTCGATTCTTCCTCGGATTCGGAGTCAACATCATTCGATCAACGAGTTCCATCTGGTGTGCTGAGGTCTGCCCTCCTGCCTATCGTGGTATCATCATGGCCTTTTACAACTGCACATATGCAGTCGGCTCGCTCATTGCCGCTGGCGTTACGCGAGGGTCAGCAGGATATGGCGGCAAACTGTCCTGGCAGATCCCGTTATGGTGTCAAATGATCTGTCCGGGCATCGTGCTCCTTACCGTCCTATTCTTCCCTGAGTCCCCGCGTTGGCTTTTCTCGCACGGCAAAGAAGAACAAGCACTAGAATTCCTGGCCTTCTACCACGGCGAAGGAAACCCCGACCATCCACTCGTGCAACTCCAACTGCAAGAATATCGAGAATTCATCTCGCTTTCCGGATCCGATAAGCGCTGGTGGGACTTCAGCGACTTTTACAAGAACAAAGCAGGAAGATGGCGATTTATCAACGCTCTCATTACTGGCATCTGGGGTCAATGTTCCGGTAACGCTGTCGTCACGTACTATCTTCCGGCAATGCTTCTGACAACCGGTATCACGGATTCGGAACAAGTCTTGAACGTCAATCTGGGATATACCGTCGTTTCGACTGTGGCATCATACCTCGGCGCAAGCCAGATCGAAAGAATGGGCCGTCGACCCACAATTATATGGACGGCCGTCGCATGCTCAGTCTGCTTTGCCTGTATCACGATCGGATCTGGGCTCTTCGCACATACCCACGCTAGCTCCGCCGCGTCGGCCGGGATCGCCTTCATCTTTATCTTTGGTTTCTGCTACAATTTCGGAATGACACCGTTGCAGGCGCTGTACCCAGTTGAAGCCCTTTCCTACGAGACACGAGGGAAGGGCGTCGGATTGACCTTCTCGATTGCCCACGGCTTTACCCTTCTGAATCAGTTTTGTTTCCCGGTGGCTTTGCAGAAGATTGGATGGTATACATACATTGTGTTTATTGTTTGGGATCTTTTCGAAGCGACTGTCAGTTACTTTGTTTCGGTTGAGACGAAGAATCATACTCTGGAGGAATTATCGGAGATTTTTGAAAGTCCGAATCCTGTCAAGGCTTCGTTACAGAAACCTCTGGCTGGAGGTCCTTGAGCTCACCAGTCATTCGGCTGTACCGAAAAGTTCTATTTAGGGTTGATGAATCTTTTTTTACGACAGTGATTTGGGTGCATGATTATTTTGAACATTCGGAAATATTATCGAAATGAATATATTGCCATGGGTTATTGAAAACTCTGAGTTCCCTTCGGTATGGTCTGTGGCTGCAATTCGTATCCCACGTAAACTTCGTCCACGCGCCTGATGTGAAGGTCGTCCTGATCACCGAGGATATTTTCCTCACTAATAGTCTTGAACGGTGAAGCCTGTCGGCTGTTCTTCTCAACGCCGGCTTTGGGGTATAACCTTCCCTGGCTAATCGAGTTAGACCGATATTTTTGGTCACTCAATGTTGTCAATCTTAATTTAACGAGGATGAAGTCGAGGACGGGTTTCAAGGTTGGCATGCACGCTGCGATGACGACGATATTGGCCTCCACACTAATTTCATCGTCAATACTGTCTCAGTATATCTCGGCGAGAGGATCGCTTACCTCGTCCAAATGACTAGGGGAACAGTAGAGTCTACACTTCATTAGTTGATGCAAAAAAGTCAACTCCTGGAGGCAGGTAAACTCACGGGTGAGGTCAGCTTGGTTGCGGAGACCTCCAATCTGGGCACATTTGACCATAGCTATAGCGCTCGCACTAATTTCTGTCTTAATATCCGCGGTTTGGGTGAAAGGGTCATTCAAGAGAGTCTTCAAATGCGTACATTGATCCAAGGCCCATGGCAGCACTCAGTGCGATCTTCTTTCGCAGAGACATTTGGAGGTGAAATAGAATGAAGGCAGGGTATGTGGCGAGATATAAGTCGACGAACGCAGAGAAAGCTGTCAAAAGTGTCATCAGTTGGCTATACAGGCTAGATCAAGTTGGCCAATGTCTACTAACCGCCGTTAAATGTCGCAAAGCCAACCAAGACATCGACAGGTCTACATTTTGCCACCCCTTCTAAAACCAAGGTTGACTTCCAAAGTCCCTGCGGTGGACTGCACGTCGTAACGTATATCAAAATGTTGATTATTGCAATGACAGCGACCATGGAAACGAGAGTCCACAGTATGATGCGATGGACTCGTATTGGATTGAGGATTCGCTGAAGTAAAGCAGCGACGGCGATTTTCGGAAGAGCAAAAGAGATAATGCCGAAAATAAAGGAAATCATGTTCCATAGAAGGGCTTGCTCAGCAGCGGGTGTGGAAAGATTGGCCGTGTGTTTACCAAATCCCTTGGCCACAGATACCGCCGCAGTAGCCGAGAAAAGAATACCGAATAACTACGATACCCAATTTCTCGCCGTCAGTTTCTTTCAAAATAAGGAGCCAGTGGGCAATATTTGAAAAGAAAGAATACGAGGAAGCCCGTGGAGCTCACCATGGAGAACGCAATCAACCAGTCGTCCAGTCCAAAATTGCGGATTATTCGCTGCCGAACACATAGGCGGGCGACAACCAACACCAGAGCCAGTACAGTCAGCGACCACATCACGGCCAATATTGTGGGGCCTTGGTCCTCCATGTTTCTCAAGGAAGATCCAGAAGTGAGAAGGTGGCCTGGAAATCGGCAACAGCACACATTGCAAATGAATATGATATAGTCGAATCGATCAAGTTTGAAAATGCTCGCCTGGGAGCAGGGGAAGGATCTTGGAAATTTTGGCCCCAATCGGACAATCAAATAGTTTGGCCCCAAGGTGGTATGAGGTCTTTAGTTCAAAGTCAGTCTCGGAGGACCGGCCCGCCCGATGCCGTTAGTCTTTTCGGCTTGGCGAATTTCCTGATATTGCTCGTTCAGGCGACAATATAAACAACTAGACTGATTTGTGGAAACTGACAACATTAACCCACAATTCCCCATCCTTCATCTCCACTCGATGCAGCAGCCATCGGCGCCGTCGCACGTCCGGCTCAGGGATCCGCCCGAGCGTACCTTGATTCGACCCACCATTGTGTAGAGATGGTTCCACCTAACAATTGAGTACTACTACGGAGTAAGAGTAAATAACGAAACAATGTACCTAAGTATGTGCTAATTGCCTTGAAGGATCCTAGTGATATCCACCATTTAACCCCTGCAACAAAGGTCCATATGTCCAGGTGTGTGCATTTGGACGGGGTGCCCCTGAGCTTTAATCTGCCCCAATCCACCATGGAGATCCTTTGTATCGTCATTCACTTCTTCCATCGCCGAGCTCTATCAGTACATCGATCTTGCTACAATGACACGAATTGATCTTAAGGAAAATGGGCAGGAGATCGATCCTAAGGTCGCTGTCTCTCCTACAGCTCCGCATCAACTTGCAGATCTGCTGCACGAAATCCAATCACATGCCAATGCATTCACAAACGGAGATTCTCTAGCCCGACTGGAGCTCGTGGATTCAGCTCGAGCTCTTGTGCGAGCTATGGAAACTCCACAAGAGGCAATGCTGCGTGCTTGCTGGGCAGAGGTGCGTATATCCATCAACAAGTCCTGATAATGGGAGGGCGGCTTTTCGAAAAAAGACCTTGAAGCTAATTCAGGATACATCGAGCAAATCCAGCCTTCTTACTTCGCCGTTATCGAAACATGTATCGACTTAGGAATATTTCGCCTGATCGCCCATACCAACGAGCCGAAATCAGTGGCGGACCTGGCGGTGGCAACAGGTGCAAGTGAGGAATTGCTCGGTATATTCTCCTGCACGAGGGTACTGAGGTCTATCGATGGCTGATATCTTCCATTAGAACGTCTTCTGAAGCATCTCGCTACCATGGGTGCATTGGTTGAGACTGGGCTGAACGAATACACCCACAACGGGCTTACCAAGACTTTGTCCCTTGAAAGATACAGCGACGCATGGCCTGCCATGTGAGTCAAATACTTCCCCGGTCAATAATTCTAACATGACCCGAGGCCGAGTCATAAGTGAATCGGCTTCGCTAACTTTGCTTCCTTCGACGCAGCAATGGCTCCACCATGGGTCCAGTTTACGCATTGCCAAAGTGGCTCAAGGAGAACAACTATAAGAGCCCGACTGAGGGCAAAGACTGTCCTTTTACCCTGGGAAACAAAACCGAGTACCCCTTTTTCGAATACCTCAACGGTAAAAGTACCGATTATCCAAAGCTTGGATCTCAATTCAACAATCTCATGTCCGCATATCATCAAGGCCGACCCAGTTGGATGGATGAAGGATTCTACCCGGTGGAAGAGAAGTTAATCAGTGGGGCCAAAACTGGCCCAGAAGAAGTTTTTATTGTCGACGTAGGTGGCAATAAGGGTCACGATCTGGAAGAGTTCAAATCAAAATGGCCCAATTCGCCCGGTCGATTAATCCTGCAGGATCAGCCTCATGTTTTGAAGGAAATCACCACATTGAACCGGGCGGTCGAGCCTATGGTTCATGACTTCTATACCCCGCAGCCAATTAAAGGTATGTTTTATGTATTTTTATTTGAGCAGAGACAAATCTGCCAGATCCGTGCGCTAACATGCAGTCCATATTTCAGGTGCTCGGGCATACTTTCTGCATTCCATCCTCCATGACTGGAACGACGCGATCTGCCAGGACATTCTCTCAAAAATTGTATCAGCGATGGCTCCTGGATACAGCAAGATTCTGATCAACGAGAATGTTGTTCCAGACCGTGGAGCACACTGGCAGGCCACTTCTCTTGATTTCATCATGATGGTCGATTTGGCAGCTAAAGAACGCACGGAGAAGCAATGGCATAGCTTGATTGAAAGCGTTGGCCTAAAAGTAACCAAAATATGGACTCGCATTGATAGCGCGGAGAGTTTGATTGAGTGCGATTTGGCATAAGACTTTCGGCCCGAAATAGCTCAAATTTTTGAAATTTTACCTATGTATGTGACTTCAACTAAATAATGTTCCCCAAGGTTCAAGCCTGGAAGTTCAACGAATTCTACGGAGTGTGCCCTTTGAGTTCGCAAACTATTCACTGAATCTTGGCTCACCACTGCGCCATGCAGAAGCTTCGCGATCGTCTCAGGCGAAAAAAGGCAATTTCTTCTGAGACTGAATACTAACAACCCGTTGCAGAGGCTCGTGTACTACCACCCATTATTACTCACAACGGGGATTTGCGCTAATCTAGATCTATTTAGACCTGTACTACATGCCCAGGGATCTTGAGTAGATCCCAGGACGAATATCGCTTCATTCTGTATCACAGAGTAGCCATTGAGAGCAAGCCGCTGCAGGTTTATCACTCAGGACTAATTTTCAGCCCAAAAGAAAGTATCACAAAAAGCCAGTTCGAATTGCAAGAGCTGAAAATATCCGAGTCCTCAGGAATTGAAGAAAATGGAGCGAATGCCTACAGACCCTGGAAGACCATGACGATATAGTCAATTCGGTGGTCTTCTCCCATGATTTCAGGCAGCTCGCCTCCGCTTCTATGGATTGTACTGTCAGAATCCGGGATTATAACAGTGGGCGATGCCTGCAGACACTGAAAAGCCATACCTCTGGCGTCAATTCAGTTGTATTTTCCAACGATTCCAAGCTGCTTGCTTCAGGTTCGATGGACCAAACAATCAAAATATGGGATAGTGGTAGTGGGTAATGTCTTCAGACTTTGAAGAGTCATGGTCAATCCATACTATCATTCGGACTTTACAACAAATCTCAGGTGTTTATCTCCAGCTCATCTCATGGATGTATTGAAATTTTTGGATGCCACCAAGAAGCAATGTCTGCGTACGTTCCAATGCCACACTGGCTCGATGAATGTTAGCAACTTCTCCCATAAATCTCGGCAAATCATATCTGCTTCAAGTGATTATACTATTACAATCTGGGATTTCTACAGTGGAAATTGTTCGCACGCCCTTTATACGGATTAGGGGCCGCCCAGCTCTGTCAAATTCCCCTACCCAGCCTTCTCTCATGATTCTAGCCAACTAGCCTATGCCTCACGAAATTCCATCAAGATCTGGGATACGAATACCGGACAGTGTGTGGATAAATTGGGAGACGCTTCACATTCTACATCACATTCTGTCTAACTTTTTCTCATGATTCCAATTTACTCGCCCACTGTTCAGGCGATGATGTGAGGATCATGGATATCAATTCCAGGCAACGACTACAGCTATTTGAAGGCCATAGTAACGAAATTCATGCCGTTGCATTGTCTCATGATTCAAAGTTTCTTGCCTCTGCTTCACATGACGACACTATCAGGATCTGGGACATCAGCAGTGGCATCAGTCAATGCCTACAGACACTCAAAAGCTATTTCATTGCCATCAGATTTAACTCGACCGACTCATGTCTTGTGACCAGTAAAGGCGCCATTCAATCATCATTTTCTGAGCCAGAGCCACAGGTACCGCTGTTTCAAGGTAATGGCATAAGTCTTGACGATACTTGCATTACTTGAAATTCCGCAGATATACTGTGGCTACCAACAGGATACCGCCCTCACTCTCTGTTGCGTTGTTCCGCTTTGTCCCGTTCAAGTGCTTGCATTATTGGCGTATCTGGAAAAATCCTTGTACTCACCTGGGCAGATTTAACTCTCGGAACCCGTTGAAACTTGTTGATGGTAGTATGCCTCAGGCTATTGGGGCCGTTGCTCTTGCTTAAATGGCTTTTTCTTTGTCTACTTCCACACACAGACACACCACGTCACAATACCATCATCTTCTATGCATCGTCTCCTTCCTCTCCTCGTTAGACCTTGCGGATTGCTTTTAGCTGGAGCTGGAGATTTTGTTAAGACCAGTATTTCCCAGGCTGCCGTGCATGGCCTCTTGCAAATAGCCTACCTTTCTTCTTCATCTATCACCACTCTTTCTTGCTTCTATTTCTCTTACTGGGTCTCTCAATAGACAACAGAGGCGATTTACATTTAGCATCGCTTCCTCTAAGCGAACTTCATTCTCGTTGAATAATTACCTTGCTTGACTCTTAGTCTCAAAACCAAGTTAACCAGCCGGTAAAGACTAGGCATATGGGCCCACGACTTGTGTAAGTTTCCATGCACAGTGAAGATCATGCAGGGTCAACCCCACGAATCCGCGCTCGCAATAGAAAATGCCAAGGTCTTATCTCCGTGAAGATCCGCGCTCTGACTAAAGGTTATCATATCTCAACGACAAATTCGGTCTGAAACCTGGGGGCCTTACATTGTCACCTGATTTTGTTTCTGCAATGTAACCTTGGCCTGAAAGCGAACCAATTCAAGAATGTCTACGGGTGGATTCAAGTTCTCCGGAGCTTATCATCGACGGTGTAAATAGTACTGATTAGTACCGATGTAGCGCCATCCTAGAATATTTAAAGGCAGACATCCGCCAGCTTCCAAGGTTGTTTAAGACCGTTCTCCAGGAATCAATTTCTATCTTCACAATTCTTTACATTTCCATCACTCTCCTCCAATCAATTCCTCCAACATGAAGGTTTACATGTCCCTTCTTCTCGCACTAGCCGCTTTCTCAATGGCCGAGGCAAGCCCAAATCTGCAAGAAAGAGCCGGATGCTCCCAGAAGGGCCAATACTGCAACGGCGGCACATTCCTCTGCTGTCCAGGCCAGGGAAGCTGCTCTGGCAATGTGGTAAGTTTGACACTGCACTCAATTAAAAGGGTTCATTCCGATGCTTTGCGATCGATGGCTAATAAAGCTCCATGCAGTGCAAATAAAGCGATTGCGGCCTCGCCTCTCAGGACTGAGATCACAAATCACAAATTACAAAATTGGCTATTATTGAAATGAAAATTTGGTCTTTTGGTATTTTGGAATTTTGGCGCTGATGTTTTCGGTATTGAGAGAAATTTAAATTGTGCATGGTCCTACTGGTCTCATGTATCTATACCAACGTGGATGGTGATTAAGGAACTTTAATCCACCGGCTCTTTCTTTCCATGAATCATAGTGATGAACTTCCCAAGCTTGGAGACTCTAATCTTGCAACCCCTGGGAGCCTTCTCCGAAATCAGGATCAAACGAACATGATGATGAAAATGGATGCCATGCGCGCACCCATGTGGCTACCGTAGTCGTTGCCGGAAATCCCCTGGTATATTCAACTGTATACTCAACTGTATCTGTTGCCTCCTGGGTATGACTGGGTAGATGAGACAAATTCAATTCATGAAAGGCTTTCACACTGCGACGAGTAGTAGCAGCCATCTACGGGTCAGTCGAGACACGAGTCCAAATCGCATAGAACGGATGTGAGTCTGTCAGCATTCTCCGCGTGTCGTGGGTGACTTTCCAGGGCTTGAATTTTCTTTCCATGGCTTCTTCGTCTTTGTCTTCTGTATATTGATCGCGACCACTAGCACTCAGTGACAATCTTCCGACAGCAACAGCATACATTCCATGACTCGTGGAGCTCAGGTCGCTTTGCTTTGCCGAGTTGTCTGTCTCATGCGACATTGACATTGCATCTGCCCAGATGTCTATAAATGGCGAAGCTTGGAGACTGTGCTTTGCAGACGGGGGTTCCCAGGTCCAACTTGAACAATAGAAGTGGCAGTAGTTTCTAGCATCTAGTACCTACCTACCTAGGTAGATAGGCCCGATGGGGTATCTTGAAATATATCTGCGACCGCCCGCGACCACAACCACCATGCCCAAGTATATCACACATCTGAGTTACAAGGATCAGCAGATTCAGGTTCCCACAGCATAGCTGGCACTTCCAACCCAGGAACCACCTCACCCATCGCACTGGCAACAGCACGGAACCCCAGTCCCTCATACAGAGCCAGACCCTGCCGACTAGCCTCCAGACCAACCGGGATCCGCTCCTCGTTCGCCCGATCCAGACCCCACCGCACTAAACTCCGACCGAACCCGCGACGCTGATGCCGAGGATCCACCGCCACAGTCGCCAGGAACCAGAGCTCGGGCAGGGCGGCAAAATCATAGCCCGTCGCACAGGCCTGCAGATATCGGTCTAAGCGGACAGGGTCCAAGCTGCGATCAGGGGATACGAGAGCATAATAGCGGTCTTCAATGGCGAGGAGAGTGCGTTCAAGGGCTGGGTGGTCATTGAATTAGTCTGGGGATCTCAATTAGCGCCCGTTCATTGGAAACTAGGTCCTTACCGTTCCACCAGCTACTCCCATTTTCATTCTGCCATTGTGTGGCGGCTGGACTATCCCCGCGTCTGCTCCACACTGCGTAACCACGCACGCGCTCGCCCCTGAGGTCCCCGTTGTGCTCCGACTCCGAGCCCGACTCGACGGCGACTAGCATTACATATCCCGGGGTATGTAGGCGCATTCTCAGGCGACGGAGGAAGGCACTGCGGAAGTCCGCATAGTAGGTGTGGCGGTGGGGACAGAGGTGGATGAAGAGTTCATCGTGAAGCATTGCCTGGGCGGCGATGTCTGCGAGGGAGGGGAGGTCATTGGGGGTGGCTCTGCGTATACACATATCCAGCTTAGTATAGTGCATAGAGTACTCCGTAGAGTACTCGGTAGAGTGAGAAGACGAGAGAAGAGCAAAGAGTCGAGTGGATGTGGCTGAAGTTGAGTGGCAAATGCAAAAATGAAATGCAAATTTGCGCGGCTCGGCAACCGTCGGCTTCTTCTTTCCTTCACACTTCAACTTGACTTCTTCTTACTCACTCACACTTACCCTTGCTTCTTTCTTCTTTCCTCTGTCTACTCAGTATCCTCAGTATACACTGACAATTCCTGTTCTCTAATCATAGAGAATCCTCACGGAGCAGAGACACTCGCGTGATTGCTGATCGCAGTCCCACTCGCCCCTCTTCCCCAGTCTTCTCCAGTTTCACTCCTCCACACTTCATTTTTCACCGGGTTCTCTTTTCATAATTGGACGATATTAACTCCTGTCCCAATTGATCTGCCCCTCTCTCATTTCCTCTCAGTTTCTCTCATTTTCGGCTTGTCTTCCCCCTGCATCCCTCTTTAAACACCCTTTTCTCGAGTCTCCCAATCCCGACATCGGACTCGATTTCTGCTTCTGCTTCTGCTTCTCCTCGCAACTTGCAACTTGCGCCTCAACTCAATTCCTGGATCTCGCTTGACTTACGACTCTCCATGCACCAGTCATAGCCCGATAATGGCTGCGTACAGCGACAACACTCTCAGTTCACCGTTCCCTTCAAGGCCTCGCCCTTGCCCGGCCTTTTTCTACCCACCCATCTCATAACAGAGATTGTCGTGGACACTGCAGATACAACGCAGTTGACACCCTTGTCGCAAATATACCCAGCTCCCTGTACATAATTGCCACAGCTGCCGTATATACACCATGACATCCGCCCTCGACGAGCCACCTGATGGCCTCATCGGTGGCTACAAAGGCGGCAACTTCGTCGTGCGCATCCTAATGATCGTCTTCTCCTCCATCGCCCTCTACAACGCCATCGAACTCTTTATCCTCCTCTTTCTCACCTTCCAACACTACCGCGGCCTCTACTTTTGGACCCTACTCCTCTCCGTCACCCTCGGCGTCATCCCCCACACCGTCGGATATATCCTCGAATTTTTCGCCCTCGCTCCCCTATGGTTCTCTCTCGTTCTTTCCACCATCGGCTTCTACGTCATGGTCCCAGGCCAATCATTTGTCCTGTACTCGCGCCTCCATCTAGTCGTTCAAAACCAAACAGTCCTCCGCTTCGTCCTCTGGCTCATAATAATCGACTCAATCATCCTCCTCGTGCCTACAACAGTCCTAACCTTCGCCACCGCCTACGTCCAAACAACCCCCTTCATCCGCGGGTACAACGTCATGGAAAGAATGCAACTAGCCTGGTTCTGCGCGCAAGAATTCGTAATATCAGGCATCTACATATCCGAAACAGTCAAACTGCTCAGCCTCATGCCAGAAAAAGACCACCGCAGATCAAAAATCATGTACGAGCTCCTAGCCATAAATTTCGTCATCATCCTGCTGGACGTCGGCCTGCTCGTCGTCGAGTACATCGGCTACTACTCGCTCCAAACGACGCTGAAACCAATGGTTTACAGCATCAAGCTGAAGCTGGAATTCGGCGTATTGGGGAAACTTGTTTCGCTCGTGCAAACGAACCGATCGCAGCCTACGTCTCTTGAGCATGAGGAGTATCCGGGATTCGTGGATCCGACACAAATTACCTCTGATGTGACGCATGCGGCGCCGGTCCAGTCGACTCGTCGCGCTTCGAGGGGGTTTCACTGGGGGATGAATATGAATAATCTCTCTTTGGAGAGTTTGCCCATGTCGGAACGAAGGATAAGGCCCTCGACGAGGGATACGGATAGTTCTGGTCCGAGTCCGGGCCCGAGTCCTAGTCCGCGTTTATGATGTTTCACGATTGTATATTGACATGTATTACTGTATAGCTATTGAATAATGAGCATTGTATATTTACTTTATCTACTTTATCACTATAATATTCAGATCTGCACCCGTATCCCGCTGCCTGTCTTCTTCAAACAGACTCCCCCATCTCATCAAAACACCCATGAATAATCGCATTCCACTCCGGCAAAAACGGAATATCTGTCGCGAAGCCGGAAAACGCATTGAAATCCCCATCCCCGATATTGGGCATACTATCAAATTCCCCAAAATCCACCTCCATGGAACCGGCATCCATATTGGCATGAACCTTCGCTTTCACACTGCTATTCCGAGTCCCACCCGCATCATCCAATGCACCCCCCGGCCTCAACAACAAAGCCTGCTGCCTCAATCTCAGCAAACACTTCCAGATACTCCCCTGCTGCTCCACATCCGAGCCCCCACCAACACCCACACCAGAGGACATGGACATGGACATATCAGGAAAGACATCATCAACCAAGACCCACGCCCGATCAATATCAGCGGCGTCAACTCCAGCCGGCACATTGCATAAACACCGCAGCACATAAGCAAGCGCATACCACTGCGTATAAGTCGTAAACAACCAGCGAAACCCACGCGAGAAGTCGGATCGAAGGAGTCTTCGATTGGAACCGATTGCATCGCACGCTAGTGTGAAAGAATGCGGCCTTGACTTGGACTCGGATTCGGACTCAATTTCCGATGCAACATTCGATTGCATTCGTGATATCGATATCGATACCTCCTCCCTAACCCTCAAGATAAACCCCATCTTCAACTCCACCGTCGTAAAATGCTGCCTCGCAAGTCGACAAAGAATACCCTCCTCATCATCATCCCCATCCCGATTCTCACATGCAGAACCTTGAGCTGGATCCCGAATCCCATATTTCCGAAAAACCTCCCCCTTCCTCCTTCCAATAAGCCCCCTCTTCTCCGCAATCCCACAAATACCAGCCCCGGGCCCTGGCCCAAGCACCGGCCTCAAAAGCAAACAAGACTCAACCTGCACCAAAAAGAAAGCCATCTCACTCCACCCCACCCTCTCAGGGGGGAAATCCCTCATCCCGGGCCAAATCTCATCATCATTAACATTAAGCGGCAAGCGTAATGTCTCTCTACAAACATCAACGCTAATTTCAAAGCCCTGGTCTTCCGGGGCCCGCGAGTCGAGAACGCAGAGATGCCACCATAGGCGGAGGCGGAGTTCTGTTTCGAAGGGTGGGAGGTGCAGGGTTGTGCTTCGGTGGAGGCCGAGGGATTGGGAGAGGCGGATGCTTAGGCCTGTTAGGACCCAGACTATTCGGGTTGGGGAGTGAGTGCGCAGGGTTGTCTGTCGTCACGATTAGTTCACGTTGGTGCCTCGGTAGCTAAGTGTGGGGGGAGGGGGCGTACGGCGTATATGGCTAGTGCTTGTAGAGAAGTTAGATCTGGGGTGTTCATTAGATCTGTTGAGAGGAGGATCGAGTCTAGAGCGAATTTGTAGGTTTTTAGGAGAGTTGTTTGGTCTTCTTTTGTTTCGGCTGAGGGGACTCGGATTTCGCTGGGGCTGGAGCTTGAGCTTGGGGTCGTGTGGTATAGTGCTGTGATGGCTGCGTAGTATATTGCGTATGTTAGGGCTAGCATTGAGCGGGTGGCGGATGCTGGGTCGAGGATTGTGGCTAGGACTGCGGATTGGGTCGTTGGGATGTGGAGGATTTTTAGGACTGGGTCGACTGCTTTGGTATATGTTGACCAGAGGTGGAGGGCTAGTTCGGGGGCTGGGTAGGATGTTAGGATTGGGGTTTCTTGGGGTTGGCGTTGGGTTTGGTTTTGAAGCTGGTGTGCTGGTGTTGTTGGCAGTGGGGTTGGAATGTGGTTCAAGTTTCTTTGGAGATTCGGTGAATTGTAATTTGAGGGTGATGGGGTTGCTCTCATTTTGTCTTCCTGCTTTTTGTATTAGGTTTCAAGGTTTGAGACTTTTGGGGGAGCAGTTTCATGTTTCGACTGATACCAGGCTGTTGAAAAGGAGACTCACGTCCTGAAGAAGATCTTTGATATTGGCATTATTCACATATTGAACCACATGTCCATCGTTTAGGAGGACTTCCCAGGACATGTTATTCGACTGGGAAGATTGTACTTGATTCAATTTCATGCCGAGATCTCGTTGGGTATCACGTTCTCTGTTCTTTGCATCTTCAGGTTTCTCATTGCATTCGTCGTCGATTGCCGATGGTAGACTGCTTCCAGAGAACTGTGCTTCGCAGAACCTGGCCAGCATCGACTCCACCCGCTCCAGCCGGTCAGAAACATTTTGAAGAGATGCAGTTCTCCTCTCGGGGGTTTCTTTAGGATAGACGCAGGTGAATTCGCACCGGGTGCAGTTCGTGCAAGGGACTCCTCGGTCGCATCGGACTTTGCGTCGGTGACAGGCGATGCATGAGCGGGCGGCAACTTTATAACCCCGTTGTGACACCCGGGAGGGCTTTTCTTCAGATATTTTTGTTATTCGTTGCATGGTTAGGGATGTGAATTTGGTTGAGTGTGGAAGAGAGCTCTCGATGTGTCGTTGGATGAGGTCGGAGTTTCGGTGCCGACGGGGCCGAAGGATAATCGGCTGTTTCGCCTTTGATTGCTTTGTGGTGGGCCAGTCATGTTTAGCTTGGATGGTAGTAGTCCTATGGAGCCAGTAGTAGATATCTCGGCCAGTAAGCTCCGGATCGCCGAAAATTGGTGGTAGAAAGTGTTATAAAGATGTGCTTCAGTAACGTGGGATCTACAGTACTGCCTCACATACTCGATCTTATCTGATCAGATAATCTGACCGGATACCACCTGTGCCTGCTTCGACTAAAATGGGCAACCCACCGGCAATCACAACACCACATTCAAAGATGTCAGAGTCCCCATTTCAGTCCAAATTCAGAGAAGGTGGCTACGGTTGGGTCTGTGTTGCTTCTACATTCTTCATGAATGCCCACACTTGGGGCATCAACGCCGTGCGTCTAACCATTCACCCTGTGTCCACCCCATTGCATAAGCTAACGAACTCTCATTCCAGGCGTACGGCGTCTTCCTCTCATACTACCTCTCAACCGATATCTTTCCCGGAACATCAAGTCTCGAATATGCCTTCGTCGGTGGCTTAAGCATATCCTGCGCAATGCTCATCGCCCCACTGGCAACTTACCTCGATAAACGCATATCCACCCGCTTTGTCCTGAACCTCGGCACCATTCTCGAATCCGCATCATTTATAGCCTCATCCTTCGTGAGGCAGAGCTGGCAACTCTTCCTCGCACAGGGCGCATGCTTCGGCTTCGGAATGGGCCTGTGCTTTTGCGGTTCTGTAGGAATCACATCGCACTGGTTCGAGAAGAAACGCAGCTTGGTCAATGGGATTGCATCCGCCGGATCGGGCATTGGTGGATTGATCTATTCACTCGCAGTTGGCAAAATGATCCCAGAACTCGGTTTACCCTGGTCAATGCGCACGCTGGGAATCATTTGCTTCGTGGTAAACATAACCTGCGCCAACCTGTTGCGCATTCCATCCGAAACACGAGCGGCTGCAAAATCAACAAAGTCGAAATCTCCCTTATCGCTCTTTAAAAGACTTGATTTCGCTCTCCTGCTTGCTTGGGCTTTTCTCAGCGCTCTTGCCTACGTCACTCTCCTCTTCAGTTTGTCTAGTTTCTCCGTTGCCATTGGATTAACCCAGCAGCAGGGCAGTCTCGCGAGTGCACTGCTCAGTCTGGGTCAAGCATTCGGTCGTCCGGCAGTTGGCTTATTGAGCGATCATTTCGGTCGAATCTTCGTTTCACTGGTTGCTTCGTTTCTGGCCGGCTTGCTCACGCTGGTTGTTTGGGTTTTTGCGAACTCGGCTGGACTGACGTACTTCTTTGCCATCGTTGTCGGCTTGTTCGCTGGTACTTTGTGGGCATCCGCTGCCCCTCTTGCGGCTGAGGTTGTCGGGATTCAGCATCTCGGGGCTGCGCTGGGCGTTATCTGGTTCGTGCTTATGCCTCCGACGGCGGTCGCCGAAGCCATTGCATTGCAGCTGAGGAATGAGGTGGGCTCATCAAAACCGTATCTTCGGGTTCAGCTGTTTGCGGGATTCGTTTATATTGGTTCTGCGGCCTGTTTGGCTTGGTTGTTGATTGAGGTTAGGAGGAAAAGAAGAGTGGCTCGTCTCGAGACGGATAAAATTTGATCTATTGATATGTGGTGGTTAGGAAATGGTATTTCAATTATAGAGGAAAAGAAGTAGAATGGATTCAAAATTGACCGTAGTTTAAACCCCAGTACCGAAAGATAAGTTAAGTCAAAAAGACTAGCACTACCTTCATCCACTGGCATACGTTAACATGACGGCAGCGCCAGATCTTCGGAGCTGACTCGAACCTTTATTCTAAGGGTGCAACGAACCTCCAAAGTTGGCATGTTCCTCGACAAATTGCAAAGAAAATTGGAATCAGCAACCTCGATCCACCACGGTCCCTACGAAACAATTCCACCAACCGCATCCCCAGGTCTACTATTCCTAAAATCCTTCCTCCCAGCAGTCGACACCCTCGACCCAACAATCCACCCACTATCACCATTATTCACCCCAAATGCTCCAATCCTCATCTGCATCAACCTACCCAGCACAGCGAGTGCCACATTCCCCCTGCTCAAAGTACGAAGTCGGCATCTATCCCATTTCCTCTACCACGTGCATATAGTCTGGGACATCAATCTCTCGCAAAAGGACGCCGCCACCACAAACGAGACAGAAAATAATTCCAAACACGGGATGTCTGATAAAACGACGCTCTACGCGCCATTACCGGGCCTGATGCATCTTAAGCGAACCGCCATGTTTGAAGCGATGAGTAGTACGAATTTCAGGAATGATCCGGACGAGTTCGTTGTTAAGGTTCGCGAGTTTAATATTCTCGATTTGGGGGGAAGGGAACTGGATGATTTGTAGGTTGTTGAGATGAGGGTTTTCATGGATGGGAAGCCTGTTCAGGCGCGGGCGCAGCACTTGAATGCTGGATTTGCTTTTGGTGAGGGGACTAGGGAGGCAGAGCCTTCCTGATGGCCTTGGGATTAGATCAAATGGAGCTCGAAGGGAATTGCTGCGGGGTTCAAGCTCCAAGGATTATGACGGAACAGCATGGGATACCTAGGTATTGAATCATCTTTCGATTTGGTATCGAGTTTCACCTTTTAACTTGGAGTCGATATACTTGACTATTTCCTGCAGGCTTCAAGCTGGCAGCAGTGGCTCGCTGGATCTAGTTCATGCAAGATGAGCACCGAACCAGTACTGTTTTGACGCGCCAGTCCTACTATGGATTCCTTCCGTGATATGAGCTATCGTTTGGTATAATGCTATATCCATCCAAAATGAGCCAGATATCAGTTTTATCCTCAACCTGACCTCGGCTATCGTCTCGACACCCGCTGTTTATTCAGGCACCTGGCAATCAACGAAGAAGCACAGCCAATCGACATGGGTACGCACTATATATCAAAAAAGTATTCGAAATATTCGACATCAGTGGACACCAATCTAACAAAGTTGACACAAATCTATCTTCCAACTCTACGCCTGCTGGTGCTATGACCTCCACATCTCCAGACCCTCGCGGCTATTCCCGCCACCACCCGCCAACACACCCCCCAAACAAGCCCGAACAACCGACCCAACCCCTAGAACGAACTCAAATCCTATAAAACACAAAATCTGCCGAACATCTCATCCGACAATGGAGAAACCCCACATCCCCAGACCGGCTGCATGACCGGGAAGAAATCCGGGGTCTGAACGTGGAGACTGTGCATCAGTCCGGGGCAATTAGATCCAGAAACACGCAACATGTGTCTTCCCCGCAAGTACCAAGCCGGGGAAATAGAGAATCCATTACCCAGAGAAATTCAGTTACTGCAACCCCATTGGCGGTGCTGTATTAAGCTTGCTTGCGTTTTTCTATTTCCCCCGATGTGGCGTCTTAGCTTCTGGTGCTCCCCACCGCGGAAAACTACCGGGTCCAACCATATTGGTAGGTTCATGCGATCCCCGTCACAATTTCGGAGCTGGGAGGGAAGTTGACACCGATCTTCGAAGTGATGCTGCAAATGAGCTATGGAATTGCCGCTCTTGTTTCCGCACATTGTGGGATTAAAATAGGGGTTGTGGGTAGGATTTGTCTTGGATTTTCTCGATATCCTTCTTTCTTGAATTTCATTTTTGCTGGTTTCATTGCATTGACTTCGGCAAGATGTCGGATGAACGTGATCTGAAACATGATATTGAGCCCGCTCGTCATGATGTCGATATCGGGCAGATGCTTGCTGTTCAGGCTACACCGGAGGAGGAGAGGACGGTTTTGCGAAAGCTAGATTGCTAGTGAGTGGTTCTCTCAAATGATGCTCATTTACTCTGCTCACAATACTACAGTCTGATGCCTCTGATGGGGTGTGCCTACTTTCTTCAATTTCTGGACAAGCTGGCTCTAAGCCAGGCGACGCTTTTCAATTTACGAGAAGACTTGGTAGGTTCCATACAGCTCGTTTCTCTTCATATCTGATTCCTCTAGAATCTCCAAGGCTCCAACTATTCCTGGACATCGGCTGTGTTCTACTTTGGCTACTTTTTCTGGAGTTGGCCGAGCTCTTATGTGATCGTGCGTCTGCCGATTGGGAAGTACTTGGCATGTTCAGTGTAACTACTCCTGTCCCTTGATATCCCGAAACAATCGCTAAGCTATCCTAGTTTTATCTGGGGTGGTATTTTGATGTGCCATGCCGCAACGAAGAATTTCGCCGGCCTAATGTGCGCCCGTTTCTTCCTCGGCGTCGGAGAGGCGGCCATTGCCCCCGGCTTCACACTGCTAACAGGCATGTTCTATAAGCGAGAGGAGCAGCCAATGCGGTATGTACCAAGCCAAAATCACGATACGGTCGTCCTTTCCGGTTCCCACTCTAACCCCCTCACAGGCAATCCGCATGGTTCTTCGGAAATTGCATCGCCGTCCTCGTCGGCGGCCTCATCGCCTACGGAGTCGGCAACATAAACACAACAGCAATCGAGCACTGGAAATTACTGTTCCTCATCCTCGGTGCCGTAACCTCATGCTACGCAGTCGTTCTATTCTTCTTCCTACCAGACTCCGTCGACAAAGCCGTCTTTCTAACAGAGAACGAACGCGCCATCGCCGTCCAACGCACAATCACAAACAAGACCGGCATCCTGGACAATAACAAATTCAAATGGTCCCAAGCTGTCCAAGCTCTCAAAGATCCACAGGCATGGTGCCTAATTCTAAACTCACTTACTTCAAATTTGTGCAATGGGGGCATCACAACCGTAAGCCAGAACCAACTTGAATCCTCAACCCTCCCATCCCAACCTGCCAGCGGAGTGCTAATTAACCACAATCTCACAGTTCACATCAATAATAACAGCCGGCTTCGGTTTCACAGATCTAAAAGCCCTCCTGATGCAAATGCCTCAAGGTGCCGCGCAAATCGTCTTTTTAGTACTTACCTCCCTGGCGGTAACATACATCCCACACTCGCGCGTGCTAGCCCAAATCTTCAACACAATCGTCTCCGTCATCGGAATGCTACTAATCTGGAAACTCAATCCGGAAGAACAAGTAGGCCGAATGGTCGGGCTAAGTATCGGCATCGTGTACGCGATCAATTTGCCCATCTCGTTGAGTATCGTTACTTCCAATGTGGCTGGATTCTCGAAGAAGAGCGTTGTATCTTCTTTGCTTTTTATTTCGTATTGCGTTGGCAATGTTATTGGGCCTCAATTCTTTTTGGCGAAGGAGGAGCCTTCTTATCCGGTTAGTTTGGAATTCCAAGGATCCCATTGTCATGAAGTTCATGCGCGTTGTGGATGAGGCTAACCCTTTTCAACCTTTTTTTGTTTCAGACTGGTATCAAGGCTGCTATGTCGGGGCTTGTGTTGAGTATTTTCTTCCTGGTTGTTCTTTACTTTTATTATATTTATGAGAATCGGCGGAGGGATCGATTGTATGGTCGGCCTGAGGATATGACTGTTGGGGCAGAGTTACAGGATGAGCTGTCTAACAAGACGGATACGGAGATTGAGAGCTTTCGGTATATTCTTTAGCCTTCCAAGGTTGGGTATTAATGGACAGCCGTGGAAGCCCTGGAGAGGAGTAAAATTCGGAGGTCGGGAAAGATGAGATTGTAGTTGTGCATTTGTGGATATTCCAAGCTACTGCTACTAATACCTACTAGCCCTGAGTCGTAGTGATCCATGGATATCAGCCGTGCATTCACTCGGCCCCATCCCATTTCAGAACCCGTATGATACAATATAAGAGAAATGCAAAAAGAATGCAGAAAAATCCCGGAACCTATAGTCGGATATCATATGTAAAACGCGAAAGGTAATATTCCAAGGAACACGAAGAACAGAGCATCCAATGAAGTATAGCCCACAACTTGATATTCACTCCTCAAACTTTGAGCTCGGAACCATGTCCAACCAGAAAGTGAAAAAAAAAAGATGAAATGAACTTGAACTTGAATGGAATGAAATCAAAAAAAGAAAGGAAAAATAACTGTAAAAATGAGAAACGGGTATCGTATATTTCTTCCAAGCTCCTAAACATCACCACAGAATATAAAGAGAAAGAACGCCGAAATGAAAATGGAACCCAGCGCCGTTATTCGTGTACACGGCATGTATTATGCAGAGCATTGCCAAAATAAAGATGAAGATGGAGATGAATGTAAGTGAGAAAAAAAAATCGTCGAATCCGTCATATGCTGTGATGTGGACTGGGTGCCACGTTTTTTCGCGAATGAAATGCAGTGAATCGGTGAAAATGGTATTTTAGGTTGGTGGTTGAGAATTTTGTCATGGCGTAGGGTGTTGTGCAGCAGTATGGACTCAATCATGGCAATCGATGATTCAGCTACGATCAAACCAGCCTCCATTCTCCCATTCACCCGGGGTATAAGTCGCGCCCTTCCTGGCATCAAGATCGACAAGGCCGCTCAGAAGAACATTCAGTCTGGCGAAATTAATTGGTTTCATGACCCAGCCATCAAACCCGACATCAATGTACTTCTGGCATTCCGACTCGAGCAGCGAGGCAGATACCGCGAAGATGGGGACTCGGGCGTTTAGCTTGGCTTTTTCGGAGAAAGCTTCGGGGGTGACGTTTACTTCGTATTCGCGGATCATTCGAGTGGCTGCGTATCCATCTGCGATGGGCATCTGTTTCCGCGTTAGTATGTGCTCGATAATGAGGAATGAAATTCGTGACGTACCTGTATATCCATCATGATAACATCAAAGCCCTTGCTATTCGAACAGAAGGCATTCGCACAGGCCTCGCCGTTGCCAGTCAATTCGACCGTGTGGCCCAACTTCGTGAGGCGCTTGTGGATGATCCTGGAATTGATGGGGTCGTCCTCCGCGACGAGGACGCGCAATATTCCGGTGTTGGCCGGTACGATCGAGGTCGGAGTGGTGGAAGATGGGATGTTGGATGATATGGTTTGGGCGGTGCCGACTTCCGGAATTGGCATGCGGGGGAAGTAGGATTGTTCCTCTTTCTGCTGCAAGGCTTGTTTCAAGACACGTTCGGAAACGCGAACAGCGCCCATCGGAACTCCTGAATCTTGGATATTCGCTGTGCCTGGAGTGGGAGGGGTCTTCAAGGCTTGCAATGTCATTGGAGGGGTATGTGTGACAATACCCAGGCTCGCGAGCGGATTCTGTGAGTTCGACAACCGCGGCTCACTAAGCGAAGAGGACGACATGGGTGGCGATATATGGCTGCTAATTGCAGGACTGGTTGGCTGAAACCTCACATGCTTACTGTCCATACTCTCGCTTCGAGATTTGGTGAACGGGGTCTCCTTCATAGCGCTGATCAGTCGGTCGGCCTGACTCTTCTGACTCTTCCCACTGCGAGAGCTATTTCCGCTTCGCAGACTCTCGGTGCTTCGTCGGCGAACATCACGGCTCTCAGCAACACCCCCGACAAGAGTGAACTCTCGGTCTGATATTATAGGCGTAGCTGGGACAGTAACGGGTTGTGTTGAGATGTTTGGTGCACTGGGATGTGTCGGCTCGGCTCCCTCTGGCAACTTGAACTGCAACATGATCTTGAAACGGCTTCCCTTACCCTCTTCGGATTTCACGCCCAGTTGACCCTGCATGTTGTGAACAATCCTCGCTACCAGCGCAAGGCCTAGACCAAGAACCTGTCGAGATCCGCTCTGTGGGGTCTCGGGCGTCTCCTCCGTTTCATGTTCCTCATCGCAGTAATCTGCATCAGTCGAGACCTGCTCGAGCTCTTGGAACATAGCTTCCAGCTTCTCCTTAGACATACCTGCCCCGGTATCAATTACCATCATTTCAATGGCGCAATGGTCTTCCAGATTCTGGGTCGCAGAAGGCCACAATTCCACGGTAACCGCTCCAGAGACAGTCTGTTGGATCGCGTTCGATATGAGGTTGGAAAACACCTGGCGCAAGCGTCGCTGGTCGCCGATCAATAGTGGAGGGATGCCCGGCTGGACAGAAACGGAATATGAGATGTTTTTCCTCTTTGCCTCACCAGCAAGCATATCGCTCGACTCTCGAAAAGTCGCCTCAAGGTCGAATTTTTCGGTCTTGATGAGCTCCTGGCCCTTTTCCATATTCGTCAGATCCAGGAGATCATTGATAACGTAAATCAGTGACTTAGACGCCGAGTGCGATTTCGTCAAACTGTCACGGGTCTCGGCATCGAGAGTTCCTTCCAGCGCAATCTCGAGGTAATTGATGATGGCGTTCAGAGGTGTGCGAACCTCGTGGGCAGAATTGGCAAGGAGGAGCTTGGTGAGTTGAGAATTGTGCATGGCAGCCTCTTTCTGTCGCCAGACCTTGATGAACTTCCCGTAAACAAGGCACAAGACTGCAGCTGTCTCGACATCGGATTCAGACCACTCCCGCGATTGACTCAGGACGGTTTCCCGCCACGCTGCGAAACTGTTGCGAGGCTCCAGATACCCTGCCGTGGCTTTCTTTTTGGCAATATCGTAGGGATTTCCTGCCCACTTGATTTCTGTGAGCTGGCCCTTGCGGAAGAAAACTATGAAGTCATTTCCGCCAGTCGAAAGCGGCACATAGAGCATTCCAGAGATTGCCTTAAGGCCCGGTGGGTAATACAAATCAGGGAAGTCTTTGATAATGTCGTGTGACGCCATCACCGAACTGATTTGTCGCATTCGAATAAATTCCAGCAGGGCAAGAACTTCTTGCGAGTGTTCATTATCACCCAGGACTTTGGTTTCGTCCCGGATCGAGAGAGCACCATAGTCTGCGCCGAATAGTTGCAGCAAGTCATCAGACGAGGCAATGATATAACCAGAGGGATTAGCTTCGGTGGGAACCGTGTTAATCAACTTCCGAGCTTGAAGTCGAGATGCGTACGAAAGCCGCTCGATGTTTTGAGAAACAGTATCTCCAAGAAGACGACACATTTTCCGAACCGGAAACGAGACGCGCATACCCTGACTACCATAGGAGTGGCATGATATAAGCCCCCATAGATCGTTGAAGGCACTCACACTGATGGACATTGATGATCGCACTTGCATGTGACGCAGGTATTTGATATGGATAGGAGACATGGCTCGCAGGTACGCATGTGTCATGTCCAGAGGAGTCTCCAGATCCTCCATCGTCCGACAAACCAGGCGCGAAGTCTCGTGGTCGCAGTCGTATAAGAGACGAACCTTATTTATCTTGTATAGCTCGCGGGCTTGGGCGGGGATATCGGATGCAGGGAAGTGAAGTCCTTTGTAAAGATCAATTGAGGCTTTCGGATCGGCCAGCTCAGCCACGACAAGTCCATTCCAGCTGCTATCAAACTGATAGATCAAAACTCGGTGAAATCCAGTTAGCTCTTTGACTAGACCAGTAGCAACGTTGAGCAATTGGTCTAAGTCGGTGGTCCGGCCAAGCTGTTCTTGGATCTGGGTCAACATGCTGAACACATCCATTGCCGCTGCTTCACCCCTTCGCCTTCTGGCGTGGCGGAGAACGCGAAGTGGCTGGCTGATGTTAATGGTGCTAGCAGCAAACTGTTCTGCGGTTGGCATGCCCTTCAATGTGTCGATTGGAACGGCTGGGGTTGAAAGTCCAGCCACGTTCAATGGATTGACCTCATCGTCTTCCATTTCAAATTCACATATAATCATATCCTTCTGAGACTGGCTGACATGGGCGGCACACCAAAATCGACGTTGACCTCCAGAAGGAAGAGGTATTGACAAGATGAAGACCTCGGGGCCATCGATAATTGGGTCGTAGGCGTCGTCTCGAACGAAGTCGATGTGATCTAGCAAGGCGTCTGCCTGGTCGTCGCTCAAGACGTCGCAGAAATTCTGAAGCTCGAAAAGCTGTTTTGGTGTGTAACCCATGATTTGGGTGGAATTTTCACTGACAATGCGAACGACAAGTTGATTTGCCGACTCCTCTCTCATCACAATCATCAGACCAAAACACTGCACAGCGCCCGGGAATCGGATCGGCTCGTCTTCGCAATACTGAAATGCCTCCCCGTCCCTTCCGGTGATAACTGCGTGTCCCCCTTCAGTCTCTATATGCTTGAAGCGTGCAGTGACATGCCCATACTGCTCATCTTGTGAATGAGGTGACGGTGCTTGTGGCTCTGCTTTTGGCTGATTTTGCTGCTGTTCCGAATGTCTTGCAGAACCAACCCCCGAGTGAGTTCCACTTTTCACCCTAGCAAATATTTCCGGATGTTGAGCCACCTCGGATGCCATGGAGTGTGTGCCCAACTCAACATTATCATTTGTGGCATAGGTCTCGTGGCGGGGAACGTCGGCAGGGATTGTAGGCTCTAGATTCGTTTCAACGGAGGGGTATAACGGCGGTGGTGACTGGCATTGTGACTGCGGTTGGGATTGAATTTGCGGGGGAGTGTTAGATTGCAACTCGTTCCAGGCTTGGGCGGAGATGATCGGGTATTGGCGAGCCCCCTCTCGAACAGGCGAGATCGGACCCCGTGGCTGTGTAGCTGTTGGATCAACTGAGACGACCGATCGGATGGGGAAAACTCGATCGATGCTATCGAACCCTGTGTCGGAAGCTTTTGCGTGTTGTCCGTCGTCGTGTGAGACCGATTGCGACCGCTCCCTGATGTCTGGCCGGCTTGAGGAGATGTCGATCGAAAGCGGTCGGTTCGAGGGCGCTTCGCTACCGGAACGTTGTCGCGCGGTCCCCGGTCGACTGCCTCCTGGACTGGCTGGACTAGAGGACATCTTTGCGCTGGAGCCCGAGGCGGGAACAAGACGATGTATGAGACCCGAGGAAGGGACGATCTGAAATGAGGTTCGGATGTAGCGATTGCGGGTTGTATAGGGGTCGATCGGTGCGTGTGCGAGCAAAGCAAACGAAGAGTTACACCATCGGCGAGTTTAGTCTGCCACTGTTTTATAAAGACTTGAGCGGTAGGTCTCGCAACCCACACAGCTCACGCAATTATTATTATCGATGCTCCCGCGGGTGAAACACCACAGGAATCCGAACAAAGGTGGGGTGGATCTCCGCTGTTGAGTTCATCAGGGAGTGTTATCGACCGGGAGGCGTGTCGATCGGACTGCAAGAGATGTGTGTACCTGGGAGAATGGAATCCGAGAGAATGGAAACCGGACGACGATCTGGAGAAGCCAGAAGAAGTGGAGAGGAGGGAAAAAAATCCCTATGGAGGGGCAAGCGGAGAGTGGCCAGCCAGCATGTGGGCAAAAAAGGAAAAAGGGAAGTGATGTGCAATCCGCTGTCAACCGACCAAACTTTGGAGTGTGTCAGGCGCGATTGGATGTTAGGCGCGCAAGATGGAGTAGATGGAGCAGATCGATCCACTGTGTAAGGGCTCCATGGGGAGCATTCATCCGACAGATTGGAACAGTGCGGGATTGGCTTGCATGAAATGGGACTGGATTGGGGGGGTCAGTCAAGAGAAATTACGGGCCGACCATTTTGATGAAGGGATTCCTGGGATTCCCTTGGGCCAACTGTGGCTCAGCGGGGGGCGTATTCGGTACCAGAAAAAACTTAAGGAATACCAGGATTGAGTAGGTACCTGGTACTCTGGACACCTGAGGTGGCTCACTTGTGGTGTTCTGAGTGGGACCCAGCATCATCATGACCATGTCATATCAAGGTGTGCCCATGCGTTAAATCCTCATGACATCATCAGGGGAGGATCGATTCAATGCTGTCGCAGCATGGCTCGACGATGAGGCTTGCAGGCACCATGCAGGATGACGAAATCTCAGACTATCTTTGGATAATCGGCACGGCCTCGCATTCCAACGGTTCCTGGCCCCATTGTGTTTACCCAAAATGGTGTGGTGTGAAGAGGCTTTGCGCGGTCGGCCGAAGGGTCGGCGACAGGGTCATAATGAGCCACCACGGTGAATGGTTTGCCACCGATGCGGCTACTCCGTACCAAGGGCAGTGATGAGTCGAACGCGATGGAAGCAATTGAAGCGGCAAATGCAAATGGAAATGTCAGAGGTCGATGTTTTTGGTGGAGGTGAGTGGCGGAAGTTGAAGTTGACGTTGATGGATATTCATAGGAGGAAGTCACGGGTTGTTTGGACAGAATGGGAGATTAAATTGTATCCCTCGACTTCATCATCTTTGCCAGTGGTAATAAGAACAACAATTGACTATTGGTTTTTAAACGAATTGAAGAAGAAAAGGTGAAAATTCTGACAACAAACAAGCTGGACTGTGCGGTGGCGATATATTTAACACTAGTCAGGAATGGTGGTATACCTAGGTACAACTTGAAGCAGGACTACCAGTGCACAAGAACTTGAACTTGAACGAGGTGAAAGAGTACCGAGTTAGGTACCTAATAGGTATTAATTTTGGAACAATATATAAAATATTCAATCCACCAGAAAAACGATTAACACCGCCCGGAAACAAAAGGCCACACTGGGATGCACGCGGTAAGTTGCAATGAGTATAGAACATTAGCAGAAATGTATGCACTTGCGAAATGACAGACAGCCGACCAAGTATAGGGATATTGAAGTAAAAAATCTAGCCAACTCAAGATGCAGAGAAGAGGAAAGAAAGGAAGAAGGAAAGGAAGGTAGTAGAAGGGAAGAAAAGGCGGGAGACGACGAGAAAACAACCCATTCCAAATCGATTCTGGCAAGGCCCTATTTCGGCGCCACCAGCAATTCTGCCTCAATAGTCGACCTGGTCTCAGAAGACCCAGTCCTGCCACGGGTATTGCCGCCGGTCGAAAACCTGTGCTCGGAACGAGGTGATCCAGGAGAAGTGAACGAGACCACAGTCGGTGCAGGCGAGGCGGGCAGATTCATATTCTCGATCGAGGTTTGACGAATGACCTCATGGAAATCGGGCGTGCTGCCCATCAGGGAATCTCGCTGTCTCTTTCTCCTGGACTCGGAGTTCGCCATGGAACTCTGGAAACAACTCGCGAATGGGTCTGACTCGAAGGTATGGAGCGCATCCAGTGTCGGTGTTGGCATGCTTGGTACAAGCTCGTACGATGGCCAGTTGTGTGAATTTAGCATGGCGTGGACATTCAGTTGACTGGATCGGCGTCGATAATCCGTTGATTGGGCATCCTCGAGGTCTCGTCCGTTTCTGGGCCCATTCCCACCTCTATGGAAAACGCAAGGCGTGCGTGAGGAAAGGAAAGAGCGTAAGTTTTTGAGGATAGCATATTCGAGTTTCAGTTTGAGGCCATATAGAACTGTTCTCGACGGATCTGCAAGAGTGGGCACTGTGACCGTGGTCACGATATCAACGCCGCTCAGAAAAATAAGGATCATGTTGATGATGATGAGATGTGTGATCACATTTCTTCCTTCCTTCCCCCGAATCGCGATGATAGGCCCCAGCGCACGACGCACCTCGCGGATGTAAATTGTGCAGATTATCAACTCTGGCACTTGGAGCATGAAAACTTGGGTTCGCGTGAAGATGGGGATTGCAAAGCGGAAATTGTCATTGCCAAGACCAGAGCCGAAAGTCAGCGTCACCATTGTGACAAAGACCGCGACTCCGTTGATAATTATCACCCAAATGATCCAGCGAAAACGGGTGATATCTGGTAAAATGAGATGCAAACGCGAGTAAAGGACGAAATGTTGAGCGTTGACCATACAGCCCCAGCCGATGGCGGCGGTGATCGTTAAACCGAGCTTGGTTTGAGGTGCAGCAACAACAAACAACACCAAGGACGGGATGGCATCTAGCACGACCCCCCAGGAGGCAATTTGCATGCTCACAAAGTAGAGACCGCGGTGGCGTTTGAATAGATCGAGAGAGGAGATCCCAACCTCAAGCCCACTGTATGCTCCTATGGTATATAAGATAATCACTCCAACGATGATCTTGTTTTCAGTTTCTGAAAGGATCTTCGCAACCTCTGGGGGGAATTGGAACATGCCGACGAAATCAATCGCCATGGTGCATCGGTCTGCATAGAGGCTGCTGCCAATTCCGGAGGTGTTGAAAAAATAGCAAACCAGAGCAAGATCGAGAGGACTCGGTCATGTCCAGGGTTAGAAGAAACACAGACCAGGAGATCGACGGATGCAGCCACGGAGATCTCTCATAATGGGTGGATATATGCATCTAGGACAGGGGGGCTAGGCGGCTATTCCCGCGGAATCGAGGCGTTCGGGCTTTACAGGGCTTGACAACGAGGTCCCCGGGTCAAATCTGATAAGGTTAGAGAGTGGACGGATATGACAGGGGTCGAAAGAATCATGAACCTCTATAATCAGTGTGCTGGGCTAAGCTCGAACTGGTCAATGCACCGGTAGGCTACCTGATTCGGGATTCCCAATTGACTGTGCCTGATAGATGACAGGAAATGGATCCTTCAAGCGGGACGTGGGCCCGATGTGATCGATCGAGCGGATCGAAGCAATGACCATGTGAGCTTGCCAACATGGAGGGATGCCATAGTGAAGCATAAGGATTATGAAGAACAGTTCCTCAACCCTGAGATGGACTGTGGGTATTCATGATATTCCTTGGAAAAGAGCTCGCAAAGACCTCTGTGATCCAAGGATCAGTTTTCGTTTTCAGGGACAAAAGGGCAGTGGTGACGATGAGCTGGCCACGATGAATCGAAGCGAGGATCGTACGAAGCTATTGTCACGCCAGACAGGGATGGAGCGCGGCAAACAAAGAATGTCCAGGGAGAACTCATGCACCTGTCGATCCTTGGCCGTTGGTGGCGCTTATGAGATCGGCCCATGCGGGACAAAATTCAGTGCAAATTTTGATTTGGAATATTTACATCCCCGGTTGATCATTTGACGGATTTCATCCGGCCAATGGTGGTTGGTGGTAGTGGCATTTCTTTGTTCGAAGATGGACAGATCTAGGCTTTGGAGTGGAGCTTGATAGCGAGGAGAATTGACAGAGTATCCGTGATGAGCAATGACCAGAGCTTAGTTAGCTAGGTAGAATGGTAGGGCCAGGGCTCGGCAAATAATCCCAGCAAGTGAAGTATTCCGTAGACGAAGTAGGGTAGAAGTAGAAATGAAGTGAAGTGGAAGCGGAATGAAGTCGATAGTTCCTGCTAGTTATTGGATGGCACGTGCCCTTTGCTACTTCCGCCTCCGCCGCAGTTGACCCGCTTGGAGCTGTCAACGATGGTCTCCCTTTGGCCCTGGAGGGTGAGTCTCCTTTTTGAAGAGCTGGTTATGCATCTGATTCCTCTTGCTGACATTGACAGGGCGAGGATAACTCCCCAGCAAACTTTGAAAAAACCCTGTCCACTCTATCCACCAAGATCGCAGAGGCCACCACTCGTCTTGACCAGCACCGCTCCTCTGCTCGCCGCTTCAAAGCTCTCTGGACTCTCTATTCAACCTTTGCATATCTCTTCTACAGCATCATTCTTGCTCTGGTGCTAGGATGGGAGAGCTGGGGCGTCAAGGAGTACGCCGCCATTGCTGGCGGGCCCGTCCTGTAAGCTTCTCCGCAGCTCCAGCTTGAGCTGCAGTTTCAGTTTCAGCTATCGCAATACTCAGGCACTCACTAACCCATCATGTTCTTGCAGAATTTACGTGGTTCGCACACTTGGGTCCCGCATCTTTGAATACCGCATCACCAGGATCCAGCGCCGCCTGGACGACTACAACAAACAACGCGACGCGACGATCGAGAAGCTCAAGGTCGCCACCAAGTACAACTCTACCCAACAGCTTCTAGAAAAATACGGCGGCGAATCTCCCAAACAATTCCCATCGCCGAACAACAACGCAGGACCCGGATCAACCGAGAAACGCAACCCGTCTACTCCGTCGCAACCTGTAGCCAGAACAGGTCTACCCCCACCACCCACAGCCAATATCCGACGTGCTCCTCCCCCGGGTCAACAGCCACCCCTTACCGGACCCCCCGGTACATCCCCATCCCCACCGCCAGGCTTCGGCCAGGAATCGGGCGAGCAGCAGTTCCCACCGAACACGCCTTCCCCCGCCCCTCCGTCTCCTATCCCCCAGCCCGACGAACCTGGCTTCGCGCCGAACGCCTTCCCCAGCAGTTCCGGTCAATACATTGAACAGCCACACTGGTATGACCGACTCCTCGACGTCCTCCTCGGCGAGGATGAGATGCAGCCGCGAAATCGAATGGCTATGATCTGCGAGTCTTGTCGGTTGGTTAACGGCCAGGCTCCACCGGGGATCAAGACACCGGAAGAGCTGGGTCGATGGAGATGTGGCAGTTGTGGGGCTTGGAATGGAGTTGAGAGCGAGACTACCAAGATGCTCTCCAGCTTGAGGCAGCGGGCGCCTGGTCAGGGATCTTGGGATGCCGGACGGGAGGACGTCCCGGGGCAAATTGAAGAAGAAGACGCAGTCTTTGTGCAGAATAGCGAGGGGGCTGCCGAGTCGGCCAAGGAGGAATCTGAGGAGGAGGAAGTCGACCAGGAAGAAGAAGAGAAGAGCGAGCCCGAGCCAGTGAGACGATCCAAAAGGAAGGGCGGGAAGAAGTAGTGGATAGCTCTGTTTTACTGTTCATCACCGATTGCAATAAATATCTTCTGCTGGGGTACTGCCACTTTTCTGTGTCAACACTCATGCGCATCTACTCGTATTAGTTAGCTGGCAGCTTGCGGGCAGACAGCACAAGATATACTACCCAAGCTACAACAACACATTGTGCATGAGAAGTCTCTTCGGGACATATCTAGATACCTCGCGTAATCGACTCGGAGGCCTATTAAATGGCTTCTCTATATCATGATTCTATATAATAGTAGCTAGGTACCATTGTAGCTTATCGTGGAACATATCGTCAGAATCTAAATCTTCAATCTAGTACCTACTAGGTACCTACTAGTAGTACATTACTATTACCTTCAAGTTCAAGTTGTTATCAACTTTTTGAAACTCCGCAATAGGTTCATCATCGATCGTTCGTACAAGTTTTAAAGGCCATCAACAAAATAGTATACCTCGGATCCAATATGAACCTTCGCGTTTCCAACCACCTACGATCTAGGTATATCATTAACAGTGGAAAACATAGGTATCATTGAAAATAAAACGAGGCTCTTTCTCTTCCTCATGAAAGCTAAACGGTAGACATCGCCAAATCGCTTAATGCAGATTGAAACACAGAGAGAAATATTGCGCATCCAATGGTAGCGACATCCTTCGCCTGAGAGAAAACCGTGCCGAACATTTTGACCCCTTTCAAAGGCGAGTTTGTGAGGCAGCAGTCCATTCTGAACTGCACGAGAAGCTCCTTATATGTAATCCCAGGAATTTCAACCTCTCAAACAACGAAGTTCTCGCCACCGAGGGATGAGTGTTAGGTGGTACCATCGCTTTCCATGCATTTTGAAGCGACCTTCCGACAGACAGGAATCATGCCGAACGTCGCTGCATTTCTGGGGGTCAAACAAGAGGAAGATAGATCTATTCTCGTCTCCATGTGTTCACGCCTCAGTCTCTTCCTTCTTGTAAAGGCAGCCGAAGGCCGTACCGCAGTTAGGCAATAGTTCGTAGTTGCCATTGATATCACACTCCAGATCCATTCCCACCAGCCACTGAACAACAAAAGGATATTAGTCTTTGGTATCCAAGTTCGTTAGAGTCGTACTTACACATTCATGGCATGTCTGACTATTTGAGTTGTCGCTCATACCGAACGTTATATTCTTTTGTATCAGTATGCCATTCCAATAGCACCATCGACAAACGCCAGTGGTAGGCAGAACCTGGGGAATATGTTAATAACCAGCGATTTGATTGTTGGTTGCAGTTCAAGTGGTTAACCCGGCAACCCAGGTGTACTGCGCGAGCTCTCTTGCGATTTAGTACTCCAAGTCCTGCTTCAGACTTTTCTGAGGGCAATGAGTGACATCTGTCAGAGTCGCAGTACTAGCAGGAGCTAGACGAGGAGGAGATGATGGGAGAGAGATGGTGATATGGACGAGAGAGAGAGAGAAGCTATCTAGACATGGCAAAGGCTAGGCACCCGTCCTCAACGACATCGAGGCTGCTTTGCTCATCAGGCGGACCAGACCCAGTATCTGTTGGTATTTGCTTCCACCAATATGAGATGTCTTGCATGGCCAGAAACCGTTAAAATCAGGCCAACGTAGATCTGAGCGTACAAGGGGGTCACAGTGCGAGCTTTGGCATTAATCGTCTGTAACCATCCTTGGAAGCTAGCATGCAGCAACAGCAACAGCAACAACACACCAGGTTGAGTTACTGAGTTTCCATCGGATCACTCTGCCCCAGTTCATCCCCCTTGCCCATCGCCAGCTCCGCCTCCCTCTTCTTCTTTCTCTTAAGCTTCTTCTGCTCTCCGCGATGCAAACCCCTCTCAAGACGGGTCTTCTCATCCTTCTCTGCATTCGCCGCCTCCCTAGCAAATAGTATAGGGATAGCCAGATAAGAAGCCCTAACCTCCGCCTCCTCGCGGAAAGCCACACCCTCAACAACCTGTATTGCCTCGAGCGGGCCCTGCTTAGGCCCGTACCGCGCGGTGCAGGTGTAATTTTTCAGCACGCCGGTGATCTTGAATTCAACCATTCGCTCTTCCTTGAGGATACCCTGTGCTTTATTGCGTGGGTGCTGCACGTCGACGCCATCTTGGATGAATCGGCGGAGAATGGGCAGGATACCGACTCGTTCTGCGAAGGATGTACATGCTTCCAAGTCACCGCGTGAGTCAACGAATATAGCCCCGATAGTAGACTCGACGATGTCGCAGAAGAACTTGTCCGCGTGCATTTGCGCCAGGGGTAGCCAGGGGTACTGGTCACTGGATTGGAGGGCGGTGGTTGTCTCCTCGCGGTACGTGTTGTAGCGAGCTATACTCGCTTTGCGGGCCTTGTCTGTGATATCACCGTTGTAGCGCAGAAAGTCGTACAGGTGGATTCTCTTGGGTGGATGAATCGGGTCGGAGGAAGGGTCTTGATCTTCTATGTAGAGGCCCATACATAGGAACGCGAGTAGATTGGCGTTTGTGAGTGCGTGCTTGAGGAGTGTCATTTGGCCCTGGGGAATCTTCTGGGGAAGGATGGCGAGACTCGAGACGACTATCATGTCCAGGACTGCGTCGCCGAGATATTCGAGGCGGTTGTAGCTTTGGCTGCCGTCGTGGCTACCGGAGGCGTGAGTTAGGGCTTCACTCAGCAGCGACGGATCGTTGAAGGTGTAGCCCAGTAACACCCCCAGGGATGTTGGGTAATCGCATCCAGGACCTCTGTCGGTCCCAACGCCCAGGGAAGATGCTGAGTGATGATATCCAGGTCCCTTCCCTGCCATCGGACGGTTGCAATGAGAGGGAAGGCCGTCCTGCAGAATGTCTACTTCTGGCAAGAAGCGATACAGACATGTCTGCGCTTTTTCCATGCCACCGTCCATGTACGCAGCTCCAATCAATGCCTCCACAACGTCTGCAATGACTTTGTTGGCAAGCTGGCGCTTTGGAATTTCCCTCGAAAGCTTTTCTTCCATCGAAGGCGCTGACCAGCTTGTCGGCGTGAACCGGTCCGCCAGGATGTATGCGTCGAGACCAGCTAGCAAGGCCGAGCGAGTGAGATTCGCATTGCTAATGAACTTATCTCTTTCTACCGAGAGGCGCGCTTCCTGCCATGTTGGATTGGCGTAGTAGAGCTGGCAAGCCACAGTGTACTTCAGCACAGAGTCTCCGAAGAACTCATACAGCTGATAGTCAGTCCGGGCTTGGGCAATGGGCATGGTGATTGCCGTCAAGACATGGCCGATGTCGTTGAAGCCGACCCCCTTCAGGATCGTGCTGGCTAACTCCTGTGCAACTAGTGTTGCCTCGAATCTGTCGAGAATAGCGGAGAAAAAGCGCCCAACGATGCCCGTCTGGGCAGGGACTTTGCTAACTGTGCATCCAGTTGCCGGAAAGACTTGTACCTTTGGCGGGAGAGCTGGAGAACCGCCCATCTTGGACCCTTGATACATCGTGGCTGGGTTCAGGAGGTTTCGACGCTGGGGCAGGGATTGGCATTCCATGCTCACGGTCTGCTTTGTCTGGTCGACGACCCAGTTGATGAAGATACGCGCTTCGGCGTAAATGGATGTGTCTCGGATAAAACCCATTGGAGCCCCGGCAGGGTCACGCTCAAAGGATTCCATTACCAGCTCCGTTCCATCATTGTCTTTCAGCCAATCTTCGAACTGCTCTGGCGGGATATTTGGAACAAAAGGAACAACGTAGTCTTCCTTCTTAGGATTGCCTCGAGAAGAAGGTGCCTTGAGGAGTAGGGCGGTGATCTGCTGCATCGTCGAGATGTGCTCCGGTGCCATACCAGTCAGAAGCTTCGGAGACGAGAACTGTACCAGGAGCTGCCTTTCCAGGGACCAGTAGAGGGTGATTGGCGCGGGCATGGCCACCGGCATGGGCAATACTATCGACGTGGTTAGGTTCTCATCGACGATACCGTCGATCGAGAAGGTTAGTTCCGTCTGATAGTACCGCCCAGGCGATGTCCATGCACACGCCAGACACACGTATGGGTCATACTGCCCTGCAATCCAGACACTGCTAGACTGGGTGGGTGCTGTCATCGCGTTGGACATTTCTAGTTCCGTTTTCTGAGTCGCTGGTAGAAGGTTATCATTCACGAGCCCGTATCGCCAGAGGGCCTCGTAAGCCAGAAAGGAAGCTTCTTTTGTTGCAGCACGTTCTGTACGCCACCAGCTTTGTCCTTGGGCTCGACGGACAGCAGGGTGAACCGAGGATGGAAGTAGAACACTTGCCTGCACCAAACCAGTGCTGTCTTCTTCGAATGTGAAGATGGGACGATTGTCGTTGTCTTTTGACTTTGGTAACACTGAACAAAAATGATGCAGGTGTTGGACAGATTCATCAGCAGACAGACAAGCACTATTAAACAAAGATTAGACTAGATGGCAAGACATCGGGATGTAAACAGTAATACCTGGTGGAAGGAACAAACAAAAGCCCTTCGACTATTTCGGAATATCGTTCCAGGTCCTGCATTTCCTTCTGCCGTCTTCTATCATCCAAATAGGTATCCACCATAACTCTCTCTAGCTGTTGCCATTTTGCCACATCAATCTTGTCATCCTCTATAGATGCCATGATAGTGTATATTGACGCTTGTCGACGTGCTCTGCCTCTTCTCTGGACAAATGACTTCAAGTTTGCTGGTTTGTCAAAGCAAATCACCAAACTGCACGAGCTAATATCAAGACCCTCTTCCAGGACATCAGTTGCCACGAGGAGGTTCTTTCTACCGGCTCTGAATTCCGATAGAGTATCTCCTTGCATGTCCTTGCTCACAAGATCACCCAGACAATCGCCATTTTGATATGATGACCATCCCACATATGGAGCGCTTTGAAACATTCCCTTTGTTCTGGGGTGCAGCGAAATTAACTGTGCTAGCACGCCAACAACCGCCCGTCTTTGGGCGAAGACAATTGCAGAGAAGTCGGCTTGATCCATTTGTTTCAGGTATTCAAACAGTGTCGCTAGCTTGTGTGAAATATGGAAACTCTCTGATTCGTTTTCTGGCACAGACATACCCATAAGAAGTTCCAAGAGATACACCCGTTCCTTGCGTTTGATGCCCGTCATCTCCTTGTCATTCTCGACCGAAAGCCGGAATTGCTCGATTGATGCCTTGATGAAGAAGTCCGTGGCCCAGCCCCCGAGCTCCTTGTACATGTGCACGCTGCGTTCCACGAACTTGACAAGTTGTTCCTTGCAAAAGGTCTTACCCGAAACGAGAAACTCATGCGCCTCTGCCAGGTGATCTGGGTCCTGTCGCATGAGTTCGATGTATGGGTCGTCTTGGACATTATATTTTTGGATACAACGTCCGAGTGGATGCAAAAGTCGACTGTGGGGATTTTTATCCGGTGCAGTTGGTGTGTAGCTGAGGCGTTCGAGATGGGGTCGATGGACACATTCAAGCAGCTCGGTACGGTTTACCCGGGGCGTCTTGCATACAGCATTGAGATTTGCTTCTATTGCTTGCAATTCCTCCTTATTAGATCGAACGATTGGACTGGCCGTTAGTCCCAGGATACTCGGCACCGCATGTGCTCCATGGCTTTTCCGCAGCGGGTGGTAGTGCAATTCCATGATTCTATTCGCTGGGTGTCGGCGCCTACAGTGGTGTGCTGGAGGATTAAAATTAGCCTCGACACATGCAGATCAGTCCGCACACGTATGAGCCAGCCTACCTTCGTCGAATACAATCAGAGCCAAGTGCGACATCCGGACGAAGCCATGATTCAAGGCATCCGCCAGCACAGCGTGGGTGGATACAACTATACGGATATCTTGCAGCGCCTTGTCCCAAACGGACTGTTCTGTCCAGCGATCAACGTTGTCCAGGCCAGTCAACAAGCAAATTTGCACGTTCGGAATTTGTGTTTTCAGAACTTCATGCTGCTGGAAGCAAAGGGCCACAGTTGGTGCCAAGAACCAGATCAATTTGTGCGATGCACAGATTTCGAGCTCGGCCTTGATGCGCAACACGGCTCTATTTTGATCAGTCTACTGCTTAATTCATTTTCAAAATCAACTTACATATGAGTCTTCCCACTACCGGTATCCATCTGCAGCTCGATGATCAGCGTGGCCGTCAAAAGGGTGGTAATTGGTAATTGGACATACCGCTACAATGATGTTCTGCTTCATGCTCGCGTCCAGCATTTCCAGCTGATACCCCCGAGGCCTGAAGGTTACCACCTGCTCTGGGGTCAGAAGTAACGATGATTTGAACGCTTTTTCCATCATATCGACGTTGACTGTGATAATGCCTGCGTATATCGATTCAGGAGCAGGAAAAACCGTGCGGGTTCGAATTTACAGCGAAAACATTCGATAAAAGAGGAAAGAATAGAACAACTGCGGATTTCGCAGATGGTCAGTGGCCCCGACAACATGAAAGAAAGTCGCTGGGCGCGAGTCAGGTCAAAGAAGGAAATAGCGGGCGCTAATCTGTGTTTACGACGTGGGGCAGCAACTGGGCAATTTAGTCGGCCACCCACGGAACCCCACCGCCGCTGGCCGACGCCTGATTGGGCTGGACCAATGAGTAGAGATGGTGAGATACAGGGGTCACCTGGATGTTGAAGTGACGTACGAGTAGTACAAACATAAAAGAACCCACTAGGTACCTAGTAACTACTAACTAAGGTGTTTCACCACCGAGTTGGCAACACCACTGAGTCGGCAGCCCGAAGATACAGTAAATATGATAAATTACAACTTTGTATACCTAGGTATCTCAACAACTAAAGAATACTTTCAATTGCAATTGATAGTATACCTAGGTAGGTTCTTCCTACTAGAGGAAACACATTAGTAGAATTTTTTTGGGATTTTTCTAAACATTCGAATAAGATGACAAAAAATACCTACTTAGGTAGATACCTAGCAAATTATATATTTCAAGGAGATGTATGACTATTTCTTCCAAGGTTTGATTAAATACTTTAAAATATACTAGTTATTAATGTTATTTAGAATACTTTACTTTAAAAGAACCTTCTAAATAGAAATAGCTGTTTAGTTATAAAGTTGTAATTTATCATATTTACTATCTGTTTTGGAGCTGCCCACTCGCTGGGGCTGCCGACTCGGTGGTGAAACACGTTATTACGAGGTAGTTAGTAGGTGCTGGGTGAAAAAAACTATTGTTATTTAGTTACTTAGGTACTAAGTGGGTACCTGCGATGCAATTTCGACCTTGAAAGTGAAGCCCGACCCCGGGGGACATTCAATTTAAATGCGTGCAATACTGGAAAATCACAATCCGCAAGAGAAATATATGTATAGAATCATTCGCAGGGTATCATATAGTAGGTGCTATAGTACTAGTATACATCCATGGATTCAACAGCGTCGGGTTTGCCAATCTATATCCGTTCGGAGGGCAAAACGCATCCGTCATGCTCGGAAGGTGAAGGTTCATGATGGGCTTCGCCATTCTCATAAGTCAAACTAATATCAGTGGTCTTTATAATCGCACCATCTTCCATGGCGAGTATATTTTCCTCACTTTCCTTGGCCCTAGACAGTGCGGGTGACATATGACGCACACGAGGGGCGCTCTTGGACCCTTGCGAGAAGGAGTGCAACTCTTGCGACCTGCCATTTCCGTTCGTTTGGGCTGATCTTGATTTGGTAGAAGTTGTGACTTTGCGGAACAATGAGATGAAAAGGGGCCGGATTGGTGGTATACAAGCGACAATAATAACGGCCCATTTTTCGGTTTCGTTCCAGATGATTAGACGGGCAAGATTGTCTTAAATATGATTAGCGTGTTGAGACGGCGAAAACCGGAATATAAGTGAATTCCAGCTTACAGGTCAAATCCTCTCCATTTCCCAGGGCTGTCAGTCCCAACGTCGTCTTTAGGATTGAGCATACACAGGCACTGGGGTGGTTAGTTCAAAAATAATTCAGATAGGTAGTCAAGGACATACATCACACCCACTCCCATCAAGACACAAAGACCGATTTTGACTCGCATTTCAAGTTTCACAGTCCATAGAAAGACGATGGGGTATAGAGCCAGAAGTAGATCACAGAGGGCAGACCAGCCTGGGTGGATCGGGTTACATCAGCAAATGATTTCTAACAGGTACAATGAGGTTACTCACTTCCTTGAAAATACGCGATGTGTTCATTGCGATCTAGCCCATCACAAGCACCCGGCACAGAAAAGTCCCATAGCTTCTCTAGGGGTGTACACTGTGTTAAAACCATGCCGACCGTGATAGCATTAACGACTAGATTGCTAATAGCGAGGAACCACAGCACAATGACCCGTTCGCGATGTTCCGGGCCATGGATCTGCTGTAGAAAGGCGACGATCGCCATTTTTCCGAAGGAAGTTGCGAAAAGGCCGAGCAATTGGTTTATCCAACCCCATTTGAGAGCTTGAATGATATCGTTCTCGGAGAGAACATTGTCATGGGTGCCGATTCCGTAGATGACGCTCACTGTAACGAGGATGACACCGGCAATGGCGAAGACCTATCGTAGATAATGATTAGTTGACTGTCAAAAGACAGCATCTCTTCAGCACAGCCAACGGGTTCCATACAAAAGTAAGCAAAATCAAATATAAATCTAGCCGGACATGCCGCGTGATCTTCCAAGTGGTGTATATGCGGGCGAATAGCAGAAATAAGGCGATAACACATTCAGTCCAGCTCACGGCCAAGAGTGTGACGCCATAAATTTGAATCGGCATGCTTTTCGACGCCAGAAATGCCGTATGAAAAGTGTTTCTGGATGCGAGGCTGAAAAAGTCGCCATGCGGGGATGGAACGGGGAAATTTGTATTATAAAGTGGCCAAGCAGATGCTTAAGAGGTGGCCAAATTAGTTTGTGTGAGCCAGTGTGGCCTTTTCCACGGATACTCTCCTAACCTTGAGTCGTCTAACTTTTCGATCCTTGTACCTTACAGGGATTCTGTTGGGTGCGAGTCCCGCTCGTAAAAGTAGTCACGGCCGAAGACAACATCCCACCCATGAATTCGTGGGCATCGCCTGGACAGAAACCTAGATTCATGGTCGCCTGCTGCCCTCTGTTAAGCAATGATCACCAATTCGGACTGCGATTTCAGTGGAACCAACCGCCATAGACAAGCACACGAGTTAAAGAGCCGCCCGGGGAGCTCCCAGCGTTGCATCGCCTTTGCCTCCGCACGCATCGAGCCACGCACGGAATGCGATCAGGCGCGTGGGGAAGCGCGAACTTTCGTCTCCACCTGAGTTTCTTCCAATGACCGGAGAATGGAGATCACCGATGGGACTCTGATAGGTCTTCGGGAGCACAAGGACCAACGTTTGCGAGGTCGGTGTACGTGGTTCGACTTCTGATTGGTACAAGAGCGCGAGAATAGCCATAGAGTCGGAGTTGAACCATCGAACATGCACGAGTAAGGGCTTCGGATTAGTTCATATCGATAAGATCAAGTTGGCCCCCCAGTGGCGCCGCCCACATTCCCCCCCCCCACGGTATGAATCCCTTCGGCCGGTCTTATCCTGTTGTTGTTTCTGCATACTCAAATAGCTGGCCTTAACGGTGGGCAGGCCCTTGACCCCTAAACTTGCTCTTCATCTCGGATTCTAGGGATCTACTAGGGCCAAGAGACGGCTCAAAAATTGTGTACCTTGGCCAGCGAGTCCATTGGCTTATACCCTGGTTCGTAAAAGGACGCCGCAAACTTAATCTCGAAGATATTAGAGGTTAACCCTGTCATATCCCGACACGACTAAAATGTTCAGTGGCGATAGGCTCAAGGTTGGTCCCATATTACCCCGAGCGCGGGGAAGTGTGCACCCCCGCATGATCGGCCGAATAGGATGATTTCAATTGATGTTGGATCCACTAGTCGCCAAGCTATCCAAGCAACTTTCTTGATTTTCTCAAATCTACGGATCGGTCGGCACCAGAACCGAGTTCAGAGCCTGCAGATCAGGGCAATACGGTAGTTCTGGATGCTATCATAGTTGGTGCCGGGTTTGCTGGGCTTGATGCGGCTATCGCACTGGCAAAAAACAATCACAAGGTCACGATTTAGGAACAGGCACAACATCTCGCTGAGGTATGTGCATGGTGACAGTTACGAGTCATATCAGGGGGTCTACGGGGCTAATGAAGGAACATGGGCAGGTTGGAGCGGGTATTCAGATTCCCCCAAATTCTACGCGGCTTCTCCTGAAACTGGGGCTCGGTCCTTATTTGGAGAAACATGTCACGGAACCTGATAGCGTATTGATGCGACGATGGGAAGATGGCAATATTATTGGTCGTACACGATTGTTCCCCGAATTTCGAGAACAATTTGATGCTCCATACTGGGTGGTCCACAGAGCACACCTTCATGAAGTCATGCATGAATTAGCAGTAGATATAGGGGTTTCCATCCAACTCGCATCGAGGGTGACCTCTTACGATGTCCACAGCCCAAGTATCACCCTCCCAAATGGCCTGATTATTCCGGCTGACATAGTCATCGCTGCCGATGTGAGTTGCCCGGGGGATCTCCTTTTTGCTTTACTTAATGTGGTTTATGCAGGCGTAAATTCAGCTACTCGAAGTATTGTCCTTTGGGGCAATGGATCTCCTCCATAAAGCGCGGGACTTTCTGCGTATCGTGCAGTGGTATACATTGAACGCATTCAGAACGACCCGGAGGTCTCATGGCTATTGGAGAAGCCTTCGTTCAATATTTGGTTGATCTTTCTTCTTTCGATAATTCTTGGCCATTAATGAAGGAAAATTCACGATTTAGAATGGGAGATAACAGGCATGTGATGACATACTTTATTGGTGCTGGCAAATCCTTCAACGTGGTGCTTAATCATGAGGATCTCTCCGATCCTGCAGAGTGGAGCCAAGAAAAGGAATCACTTTTGATTAATACGAGAAAGGAATTCGAAGGTTGGGACCCAGTGTAGGTTTCTATACAGTGGTTTCGCTATTTCTGCTCATACACTGCTGATATAAGAACAGACTTTTGAAGATCATAGGAATGATCGGAAATACTATGAAGTGGCCTCTTTATAGCAGTTCCATTATGCGCCGCTCGGTTTCGGGCAAGCTCGTTGTCCTCGGTGATGCGGCCCATGCAATGGTCCCATACATGTCGCAAGGTAAATTCTATAGAACGACAAGCTACTTGAATAGTAGGTACCTCGGATATTACTCTGGTGTTTGATTTCTCAATTAAATTTCGTTCAGGGGCCGCGATTGCAGTCGAGGATGGTGTAGCCATTGCTCGTAGTCTCCAGAAAGTCAAGACCAAGGACGAAATACCTCTTGCGCTATCTATTTTTGAAGCAGCGCGAATTCGTCGCGCATCTAAGATGCAAGAAGCAGGTTTGCTAAACAGCAAACTTTGGCACTTCTCTGACGGACGAATACAACGCGCTCGAGACGAGGCGATGCGGCCTGAAGTGTAATGGCGTCCGTTTTCTCACAGCCCCAACCAATGAAGTGACCCAGCGACGCAGTTGTGGTGCTACGGGTAAGATTTCTCTTCGCAAAAGGAGATTAATTATAACACTAGCTGATGATACATTTAGATAGGAAACTGAAGCAGAAATCGACCAAGCCTGGGAGAAGCGATATAATAATGCTAGTTGATCGAGAATCATAAATGAATGGCATCCACCGAGGGCTGGCATATCATTGATAAAGCTGGCAGAAACACTGGGTCAATTACCGCTCCTATTATAGAGCGTCGTAACCAGCGAACTGGTGTTTGAAAGCTTTCTATTATTATATTTCAGGCCTACTGATCTACACAGTCCGCATTCGCATTAAAAAGCGTCAAGGTTTATTTCCAAACTTGATTCAATTGGCAACATTTTTGCAATCCCCCGGGTATGAGTCCATGTTCTCCATAATGATCCAACCGAGACCAATCAATTAACAAATATTATAATCACCGCCTAGAATACGTAGCGGAAGTTGATGTTTTCCTGGTCTGTCTTGTCCTCAAAGGCATGGATCAGATTTGGGTCGGAAGCAGACAGTCCCTGGGCAGCAAGAGCATCATCCTTCTTCTTGTTCTGCCTGATAAGGTAGAAGCGCAGGAAAATGACCGCGGTAGTCATGCAAGCATAGCAGGCCAGGTGAACACTCCAGGCAATGTGGTACCGCGGGGCATCCCAATCAAGGAAGACCTGAGGGCCAATTGCATTTCCAGCGGCCCAAGAGATAAATGTCATAGCAACCACGGTAGCCTTCTTTGTCTGACCGGCAATATTTCGAGAGACCATAGACAAAGTGAGAGTCTGCGCGGACCAGAAGGAAAGCGTGATATAGTAGCTGAAGAGCAAGCCAGCCTTGGTTGCCAGGGTCGTGTTTGGGACTGTCATGAGGACGATGGTTCCTATATAAGACGGAATGACAAAGCCCAGCATCACGAGAAGATTCTGCTTATACTTCTTAACAAGCCAGGCAGAGGTCAACAGGATAACAATGATGTAAAAGCCCAGAACCATGGCGAGCAATTGGCTCTGAAGGGTTGTGAAATTGAAGCTGGTCATGATGATACCGGCAAATGCACCAAGACCGCTGGTTGGAAGGGTGGTGAAAAGCTGCACACTGCAGTAGCACCATGTCTGCGGGTCCTTAAAGGCTTCCCACATCTGGTAGGATCGGAACGTCTTGTTCTGAAGACCGGTCTGATTGGAGCGAATTCGCTCGACCATGAGGTGCTTATCTTCTTCGGTGAAGCACTTTGCTCTCATAGGTGAGTCAGGCATCCACCAAATAACAAAGAGGCCCCAAAGTACGGAAATACATCCATAAGTGAGGAAGATTGCTTGCCATGACTTGATCACTTTGTCGCCTCCGATGAGAGTGAAGCAATAAGCGAGAAGACCGCCAACAATCTGTTGGGCACCGTTCATCATATACCTAGTCGTCGATATATTAGTACGACATCAGCCAAAACACACGGTGCATCCATAAAACATACCAGTAAGTGACGGTGGCCGCTTGCTCTTCACGCTTGTACCACATTGAAGAGAGAAGAACGAAGGTGGGCTGACAGCATGCCTCGAAAATACCCAGCAATGTACGAACAACAACCAGTCCAGCGAAGTTGTGGCAGGCAGCATGCATGGCTAGAATTGCACCCCAGATGCAAATGTTGATTCCAAGGTATTTGGCAATAGGAACACGCTGGATGATCCAATTTGTGGGGTACTCGACAACCAGGACGGCGATGTAGATACAGGTTGTTAGCCAGGAATACTAAGAAGACTGTGTCAGTAATGTTCAATCCGAATGAAGTCTCCAATGCACAAACCTTTTGACCATTTTCAAGACCTGCATCGGTCTTGATTCCCATGATCGAGGCGAAAGACATGGTTCCTTTATCCAGTGCTTGAAGGAAATAAGTCAAGATCATGATCACCAGTACGCGGCGATCAATCAACTTCTTCAGGCGTGCGTTGGTGGCTTCATCGATCTCGACTGCGCCTCGGCCAACATACATCTGAATTTCCTTGTCGACACGATCAAAATCCATATCTTCCTTCCTCAGATCATCATCATCGGTGGGTGATAGAATCCGTTCGACATGCGAAATGTCCTCTTTGGCCTTGACATCTTTCTTGTCCTTCTGCTGAAGTTCAATCGAGGTTTGCTGAACATCCGCCACCTCAATCCCATCATTTCCACCCTGTGATGAAGGCCTGCTTTGACCCATTTTTGCAAGCAGAAGCCAGTTGAAAATGGTAACAAAAGTGCTATGAATGTTCACAAGGAGGGGAGAGGAGTGGAATCCTGGGGGTCACCGATTATCCTTATAAAAAAGGAAACATTGCCAAGCTTCAAGCACACCGAAGACCACATAATTCTCCCCCAATTTAACCGTGATGAGACTCAAAATCAGCCAGCATGTGCCAGTGCGTGCATTCCTTCCAAGCCATCAGACAGCCATCCTCCGCGGTCAACCAATCACCCCAACGCTGGCACTATATCCCATCCCGGAGCTCTTGGCAGCGGAAAGAGTTCCCCAGCTACCCTTCGGTTATGCTGGATGGGGCGACCGTCGGGATTGGATGCCAAAGGTCACCCCACGCTGGGGTAGAGTCCGGGGAAGCAATCAACCGAGCATTTTCACGCAACAGGACTCGCTTAGTACAACTTTCAACTAACTTGCGTTAGTGAGAAGGTCCCAACACCGGTTCACACGAGTAAGATTGGGTCCGGGCGAGCTAGTGAAGTCTTTCGGCGTCCTCTATCCCGAGCCCGCCTTGGCTCGCGCGGGGATTGTGGAGGCGCGTGATGGCAATTCTTCCGCAAATCATGGCGGGGCAAATACTTATTGCAAGGAGTCACACTTGAAATTTGTCGCGTCTTGTCAAATCACTTGTCGAACATTACTTGTTCAATTCAATTTCTTGTGACACAGCCTCGCCCAACATGGCAACATCAAAAGCCCCCGCCACCGAAATTCATCGGGTTGTCAATCTGGTTATCAACAATCTCGTCAACATCAAAGATGAGTCCGGAAAATTCCTCATGCCCCTTGCGGACGGTCGCATTATCGACACAAAGTCCTGGCATGGATGGGAGTGGACTCACGGTATCGGTCTATATGGTGTCTGGAAATACTATGAAATGACTGGCGATGAGAATCTGTTGAAGATCATCGAGGATTGGTTTGCCGGGCGCTTCGCCGAAGGCACAACGAAGAATATCAATACCATGTCCCCATTTCTTACTCTTGCTTATGTCTACGAGAGAAGACTGGAAATGCCACATATCTCCCTTGGCTCGAGTCATGGGCTGAATGGGCCATGTACGATCTACCGCGCACCAAATACGGCGGCATGCAGCATGTCACCTATCTCGCCGATCACAATCAGCAGCTTTGGGATGATACTCTTATGATGACCGTTATGCCTCTTGCGAAGATCGGCAAACTTTTGAACCGACCGCACTATGTTGCTGAAGCGAAGAAGCAATTCCTCACCCATATCAAATATCTTTTCGACACAAAGACGGGACTTTGGTTCCATGGATGGACATTTGAGGATGGTGGACATAATTTTGCGGATGCGCGATGGGCCCGTGGTAATAGCTGGATTACCATCGTTATTCCAGAGATTATCGAGCTCCTCGATCTCGAACCAACCGATCCAATCCGCCTTCACCTGATTGAAACGCTGGATGCTCAAGTTGAGGCTCTCGCGCGCGTTCAGGCCGAGTCAGGCGGCTTCCACACTCTGCTCGACCACCCCGATTCATACCTGGAGGCATCTGCGACCGCAGGGTTTGCCTACGGTATCCTGAAAGCCGTCAGGAAGCGCTATATAAGCTCCAAGTACACACCTGTTGCGGAGAAGGCCATCCAGGCTGTGTTGAAGGATATCGACCCGAGTGGTGAGCTACTAAACACTAGCTTCGGCACGGGCATGGGCCCCAACTTGCAGTTCTACAAGGATATTCCCCTCACATCGATGCCGTACGGTCAAGCAATGGCCATCATGGCTCTGGGTGAATATCTGCGAACATACCTGTAGTCTTATGAGGATTTGTACGCATTGATGGCATTAAATAGACTTGGCATGGGATAGACATGACCGGAGGAAATAGAAAATGACAATTTTTACTGCATAAATGCTCTATAATACCTAGGTTTTTGCAACTTCATATTCGGGCATCGGCGATATAGATTTCAGGTTTCTATTTTACTTATCTTGAAATCCGCACTCGTCCGCATCTCTTATCAAAATTCCCCATCTTGCCTCCTCCATGGTATGTGGGTTTTGGTGGGGGTCGCCGGTTTCCGTCAATAAAACCCCCAGATGTGAAAAGGAGGGGTCAATAATGCGGGATGGAGCTTAACGGCCCTAGCCACGTTTTCCTAAATGCACGGTCGATCAGATAGCAGCGAATTGTGGTATTAAACGTCCTGTCAGAACCCCTGACTTGAGAGCACCATCCGACCTGGATAAATTTCAAGACCCACTTGTTTCGTTCAACTCATTGGCAACCCCAGCTCACCATGCTCTACACGCATGCCACTATCATAACGGTTGATGGCACCCGTCGCATCATTGATGACGGTGCTATCTACGTGAAAAATGATATCATCGCGGATATCGGCAAGACTGCCGTGCTGAAGGAGCGCTACCCGAACGATGAAGAACTCGACCTTTCGGGTCGTATCATTATCCCCGGTTTGATCTCGACACATATGCATACTGCGCAGACTTTGCTCCGCGGCACTGCCGATGATCTCGAGCTTGTTTCATGGCTTTGCGAGCGCATCTGGGTGCTTCAGGGCAATTTCACCGAGGCGGATGGATATGCGGCTGCTAGACTGAGTATTGGCGAGATGCTGAAGTCTGGAACCACTTGTTTCCTAGAGAGCATGGTGAGTATATAGTACCACTAGTATCCGGCTTTCATTGTATTTGCTAGAGCTGATTTCGTCTCTAGTTCGCTGATCGGTATGGCTTTGAAGGCCTTGCGCGTGCGGTTGACGAATCCGGTATTCGTGGCTGCTTGGGCAAGATTGTCATGGATATTGCCAAGTACGCCAAAGATGATGCCTGGGCAATGCACCCTGGTCTAGTGGAAAACCGTGAGACCTCACTCCTGGGTACGCTGAAGATGTGGGAGAAATGGAATGGTGCTGCGAATGACCGTATCCGAGTTTGGTTCGGAGCTAGAACCCCCGGAGGGTACGATTTACTTTTTAAGCGTTACAAACTTGAACGACCCTGCTTACTTATTCACTAGTGTTTCCGATGGCCTGTACAAGGAAATGACGGCTCTTTCTCGAGAGAAAGGAATCCCTGTCACCATGCACTGTGCCGAGGTCAAAGCCGACCGAGAGTTCTTCTCTTCCGTGTCACACACGCCGATGTCCTACTGCGATTCGGTCGGTCTGCTTAGTCCGAGCACTGTTCTTGTGCACATGGTTCATTTGGATGATTCCGATATCAAGCTACTCTCCGGCTCGGGAACTCATGTCGCCCATTGCCCGACTTCCAATGCCAAACTGGCTTCGGGAATTTGCCGCGTCCCCGATCTACAGAAGGCCGGTGTGAATATTGGTCTCGGAACTGATGGTGCGCCGTGCAACAATACTTGTGATCTACTGCAGGAGATGAAGCTGGCTGCCATAATTCACAAGAGCATATCGTATGATCCGACTGCTGTGCCTGCTGAATCAGTTTTGGAGATGGCGACCATCAATGGCGCTAAAGCTCTGGGACTTGATGACAAGATTGGCAGTCTCGAGGTCGGAAAGAAGGCTGATTTTGTCGCAATTGATGTTCGCGGTATTCACAATCAGCCCTGGCACAATGCTGCTAGTGCTGTGGTATACACTGCTACCGGGCGCGATGTTGATGTTGTAGTAGTTGATGGTAAAATACTTGTCCAGAACGGCGATTTGATTACCATGGACGAAGATGAGATTGTGGAAGAGGCAAAGAAACGCAGCCGCGAGGTGGTTGAAAGGGCTGGTTTGTCTCGCAACATGAAAGGCCGCTGGCCGGTCGAATAGTTTTGATGACTTGACGCTTTGATGATGTGATGATATGTACCAAAAAAAAGGGTAGTTAGGACTGCCGTAGTGTATAATAAGACAGTTATGATTCCTGTCTCTAATTATTTCTGTTTCTCAAATCGTAGCATCACCTAGCCACTTATGATGATGTACTAGTAAACTGCCAACAATCACATTTCTAGAGCTGCCGGTAGAAGATCCCGTGTCAGCTTACATGCCGATTTATGGATCCGAATAGAACTGAGTTTCTGGAGTTTGAAGTCTGTTTTTGCGCAAGTCTCCTTCTCCCCGCACTGATCGGCTCTCCACGGTCCACATTATTCAATGCACAATAATTGAGATTTTGCGAAGATCAAATTCTACGAATCCCATCGCGGACCCTTCCGATGCTATTCAAATTAATCTTGGTCCGGGGGGGGGGGCTTTCTATCCAATCAAAGATTCATTATTTCACGATCTGCAATCAAGGGATCTAACATCGGCAGAGAGAGAGCTGACTGTGAGTTAGACTCGGAGCTCCGAGTCTTTCTGGCATGGCATGACTTGGCCAATACAAGACTACCGGGGCATACGACTCTTTGGGTGGTGGCCTAATCCACTTATAAATTGCCCCCTCTCTTCTTCGTCTCTTCTTTTCTTTCTCATCATCCTGTTTCTCTCCCGATCAAATTCTCATACAATTTGTCAAGATGGCCTCCAACGCGAAACCACTGGAATTCACTGTAAGCTTGCTTCCACTCGCGTCAACTGTATGCAAGCTCAGTGTGCTTGGACTAACAACTTAAATTTTAGACATTCCAAAATGTGATTAACAATCAGCTCACCTCCACCGCTACAACTCGGCATAGCATTAACCCCGCAACGTCTCGGCCCAATCCCGAGGTCCCCGTCTCCACACAGGAAGATCTTGACAAAGCTGTCAAAGCAGCCAGAGATGCTTTCAAGACATGGTCCAAAACTTCCTTCGAGGAGCGTCGCAAAGCTCTGCATGCATATGCAGACGCCATTGATGCTAATGCAGATGGCTTTGCCAAGACTCTGACAATGGAGCAAGGCAAGCCCCTGTCTCAGTCTACTGTGGAGGTCGGCATGGCAGGTGTGTGGATTCGTGGACTCACTGCCCTCGAGATCCCCACCAACACCATTGAGGAAACCGAGGATCGCAAGATCATTCAGCGTTATACTCCCCTTGGTGTCTGTGGTGGTATTGTTCCCTGGAACTTCCCCATCCTTCTTGCCATAGGAAAGATCGCCCCGGCTCTGTACACCGGAAACACCATTATAGTGAAGCCCTCGCCCTTCACTCCTTATTGTGACCTCAAGCTCGTTGAACTAGCGACTCAGTTCTTCCCACCTGGTGTGGTGCAGGTTCTCAGTGGTGATGATAGCCTTGGCCCAATGATCACAGAGCATGCCGGCATTGACAAGATCTCGTTCACCGGATCGATTGCCACTGGTAAGCGGGTTATGGCCAGTTGTGCTAAGACTCTCAAGCGAGTCACCCTTGAGCTGGGTGGAAATGATCCTTGCATTATTTGCGAGGATGTTGATATCGACGCCATCATCCCCAAGGTAAGCACTCTGCCTCAACAATGATCGAACATCTTCAAAGGCTAAAACTTGTCAGATCGGAGTCCTATCCTACCTCTGCAGCTCTCAAATTTGCATGATGATCAAGCGCCTTTATGTCCATGAGAAGATTTATGATCAGTTCCTCGAGAAACTTGTCGCCTTTGTCAAGACGCTCAAGGTCGGCGACGGCACCGAGGCGGATACCTTCTTCGGCCCGGTTCAAAATTCAATGCAATTCGAAAAGGCCAAGGATCTCTTCAGCTCTATCTCAGCCGACAATCTGAAGGCTGTGCTGGGCGGTTCCATCGAGGATTCAAAGGGATACTTTATCCACCCAACCATCATCGACAACCCGCCCGAGTCTTCGCGTGTGGTCCAGGAAGAGCCGTTCGCACCTATTCTGCCCGTCATGAAGTGGTCCGATGAGGATGACGTTATTGCGAAGGCTAATGCCCTCGAAACTGGTCTCGGCTCCTCGGTTTGGAGTAAGGACTTTGAACGTGGCACCCGTATTGCGGATCAGTTGGAGTCTGGGGTAGTTTGGGTCAACTCTCACTTCGATGTTCAACCCAATGTGCCTTTCGGTGGACACAAGCAGAGTGGTCTTGGTGTCGAGTGGGGTTTGACTGGGCTGCTTGGGTACTGCAACTCGCAGACCCAGTGGCTGAAGAAGAGTTTCTAAGTATAGCGCATTCACAGTCGCTATTATCAATTATTCCACGAACTTTTAGTTAACTATATTTCACCTATTCTTAACCTACTGTTAACGATATTCTCAACGATACTCTACCGAAACTACTTAGTTTTTCTCAGTCGCATCTTCTACCCGTTTTGTTGATTTGAACGTTTCTTGAACAATGGGATCTAAAGGTCACGGGGCGGGTGCAATCAGTTTTCCTTGACATCATTGCTAGGATGCTCGTCTTTCAAACAAAACTTGTACAACCCCTGTCGAGATGACGAGTGTAGCGTAATTTCAACTCTTTAAGAGACAACAAATACCGGGATAGCTTTGAGCTTGTCGGTCAGAAGATTGCAATGACATCACCTCCACTCGACATGTCCGCCCTATCAAGCGCCTTATCAACAATAATATATCAGTGACTGAGCCACTGCAAGGCATGACGATCTCAGGTGCATGCCAGATACCTATGTAGGTATCAATGCGAATGCTAATAGGGTAGCTTCATATTGCTGTCACTCTGTTGAGGCAACTTAGCGCCGATCCTCCCACGGATGACGTGCCGGTCTTAGCGCCACCAAATTCAGGGCCTGTCATCTTCATTCTAGAAGATGATACGCCACTTGGCATACGTTGTGATGCCATCAGGTTGGCCAAGTTAGGTCGCAATACCTCTGTGAATTTGGGTATAAAGTGAGATTGCATTCCACTCGAAAGTCCCACTATCCAGAATATCAAACTTGAATATCCATACCAAGCCATTGCGATCGCTATCTATACAAAGCAATTCCAGTCTCAAATACCTCTATTATTACCAATCATCCTTCACAATGTTCCACCGTCGTCGCCCAGCTACAACTACCACCCGTAGCTCCAAGCCGAGTCTTATGACTCGCCTCCGCGGCCCTAATGCGAAAAGCAAGACCGTGAAAACAAAGACGACAACAACTCGCCATGGCCCTTCTACTCATCACGGTCCCTCCGCTCATAACACCACCGGTCGTCGCTGGGGTGCTTCCAGGCCTCAGCATCATCATCGCCGGAAGGTGACACTCGGCGACAAGGTTTCCGGTGCGATGTTGAAATTGAAGGGCAGCTTGACCCATCGCCCTGGCGTTAAGGTATGTTTGTGACAAGTCACTTCTAAAACCAGCCCATCCAGCCCATTCGAGTCTCTAATCATCTTCCGTATTTCTAGGCCGCTGGTACCCGACGTATGCATGGTACTGATGGACGTGGAAGTCATCACCATGTCTACTAGATCTCTATTTCTAAGCGACTTGATGAGCTACGAAATTCTGTATTATTATTTGTATTTTATATTATTGTTAGACATGTTTAACTGGGATGTAACGACTTGAATCTACCAACTTCACTTCAAAGCATGTATTAGAACCTTGGAATCATGATAGTAACAAAACCAACTACTGCCACATCAAGAACACGAAATGATGGCGGTGAAGTCTTCATTCCCCCCGAGGACTTTCTTAGCGAGGGGTCCAATGATTGCGTCAACCGACTCCATTGTGGCTTGACAAACGAGGTTAAGATCGCCCGCGTGCGACCGACAACAGTTGTCGACTGCAAGCGCGGCGATCGGCCACTGCAAGGATTGCGTAACGGCATCACTGCTCTGTATAGGCTTGAAGCTCAAGCTGCTCTGTGCAACCTATTTACTCGTTTGGAATGTGATGTGAGCGACCGGTGGTGGATTATGACGACCCGGCCCCTGACCGTGCTGGACATCCTCACGGCAGATTATTGGGATGCCAAAGATGGCGATGACAAAGTCCTCTTTCGCAAAGAGGGTACTGGCGAAGTAAGTTATTACCATGTAACTATCAATAATTTCCTTTCTTCTCATGTCCACAGTTATGGCACTTTGTTGAGGAAACGCCCCTCACAGTCGAATTCAACTGGCGAATGCTAGACCCGGCATGTCTCGACGAGAAGACAACCAAAGGGAGCAAGCTAGTATCAAAGCTCACGATTGCGATCAACATTAAATACCATGATGAACTTCAGATTGGAGAATCCGCATCGTCAGATCACAGTTCCGATCGGATCTTGAACCAGCGTCAGCTTCATGATGTAGCGTTTGCTCCAAAGACCTTCACTGTTCATCTTGAAAAAGCCATCTCAAAGAAGAGATGCAACGGCGGTCACAGTTTATACACCTATCGCGTCCTTTTCGATAGATCGCCCTATCCGCCTGCGAGCGAATGGAAAAAGCCCGGGCTCGGACGGCAATGTTGGACGAAGCGCGAGTTCTTTAGCATCAAGGTCAAGCCTGGGTATTCCGGGACATGGATAGGCATTAAACATCACCTCAGGTAAGTCTTTCCAGAATACAAATCTCTTCAGATCTTCGACGTTGGAGGCCAGGCAGGAGACGAAGATGGCTCGGCTGTTCCTCGGAATCCTTGCTCCTTGCATAAAGAAAGGTTCACCCCTGCCTGTGCTTTCAGGCGACCAACCGGACGCGAATTTAGCGGACAAGGCTGAGCGAAATACTTCCCTCCTGCCCAAATTTAGGTCGCATATTTGCACGTATATCATGTCTGTATTTATGGTGCTGTTGGTCATTGCCGGTGTCGTTGCAGGAGTTCTCACTTCTTCGCACTCGCTTCCCAAGTCGGCTATTATTGACCTGGGGTACGCGCGCTACCAAGGGAGCTCATTGTACAATGACGTGGATCAGTATCTGGGCATGCGATTCGCAAAGCCGCCCCCTAGATGACCTTCGTTTTAGAGCGCCAGAAGACCCGGAAGAGTCTTCCGATGTGGAAGATGTATCCAAAGTAAAATATTCACTTTCTATCCCTTCCTTTTTGTCCCTCGTCCTTGTTGATGCACATGTTTGCTAACTGAGGGATAGTTTGGCCCCATTTGTGTCGGTGTAGGGCAGTCGGTCAGCGATTCAAAAGCCGAAGACTGCTTGTTCATCAACGTCTTCAAACCCAAACATGCGTCGTCAAATTCCAGTCTGCCCGTGTGGTTCTTCATCCAGGGAGGTGGATATGCCGACAATTCCAACGAAAATTACAACGGGAGTAAGGTCGTGGAGAACTCTGGGCAAGACATCGTCTTTGTGAACTTCAATTACCGCGTCGGGGTCCTCGGGTTTCTTGCCAGTGAAGAGGTTCGTCAGAATGGCGATCTCAACGCCGGCCTGCTCGACCAGCGAAAGGCACTTCTCTGGGTTCAGAAGTATATTCATCTTTTCGGTGGAAACCCCGATCATGTGGTTATCCATGGCGCGTCCGCCGGTGCTGGGTCAGTCGCGCTTCATCTAGCTGCGTACGGTGGTGAGAATAAGAATCTGTTCATTGGCGCAGTGGCCGAATCCACCTTCTGGCCAACGCAGCGAACGGTCGCAGATATGGAATTTCAGTATAAGCGCTTTGCGAAACAGCTCGACTGTGACAGTTCGGATGATGTCCTTTCTTGCCTCCGATCGGCCGATATCGACAGCATCCAGAAATACGACGTCGTATCGCCATTTCCTAATGGAGGCGATACCCCGGCACCACTATGGTATTTCCTGCCTGTTTACGATGGCGGCATTGTCAGTGATTACCTCTATAGCTCTTTCAAGCAGGGCAAAATTATCCATGTTCCACTGATCGTTACGGATGAAACCAACGAAGGCACATACTTTGGGTACAATGCGACCAGTGCAGACGAAGTGTCGCAGTTCATGAAGAACAATTATCCGAAGCTCAATGACACTCAACTGAATGCCATCAACAAAGCCTACCCATTGATGGATCCTCTTCCCAAGCATGCGGCATATTTTCCCTCTGCCGCTGCTGCATATGGCGATTCGACATTCACCTGCCCCGGGAACATGATGACAGCTAGCATGTCGAAGCATTTCTCATTTGAGAAGGTCTGGAACTATCGTTTCAATGTGCAAGATCAAACGGAGATCAGTGAAGGCAAAGGTGTTCCTCATGTCTTCGATCTAGCTGCCATCTTTGGCCTGGGACAAACCAATGCGCCTTCATTATCTTTCGCAAACACCAACTCACAAATTGTCCCCATCACCATGGACTACTACCTCAGCTTCATCAAGACGCTGAATCCAAACACTTTGCGAAACCAAGATGCGCCCGAGTGGGATAATTGGGGAAATGGCACCGGACAAAGGTTGAAGCTCCAGACCAACAAAACTGAGATGGAAATGGTTCCCCAGTTACAAATTGAAAGATGTGCGATGTGGAAGAGTTTTTCAGATATCCTGGAGCACTGAAAGTGTGACATGTCAATTTCGGGGTTCACAGCCAGTTTTGTGTCACCTTGGTGGTCTTGAACCCAATGCTCTATAGCAAGCAGGTCTTTTAAGAACAGCTGTAATTATCCATTGCCATTGCCATTACCATTGCCATAATCATTATCATTAAAATTCATTTTCAAGGCACCTCAGCTACCCCAGATATATCCATGCAGAGCAGTAGCATCCTGTTTCCTAAGTTCTGCCCTCATCACCTACATGCTATAGGTCCAACCCCTCTCCACCTGACCCCGACAACCCATCATCGCCCGCTGATTTGATTCCGGACGCCTCCGCAGGGCTTCTCCGCGAAAACAAGTGACAAAGTGAGGGGTAGTGACGGCAAATCTTCTTCGATTCAAATCTGGGGAAGCTCCACAGCTCCACTTTCATCATGACTTGAACTCACGTTTTTTCAACCCATGCTATGAAGCTCTTTTTGTCGCATACATACCTTCAGAATAAGATCTACCTTGACTTTTGGGTAGACCTTTTGTGAATATGAAACCAAATAATCTACCTCTCTTCCCCACCCTAGCTGTTGAACTTGTTGAACTCATCGCCGATCACGCAGAAAGTCAGAGCTTACTCGCCCTCCGCCTTGTCTGTCGCGACCTCCAAAAGAAGACATTCCATCACTTCGCACGCAGGTTCTTCTCGTCAATAAAAACCGACTTATCAGAAGAAAGTCTCGTTCGGATCAACGCGCTTTCACAAAATGCAGCTTTACGACCATACATTCATGGCCTGGCATTCATGCTTCAGAATGGTGTCGGTCGCGGCCTTGTTTGGGATCGCCATCCTTGGGGTCCACTGTCCGCTCCGTTAGAAGTTGATGAAATACGCCATCTGCGAGATAACTTGGTCAAGTACCTCACCAACTGTCGCTCGTTCTACATTTTCTGTCGATATCCCGAGGGTCACCCAGACATGAGCCACGTCACTGTCACAGATGCAGTCGCAGTGTTCTTCGCGCTGGTCGTGGATGCCCGACTGCCTGTCTCATCATTTCACCTCATCTACGCAAATAAGCATTCACGGACATTGATTATGGATATGCGGCGAATACCGAAGATGCTCTACAGACAGCCGCAGTTCAAAATTGTCTGGTCAAATTTGCAAAAACTATCGCTGGAACAATATCTTACCCTGGACAACTTTGGATTTTTACTTGAACTGGTACTCAGCGCTCCAAACCTCACGACTCTCCTATTAAATTTAGGGTCTCAGGATCTGGCGTGTGAGTTCATGCATGAACTTGCCGAAACAGCCGCATTCCCTAAGTTGCAAGAACTGGCTCTATTCAGGACTTCCATCAGAGCACCAGATCTGATGAGAATTCTCGGCGGGTTGCGAGGGAATCTTACGGCGCTTACCTTATACCATGTGTCCCTGCCGGACAATAACTGGACTGCCGTTCTGAAACAACTAAGTCAAGGCTTTACTACGCTGAAGACAATCTCGCTTTACTATCTATGGGCGACCGATCCGACAAAGGAACTTCTTGCATTCCCAGATATCCATAAATCACCTGCTTTGTCCGATATGCCAGGTCGAAGCTTACACACGTTTTACTCGGAGGATCTGAAAAGCCCTTCTGTTCTTGGAATCGAATATTCCGGGACGAAGATGTCCCAAATCTTAAGCTTGCTGCAGAACACAACTCTTCCCACCTGATTTTGTTACGATATTAACGACTGCCATTGTATGACTCGCGTTGTATTGCACTGGATTGAGTTCATAGGGGTTGGTTGGGAATTCAATTCGATACTCTAACCCTATTCCAGCCCCTTTTTTACGCTGTTTATTAATGAACATGACTTTGCAACAGACTAATGAATTAATTAAAATTAATGCATTTTTCCCCGTATTCTATTTTGCTTGCTATTTTGCTCGGCAGTCTACATGATTCGAATTTGACAAAAGTACATCGGGTAAAAGAGACATTTCGGGAAGGAATTTTCGTGTTTTGATCTTGCCATGGTCCGACTCTTCGCGCGAATTCTACCACTCCTCTACGTAGCTCTATTTGAATCCCTGTTAGGGTGCTGTCACTTACCCGAATAATACACTGTCCCGCATCATGGGTGGAGCATAGTAGCATGACTAGAACTTTGATCCGCTGCCTGTGAACTTCCGGCCAATAAGCTGTTGTGAGTCTCCGAGCTAGTCCTCGAGCTAGATCCTTAGGTCTTTGTTCCAACAAATGTCAAACAATTGACCCAGCCTAGTCTGGACATTTTCGGATGCTCCCAGCCGAGCCTAGTTGTAGTTTCAGGGGGGGCCCCGTCCGGCCGCTCTTCCGTCCCACACTTTGCTATTTGTTTCCTCCCACTCCCACTCGGACGCAATTCCATTAACCTTCAAAATGGAAGATGATATTGCTGTTGTATGTGGTCATCTATAATTACCATTTTAGAGCCGAATCTCACACTGCCAGGACCCCGATTACTATATTTTAAATGAAGATCATAGTCCAGAAGATTTCAATTCGTGGGTTTCAACCAGAATTTTGGTTGACACGTCGCACTAACATTCAATCAGTGAGACCACTTCTCTTGCTTCGGAAATTTCCAAAGGCCGGATTGAGAATGGCCGGAGGTTGGTTTTAGCATTCACATCGTCTAGAAGCTTCTATATTGAGACGGTAGCAGATATCAATCCATGAAGGAGAATGACTATTGGTAAGTACTACGTCGATACTCCTCGGGAGATTTGACAAATAATTATTCACCTTATGACAGGAGCCCTGCCGATGAACAACAATTTGAGTCCTTGGAAAATGGGTAAATCAAACACTCATCCGTCCCAGCTCACATTTATTCTTTATTGACAAGTTCAGGCATATACTGTGCCTAGTTCTAGATCACCACCAGAAGAATCCGCTGCACCGAGCACCCATCAGCAGTAGTCCTAAGGTCATCCTAATCATGCATCTCTTATTGCATATAAACTGACTCGGTCAACAGCATATTCTCGATATCGGCACAGGTAGAGGATCATGGGTAATGTAGGTCAAACATCATATATCGCATGACCAATGGGACAAATCTAACCATATCTTCAACAGTGACATGGCAGATAGCTATCCGTCAGGTAATTATTCATTTTTTCCTGGAGAATTGAATGCCCAAATCTAACGGATATAGCAACCGTTCGCGGCGTCGATATCTTTCCTCCGCCTGTCTCCTGGATGCCCCCAAACTGCGTCTTTGAGGTCGACGACATTCTCCGCGAATGGACATGGAGAAAACCATTTGATTACATTCATATTCGTATCCTTTTGGGTGCATTTGACGATGCTGGTTGGTCCCTGGCATATGATCGCTGCTACAAGTAAACCCTATCTCCATTCCGCCCTCATAATAACTAGTACAATATGTACTAACATCATCCCAGGGGCCTTGAGCCTGGCGGTTGGATTGAGCAAGTGGAGTTCGACATCAATTTGCACAGCGAAGACGGATCTCTGAAACCAGAACATCATCTCTCCAGCTGGGGGAAGAACATGATTGCGTGCGGTCAGCGGGCTGGCCGCCCTCTCACAACGCAGAGTACCATGAAAGCTGCCATCGAAAAGGCAGGTTTTGTTGATGTGCACGAGCACGTTTACAAAGTACCCCTGGGCCCGTGGGCTAAAAATGATCTCCTTAAGGAAGCGGGGCGAGTCAATTATTTGGTTTGGACATCTGGTTTGGAAGGTTATGCCATGTGGCTTCTCACTAAATTTGGAGCCCCGGAGCCGTGGACTAAGGAGGAGGTTCATGTGTTTCTTGCTAGTGTCCGGAAGGAATTGTCGGATCCGAGTATCCATGCATATCAATATGTGTATGTTTGGATTTCCCTCTTATACATTCTAGTGCTAACAGGATACAGTCGACGGGTGTGGGCACGCAAACCGACAGAGGAGGATTCGAAAGCGAAGGGAGAAACGAAGACACCGGAAGTGGATATTAAGGTTGAAAAATAGCCAGATTGGCCATTGCTGTGAGCTTAAATGGTACTCGCGAATTCAGGTTTCCAGCCATTTTTATTTAGAACATGTGGAAAGAGAGAGAGAGAGAGAGAGAGGGAGAGAGGGAGAGAGAGAGAGAGAAAGTGTGTGTGTGTGTGTGTGTGTGTGTGTGTGTGTGTGTGAAAGAGAAAGCTCTGAAGTTAGCGAGATCTGATGAATTCATTTTAATATAGCGTTTGTACGGATTACTCATAGTACAGTGTTGCTTGTTGTTGATAGCCTCTAAATTACAAAAGTCACCTCAAATTGACACCCTCGCACTAAAAAAAACATAAGGACAAATGATTACCCATAGAAATGATGGCTACTGCATTTCATTGTCCTTATAGCTTCGGTCGTGGACTTGACGCAGCTGAGGCAATTTGTTCGATAGCAATTGCCAACTGTTTTCTCTCGGATTCGAGTCGAGGAAAATCGTGGCCCGCAGTATGCTCAAATATGACTCTCTCTCGTGGCTCACAGAAAGATCCAGCCAGGAATGCACATCTTTTTAGCACATCTGAATCATCAACTGCGCGAACATGCAGGGTCGGAATACGCAAGCGCGCTTCATACCATTCCGGTCGCAATCCACATGGGATTTCCAGAGGTTCGCGATCTAAAAACCACTTGCGCGAGTGCCTATTTACTTTTTCCATTTCGTCCAGAACACCCACAATCGCCGACATCGTGGTACGAGCTGGGTCTGGAAGAAGGTCGATTTGATCGTCCTTTGAGGAGCGGAGTCTACTCTGGTTCTCCGGAGAAAGGTCACCAAAGACGAATTGACAATATGCGCTAGTTGTTGCAAGAGGTGGGACTGGCGAACAGAATACCGCGAACTGGATTGGTAGAGGTTTACTCGGAGACTTGGCAATCTGTTCCAGGAGGTAGGCTAGCAAAACGGAGGCACCTTGGCTGAAGCCCAGAACTCCATCGAATGGGCCTTGCTCGTTGAAGGTTTTGTGGACTAGATCATGTGCTAGCTTCATGCTAGAAGCTTTGAAATCCCTCGAGTAGCAAAAATATGGACCCGGGTATTTTGATGAGCCTGATTTATGTGTTAGCGGCTTCTACTTTATGCTTAATCTGATAGGCATCGTAAGTTCAATATTTACCTGGTGCCGGAGGACATATCTCGTTTCCCTGCAAATAGTATAATTCCCAGCTGAGATCAGAACGTTGCAGAATTTGCGATATCTTGTGCTTCATTATCTCCGAGTTATTCCCAAGTCCATGAAGGCAGAGAATTCGCATCTTTTCGGGATTTTCGTTTTGTTTATATCGTGCGGTTCGATCAACATAAGAATAAAACCTACTTCGATCAGGGCTCCTCGAATAATTAGAGCAAAACGCACATCTCATAGGGAAAAAATAAATACTCAACCCGTGTATTTTGCTGTCTGAGGCTATGATGCGCCATGTTTGCCATGCGGCCTCTGTGAAACCCACCCGGCATGAACTGTGGGAATTGAAGCCCACGCAAGAAAGGTACGTGTCAGTTTTCGGGCGCCAAGAAACCGCGGTTATTGGGTCAAAGTACATCAACATGCATGTTGCTACATATCGTCACATCAGAACCAAGCATTATTGCCGAAGTCGAGTCATGCATTCATTTGGTCCAAAACTATGCGTTCAAATTATTTGCAAAGCAAAAAAGAAAGCACCTGAGCATCACCTATTTCCGAGGCCTAGTGTTCAGAATAAATGCAAGATAGTATAATATATAAGCGAAATTCTTCCATCGATTACTCGATCATTTGCCCCTGAGGGTTTGTTTCTCGACATTTCGTCCCGAAAGCTCCAATTTCCACAAGTGGAAATCGCCTTGGAATTGAAGAGCAAGGCTGATCGTCTCATGCGGCCACAAGGTGATGTAATTGTCAGACCAGATGATCGGGGCGATCTCTTTGCCATTGGTGTCGACCGCATTCAAGTGCATGAATACCGCGGGGACTTTAGACTTGTTCTCCAGTTCGATCACCCTATGAGTCCATCCGTTCTGACCCTTGACTTTGGAGCTCTTGACGTTCATCTTGACGGTGGCGGGTGCCAATGATTCCAGCTTGGTGAGGTCTGCATATTCAGTCACAGGGGTGTGATACCATGTCGAGTTTGACCAATCCAATACATCAGGCTTATGCGAAAGCCAGTATACGTTGCGACTAAGCTCGTGCTTTCCTTTGGCATCTTTCAGAACAAGCCTCAAGAATGCCACGCCCTTGATCTTGCCAATACCACTCACCGGGTGAAGTTGTTTGGAAGTGGTAGGCAACGTAAGGGGTTTCAACTTGGTGCTGGAAATCTTTTTCCCATCCGCATCAATCAAATCGACGAAAACCTGACGATCGCCTTCGTCCTTGATCGAGTGGTTGATGAGCCAAACGCTTTCGGTCTCATAGTCGTATGCAACATGTTCCATGCGAGATCCGACCTTTGTCCCATAATATGATCCCATTGGATTCAGGTAGTAATCAAAGAGCTGCCAGTGCAAGTTAGGCCATGCACTATTCAACATCCAGTAAATTGCACCGGTCGCAGGGCGTGAAGCATTTTGGTGAGCAGAGTAGGCTTCAAATTGGGCACGAGTGGCTTCGTAGTCTGCCATTTGGCACTTCAAGACGTAGTCCTCTAGGCTTTTTGGCCTGCCATAGCGACTGTAAATTCCTCGGTTGTATATTTTTCGAGTGTAAAAAGACGAAATCTTGCTTGACATATGGTATAATCCCTCATCGGGTTCGGTCCAAAGAGTATTCAGTTCGTCGTTCGTCATGAATCTTTTCAGGGTTCCCATCTCAGGTGTACCGACTCCCGCACCCAGCTCAGAGCCAAAACCAAAGCCAGCCCCTAATTTGTCTGCATACCAGTAATTCGGGGGAACCCAGTCGTAGGGGCCATCCATTTTCATTCCTGATGGGCCGAGATCATCTGGGTATCCACGTTTGCTCGCTGATGCAATAACGGGATTGCGCCAGTCCATCTGCGACAAAGCATCATTGTATACTTTTGTTGCTCGGTCATTGGGCCAAAAATCTGAGCCTACCAAAAATCCAAGCATAGAGGGATGTGGTTGCATCATCTCAGCTTCGTGAAGCATTGCTGCTCCAGCGATTTTATAGTCAGTGTCTTCCCACTTGAATCCAGTGCCATCGTCGTTGTACTAAATTAAGATTAGTAAATGAAATTCTAGTTCGTCAAGATGTAAACTCACCTCCCAGCCTTCCCATTTGGTACAGCATTCCCAGCCCGCCAGGATCATCATTCCCATCCGGTCAGCTAACTCATAAAGCTCCGGATGCTCCTGTTTTCCTTCCAGGCGTACGGTGTTTAGGCCCATGTCAAGCATATACTGAAAAAAGGTCCGGATCCGGTTTTCATCGTACCGCAAGAAAATATCAGGCCCGTAGCCTGCTCCTAGAACCTCGAATGGATGCCCATTCACAGTGAATGCGGTATCATTGTGTGAATTGACAGATGAGTCGGTGCTTCTGATTCCAAATTTGACAGAACGAGAGCGATCTGAAATATTTTGGCTATCGTCATCGATGAACATGGTAGCGTGGGCTGAGTACAGAGGCTGTGAGCCCCAACTTGCAGGCCACCAGATATGAGGGTTTCTAACGCCGACCCTAATAGATGCCTTCAATTTCTTACCAGGCATTAGACGGAAGTTTCGAACAAATTGGATTGGTTCGCCGCTGTTCGGCGGTTCTATGGTGCCCTCGAGAGTAACACGAACGATTCTCGACTCTCGATTAATTAAGTCAGTCGTCAATGTAATGTTCACCTGTTCCTTTTCACTTGTATTCATGGGATCCTTGAAATCCGTATTAACTCGAAATGGAGACATGGAGACTGCGCCAGTTTGAGAGATCTCGACATTACGCCAAACGCCCGTGCCATTATCTGCAGGCCGGGGATTCCAGTCTTCGAAGCTCTGTGCAAAGTCCCGATCATAGTTCGTGGGGTATGCACGGATGAGAAGACAGTTGTTCCCTTCCCGAATATGGGCTGTTATGTTGTAATTATGTCCACCATATGAACCTTGCTGCTCCTCTTTGGATGCGACGGGTGCACCGTTCATGTAGATATCAGCTTTCGAGGTGATTCCGTGAGTGATCAAATCGAAATATTGATTTTCAGATGGGTTTACTGTAAACTCTTCTCGGTACAGCCATGGTTGTCGGAAGATCTCTCTGACTCCGACATTCTCCATATTGTTGGAAAAGAACAAATGCGTGTCGTTATACATGCCATTCTCGACGAGGCCGGCCATGACTGTTCCACGCGATGTGACGCGATACCAATGAGTGGTGTTGAGTCCTGGCTTTGATAGCATGGCCATGTCATCCGGGACACGCATGACTGACTGGAGATGCCATCCTGGAATAATTGCCGTGTCGCCCGCCTTCGAAACCAGAGGATCCGCCACTGCCACTGCATTTAGGCTGCATAGAGTCGCGACAAAGGCTGCAAGCCCCTGTTTGAGTGACAAACGCATCTTTTCTTTCAGATTTGGTCGACTCAGACGCTCACTTTCCACTCTTTCCTAAGCATGCAGTTTGAACTCATAAATATTGTCGCCGTTGAGTCCCTCTGTGGGGTAAAGGAAACTCTCGAAGTTGCACTGCATTGCGATCGGACGGGGGTATTCACAACCGTGGTAGATTAACAGGGTATATCGTGGTTTATGCTCAGGTGGTTGCACAATCTCGCCCATATTAGGTTAGAAATGTCTGTTTTGTTGTCGGCGATTCCGGGAAAGTTGGAGGTTTCCCCGGTTGAGCTTGTGATGAACCACGAATTTCCTATTCGAGACAGTGGGTAAGCTCTTGGCAGGTACTTTCGATAGGGTGCAGTTTGAGTGTCGAGTGGTATTCATGACATACAGTAAAAACCATTATTAGTCGCTCAATCCAACTATAGCCAGTCGAAGAAGATTACCTCGGCAACTTCAAGTTTGTAAGATACTCACGGGTCATTGGCTCTGTATTTTTTTCCCCTTCTTGTTCACGACTGATGAGTGGTGAATTTAATATTTCCTTTTAGATGGTAAAACCATCGCTCGGACTAAATTCAATTAAACTGGTGGGAAACTCGGAATTTAAGGGTACAAACTAGTAGCAGATCAAACACGTCGCTTTAGATCGGTTTGCACACTGAATGGAGTGAATCAATTCTGACGACTCATAATATTGAATATCATATGATGATAAGGATTGGGAGTTACTAGTAGTTGTGTACTGGACAAATGGTCATACCCATCCTTCTATAAAATACTAACTACCGCTCCCCAGTTTTGACTTCTCTCCACCAACATCAACGTCAACATCATCCGTCAAATCTCATCCCCCTTAAGCATATCTCACCCCAACTTCCCAAACAAATCACCTACATCCTTACAATTGTCTTGTTCCTTCTCCCCTTCAAAGACAGCCCCTGGAAGTCTGAAAGGGTTGGAAGAGAGCAAGGGCCCTGGCCTGACCATTCTCTCCCTTCCGGAAAGGGATGGTCGTTACAACATCGGAATGCGTCGACTGTGCATCGTCGGTTTCGGCCAGGAACCACCTGGCCACAGTGGACCTGAGCGATAAATCGCCCCATTAATCACTCTTATCGACTCCATCGAATGCTTGCGCGCGATTCCTGACAGGCCCGCCCGCATTCCCTGTCGACCCTCATCGTGGAGACCGCCCGGCCAGAACCATGGGAGCCACGATACAATGACAGTCCCGATGTTGCAATTCATGAGAGTCCTTCACCTGGTTTCGGTGAGCGCAATACTCTTGCTCTATGTCAGACGCTTCATGCGGCCGAGCGTGGTGCTCCAAGTACCCTACCTCCCTACCAGGGAGCCGTCGTGATTCGAGGGATGCCCGCCTTGTTTCCATACCAGCTCCTAGTGTTGTTGGAATGCGGCCACTCGATCCGCGCGGCCCTATTGCTGTCTAGTCCATTCCCTCCGTGCTTTCTCTCAACTCGCTTTTCCCGCTGGATGTTTCTGCCAGCTGAATAGCATCATCTTCAGTTGTTACGGGATGTGAGATAAAGGAGTGACTACACAGCGACTCATCAATCACAGAATAATCGCTTTTATACTCGATAAATTTCACTTGTTACAATATACGGATGGCGGGCCATACCACTCAGCTCTCATGGTCGGGCCTTCTTGCCTTGGGCTTGGCCGGCTTCTCATCGGTCCAAGCTCTGGACCTGGATGCGAGTAATGATCGTAAGTCAATCAATTAGCTTGCTACTCTATCTTTCTTCGTCATCCGCAACTAACACTTCGAAGAGTCCGTCAAGAAAGCAGCAAAGATTGTCGCGACCGATATGATGAGCTACTACACCGGTTATCGACCCGGCGACAACCCCGGCAACTTGCCCGATCCTTACTACTGGTGGGAAGCTGGTGCGATGTTCAACGCCATCATCGATTACTGGTTTGTGACCGGCGACGACCAATGGAACGAGTGGACCACCCAGGGTCTTTTATGGCAGGCTGGCGACAATGCTGCGTTTATGCCGAACAACCAAACTAAGACTGAAGGAAACGATGATCAGGCTTTCTGGGGATTCACAGCCATGTCTGCCGCGGAACGAAACTTTCCAAATCCTCCGGATGACCAGCCGGGCTGGCTGGAAATGGCTCAAGCAACTTTCAACACGCAGGCTCCACGGTGGGACGACTCTTCTTGCGGCGGAGGATTGCGATGGCAGATATTCACATGGAATAACGGATACAACTACAAGAATACTATTTCGACCGGTGGATTCTTCAACCTTGCTGCCCGTCTTGCGAGATATACCGGCAACCAAACTTACGCCGATTGGGCTGAAAGGGCATGGGATTGGACTTACAATGTCGGCTTCATGACGCACGAGTATCACTTCTGGGACGGCGCAAGTGATTTGAGCAACTGCACCGATATGAACAAGATTGAGTGGACCTATAACGCTGGTGTCTTTCTGCTGGGTGCAGCCAACATGTATAACCTGGTGAGTCTTAATCCCAATCAGTCTAAGACTGGAAGAATAAATCTGACAAGCTCCGCAGACAGAGGACCAGAAATGGAAGGAAAGAACGCAAAAGGTTCTCGATGCGACCGATGTCTTCTTTCAAAAGGACATTATGTATGAACGCGCTTGCGAAACAGTGAATACATGCATGGTGGACCAACGTTCATTCAAAGGCTATCTTGCCCGGTGGATGGCAGCTACTACTCAAATGGCTCCATTTACCTTCGATCAAATCATGCCCAAACTCAAGGCCACTGCAGAAGCAGCAGCTAAGACATGTACTGGCGGACCTAAGGGAAGTTCATGTGGAATGAAGTGGACTGAAAAGAAGTGGGACAACACGAGAGATTTCGGCCAACAGATGGCAGCTCTGGAGGTCATCCAGGCTAATCTCGTTACACGCGTCGCTGCTCCAGTTACAGACCACGATGGCGGTACCAGTAAAGGTGATCCTAGTGCTGGTGGTAAGCCAGAACAACCGAAGCCTGGCTCTTTGATGCGTGATATCACGACGGCAGACCGTGCCGGTGCCGGCATTTTGACAGCCATGATGATGGTCGCCATCGGCGGCTCGGCTGGATGGTTATGCTGGGATTAGGATGTCGTGCCTCTTCTCCTTTCTCTCATGCTCTGGTTTTCTGTTCTATTCTTTCCGGCGTTGACTATTATTTTCCATTGGGTCGGCGTACATGGCGTTTTGTGAATATCTTTTCTTCTCAGCATACGTCTCAGTCAACTAGTTTTGCAATCCATCTTTGATTGATAGAATGACGTCTGTGGTGCAATTCTGCAGTCTTCAAGAGCCGTACCAATCGGCGAAACTCTGGAAACTATTTCAATCCAGCTAGCTCACCCACGCCCTTCTGCCCCTCTTAACCACGATACCCTCGGTTGTGAGCTTTAACCATTGGCTCCCCACATCCTCGATGCGGGGAAAACTGGGGCCTTCGTGAGTATAGTTCTTGGCTAGGAACGGGATATGCTACCAAAGAGTGTAACGGACCGCTGGAGCTGCCGATCCACCCCTAAATCTGATTGCAACTTCCCTGACTATATCATTACGCACTCCACATCGTAATAAAATTGAGTTCGGCACCACGTCGGAAGCTCTTCAACCCGCGACCCTGCCTGCCTCGACAGGCCGACAATTGCCCGACGAAATTCGTGATGTGTGGGGGTAACGCACCCGGAAGTCCCGAAGAAAAGATATTAATATAAGGAGCTCTGTCGATGCGAGTCCTGTAGAAATTGATTGTTCCACTAGCAACCATGTGGGCCACATTCCTGGGAATCGCGGGGCTTGCAGCGGCCGTTGAGGCCCAAGAGGTCTTTCATACAACGAAGGGTCACTCAGCTCGACCTCAATGCGCGCATGCTACTACTTCGCCGAGCTATTACTTCCAGCCATTTTCGTTCACTCTCAATGAGACTGTTCGGTGAGTACTCCAGTCTAGGCCGACGATGACGCGAGCTTACAACTTCAAGATATGCAACATCTATGCCTTCGCCTACCACGACCAAGACATATGCGCCAGCTTACACAGATGCAGTCAAGCATTTTACTTCCCTGTCAACAACCACCTGGGGCAATTGGTTACCTGGGCAGACTGTCATCAGTGCAACTGATACGGATGATCCTTTTGGACAGGCTGCATGGTCATCCATGTGGCAGGAAGCTGATCTGAAAAATTACGTGAGTCCGTGGATTCTGTGCTCTCAGCTTAACCCAACTAACATCGCCGTTTAGACAGCGACTGGCATGTACTCAACGACTGTCAGCCCCACGCCTGTTCCAACCAGCGAGCTTGTCCTCCCCCCAAGTGACTACTTCGGACCTACCGATTGCTATAGCTTTCCCGATGACTTTGTATTTGGCGTTGCTGGCAGCGCTGCCCAGATTGAAGGCGCTATTAGTCTTGAAGGGCGGTCTCCTAGTCTACTGGAGAAGTTAATCTCGGATGACAGACCCAAGGACTACGTCACGAACGAAAACTATTATCTTTACAAGCAGGATATTCAGCGACTGGCAGCCATGGGCGTGGAATACTACAGCTTCACAATTCCCTGGACTCGCATTTTGCCCTTTGTGCATGCTGGTACTCCCGTCAATCAGCAGGCGATTGACCACTATGACGACCTGATCAATACTGTTTTGGATGCTGGTATGCAGCCCGTGATTACCATGCTTCACTTTGACAGTCCTCTCATGTTCGTCGCGAGTGACAACATCAGTAAGTCTATGTAGTCATCTACTTTAACCTTGACTGGTCCTGACTCTTTCTTTTTCTCAGCGAGACGGCCCGAAATTGGGTACAACAATGCCGGATATCAAAACGAGACCTTCGTCGACGCCTTCGTCAATTACGGCAAGGTTCTTCTCACGCATTATGCCGACCGAGTTCCAATCTGGGTGACTTTCAATGAGCCATTACTCTACGCTTTCAACTTCCAAGGAGTTGACAATGTTGTCCACGCACATGCCCAAGTCTACAAATTCTACCATGATCAACTAAAAGCAAAGGGTAGAATTGGAATCAAGTTCAATGATAATTTCGGAGTTCCGAAGAACCCTGGAAATGCCAGCCATGTCAGCGCTGCTAATCGATTCAACGAGATGCAACTTGGCTTCTTTGGTAATCCAATATTTCGCGGAGAGCAATATCCCAAGTCTATCCTGGACACCATGCCAGGTGCCCGGGCCTTGAATCATTCCGAGCTCGCATACATCAACGGCACTTCCGATTTCTTTGGAATTGATCCGTACACGGCGACTGTGGTTTCGCCGGCTGATGAGGGAATTGATGCTTGTGCGAAGAACACCTCGACTTCAAACTCGCTTTTCCCATATTGCGTTAATCAGGAGACGGAGAACATCTACGGATGGAATATTGGTTATCGCTCAGGTTCGTTTTATTACATTTTTGCCAATTACTGTAACTGCATAAAGACTAACATGATTATTAGAATCCTATGTTTACATCACGCCGACCTACTTCCGGGAATACCTACTCTATCTATGGAACACATTCCGACACCCCGTGTTTGTGTCCGAGTTTGGCTTCCCTGTTTATGGCGAGGCTGACAAAGATCTTCCTGATCAACTGTATGTTTCTTCTACTGGCATTTATTTTCTCTCTTCGCCATCAGTATGTCCATGACCGTTATGATCATGATGCTAATCTATGCCTAGCTTCGACTCTCCCCGGAGTGTTTACTATCTCTCCTTTATGTCTGAGATCCTCAAATCAATCTACGAAGACGGTGTACATGTTATGGGAGCTCTCGCTTGGAGCTTCGTCGATAATTGGGAATTCGGCGACTATTCTGCGCAGTTTGGCATCCAAGTGGTCAATCGGACCACTCAACAACGTCACTACAAGAAGAGTTTCTTCGATCTGGTAGACTTTGTGAAGACCCGACAGGGAAAGAAGGAGTAGTATTAGACCTCATATAGAAGATATGAATCAATATCATTAGCTCTTCTATAGATATTCCCCAAATGTTACGATTGTTGTAGCTGTTGATGTTTTTATACTTCGGACTCGCCAGTTGACCCGGTCCGAGCCTGCACGTGATGGTGCCTTCCCTTCGACGGGCCTCGTCGCGACTTCACAACTTCATAACTCTCCCACGCCCACGCCAAATCCAATCCCGGTCGCATTCGAGCGGCAAATGGACTGCGACAACCGCCAGAATGGCTGATTCATTTACTCTCCCTTTGCGACCAAACCTCGAGAAATCCGACCGTCCAGATACCCTTCCCGTCGAGATCGCCCAGATTAACGAGCAGTGGGGTGGTTTCCGTGATGTCAACGAAGAAGTCTTACTAGCGAAGATCGCTGAAGAAGAGGAACGAGGTGGACCTGTGGAATCCGATGAAGATGGCGACAAGAAAGACATGGACACCACCGAGCGCCGGGAGGAGCTATACAAGCGGCGTGCGGAGATCACCCAATTTGCGATGTATGTCAATATACCAATGAGAGCTACGGCGTAGATTGAAACAGAAGCTAACTATACACTGTTAGGGCCTCCCATATGGAAACTATGTTCGCACTCGACTTCGTATCGTTGTTACTATCCAAGCATGCTCCCCGCCAGGCCGAAACCTCCATGTCCGCATTCCTTAAACAAGTCGCTCCCGTTGGTTCGCTCAATTCCGAAGTCGTCCACCCTCCTCCCAAGCCAGATTCCGTGAATAAAGATATCTCGACGGTCTCGAGGGGCTGGAGGATCCAGAACTTCAACTCCGCCGCCAATAAACTACTTGGCGCGGCCTCCCGGCTTGAAAAGGAAGTCGAGGCAGAGACGAAATACTGGAGCTCGGTCCTAGCGATTAAGGATAAGGGATGGAAGGTCTGCAGACTCCCTCGGGAGAGACAATCTCTGGGCGTGCAATATGGATTTATGGAAGGTAAGATAAGACCTACTCGACGTCTTGGCTCGTCCACCGGCTCTCTCTAACTGAGATATATAGCTACACCAGCTTTCCGCGACCGTGGACTTGCTTCTTTGCGACGTGCTAAAGATGGCAGCTTGGTATTGGACCAGGGGCTGGTTCCCTCAGGCTCACGCTTCGTTCGGGTTCGCGTGAAACGAGGGTCTAGAATTACCGGCTGCACGAAGCCACCCGGAGCTAGCTCCAACGATGCGGATTCTATTGAACAACGTATCCTACAAGCGCGTGATTCCGTCTTCGAGGACGAATTGTTCCATGAGCTCGTTCGCGAAGCCAGGGCTATGGCTAGCTGTGGTGTGACGACGCGACAAAATCTCATTCAGATCCCGGTCGCGGATGACCTTGAAATTTTACTTGATCTGGTAGATGTTAATGATGAGAGCCTCCACGCGGAACAAGACTCATCTCAGGACGACGTTGTTCTTGCAGGCGGTGTTGCTCACTCCATTCGCATACTACTTTCCTTTGCTCATCGTCAAAACCTACACCGACGAACGCAAGTCCCACTGCCCTTGACGCCGAAGAGACGCCCCAATCCTGAATATCATCTTTTGCGCCCTGCGCTCGCATATCTTCAGCATACTTCAGAAGCTCGCTATCTAGAATCATTCATTCGCGATATTGTCAGTACTTTGCGATCCTCGGGCTTCCAAGTTCCCGAATTCACAGCCCAGATGTTTTCCAACTGGAAACTACCTCATCCACGCCCATCGCCAAACGCGCTTGAAGGTCTCATTTCAAGCTCTTTAAAACCAATTGAGTCGGTCTTTCAGGGAAAGCTCCTCACGCCGAATAGTTCCTTTACCGTGAGAATGCGCACCAATATGTCATTCCCTCCTTTTGGCACGCACTACGATGTCTCTTTCAATCTACCATCTGTTCCAGACCTCAAGTCCCCAGGCAATCTAAGTCTGAGAGAGGAGGTTGAAGCTGCCGTGGCCCACCTTCTGTTACTCGATGTTGTCATGAATATCTCATCTGCGCAAGTGGAGGAGAAACCGACAGAACCGGATACCCCAGCCAAACGATGGTGGGATCCTATCTATCCTCATATGGGCGAACTGCTTATTGCCTACGACCATCCCGAAAAGCACAAGAAGATGCGAATTGTCTTATCCCGCGACCAGCTTTCCCTGGAAACTTACCTAGTGCGCTGTATTGACGGGATTGGGATTGGCACAGCGGAAGGACGATCACAACATACAGAAACAAAGACCTGGAATCTCCAACAATCTCTCGGCAGCCCAAACCAACAATCCTCCGCGATGGACTTTGTGATAGCCGAGGCATCGACCTAGCCGATTCAAGATCGGGCCGAAAACTCGCCACCCGAACCTGAGTCCGTTTTCCGCCGACCCACCATAACAACTGGGCTTGTGGTTTAGTGGTATAATACTCCCTTAGCATGGGAGTGGTCCGGGGTTCGATTCCCCGCGAGTCCATTTTTTGCTCTTGCAGCTTCTTCTTTGCTGTCGTGAAGCTTTTTTTTTTGCTCCTGGAGCAATGGGAGGCAGTCCCCGACGAAGGGTAGGAGTGGGGCCACAAATTTATCGAAAAAAAAATTTCCAATGCGAAAAAGCCTTGCATTTACAATCCAGACAAAATCTGGAAGCCATCGATCTCAAGTCATCTCTGATCTAGCAACCTGTGTTCAACGACGAGGCTCCGTCGTTGCAATTCACACATTTGCCCTTAGAAGTGGTCAGGATCTTGTGTCGCCATGTACAAATTTATCTTCAATGAATAACCAAGTACAGCATTTGTCAGAAGCCATGAGTTTCATTTAATAATTTCACATCCTACAGCTTAGCCTAACCAGCCATAAATGCTTTCCTAGGGTTGAAGTCGGTCCTTCTATGTTGGGTCCTGGGATATTCTGGTAGACCTACCTTTGAATTTCGCTATAAAGAAAGTGACCGCAATTTAAACTCGGCCGGCGCTTCCTCTACACCTGTTTGTGGGCAAGATCTATAGCTTTGCAGTCAGCGCCTTAACAGATTCCGGCGCAGTCAAAACACTCCCCAGTCTCTTCTCATCCAATCCATATGCACCAGGAAGCCAGTCGACACGTTCTCCCAAAGCCATCAAAGCCAATGCCTCTCCACTCAACAGGCAATTCGCCATCCCATATCCATTAAACGCAGCCGCAATCCATTCCCTTCCACCACTCCGCCCAGAAATGGAAGAAGGCAAACGTCCAACCAGAGGCAATCCATCAGACGAAAAGCCCATAATTCCACTCCAAGAACTAACAAGCTTCCAAGCAGTAGATTTATTCTCCCCAAAAAACCGCGGCAAGACATCCCGCAAGTGCGAAACAGAATTCTCTCCAACAAAGCTATCATCAGCTGAAATAGTATCATCGACTCGAGCATTCTCGCCTCCGAAATAGAAATATCCCGTCTTCGCGCTCTGGCCGAGATAATATAGCCCAAATCCCGATCTTCCGGTCTCGGGGTCGTGAGTCGGTGGATAATGGAATCCCCAGGAAACAGACTTGCCCTGGTTTGGGACCAAGGTACCGGGATCTTGAACTGTCATGGTGCCCTTGAATGGATGAATACTTCCTCGCAGACTGGGCAGGAGATGTCCTGTATATCCATTCGTGGCATAAATGACATTCCCAGCGCGAAGTGGACCACGGGACGTGCGCAGCGTGTAGGGGAATGGCGTCGTGGACTTCGGGTCATGTCCCACATCCAAGACCGGGGTGTTCGTTTCTATCGTGAATCGATCTGAATACTTCTTCAGCAGATCTGCAAAAATCTTTGTCACCAGACTGTATGGCCAGACTGTGCCAGCCGGGATCAGTGCTCCGCCAGCTGCACCATGAATACCAAAGTCCTGCGCAGACAACTAGCGTTAGATAAAATCATCGCGAACTCAGGGCAGCCAAGTGCATAAGCAAATGGAATTATATACCTTCAGCACAGTCTGTTCATCAAGAATAGTATAAAGTCCCCTCAGCGAAGGATGATCCCCCTCCATCCGCTTAATACTCTCCTTAAATTCCGAAAACTTCCCAGCCGTCAAGAAAACCCTCAACTTGTGCAACCGCTGCATCTCACTAACACCAACCGCATCATACTCCTCAATCAAATCCTGCATCCTCTCCAAATTCCTCAGCGTGAACTTTGCAATTCGCCCCGCCATCTCTGGTCCGTGCATCGCGGCCAAATGCATATACTCCTCACCCGCATTAGCGGCCATTTGTCCGCCATTCCGGCCCGTGGCACCAGAGCACAGCGTTCGCGCTTCTAAAATTGTTACCCTTGCAGCGGGGCTTTTTTCTAGAATTGTTTTTGCGATGGAGAGTCCTGTTATTCCTGATCCGATGATCGCGTAGTTCGCCTCTATAGGCAGAGTTGGAGACTGGGTGTTGGCAAGTGGGTGGGGGATGTGTTGCCAATAGGACTCTGTTGGGTTTGATCTGGGTAGACCTGGGTCTGCATTGACGAGTTTGGTAACTGTCATACGTCAATATCACGGTAAAATGTCACTAAAACAACTATGCATTGAAGCACTTGGGCTAGCTCTTACCATGTTCCTCATTCGGTGCCATTACGATAGATGGGATGGGTCACGGCAGAATCGGATAGTATAAAGAATTCAAATTGCACACAGCTCAAGATAGCCAATATTAAGAAGCGAGCTTTGTAGATTCTAAAAAAACTCCATCTGGTGGATGATATAGTGCTCTTGTGCGGGGTTTATCTTATCAGGACTTGGACGGGGCGCATATAACTGCCTGGTTGGGAAAGGCTTGCGATAGATTCATCCTCACGTTGGATTTAGCTCCAGGGCTGCTATTGGCCAAGGTGAGGATTAAGTGCTAATAATCAAACAATATATTCCTCCTCTGTATGGCTATTTGACGGCTGGATAATGCTTCCGAGTTCTCTTATCCTTTTGTCTCATAGTGAGTCTGATTGCATATCCATGCACCACATATAAAGCTCTGCAGAAATAACCAAGAAAGAATAGTTTAAACGCTCTTGCACCTTGAACAACAAAATAATACACAGTAACACCGCATGATGCTCATACCCGGGACTCTTTCACTAATATTCAACACTAAATGCAATACGTCATGCCAGTGGGCACGTGTATATATAAAATAACAGACTTCCAGGTGACATTGTGGGCCCTTCTAGATCCTCAGCATCCTGGAATTGTGTGCCGATTACCGATGATCAAATGATTTTCAAGACCAAAGCTTCAATTTGTTTTGTTGGGGTTGTTCAAAATCCCTCGCAGCCCGGGGTATGCTGCCGCGGCTCTGGGAGGCGAAATATGCAGCATGGCGTAACCGCATACCAGACTACATTCCATGAAAAAAAACATGCAAACCAAGCTTTTCAAGCCGATGGGATTGTGAAAGATTTCTTCTTTTTCTTTTTCGGGGGCTATTGGTATATAAGAGGAAACAATTTCCCCCTGACACCATCGCTCCACCTTCTGACATCTTCAAATTACCTCCAAGATGAAGTTCTCATCGGTCTTGCTCACAGTATTTGCACTTGCCGCCAGTGGCTTGGCGGACAAGACATGCACACCCAGCTTTGACTATTGCTCGGATGTCCTGATCAAGTCTCACGGTAGGTTTTGAATGTCTCGAGCTTCATTGTAATAAATCATGATATCTAATAGTTCGATAGGTTTCACTGAAGCTGATCTTAAGGAGGCCCTCGAAGGCAGCGACTATGAGAAGGAGGATCTCAAGAATATTCTGTTCCACTGCAAGAACCCCGGTATTGTTGGACATCCCAAGCTTTGCTCGAGCGGTTGCAAGGATTCGGAGCAGGAGGGCAGCCACCACTGCGAGGGGTAAGTGATCATTACGTTTTCATTTAACTCACGGAGCCTAATATTTGCACAGTTAAATGTACTTCTCTTGGGGGTTCAAGATCTACGCATTACGTGCTGTATCTTCACGACCAAATAGTTGCAATTCACACTCAAATATTAATCTGTAAATTCATTATTCGCCTTTTGGTATAAAAATATTTGTAGGATCTCAAGCAGGGTTCCTCTGTCTCAAGATCTACCACTCAATTTCTTTCCCTTGGTAGGCATTGTTTCCATTCGCATTCACCCAGCCCGGGACATGGATATTGACGAATTTTCCATTTTGATGAGGTCCAGTCTTCAGCACGATGTCGATCGCTTTCTCGGCACCTGTCTCGACGGATAAATCTGCTCGTGAGCCCCCCTAGATCAGTTTTCAGCCACTGGAAAGGTTAAAATTAGTACGAATTCCTATATCAGCAGGTATTAAGGTATAACTTACTCCGGGACTAATAAGCAAGAAGGTAAAGCCTTCAGAGGCATATTGCTGCGCATATTGGACACTCAGCATATTCAACGCAGCCTTGGTGATTTTGTAAGCAGGCGTCGGCGCTTGTGCGTAAAGATGAGCTTTGGCAATGGATCCCATAGTCGTCGAACTAAGTCCTATCAGTACCACGTCCGAGAATCATTTAGCGTCAATCACTCACATGTTGATAACAGACTTCTTCTCGCCACGACGCAGCAGCGGCAAGAAAGCTCGTGTGACCTCGTGAACACCAGTGACGTTCAGGTTGAACATTTCATTAAGATTTTCCCTGAGTAATACGTATTAGATACGTCCTTGCGACTTATGGAGAGCAGAGCAAACTTACATCCCCTCCACCCCGGCGGGATTCCAGTCTACCGCGCCAGCATTGTTGATCAGATAGTCAAGTCCCTTGCCTTGTAACTTATGTTCAACCAAGCTAGTTGCTTCTTGTATACTTTTCTTGTCGGTCACGTCTAAGCCGACAAATTCAATGCGACCGGAAGATGCATTTATGAGCTCCCTGAGTTGTGTCGAATTGTCTTGACGAGCGGTTGCGAAGATGGTTCCCACTTGGCCGCTAGGTAGAGACGCAAGTCGGGTTGCCAGTGCAAGGCCCAGGCCACGCGACGAGCCTGTAATAAGGAATGATGCCATTGTGTGAGGTGAAAGGGTAAGTTGTTTGTGAAGTTCAACGTGTTGAAGAGGTGCGCTTTAACGTGGGGTCGGTACTCTACCTAATCTCCGTTAAAGCCGACTAGGGCGATTAATCCATGCGTCCCAGCGTCATTACTGAGCGATCTGCAGGGCTTGATTGATAATCAAGAAGCTTACACTATACACAGGTATTAGATATCTGTACCCATTACTAGTTTCTCAGTTTCAGGTTGTTCCTGATTGGAGATTTTTGCAAATTATTGAGTTCGATTATTATTATTGAGTCAGGATAAATGGTAACTCTCAAGGAATGGTCCAGTCCAGCCTTGCGAGATGGAGGTTGCTGTGTCCAGTTTTCAGGGCCTTGCTGTGAAAATTGGACACAGCAACCTCCATCTCGCCTAAGTAAGTACTGTAATAACCTACATAATTCCTAATTGTTGGCGAAGTCATGCTATTTTGAGAGTTGGGCGTAGGGAAGCTTCGCCTAGCTTTCGGGCGGTGGGGAACTGAGTAGGAACTCCTCAAACAGATTTCCAAATGGAAGTGGGAATGGAAATGTCGCACTCAAGCTGTCTTGCAGGACCGAGCTGCTATTTGCCTCAATATTTCCAGCGTCGTCCTCTTCGACAGGTAGACCGGGCATGCCGTCTGGACGATGCCCCATTTTCGACACCCCCGGTGCAGCCTTGTCATACGCAGGAACATCCACGGAATATCGTTTCAGTAGAGCTTCGTAAATGGGGTAGAAAGATGCTACCACCGGAAATCGGTCAAGCAACTTCTCGAGTATTACCATACAGAAGCGCGCTCTGTTTTCGGAGATCATTTTGACTCCGGCATCCCCTCGGTGGATATTGACAATATGGATGGAAAGAATTGACAGAACAGGCGCGACGCTAAACGGGCAAAAGTCAGTATCTTGGACAAACTGACTATATCACCAGTGTAGGACAACTTACATGCTGGCGGCTGCTGGGTATATGAGATCATTGGCGACGATGAGTTCTAGTATGTAAAACATCTGCGTGCATATCTCGAATGTTGGAGTGCCTGGTCCGGTGTTATGCGAGAATCTAGGATTGCTTCGGTGCAACAGAAGTTGGTATTCCCTAATACCCTCTTAGCGGAAATACTTAGAGAATTATTACTTGGGGAGGCACTGACTGGTACAAAAGATTCGTAATCATAGCCCAGGGACTGCTGTTCATCGACAAATTTCGCAGTTCTGCTGGGAGTGACGAGGGCCATCGTGAAATCTGCTCCAGACAAACATCTTGAGATTGTGCATTTGTTTCATCAAACTTGATTGTATAGAATTGATCCACTAGAAGCGCTCTTAGCAAACAGAGAGTCTTGGGGTGGAAACCAAGAGGCTGTTACCTATCTGAGCCAGTTGAACAGCATGTATCGTGAAGTTATTTGCCGCGTTGAAGGTTTCACCCAGATTTTCTTGATCGGCAGATTGTGTTGGTCCTTCAAAATCATCCTCCGATAGAGGTCTCACATTGCAGAGCCTCCCCTGCACACGCGGAGGGCGGTCCAACAGCATGGACAAATTGACGTCCATGGCCTATTCCCGTGTTAGCAGACCAAAAAGGAGAAAAAACGCTATTGCGGTAGACTGACATAAACCATCCACCATATTCTCCGCCATGCTTTCCGGTCTGTCTCGCCCAGGCGCATGTATGACTTCCTATAGGAACTTTAGCAATATTCCGTAACTTGTAACAGGGTCGTCCCACTCTTGGTGCATGCCCATAGCTTGCGCCATTCCCACCGAGATTCCAAGCCAATACCACGTATCTTTAGGCTCTAAGATCCCACTCCACCAATAGCACATGAGGAATGTCGCTTGAATAGTCGCAACCGCATCGTTTTCGTAGCCGGCATCATAAAGGGATTTCGCTCTGCGGTAGAATGTTAGGCTAGCGACATATCGAGACACAAACCCAGCATCAGCTATAGTTTCGTCTGAACAATAGATAGTAGAAGCAAGGTAGATAGCGTTCAAAAGCAAGTTTGAAGCTGTGCCCTGGTAAATAGATTCAAGCAATCGTGGTCTGTCAATGACGGGTAACGACGCAAGCGAGTGAAAGAAGTAGGCGTCGAGAAGCTTCTCGCTGATCTCCGGTGGAGGTAGATCAAAAGCTCCCTCTTCCTGAAGTCTCTCGGTAGTAGATGATTGAACTCTTCTAATCTCTTGTTCTGTCGGCTTTCCCAACCGGGCCAGCATTGCCCCTTGCAAGCTGTCCTCAAGTGGCCGAATATCTGTCGTACCGCGGAAGGGATTCCCAAATTGTTGGACCAGGTAGTTCAAGTTAGAGCTATCTCCAATATATGGCGTTTTTCCATTGGGGCCCAGAGCTGGGAAACACGGTTCCTGCTGTTGTTCTCGGAGCGGGTTGCTGTTAGGTGGGCCCGAGGCATAATTTCCGGGGGGGGAGGTTCATTTCGGGCATTATCCTGGTTCCAGCGGCCGGTTACACTCTTAGTATGTATCAAAGGTAGTTTGCGTGGTCTCAATTCATATTAGTATTTTGTATAATTCTCAAGGGTAAGGTATATGCATACCGTCCACGTCGTGAGATGATCGGCTCACAATGACGTCCGGCAATTCGACACTTGGTGCACGGGATGCCATCACTTCGATCACATTTAACACGCTTATCATGGCAGTATATACATGCCACTTTGATATATGACCGAACTTCGGGCATTTTATCATCTGGCATGGCGATCCCTAGTGTTGTCAAAGGGTAAATTCGGTGTTCATTAAATTCGGGAATATCGGCCATTTTCGGACCCACCAATCCGCCGAATTTTTATTCTTTTGATTGGTCATTCCATGGGTTTACTAACCTTGATTGGCTATTGTTAGTAGTAGGCAGAGCAGGAATGACTGACTATACTTTCTCCAAGAACTTCATCACTCCTACTCCTTCACTGTCTCCATCGCACTCTCCTTTCCTGTCTTTATCTTTCATTTTCACACCCAACTTTCGATTTCATTCATTAAAAAATGGCACTCTTTGCCCCTCTTCAAAGCGTCTTGCGTCGTTCGATCATCACCAAGCCGTTCTCGCCATGCCTACTCTTCCCTAGAGCGTTACCAGTGAGGTTTCACAGCAAGTTGTCCAACCCGAAGTCCCCTTCAAACTATCCTCTGCCATCGAACGATACAATGGACGGTTCTTCTGGTTATGTCCTGTGAGTTTTATATCTAAGTCCTCTCGAATGAGCATCCCATTTCCCATTTCCCATTTCCCAATTCCCTCATTTCTAACTTTCTTTCCAACGATAGTACAAAGGCGGATGATTTGATCGGCTGGATCAGAAGTGGCTCCCTTTGGCCCCTGTCCTTTGGCCTCGCCTGCTGCGGTATCGAGATGATGGGCGCGTCGATGCCACGATACGACCAAGACCGACTGGGCATCATTTTCCGCGCCTCACCCCGACAGGCCGACTGCATGATCATTGCAGGAACCGTAACTAACAAGATGGCCGCACCCTTACGACTTCTCTATGACCAGATGCCGGATCCCAAATGGGTCATTAGCATGGGCAGTTGCGCGAATGGAGGAGGATACTACCACTACAGTTACAACGTCGTGCGTGGAGTGGATCGACTCGTCCCTGTCGATATCTATGTCCCTGGCTGTCCCCCGACCCCGGAAGCGCTTTTGTATGGCATCAATCTTCTCCAAAAGAAGATCAGAAACCAAAAGGTGACGCGGACGTGGTATCGCCGGTGATCGAATCTCTCCTGCTTGTTTCTGCCTCTCCCTTTGCCTTTGCCTCTGTCCTCTTACAGCCTTTCTTTATGGAAGGTGCAATATGCATCATAATTCCAAGTTCGTTGTCCTGTTTGCTTCAGAGAAAATATTCATGGCTATGTCGCTGCAGTAGCTAGGTCAAATACAGCCAAAGCTGTACATTCATGACGGAATTCACAGTTACACTGTTAGAACCAAGTACTAAACAATGAAATACACCTCCACTCCATCTCTCATTGATCTCTTTGATTACATTTGCTTTCATTTCTCTTTTCATAGTTCATGGCAATCAGTCTCAGGGGGTGCATGTAGATACTGATATGCAATAGAGAAGGAGAAAAGGATCTAACAACCCATAGCGGGAAATGGTTCACGCAAATAGACGAGGTACAATAGATGCCGAATATTTCTATTGAGATAGAATTACAGCCCATGAGTATATTAATTTTTGCTTACTGTATTGGAAAAGAAAAATTAGATTGACTTAACTATGCTTGACTGTTTATTTGAGATTCCGAATTTAATACCAATGCAATTATACATATTTATTATGTATGGCGTTAATACCTCTATGCGAAGTGGGCAATATGGAGAAAGGGCGCTGCTTGTGAAGCGATCTATGGGCCCGGTAAAAGGATTCGCCCATCGTTTCTTATACTCTTTCAACCGGACTATGCGCCGGTTGTTCCTGCATGGGAATATGCTCGGCCTCACGCTCCACGTAGCTATTATCGCGAACGTTTGATTCCGCGTATATGCCGTTGTGACCAGCCTGCTCAGCTTTAGGGGCATAAGACCAACTATCCGTGCCCAAAGAGCTAGGGAATCCTATGCCTCGGATGAAAGCTCGACGGCGTGCCCGCGGCCCCCAAGCCCAGCCAGCTCCACGCTGGATAGGGAGGTGGTACATGCGGAACCCAATGTAGGCAAAGAAAATTCCCAGCGCAGAGCCAAATAGCACATCGAAGCCGTGGTGTCGGCAATTAGCCCAGCGCGATGCTGCGATGAATGTAGCGGTTGCGGTGGGTACAAGTGCGAATATCATCATCAGAACTGGCGGTGCGGCACCGCGAGTTCGTACAGATGTGCGGTCATCGGAATGGGTTTCGCCTTCGGTAGGGAAGTATGACAAGTATGGGAAGCCGACGGAGAATTTGGCGCAGAACCATAGCGTTAGGTAGGCCAGTCCAGAGAACGCAACTAAATAATGACCCGTTAGCACGTAACTCTCCGGTGATGGTTCAGTTTGCTCGTTGGGTTATTTTAAGACTCACAGGAGGCATGACCAGACGGGAAAGAGGAAAATCCATCTACCTTGAGGAAATCGGATTGATCTTGACAGATCTTCCAGGAGACGATGATGGGAGCTCCGGCAACACCAAGTCCACCAACAAGATTCTCCTCAATGGCGTTGAGATCCGGGTTGCAGCGTGCAAGCATATCCGGGCGTGGTTTTCCAAGTAGACTCTTCAATCCTTGTGTAGCCATGAATGCGCCTGCCAGCGACACGGCCAAGCCCATCCATCCTGCGTTCCATTCCCAGACCTTGCGCCGTAGGATCTGCGACTTGGAAGGCCGCGCACCACCTTCGGCTGCTGTTCCGGGGACAATGAATAGTGCACCGGCAAATACTATCACAGCGGGGGCCAACAGTCCAGCAAGGATCAGAGCGGCAGTCGATACGGTCTCTTTTTCTTTGTAGGGGAAGGCGATGGTCGGGTCGGTTAGGGAGAAGGGGTGTTGGCTAGGGTCGACTTTGGAGAATCCATATCCAATTAGAGCAATTCCACTGCAGTCGTTTGTCAGGTCATGCTCTTCAGCACCGGGTGGGCGTGTGATTGTAGTGAGCTTACATGATGAAGACCCAGTCAATCACGTAGGATAGCACGACAAGCTTAGAGATGCGCGCCAGCACATCTTTTAGAGGCATTTCGACGTCTCCGGGGTATATAACTCCCAGTCACCCAATTAAGCGCGCTACAGCGAGGACCAAAGGTCGAATCTCGTGTTGATGAAGGGGGAGGACGTTCCAGCGTGTTGGCGCGTGCGTAATGGTGATCGGGCGCTAAACAATGATCCCTTGATGCAGTGGGTCGTGCACAGTGTCCGACTTCAGCACCCAAAGGAAGGGACAGCAGGTGCAGCCACGAAGTTATTGGAGAGCAATCGTTGAAGGATAGAACAAAAATTGAAAGAAATCATTAAGAGAGGGGTGATTTCACCCATGTTCCTAATATTGAAGAATGTATGATTACGGAGAACGAAAGCCGGAGATCGGCGGGGGCAAAGCGCTAAAATCAGTGGCTGAGCATGTTCCTGATGGAGTCTAGACTCCTAATGCAGTAAGAGGACAATATAGTCGCTCTTTTTTAGGGTTTTTGTACCGCTGTTATCTTGGCTGCCTAAAATTATCTTACTGTAAAGATTTTCAATTAGATATCCTCTTCCACGTGCGCAGTTACAGCATGGTGCTCTATCTTATGTGGTAGGGACTGGCTTAAGGCCGTCAGAAAAGGGGACCCCCAAAAGTATGAGTTTTGAGGATATCTGCGGAGTAGTACGGAGTAGATATGGCTGGTATTAGTATGAAGAGCACTGAGTCCCTATGCTGTACTCTGCTGGCCCATTTTCCTCTTTGTTCGTGGACCCCTGTTTTGAATGCTTATCCTCTCCCCCGTCTCATTACTACTGCTTCTACCGCCCAAAGTCCCAAATCCACGAACAGCAATAATAACGTCTTACATAAACTACCGGCAGCTTTCGATTGATGGGTTGGAAAACCTGGGGAAACTCTCTGCAGATTTACTGACAGCTTCGCGTAGGGTCATGGAGATCAGGTATGTAAGGGCAGATCCAAAGGTAATACAAAGGTCTCCAACCAGATAAGATCGACATAATAATCAATCATCTCATTATTTTTTTCTTCGCTCTATTGGTATCCTGCATTTCCACAGCTTACTCCGTACATAGCTTGACTTCTGTACTCCGTAAATGGAAATGCAGGTGGATTCGGGTCCTATATGCATGCATAATTTCAGCTTAGAGTAGCGGTGAATGTAGAAAAAAGAGATTGTGCGTACCGAGAACGAGTACAGAGTATCACAGTGATCTACGTGCATCACGACCTGCTTGCTGCATTTTTTACGCCCCTTACTAGCTCCTGGGCTATATATAACAATAAATCCTTCCTCTGAGTACTGATCTGTCTTCGTACTCATTTCCCAAATTCAATATGAAATTCACGCTCCCTTTCTGTCTTGCTCTGGTTACGTACATCACGCCTGCCTTTGCTGGTGGTGTGGAAGCAAAGGTACATGAATAGATAGTACCATATTGCCGTGCATCATCAGCGCTGATAAAATTTTATAGGTGAATATCGAATATGCGGATGGAAAGAGTGATTCAATTACTACACATCCCCACACTGGCTGTCATGACACTGGAGAACCGTATGCCTTATAGTCCTGGTACATGTAGCTGTTGCTAATAAACACAATAGCAAGACAAAGGTGAATAAGATCGATGTCATCCAATCAGGCGATGCGCGCCCGAAGTGCATCTTTTACAAGTATGTTACTACTTACCAACTAATATAGGGAAAATTGTGGCTAATAGGCTTAGGGATCCGGGCTGCAAAGGAGACAAGTGGACTATCGAAGTCCCCAAGTCCGCCGAGGACGGGAAGAAGACGCAGAAGTTCAGCAGGCCATTCTATGTAGCTAGTTTGGAGTGTGTTAAAGCCGAATAGAGGGGTTCAAGTTACTAGTAATAACATGAGTCTATAGACGATGGAGGATGTTATTTGGTACTAGTAATATACATGCTTATCAATACTTCTCTCTTTGCCCGCTTCCTGCGAGACTTCCACCTCGGTATTTTTCTCAACCTTGAAATGCACGCCGCATCTCTTTGCCTGCAGTTCCGGAGTATTTCCTCAATCATAGGGTTCATGTTCCAAACTTACTGCCAGAATCGAGCAATTTTGACAGTATACTACAGGTAATCTTTCTCACTCCAACCAAGCAGAAAATTCAGGGTTATACTCTCTCATAAAGAGGGGCTGATACACCTGGGCCTTGCGTGTTATTAGCAATATAAAGCAAAGATTGTCGTATAAATATACAGTATTAAAGCTTCTATGTGCAAGAGTTCCAAGGCTGTTGAGGCTTGTATGCCTCAGGCCATTCATGATGTCTTTGCTTTTCCTTTCAAATGGCGTCTTCTTTGTCTTATCCCGCAGACGAATTTCCTCATCTTCTCATCCATCATCTCCTCCTCTATCCTAATGAAAAGTATCAATACCTCATGCTAGGCCCTGATTAAATATTTTCAGTTGCCGCATTATCTTCCATCATGTCCAGCCCCCAGCTCACTCTCATTGAGGCATCAGAGGATGACGCACTCGGATTGCAGATGCCCACATGGCAGCGTTCAGAACGAAACTGATGCTTCTCGACCAGTTTCCGATGCCTGCCATCCGTAAACAGCTAAGAGCTACTCTACGGGAGAAGGCAATTGGCGATGTTCGAGACCCACATTGGGCTGTCCTCGTGGTTTGTGATAATACCGGAGAGATCATCAGCCTTGCCAAATGGAGACGTCCTATTCCTGATTCCGAATGGGATAGATATGTCGAGGTGCCATGGAAGTGGCCAGATTCGATGTTTTGGAGGCATGGACGTTGAAGGTGGAAGAAGCGCGGGAGAGATTGCTAGGAAAGACACCATGTCATTGTAAGCTATTCATCGATATCGACGGGAGAGCGCGTTAACTAATAGTGATCAAGCATTGAGCTATATCGGGACTGATCCAAATTACGAACGGCTTGGAGCAGCTTCTATTCTAGTAAATTGGGGTCTAGAGCATGCCAAACGTGAAAATATACCAGTCCTATAGAGCACCAACAATGAATGGCCATTTTATGAGAAACTAGGCTTGAGGGGTGAGCAATTGATCCCAATGACTATGAAGGGGGTTGGGGATAGCTATGCATCAATTCTATACGAAAGGATGTGCTTTCTGTTCATGCCGCACAGTTAGCTCATTCGAACTAGGTAGCACGGCTCTGCAGGAAGATTCTTGTCCACCGAAATCCATTGGCTCATTCCTCCATTTCTCGCTAGTGGAACCGTCATCAGGTACGCAGCCTCTTTGACGTACGTATCCACGGAAAGGGCATCTTTCCAGGCGTCAGCGGTCATTTCCCATATTGCTATATTTTCGCGATCTGTAGGATGTGCGAGGTAGAGTGATGGGGATCGTGCGTCCGGTAGGGATGAATATTTTATAGATCTCATGTTGTTCCACGTTCAATGTTTATTCCCACCCGTCAAACGTGATGATAACAGAAGACTTGGACGAAGCTGCTAACTTGGAACGAGCATAGGTGCCCAACGACCTTTTCAGCCCCCTGTTCCGAATTGCGCAACTTTAACCTGGGGGGTTTGGCTGAGTTAAGACCAAAAAATGTGCTCCCGAGTAGTAACTAGTGATTCCCACTGATTGATTGAAATGTTCCTTCCTGGATCTAGGTACACGGACCGATGCATTGATCCTGCCCAGGTAGTGGAGCGGATCCAGCGACAGAATCAGCCTCACTACCCAGCTTCAGAGTCAATCAGGTCTCTAGGGTGTACAATTTCAAACCTGAATTGAGCGGTCGACCCGTTAGGAAATTATTACTGGGCAGAAGTTCCAGTGTGGATGGACAGCCCTGGATAGCTCTTCGTTGAGAGACTCGAAGGATTACCCCGCAGTCTATTGTGGAATCGAGGCTACGCCTCGACCGTGAGCCTCACTGTGAAAAATTAACGCCGACATTCCAGGGACTAGTAGGTAGAACTCCAAGCACGCCCAGGTGGGCAGCTATTAGTACGGAAACTCACGATTTTGGATGGGGCAGCGCGTTTTCCGTAAAAACCATGGCTTGGTATATATATTTCGCGAGAGGCTCCGGTAATGCTACCGAATCATCAACTTAAATCTTGAAACCTCCAGGGCTTCAAGCGGAACCTTGGAAGGAAATATATGGTTCCCATGGGCTAAAAGATAGACAAGTAGTAGTCTAAGTAACCAATCAGTATCATTTAGCCCTCCAGGGCTTATATACTGCCTGTCGTATTTTGTAAAATGATAAGACCCCAAATGCAATTGGGTACTAGTGGATCTTCTTTCAAAAGTTTTAATTCATGTAGCCACAAATCGCCCCTCTGTCATACAACTGGGCTTGTGGTTTAGTGGTATAATACTCCCTTAGCATGGGAGTGGTCCGGGGTTCGATTCCCCGCGAGTCCATTTTTTGCTTCATTCAGTGTTAATCATTGGTATCCGCTCTGAATTGAACACCTGGAATGGAGACGAATCTTTTTTACACAATTGGTGACCAATTTCACGCCAAAATCCCTTTGCGTCACTGAGAAATTGAAAATTGTACAACTGCCAGCGGGAAAACGATACAGGCATATCAACTATCAAATTATTCCTCCCAATCAAAATTCACCACAATGCGCCCAGCAACTTGTCCCTTGCGCAGCTTCTCGACACCTTCTGGCAAGCGATTGATAGGATAAACCTCACAAATCTGATGCAACATACCCCGTTTCGCATAGTCCAACGCCGCAGCCGTATCACTCCGGCTACCCACCAAGGTCCCCTTGATACTAAGATTCTTAAAAATAAATTCACAAGGATCCGTACCTAAAATCATCGTTCCCGCCGGCGGCAGCCCGATACACATTATCATGGAACCAACCCGATTCCCAATGAAGGAAACGGCAGTTTTATACGCTGCAGGTGCAGTGACGAAGACACCGTGAGCTCCAACCCCATCAGCAATCTCAATGACTGCTTTTGCAGAGTCGCTAGTCTCAATAAAGTCCACGAAAGCCTCGGCCCCCATTTTAAGTGATAGTTCGCGCTTCGAGGCTCCGGTATCTACAACGATAGGTCGCATTCCCATTGCCTTGGCGAGTTGTACACCCTGGATTCCCACGCCACCACCACCTCCTGGAAACACCACCCAGGATCCGGCGCGAAGGTTGGATTCAACGAGCGAACGATAGATTGTACTTGCGCTACACATGATCGGTGCGGCAATTTCGTCCGGAATCCCATCTGGGATGGGCGATGCATATCGGGCAGGTGAAACTAGGTATTGCTGGTATGTGCCTAGATGAGTGAGTACAAGAATTTATCACTATGAGTGCCTTCGCTAGCCACTGACCAGCTGTCATAAGGCCACTGTGAATGGCGGCCTTGCAATATGTCTCCTTGTCGACCAAGCACATAGAACATGTTCCGCAAGTATCAACGATCGGTTTGACTCCAGCCCGATCACCCAGCTTGAAGTTCTTGACATTCGCGCCAATCTTTACTACGATTCCGGCACCTTCGTGGCCCGGAGATCGCACTCCAAATGTTGACATGGGCGGCATACCAAGATCGCCCTGCATGAGATGGATATCCGATGAACAAAGACCGGTGAAGTTGAGTCGGATAAGTATATCATCGGGCCCTGAATGATTATTTCTCAGCATACATTTCCCCCTCTATAACTGAGAGATAATATTCCCGCTAACACATACCAGGCTCAGGCACCGGCACCATTTGCACCTCGACCCGAAAGTCAGGCCCCTCATTAACTACAACCCCGGCTTTGCAAAGCTCGGGGATTTGGAATGTCGGAATTTCGGTTAGAGAGCCCATGGTGGATGATCGGTGCAAGTGCAAGTAAGGTAGAAGTTGAGTTGACAACTTCAGCTTCAACTGTCTTTTGCAACGTTATAAGCACCAAAATGTATAGCTTTTCCAGTACCGAGGCAACTAACGGTGAATGTTACCGAGACGATGTGACCCCTCTTTTGAAATGTATGGTTCTATGTTGCTGCATTGCTGGCGGTCGGCATTCCCCTCTTCTTGGAGATGTGGGGAAGCACGTACTTCCATATCTATGTCCGATCGAGGCCGATCTAACTATCACCATCGGATCCGCATTGGATATTCACTTTACCCATAGAAAGTATTCGACATGTCGAATGCACCTATACCCTCTAACAAGAAGTGATTATCAGATGGTGCTTACCGGAGATGTATTTGTATGCATCGGTGTAGTTTGTCTAAATCCTGTAAGGACATTGGCATTGAGGCGTGTTACATTTTAATCAAGATATACACTCTTGTATAAGATGAATCAGATCCAAGAGATACTAAAAATGAGTTGCATTACATTTCCATGAGGGCGGAAGTCATCGGATTCAGTGCGTTGCCAAGTTTCACATACGAAAAGTGAGTAGCTTCTTTGAATCGAATGTATGCAAGAGAGCCCGATCTCTTCCAAAATTTTGCATCGTCTCAAACTATTTCAAGCAAGATAGGCCCAAAATGCACAGAAGTATATAGACACGCTTGCTGTATCGAATGATGCTCGCTCTTCTCTCCACTTATCACACGTCAACCATAAAAAAATGCCAAGACTAGTCATCTTAGATGAACGCCAAAAATCAATATAGAATGAGCTTATATTAAACACCCAGCAAGCCTCTAGAAATACAAAGCCTTGAATAAATTTATCTTTGGCAGTGCTAAAATACAAATTATGCAGGGATGTATGTATAACAAGACAGGGGCAACGATGTGGGGCACCAAGCCCACTAAAAAGCGGAGAAATGCCGTTTCAACATGAAGCAGCGACAGGTTTCAAGACGCAATAGCCAATTAAGTCAGAGCAAAAGATCACCTGAACCAGAATGAAACAGATTCATTCTGCAACACGGAGAAGGGATTGAATCAATTCTCCGCTTAAAACTCGGCAGAGTGGATGAAATCAATGTACACCATTACTCTTTTGTCCATCTCCGTCTCGCGGCTCTATCCCCATCCGGACAAAGATTCAGGGACCCGGGCACAGAACTTAGAAATCGGATGAATTGAAGACTGCGAATCCTTGAATCTAGCCTATTCAGCGGACTATAGCCACAAAATGTGCATAGCGTAAACCGTGGTGAATGCAGATCTCCTGCGCCGCCAATAGGAGTCATTTATCCGCCGGTAAAACATCGCTGTTTTGGCTGAAGAGGTGGCGCTTTACTCAGTGGGCTAGTCTGTCAAAATGGCGCTATCCCTAAAGACCCGGCCCCAGATGTGGATCTGGGATATAAAGGTGATACTGTCTCGATTCTGACAGCTAGAACAGCACAATATTTTCAACCAACTTCATACCAAAATGCCGTCTTTGACTTCCCTGCTCTCGTTCTTTACTCTAGCTGCTGGAGCCTTCAGCGCTAGTTCCGAGCTTTCCAAGAGAGAGACCTACACAGCCAGCTCGACTGGAACCAGCAATGGCTACTACTACTCGTTCTGGACGGACGGCTCAGGCGATGTCACCTATTCCAACGGCGCCGCTGGTGAATACAGCGTGACCTGGACTGGAAACAACGGAAACTTCGTCGGTGGAAAGGGATGGAACCCTGGTGGCAGCCGGTAGGATTGATTACCGTACGGTATATTCTTGAATTTAACCAGAGGCTAACCTACCACTTTAGTTCCGTGAGCTTCTCCGGCTCCTACAACCCCAGCGGTACGTCTTTTTCTAGCCAGGAGTCTTGAATCCTGTCCATTAAGCTAACAATTCCAACAGGAAACAGCTACCTTTCGGTCTACGGCTGGACCACAGACCCCCTGATCGAATTCTACATTGTCGAAGACTTTGGAACCTACAATCCATCTTCTGGCGCAACAAAGAAGGGCACGGTTACTAGCGACGGCAGCACTTACGATATCTACACCAGCGAGCGAGTCAACCAGCCTTCCATTGAAGGTACTGCTACGTTCACCCAGTACTGGTCTGTTCGCCAGAGCAAGCGCTCCCAGGGAACCGTCACTACTGGAAACCACTTCACTGCTTGGGAGAACCTGGGTATGGACCTGGGGTCGTTCAACTACATGATTGTTGCTACTGAGGGATACTACAGCAGTGGTTCTTCTGATATTACCGTTAGCTAAATGGTATAAACCAAACTGAGTTCAGGCAATTTGATTGAAACTTTGGGAGCAGGGATTTGAAATTTGGAATCTTGAGAGAAGAGTCTTTCGGATGAGGTGCTTCAGAAGATAACATAGTTCGGAATATGCAAACCAGGGTGGTTGACCTTTTTGCGTTTCCATCTTCCCTCCCTAATAGAGTAATTTCGAGGATTCTCGGTCAATCGATTTGCATTTCATGGAAAAATGAAGCAAAAAACCATAACCCAAAGCGATCAAGGCGAACAATAGTTAGCGTCCAACCGGTCACATCAACATTTTGCTTTAAGTCTATGGCACTCTATGTTCGCAATCTAGCCAGTGTTTCAGCGCTTCAAAATTAGTGATGTTCTAGATGCAATTGGGAGATAGGCCATTGTATGTTGTATATACCTTGAGAATTTCTATGGTTAGTACTAGAAAGAACATAGTTGGCGTTACTAGTACTAATATGCCAGTGTCAGTGTTATAGATAGCAGCGCGAAGACGTAAACATTATACTACTGGTATTGTACCTAGTATGCTAAACCAGTTATACACTCCGTACCAGGATCTTTTCGAATCAGGTTGAACCCAGATTGAATACACTGACGCGGTTGTGAGAAGCAAAAATTGATATGGCTGATTGGACGTTATCGTCACGATGACAGCACTAGCCAAAGAATTTCGGATTTAAATAAACGGTCTACGAAGATCCACGAAGATAAATCCGCGATCGACTAGGAGAGGCCAAATATGAGCCATGGATCTAAATTGTTTCTCTTAAAGCCGAGCTGAACTCTATGACGCCAGCGATTGACGGGGCGACTGCTGCATTCTCCACGGCGCAGCTCAAAAACACCACAAGGAGCAAACCCATTGGTCGCCGTGAGAATCACCCCGCAATTCAGCACCACATTCTGAGATCCAGTCCGAAGATCCGAGATGCAGCTTGACCTACTTTTTCCGGTAGATATCTGATTTTTGGGATATTGTTTTTACAAAGTGTCAAATGAAGCTTTTCGTAGGAACCGGATGATGTAACTGTACTTATACATAGAGGAGGGGGGTTTTCAGCTATTACTTACGCAGGAACCTTAAGTCGCAGGGCAGGGTATAAAGAGCTGAAATCACTTCGTAATGAATGATTCTTTCGATTTGCAGAAATCTCAATTCTCGGACCCCTACTTGTCTTCTCCCCGGAATCATTTTATTTCATATCCCCTCACCATGGCATTGGACGGGAAAGTCGCACTGATCACTGGAGGTGTCAAGAACCTCGGAGCCGAGTCAGCGAGAGAACTAGCTGGTATCGGAGCAAGGCTGGCTCTACACTATAACTCTGAAAGTAGCAAAGCCAGCGCCACATCGCTGGAAGCTGAGTTGCGAGAGAAGTACCCCGACCGCAAGGTCGCTTTTTACCAGGGCGACTTGACTAGCGCGAAAACGTTGACAAGTTATTCCAGTCGGTACTCAACGACTTTGGCAAGATTGATATCGTTGTCAATACGGTGGGCAAAGTGCTAAAGAAGCCGATCACCGACATTTCTGAAGAGGATTATGACTCGATGTTTGCGTGAGTTTCTCTACCTTGAATATCTGATGAGTAGAATAACTGACAAGAATCATCTGACAGAATTAACTCCAAGGCCGCTTTCTTCATCCTGAAGGCTGCGGCTACCCACGTCTCTGACGACGGCAAAATCATCACCATTGTGACCGCTCTTTTAGGCGCCTTCACTGGATTCTACACCTCATATGCAGGATCCAACCTTGGAAAGCACCAGTGGAGCACTTTACGCGTGGTGTGTGCAAGGAGCTGCAGGCACGACGCGTGAGCGTGAACAATGTGGCTCCAGGCCCGAAGGACACTCGTAAGTGGTTCCGCTTCTTGATGATAACCGAGGTGATGGCTAATCATTGATATATATATAGCCTTCTTCTACCCACAAGAATCACCAGAGGCAGTGTAGTTCCACAAAGCCAACGGCATGGGGAATCGGTTGACGATGGTGCAGGACATTGCGCCAATCATTCGCTTCCTCTGCACAGCAGGGACTTGGATCGCCGGCCAGACAATCTTTGCGAACGGAGGATACACAACTCGTTAATCGAGGAGGGTGGAATGGTAGAAACTGGCTCCATACAGATAAACGGTAATGGAACCAGACGATAATGACCAGTGAACGAAGAAGAACCTAGAGAAATGACTGAAGCCCAACAGCCCTGATAAATAGCCCTACTTCCTCTTTCGGACATGGCAGCAGGCATGATGCCTACCACGTGACTTCATCGACGACCAAGTCACATGACCTTCACCTGACAAGCTCCCCGCACTAACCCGAACTGGGACCGATGATGTCAGCAGTTTTGCGACGATCGCCCAGTTTTTGGGTGGTTGCACCTCTAAACAACTTCGACTTCATTCATAACCAGACAAAGAACTGGGTTCAGCTGTTTCAAACTAGTCAATCTGGTTTAGTCTGCTTGCATTCGGTGAAAGATACCAAAAAATTCATTCAAAACACCCTCTGGAGTCCGCCTCTGATCTCATCTCGAGTCAAACGGCCGCAGTGACGCAGTGACGAAATAAACTCCCCACTTCTTATTTGTCTCACCGGAATTGGCTTCGACCCCTCCACTAAGTTCTTTGAGTCTTTGAGATTGACGAACGTTGTGCTCAAATACTCAAGTTCACCCATTTTTCTCTCCTTAATTCACCTCTCCAGTGGTTGCTACTCGACCGGTCGTGGTCGATACCAATTTATCACACCATGGAGCCCGTTAAGATCTCCGACTCGACTAAGAAGCGTCGCATCGGCGTGCTCACCTCCGGAGGTGATGCCCCCGGTATGAACGGCGCAGTGCGGGCCGTCGTCCGAATGGCCATCCACAGCGACTGCGAGGCCTATGCCGTTTTCGAAGGATACGAGGGTCTGGTCAATGGCGGCAATATGATCCGCCAGCTGCACTGGGAGGATGTTCGTGGCTGGTTGTCCCGCGGTGGTACTCTGATCGGTTCAGCCCGTTGTATGGCTTTCCGTGAGCGTGCTGGCCGTCTGCGTGCCGCGAAGAACATGGTGCTGCGCGGTATCGATGCTCTCGTCGTCTGTGGTGGTGATGGCAGTTTGACCGGTGCCGATGTCTTCCGTGCCGAGTGGCCCGGTCTGTTGGAGGAGTTGATCAAGGTCGGCGAATTGACCTCGGAACAGGTCGAGCCTTACAAACAGTTGAACATCGTTGGCCTGGTTGGATCGATCGATAACGATATGTCCGGTACTGACGCGACAATCGGTTGCTACTCCTCGCTGACCCGCATTTGTGACGCCATTGACGATGTTTTCGATACCGCCTTCTCACACCAGCGTGGATTCGTTGTCGAGGTCATGGGTCGTCACTGTGGATGGCTCGCCCTGATGTCCGCCATTAGTACCGGCGCTGACTGGCTTTTCATCCCCGAGATGCCCCCCAAGGACGGATGGGAGGATGAGATGTGCAACGTCATTACCAAGGTGAGTAGAGTCCAATCGGATTTGAAGGGAGGGAGGTTATCTAGTATCTAATTCTTTATTTTTTGAACAATAGAACCGCAAGGAGCGAGGCAAGCGCCGTACGATCGTCATTGTCGCCGAGGGAGCGCAGGACCGCCAACTCAACAAGATCTCGAGCTCGACCATTAAGGACATCCTTACCCAGCGTCTGGGCTTGGATACCCGAACCACCGTTCTGGGTCACACCCAGCGTGGTGGTGCAGCCTGCGCCTATGACCGCTGGCTTTCCACCCTGCAGGGTGTTGAGGCCGTTCGCGCCGTGCTGGAAATGACCGCCGACTCGCCCTCGCCCGTTATCACTATTCGTGAGAACAAGATCATGCGCACTCCCCTCATGGATGCTGTGAAGGAAACTCAAGAGGTCACCCAGAAGATTCATGACAGGGACTTCGCCGGCGCCATGATTCGCCGTGACGCTGAATTCAAGGAGTACTACCACGCATACCTGAACACATCTACCCCAGACCACCCGAAGTTGCATCTTCCTGAGGGCAAGGTAAAAAAGCTCCGGATATCCTTGATGGAGTGACAATTTTGCTAACAAATCACAGAGACTGCGAATTGCCATTATTCACGTCGGTGCCCCCGCTGGTGGTATGAACCCGGCCACTCGAGCCGCTGTGGCATACTGTCTGACCCGTGGACACACCCCAATTGCGATTCACAACGGTTTCCCCGGTCTCTGCCGCCACCACGCCGACAAGCCAGTCAGCTCCGTTCGTGAGGTTAAGTGGCTGGAGTCCGATGCCTGGGTCAACGAAGGTGGTTCGGACATCGGTACTAACCGTAGTCTCCCCTCCGAAGATATGGAAGGCACCGCCAAGTGCTTCGAGATGTACAAGTTCGACGCTCTTTTCGTGGTTGGTGGCTTCGAGGCTTTCACTGCCGTCAGTGAGCTGCGCCAGGCCCGCGAGAAGTACGACGCCTTCAAGATCCCTATGGTCGTTCTCCCAGCCACCATCTCGAACAATGTTCCCGGTACCGAGTACTCCCTCGGAAGCGACACTTGCCTGAACACCTTGATCGACTTCTGTGATGCCATCCGCCAATCCGCCTCTTCCTCCCGTCGTCGTGTCTTCGTCATTGAGACCCAGGGTGGTAAGTCCGGCTACATCGCGACTACTGCTGGTCTGGCCGTTGGAGCTGTGGCTGTGTACATCCCCGAAGAGGGCATTGACATCAAGATGCTGTCGCGCGATATCGACTTCCTGCGCGACAACTTCATTCGCGACAAGGGTGCCAACCGCGCTGGAAAGATCATTCTCCGCAACGAATGCGCCTCTAGCACCTACACCACTCAATTTGTCGCAGATATGATTAAGGAGGAAGCCAAGGGCAAGTTCGAGTCCCGCGCTGCTGTCCCCGGTCACTTCCAACAGGGTGGTAAGCCCTCGCCAATGGACCGTGTGCGCGCACTGCGCATGGCCATCAGGTGCGTGCAGCACATTGAGTCATTCACTGGAAAGGACCGCGATACGATCGCTGCCGACCATCTCTCCACCTCCGTCATCGGTGTCAAGGGATCTCAGGTCCTGTTCTCACCAATGGGTGGAGAAGATGGCCTTGAAGCGACCGAGACTGACTGGAAGCGCCGTCGCCCTAAGTCCGAGTTCTGGCTCGAACTGCAGGACGTCGTGAACGTTCTGTCCGGCCGTTCCGCGTCGCGTACCCAAGAAGGCTGGTTCTGCTACGAGAGTACGTAATTCGTCGAGACAACACGATTCATACCCCCCCCTGGATTTTCCGTTTCCGTTTCTTCCATTCTGTGTCACTGCCGCTGGCTGGCTGGCTACACGACTGCCCGCCATCCACACCCTTTCGACCCCCATTCTTCCGTGGTTTTTTGCTCTTCTATTTCCTAGGTTCCGGATGTTAACATTTCGCTTCTTCTCGCTCTCCAGGACCCTCCACCGTCCAATCTATCCCGTCTATCCCTTCGTCTCCGTGAAGGAATTACTCGGCACCCCATTCCATTCCACCTCACCCCAACATCCAGAACATCCCCCCGTTCTCCAATGGCTTCCAATGAATGATCAGAAGAGATGGCCCATATCATCAAGACGAGGCTGTTATTCTACTCCTGTTGATCTGATCTGATCTGTCCTACACCGCTGAGTTCGAGTTCGAGTGACAGCCGACACCCCTCATGTTTGTATGATGCTACGCAACGCAACGCAGGCCCGACATGCCATAAGGGCAAAACATCAACTTGCGAGTCGGGAAGCTTTCTTATTCCCCTTTTCTTTTTCCTTCAGTTACCTATGATACAATGCTATGTGCTAGATAGTAGATAGATCTGTTAATCGAACTTTAGCCGCCCAATGTTTCTTAAATTGAACGTAGATGCACTATTAACTTAAGTAAAAACGCGAGAATGATAATGCTAACATGTTACCGAGATGTGTAATCACCAGAAACGAGATGAGCTCCTTTCGATGTAATGGGCGATACTGTCCAGCTGTGTTTTCCAACAGGCAATCCCCATGAGCATATCCAATAAATTCCTAAGTGACTGAATTTATCATAAAGAGCGAGAAGCACTTCTAGTTGACCGCAACAGCAGCCTCCAGCTCATCAAGTAGATCGACAGTTTCTGCGGGACTGGCGATCCACGCCGTGGTTGAAGCAAGACGAGCCTAGAAAAGCGAAAAATACGTTAGAATCAACCTTGGAAGTTGGGGGTAAATTTCTCTTTTCCGTGGGGAACGTTGGAATCTGACCTTGAAATCATTTGCACCAGCAGACAAGAATTGATCACCGATATGCAGTGTCTTGCCCGGATCAATGCCGTTAAAGTATTGTTGACAAGCACGCACACCCCAAGATTTATCACCAATGTCCACGAATACATCGTTTCCGCCTATAGAAAGGACACTTAGAGTCGATCGACATGGAACGAGATATTCCTAGAACAAAGAAAGAGAGAGAAAGGGGAAATAACACACCGTTAAAAGCACAGAAAGGCAACCTAGCCCCAACAGCCGACCTCTCAACAGTATTCTGCACAACAAGAACAGTCTCTTCCAAAAGCTCACGATTAATCCTCACCCCATTAACTGGATAAACACCAACAGCCCGATCCTTCCTCAGCACGGCAGCAGGTAAATTCAGCGTATCTTTACAAGTACGCAAAGCGTTCTCGGCCAGATCAAGTAATTCTTTGATATCATCCTCTTTCCACGCATTCATTTCATCCAGTAGCCACTCTTCACGAGGGACGTAGGATAGCTTACAATCCTGAGTCCTATCATACCGGAAGAGGAAATTGCTCTCACCACCCATGACGATAATTCCTTCTTTCTGGGCCTCTGTGAGATCAGCGCTGCTGTGCACCGCATCGAGAAGTCCATATAAGCGTTCATAATACTTTGGTGCCTCCTCATACCCGGCAGCCGTGACGATGCCGACTTTCCGGTCTTGAGCGAGGAGGCGTAGAATGCGTGAGATGACTGGGTTGGACGGTGTTAGATTTTTCCCGTCGTCGTAGAGAGTGACGTCTCCATCGAAGGTGACGAGTTCGACGGTGCTGGATCGGACTAGACCCAGCAATTGGGCTGAATTGAGGGTCAAACGGATGTCGTTGAAGGAGGGGGCGACGAAGCGTCTACGACTTATGAAGCGCCGCTCGTCTTGGTAGTTGAAGGCTTCTTGGAGATGTAGTGCCGTGAAGAATGTTCCTACGGTTGGCACGAGGAGTTTCAATTTCGACTTTCCGGGGAGTGCGGCCGCTTCGTGTTGGACTTGTTTTATTTGCGTTAGTATTGCGGTATTTCATGTCTCTTGAGATTGTATTCGTTGGACGTGGATCCTACTGTGGTCGGAGATCAAATTCTCCACATCCAGCATGATCTCTGCATAGCGCTGGTGTGTGTCGGCTGCGACGGTCTTGAGAATCTCGCTATGATTCTGGTAAATGACGGTGGGCTGGGAGTGCAGGACAAAAGGCACAGCCAGGAGACCCTATTACGGTACGACTCTTAGCATTGCGGAATGGAATTTGTTCGGAGTTTCCCCCAGGCAGGAATATAGAAGCCTACTTTGATCCATTCGATCTATGGCGTGTTAGTGTTGCATTGGACATGGGTTGAGTTCTGGGAACCTGCTTACCAGTTGATCACGGCGATGCGTCTACGTGCGGAGTCAATGTTAATGAGGGGCAAACAAGGGCATCGTATCACATCTACAGATAGGGGGTAAGGTTGGGTACCTTAAGCGCATCTGGATACGATCAGCAAGGCTCTAGGAATCAAGGCAGAAGGATTTCGTTGGCTTGCTTACACTCGACGCGATATCGGGTAGTCATGTTGATGGAGGGCTATAATACGTATGAATTTCCAGGTCGATGAGTGGTGAAGATGACAGCAACTCCGAACTCCGCGTGCACGTCCCTCGTAGTCTTTGTGTTATTTCTTGTGACTCATGCTGTGCAATCAAGGGAGGGGTTACCGATTCGGATTGGAAATCCATCCTGATTGGTCCGGCCCTCGGACTAAATCGTGAAGCATGACTTACTTTCTTTCGTTTATTCATTTGCTTTCTCCTCAATCTGCCTAAGGCTGCACTCCGCCGACCGCCCAGATTTCCTAGTGCTAAGTGCTTATTGGCTATCGTTGATGTTCGGCGTGGCTATGGGCGGTGACGTGGAAATTGGGGCTTGAGGCTTATCCTTAAGAAGTAATTGATTTGTTCGTATTATGGAACCCTTGGGGTCTAGATCGACTGTAAACCAGGCTTGATTGAGCTTAGATGAACGTTTAAGAAGATTCGGTCGCATTTTTACCCTTGTGAGACAGGATGACTCTAAGGCAGCACTGCCACTCGGACCCAACTCGTAAACGCCGTATGATAAGATGAAATTATTGGTAGAGAGATGTGACGTGATGACAGGAGCAGGTGATGCTCAACTCTCAAGTACTTCTGCGGCTCTTCATGCCGGAGTTTATATTCGGGCAAAATCCCATTGAAACTTGGGTATCTGCATCAACAAAGACTTCAAATTTTCTCTCTTTAAAACAGAAAGGACAAAGATTTCATTGCTTAACCCTTTACTATATGATCGCTCAACTACCGACGATTTTCGAAACATCAAAAATGGAACATAGTCGCTGGCCAGAGGCCTTACCGCCATATGAACCCTCTCCGGACTATAGCCCAACAGACGAAAAGAAAGACCAGTTCCTTGTCGAACCCGAGTCTTCCGAGCCCGGCTTCGCCAATTCATCAACTCTCAGTCGTGGCCTACAAGTACCTTCCCGTACCACAGCCACAAGTTCCGGCTTCGCCTACCCAGAAGAGTTATCCAGACACGAGATCTCCCAAGAAAAATGGATAGAATTCACATCAGCGATCTCTGAAGAAGCCAAGCTTTCCCGCCAACAATGGACCACGGTCGTTGGCAAAGGTCTAGGCACACTCGCACTAGGAGGCGTGATGATCGGGATTCTGGGTGCTATACCCGCAGTCCTGGTCGCGAAGAACGCCAGAAGACGACAAGAACAGAGGAATTTAATCGCTTCGATGGCCGGTGCTCGTGGAGAAAAATTGTCAAGGCATCTGGCACATTGGAATGAGACATTTTTCCGACCTAGAGGCGTGATCATTCGCGTGGATCTACCGGATGAGTACCTGGATGATATGGATATCATGGATCTTCACCGCGGTGGATCGAAAAAGAGTGACAATCGTGCCCGGGAGGATGCAGCCCTTAAAGCGCGAGTTGTTATCATTCCCTTGGACAGATCGTCTTCTGGGAGATCAAGTAGTGACGAGTCGCGATGAGCTTCAAATCATGGGAAAAGAGCCAATAACTCATGGTGCGATCTTTTCATGGGCTGATTTGAACAAAAATTGTTGGCAAGGCGTTGAATACTGGTTCATCAAAGGGTAGAATCAATTCAGGATTTTGGAAATTTTTGAAATTTGGCAAATATCTAATATATCTCATATTCATAATTCAAATTGGTTTTTAGTCGTTGATTAAGCTCGTTTTGCGAAGTGGCATGGAGATGTTGACTTTAGTTGGTTTGCCTTAGTTTTGAGAAATTTGGAAATCTTCAAGTTGTTCATTTCGTAACTTTCACAGCCCTGGAGAATATAACTGCGAGATAAACAATTTGAACTTGAAGCAGCATAATACCTAAGCCCCCTTTGACGTTTTATTTGGCCCCAGTTACTATTCTGAAATGGCCCCAGTCACCAACCTGTAGAGGCCCCAATCAATTACCAAACTTGAAAGGGGTTGGAACGTTCTTCGAAGAGCACTTTTGGAGTTCAGTGCTTGAAAATACCTGTTTCTATTCAATATGAGCAACAGTTCTTTTCACAAAGAGAAATTGCCAAGGGGAAAAACCCTGACGATCTGGAAGTGATCGAATCCAAAAAGATGGGATCGACATAGCTGTCAGCTGTGGGGCATCTACTTTTGGCCCCTAAAATTTTCAGCCGTTCGTTAGCCCGGTAAATAGTTACGATCGATCGCACTTAAAGGGGTTGGCTAGAATCATGAATCAGTGAGAAAAAGGAATCCCCTGATCAAACTCGACAAAGGTTTCTACCCCCTGAGACAAAAATGGGGAGCATCCCGAGTTTCTTCCCACAACCCCAGCGCAGGAGGTTACTCTTCCTCCTGCTTGGGGCCGGTATTGCATTCTACCTGCTGCGATTGAGTTACTCAGCTCCCCGGCCATTTGATCGCCATCCAGGGTCTTACTTGGACACACAAACTACTGTTCCCAACATTCCTTCGACCTCTATTGCACCCGCCACTCCAGCTACAGCAATCACGGTCGCGAACGCTCCTGCATCCTCTCGTGCGAAGAGTCCATACTGCGTCGCTATATTTCTTGGTGCATATCGTGATTATCAATATGGCGACGATGATGATGACGACGACTCATATTTTGTCGGGGCACGAACATTAGTCTATCAGCTTCTCCACGCGCCCGCGACCAGATTTACGCATGCCATTGACACAGACCCAATCCCAGTGATATTCCTGGTGACAAAGGATGTCAGCGAAAGCAAGCGCAGGCGACTTGAAGCAGATGGAGCGAGTGTGATCGAGATCGAGCCAATAGAAGCATCTTGGGCAAATGGACGTTACAAACAGGTGCTCACGAAACTGCGCCTATTTGATCCCGAGATTCTGCCGTACGAAAAGGTCTTTGTAATGGACACAGATATGGTGATTACGCGGCCAATCGATGCGATCTTCCAGGATGAGGGCTCTCACTTCAGCTCTCCTGACTATAATCGCACAGGGGCCGACACGGAAATTGCCCCCCTTCCTCCGAAATACATGTTCGCTGCCTCGCCAGAATCTCACGATTTAGATCATCCATACCCGTTCTTGAACCTGGATCCCGAAAACCAAGACTTCAATGTCGGGTGCATGTTATTCTCGCCATCGAAGGAGATTTATAAATATTATCTAGAAATTCTGAAACATCCTAATCTGTTCAGGCATGAATTTCCCGAGCAAGATCTTTTGAACTATGTTCATCGACTGGATGGACCGATGCCATGGAGCAGTTTGCATTACTCGTGGCATATCAGTTGTCCGAACGAGAACGATATCAAAGGGAAGATGGCTATCATTCATGCCAAATTTTGGTTTGCCGGAGAAAAAGCCATGGCTAGACAACTGGCAATCAGCTGCATGTCCGAAATGAAGAAATATTGGATTGGAAAAGAAGGGGCTCCAAATACCCAAAGCAATCAATGAGCTTTACTGAAATTTAGACTCTTTCCAACGAGAAGTATTATACTCAAATGTGATTGAATGCGGATTATTTTCTGATATCTATGAAGCCAGTCGACGGGGAAGGAGGTTGAAATTGATTTCCAAGGGATTCTCTCGATCTTCGTCCTCCTCGATCACATCATATACTTCGACTTCAGCAATGCATGTTTTCGCCGGGATTGTAACCGCAATCGGGAATCCTCCATAGTCCGGCTTATCATTGGGCCTGATCAGGAACTTTCCAATTCTCGTCTCATCGCCATTGAGTATTCTCAAAGTTTGCAATTTCCCATTATCATCAACTTCTTTTTCCATTGCGTGAAGAATTCCACAGAAGGTAGCCTCTTTACGCGTAGGCTTGAACCTGATTTGGAAACCTCGCCCTACAGCAAGGAACTTAATGGCTCGAATATATCGAATGGAACGTGCCCACTTTTGATCACTGAAATTGCGCATCCTCGACACCGCGGCAAAGTCACCACCATATACAACACTCTTTGGTACGTGGGCAGTATTCTTGCAACATGGTTATATTTTGGAACACTATAGCATCAAGTTGGAAGTATCCAGTGGGTATTACCCACTGCTTTTCAATGCCTTATGACAGGTGTTCAGCTTCTTGCCATTTGGTTCGTCCCTGAAAGCCCAAGATGGCTTATCAGCAACGATAGGAGCGAAGAGGCTCGCAAAATTTTGATCAAATTCCACGGGAATAATAATCTGGACGATGAGTTTGTTCGAGGGGAGTTCTCTGAAATTGTAAACCCATTAAAGTTGGAAAATGAGTCTTCTGGGAGTGGTTGGCTAGACATGGTAAGGACGAAGGGAAACCGGAAACGATGTGCCTTGGTTATTGCAACCGCGATTTTTTCTCAATGCAGCGACAACGGCCTTGTATCTTACTACGTAAGACCTGCTTAGCATCATTTAAGGATAAGAGAGAGAAAATGTGAATCCTAACTTCTTCCACAGCTCGCCGCCATCCTTAAGACCGTTGGAATTACCGAGTAAGTCGTATCTCTCGATTCCCTTGAAACGTTTTTACTTGATTTAGTAGCTCAATTACACAATCTTATATTAACGGCGCTCTGACAATATGGTGCTGGGTCGTATCATTGGGAGCCTCTTTTCTCGTTGATCGAGCCGGGCGCCGAGTGCTCTTCCTCTTTGCTGGGGTTGGGATGCTGATAACCTTTACTATTCGGACGGCTTGCAGTGTGGTTTACGCTAAGACGTAGTCGACTGCTTCGGAACTGCCGTTACTGCGATGATATTCCTCTTCTATGGTGTTGTAGGAGCAGCATGGCCTGGACTTACTGTGTCATACACCATTGAGATCGTACCATATCATATTCGCGCCAAAGGCCTCACCCTATGCTTTTTCTTCACTGCTATAAATGGGGTTTTCAATCAGTGGGTAAATCCTCTTGGTCTTGAAAATCTACAGTGGAGATTTTACTCTATTTATATCGTTGTGTGAATCTCGATCCAGTCTTTGCTTTTTCTCACCTTGACACTGACAATCTCCTTCCCTAGTCTCGTCTTGGAGTGTTTAATCATATTCTTCTTCTTTCCTGAAACCAAAGGACCGACTCTAGAAGAAATTGCAGTAATATTTGATGGTGAGCAATCCGCGGCTGGCATCGCGCAGGCCAGGGCATTGGAAAAGAGTTGTCACACATCGGGATGTCAAGCAGGATGCACGATCTACTAGCATCATGATGTCTTTGTAGGCAGAAAATCTCAATCCTAGATTCCTTAAATTTGGTCGAATATTCAAAGTAGTTTCTCCCGTGATAAATTGCTAGCGAAGAGTCTATTTACAAGGGGTATTGCCGACAAGAGTGCGCTCGTCGCACGATCGGAGAAAATGAAAATAGCGGGAGTTGTCGAAATATCAACTCGGCATCACATAAAAGAATGATTGGTCGCTCTCCACCGATCAAGAAATGAAGCTCTGTAGCTTGACCTTGTCTAGGATCTGTCCCTCAATCAAGCGCCCAGTTTCGACGACCTCTCCGTTGACGCGTTGATAGCGGACGAGCGCTGGGACATTGTTGACATTCCACAGCGAACGATAAACATTCTTTGGCTCCTTCCACCTAGAAGAGAACGAACGAGTTAGTCCACGGTTTTCAGATAACCACGAAGATGGTACATTAGTTTCAAGTTTTGAATTTGACTGGGCACTTACTCAGGCTTCTGCCCCACTGAGACCATGGCTACCGTCGGGGCATCGGGCGCTGCAAACGCTGCATCGATGTGAGGGAGTGCGGCGCGTACATCAGGACACCACGGTTGCTTGGTGATAGCGTCATCGCCTGAGATAAAGGCTAGGAAGAGCTTGGAAGTGGATGCCTCGGGCACTTCGAGCAGCTTCGCGGAAGCAGGCAGGCTGAAACTCCTGACGACAGGCATGGTGGTAGTAGTGGTGATGTCGGGTAGTTCAAAGGAGTGGAATGGATGCTTCGCAGGTAATCAAGATGATCGGAACTCTTTGTCGGAGCGTAAAGAAAATCTCCGGTGGGTTTGAGGTGATATTGAGGTGTGGTGGTGGTGAATCGCCGATTGAGAGGTTTTTGCAGAAATTCTGCGTCCCCGCGTTTGCTGAGGCCCACTTCGCCCCACGAAGCCATGAAATACTTCACTTTTCCGTATTTTGATTGTTTCAGAATGGAGTTCTTGCAGGTTAATAACTGAAATAAAAAATTTACATCTAGTTTAGACAACTACCTCTGTGAAAAGTCTATTCGCGAACACATTATTCAATTGTGGTCACTTTAAGCGCCCACTGGACTGCTATATTACACTGACAATAACATTATTTACCTGCAGACAGCCAGTCATAACTCGAAGAAATACCCCATTCTTCACCCAAGTCTCTGACACGGTATTCAGTAGCCAAGCCAAGAGACTCCTCGATTCGACGCAAACGATCCACGACATGCCGTCTTTCCTCCGAGGACACACATCGTCCAGCGATGTAGAGTGGTTGGAGCATATACTTTTGCACCGTCACCCCGGTCATCCCACTCGCTATAGAGAGAATCTGACCTGAATGATGAGTCAAACCGCGTTGGAGTGCATTGTAGGTACTGAGTAGGTCACGCGGCTTATAAGACGCTACCGGATCGCACTTTTGGGGCTCATTGATCAGTTGAAGGATTCGTGCCATGTGATAGAATGCCATAGCGATGGCACAGGTATCCGAGCCAAACCACGTCTCCGGTGGCTCTTGCGACTCTTGTGCTATCGTTGAGAGGGGTTGTGTGATCGGGCAAAGAAATTCCGGTGGTAGGGCCTTATACCACTGGTTTAGATCTGTATCGACGCTGTCCCAACTTGAAGGTGTGCTGTTCCTGTTGACCTTATTCACTATCTTGCATAGGATGTAAACGAGCATGCTGAAATATATTGTTTCTACCGGCGCCTCGTTGATAAGATTCAGTGCTAGCTCTCCATGTTGTCCGAGGGGCAGACCCATTCCTTGCCAAAGAGAGATATTCTCGACGTTAATACGACATTCCTGATGCAGAGTCACTGTTGCAAATGAGTGAGAAGTTTTATCCTCAACAGGTATTCCATGAGGTACTCACAGCTATTCAGCATATCATTTAAAGCAAAATACCAGAACGATGCCTTCAACGCCCGTAGCGATTGAGGTACTCGATAAAAGTTATCTAGATCAACCGCGAGCTCCAAGTGTGGGCGGAATAATTTGCTGATGCCATCCAGATGGCTTGTCCAAGCCCGCATTGTTGCATTAAGCTCCTCGTAGGAGCTCAGAATACACGCTGCGACGATTCGAAATGCAGATGATGTCGTTTCATGATCGTCAAGGTGATTACTATCGCTTCCAGGGGAGCAGTAGATCTCACCGGGTGACAAGTGATTTTCGACGATGGAATGGTCATGTGAAATTTGACGGGCCATCAGTAAAATCGCCTTCTCGTAATACTTCGCTCCATACCACTCAAAATCGATGCTCGACCGGAGCATACTAGATGCGGAAATGCTGGATCGACGGGTCACCTCTGTCGCTTGATTCAAGTCTTTCATCTGACCAAGTTGTTTCGCAGCCATAGCGCAGGCAGAGTAGCGGATGAGAGGGCTCTGGCTTGACAGCTGGATGATGTATTGACTAAAATAGGACCGCTGTCCAGTACAAATGTCCATCCATTGCCCGCCGAGATCTGCAAAGTGACGGAGGAAAAATGCAACCTCGACGCGATCATGATGGGTTTCCTCTGCTATAGGAGCGACAATGGCAGGATTTGGCCGAGGAGTGTTTTCGACTACCGTTGAATAGTCCTGCGTCACGGCTGGACTGGCAGTGATAGGCAAGTTTGGAGAGTGCAAAGATGAAACTGGGGGCGTATCAACGGTGACATGGAGTGTACCTGGCGGTGAAAAATGCTCCAGTAAGCCTCCAATTGGAACCAATCCCTTTTCCCTTGCCAGCGAGGCCGTCGATACGTGATCGTGAGCTGTTGCTGGTGTTGTGGGACGGTCCTGGCTTCGATTGACCTCTGCGCATGGAGTTGCTGAAAAGCCGAAAATTAGCGATTTCGCTACAGAAAAAAAGGAAAAAGGAAAGCTGCAATTCCCGAGACGCACCAAAGGTCGGAGAATAATTATCTTCCTGCGTCGGCCTTGGAGACCTTTGCAGACGGGATGGCGACTTGGTTGTTGTTGGAATCGAAAGGGAATGCGGCCGGAAGAGTCCGTCGATGATGCGACAGCTACGCCCACTTTTGAGGCATTGCTTGCACTTGGGCCGAGTTTCGTCACATTTTATTTTGCGTTCTCGGCATTCCGGACTGCATGGTTTTAGCAATTATAGTGCTGTGCCGATCTCAGGCTCGGTCACTTACCACCCCTTGCGCGACCGCGCTGGACTCTTTCTCGGACGGGACTCGGGCATGACAGTGCGTCCACTTCAAGTTGGGCTTTCACGGAGGCATGTGGCCCCTGTGAATTTTAGCAAGCTCGCAAGGTGTCAATCCGTTAATGTTGACTACTGTAAGTGGGGGACTTAAAGGTGGGGAGAAGAAGGACGCATAATTTAACAAAAGCGGAGAATTAGCCGACCTTCATCTCTCCGCACGACTCTCACCCCAGTCGTTTCTTTCGTTCTCCACTTTTTATGTCTATGCAATCATGGAGGGGCAGCAAAGGAGCCACCGTGACGAGGCTCAAGTGTCTCTGAATATTAATGATCTAACTCTGCCCCTCATCCAGGTTCTCAAAAAAATAGTTTTTTCAACATGCCTCTTTACAAACCAGCCAATGTTAACGCCCCGGTGCTGTCCCAGTTCTCACTGGAAGGCAAAATCGTCGCCGTGACAGGCGGCGCACGTGGAATCGGCCTTGAAGTTGTGCGTGGAATGGCCGAAGCTGGCGCCGATGTCGCCCTTTTATACACAACCAGCACCGTTGCCTCCGAGTCCGCAGCAAAGATCGCCGCCGAAACTGGTCGGCGTATCCAAGCTTTCCAGTCGGACGTGACCAGTCGCAGTGAGATAGACGCCACTCTGAATAAGGTCGCGAATGAGTTTGGAAATGGTCGCCTAGATGTGGTCATCGCAAATGCAGGAACTTGCACTAATCGGCCAAGTCTGGAGTATGATGAGGAAAGTTGGGCTCGTGATAATCGTGTCAACTACGATGGCGTGATGTGGACTGCTCAAGCAGCGGGCAAGATCTTCAAGCGACAGGGCAAAGGTAACCTTATTATCACGGCCTCGGTCAGCGCTATTCTCGTCAACATCCCTCAGACGCAGTGCGCGTACAATGCCTCGAAGGCAGCGGCCGTTCATTTGGCCAAGAGTTTGGCTGTTGAGTGGACGGAATTTGCGAGAGTCAACTGTGTCTCGCCTGGGTTTATCATGACGGAGAGTAGGTTCTCCAGCCAGCTCTATGTGATGCCAATATGCTAAGAGAAACTGCAGTGCTTACCCAGCAGCCCAAGGAGCTCTTTGATAAGTGGCTATCCATGGTGCCTGGAGGTCGTATTTGTGACCCAGCTGAATTGAAATCGGTCGGTCTTCTTCCATCGTGCTGCCTTTTCCCGTATACTGACCAGTCCAGGCCTACGTTTTTCTTGCTAGCGATGCCTGCTGTTACATGACCGGCGCAAACATGGTCATCGATGGTGGCTACACGCTGCCCTGATGAGGACTCTTCAAGAATATAATTTGGTGATATAGAAGAATATGATCTACAATAGCAATTTCGGGTGAAGTACTACCTAGGTATTGGAAACCAAGATATGGCCCCTCGGGTGAAAGACCCACCAGATACGGTGCATAACCCCTCCTGCTTGTGAGCATCGTTATAATTAGGTTTGATATCATCGGCTTCACTCCCGACGCACCGGGTCGATCCCCGTAGCTCACCCGAGGCTGGTCTTATTAAATTTGGATTCAGACCATCCATGCCAGGCACTAGTTCATTTTAGGGTATTCTTACCGCTATCTAATATATCCCTTATCTTGCTAGTGCCTTTAAGCTAAAATCTTTTCCACGATCAGCATTTCCTCATCGGAATAGTTCGCGCAACCCCGCACAAATCAGGCTGCTCCAGTAGTATAAGAGCAAACTAAGCACTCCACATTTGAACTGTCGCGAGGAGGACCCTACAGCACTTTGAATTCAAGAAAGCCAAAATTCAGCTCCCTTGTCAAATCAAAGCATTCTTACGAAGAACAATATCGACCTTTACAATGCAGGAACCAACAGCCTACAACATCATCCCTACAAAACTAATACCCAACTCTCCCAAGCCACTCCTCCATTACAAGAACGCCTTCGTCCAAGATGGAAAGCTTGACATAGGACTCGCATACGATACCTTTGTGAAAAACGGGTGGGAAATACAATGGGTCACACAATACGCCCGGTGTCAACGGTCGCACTACCACCCCGAAACCCACGAAGCGATGGTAGTCGTATCTGGGCCTGGTCAGATCCGCTGGGGCGTCGCAGACCTTGACGAGGATGAAGAAAAACATACCTACGGGGATGCGCGTGAAGAGGGTGGACTCCTGCTGGATGTTAATGTCGGCGATCTATTTGTTATCCCAGCTGGTGTGGCCCATAAGAATTATGACCCCTTTACGACAAGTCCACGTGTTAATTGTCTAACTGGAAACGCGCGTGGAATCCAGTCCGATGATCCTCGGGCCATGGTGCAGGGGTTGGAGATGAAAGGGTTTATGATGATGGGTGCTTATCCGCGTGGGGAAATTTGGAGTTGGGGAGATGGTGGGGATTCCCCGGATTTCCACGCTATTTGGAACGTGGAAAATCCTGAGTTGGATCCTTTTGTTGGGAGTGAGGGAGGAATTGGCAAGTACTGGAAGTGATCTTTAATGATGGGGAATGCATTATTTTCAGTGTAGTTATGATCTCATTTTGAAACCTTGGAATGCAGTCGAATTTACTGTGTATTTCCTTCCCAGGTCTTCTTTCCCCTTTCCTTAAATCATTCCTGCTTTTAAACTACTTTCTACATCCTTCAATCAATGAGCTTAGAAATCAGTCTTGGGGACTTAGAAAATGTCGGTTATAATCGGCTAAATTCGCTGAGATTTATGCAGGATACTCCAGGGCAAAAATGGGTGCTAAATGCAAGCAGCTACAGAGTGTCGACATGAGCCCACACTGGGAATATACAAGAGAACCTGAAACTAATTTGTAACTGACTAGTTATATGTTGATCACAGGCGTGAGAGGCAAAGTCCATTCCAGATACTAGTATTATTCAATTGCCAGCGTGCGGGGGGGTATTACCTGACTCCCGCCTGTATGAAATCGCGAGCCTGAGCCTGCACAGGTGTTTCCAATGCCCCAACTTTTCGAGTGAAACCTTTGATGGTCTCAACCCCGACACAAAAATGCTGTCAAAAACCGATGCAGGGATTCAATAATATGAGTGTTTCTTGTGAGTCCTCCCAGGAGAAAACCATATTTAATCTTTCGGCTAAACTCCTACTATCATTACCCAAACTACTCTTAATAACAGCTTGATCTATTTAGATTTCACTCATCTGTCTACTTTCCAACAATTCTGTTTCCGATCCGCATAAAAAAGCCGATGTGACATAATTGCATTCTTAGTAGTTTTTCGCTCTGCCAGTAGTTGATGCCGATAGAACATTCTGATCCTGGAAGAAATTGCCAGATCACTGAATCACCCTAAAGCCTTGCGCTCAATTTGCTAATCATTACGATTTCGATCCCACCAACGTCAGCCATCTCTCAAAATCACGGTTCCAAAAGCAGGCTTCCAACTCAAGCCAATGGGTTCTCTAGGACCGTAGTCAAAAGGCAAGGCTGGTCAGCTGCTAGGCCTAGCCCTTGAGGCACTCGACATCCCAAGTTCACAATTGGCTGTTAGGAAGTTTCATGCACTCGTAAACCGGATTTCTCCTGCCAGGTGGGGCCAAACCTCCAGGATGGGGCTCAAGCCCAGGCTGGACAATGTCTGATCACCCCCAGGGCTATAGCGCTTGGACGAAAAATGAAAGCAGTCCTTGTGCGAGAACTATTCGTTAGTACTGAGAAGGCTGATATATCCCCACATGCTCCATACATGCGGTAGTGCTGCTTCTAGGCCCCAATTTAGCCACAGGGAGCTGTCCGATGTCTCTGATGTCTGCAGCCCCGCCTAAACCCCACTCGATTCGGCTTTGTTGGGAGATTAACGGGGCGCTGTCCCACCCCCGCTTCCCACCCTCCTAAACTCAATCGTCGAGATGCCTACCGTAGCCCCCTAAATTTCCTTTCGTGGTAGTGGAGAATTCACCCAGGGTATGTGGGTGGCTCGGGATAGTTACTGGAAACTAGACAGGCTTGTCTACTTGAGAAATGCAAGACACTCAGAATAACGACGGTTGAAACCCATTTGAAGCAAAGAATCCTAAGGATAGACCCAGATGTTGAACAGATAATGCCGATTAATTTAATCGCAGCAGTTTTCATCTTTTCTCGGTGCTTACTGTTGTTCAGTCTTGATTGAAAGGCATCGCCAGTCGTCCAAATACCACACTAATCTGAGAGGTCGATATTCGTCACACCGGCGGACAGACTGTTGTGAATAAAAGTATTCATGTAATAAGAATTAGCTTGCAGCAATATGGATCGACCGATATACGTAGGTCATATGTGACCCACGTCTACTGCATAAAATAGCACCCCGGCGCACAGGGACTAACGCACCTGCACCTGCACGCCAGAAGCAACGTCTTAGGTCGGAAGACACTCATCCGACTTTCATGTGCTTCGCCACCGCTGACGCACCGGGTTATTGACCCCGCACTGTGGGTAACAAGGGGAAATCGTGTTCTAGACTGACCCCCTTCGAATCTAGTTCCTGCGTAAAAGGATACTATCTTTATCTTCTTCCTGTCGGGACACTCGGACCGAAGCTGTCTAATCGATAAGCATTCCACCATGACTAAGTAGATCTTTAATAGTTCATCTGCATTCATCTTCATTCTTGCGCCAAAAGATTATGCCATGGGTATTCTCAGATATTAAAACGAGAGAATTATTAGCTTTGGTAATGCTTTCATAATTACCGCTAAAGAGATACATGCCAACCAAATGGCCACGTTCAAAGGGGTATAGCTTACTTTTCGATACCTGCTTCTATTGATCAATATCAAAGCTAGAGGGGCGCGTGGAACCTTTACGACACCACGGTAGGTGATTGACGAAAGCGGGGGTCTACGCGAGGCGCGTGGAAACACGCTAGGACACGGAAACCGGTGGGACCCTCGACATCTCCATGCATAGAAGTGAACCTAAGTATACAGGCCAAGAGAAGTTGGCTGGCTCCATATTCTCTAGAATCAGCTAATCAAAGCGAAGCCTAGGTTATTTATACCATGTCTTACAATACCACTGGCACCTCAGGGCTTTGATCGTGTCTGTCTGACTGGATGTGATGAATTCAAGCAGAGCAACTGGTTATCGAAGAAAATTCTAGGATTTCGGAGAAATTCATAATTGTGGGAGATAGAAGCTATCTAATTGTATAAGGAAAAGTCTCCATACATAGTAATCATTCTACCATGGTATTAACTGGCATATGGGCAGTATTAAACCATCTTGGAATGTCGTGGAACATCTCGGGATCTTAATCCACCGACATCATCGATCGTCGAAACATCATCCCATTGGGACTATTTCTCTCTAAACCCCGCATCTTGTGGTATCACGCCATACTCGATATGAATTTAAGAGGTAATTGCATTATATAAGGGCTGCAATTGTTATAAGAACGCCGAATCCTCGCCCGTGGGATCAAGTCAGAGCCAAACCCAACTCAACTCCGCAGAGCATCGAATCTTTTCTCCTACGCATTCCTCTAATACAAGAAAGTCTTCGAAGATTTCAAAACTCAAGACTTGAACAACAAACAACCTTCTTTCACAATGTCTGCCTCCGTGCCACCCACTCAGCTTTACCTTCACCAGGCTCGCGATAGCCCAAGCTCCAAGGAGTGCATGGATATCTATGACAAATGGGCTGCAACATACAATGCCGAAGTTGGAGACTCTGCTCAGTCATACGTCGCTCCTGTCCTTGCTGCTCAGGCTGCTATCAAATACAAGGCTGCTAAATCACCTGCTGATAGTGTGATCCTTGACGCGGGATGTGGAACCGGCCTTGTTGGTCAAGCTCTTGCCATCTCAGGAGCACGAGCAATCGATGGCATTGATCTATCCCAACCTATGCTAGACATTGCCCGTGATACTGGTGCCTACAGAGATCTTGCCCAGGCTGATATGAACAAACCAATCGCACAGAAAGACGACACTTACGATATTGTATCATGTGTTGGTACTTTCACTCTTGGTCATGTTGGACCCGACCCTGCCCTTAGGGAGCTCGTCCGCGTTACCAAGCCAAAGGGCATTGTTGTGGCCACGATTCTTCAGCAGATTTGGGCTCCCGGTGGGTTCGAGGCAGAAGTTGAGAAGTTGAGGGATGAAGGTGTGGTGGAAGTTCTTTCCACAGACTTGATAGATTATGTAAAGGGACACGGCGACAAAGCAGTGCTGCTTATCATTCAAAAATCCCATCGCGCCTGAACGAAAGAACCGCCAAACACCTCCCTGCCCAGCCAAGAAATAATGATGATCCAAGCAAAGCTCTTTTCAACAAACCCCTGTTTGGATCCGACCCAACGCGACAGGTTTCAACATACCTTCCCTTAACCATCACCGAATGCAACATATTAACGATAAACCACCGGCCGGCTGCGTGAAAGCGACTTTATGACCCTTAGAAATACCCATACTAAATGAAATACCATGGAAACCTACCACGTAAACGAGCGCAAATAGTTAGAATTTCTCACTAACCACAACGAACAATTAGATCGTATTAGTATTCAGAAATGAGTTACATTCACTATAGTTGATGAGCTTCTAACTCTCTCGCTTCTTACGCCCAAGATATTAAATTCGTTCGTCGAAACATTTTTTCCTTTTTTTTTTTTCCGTTATTTCCACCAGGAATTAAGTTTTCAGAACAGGTTCTCGAATGCACTTTCCGAAGAAAAAGTTCAAGACCTCCGACTTTTCTTCCACTCTACCACCTTAGAGCTCTTCGAGATATTCTAGACTTATGATGTTTTTAAAACTAAACACATTCATGTCAGAAACCTTTCTGTGACTTGGTCACCGGGATCATTACCTAGCGTGGCAAACCAAGCATAAAATAGTTAGTTAGTACCTAGGCATGCGGATAATTTTATAATCCCAATGATATTTCATTTTCCAGATTTCAAGGTTCCAGAAAAACGGCCAAGAAAACAATAGTGATTTATTTCGAAGATGTTGTATCCAAAGTCTTGAAGGACTCCCGGGTTTTATTTATTAATAGTTCAGGAAATATGCCAACAATTGGTAGACCCCACCGCTGGTACTTTGTTCAAAATTCAGTGAGAAATGCTTCAAATTTCCAGAAAGCCAATAATAATCGTAATTGCGGAGGAAATTTTGCAGTGCATCAATTGATACCAACTCCAAGGCCAACACCCAAATCCTCCGCATCTTCATTGCGCTTGTCAATGACAACTCCAAGGCCGACACCCAAATCCTCCGCATCTTCATTGCGCTTGTCAATGACAACTCCAAGGCCGACACCCAAATCCTCCGCATCTTCATTGCGCTTGTCAATGACAACTCCAAGGCCGACACCCAAATCCTCCGCATCTTCGTTGCGCTTCATCACCGGAGCAGAAATAGCTGCAACGGCCAAGGAGGTGGTCAATGCTATCAGAGACAGACGCATTGTGCCAGGAGCTTCTGGATAGAAAATTAGAACATGCTTATCCAGGCTGTAGCATAACAATACCTGTTTTTATTCTTAGAAAATAAATAAATCCAAGAGGGATTAGAAAGACTTCTTATACCATTCCAGATTATATTGGCGTGGTTGAAGATGAACAAGATAAGTATAAAGACGACGGAAATGACCTTGACTTTATACTGTAAATTGGTGCGATATTGTCTGAACGTTTATTTTGAACCTGGAATAAAGCATCATTACAATATTTATGTGGGTCTGTTAGACCACGGTCCTCGCATGGGTTTGTGTGGGGAGGCCTCATGATCGGGGTATTTCCACGGTTATGTTTCCCATGGGAAGTCTTGAGCTCATATCTCGCCACTCCGCCAAACAAGTGAAACTACCACCAATACTTTATTAAGTCCTGCTTGATAATATGAGATTATTGGAGTGATGTTAAATTGATGAAAGCGCTTTTGCATGAAGATATCGCCATTTATTCGAGGTCTTGCGAATTTGGCCTGGGTGATGGGGTCCTCGATGAACGGAAATGGAAATTGATTGAGGTCAAAACTTAGTTTTAACGGGATTGTCCCACGCGGCTTAATGCGCCACTTCCACCTCCCGGAAGGTAACTAGCAAAGCTTCTCATGATAATACCCCACAGTTCATGGTTATCCTGCTAGCTCTGGTGAGGAATTTCCGCAAACGTCGAGTCTGTAGCTTAGTACCAGGCAGTTGGTATAAATTTTCTCTGTTTTCAGCAAGTTGAAGTTTGGCGGCCACGCGATTAAGTTTGTATTTGAAGAACCCTGGTTTTTTGCTAGTTTGTTTGCAGATTTTCAAACACTCACTTTGGTTGGACACAATGTCCTACTGATGAACAGAACTGGTAGCCCGAATTCTACAACAGAGTTCATTATGTTTTTTCAAATGAGCGCACCCAGATACTTCAATAAATGACGTTTATATTAGTACAAATGCTCGAATGGATGTCAAGGATCTCGCGATCGCTGTTTCGAAAACTTGTTTTGCGAGGAGTTAGAATTCTGGCTTCAGTTCAATGAATTTTAGCTCGTCTCAACCATCTCTCTCAACGACGAAAATTGTAAATTACCTTTCTTCTTAGTTATAGAATATGCAAAAAATCCCAACTAAATTCTCAAAGAGTTTCTGAAATAGCGGTCTTTTTTACACCCTACACATTCATGGCTGAATAAGCACGACGCACGTATAGTTGTGTTTATCCATAAGTTTGAGACTGCCTCCTATGTTATTCAATTCACTAAGCGAGGATGACCTTGCCATGTTCCATGTTGTCCACCTGGGCACCTGGACATTCACATCTGTGTCTATACTTAATTGGATTGAACTTCAAGGTTAGAAATGACTCGGACCGTTATACTAGTAACTTCCTCAATTGTCCTTCTGAGACTCCTTTTCGCATTAAACTTTCATATAACTCTCAATGTTAAAAAATCTAGGTCCTTTCAACCTCAACTAGTAGACCCTAAGCACGAAGCTCGACCTGCGTCGTGATTGCCTTCTCGCTATCCCCACCCACGTTCCCTACGTTATCCGCAACAAGCTGATTAACCTTCTCTGTTGCAACGGCTCCGCCAAGAATCGCTCGATCTCCATCGAACTTCTTCACAATTTCTTCCAGTGGAATCTCCTTTGTCTCGATGTAGTACTTCCAGACGACAAAGATCTCAAAGACCAGGAAGACACAGTAAACAATATAGTACTTCCACTCAATGCTCTCCAAGGCGATAGGGTTCACGTATTGGTTGAACCAAAGACTCAAATCGACACAGAAGAACATGATTGTCAGGCCCTTGGCACGAAGGCGATAAGGCAGAATCTCAGACGAGTAGGAAACCAGCATACCGCTGAATCCGATGTTGTAGGCAATGTAGTAAAGGAAAATAAAGACGAGCACGGTACGCGCAGAAGCATCGTTACTCTCGATGGAGAACCTTGCAAGCGCGATGGTCATTGCGACGTAGCATAGCAACATGCTGACACTGGATGTGAGGAAAAGTTTGCGTCGTCCGAAGTAATCGACCCAGAAGCAGATACCGGTCGCGGAAACAACATTAACTGCGCTGAGAATGAGGTTGATAGTGAGGACTGTATTGCTGTTGGTGATCCCGATGAGTTTCAAGACCTATCGTTGTTAGAATTCCTTAACTAGTAAATCATGTTCGGCTTGGATGGATGTACCTGAGGTAGGAAGTATGAGACAATTCCATTGCCAGACCACTGGGAGAAAAAGCCGATCGAAATGAGAATAATCGAACGATGGCGATTGCCCGGTGTTGACCAAAACTCGGCCCAACTGTTACCCTCGAACTGTTTCTCCAGTTGAATAGTCTGTTGAATCTCATCAAACTCCACATTGACAAGAGCATCATCCTCGTCACCTTGCGCGTGGACATATGCCAGAACTTTCTTGGCCTGTTCGAGTCTTCCTTTGGAAATCAGCCATCTAGGAGATTCGGGGACAGTCCTAAAGTCCGACCAGCATGTTAGACAATATTTTATGCATCGCCTTCTTTTCCTTTCTTACCAGATGAAAACCAGTTGACAGATAGAAGGGATTCCTTGTAGAAGGCATGGAACACGCCACGACCAGGCACTCCCGTGGATATGATTTGTGCCTTGACAAATGTAAGCTAAATTTTATATGAAACAGAAAATGATAAAAAGACATACCCAATGCAACGCATGCACCAATCAAACTACCCACATACCAAAGCGAGTTGTAAATAGTACTGTAGATAGCTCGGTGCTGGGGATGCACCAGCTCAGTGACCAGGAGAGGTGAGCATTCCTATATTTCAAGTCAGTTCTCTGTGATCGGATATGTAGTGGAACATAGAACCCTCACCTGGGCAATACCAAGACCGAATCCAAGAATTATGCGACCGACCACAAATAAGGCAATTTTGTAGCCAATGGAAACCATCGCAACGCCAAAAAGCATGATGATACAGCCAACCACAACACCGGCTCGACGGCCCATGATATCTGCGACATAGGGCACAACGGGGATTGAAAGCATTGAGCCAATCGACATAGAAGCGGCAAGAAGACCAAGAGTCGATCCAGTTGGGTGATTGTAGGCTGAATTTGTTGTTAGCTATCAAATGTGCATAGTCAGAAGTATCGAGTATCGCCTAACATTCATTCCAGGAATCCATAGCTTCTAGACCATTCATAAGAGAGCCATCGTATCCTAGAAGTACTCTGTCAGTGAGGTTAAAACACGAATATCGAAGGCAGACAGACCATTGGTTGCAGACGTGATCATTGCGGCCCACAAAGTAAGGTAAACAAAGCGCATGCCCTTCATTTTCCACCAGGTCACTTTGGGCCATTGCTGACCGCCCAGCTCGAAGGTATCTTTCCCCATAGTGTTTCCGCCTTGTAGCTGGATCTATCAAAATTGAAATGTGTTCCGGTGTAGGGTTGAAAGATGTACGCGAGATCCACAGCTACCAACCTTGCCGGCAAAGGGAAAGTATTTAAGAATCAAGGGTCTCTCGATCGATGGTCAGCCAATTCTGTCTATCACCCCGCGGCAAAATAGGATAAAGACGGTCCGGTTCATTCTATGCCATCCCGGTCGCGTGGTTTCTTGAAGCGGGGGATCAGCCGAGGTGTATAAGCAAATCAGACCCAGAGTAAGATTGTGCTATTTTCGATCTTGCCATTGCCTCGTCCAACAGCCAGGTCATTGCGCCTAATATCCAGTGGCAAAATAGGATCAACCCCAGTTATTGCCTTCTCAGAATCCCGTTCGCGAGGTTGGGCTTTGGGCAATGGAAGATAAGCCAAAGAAGGCTTCACTAAGCTTTCACTCCCTCGCCAAAAGCAGACCTGTAGAAACGGACACGGGCTCCGAAGATAAAATCGGGAATGCTTTAGGCTAAATGGAACGGCCATATCTTCCACAAGAAGGCATTCCGAGGGTCGCTTTGGTGTTCGTGGGGTCGAGCCTCCTGAAGGCGAAAGGAGGATCTCACAGAATTGACCAAGATTCCAGGATTCAGGTGGGCATTTGAAGCGATTGGCTTTGAGCCGGAGAATAGTCCTTGGCCAGACGGGAAGATGGCCCTAACCCCGGTCGGCGCAAGTTGCCAGCCTCACTATTGGTTTAAAACATCAAGCTTGCAAATGGCACCTCGTACCACTTTGACGCTAGTGACTAGTTGCCCCACAAGAAGTTAGGCTTCCCCAGATTCTCCACGACTCAGGGGAGCCGGTGACAGCTAGGGCTTTTTATCTAAGGATACATTCTTGGCTGCGACAGGGATGGCAAAAATCCTGGCTTGGAGGTACAAAAATCCAATTTTTCAGTTTCCTAACCCTAAGCGTTTTGCCAATGCTTTTTTGAAATCAGCCTATTTTAGCTGCTCCGTGAATTAAATCTAAAATGAAGCGACTTCCTTTGAGCTTTGGTTTCTTCAAAGGGAGAATTCATTGGTAGAGCTAGGATCTCACATAAGTTGGCGCCCCTTTCGCTTTTGGATCCCTTTTCTTCGGGGCTGGGGGACACCTACGATCGGATGATCGGCTACCAACCACCCCGCAGTCCAAACTTGACTGAATCAAGTACTACTATCTTTACCTGTATGGAGTATGGAGGTCCCTCATTCTTCTCCCTTGCCTATGATAAGTGAGACATCCATGGATTTTTCCAGAGACATTTCTTCCGGTCAAGATCATGGGAAAGAAGGACGAATGCTCTAGGTAGAGGCGAGAGAATGCGGTAATTGGTACTGAGAATGAACTTGTCCAACGAAAATGACCTTGAAGCTGCCGGTGGATATTTGATATTCTGAATTTATACCTATATACTGTCCATTCCCCTCATGCCCGCACCCTGGGGCAGCCCTCCGATACTAGCACCTGGGCAGTTGACTTCCACTACGGAGTATGGGCTCGATCGAATTGCTTGCCTAGTAGGAGCTTTGACATCACATGGCCAAAGACAAGACCCCTTACTATTCTACATCAAGGGTTACTCAGAATCGGCAAAATGCAATGGAAAACATGGCAAGACAGATTTATCTCCTGCTGTCATTGTCATGTGGGATCTTTGCAGAGTTTTGGCTGCTGCACGCGCTCGATGCAAGCCTTCCACGATGTAGGCGATTAAAAGTCACTTCGCTTAGCCCATCCCATGCGATGAGACCACTTCTTATTGGGCCCGTTTCAAACATGAGGTAATAAGAACAACACATTGGTTATTTTCCCGCCCGTAGGAATTATGATCAGTGCCCCTTGCAGGTTGTGGATCGACACTAACGTACAGTCGATCCAGTACTACCTCAATCTCACCGCCCTCTTCCTATCGGGGTTTGATGTAGTGGACGATAAAAAGAAAAAGCTGACTTGCAGTGATCCAGTTTGAGGTAATTAAGTACAGTCAAGCGGTCATAGCCTGTGTATTCAGATCTTTCGTCACGGTCAATCCGTGCAGTATCCAAACATTGGCAATCCTATTGCGGCATATACTTTCCCATATTTAAAAACCTTTGAGGGTTGAAACCGAAATATGACGAGGGATTGCACGAGTCATGTTGGCTCTTGTTTTATTCACAAAACATCATACTTAGTAGCAAAATCATTCCCGTCTTGTATCCATGGAGTTCAATGTCAATATCCATAAAGCACTGTATCATGATGCAGGATGATCTAAGAGTCCTGATGGTGATTGTCAGATACTCTTGGGTAGACGAATGATTTCAAGCAAGGAGAAACTAGACCTCAGAAATCCCTTGCCATGGCACGCATCAAGTCTATGTCATCGGCAGCTGGCAGCTGAGCAAGAAAGCTACCTGTTTTTCATCGCGCTCAAGAAATATAAATATGGAGCCCTGGAGGTCCTCTAAATTGAAAGGTATTGCAAAAATTATCCGTTTACTGACCATCAATCTTCAACACATCTCGCCAGTATGCAGTTCTTCATGAAATGTCTTGCTCTTCTCCCTCTCTTGACCGTTGCGGTTTCCGGTGCCTCCAAGTTTGCAGACACTTGTCAAAATATCGAAGGGCGGGGAACCCAAATTCGTGCGGACTGCCGTGAAAATGAGCATGGTCAATACCGGACTAGTACACTCGATCTAAACCGTTGTCTCAAGAACGGTAAAGGAGATCTCAAGTGCGGAAAGAAGTGAGTTCAAAACGAGGGAAATTGGGCATGCAAAAAACTAATATGGGAACAAGTGGTGACTTTACCGCCTCTTGTATCAACTGTAGTCTTCGAGGGCACACTGAGTTGGAATGCATGTGCCGCAATGTTAAGGAGGGTCACCCATACGCTCCGGCCCACATTGATTTGAGTAAGTCTTTTCTTATGCAATATGAGCTATCATGACTCTTTGGCTGACTATCAAAAGACAAATGCATCAGCAACAACCATGGCGAGCTTGGCTGCTAGGAGCCAATATAATCTACGGGATTGGAATACGAAGGAGAACAAAGCTCATCTAGAAGCAGGGAAGAGGTGAGGGAATGACAGCTAGTATTGAACTTTATGTGAACACGCTCTTTTACGAATATATCATTTTATCCACTTATGGAAGAATTTTACAACGTTTTAACGATTAGTATTTAAGAAATTTCGAAAATCTTTCGCATTTCGCCAACAAGCCCTATGCCTGTCTTTTCCTCTAAATGGGAGAATTTATGTAGAAGTTAGCATAGACTTTTCAAAAGCTATGAAATTAGACATTAAATTTGGTTGTATCTTCATCTAGACTAGTGGTTATGGATTCGAACTTGCGAAATATTTCTTTCGACTCAAGCAAAACATCTTGTCTCTCTTGAGACGTCAATAAATGGTCGGCTTTGAGTATGCGGTCGCGGAGCTTGGCTCTCACAGCCATATTATCATCTATATTCCAAAATGATAAAGGGGATGGTGTTCGCTCAGAGGCAAAATCTGCTACTGACAAACCCCAGAATTCCGGCCCGGCTTTCAACAGTTGAGTACAAATTTCGCGTCCACCGAAGAGAATAGCCGAGTACAGCACCCAGATATAAGCAACAAGGATGTGCGGCTTTCCCATAATTCGTTGATATAAATCATTTCTTATTTCGCCCCCAAGGTGTTGTGATTGAATCAACAGTTGATCGCAGAGACCCGCTGATCGTAACAGGCAAAGATCGGCCTCGAGGGGCCTTGTTCGGGGCAATTCCGGAATGTAAAGGAGGCGTAGGAGGTCTCGGACTCGTTCCTTGTCACTGAGAATCGAGGGGTCTTGAGGGACTTCCTCCGACCACTCGCAGATCCAATCCGCAGGATCGCCAATGCACGAGAGCCATGCTTCTTCTAGACCCAGATATAACTCCGCGTAGCGTGAAATTCCAAGGGTATATAGCGAAGGATCGCTCGCTCGGGGAGGCAGGCAGAATGCAATTCGAGATAGGTTTAATCGGTGTATAGCTGCGTGGGGTTCTCTAACATCCAGTCAGAATGCACGATGTGGGCATGGGTGGGTGCATTTACTTGATCACCTGGCGGAGCGTCGCCAGAAGGTCATCTGCAGTCATGTTTTAGCTCTGACTGCTTTTCGTCAACTAGCCTATCTGGCCCGACTGATTCTGTGGCGATTCATGGGTATCCCCATAAAATAAGGGGCAAAAATTGCTCGAAAAAAAAGCAATTTCGAACAAGCAGGTTTTCGGCTCCCGAGGTCCGCGTTTTTGTTAGTCCGAAGCCACAGCCCGAGCACGAAGCCGAGAACGACAAGGAATGCTGTCAGTGAAAATTTTATATTCAAACTGACTAAATCAATCACTCGATATATTCTCTTTGCCTAGCTGGTTTCAATTGTACCAGTTGTTCGTTGCGGGCAAAAATATGTGATCATGCGACCGCTACTACTACCTATTAGATATCGGAATCCACACTCAGACCCTGGTAACTTGAAGTCTCGGACCTCGAGATATATGCCTACTACTATACTCGGTATTTCAACTTGAACTTCTAGCATAATCTGGCATTTATTTACTGAAATCTGAGCAAAAATCGATTTGGTCACCTCGGATATTCACAGCACAATTACTAGCCAAACAATCACCATTCTAGTTACTAGATTAAATCTCGCCATTTGATTTAAAAATATTGTTATGGTATATTCGTAATCATGATTGTATTAATTTGATAGATTGTCAGAATGTAGCAGATGAGTCGTCAATTGGAGGATTGTGGTCTCTACTAGGAGATACCAAGAAACATTGACACGGCGATGAACGTCATAATCATCCGGTCACCCGTTTTGACTGGCATACAAGGTACCAAATATGATCTACCTCGATGACAGTAGATGTGAATGGGAGGCTGGTAATCAGTGATTTGGACATGGCTAAAATTTCATTGAATCGGGGCTATCTACTACGTCCCAATATGCAGTAGATGCAAAAGAAGTAGGGTAGGGAAACTCGGAACTGTAGGTACCTAGGTACATAGTTAAATGTGACCTCTAATTTCAAGCTCCAACCTTTTTTATACGCACGAAAACTTCACGAATGCATCACGAAGCATCCTGAGGTGGTTCAACTACTCAAACATCTTCCAAAACCGAGATCATAGCTCTCGCACACATGCAATTATCTCCAGGTGAATGCAACCTTAATTTATTCACTCAAAATGGAGCCCATCAATTTGCCCATCATAGTATTGGTTGATGCGCCCGTTCGGCGTTTGATTACGTTAGTAGGTGATAAGCCACTTTCCTATCAGCCTGGGGTATCCCCGCATCTCGGAGGACGCCGTTACTGTGGATTTTGACGAAGTCCCCTCACTTATGTTCTAGACCGGATATAGAAAACCCATAACTCACAATCCTTGGTCTTTTTTGGGACGGAAAGCAGAATGAGATCCCCCACTGGCCCGCGAATGCCGAAATCTCCGACCAGGCGACCGCGCCCTTCCTATTCGTGTACAGAATGCACTAGGAGAAAGCTACGATGCTCGAAAAATATCCCTTGCTTTTCTTGTATTGAGAGAGGAATTGAATCAAAATGTCGACTTCGCCAACGTGTTAGTGATAGACGCAGGGGAAATGGTGATTCAATAAACCAACCAGAGAATTTAACCTCAGAGACGCAGCCTGTCTCGAGCGAGGGGCACACGCCTAGTGAAATTGATTATCCACGCTATGGTGATGCTTCCAACATTTCACGGCCAGTCCCACTATCGGTGACACCCGAAGCCTCTACAGAGAGTAAACGCCATCCCACGTGTTCTCAGAAGCGACACAAGATATTGGATACGGTCTCTCAAGATGTTGCTGTTACGCTAGAATTTCTGGCATTTAGCCGTCAGCAAGTTCTGGATACAGCAGATTTTGGTAATTCAAAACCGGAAAGCAAGGGCATATATGCATCCCAAGAGATTGATCTGCTGTTTACAGAAGCACAAGTTCAAAAGTTGATGACTTATCATGAAGAGTATATCGCTTGGATTCACAATGTCGTTCACATGCCTACGTTTCGTGCGCAGTGCAAGGAGATATTTGATGTTTCCAACACGTCGGATAGGGGATCGTGGCTTTCTCTATATTATTCTATGCTCTCCGTGCGTCTTCAATGTTTTTTTGATAGCCAAGCAGCCTTATTAACAAAGTAACAGGTCACTCTGTATCACACTCATCCTTCAAAACTTCAAGACTTCGAAATCTCCTCCGGCGGTAAGTCAATAATCTGGATCAAGTAGCGAGAAAACAGTCCGTTAAAATTCTCTTTAGTTGAGCTATCGCTGCTATGCTACCAAAAGACTATAGATAGTCTCAATTCTGTGGATTTCATGAAAAATCATAGTATATACAGCGTCCAGGCCATCTGCCTCCTCATTTACATTGGGCACAATTCTGGCCAGTCTGATAGAATGTCCGTTTTACTTGCGAGCGCCAGTCGAATTGCACAATGCCTCGGTATTCATCGTCTCGGGTCCGAAACTCCCTCCCATATTTTCAAATGCGATGACTCGGATATCAGAGAGAAGCTTTTAATTGATCGTGAAGTCTCTAAGAGAGCTTGGTGGTTTTTAGTGCGACAAGACTGGCTACAAATTCCATTTAACAACACCTATAACATCCACCCTTCACAATTCGACACCGAGATGCCCAGGAATTTCGATAAGGATGTTTTCAAACTGGGGTTGGCAACAGAAATTGTTGAACAGAGCGAAGAAAACTATACACAAGGGAGCTATACGTCTGTTCTCAACAAAGGTATTGTCAAAAAAGGTATTTCTGAGCACATGGCTAATATCTTTTGCTCTTTAGGGTCGGTGATAATTTGGAAACTACAAGACAGAATTTGCCAGCGAACAAAGTCAGGGAGTGGTCATAATATCGATGTTCTACGAAATCTTTACTCGGAAGTTCTCCAGGCTGACCGAGAGCTTAAACAACTAGTTGGTGGAATGCCGGACTTTTACAGACTCAAAGAAGATCATGATGGTGAAACCACGACAAACATCATGATCGTTCAGCAAAAGTGTGTACTATCTATCTCGATCGCACACAAGGTATATCAATGATATCAAATTCCAATTGATTATAGTCAGATGCTGAATGCGGACTTCTAGTTCTATTGTATTCATCGCCATTTTCAAATATTGAGCTTGAAAGACCCATGGTTTGCATATACTAAAGTATGTCAAGATAAATTCAATATCGCATTCAATCTAACACGAAACTCTCGAATTCAGGTTTCTTGCCTCCCACTCATGCGTCGCTGCCTTATGGACTTTCTGTCGCTGCCCGAAACCCCCGACAAATATACTGTTAGCAATCTGTGGACTGTTAATGCACAGGTCTTGACGGCAGCGGTTTGGCTGTTATTTGAGCTGATATTCTCAAAGGACGAGCATGGGCAAATTTTTGAAACGCATGAAATTCGAGATTTGGCTTTGCGGAGCTTGCAATTTTTGCAAGTCAACCAAAGCAAAAGCACCATTGCGAAAAGAGGCGTCGGGCTCATTGAAAGTTTACTGGATACTGAGCAAGCCATCAAGGCAGGTACTCGGAAACAGTTCTCATTGAAAGATATTATATCTCGAGTAGAAGATCATGATCAGGACTCGGAGCCCAATGTGGCTATAGAATTTTCAGCTGATCCATATCTTTCGCAGATGTCAGACCTTCTCCTGGGAGATAACATGGCATGGGAGGACATCTTCAGTGTATTTGACATGTGAAAAAAAAAGGAATTCTTTCGTCTTCCTATTGAAAATAACTCATTTCGGTTCAGAGTAGAATAGAAATGATCTACAATTGTCTCAGCCGCTCATTTCGTATGATCACCATCCCCACATAGAGGCACTCCATTAAACTCTATTGGCATCTATTCCAGCAACAACATCTTGCCGGAGGTCTCCGAATGCCTCGTCCTTCGAGGATCCGTAGGTATCCGCAAAGCGTCCGCTCATCCAGTCATGCACCATGACCGGGGGGTATTTGCCTCCCATCTGTGGATCGACGCAACTAGGCAAACACTCGACCGTATAGTTCGGGTTCCCGGAGAAGAAGAATGGAACACTAAAGCGTTCATCACCCCCCCTTGTTAATCACCCGGTGCAAGTTTGACAAATAGCGATCATTTGTCCAGCGCATCATCATATTTCCCAAATTCACTACGTAAGCCCCGGGAATCGGAGTCACGTCCACCCACTCCGAGGAAAGGTTATTCCAAACCTGCAGACCACCTGTCTGATCTTGAAGAAGTATTGTTATGGCGCCAAAGTCCGTGTGAGCGCCAATGCCTATAGATTGAATTAGCCAAAATCAAAAATTTGGAAGGTTTCAAGCATGGTGACATGCCCTTCTCTACCTCGGTTGCGGCTGGGTCTTGCGGCGGGTAGTGCAAAAGCCGAAGAGCGGCCACCGGATGCTCGCAGAAATCATCAAAAAAGTTCGTGTTTAGGTTCAACGTGCATGCCAAGACCTGGAGAAGATTTACTGCTAGTGCAGTCATCATTTCGTGATATCTCTCCATCACACGCTGGAACTCCTTCGGGTCGCGGAGTTCCGCGGGATATTTGTTGGGCCCCTGGCCGAATCGTTTTTCAATTACATATTGATCGTCGAGAGGAAGATTCTTCCCCATGTAAAATCCCTCTTTCAGATCTCCCTTTCCTTTTTTCTCAAAATTTTGGGATCGTAGGCATTCATATCCTCTATTGTACCCTCCAACGTCTTTTGGAATTTTGTAAATTAGAACTTAAAAATGGGCTTTGAGAATGGATAATTCAAGACTTTACCTTTCCCGTACTTTTCCTTTATTTCTAGAGGTAGCTCAAAAAGCTCTTTGCTTTGTTTGATCACTTGTTGTTGAAGAGTCGACGGGACCTCATGGTTGATCAGCTGAAAGAACCCGAAGCGTTCGCAAGCTTCTCGAATTTTCTCTACAAGCGCCGCTTTTTTTGAATCATCGGAACCATAGAATGCTGCCCATTCCATTCATTGTTAGTGTGTATTCATATAAATAAGGAAGATAGATTATCCGCCTAGACTTACGGCTGAAGTCAATAATTGGCGGTTCTTCAGATGGCATATTGTAACAAGGCTGTTTACCTTACTTTGCAGATACCAAAGGATTTTTGTTATGTTAATGATTAGAACATCAGTTTAAACTATGCCAATTATATAGTTGAGATACATAACTCTTTCTTGATTTCTCGGCCGCGGATCTATAGCCTCAGATATCTTAAGGGTGGTTTTCTTTCCGGCCCGCGGCCGAGGCTTGACACGCATTTTGAAGTGGATCTTAAAATCCAGCTGTGTCAACGCATTATCTAATTATCATGTCCGTCGATAACCAGACCCACCGTGGCACTTCGCCCCATGAGATAGATAGGAAGCAACGGCAATTACGATATTTGATTGGGAAAATAGTACATAAAAGAATTAAGTATCCAAAATAGATCTCTGTTGGGTATTGTATGCTCCTAGATCTTTCGCAATGCGTCCTATGTACAGTTCATTCACTACTTCTCAGTGTGCAGTCTCGGTCTAGCCCGGCTTGTTCCCGAGTGGCCTGTGCCCTGGGAATGTGCCATTGCCGAATAACCTTTGGTTAAATCCATAACCATCCAATATCCAAAAACAAATGAAAAAGTCACTCATAGTGAGTGTTCGAACCCAGTTCGATCAAAATATCATATCTCGTAGCTTATGCCTTGAGCTCAGGCTTGGCTTCATCTTCATTAGAGCTACCATTTTCGCCGCTCTCAGAACCAATGGCCTCGGTGGTCTGCATTCTAAGCATGCGACGGGCGACACGCGGGGGGTCAAAGATGCTATTTGACTGCGCGAAGATCTCATCGATCTCCTCGAGGGAGCGACCCTTGGTCTCGGGGAAGAAAAAGTAGACAGAGGGCACAATTGCCGCGTTAAAAACGGCGAACACAATGTAGTAACGGCTTCCGATGGTAGCAAAACCGACCGGGGTAACTTCTGCCAGCAGGAAGTTGAAGACCCAGACGGTGGCAGTCGCCACAGCACTGACGGTCGCGCGAATCTGAAGAGGTGCCATCTCGGCGGCGTAGAGGAAGGTCAAACCGGAGTAGCCGACGGTGAAAATAAACTGGAAGCAATATAGAGCAATGACAGCCACAACGAGGGCACCAGTGTTGTTCTTCGCACCATCCGAGGTGCAGCCAGCCAGAAGAGCCATGCAGACGGACATGGCACCAGCACTGTAGAGCATCAGTGGTCGGCGGCCAAGGCGATCGATGGTAAAGTATGCAAGGTAACCACCGAAAGGCTGCATCAAACCCATAGCAGCAGCGAGGATACGAGCACGGACGGGGTCCATGCTGAGATATTGTTGGAAAATGGTGGTAGCGTAGTAGGTGATCAGATTAACACCGCACATCTGCTGGAACATTTGACCGGTCGCGGCAAGATAGGTTCGGTGGAAAAGACGCTGCTTGCCATTTGTAAACATGTCCTTCCAAGAAGAGGAGCCGCAGACAAGGAGAGCTGTCTCGATAGAATTAATGCTCTCTTCGACAGCGGGCGCATCTTCGTCAAGATCCATCAAGGCCGCAAGAACCTGGCGGGCTTCGTCACGGCGGCCAACCTTAAGGAGCCAACGAGGTGATTCGGGGAGGAAGACGATGCTGACCATAGCCATAGTAGATAGAACAATCTGGAAGGCAAATGGGAACCGCCATGAGACAGAGCTGTCTTCAACGAAGAAAAGGCCGAAGTCGATCCACAAGGCAAGCGTCACACCGGCACCAACAAAGATACCATCTGTTACGACATTCGAGCCTCGTTTGTGTGCAGGGGAAATTTCGGATTGCCAGACAGGAACGGTCGCAACATAGCCACCGATACCCAGGCCGAGAATGAGTCGAGCAACGATGAAATGAGCGAATTGGAAGGCCGATGCCATAAGAACCGCGCCGATGATGGTGATAAAATTAGTGAAGAAGATGACCTTTCGTCGTCCAAGAAGATCGCCCAGATAAACGCAAGAAAGTGCGCCGAAGATACCACCGACAGTGTAGAGTGCAATAACCGTGCCTAGTAAACATGATCTGTTAGGGATGATCACCATTTAAATTATATGATGTCATGTATAGAGCTGTTCACGAACCTTGAATAGTCGAATTTTCCTGTTGAGTAGCGCCCGTAGTGTTGATTGTGTCCATCTGTGGGAATTGGCGATTGAACGCGTCCAGTGTCAAGAGACCACCAGCCACACTCATATTATAACCGTAGCAAGTAAATGTCGGGAATACAACAAGCCACACTGCGGCTCTGAGGAGGCCATTGCCCCGGAAGCCCATGAATGGTTTCCCCATGATGGCGATGAAATGCGGCAAGCGGATCGATTGGAGATGTGAAGATGGTGTGAGTGTGGGGGATGGATGATTCGAAATAGATCACAGTTGCCGAACACTTCTGTTATATCATATGGATATGATGATATAGAAGGCTGGATCGTGCTATAGAAAGCGCTAGAGTGCTGCGCGAACTCAACACTAAGTACGAGGGTTGCAGTTTCGGTGCTCGCCGGTCCCCGGTGATCGACGACAGTGCCGACTTGGTGCATTTTTCCCCACAATTCCAATTGTGGAGGCGGCGGGATGCGACCGACCTCGGTAGAATGTTACAAGAATGCCTTTACAATGCCCCCGGGTCGCCCCATCCCGGCCTCAAAAGAGGTTGGTATACGGGGTATAGTCCGGGGTAGTGGCTTCTTGTGCTGCTCGTGTTGCTCTGTAATTTCCGGAATAGGTGTTGGGGTGCATTAGGGGCTTGGTCTATGGTCCCGATGGGTCTACGCCGAGACTTTTGAGTAAGAGATCGGATGGAGAAGGGAGGAGAATGGGAAAAAGTGGAAGACGAATGAAATCCGGGGTCAGAAGATCGATTGTCTTTTTTTGTACGAAGCACATGGGTGGAAACGATGATCACGCATGTAGTATGTATGCTTTAGTAGTTATCAACTCCACGCGGTCCCTATTTGATGTCATGGCCTCCGCTGCACGAGCCTGTAAAAACTCCCGTCTTACCGTTTCAGTTCCGGTCGCAGTCCCGGATCCCCTTTAGCGTGTTCAGCCGCTCTTCTTGCCATAATAAATTGAGAATGCATCTCGATTCTCGTTGGCAATACCACTCTTACCTAACGAGAAGTGTCGTTAAGGCGGCAGTTGTCAAACTAGGTTTTCCTATAGTTCTTGGAAAGGTCATATCCCTGCCGCCATCCACGTGTTTAGTGCAAAGTATCACAAGTGCCGGAGGTTTGCGAGTAGCGGTATCGGCGGTAGGGGGCGTTGGCCGAGCCTCAGGAGCTAGAATCGAGTCACATCTCAACGATTCTCCTCAACTCGTGAGATATTAACTTCCCTAGTCTGCTGCAGAAGAGAAAATTTAGGTATAATTCTCAGAATCTTTGTCTTGGATGACCCCTATGTATTTACGGAGTACGGAGTTCGGAGGGACGAATCATTGAATGCCGAGAAGCTAGCGGTCAATGTGACAGACAGTATTGGGGCCGTGCCATTTTGAGTTGCGATCGCAACTTTGTCTCGATCACAGATATATTTGGACCTCAGATCTCAGATCCCGCCTAGTGAGATTCTATGGGAGTTTTTCCCTTTTTTCCATTCCACAGTCCATCTCATTGTGGCAAAGAGACTCATGTCACAATTCGCCACCGAAAGTCAAGAAGAGAAACAGATTGTGGGGCCCCAGATCCCAATTCGTACAAAGGGAAGGCAACTGTCTCAGTGGGGTCTGAAATAATTCATTCATTTATGATTGATCTCGACAGCATCTTTCAAATAGCCGCTGTTTGTGTCAATTTGCACATGCATGTATCATTCTCGAGTCCGTCCCCCATAACGACCGCGCTTGAGCCTCGCCTCGACTCGCACGGTCGCAGTCGATTAGCGCAATTCGACTCAAACTCAAGGTTCAGCGTGGCGGCTGCAACCTTACAAAGTCCCACTTTCAGAGCCGGTCAAATGTTAAACCTCTTCCATGCCTTTTTGTATGAGCTTGGCTACTCGACATCAATGTCCTTGGCCAATGCTACTTTGTTCCGAGCCTTATACAAATCTGTTTACGTAGGCCTCGCGTGTTAAGACCAGAATTCCATCTCCGAATTCCCCCGCTTTCTGGTGACCCACGGGAAGACGGTGGAGCACCTCTTCCAAGCGAACTGCAACGAAGCGTAGCACCAGCCCGTGCTCCGGCCTCGGGCGTTGTACCCCGTAACGCCGACCGGGCTGGCTTTAGTTCCGGGATCGCCGAATTCGTATGATTAGGAGGAACTCTGAAGCGCTGCGTCTATTCAAATAAGCTCAGTCGTTGAACTTAAGGACTAGCATTCTACTTTTAAGGTGAATTCTAGGTTCAGTATCCACTGCTTCCTTTGCAGACATGCGCCTCGCAACTGGATATTTTCGCCCATACGAGATCTAAGCTCTTACAAGACCTAGAATTAGCTAGAATTAGGGTTCCGATCATCGCAATTGTGATATTGTAATTATTATGGAGCATCATCACCCTTCTGTCATTCTAGTCTAACACGGAAACGCCTCAAGATGAGAAAGCCGAGGTAATCTTTCTTGTAGCTCTTGTCGCTGATATTCCTATTCGTGACCCAAGAGAAATAAGAGAAGACGGTATTCCACAGCCTTGTATCTTCTTTCCAAGTCACACCCCATCGGACTTTGCTCTAGCCCCTCCCAATGTCAACTACTCCTTCCCCATGAGTCCATTCTCCCCATTCGCAAGCATCTCTTCAGAAATCGGTGAACCATAGATTGCTCAGTTGTGTTCCGTCATCGTACCAGTATCCACTTCGAACATATCCGCTGTAGAAGCAACGCGGAATCTGGCCGTTGTTCGTCGTGACGGTCACATCAACCTCATCGTTACCATTGAGATAACAATCGATTAGAGAGGTATAGTAAGCCTTGAGTTATATTAGCGAATTTCTTGGAAACGGAATAGCTGCCTATATACCTTCATATCGAAGCCATATGTGTCTGTCAGTTTGGTATAGACACTGCTATCCATCTGATTGTTGGCTCCACCGTATGGGGTTTGCCAGGCGTCGGAGACACACTTAATATCGATGGATGTTCAGTTAGCTCTCCGTTTTTGAGACGAAATAGGGAAGAAGATGTCAGGTGCGAAACATACCGTGGAGGGGTTTCCATCGTTGCAATTATGATCATTCGCTGGTCTGGACAGATAAAAGCAACGGTATTCACCATCTTTTGCTTCAAGCCAGTATGCTCCGGTCATAGTGCAGCCACTTTCGTTTGTGTTCTCTTCTCCTACCAAAACATACCAAGCCGTCTTCATCGCGACATCGACGAGCTTTTTCTCCTTTTGTCCAAAAGTCAGCTTTTATCTAGGGTGCAAGGTGGTCAAAACGTACGATATTGTCCGCAAAGTTATCGTAGGCTGCGACGAAGGATGAATTGTCCTTGTTCTCATCGACTAAAATCGTACTGTCTGCAAAGAAGCGGGCAGTGCCGTGCTCATACGTAGTCGTCGTATAGATGGGAAGCGCCGTAGAGTCGCCATTTCCAGTCGCGTTCTGCAGGATACTGGAGACATAGTTACCCGCAGCACCAACGATGTTCTTCAGCGTATTCTCCACTGAAGTCGCATCAACACTGTCACCTCCGGTGTTTGTCATACTCACGTCAGTCAATCCAGCAGCAGCGAATCCAACCATTCCACGAAGAGGCTTGCTCAGGTCAATACCGGTCGCAATTCCACCTGCCATACTAAAAGCTGCGGAAATCCACTTCGCCCACGTCTGATCGGGAGACACAGATGAAAAGTCCTTGGAAATCTGATCAATCGACAACCCAGCTAGCCAGCCAGTCCAAAGAAGCTTGTCGTGGACAACATTGACTTTGCTATGCAGCATGCCAACCGATCGAAAGACCCAGTATGCCATTTCAGAGGAATATGCTGAGCACATGGAGGATGGATCACAATCACTACCAATGTCTCCGCACCCAGTCAAGGGAGAGGTGCCCTCGCCAGGAAAAACAACTTCCCAGAGAGAGTCAACCCAGTCGCTTTCACCATTTGACAGGCTACCGAGCATGATATCTAGCCAGTCAATAGCACCGCTAGAATCAAGAATTGCCTGCACTCCATCGGTGGTAGAGCTGTCGCCAGCAGAGCAAGTAGTAGTGCTTCGTGCATTCACATGGGCTGCAGGAGCATTCTGGGGATGTGCTGCACTTGTTGCTGCAAGAGCGCCCAAGATGAGTATACCGAGCTTCAACATCGTATCGAGTTATTGATCAGGATATTGTGAGAGTGAACTGAGAGTAAATGGAAGAAGTGAAACTGAGCTGTGTTGTGTTTGACTCTGTCCAAAGTTGATGGTCGTGAGAGTATTTATACATGAATGAGTTCAAGTTTTTGTTGCCTGGGTCTATATCATACTCGGCAATTGCATCGCCATCGGCAAGACTCTTACGCAAAGCTAGTTGCAAAGAATATTTCAAATCCTGGATCATGTCAGCTTATAGACGTAATGAGTATTGTTAGTACACAACTCTCGCGGTTTTTTTCTGTTATTTTGGGGGCTTCTTGTGACATTAGGGCCAAGTCAATGAATTCTCTCTGTAAATTACATATTGGGGGCGATATAATGACAAAAAGGACGCACGCCAGGATTTTGGATAAGCGCTTATATTTCCCTTTTAGTCCACATGAGAAAGACTGTCTATTTCTCACAAGATTTTACAATTGGACAGTTCGTGTCTATTAGTTCAAAACGGCGATCGGCAGCACATATTTTATCATGTCAGCACTAATATGGCAGCAGGGCAATGGTCCACTTGGCTAATTAGGCTTATCGCCCCCAATGAGTTCAATCACCTATCATATCTCGTATTTCAGCCACATGGTCCCTTTTCGACCAGGTATGCTTGTTAGAAAATGAGAAGCGAAGCCTCGCCAAATTAAAGATCATCAAGTGGAGTATGATTTGAAATAAGCACTAATGCAAGGGGCTGAAGAACTTTGAAGATCTTCCAAATAACAGCATTGTCATTGCTCTCTGGCCAATTGATAATATTCATTTTTCCCTTGGGGCAATTTTAGAAAGTCCTGACCAGCTGGGAATTCAAACGTTGCCCGGTTGCCACACGCATGATCGGTAACTTGAAAAAAAAAAAAATTCAAATTTTGAGTCTTTCGAGGTTCTTGGGTGACCGCATTGGCATATCCGGCTCCTCTGTGTCCAAATACTTGTAGCAATCCACGATAGTACTGCTAGTAGGCTTTGCTGTAGCCAGTACTAGGCAGTACAACTTAGGGCTGCCAAAACTTGGAATACCACCCGAGCACGGTCGCTTATGCAAATTCCGAGCCGGTATTTGGCGATATCATTAGATCTTACGGGTCAAAAGTTTCTCCTTTTTACCAATGATGTCGAGCATTCAAATTTATATGAAATTTTCATATATTTTTCGAACATAGGCCCCGAATTTGTGGGATACCAGTCGCAAATAACCATTAGGTAGTCACTTGATGTGAATGAAAGTTTATGTAACCAGCATTTAAATTCGAAACAAAATCGAAGCCACTTGCAATATATTACGTGACAGGTTGCTCTGTTCAGAAGGATTGGAAGCTGTCAAAAAACACAAACGATCAAACAAATTTGTAGAACGATTCATCAACAATTGATATGTAAGAGTTCCCGAATGAGTATGTAGTCCACCAATATCACCCTAAAATTGGCCCTTCGAGGCGTAAGGCACGGTTCCAAAATCCTTCTCCTCGTCGGCAGACTCCACCGAGAGGCATTCCTTGCTTTCGAAAATTCGGGCGACCTCTTCCAGTGTTCTGTCTTGGGTTTCTGGGAATAAGAAGTATACAGTTGCCATGAAGAAAGCGAGGCAACCTAGGTACAGAGAAAAGTACCTCCAGTGAAGAACGGAGAATGCCACAGGGTTGACGTATTGATTGAAGAAGCAGGCCAGCGAGTCGGTTGTGAGAGTGATGGCGAGTCCTTTTGCTCTGAGCTGAAACGGGAGGATTTCCGCGGGGTATGCGATGAAAAGGGGCATGTAGGCAAAGTCGTATGATGCACAGAAAAGGAAAAGCATCGGAACTACCGCGATTCCAGCTTCGATAATATGGAGCTCCGCGAAAAGACCTGTCATCAGGGTTATTGTTGCCAGGAAAATCATCATTAATGTTGTCGAGCTCAGCCACAGCACTCGTCGGCCATAGCGATCAGAGGTGCTTGCACCACCAACTGCAAAAATCAAGTTCCAGACTTGCAAGCTCAGATTGACGGCCGACTGGTGGACGGAGTCTTTGATTCCGACGGAGGATAAGATTGGTGCAAGGTAATAGGAGATGATGCCTAGATGAGCTGGTCAGAAAGTGAATTACTGATGCATGAATAGGAACTCATTCTTACCGTTTCCAGTCCATTCTTGCATGAATCCCAAAAGAATACAAATTGCCAGTCGGTGTGCGTCACCCTTTGTTCTCAGAAATGCGCTCCATTGGGAAGCTGACTTCAAATCCTCCTCTGCACTGATGCTGCTGCAGATCTGATCATACTGCTCCTGTACCACCACATCTTCCCGATTCCCATTCCCATGGTATCTTGTGAGCATTGCCAGTGCTTGTCCTTTCCGACCTTTTGAAACCAACCATCTTGGACTTTCTGGGATGACACAAACAGCCACCAGTTGTAAAGCTGGATAGAGAATCTGCATTAGGCATGGAATGCGCCATGACCAGCTATTTTGAATAGATAAGGTGGAGAAAGCAATTCCAGCAGCTGTAATTGAACCACAGAACCAAACGGCGTTGTATAAGCCCGTGAGCTTTCTTCGCTGCCGTGGATGGGCTGACTCGGCAATCAAAAGTGGCGCAGCAGTCTGCGAAATACCAACTCCCATGCCGGTAACTACTCGAGCACCGAAGAAGGCCCATGGGTGGGTCACAGCGGTTTGAACTATTGCTGCGATCATGACTAGCAGAGCCCCAATACTGACACATGCTCGGCGTCCCATGCGATCGGCAATATATGAGGCGGGGATGAAGGTAAGGAAAGATCCCAGCGAAACGGAGGCGATGATGAGACCTTTGGCACTAGCGTTGAGACCACTCAAAAAGAACGCGACTTCTCATGGTTAGTATGTGAATAGGAGACTGCTTTCAAGGGGAACTCTCACATTCAGGCAGGACAAGCAAGCTGTTGATTTGGCTCGCATTATAACCGGCGGTAGCTGATGCCGACAACATCAGAGTGATGCCGACATTCAGCTGTCGCAATCCCTTGTTGGTCGAAGTGAACGCCATCTTTTCGATGATGATGGCCGCCTGAGTGTTGAGCTCTAGCAACTAGCTTTATGGTCTACCTTTTTGTTTTATAAGCTGGCGGACATTTTATCGGACAATTTTAGACATCTACATTCCTCGCCATTGCTCTCGCCGATCCTGCCGGTTAAGGTCACGGTGATGCAGTGCAGGATCTGGAATGTAGGGAGAAATCCCTCCCAACGAATCACGAGAATCATTTCGAAGAGCTTGTACCAAAATGTCAGAAACTTAGGAGCTTCGGGATGACGATATGCAAGGACTTTGTTAGCTAAATACAGGGAATTCGTGAAAGCTATAGCAGAGGAATTACCACGCGGCCCTTTGGATTTCGATTGTACTTTTCTACCAATGGGCTAGGACATTATGTAGCTATTGATCATCCGGCTCAGTGATATCCTTTCCCTCGGGTTCCGGAAGATGTAATTATGTTCCGCGGTGGCCGCCACGAGCTCCAACATAAAATATCGTCTCTTCACGTGTCCTGTTGTCGGAGTCACAACCAAATATTTTACGGACAAAAGTCCAACTCACAAAAAAAGGAGGGGATAAAAGCACCGAAAATATAGTTTCAACCAAAAGAAGCAAAAAATAAAATTAAAACATACAACAGCAGGGATTCGCATGTGGTCACCCACCATACTACTAACCTGCCGGCGTGTGGCTTAAGTACGGCTGAGCGGACGGGAAGCCCTGTTCTCCACACCCTATGGTCGTATGTACCAGATCTAGAACAATCAGGAATATAGTGGATTTGGCGGTATCAGACCCAGAAATAATGTTAAATTTAACGATCAATCCATGAGCCTACCGAGAGAAAAATAAAACAGGGGGTGCTTATTGTATCATTATGATGATTTATTTGGCACGGTCCTCGCCCCTTGCCAATTAGAGCGGAGTTGCTACCCTAGGGATAAGCATTATGTAAGCCTAATCATGATATCTACCTACCAAGCTAGCATCATATGTAAAGGGTGCCTGGCACCGTACTTATGATCCATGTAGCATTGGACAATGTCAGGAAAATTCCACGGTTGACTCATGACTTAGGCGGGGCTCCAGGGCTTTCTCTGCCAACTTCCAAGGTTCCAAAGCTAGGTCCCCAGGGGTCTTCAAGATCGGATCCATCCATCTCCAGAGCTGCCCAGTTGGTGCTAAAACTTTGGATTGGGTCACAGTGTCGGTTGCCCTCCAAGCACCAGTATATATTAGTATAGTACTAACATAGTACTACTAGTATCTATTAGCTTGGAGACTGATGAAATAGACGACTACGGGTGCTAGGAAGCAGCCTTGCATTCTCACTTATGTTCCCGAGGCCTGGATGATCATGATCAATTTCAGGTTGCGTGATGTTCAAGTTGATACATAGTATTCATTTCGTGTTTGCGTACTAATATATAGTCACCTACCCACCTGGGCAGGTATGCAGCGATAGCCGGACGGCGGGCGTCAATCCCATCGACTCCAGCGCTCGAGATTTCAAAACACTAACTTCGAGGTTGACAAGCTTAGAAGCTTGACATTGGGCCATTCATTTGAAAAATACGAACAAATTAATATCAAGAAATCAACAATTTTAAATTGCAGAAAACGCGAAACGGTTGATACTAGTACATAGTAAAATTCACGCAACTTCAAGTTCATGGATCGGTCGGAATACCACAGCATCACAGAAACTTGAAGAAAGAGCCAGCTCTCAAGTAACAAAAATTCAAAATAAAAATCATTCCCCACGTTCATCATTCGAGAGATTCCCCGGTTTATCGTGTCACATAAGATCCGAATGCTGGATCTCTTATTGCAGGCCCTTTGCGCAATGCATGCTAGATTTTGCGAGGCTACCCAGTATTCTATCGATTGTCTCGGGTGGAGCCTCTGGCATGGCTTTGTGAGCCATCGTTGCTGCACCTGGTCGCTTTCCCTGTTCTGATTCTGCAGGTTCATCGAAGGATAATTGCATGATTTTCTTATCCATGACCCGTTTCAACTTGCCCATGTCGTCAGGACTCAATTGATATTCGTTGTTCATATTGTCCAACTCCTTGTTCATGCAATTCATAAGCATGTCGTGTTTCGAGACAGGCGCTGCGGTTATTTCGACAACACACAGGAAGCCTAGGAGGGAGAGTTTGCAAAATTGCATGTTGGAAACTGATAGAAGGATATTGAGCTTGAGTTCTAAACTTTGAAGGTTCCAAGGATTTTTTGATATCTTGGATTTTTGTTCTTATAAAATTATCGCGGACTCGGACACGAACATTGTTATATACAAGTACTCTCAAAATGTATACTTGCTACAATGTCCTAAGTCCCCGCCCTACATAAATGTGTTTCATCATATTCCATACGATCTGCAGGATTATGAGGTCAATTGTATCATCATTAGCGTCAAAATGGATTCCAGGTGAAATTGAAAACCTGGGGAATTTTTCTTAGCCATGCGATTTGCTTAGTGCTCTGCCTTTTAAAATCGTACCCGCGCGAGGAATTAAAGTTCAATTGGCATGAAGACAATGGCCATTTCTCTTTACATGGATGTAACCATAAACCCTTGGTCAATCTTTTAGATCTGCTGCGGATTCATCTCCGGCTAGCCGACGATGCGGAGTTTGTATTACACATTTCTATCTACCTAAGATTTTACCGCCGATTGTAACTCACCGCAGGGGTAGAACTACAAAGATCTCCACTCAACCTAACTCCCTGCAGTTAAAGCTAGCTCTGTGTATGAATGCCGTATGCCAAGACCCAAAGAATGTCTTCCACATTCCGCCCAGCCTTGTGGATGATACCTCGATCAAGCTTACTGCCTTGACAAAATGAAGACAATTATTTGGGCTCATGGGAACCCCCATTCGGAATAGATTTCCGGGTAGATTCCTCCAATAGACTCTAGTCGAATAATTCGCCCCTGTGGGGGCGACTACAAGAATGAGCATCCTCAATCAAACCCACGCTCCTCACCTAATTTCCCCTCAATTAAATCAAAGAACCTAAATTCTTAGTAGCCGAAGCGATGCACTTCATAAGACATTATTCCAGATGGCCTAAATTAATTGTCATTATGATTTTATAACACGACGATCAGTGACTTGGGATATTTTCATCCATCGATAGCCGATATAATTTGTCCATCCCCAGTATATCTCCAACGGTTGACATATAGGTTTCCACCATCGGGACATTTTGATGCAGATCCTGCACCATTGCAAGTAGCATAAGTACCGATTAAACTTCCAACAAATGTACCACTACCGCCACTAACGAGCTGGGCAGAAGCAATTCCAATCTTCATGGCAGCACCGGGGATAGATAAGGGCATGGCGGAAAACTCGTAATGAGTCTCGTTCAGCGTCTTGACCTGGAGCCTGATCTTGCCTCCAATCCAGGAATGTGGGACAGGAACAGTCTTAGGCGGTGGAGGGTTCCCCGGAATGACCGGAATATTATCCATAGTACTAGCTTCAGTTCTGAAACGAAAATAGAGCCGAGGTGACTGGTGATTCTTAGACGATGAATCTGAATTGAGAAGCACAATGCCGAGATCAATGTGGTTCATCTGGGTCAGAAAAACAGTTACTCCGGCTTCTTGGTCCACCGAAATTGGATTGAAATCGAGATCGACGGAATATGTGAAAAGTGTGTCAGTCTGACGACGTCCAATGAAACCAAGCCCATTCTGTCCACTCAGGAGAGAATTCCCAGGGATGCCTGTCAGATTGCTCCTGCTTGGAACAATACGGAGCCCTTTTGGCGTCACCGAAAAACTGTCTTTTGCAGGAACTCTGAAGTGGACAAGATTCCTTGGAATTTGAGAACCAAGTCGGAAGTCATAGACATCAGGGTCGGAATTGAAAGGCCCCTGACCTGGAATATTTCGAGTACGTGACGGCAAGGGCCATCCTGACATTTGACCTCTGACCCGTTCAAGAATCGGCCACTGACCCCTTTCCCAAGTAACAGGGAAAAGAACTGTCTCTCGACCCATTGGATAGAATTTCCAAGAGGGGCCTCCTCGGGTTGCCAAGGATATTCCCCACCACCTTCCATCACCATCCTGAAAAAGATCGGCATGCCCAACGGTTTGAAAATATTCGTCGGTACCCCGGTTTGTCAGAATAGGGTTATTTTCATATGATTCATAGGGCCCCTGAATCTTGGTTGATCTGGCGATGCTGACTGAATGATTCAACTCTGTTCCCCCTTCGGCAATGAGAAGATAGTAGAATCCGTCTTTTTTGTAGAGATGAGGACCTTCAGGATAAACAGCACCGGTGCCATTCCAAATGTTGACGGGCTCACTCAGATCTCCAGTCTTGAGATTGATTTCTTGAAGAGTTATGCCTGACAGGACACTATAAACCTTACCATCATCATCCCAAAATAGATCGGGGTCGATTGAAGATGCATTGAAAGTAACGGCATCGCTCCAGGCAGACTCATCATAAGGATTCTTCGAGGTGTAAAGAACGCCAGTCTCGGCCGGCGCACCGAGATAAACGCATATAACGTAGAAAACACCATCGTGATGACGGATGGTCGCTGCATAGTGCCCCAACTGCTGGCCGGTAGTTCCCGCACTGTATCCGGGCAGCTGGCTCTCGCGATTCCATGTATGACTTACAAGCTTCCAATCGAGAAGATCCTTAGAAGCATATATTGGAAGACCTGGAAAGACATCGAAGGTCGAGGTCACACAAAAAAAGGTATCACCGACCCTAGTGCATGACGGGTCTGAGTGCCAACCTGGTAAGACCGGGTTCTGGTAGCTGGAATTTTGCATGGCTATGCAAGGGGTAATCAGGTAAATCAAAAATGACACCCATAAACCCATTGACCGGTGCATGACTGTGGGGTTTGTCCCAAAATGTGGTGAATCTTTTTTTGTGGATTCATTGAAACCTTGTGGGATTTTGATTTTGGGAGAACTGGCGTTTTAATAGCATTTGCCGCTGTCTTATGAATTCTTTCTCCTCTAAAGGTGCTGATGTCATGTTGAAGTCCTGAACTCCAGACCCCGCTTCCCGGATAAACTGGCACATTCCTCTTGACGATATTACCAAATTGCTCTTGACCTCAGATGTATTCCGGTGGGCTATGTAAGAGAACATAGGAATCAAATGAATGTGAGCCGATCCTTCCGGACGGGGGAGGGGCGACTCAAGACTCAAACATGCTGTGCTTCTTTTTTTGGGCTATCCAATTGGTCGAATCGATGTCTCATTCTTCTTGGGGAATCTTCAAGGTAGATCAATTAAAATAGCGCGAGGGGTTACCTGTCAAGCTACCCCGCTTTAACTCAGCCTAAAGTGCTGCATGCATCTTCTCGGTATCTTGTGCAGAGAATGAACAATTTTTCCTTCCAATGTTTTCCAGGCTAAATTTCATGGGTCTGCCCAAGTACATCAAGGGTAAATGTGATACCGACCGCCCTGCACTCACATACTATGTAATTTAAGCATCCTCAGGACGCATCTATTAATTCTAGAGGTAGCCCATCGCTTGCTTTTACATTCTATTTATATTTTCTGGCCATTTTGACAGCGCGGCTAGCGCTTTTACCATTTTAATGATAACCTAAAAGGCCCGGACATACTTTCAGCATGTAGTCAAATTGCGGTTATGTAGATAGTCCTTGCTGTGGAGGTGTTTATGCCTCAGGCATCGAGATCGCCACCATCTTTCAAACTAAAATTGAATACGGGTTGTCTAGTGCTCAGTGCGTATGTAATGAGTTATGGGTGGGTGGATATTTCCTTATTCAGGTCCAATTTTTTATATGAGTAAATATCCATTTTTCAATCTCATTCTAGCTCCGATATTTGTGTCCGAACAACCACAGAAGTCAAAATGTGATGACATAATCTAGCCAATAACTAATAATGTGCTACAAGGGGCTCACTAGCGCCAAGGTGACTGCTTTCAATTTCCAGAGAACTCTTGCCCGAAGGAGTTTCTCCATTTTCGGGTAGTTGTACTGATTCCTTCTAATCTTTGAATGAATGACTTCAATAGTTACACAATTCCGGTACTTTTTTGTATGATTAACCGCCTGGAAATCCAATGTCATTCCGATGCGTAACTGAAGAAGACCGCCCGGGCACGCTACGAAGAGTTGCTGTCAGATCACATGCCCACTGGCAGGTGAATGACTATGTTCATGGGTTCCATTCACTCCCACATGAGAGCCAGAACTTGTAGGAATCTAGATACACGAGTCCAGTCAAATTCTCCGGTTCTCATAATTCTAGACCACGCGATCGACCTCAATGTTGTAGCGGCTTTGATTTCTACCCAACAACAGATTTTCCGGGGACTCCCTTCGTGGGAAAGTGGGCCACACAAGGGGATCCATATTGTAAACTAGTCTCACTAGATAGGATAACATAGCCGTCGCCAGAACCCAGAAATTCTCAGCGGAATGGACTCGGTGAGATCAAAAATGGTATAGAACAGCGGGTCTTGGATAGGAAATATGGATCTCTCAAGGACTTTTCAAAGGGATTCATGTGGACTACCCGATCGGGTATCCACAGCGTTGCGAGTTCACAAGCAGCCGAGCATTGAAGATTCTGGTGAGGGCGGGGCAGTTGTGAGTCGCCAAGAAAATGCGGGATTTCGGATCACAATTCATTTGAATAGGGCTGCAGTTTTAAAGATGAGAGCAAACTCAGATGTCCAGTGCATCACGTTGCGATGGCAAAGCCATCAATGTCATCGCAATTTCCCTCTTCAATTTTCCCTCTTGGTATACAGCATTGTTTACCATAGATCCTATTTCACATGTAATTTGCCTTTGTCCCTGCGGATGGTGTCCAGGAAAGACAAGCGAGCCCAGGCACAAGACATCCTCCCACGGATCGATTGTAGGAATTTGAAAATGAGAATTGAAAATGCAAGGAGCTGATTGGTGCATATCACATCCTGCCCTGCCAAGATCCCGAACTGTTGTCTGATTCGTCAAAAGCACTGATATTACACCACCGCAATTCAAATATACCCCACAGTGTCTCCATATTTACTAAGCAGACATCCAATCGCGCTGCTTTTATCTTGCCCTGGACCACAGGTCAATACACCGTGGCGCATGCAAACTCAATACAAATTTAGCCAGAAAACACACAATCCTTCCTGGGCGAGAGGAGACCCCAAGAGGAGTCTAGAGTACATTCGACAACATTGGCATTGCACATGAAGTCACACCCATGACAATCTTGTCTCATCTGGAGAGGGAAAAGCACCTAGATAGGGATGAAGGAACAGTCCGAGCCCTCTGAGAATTGGGCCTCAGGTCTAGCCCATGTCACAAGCCGCTAGTGTTCGGGCAGACGACCGGATCGTCACCGAACTCCTCTGCCGGCCAAGAGGCCCACCACACTCGACTTGAAGCTGATCGCCCGTTTAGCCAGTAGAGACTCGTCCACGCCGTGAAAACTTTGATAGAATCCACTCTGCAGCATGCGTCTTATTGCTGACGAGACCTAGCGAAAATTCCACCTAGGTACTTCGTACGTGGCTTGGTTCTCTTTTGAATTAGGACGATAGAATTTCGCCTTATGCCGCTTTCTAAGCACGTCAAATCGCCTTTGGGAGTCGGTCTTGGTCGTTCCAAAGAAGACACGACAAGGGTTCAACCACATGCAATAAAGATGTCCCAAGACCAGACGCTTTGTCCAGACTCAACCCAAGGGCCACGCCGGGTACCCCTTACTATCCACTTTTGCAACGCCCTTGGTCAATCCACTTGTTCCAACAAACGCAATTCACTAGAAAACTGGGGGCTCTACGAATGATGAACTCCATAAGGCTTTCAACGCCTCCATCTACCTCCGGGACCACACGTACACCAATGACGGTTGTCACCGTTGGAATTCGCTCGTCAACCAGTGGATATAAGGTTCACCTCCGATGCTAGCGCCAATCGCCAGACTCATTGAAAGCCACGCTCCACTCAGAATGACCCAGAATGGCCTGGCCACACGTCAATCCCACGGCGTCGGCCCTTCTGGAACCAACGCCTTTCAATTCTATTCGCACACTGACGTACGTACAACCCTGGCGTCACTCCCCATGGTTGATTGTTCAGGTACCAGGCACCGTGGATTGTGACTGGATTATGGGTCTTTTTTGTGACGGCGGAGGCGAGCGTGGCGGCGCACCACAAAGCCCTTTTGCGTCTCAGAAATAATATTTATACCTGCGTTTCGTCCCTCGATGAATGATTCTGTTTCACACCACACTCTCTTTTTGCAAAACGAACTACACTCTTTTAGTTCCATCAACCAGGAAGTTTCACACTTCTGTCATTCTTTTATACAGTTGTCCTTGAAACTCTTCCCAGACACACTCTTTATATTTCACAACTTTCTCAGTTGTTTTACAATCTCTACCATCAAAATGCAGTTCACCAAGTCTATTCTGCTGCTGGCAGCTCTCACCACCGGCTCTCTCGCTCGCCCTCTCGAGGGCCACGCCCGCCGCCAGACTGCCACTGCCACCTCATCCAGTGCCTCTTCCGACTGGACCAACACCCCGTCAAGCGGTTCCTACTCGACTTCGGGCTTTGGTGCAGTCACCACTGCCTCCGGTAACGGCATTACTTACTCCGGTAACGTCGGCAGCCCATACGGCAGCAACATCATCGAGGTCGACTCCTCGGACGCCAGCCAGTACCAATACGTCGTTCAATTCACCGGCTCCAACACCGATGACTGGACCGTCGCCATCTGGAACAAGTATGGCTCCGACGGCTCCATGGACGGCTGGTACGGTAACGCGGTGAAGACCTTCACCCTCGCCGCCGGCGCCACAAAGTACATCGCCTTCGACCAGGACTCTCAGGGTGGCTGGGCCGCCGCTGAGGGATCGACCATCCCCACTGACTCCAACGGTGGCTACGCCTCCACCTGGGGTGAGTTCGACTTCGGTTCTTCCGGCAACTCGGCCTGGTCCGGCTTTGACGTGTCCGCCATCGCCGCCCAGAACGCCAACCTGTCTGTCCAGGGTATGCAGATCTGCGACGCTCTTGGCTCGACTTGCTCGTCCATCACTGCCGACGCTGCCACCGTCAGCAACGCCTACACTACCGCCGAGACCGATATTGGCGGCATCGGTGGCAACCTGTCTGGTGGCGCTGTCCGTCTGGCTGCTACCATCGACTACAGCAGCTAAACGGGCTGTGAATGGTGTGAGATGCAGATTTTGTGATTTTGTTTGCTTTGCAGTTTTAAATAGACTTTAGAACGCCTTTTGTTTCAGCGCGCGCTGGGGTCGCGGCCGTGGACGAGATGATGACCTTGATCTATACCCAGTTGGTATTTTCTTTTCCTTTCTTTGTGGATATAGAGACTAAGGCAGGCCCTTTTTTGTTACGTCTTTGTTTCTTATCATGACCAACCAACATACCAGACTGGCTCTTTGAAAAGTTTCCAAACATCCTTGTAGATTAAATTAGAATAGCTCTTTCTTTCATTATTGACTCTCGAAGCTGTATAGATTAGAATAGGGCTATAATGCCGTTGTGTTGTGGCGTATGACCACATCATTGCATACGCGGCCGAGCAGGGGTCCACTTACCCGTTTAGGCGATAGTGCGGCGAACTCGTCACTTTTGGATCAGCGGCAAGACCGGGCTTAGAATGTGTTAAATCTCGTCTATGATTTTATTACATTGGTTATTATTCCCCGTGTCTCATGTAGGTTTCGAATCGGTGGGTGGCCGCTTATCTCGAATTGATGTTTGCCTAGAGCAGCATCCGAAAAATTGCCGATCCTGGATGAGGAAGAAGAAGCGAATAGAAATGCGGACTTTGACAGACACCAGATGTATTATTTTTGTGATAGAACCATAGGCTGCACAATCAACGATTAGGAACTAGAATTACTGGATATCGAAGTGCTAGTATACTATTCTTGTTCTATCTCCTAGATCATAGATCAGGGGGTAAGAGTCAAGTAGATCGCTCAGAGCTCTACGTAAATTGGAGGACCTTTCAAGCTAATTCTTGTATGATTCGCAATATGGGTATGTTTTAATGTACAACTAATTCACAAAAAGAATCCCCTCAAACCGGCGTGGTCCACCACTGCCGGCTAAAAACAGGCATACACTTCACCTGGGGCGGAGGGGCCTTCTGCCATTTCACCATCTCCTCATCTTTACTATATTGAGTATGACCGACAATCTTATCAACATAGCCGCGCTTATCCTTCGCATCACGGGCGCGGTCATACTCATACGCGACATTCACAGAAGGCACAGTGAGAACCTTGCCCAAACCGAGACCCCACAGGTCCTTGGCGAGAGTCATCGGCTCACCCATGTAGCACTCGTCCTTCTCCGAGCTGCGGAATTTTACCTTGCCCTGGATAAATGGCTGCGCGTCTAGAGTGACCATTCCACCCCAGCAGGAATACACCTGTATGGGAAGAGAATGGCCCCAGCGAGTTGCGCTGTCGGGGTGGTCGAAGAACATATCATCGGCCAGCCAGTGCTGGCTATCGTGAGTGACCTCAAAGAAAAGGTTTCCCGACATGGAGCGCGAGACCCAAGAATCGTAAAATGAGCCCCCGTTCGCATTCCAGTCAAAAGCGCATGTCATTATCGCAGACTGGCGAACGCGCTGATGCAATAACTCGAGAATATCTTCCGGGCAAAGCACGACATCATTGATAAAGAGGATCGTCGGATTCGGAGCGAGAATTCCTTGCTTGTTGTTCCCCTCCTCGATTAGCGGTTGAAGCGCTTGGTTGCGGAGGTGCGATAATGCGGTGATTCGATTTTCGCCCGAGGCTTTGGGGTCTAGGGAATTTCGAGTAAGGAAGTAGGGCACGCCCATGGCGTTAAGTTCGGCCTTTAAACCGGCGAGAATCGCATAAGTTCCGTCCGTCGAACGACCCTCCACAATAGATAGAGCGCAATACTCTGGTCCCAGAAAACGCATTGTTTCGATGATAGTCCCCATAAGTGGGAGGATAATGTGCATTGCTTGGTATAGGTCCAGCGCGAAGTAGTATTGGATCTGGGGGGAGGCGGAGGGAGATGGTCGGAGATGGTTGTAGCGAGAGTCAATGGATGCAGCGCAGTCCAGTTTCGCTGTGAGGTTCATATCGTGATGCATGATGCTGCAGACGAACTCGGAAATGTCGGCGTTGTTGTAGGTATTCTTTTCGAGCTTTATGGCTGAATTCAACTTTTCAGCAATGGGCGCTGGGTCGAAGTCGATGCATTGCGATTGATTACGTGTTTGGGTCGCTAGGTCCATTATTGACGGAGAGGAGAGGGAGGAGGAGGACGACGACGACGAAGATGATGATGCTGGCAGGATGTTGAGATAGAGCCATACTGTTATAAGAAGACCACCCGTGGCAATGACAAGCTGCAGGAGTTGTCGTTGAGAAGGCCTCCAGCTTATTTTGGATCCAACTAGGCGTACGGCGGATTCCATCGCTTGGTATTTAGACCCTTGAGCCCCGGGGCCCAGCATGTTAGGAGATCCTTTGTAGTGGCGTGCTGATCAATGTATAGGTGGGGAGGGTACGAATCCGGGGTTCGAAGATCAAAGAAACCATAGGGCTGAGAACGAGCGACAGAGAAACCAGAGATCCTGAAGGAACACGAGGGTATCGAAGATCTGGGAGGAGTGGAAATTTAAATCGGGAGGACCGGAATTGAATGATCGACCCATGTTAAGAGTCCCCATTATTGCTTCGCCTTAACGCAGCACATTAGGCTCCGCCATTAGTCGATGAACATTCATTCGGGATCGCATAAAGCGAGCCTCTAATTGGACCCAAATCCAAATTTAGACCCGCATCCAGGCTTATCCCACCTTATCTCTTTCACCTTTGAGCTTTCGGAGCCTCGCCAAAATACGCCAAATCACGCCCTAAACCCAGTTGGAACTCGAATGGGCGCCTTATTGCACCCACACTGCTTACCAAAAAGGTTAATTCATTTACAGAACGCGTGCTCTGAGCCACGACATGGCACACGTGGCCCTGGAGTCTCACAGTCTGTAAGACATCCCATTCCATCCCATCTCGGTACTCCGCCGGGGTCCCTTCATGACACAAACGGATGATGGAACGGCCCGTGGAATTTCCCCACGGCACACATTGCGAGATAGAGGACTTGTTAGTGTTGATTTCTTTTACATCTCAGGCGGCACCTCAGTCAATAGTCGCACTTTTAAGCTGCACTGGTTGCGGGGCCACATCTCGAGCCGAAAAAAATCCCGATCGCGATCGCCACCTCTATCGCCTCTTTGGTACTAGATAGCATGTCGTTCTTTTTAACTAGCGCGTGCAATTCCTCCTCGTGGGTCTGCACTGTCGGCAATGTTTGCAGACTGGGAAGTAGCGAAGATTTTTTTAATCTCCGAAGGTAGAGAACGTGGTTAAGGCTATGCGAAATGGAAAATGTGAGTGGCGGGAGAGAGAGAGAGAGAGAGAGCGAGTGCAAGATTACCAGAAACCCAAGACGGGAAGAATGGACGAGTAACTGCCTGAGGCAACAATCCACTCAACGAACTCCAACCAGCTTCTGGAAGAAGGAAATGCCAGTGACAATAAGCATTCCGATCGGGATTTTCCTTATTCATAGCCCTAATCGGTCACAAGATTATTCTTCGAAGGTGATTTCACCTGTAGCGTAATGAACAGCGACAATGAAGCAAGCTCTAAAATCATCCATTTTAAGATGCTTGCTTGGCTGTGCCTACCTCTATAGTCTCAATTCAATAAAGCCATCGTCTGCCTATTCGTTGATCTTATTACGGAAAATTGTCTGGGGGTATTATTGCAAACGCGATCACCAAATGAAAACCTCTATACGGCCCTTTTCTGGCTATTTTTGTGCCATTGAGCGGGAGGAAACGAGAGAGCATCTTCCAAGGTTGTTGAATATATTCCTTTACTCTGCTAGATCTGATACATACGACCATAGGGTGTGGAGAACAGGGCTTCCCGTCCGCTCAGCCGTACTTAAGCCACACGCCGGCAGGTTAGTAGTATGGTGGGTGACCACATGCGAATCCCTGCTGTTGTATGTTTTTCTTTTTGCTTCTTTTGATCTTTGATATGCTGGGTTTTATTGCCCTTGCCGCTTTACCTTTCAGCCCTTGGCTGAACGCCCTGAACAGTGGCCCATCGGCTAAACTTCCCCTCCCACCCTTCTTTCCGCTTGTGTCCAGTCCCAGTTTTTGGTGGCCTGAACTAAACCTGATCGGAGCTAACCACCACATAAGATAAATTCACCGTGGCTTATACAACTGTCTATCCAGTCTTAGTTATGTTATCCCCAAGGGACGCTGTGAGTAATCTAACCATAGAAGATCTGCAAGATTCAAGTGCTCATTCCTATGTTATCTACTAAAATTAAAGATGCTCTTGTGGCCTAATACATAGGTTTCTTCACTAGTTAGAACTGAATTGAACTGGTATTTTTTTTTTTAAAAAAATAACCCGTGTGTTAAGGGCCTGGGGGTTCTTTAATAGGACAAAGGTCAACTTTCTTAGGTCTATTAAGTCTTAGGTTCTTATGTTGTTTCCTACACGGCTCAAATTGGTTGATGCTTGTCCAGCTATATATGGCTATATCCAATCTAAAAGAATGCTTATGATTGCTTTATTTCTATAGAAGAACAAGATATGATTAGATCAGTTTTTTTTACAATTAGTAGACTTGTTTATAGGTAGAGGAGTGGTCTTTATAATAGTATTTAATTATTACGTAAAGAGAGAGAGTGTGTGTAATTAAGTCTTAGCTTAGCTATAGATTTTAGCTAAGATGATTTTCTGTCTATATAGGATTCTGATGTAAATTGCCCCAATAGAGCTTGATATATTTAATATTTTTATTATCCACTGGATATCTATTAGGATCTATAATCCGTAAGTTGCGGAGTGGATTGATTATAGTATGTCCAAGGATCCTGCCCTAGCCTAATTCGTAAAGTGGGTGTTCGTATTTAGCCCTGGTTAGCAGATTGCTAACTAAGACCTAAATATATAATTAGGTGGTAGCAAAATGCCAAATAAAACCATGAATTTTGATCTTGGTTAAGTAGGTTAACTATGGTCTTATTTGATCGGTACTGTAGTCTATCTAGGTCTTAGGTTTGGCTTCCTCGATGATAACCCGCCTATGGATTTGCTAACTAAGACCCAATCTAACCTACGGAATAAGTTTTCGTAGGCGGGTTTTGGTGAGATCTAATTCGAGCCAATAAAATTGTGACTCCTCAAGAATTTATAATATTATATATCTATAATGTAACCCTTTCGAAGAAATGTGAGGGAAGGTATGGAAGCTTACTTGATAAAAAAGCTCAGTATTTGCCACTACGGTATGTTTGCTTTGATAACCCATCTTTAAGGCTCTTTCTAGTATCTTGTACAGTTTTTAGGGCAAAAAAAATAGGTCTCAGTCTGAAGGCGATAAGACTAGCTTCTAAATAGGTGGACTGAATGACTAGCGCGCAACGTGCTGTATCAGCCACCTAGCTATAGGCTATACACTTGGAACAGAATATATCCTCTTCGAATCAACATAAGAATCTGATGATATGAGTGGCTAAGGCACAGACTGGCATGTATCCATGTATACGCAGTCAGCAGTGTATAAGGTAAGGCGTGCCTAGGGCTTCCTCTTGTTCTCCCTTATCACCTACCACGTTTCACTCACTATAATAGCCAGTTAATTATTATAGATATATTTTCTATGCTTCATTTCCCTTTGGTCCTACCTTTACTCCGATCAAGATTACTTATGCTCTATCTATTTCCAACATGCCCACAAAGATCCCTATCACTGTAAAGGTTAGGGCTGACATCAAAGTATTTATTGATGGTCTTAGAGACAGCAAATTGACTGCCTTACCTGAGTACGGGGGCTATCTTAATATAGGATATTCAACAAACTATCGATTAGATCGCTAGTGGGTAAGGGGTCAAAGCTTATTCTATATATATATACAGGAAGCTAATATTAAATTCTCTTTATAGCTTACCGATAAAGAAACCTCAGTAACACAACTTACAGATTCACGTCAATAATTAAGCAAAAAAACCTATACCAGCTAAGGGGCTCTAGGGTAGGACTGTATCAATAGTACTCGTGCCTATAGATGGTTCGTGGACAGCACAGAAGATTCGAGATGTGCTTAAAGCAGATATTGTTGAAAGTGCTTGAGGATGTATTATAAGTAAACTTCGATGTGCTGTCGTTCGTGAACACACGTATACACTATAACATCGAAATCTTAGGACAGGATAGGACGGGTACTAGTCAGACAAACATTTGAACGACCCAGATTTGGAGTATTAGTTATTAATCCTTATTTGAGTTTATGCTTTGAATTAAGTTGGTTTCATGGATGAATTAGGGATACAAAAACTCCTCAAATAAGATAGAGACCTTTGTATGTAGGGTCATATACCCCTCTGATGATGAATCATAAATTTCTTTTGTATTCTATTTTGTATTTAGCGAGATATTTCTATGATTGTATTAAGATTTTCTGTGTTAATACGTTCTGCTCACAAGGCCTGTTATATTGATAGCTCAGCAACCTAATTCCGCACGTAAACTATTGGGATTTTTGTTACCAGAAGCTACCTTTTCAATCTACTCCTAAATTCTAGGACACCAAAGTATATTATCCACATACTATATAGCAGCTCCGTAGTCCCTTTTAAGACCACTTACATCAAATAGATCTGCCTACCCTAAGTCCAGACTACATATCTCCGCCATAAAGATATCTCACAGAATTATTGTTTCATACTTATCCAAGTGCTCCCAGTAAGCAGTTCCAGGGGCAGGATTACCTATATCGTAGTCTTCGATATTAGGTTTTATATAACGTGGTGTTCCGTATAAAAATCTAGGATGATAGTAAGTCTTCTATAATGGCATCACTGAAATATACTCCCAATCCAATATACCTATTAGGTCTCCTTTGTCATCAAGTAAAATATTGTACTGAAAGAGGTCATTAAAGAAGATCGTATTGGGCTCAGCAACTTTGCTATCAGTAGGGAAAATAAGATAGAAAATACTCTCTAGGTCCTTAATTATCTTAAGAATATCCTCTGCTATTTCTATTTCTTCTTTTATATCACTATCGAGATCTTTACATCTGGTATATTTATCTAGAACTTGTTAGTAGTCATCTCTAGAAATGGCAAGATAAGTATCTATCCAGTCTTTAGTATATAAAAATAGCTCTTGGAGGATATTCTAGTGACTATGGGAGCCCCAGAGAAAATCAAGGGACACAATTTGACCTATCTAAGTTCCTTTAATTTCAAGTCCTTTCCTAGTCTTACTAGGTACAGACTACTCAGTCAAGGCCGATTTCTTATCTGTCATTGCTGATAAGTAGATATTGCCGATACCCTTGAGTTAGTTCCTCTGAAGGAAAACAGAAAAATCTACGAATTTTCTAGTCAGCTTCAACTTAGTAGTAATATCTAGTTACCTCTAATGATCGGCTAGGGGATTCCCATGAATTTCCGTTATGAGTATCCACTCAAATCTAATTCCAGTCTCCCGAGTGGTATCATAAGCGATAATCCTGGATGTGGGGATCTCTATTACCCTTTAGACCTATTTCATAGTAGCCACTTCACTTTGTGTTTTTTGAATGGGGTCGACGGGGAGAGAAACGGGCATAATTAGGAATTTATTGTTAAGCTTGATATGATAGATCTTGTTGAAGGTACCCTCGGTGAGGTAGCTAACTTGAATTGTATTTGACGGATAGAGCGACTGGATTGTTTGCTCTATGGTGCTGATTTTGGGCTCATACGACTATCGAGGTTTTGGGCTAAAGAGCTTATCAGCCTATATCAAGCTGTGGTAGGGATCTGAAGTCATTACTAGGAGACCTGAAATATTGGATAGGTTGAAAAGATGGCAGATGTGATAGTACAGGGCTTTTGGTGCTGGTGTCACGTGTGTAAGTGTAACTCTGTCGGAAACGGTGAGACTGTATATTAGTCATCCCAAAAGTGGTTGAAATCTGATATATTACTATAGCCTATCCCTGACAATTTGTTTGTAAGCTTACATAACTGTACCTAAATCTTCCTGGGTGGTTATTCCGGAAGGAATGCTGTATCCTCCTTATGTAAGGCTCAATTTGTTCTGATAGTTACTTAGTAAGCCTGACTCTGACTGCCCTCGTTAAAGCGGCGTATCTAGGAAAGGAAAGCCCCACCGGGCAGAGGAAATATGATTCTATAGTGACAAGTAGACTGCGGCAGACCCGCAGGTAGTGCGGGGAGGTACTCCAACCCGCAAATAGAGGGTTGAGGGTAGCACTTTGATACCCCTACCCATTTTGGTAACTCGCGGGTCTAGGAGGGTACCCATATACCCTCTTGATTATATTATTATATGATTAGACTAAAATTACCTATTCAAGATACTTCATACTATCTATTATATGCTATTTCTATAACTATCCCTATTATATTGAGAGAACGGTCCTGTGGTGCCGCTCGGCATTGAGCGATGACGTAAGCTTGCACCGCAGCCACATAGGCTGGCTAGCATACTATCTTAATGAAGACACCTTCTTCACTCTCGAATCTCACTTTTATACAGGAATATAAAACAGAGTACGAGATAGATATTCAACTGGAGGATACCACAAAGCATACACTACAGGAGATTATAGAGATTAGCATACCGGACAGGGTAATAGGTAAGTATACAAAGTTCTAATACCACCTAGACCTACGATCATAAACAAGCTAATACTGACACACGACTTCGAGCCTAACTAATCTGGTAAAAATTCTAGGCATCTGAGTAAATAACACAGTGATAGGGAAATAAGCTTAAAATCTTTACTTTTACCTTGCTAATAAGACAAATTAACGTAAGACTTAGTGAAAGATTGGTATTAATCCTTAGATATAGAAAGATAGTGTCTTAAATTGATAATAGTTTATACTACCTATCTAGGTAGTTATAATACTATAGAGCTTTTATAATCTTTACTATAGAAAATAAAGTCCTAGTCAGGAGATTATACCTATATAGAAATATCTATCGCTGGACAGATAGCTTGAGCTTTGTAGGATCAGTAGAGTTCTTCTGTAGTCTGATATTTGTAAGCTACTGTGATTATGATAGAGAGTAGGGTTTCTAAAAAGACGATAAACAACAAAATGAGACGATATATTATCAGGAACAACGACGACATGACTTTTGCAAGTATTGACGGGGTGTTATATAGATCCACAGATGTATTGTAGGACTGTTTATCAACGGTTGGGATTACATAAGCCGAGAGTCATTCTGTTTGGTATATTTGCTTTATCATGTTTCTATCATAACCCCAACTAAATAGTGGACTCTTGTTAGAAACGCGGTCACTAGCCGGCGGCATAATCAGGTCCGAAGTGCTTTTTCGGCAATACCATGCATACTGACAAGACAAGTAATTATAGATTAGATCGTACCTGTGATACTGGAAGCCCAGCTGCGGCGCTATATGACTTCCCGCCACACTTTCTTGGTACTAGGCGATACCTTGAGAGCTGGCGAGAAATCCAAGACATAATCTGAACCAAATAGATCAGTGGCGGTGGAGTAAGCTCAAATATCCAGTTTCGACGGTCAGTGGTTATTATCTAATGGTCGAATCTCCAGCATACTGGGATTAGTATCAGTACGACAGGCCTAGTGTGGGTCTATACTGTCTCCTACATAGGTAGGCGGAGAGTACAAAATACTGCGTGAAAACCCTAGTCGATTAGTAATTTGCTAGTACCCTTATAATATATGTTCTGGTCAAAACACTAACTCAGACTTGTTTTTTATCTCCTTTGGTTGATACTATCACAGTCCACAAAGCTCTCTAATAATTAGTAATTACTATTTTCGGAAGCAAGACATGTGATTCAATTCAATTCAATTCAAGATTCTATTAACCTAATGCAGCCTGGCTAGTGAGCGCCGTGGCTATGTAGGTGTTCCCCCCATCGGGAACCAGAACCATCCTAACGCCACGCCCGCAGTAACAACAGACAAAGGAGATACGGCGTATTGCCATAGAAAAACAAATAATAACCCCCACAATGACGGTAACGAAACGCTCATAATGACCGTAATCGGCTACTGCCAGCTCACACAGCGCCTATGGCCACTCCCAGTGACCTCCCCTGTATTCTCCCCATCCCCGCCACTACCGCCATAACCTCAGTTACGCCCTGGTTCCTCCTGCAGTTGTTCCTTATGGGGTAGTAGCTCCTCCGCCTGTACGACCTCTCGTAGTCGCCAGTTGATAGTATACTTCCTTATACGTATCGTCTTCACCCCCTAGTGCCCGCTCCCTTCGAGCGTTTCAACGTTGACGTCGACATCCTCGTATTCCACGTCGCGGAATTGACCAAGGAGTCCAGTTCGGTGCATGAATTCGGCCACGTAGCGGATGGCCTGCGAGTCCGATACAATCGTGTTGTAATCGGTTGTGCGCCCTAGGTCGGTCTTGTACCAGATCTTGTTCAACATGGTTTGCCGTAGAAGCAAGACATGTGACAGGACTCGATCTCGTCTTTAGTAAACGCCCTAGTCTTGCTTTATTCCTATTTACCAAGTCCTCTGTAGGGACAAAGTTGGGAAGATTTTAAATCGAACAACCAAGTTAGAAAACTTTTGATCGTAGTCCAAGCCGCCCACTATACGCGACAATGCGATCCAAATTTCAGCAGATATAGTTATACGCTTTGAAGGAATGACGTGTCAACCCACTAGGTAAAAATCGAGCCCCCAACTGGAATATGATCGAACCGCTCCTCGAAAGTGTCAAGAACTACTTCTAAAAGACCAATGACCTCCCAACATTTTAGAAGGAAGAGAATTAAGAGAAGAGATTCAATCTACTATATATCCTCTTGTGTGATGTGTCATGCAAGTCCGTCCTTATAGGTTCGAATAGATCTATTTTTGGGATGATTGGGGGCACGGGCTATAATAGAGAGAGGGAGGAGGTCACCTGTCTATTTAAGTCTATGGAATAGGGTCAGGCTAGCTACTAACATAGATCCAATTCTGCTGTGTGTGAGGCATTATACATCCTAGGTAGACTAATTTTCTACAAATAAGAGTTTCCTCGGCTCATCCTCCATCAAAACCTTCGTCTTCTTTGCGATCCGCCCTAGCTCATCTACATTCCGTATTGGGTGCATATCATGTTCTGGGCGTGGCTGAACATGACTGATAAGCAACGGCAGCACCGAGGACTTCCACAATACCACACCCGGCCCCCGACTCACTATCACCGTGGCAGCGAGCAAGACGATCGACAAAGTCACAATAGTTGCTGTAAAGATAATCCACATCCATCGAACGTGGATAAAAGTCTCCGTGCGTAGCGCCTGCCCCTCCACCATGACAGCCTTCTTGCCCCTGCGCATCACATCCGTCATACTGTCCGCCATGGCTGTGATAGATTCGGAGATATTATCCTGGGTATAGAGGATGGTGGAGATGTCCAGATCGCTAGGATGTTCATCCGCGGCGATTGTCGTATTCAAAAGATTCTCTAGCGCTTTTACCAAGGCCGCAAACGTCAACTCGTTAAATACGTAGGCTGCATCCGAGGATAACGGTTTGGTTTCCTTCGGCGGTGTGAGGTCCCGCAGGAGCTGCTGCGTTCGACTCGGTTGAATCGAATGTCCCGGGATAAAGGTATTCGGCGTATACTCTTTCTCGCAGAAATAGACCGTACACTCCGTCATGGCCGGTTTGGTCTCAGGACGGGTATAGTTATCGAGGGTCCAGAGGGATGCGCCGGGGTACTTTGCGCCAAAGAAAGAGAGAATGGGGTTCTGGATCCCCCAGATGCGCGCGCCGTCGGCCCTAGTTCGCGATGTCCAGGGGTTTTGGACCGCCGTGTAGCCATCATCATCGATACCGAAATGTTTGGGGGTTGCGGCAAAGGTGAAGTTATTGGGTGAGGTGTAGTTGCACATGTCGGGGACTAGGGACCATTCGTGTCCGAACCAGGAGCCTGAGCCGGATGCTGAACATTTTTGGGTCGTTTGCTGGGTTACGTCGAAGCAGTCGCTGCAGATGCCTAGGGAAACGAAGTCGGGGTACCTGCATCTTCCTGTGGTACAGACCGGGTCGAGGGGTTTGTTTTGTAGGGAGAGGCCGCTGAGGATGGCGACTAGTAAGGGTGCGTCGAGGTTGTAGCTTAGGGTTTGGGTTACAAGAATATTGTTAATATTGACAGTATCGGAGCCGTTCAACGCCCAGGGGGGTGAGTATTCATGCGTTTTTTGAATCAATGCAGTTTCGTTCTTCCCGGCTGCCACGTTGCGCGAGGGAAAGGCCAGGATCTGCTGCGAGAAGGGGTCGATGGCGACGGAGAGGATCATGAGGATCGCGCCGGCTGTTGCAAGGCCCGGAGTCACTGTCCAGAGCACCTCGCATGCACCCCAGGGCCCGCGGCTGGCTTGGTCCAGCACTTGCATATGGTACAGCGGGGTGTGGGTGTGGGAACGGTATTGATTCCACTTGATTTGGCCGAGACAAGACGAGACGGGGATGATCATTGCGGCCTTGGCTGCTGTTGCGATGACGGATACCACCGCGTTAGGGGAGATGTGGTACTGCCAGTCCTCGTAGGAAGCGCCGTTGATATAGGCGAGGAAGCCCATCAGTAATGCGATGCAGATCACGCTGGACGTGGCACTTGCTATCTCCCAGACCCAGGAGCCGGTCCAGTCGAAGCGTTCCTTTTTTTTCGGTTTTTTCGATGGCAGGCCCTCATTCTCCCGTCCGGTGGTATCAGATAATGGTTGGCTCTCGGGGAAGAAGTATGGGGGCTGCTTTGGTCGGATTGGGGATTGAGGCTTTCAGTTCCGGCCTGCTCGATTGGACTAGATATCCGTGGAGGACTGAGTGAGGTGTATGCAGTATGCGTCGCCATGCTGTTATCGGAGATACGATCCCAGTCACAATGTCTTCAGGAGGTCGGGAGTAAGATAGACTATAGACTGTTGGAAAGGGATAGAGGCGGTGGAGTACTCACCATTGATGGTGTCAGGCAGCCTTACTATCAGCCTTGTCTGAAGTAAGGCTGAGTTTTGAATTGGCCTGTGCTGAGTGATATATCCCTTACTTACAACCAGGGACACATTTTAACGACACAATCGCATTCTATAGAAAACCTACTTACTGGGTGGATCAGGGCATTAAACCCCAGTATACCCCTAAATATGATAATTAGAATACTATAGTAGTTTGTGTTTACGCATGGGCTAATTGTAAGAAGTCCTGTATTAGGGCCCCAGGCACCACGGGTGTTGATTAGTCAACCACAGCGATGACACGTGACTACTTGCCACATCGATTTGTGGGGTCATTAGGCTGCTTTCTCCCCACCCTGGGCCGTTGATTAACCCCACGGAGTAACAGTCTCTATCTGCTTCAACGATTGTGCTTGGTGATTCCTCGGAGCCAACTGTACCTTGGCCGCTAAATGACCGCGAAACAGAACAGACTCAATGTGGGATGACGGATGCGTAATCGATAGATCACGTGATAGAAACATTGGCCAAGTTTGGAGCACCAAAAAATCGGAATGTCGCCAGTGAAGAGCCTCCCTTAAAGAGAGCGAGTACTTATAGCATGACGGGCCTCCTCTCACTCCAGTAAGTTCTAAGCCAGTGAAATCCTTTCTCGGGAATTTAATCATCTTCTCGAATCCAGAGTGTTCCAAATCGCGACCCTCATTAATTGAGGTGGGACAGGAACGTACCCGATTATGGGTGCATTTGGCTATTCTAGAGCGCTTTCCAACTCTGTGAATGTTGGAGTTCGACGCTTCGCCAAACCTTCAAGATGAACGATGTCTGCTTCTAGAACACCTCGACCCAGATATCTTTGGTTGGTGTTGCGAGTATGTCTACACAGGGAATTACACATTCATTTTTCCACCAGGCCAGGAGTCGACACAAAAACAATCAATTCGTCTGCAAGACTTCGGATTTGATGGTCCATTTGCTGTCGTGGTCCCTCATATCAGATCGAAAGGCTTCATCGCTCTGACTTGGCCAACCTTATTGACCATTCTCGAATCCATTCCTTTGCAAGCAAGTACCAGTGGGAGCAGTTGCGTCTGCTTTCTGTCAAGAAACTCCGGGATTCTATTTCAAACCTACGTCTCCCCAATCGTCCTACCGATGAACCACTCCGGTATTTTATGGAAAAGGCTAGATCACACGTTCCTCTGGGAGAGACACCCTCTTGATATTAAGATAATGGAATGTGCTGCAATCCGCACACGTGGGGTGTTGTAGAGATTTTGACGAGAGCAATGCCGGGGGTGGTGATGGGGGTGGGGTGACCTAGTAGATGACTCCGGCGAATCTGCGTGCATACGATGCATTTTGCTATAACGGTCCGACGATCTTCCCGACCTCTCTTCAGTATGATGCCAGTTCCGAAAGGGCGCAAGCCACTTGAGTCGTTTGATGGCTTCCTATACGGGGGGGAAGGGGGAGGGGGAGGAAATAAAGAATACCTTCGCTGCTTGTCTGCATTCTATGGATCCTGCGAGGTCTGTTTTACTTGGCTTATTAGCTTACTATACTTGTCTTTACAATACTCAAAGGTACCGGGGTAGAGAGGAAGAATTACGGGTAATTATCGAAGTTCGATTAAGTCTTTCATAACCGTTGTAGATAATCTTGGCTGAGATGAGCCGAAGCAAACAAAAAGCCGATGAGATAACCTGTGCGTACAACCCGACAAGTGCCGCCATGCATTCTAGCAAGTGGCAGTGTGGACACGTAATAGCAATAGTCTACTATTATAGACCATTTCATCATCTGTGTGGCGTAGAGCTAAATATAGACACAGATTAGGGGCCCTACGAAAGCTACTACAGTATACAAAGGACACCTGGATGTTGTCACGCGGCTACTCGTAGGAATTAATTTTTGCTATCTTTTTTTTTCAATTTAGAGCTCATATTTCTTGAGACTCTACTGCGATATAACAAAGATAATGAAGCTTTTCATAGACGTGCAGGTGTTATGTCTGGCTAGTGGGAAAGCTGGGACGGTTTGTAGATATCTCGAATAGATGATCGAGCAAAGCCTGAGCGTTCTGTTGACAGAAACCTTGGAATGAATATTGGCGTTACCACAAATAAGTACCAATCATCAAATTCTCGAAAACATTGTTCAAAGGCATGGCACGGGTAGTATAATCACACTTGCGTCATGCCAGAAGCGCTCAATTATATTGATGCCTATCGTGCTCTCGCTACCTATCATACTAAGCAGTTTTTGGAATCAAATAGACTACTTAGACCATATGCAAAATAATGAAGCTGAAACAAGAAAGCGGGAAGGAGCCATGGATTGGAATAGGGGCATCGAACCAGGAAAGAACAGAGGTATTGGGCCAAGTAGGGTACAGAAGGAAGGAGCAATCCCATGGAGTGCTTCTCTTGGCAAACTTGGTGCCAAATCGCCATTTTCATCCTTCATCTCCTTCCCATTGACCAACTGATTGACATTATTTCGATTATATGGCACTTCAACTTCTGATCTCTCTTTACCGATATCTGCTCGATGGTCAAATTGGCAGACAACTGGCCTGCCTCAGACACTTTCATGAAATAAACAGGGGCAACGAGATGAGAACTTCCATCCTAGCCTGATTGATCGTGACAAAACCGTTGTAGAGTTAAAGTCCACATAACAGAGAACATAAAGTGGAATAAGAGGTCACTTTTTCCTGCTGATCATCCGATGACTTCCAAGTCAACTATCTCAAACTTCCGATCAGGCAGAAAGACAAGCTGGAATGACAGATTGAATAGAAGCTAACTATATGGCAATAGAGGAGTGAAGATATCCCGAGCTGAGCAAGCCCAGGAAGCTCGCCGCCCAACTAGGATGTTCAAACGGACCGTTACAATCAACAAATTCAGCCCTGCCGTTACACCTTTTATCAAACAGATAATAAAAGCATGCCCATCCTTCCCGATGGGCAACAAGAATGAAAAATATCCTCAAGCGGAGAATGGACTGGGCGATGGCAAAGAATACAAAGGGCGAAGCATGGCGCTTCGCTTCTTTCGGGGATAGAAAAACGTCGTTGTCAATTTCACAACCCCGAGTTGCGCATTTTTATCGTGACGCCTCGATCAAAGCTCTACCATACTACATCCAGGACCATTAGCTACCTGTTACTTGGACCAATATCTGCCCCAAATCCCAGAGGCGCTATACCATTCGGATCGGACTGTGCCCAGCTCGGGATCTACGGACCTTGTGAGCAAGGAACTACGAACGTCGATCATTGGGACGGACAGGGCTCACGGACACGCGAAAACTCAAAGGTGTATTCCAAGCTGGCGAATTTTCGCGTCCACTACCAGAATGCCCACTCGAATTGTTACAAATTCCGCGCCAGGAAGCTACCTACGACCCTTCAAGCAGAACGTGACAGCGGGTTGGCATGGCTCGTGCTCAAAACTTGAAGTAAAAGTTGCTCCGTCTCTCGGAGAAATCCCCAAAATCTTGCTGCGTTGGTCCGGAGTAGCTCGGATTTGGTAACTCCGAGACAGTGCTTCTATCATCTAGTATTAGTGTCCGGTAAAACACTAGATTTGATTTCGGAGAATTTACAGCCCGGGGGTCATTCAAAGTTTAAATACCCAGAAGTGAGCTCGAAAGTTTGTTCATGTTTTTTCGAAGCTATTCAAAGTTATCATGTACAATACTAGTATGGCGGATGATAATCCAACGGAACATATGGTTCAAATTGTCACCTTGGTGTTCAGGCATCCGCCCAGGGACCCGTTCTGTATCTAGTTGTTGCTCCAACCTCTCCCTTCCTGAATGCTTGGTATTTTTGTCGAATGCTACCTAGATGTTGCCTGGTCCATTTCGCCCGCGCTCTAAGGCAAACCTGTCATTAGGAACCTTAAAAGCTACCAATAAACGTACTCAGCTAGGTACCAGGGGATATATGAAAAGCGAATTGATATTCCTATGAAATCTGTATTGCGATAATACCTTAGGCCATAAAACATGTGCCTAAGTTCGGTAAATACTACCGAGCTGGTTGCCGCTATGGGGGGGGGGGGGGCGTCGTTATGGTAGACTAAGGCACTATTTAGACGCAACGGGCCCAGTGGAAAAAACCGCCCGTAACCCCTATGTCCCAAAATCAGAAGAATTTCCCATACAAATTTAGGCCAGCCGGATATTCTGAGCTTCTTGACATTGCAATTTCGCCGCCCTGCAGCCCCCTTCAATGTTGCTATTCCGCCTCGATAAATTGCTCAATCTCATGAACTCAGGGCGTTGAAAATGCAAATGGATGGCACGTGATGCTTATTTACATTTCTTTCTAACCAGCTCCCACACGTCTATCTCCAGTACTGGTCATCTACACTGCCTCTGAAACCGATACTGATACCCTGCCCTGCTCTGAAGCTACAGGGCTCTTCACACGATCAAATGGGACCCCCGATCCCGCTAGACCCACATCGCCAAGAGATGACTGACCTCATTCGGCATGGATCTACCACCAACGAGGTTCGACGTGTTTTGCTCGATAGACACAACGTGTCTGTAAGTGCCGCCACAATCAAGCGATACATCACTACTTGTGGCGATATTCGGCTTGAAAATCCATGCGCAGAGGACCTTGATCAGCTCGTTTCCGAGCTCTCCTGTCAACTGAACTCAAAAGAAATCCTGAGGGTTCTCGAGAGAGGGTATGGAATCAAAATTTCGACTCGAATTCTTTGCTCAATTCGCAAACGCCTTAGTATTCGACTCCGTATGAATGACCCAGTTGAACGTTTGCAACGGAGCATCGAGCTCAATTCCATATTGGCGGTTGAAAACGAGATAGGGCATATTGCGGGCTTTGGGGACCGCTTGGTTTATACCCATCTCAAAAATAAAGGGCACCATTATACACGTGCTCAGGTTGCTAAGGCTATTTGTGAAATCAATCCTGAAGGTGTTGAATGTTGGAGGAATATTTTCAAGGAAAGCAACAAAGAGACTAGTAATACAAATAATATACTGGATTTAATGATACTTGCCTCGGCCAATATAAATTGTAGGTATTAAGGGACCTGACCTGAATCCCTTCGCTCAACCACATAAAAAATTGGAACTTGAAGTCCTCAAAAGTCGTCATACCCGTGATAGCCATGTTGAGGCGGGGGTAGTGGTCAATTCTCGGAAGCTGCAGTTTCAACGGTCAAAATCATACCGGGCGATCCGGTGAATTGTGGAGATGTCAATGGTGGTTTCGCTTCATCCCGGCTGAACTTGGCGTCCTATGGGCACTTAGTCTACCTAGTAGATTTGCCAAAGCCAAGCCAAAGCGAACAGTGATTTCTTTTGTCTGTCTTGTAGTATTGAAGATATGGCGGCGGGTCTGAAAATATTCACTGGAATTGACAATACCTCTTTGTATCTCTTTCTATTTGTACTGTTTTCTTCTCGAAATTTGGCACCCTAAATTTGATTGCGATGACTACACTCCTCCCTTTTGTATTTTCTTAAAATTGAGCACTTATATTTTGCTTAACCTATTTCACCAACGTCTTAGGCAGGCTAAAAGATCAAAATGCTGATTAAAATTTGAGCCGGGTATTAGAAAACGGACAAAGTAACTATAACGATTTGAGACTTCTGATGAACTAGCAAATATGAAAGAGTAAATGGGACATGAATAATTCATTCTTGATCCGCTGACTAGCAGGCACTGCTCACTCATTGCCACTATTTGAGCATGAGGTCCCCTATACTGGTACACATTCCAAAATAGAGTTATACCGAGCGGAGTATGTGTGTATACCCACAATCTTGAGACCTGCCTTTTCCATGAGGGTGTGCCATTGTTCAGTAGTACGTTCTAATGATGCAAGAGAAGACATCATAGTCATATCGACCTGGGTTGCATGCCAATGGACCCCAGAATTCGGCAAAACCATGTCGTCGATAAGAATTGACGAGTCCGGTCCCAGTGCGGAAATGGTATTCTTCAGTATTATCAGTGCTTTCTCATCGTCCCAATCGTGCATAATACTACGGAAGTAGTAGAATCGAGCTCCTATTCATTTTTGATTAGTATCCAAGTTCGGGATCTCACAGAAAGCCTCATGGCAGGAAATTTGAGTCCGCTTACCTTTCACCACTTGAGGTTGGAAAAAGTCAAAAGCGATAGTCTTCACACCTTCGCATGGTATGGCACTTGCGAGAACAATCTCCAAATCCTCAACAATTATGTCGTTCTGGATTTCGGGCAGTCGCGCTTTCAGTGCCACACTTTGGTGACCGATGTTTCCACCAACATCCACAAATAAGGCTTGATCTGGGTTCAAATTCTTGGACTTTTCTTCGATCGGGAATACATCGAACCATCGACGCATTCCACGCTGTTCCGCTTCCATGAACTTGTTGAAGTGGAGAATCAGCTCCGGCTGTGTCTGCGCCCAAACGAATGCTGGTTGGTCGGTGTTAAAGGCCTTTTGCAAAGGCGTGTTGACGGAACTCGTAATGTCTTGATATTTGTTTTCCGCCAAAAAGTTTGGAAGCGCAAAGATTGGAGGAGCAATAATGTTTACACTAATAAAATCAATAACTAGGCCACAGAAAAACCTGAAATTCGAGTCCAAGGAGCTTTGTGAAATGAGAACTTACTTGTGGTATATGGCACTAGCGATACCTTCATCACTCAGAGACCTAGTGATATTGTTATCAGTGAATTCGTTGTCTCCAGTCTCCTTTATTGTGCCGACCGATGCGAGATAGCGGAGAACACGGGCTATAATCTCAAGATTAGCAATATGCTTCAAATTCTGCGCCACTGTTCATTAAGATCGCTTGGTTGGTGAATAAAAGTCTCACATAAAAGATTTGGTGCTGCATTTGTCTGGACGGCCAGGTCATCTGAAGTGAGCGGATGATCACTTTCGGCGAGGATTTTGAAGATGTTTAAGTCTAGTCCGACTCGAACGAGGGCAGGTTGAAGATGCTGTGTTCACAGGTCAGGAATGTATCTTAAGAGCCACCTTTCTACATACCAGATATGAAATCCTTTGCATCGTATCCTGGGGCGTTTCGAGAGACAAGGCTAGATCGCGAAGCCCATCAAGAATCTTCCTTCGACTAGCTTCGTCTGCATCTTGAGCTAGCGATTTGATCTGAGTGATTATACTATCCATGTTTGATGTATCCGATGAACTAGTATCGTGAAATGAGAAGTTTGATTTTAAAAAGGTTACGAAGGAACTTGAACTTGAACTTGCAAGAAATACCGAAATTCTGAGTGGGGTGGATACTGTGTATTTATACTTGATGAGACAGGAGTGATTATACGAGCATGACCAGCCTTGGAACTTGTCGGAGAATCTAAGATTACTAGATAGGTACTAGCTTCATCTCGGTAAAAGATCTGACGCCCAGTAAATCGTAATTATTAAGGAACAAGTCATCCGCGTTGAAGCTCATTGGATACCTAAGTAGGTAGTAATCAGCTTGGTAAATCTGACCATTCTCCTATTTTGAGGTTCTCTGACAGTCTATTTGCCTTCGAGCCTTTCCCGGAGAGAATAGTAAGCACTAAACTTGGAATGAATTGACACCAATTTTTGATAGTGCAGGTCTTGCTGACATTCACCTCAGCCGTAGCATTAGACTTCTAAATGGATTCAAGCCAAGTGCCCGAACCTAAATTTCGCAAAGCGGGGAATTGAGTGCGTATGTGGAGCTTTGGCATAGCTATGCACTGGGGGATTATTGCCGCATGGTCCCAGAGTTGCGTTTGTGCTAACGGTGAGATTTGTGGCGCATCGGATGAGCGAGAAGGCGTCGCCACAACATCACGGAGGTGATTGGTGGGCGATGGCTCTGCGGTAACTTTTACCGAGGAGCTGGCCGAGGAAATGAACGTATAGAATTTGCGAAGGCGGAAATTTATTTCTTTCTTTTCGACTAAATGTAGTTATATCTACGCGATTTTGTACCAAAATCTTCAAGTTCGAGGTAGTAAATTTTGGCAGATTCCAACGAGCCACCAATCTTTAGTGTCGTGCGAGAGACGTACACTGAGCAGCACCTTACACGAGCGGGGTCTGCCTTGGAAAGGGACCAACCGCGAAAGCAGGATAATCATTTGTCCATTCTCCCCCAAAGGAAGGAGTTATGCATCCTGACACCTATGCCGGCTTTCGACTAGAACCCAAAGGGCCCCACCGGCGAGTGGGCTATGGCGACAAAGGAACGAGCGGACATCCGCGCAGTTACGGCAGCTCTACAATTCCGACGCTGGCCATGGGTGGAAGACTGCATCAGCCTAGTTATCGCAACGAATTCACAGTACGTGATTGATGGAATCACAACCCGGGTGGTCGGCTGTTTGAAGAACGAATGGACGAACGACATGGGTGACACAGTTGAGAACCAGGACCTATGGAAGCATCTACTCAAATAACTGGAGGGTGCCTGGATTGCCAACGGGATGCGTTTTAAGCTCTGGTGCACATCACCAGAGCGAAATTATAATATAGCGAATAGTGCTACGAAAGATGCACTGAGTGCTGACTCTGCCCGCCGCTCCTACTGTGTGTAGATAGTCTCGCTTCCTCCCATAGTTATCCATCCATGTCGATCCGATCCACCATGCTTGAGTAGAGAACTAGAAGGGAGTGGTGATTTGGTCATGATCATACTGTCTGCTCATCTTTATTAGAGGCTTCAATAATTCTGGAATGTGCAAAATATCCAATGTCTTCATAATGGCGTATCTTTCGTACTCCGATGGATGAAGTGCGGTTTCTCCAATCTATTTACACCTCTAACCCATATTGCAGGACCTACGGGTCGATGTAATTCCAAGTCTGACGGCGGATAGCCGGAGCCAGATGCCTGCCTACTCGACACTCATCACAATCTCAAGATACCGTGCTCAATGATGATGTGGAACAGCAAAAGCCACAAGGCTACGAGGATATGCGCGCCGTGGTTATGGTCGATAATTGGGTTTTTTACCTCTACAGTACTGTTCTGAAATTTGTCATAGCAACTCGCTTTGAAAACATCACAACAGCAGTCGAAGAGATCAAACCCCTATAGGTGGCTGCAAGCAGCTTGTCGGAATCTCTGTAGCGATGTTTCCAAAACATATAATGATACAATGATCATACGACATGCTTCACGCATACGCGATTCGATGCGGCAAGATCGAGTCCTGCAGGCATGAAGCATTTCCTCAACCTGGACACCGGCCTTTGCAAAGGGCACGCATGGTTCCCTCGTTATTGACGTTAATCAGACTAACACAGCGACCGATAGATTTGGCTTTGTCCAGTATTACAGTTTCGAATGGCTGTTTCAGAGTTCATTCTCGATTCCCCAGTCGATTTTCATCCACCCAATCTTGATGCGTTTCATGACCGCGCATAATGAATGATCTTTTCAGAATAAGATACCTCTGCTCTGGGCTTCCTTCGCTTCATGGAAGTATTCGGATCCATGGCATAATAATATCTGCCACACAGTCAGAATGGGATTCTGTTCTATCGGCAACCAGAACGGTTTGAAGTTGCAATGTACACCATGCCGGTATCGAAAATCGCCAGTTTACATTAGCACAATATCATCAAATTACCATCTTTATTTTAGTACTAGCAAAATAAAATGTTTCATTAAATTAATTGTACCACCACAGTAAATTTGTCAGAAGAGGGCAAAGCATGTATTTACGCATAAATGCATGCTAGGTACGTGTCTCAACCAAGAATCCTAAATCTTAGGTATATCACTCTTTATGGAACGTTCTAGAAAGGGCCTACGAGAAAGAAACTAAAGACAAGTTATTAGGAAAAAAAACTCCCCATAAATTATACAGTATCGAATATTTCGTAGATCTTGAGCAGCACCCACGGCTTGCTGAACTTGTAAACTATCGAGCAAGAATATCAACAGCAGAATTTAGACAGCTTGACTCTGACTTCGGATCTCTTTCACTTTCTCGTCCTCTTCAGCTCCATCTAAGGCAGCCAATTGGTAGTCTTTAAATTTCCTTACGGGGACTCCCTCATGGAAAAGTCGATCCACCTCCTCAAGGGATTTTCCTTGGCAGTCCGGCACACATAGGTACGTAAAGACACACGCGCATACTGCAATACTTCCAAAGATAAATCCAACCTTGGAATGCAGACCTGCATAACTGTCGTCTAGTAGATAGGGTATCGAGAATGTCACCGCGAAATTGATCCCGATGTTTGTCAAAGAAGACACACGCTGAGAGTGATCACGAAGCGACAAAGCTGGTAGCTCCGTGATTACCACATATGTGAGAGGTCCCCAGCCCAGACCGAACCCAGCTCCAAAGATGGCCATCATAGCTGCTATCGCGGTGCTTTCAGACAAGGTGACCGGACTTGCTACTCCCAGGCCGCCCATTGTAAATAGCGCCACGGCTTGGATGCCTGCACCTGCGATGAAAAGCTTTCGCCGACCGATTTTGTCACTCAAGAGGTTCGAAATGAGACATGCTGCCGTGGTAATACAGCTTGTGATGATTGCGAAGTTGTAAGGGTTGACTGTGCCGAGCGATTTGACGAATATCGCACCGTACTGACTTGAAAAGGCCTGGCCGGTGGCTTGCTGGAAGAAGCTAATAGCGATAACAATCAGGGTACGCTTTAAGTTTGTCTTGTCGAACAACTCCTTAAAATGACCCTGTTCCGGCTCGATGGCAAGTCCAATCTTCAACGAGGCCAATTCATCTGCGATTGCTTCGTTTGTCATCGTTCCCTGGCGGAGGCGTTTCAGGGACTTCTCAGCTTCATCAGGGCGATTTTGGAGGAGGAGCCAGCGAGGGGACTTGGAAATAGCTATTAGTATTGCATCTCCATTTTAGTTCGGGGGGAAGTTACCTCTGGGATTAACCAAACCAAAGACAGAATCACGCAAGGGATGACGTAGAAGAGACCGAATGGTATTCTCCAGGATTTGTTACCCTCCAAGGTACTAGTTCCTCTGCAAATGCTGTTGATAACAATTCCTCCCAGCTATTGATCAATTAATTTCGGCTTCCCGGTTCACATTATGTTTGATACTCACGCCGATGGCCAGTTGATAGGTTCCAACTACAAATCCGCGGACTGGAGCTGGTACAACTTCCGACTGGTAGACAGGTACAACTGATAGCTCCATTCCGACATAAACGTCTAGATTTTAATTAGAAATATACCGAAGGATCATATTAGGCCGAAGGCATACATACAGTTCAAGATTCGTGCCGCGAGAATCTGACCCTTGGTCTGAGAGGTCACTGTAATTGTGGCCGTAACAAGAGCATAGCAGCTCATAGAAAATATGCAAAGGCGACGCCCATATCGCCGACTGAGAAAGCTTCCGACTAACAAGCCTGTGAATATCCGTCAGCTTCTTTCCAATTACCTCGAAGTTCATATCATTCACCCACCAAACGCAAAGCCGATATAGTTCAGACTATTCAGCAGCGACAGATAATAAGCCGGGATGGCATATTTTCCTGTTTTGGAGTTGTAGTCACCGAATTGTTTCGTGAAAGCAGTCATGGACTGCGTCGTTGCGAAAGCCTGATTATCGAATCCATAGTTCAGCTGGGAGATGGCAACCAACGTGCACGACAACGCCAACGTTCGATTAAAATGCTTCGTAATCGCCAATACCGACATGATGATTTCAAAAGGCCGCATGCTTTGTTGACTCATTGTAGATCGGGGCGACCCCTGGCTTTTGAGAGCAACATTTCATCGTCGTTTCGTGAAGCTGGTCCTGGTGACTCCATCTCCTCAAGCGGAGTCTATATGGCGAATGACCGACTACCGTAGCCACAGTACGGCTATCGGTGACCGAGAGCCGTCTATCCTCCTAGTAGGATTTTTTAGTGTCAAGTCGACGCGAAAACGCGGGGAACCGTGTCGACAAGAACCTCATGTGTTGTGGAGACATCGTTTGTGTGGGGCCAATAAGCGGTACTTGGGATTCCGTCATAAATCAGGACCATGTTCTCATCAGTCTGGCCATAATCCTTCAGCAGAGGGGTTTGGGCATATTCTTGGATTGTTGGAATGATGGTGATAACTCGCGACAAAATGGTAGAGGATGCGGTGAAGAAGCAAACTTGTTTGCAGTGTAGAAAGCGGAAGGTAATGTCCAATGGTGCACTCCAATATTAACAATTGCCAACGTCTGTTTCAGGTCCGCTGTGACGGAAACGCATCAGGTTGTTCTAATTGTAACAGACTCAACTTTGCTTGTACATTTGTGGCTTCGCAGGATATACCAAGCAATACTTCCAATCACACCGCGCAAGGCGCAAATGAACACCCCCCTGTAGGAACGGCAACGGCAACGACAACGGCACCAAGCTCGCGAAATAAATACACGATTGGTGGAATGGAAAGGCGTCGTGGACTCAAAGCTTGTCGATCATGTCGCACCTCAAAATCGCGTTGTAGTGGCGGCTGGCCGAAATGTCGCCATTGTGAGCAACGAGGCTTAGAGTGTCAGTATCTACCAAGCAAACGAAGAAGATGCGTGATAGACTCGGGACAAGTGCAGCCATTCTACCCAGCCAAAGTTCCTCCGCGACATATGCCCTCAGATAGCTGCTTACCAACAGTTGGATATGTCCCTGACATACCTCAGCTCGTTGAAGATCAAAATGGACAGCCACGACCAATCAGGCATTTGGCAAAAGCAAATCCGAACTTGAATTTGAGCTTGGATATGAGTCTGGACCTACCAGGAAACAAAATCTTCCTCGAATCCCACGTCAACGCCTACCTCGAATATATCAACCCCAACCCGGCGTACAGCTTCGTTCACAAACCTTCCTTCCTCCGAAACTTCCATCGCAATAAGCTCGATTCACTGTTACTTCGTTGTGTCTGCGGAATTGCCTCGCGGTTCCTCCAAAGAAGCAACCCGCGCCATGAGTATGTGTCTGAATGGTTGAAGGAGGTCGAGGGGCAGATGTGGCCGAGGATGGCGGAAATGAAAATAGAGAATCTTCAAATTCTCTTGCTTCTCATTTGCTGGTACTCACTGGACCGGAAGATTTCAAGTATGTGGACATCTTCATCCATGGCTGCACGGATCGCCTACGGAATGCGTTTAAACCGCGAGACTACCGACCCAATGCCTTTCATCTCAAAAGAGGTTCGACGTCGCATTATGTGGTCTATTTTCATGCTGGACAAATTCTACGCCGGGGGTTTTGCAGAATTCACCCTTTGCCACGCGAGCACAATGCATCTCAATTTACCATGCGAGGAAAGAAATTTCGAACTAGACATTCCCACCGCGACTTCAATCTTGACGCCAGCTTCTCCCTCGGAGACTTATGAGTCAGGGATAGGATTGATGGGTCATATGTCTAGACTTGTCAAGATAAGACACGAAGTTCTGGAGTGAGTTAACACAACCAGATCGGCATGTTTGCGAGCTAATGATCGAGTACTTCTATAGGGTCACAAAGCAAATTATCGCTGCCAAAGCAAGTCCATACGCAGCGAAAAGCGGTATCCAAGCCCTCGACACGAACCTACTTGATTTCATCAACTCCCTACCCACCCATCTCGAAAATAACAAACGCAACCTACTATCCCGAGCCTACACGAGTGAGCTAACGGGCTACATAACCTTACATTCCCTCTGGATCCAATGTCACTGCGACTTATACAGGATGATGATTCCGGGGATTCGTGAGTCGGTGCCAGAGCTCATTCAGCATGATGTTCCCTTCGACTATGCAGACGAGTGCAGGGAACGGTGCCTACGATATGCAATCGATATGTGCAGATTTTGGTCCGAGACATTGCACGAGTGCGATATTTCCAGGATCACAGACCAGTCACTCGGTATCTATGCCTACCAATGTGCAAATATACTCGTCAGATTGTGGGATTTGGATACAGATAGTTCCTACGGGACCATCTGATGATTCTTTCAAAATTCTTGGAGAGGCTGACCGAGATTTATCAAGTTGTTGCGGAAATTGTATGCCCCCCCTCTCTTCAAAATCTTGCACGCCATATCTTGCTGCATTACTAAATGCAATCCTAGCAACTCGAGATAAATGGCTTTATAGAGAGCCTTGATGTTGTGATGAATTTCCACGCGACACGAAGCAACGAAATTTTCTCTCAGTCGCTTACTGAAACTTGGAGGTCATCTCTCAAGCAGCAAAGTAACCAGGAAGGACAGACGACGTCCAAGTTTTCACTATTGGAGTTCTTGCAGAACCAGAACAGGTCTGGCGGGCTGGAGGAACACCCCGATACAGTCGGGCCTTCGGACGGAGATACGGCCAATCCAGATATTCGAGTGGATGAGGGCCTCCGCTTGGATGCCGACATACCTCCGGTTGAACAAAGCGAACAGCTGAGCAACGATTTCTGGTCGACATCTCTCAACATGGATTTCGATAGCTATGATACACGTGTGGATCCTTTCTGTCGGATCTTCGATGACTGGGCCTTAGTTGGGCCATAGATAGGCACGGCAAACGATAGAGACACTAAGTCGACGCCTTATGTTCAAATGTTCACCTCTGGGTGGTTTTTATTCAGGACTCTGGACACAATAGTCTTATACAAACTTGTAATATCCATTTTTCCATTATCACTAGTATGAGCGCGAGCCTGAACTCAAAATTGCAGCGTAGGAATTTTAAAACCCAGTAAAACACTGGCAGCCGCATCCCCTGCTGAGGCTTGGAAATGCATATCAGAGCGTTTGTCCCATTTCACAGGCTTTTTTAGCCTACGCTCCTATATCTAGGTACTTTTAGCTGAGATAATTTCTCATCCAGATCCACGCACAACTGGGCACATTTCTTCTGTGGTCACCTCTCTTGTTGCCTTCAAATTGATTCAGGGAAATGCGATTCCAAAGGATTCCAAATCAGTTTCGCTAACTCCTTCAATCCCGGTGGAACTGTCATTGTACATCATATTTCGTATTTTATATATGGCAGTGTCAGTTAGTCGTCGTCGTAGAACTTGTGATTGTTGTTGCCTCAAGCACGAAATTGTCCACCGTTTGTAGATAGATTGACCATCTACCCTCAACCAATATCACAACTTTCCCCCAGTCATCATATTCTCACAGAACTGAGATCAATCGAATAACTCCTCCAACTTCATCTTCTCAAGCCGACCGACTCATTGATTGCAAGCCAAGTTTACGTCTACAAAAGCAAGATGGGCCTCTTCCACTCTATTCTTGATTGGGGCTTTGGCAGATTGGAGAAGAAGCCAACTCCTTCTACTTCCTCCCGGTCCGCTGAATCTATTGTTACCGGAATCCTGAACGCCAGGAATCGTACTCTGCTTAACGAGAAGCAGATCAAGGAAATCGCCACCAATTGCTGGTCCGAAGCCATCGCCAAGGGGCTATTCTTCGCGGTCTAGAGAACGCAATCAGAACCGGTGCGGAGATGGCGCAAGTTGCGGCTGATACCGCCGCCCAAATCAGAGATGCTGCTGCTGACTTTGCAACTGAGCATCTTGTTGATGCTACACTCACTGCATTGGGTATTCTGGCACTGTTGACTCCATGTGCGCTTGAAATAATCGGACTCGGGGATTTGGGTCCAATTGAGGGCTCATTTGCGGCGGCTTGGCAGAGACAATATGCCGGTTACGTTCCGAAGAAGGCTTTGTTCGGTTATTTTCAAAGGCTGGGAATGAAATGGCACTGGAGTATTTGAATGAGAATCAGTGGCACGGTGCTAATATTGCTATTCATCTAGGTAGAGAGGTGCTTTCTGAAATAACTTGGAACTTGAACTTGAACGTAAAGACTTGCTACTAAGGAATAAGGGTTACCTCAGCCGTTTTCAACTTTGGAAGGTGGTGCTTGAGTGGCAGCCTTTGCCTCGTAAACCTCGTTCTCCGTCAATCTAATGGCGACTACTCTGTCTACTCACTGTTTCCAAGTCACAATGCTCTCCAATCAGGGAGCAATCGCTGTGCGTTCGCACCAGTCGCAAGTACTGCTGTGATCTCTTCTGTTGAATATGTCTCAGGCGATACCCGTTGACGTTACAGATACGGTGAACTAATACTTGTGACCGAAGGGGGTCCCCTCATAGGTGAAATTAATCAAGGACGTGATTGTGCCACAAACGAATTGTAACCTAGTTCAATAAATCTGTTTAACCCGAATCTCATTGCCATACACCTTCTCGTTCACCTTTGACAAAAAGCAAAACATTATAAAGACCATATCAATGCATGATAACCATATCTTTATTTTCAAGGCATCCCTTGGCACACCTGCTCCAATTCCTGAATGAATTTTTCCGGAATGCAATGGAGAAATAAGTATTCTTCTCCCGTAGAGGCATAGTTGGCATACGGTGGAATCGCTTCGTTAGCCAGATTCAACCATACCATCACGCTCTTGCGAAATGCCGTGGTAGCTTTGCGTCTGCGTCGTCGTCCGTCATGATATTGGTATGGAATCGAAATTTGGTACACACGAACATTGGTATGTCCCGCCGCTACTCGCCGCCGGGCTTCATTGTAAACCCACTCTTTGTTCCTCGAAGTTGAAATGAATGGCGACGGAAAGCAGCACTTCCAGTCCAGATGCCTTAACAACGACTCCCTGATGATCATCTCGTCTCTCTCGGTTCGAGGATTCATAGGGACCCATGTCTGCGACTCTGCTACTATCCCTTGCGTATTCTCAAAGCGTGCTCGTGATTCATCATCTTCACAGCGATAGTAGCGATGAAATCGTTCAGCTCGCCGAGGCATCCTTGAATATCGATAGAAAGAGTGAGAAAATGTTCTATTAACTCAAACAAAGATGGATGTATGCCGCACAGAAAGTCCTGCGGAGATAACTGAGAAAGAGAACTTGCTGACCCGCACAAAGGATACAAGGCATATATATGTAAAATATGGGCAAAATGACAAACTGGAAAGGAACACTGCCACGTCTAAGCCAACAGGACGCGGCGTGCACTATATTTGCTATACACGAAAAAGGCGCGTGGTCACGGGGCAACAGCGCGCAGGAAACGCCCAGCTGTGTATGGGTAACAGAGCTTTGAGTGGACCACGTATCCCCGCTGCAGGTAGTGCATACAACCAGCCAATTTTGCAGCCAATAGGTGCTGCGACAGTTGTGAACCCGCCCATCATGTGCCCATTATTTCCTTATAAGGTAATATTTCTCTTCATGCATTGTGCCTATCTGGGTATGGTAAGAGCAGAGATACTTACAGTGTTCAGCCACCCAACGATCATGGACGTGATCTCCCCGGGCTGTTAGGAATAGCGACTTGTGTGGGAACCCGCCCGTGACTCGACCGAACACAATAGATAAGTACCTATTAAGAGACCACACGCAGTAAGTTGTTTCTTTGTATAAAAGGGAATCCCCATAGACACAGAAATATCCAGGGGGTATTTCAACCTAACTGGCCGCTTACAAAATATTTTACAGTTCGCGAGCGTCTATCACCCAGTTGATACGGTCCGCCCAAACGATATCTGATCACCCAACTACCTACTTTCAATCCAATTTAGACCGCCAAAGGGTACGACTTCGAAGTTGATTAATAAATTTAAATATGGTCATTTGATTGGATGATACAGAAAGTCATACTAATTCTTGATGAAATAGCTCTTCTTCCTACAAACCCTCTTCAACTCCGGCAAGACCTCCCGCTTGAAATATGGCCACAAGCACAAGAGAGCCTTCAAATCATCACGTCCTCAAAAATTCGCTTCATGCGTTCAACAGGGCTAGAGTGGACTATCCAGGTCAATTTGGAGACCATTTGTGAGCGATTATCGCGAGCGTATCAAATCTTCAGTAGGCAAATTGAGTTCCCGATATTCTGTTCGAGCTGATCGACGAGATGGGGCGAATTCGGTCGCAGCATTTGCTATTTTTTAAGCAGACGAAAAGAGGGTAATTGCTGCATACGAATTGATATTATAATTTCGCCGCTGTTCTAACCGCTTCATACTATCAGCAGTTTTTAGTGTACCAAGATCTGATGATTCTTGGCCACTGGTTGATGACGACGGCCTTGCTCCAGTCTTGACCCAGCCCTTTAGGGTAAGGGCCTTCCACATGATTATCCAAGGATATTATAGATCACTTACATAGATCTAGCTATCGGATAAAATGATCCAAAAGATCCGATCAAGAAATATCAAGATTTTGGGTACTAAGGGGGGGGAAGTAACGTATCAACTCGTCCCCCACCCCCCGTGCCAAGTCTTTTTTATCATGGTGCCCGGGGAATAGCCATAATTACCCTGTCTTCAAATGACGCTCGCTATTTTGATTCGTCACCCAACGACCAATCATACGTCGTCCAGCCCTTAAAGTATGATTCATTACTATTGGTATAATCAATTCGAATTCCAAATAAGCAGATTACAATTATTGTAGAAAAAGCTCCAGGTGTGTGTCCTCTCCAACCTAATTACATTTCCAACCACCATGGAGCAAGTCACTGCTGGAGCGTCTGAACTTGAAATAGCCTGCCCTGCTCTTCATGCCTATGCCGAGGCTTTCGACGACATTGTCTCCTATATCCATCAAATTCGCATAGAACCGCTTTCCGGTACCGAAATCGATGTTACGAAATCCTTCGCTGGTCCTTTTACCAGTGGCGGCTTGCTGGTAATTCTACTGGAGCCGCTCCACGGACATCGCTGGCATGACGGGTCCCACGTTGTCATATCAAATTGTCCATCACTAAGCGCGTTGGATGAGGGACTTCGAGTCATTTCAAATGGCACATTGAGCATATTGCACTGTGTTTCGCTCCTTGATCTGAGACCGTTCATATGCCTGTCGCAAAACAGTCGCCTTACAGACCGCGAGCGTGAGAAGTTATACTATTTGGTCATAAACGCGATTGAGGCGAAGAAGCCAGACGTTATCTTATGCATGGGTAAGGTGAGCATTGCAGCATAGTTAGTGCGGATGGTAACATCAGCTTATAATACCGAAGGAACCCAAAAGTACACTATTGGAACGTGGGGCCCAGTTCTCGGATGAATTTAAGAAACACGCCGAGTGGGTCTATGCGATGCATCCAAGCCACTCAGTTAATTACAACTCGGGTGATATCATCTTGCGCACGCAGCTCCTCAATTCTATCGCTGAATCCTGTTACAAGTTACACGCGAAGAACCCCAAACTGGTCCCCGCCCCTACAGGCTGTAGTGATCCTTATGGGCACTTGAGACTGATGCCATTCAGCGAGAGCCCGCGGAATACGCGATGGGTCGAAATCCTTCTCCAAAGCCTTATCGTTCTCTGTCTCCGTCCACGTCACCAACTTCCGGCCGCGACTCTCGATAAGAATGCCTACTACAAACTCTTAAGCTGGCACGAAGACTATTTTGTACACATACTTGAAAATCGAGACGTCAAAGACGACCAAGCAACGAAGATTGCAGCCCATCTAATTCCTTTATTCAGGCGCTTGAACACGAGCGTGAGAACGACATCCTGGTATCTACAGACCTATGATGCAAATTGGGGGAATATCGCAGACGTCCTTAGCGACGGCCTTGCAATCCTTGAAGATGTCTGTGGTTTGCTTGATAATAACCACTTTCATGGAACCTATGGGAATGATGAAAACGCGGAGTCACTCGCTACGGACCGCAGCAGCGATATACTTTCACGCGGTAAGTGCATTACTATTCGCATCGCAGCCTTGGTTGATGGTTCCCCGCGACTTGAGAGAAACATGCGATGGATAAAAATTGCCAGTCGGGGGGTGGAAGCATGAACAATGGGGTCGGAAGGATCCATAAACCTTGAGGGGTTTAACCGCTTGTGGTGGAAATATTAGCTGCGCCTTACATCGGAACTGGATGCACTCGTGAGGGTCCATGAATCGGAACTGGCTGTGGCAACGAAATAAGGCTGGAATTTACGGCTGTATCCGTCTTCTGGTCATCTGGTCAGGGCATACTGGGGTTTAATAGACTGAGACTCGTCCTAATCTTTCCCACCGCGAGAACACATATCCGAAAGTGCACTCAAAGCCACCGATCGAAATTCCAATCTTCTCAAACAACAAGTTAATCTTTTGAAATCTGGTCTTGTCGATCCTGCGTGGTTACACGTATCGGACACTCAGGTGTCTTCATTCCCGACAGCCGATCCATCTTCGCTCCAATGTGAACATTGCACAGAATTTTCGAGTGCTAGGCTGCTCAAGTATATTTCACTCTCTTAAAATTAAATCTGTTCCTTCTTGAAACCCTCTTGACCACGGAAAAAACAAGCACATCGAAACAAATACACGTCCCATAAGGTGTCCCATGAATGGGTGGGATGATACACAAACACCTGAAGCGAAAAAGGATTCATCGTCTAGTGGATTTATGAGTACTGTCCTTGTGAATTGTGTGAACATTCTGCAACAAGGGCATGATTGCCTTTGCAACAGGATATATACAGCGTCATATCAGAATCAAGCACCGACTAGAAGAGTCTGGACTTCAATCCCCGGGAGCATTCAAATTTTGATTGGACGTGTCTGTATATGTGAAGCTTTAGATCGGATATTTGATATAGGATTATTCCACTACTCAGTACGGAGTAAAACTACTCTGTAGTTTTTTGACCGCTTTGGTGCTTTAAAATTACAACTTTTGAACGTGGCACTGGCCAGGTGGAACGAGTGAGACAGTGATCGATTGGTAAAAAAAAACCTACCTGTTGTGATCCGACAATCAGGCACCTGGCACCCATACGCACACAAATAGTCACTGTGTGACTACGTAGAAACTATCAGAACAAAGTTAAGTGGGTCGGTCTCGAGACATTCGTATAACAATTTACTATAGACATATTTCATTACCGACATTCATGAATCGCTAACTAACCCTGGGAACCCGAAGAGACCTACAGGTCTGCAATCTCGCAAAATCCTCAAAGCAAAGATCATTTGGTATAAACATCCATCATCCATCATCAGCCGGGGCCTCCGCCTTACTTCTTGCGGGGGCTCATAAGCAGGTTAAACTCCAAGGGCTTGACACTGAAAGCACCATTCGAAGTCAACTTGTAGTTCTTATCCGCAAACTCAAACGAGCACTCCTTGATAATGCTAGCCAGAGTGAAGAAAGACCACTGCCAGGCCCAGGTCTTGCCGTAGCATTCACGCTTTCCGTTACCGAATCCCTTCTTCGCAGCCGCGGGGAGGTTATCCCACTTCTCGCCGAGAACGCGCTCGGGCTTGAACTCCTCTGCATCCTCGCCAAAGACAGCCGGGTCGCGGTTGACAGCGTTCAGGATCGCAATCATAGGCTGGTTGTGCGGGATTTGGTACTCGCCGCCGGCGAGCATGATGGGAGCCTTGCTTTCTGAAGGGATGGGCTCGATGTTGAAACCGGGTGCGGTAGCGGATAGACGGATTGATTCGCGCAGACAGGCCTCGACGTAGTGGAGCTGCTTTAGTTGGTCGAGTTGGATTTCGCTGCTGTCACCGACAATGCTGTCGATCTCCTCGCAGGCCTTCTTGTTGGCCTCGGGGTTCTTGATCAAGTAGTACAGTGCGTAGGAGAGGAGGTTGGCGGCGGTTGCGGCACCGATGTACATGGAGATGATCTCGTCGATCACCTGGGAGTCCTTGAGCTTCTCGCCGGATTCGGGATCAGTGTTGTTGAGCATGGCATCCAGCAAATCCTTGCGGACCTGGTCGGGGTTATCGTGGCGGCTCTTCATGATCTCCGCGCAGTATGAGCGCATGTGCTTGATCTGGCCGGAGTACTTGCTCTGGTAGAGGAGGTTGAGGAGCTTGGGGCGAGTGGGACGCTTCATCGCCTCCATAGTAGCGCCCTCGAAGGCATCAACCATACCGAGGGTCTTCTTTGCGTCCTTATCCATGGCATAGTAGCGCTGGTTGAAGAAGCATTTGTTGCAAGATGCCACCAGGATCGCATCCAGATCCCGAGATGCGAGGACCTTCTGCTTCTGGCTGGAAGACCACTTCTTGGTCAGGTCTGGAACAACCTCCATCATATCCTTGTAAACCTGGTCTGTGGCTTGTTGGGTGACGTAGGGCGCCATGATGCGATGGGCGATTCCCCAGCTCGACTCTTCATCGTAGGCAGTAAACAGACTGTCATGCACCGCATCCCGAATAGCGACGACAGGACCGGTCACGCACTTGCGGAAGCGCTTCTGGTCGCAAATTTCCTCGAGAAGAGCGACGCTACCGACGAAAACGATTTGGTGGCCGAGGGCATTGATCTTGAAGATGGGGCCTATGGATGGGATAGATTGGTTAGCTTTGGACCACCCTAGGTAAGCTCGATTGCTAAGGGTAGAGCTCCGCGCTCTCTCAGTCACTCACCATATTGCTTGGACAGCTTGATCAGCGAGTTCCAGGTCTCGTTAGGGTTGACATCAAAGATATTACCCAGCAGCGGCACACCGGGGGGGTCCAGGAATCTCGGTCGACATGACGGGTAGTTGGATATCACAATAGTATACAGTTAAAACACAACAGGAAAGCGAAGAAAATGCAAGAAAATCGAGAGCTCTGCACGGGAGGGGCGGGGGAACCTGTTCTAAAGCCAAACAGAGTCCTCAGCTTTCACACCAATCTCCAGCTGGGACTCCGATCGACAGATCTCACGGGTGGCCGTCATTGGACGCCCGCGGGGATGGCGCCTGTCGAGACTCCATCGTTCACGACAATTTTGGACTAGCTGACAAGATCGGCACGATCGCGATGTAATAGCGCAGATTGGCGGTCGCTGATCGCACTGGGATTGGCAATTCATCAGGCTTTCTGGAGCAAATCTGGCGGAGACCCAGCGCACTACAGCCCGTAGTGCAACCACCGGGAAGCAATGGGGTTTATCCCAATTGTCAGCGTGTGATGCAGACAAACTCTGCATCGGCTCCACGTAGCTTGACCGCTCGTCTTGCTCCCTGCGTCATGCTGGTTAGCGTTTTTTTGTTGTTACGCAGAGTGGCAGACCGGGAAGCAAATCGGAATGAGCAACTCCTCAACGAATAAGTACCTGGAAGCTCTGACGTGAGTAATCCAGCATCTTCAGCCGTCTTGATTGGCACGGACTCATCAACTTGGTGGCTGTCATAGCGGGTCTGTGGTTGATGGGGCTTGACATCATCTTGATGGCCCACAAGAGGGCCTTCAGGGGGGGTCCCAGCCCCAGCCTCCTTCAGGGCCATACCGTGCGCAATCCAATCCTGCAGGGATCGCAAAGAATCTCAAGATCATCTCGATCATGACCAATGCGTACCCTTATCCGCCGATCCCCGCCGACTGTGTGGATAGCTTCAAACCGGGTCTTCCCTGCCTCGATTGTTCAACCTGGTAGCCAGTCACCCTCCCCTACCGTACCCTGCTCTGCCCAGTGATAGCTACAGGGGAGTAAGGGGAGATTTGGAGGCAAGGTAATCGTAGCGTATTGACGTTTCGTCCCAAAATTCTCTAGGAACATATTCAGACAAGTTGGGTCCACGAGATGTCGCCGCTGCCAGAGGTCTTCGCGAGACTCACGTCGATCCCGATAATGAACGCCTGTTGCGCACGCATCATCGCTCGCTCGCAGCATGTGCGTTTGTATACCAGGCCACCAAGGGTAAGAGCAACCAAATATATGTGGTGAGCGTTGGACCCAATGTCCCCCATATATGACACTCACGCGGCCGGTCGCGCGATCCACATCCACCCCGAGTTTCTGCTTCCCGAACTGTCGCACGCATCGAGTGGGACTCGTAAAGATCCCCTGCACCGATGTGTCAATCCGCGGCGGTTTTTACCAGCGTCGGAGCTGGAGTTGCTGCGCCGGTTCTTTCCTGCTGCGATTGAAGCACGCGTGCTCATTTCGGGCTTTCTCATCGTGTTATTTCGTAATCGGAAGGATATCGATGCATCTTGGCTAGAAGGGTCTGTTCGTTCGTTCGGTCTGCTGCGCTTGGGACATGATGTCGCGATTCATTATCCCACCGAGACGGTCCCCGAGAGTCGAAATGCCGTCGCAGATGCGCAGAATGGCTCGGCCACGCCTTTGGGCCTCAAGCTGAAGTTTCTCGATGACTCGGAGGGTATCACTGTGCCAACTCATGCTTTTGTTGACATTGAGACACTACAGGAGAATATTGCACGTAAAGAAGCCAGCTGCTGAGCCAAAACTAGGGTGGTTTTGTCGAAATCCACTGTGATGAAATTCAAAGGATATTACAAGAGGGGGCCGAGAGTGACATCTCCACTGGGGAAAAGTGTCTGGTTAGTGGAAGAACCAAAGGAGGTAAACTCACCTGTCTGCCCAGGTGGTGATGCAATTGGTCGTTGGGTGGTTGAGCAAACAAAGTTGACTCGGCAAGTAGAAAGTTGGAAATATCTCAACCACCTTCGACCACCATGTAGTTCCCTCCTCAACTTTCCCCTCAAACCATCAACCATGACACTTCCATCGTGACTGGAGATCAACTACCTCGAGTCTTGAATCCCCCACGGGCCCCCAGAATAGTCGGCTGGGCGAATATCGCGATGCGCTAGATGGCCACTCTGCTTTCGCCATGGTACTCAATACTCTCCCCAGTAAGTCAGATGGCAGGGATAAGGAAGAACAAGAACAAGAGGCCGAGATTCGACGAGACCTCTTCGGCACAATGCAGAAAGTCGTCGTCGAAGGCGTCGAGTATCTATGGAATCGCAAGTCTCGCACACAGCCCGCTGTCCTACTTTGACGCGCGATGCACGATGGAACCGAGATGGAAGGCTTGTCAGGATCAGTCTTGTGTCTGGAATAGCCGAAAGATCCAGTCTGCCGTGCCGTACTAGTCAAGCATTTTGAAATACACATATGTCCTCAACATTTCGAGCCTCGGACCAGGTGTCAGCAGTGGCGATATTGCTTGGGGGAGTATCAAGGGTGGATTTCTACTGCCACCGGAGCTCCGAGCTGCTGAGATCATTTGCGAAGGGAATGAATCGACTGCGATTCCTGAGGACGCGCAGACTTGGGACGTTGAGTTTGTATGAGGAAGCTTTTCGCCATAACATGAGTATAAAGAAGAGATCTTGTATCAATTAATAGAGACTACAGCCTTTTGGGGAAGCTGTTTGCCCACTGGCAGTGGATATCCATTACTTGGACTTTCCGACCTTCAAATACCAAGCCCTGGTAATCTAGAAAAATCGTAAGATATTATCCATCTCACCAGATGGCTGTCTATCCTACTCACTACTCCCTACCCCTTTCTCACCTCATCCATTAGTATGTTTGTTGGCCCGTTTAGATCGAGCCGTATTAGTAATATTGAGAGCCCTGGAGCTTAACCAGGATGCAGCTTTTTAATAAATGCAGGATTTCTAAACTCGTATGCAATTCATTTGCTCCTGCTCTAAAGTGACGGAGTTCCGGGGATACCCTCGATTTGGCAAATCTCCCTTTTCTATGTCATTTCTTTGAACCTTTGCTGATCTAGTTGACACAAAACTCTACTTTTCCCCCAGGCGGACACACAGTAAATAATACACAATGAGCGTGCATAGTGCAGACAATATCTCTTAGGTCCACAACTGAGGTGCCCAGTGGAGACATGCACTCACTGTTGTAGAAATAATTATATTTTTTACCTCGGCCCAGCTATTCAGCTCCACTAAGACAATCGTTTGCATAAAGCTATCATTCAAGTGGGGCTCTCAGCCAACAGACTTTCTAAGGCCCGGCATTCATTCCACTTTATTCCCTATTGCTTTCTCCTGAGGCTGTTGTCAAATTTTGTTGAGATCGGGCCGAATCGGGGTTTCAGGGGGGATCCCGAAATTGATGGTAAGCAAAGACTCTGATTTGTCTACCGAGCTAGAGAGCTCCACTAAAATAAATCAAAACAAGGAACACCATTCAATGCATTTCTAGAACAAACCCACTTGCCCAAGCAGAAAAAAAAAACCTCGGCTCTTCCCTAATCCAGCCTCAATCTAGAAACAAAAAACTTCATCGCTCATCTTCGTCACCGAACCAGGCTTCTGGAAACCCAGCGCAGCCAAATTCTTCTTGGTCGCACTCACCATCCCCGGGGGTCCACATAGCATGATTTTCGTATCAGGCGAAGCCGCGGGCAATCGCTCTGCCAGAACAGCCTGATCCACATATCCACTCCCGTACGCCCATTGCTCGGGTGGCGCATCAAGCATGTACCACAGCTTGAAGTTCTTAGGATAGCGACGCGCGAAAGTCTCCAATTCCTCGCGAAGAAGGATATCGGCCTCGGAGCGGTTCGCGTAAACCAAACTGACCTCCGTCGTGTCGGTGTCGTTCTCGCAAATCGCCCGGATCAGCTGGAACATGGGTGTAATTCCAGTGCCACCAGCCACCATGCCGATATTGTTGCAAAGGTCTTTGGTATACTTCATTGCGCCCTTGGGGCCGCGGAACTCGACTTCATCGCCGATCGAGAGGCCGGCGAGGTATTTGCCGCTGAGAAGACCGTCGGGGTAGCATTTGACGACGAGCTCGAGACGGCCACGGTCAAGGTTGTTGGAGGTAGGAGTGTACGAGCGAGTCACTGTCTTGCCATCCACTTCGGCTCTGATCGCGACGTGCTGGCCAATAGGCAAGCCCAAAACGCCCTTCTCGTTGGGCAGAGCAAAGACAAAGCGGTAGACGTTGGATGATAGCTGGTCCTTCTGCACAAGGGGCAGACGCTGGTATTGTTGCGGCTCGAGGAACCCGCGTGTCAAGTGAGGATCAACGCGAATCACCTTCTTTGCCTTGATGCGCGGTGGGTATCGCATGAAGCCAGACTCGATCTTGGTGAATCGGCTAGCTTGTTTAGCCACCATGACACCGATGGAGCCACAGATCACACTTGCAGCCAGGAATCCATTCACGAAGCCGCCTCTCGGCAGACGAAGGCCCTTTACTTGGCTGGGAAGTAGGTGCGAAACATGAGGGAGGTGCACAGCTCCCGGCTTGCAGAAAAAGAGCGCTGGAATGATTGCCAAAGCTCCACTTGCAACTGCGATGGTCCGTAATGAAATAGACGACGACTTCTTCTCCTCTGGGGCTTTTTGAGAGACAACGCGAACAGCCTTAGGCCGCACGAATTGTTGAGCATCCTTCAGGGTACCGACCAGGTAGGGTTGCATGATTTCGCGCGCATCTTCAGAGTGACCAACATCTTCATACTCTGCAGTAGCATCTTTGCCGCCGACTTCAAAAAGTACCTCTGCACCACCGGGATGATCTTGACAGTACTCTGTGATATCGAAAACTGGAAATAGTCAGTAGAGCTCCGATCAAAATGGATAAGTTCAATCAAACCTTGTCCGTGGATAACGATCCATGTATCTTTCTTAGTATTATGCGCCGCAACATCCTTTAATGTGTACTCTGGCAACTCGACTTCCGCCTGCCATTGAGCCTTGGGCTCCTTAATATCTGAAGCAGCCATCTCGTTTGTGAGAAGGAGAATTTAAGACAGTAATCGAAAGAAAGCACAGTATGAGTCGAGGTATTAAAGTGGAACAGCAACTCGACAGACCTATGTACTACAATCAAATACTCGGCCAACCGAAACTCTCCAATTAAAATTATCTTTGCATAAATCTTTGGAGCCGTTTTTTCCGTTTATCGTTTGTACCTCGGGACAAAAAAGCCTCAAAATTCTAGACTACACGGCTCGGACAGCGCCCGCAAACGGCACGGCGTACCGATGCCGATTTCACCGCGAACCCGAAGAACAGACCCATCGGTTCCCGTTGGGGGAAAGCGGGAAGGTATTTGATTCAGTCCAGTGGGTTGATGCCGAGATAACCTTGGATAGAGTGGGGCGAGGCGTGGATGGCTTTTTCCCTTTTTAAGAGCTTGAAAGCTTCTACTAGTATAAAGAGCATAGTTGATCAGATAGTACCTCTAAAGATACTGGTATGTTTTGGTGAATAATCAAATACAAGTTTTACATCTAATATTGATCGCCAATAGGTTTTCCAAACGTCTTTGGCGTCAAAAAAAACCCTGCGTTGGTAGGCCGAACTTCCTAATCTCGTTAATGACAGCGCCGATCGTCACTCCATTCGATAGTGGAGTCAGTCGAAAATACTGAAACTGCCGAGGCAGGCAACGAGGCTAGCAGGATTTCCAATCCAAACTCTAAGGCTCGAGCTACCTTTATGAAAATGTCGCAAATTATGCGTTAGAAATCTCTTCGCGATAAGACGTAGGCCGGTGGAGTCATCGGAGTCAACATGTTTGGCCCGAGTCTGGTGGGTGATGCAATTTCGATATAAATCGGGTGTCTCCGTACGTAGATTTAATTGATCTTCTGGTTCAAACTATTAGTCTCTACTTCAATTTATTGGAAAGATCAACTTGAACATGCCTGGAAAATCTTTCCATCTTCTAGGCGAGCCTAGCTCCTCGTCTCAGTATGTCGAGCTGGAATCGACATTAGATTTTCAAGGACTGCAACACTTGATTGCAGGTCAATTTGCCATTGTTGAGCCTAATGGTACGTTTTTTCCGTTTACTCCCAGGAATACCCGAAATGCCCACTAACATCCTTCTACAGGCATCGGATTCCAAGCCCAAGACTCAACACTCACCACTGTGACCGAGGTCCTCGCGAACGAGGAGCCCATCGCCATCAGCATCGACGGCGAGCCAGTCCGCGAGATCCCAGGACCAAAGGGTCTCCCCTTCGTGGGCAATTTCTTTGAAATCTACCCTGACCATTTGGGAAACCATCAACGCCTCTTCGACCAGTATGGCCCAATCTTCCAAACAACCAACATGGGCCGCACGATATACCACACCAACGACCCCCAATTATCTGCCATCGCCTTTTCTGAATCCGACTTCTTTACCAAGAAAATCAACGAATCTCACCCTCTCTATCCAATCAAGAACCAAGAGGCTGGTGTATTCCTCGGTGACACTGATACGCCAGAATGGCGCGCTGCGCACAAGTTCCTTCCCCCGGCGCTGGGCCCCAAGGCTGTCCGTCACTACGCACCGACCATGCAGGAGACCGTCGAGGACGCGTTTAGCGTTTTTGACGAGCTGGATGAGCAAGGCGAGGCTTGGAATGTTTATCAGTATATGCTGAAGCTGGGATCTCAGGCTGTTGGAAAGCTTGTCCTGGGCATCGATTTCAAGCATTTCACTTCTCCTAACGCCCCACCCCATGAGCTGGTCTACCGCATTGCAGAATCATTAACTTTAAACAAGAAGGTTGCTGCGTGGGGTAACTGGTATGCGAAGATGCCCTTTGGAGACCCCAAGAAGCTACGTGATGCCAGATGGCGTATTATCGAGATGGTTGATGAGTCGATTCAAAATGCCTCCCGCGGTGGTGTTGAGGATCTCCCTCTTCAAGATGCTGCTTTGAAAGCAACCAACATGGTTGGTAAGTATATTCACTCAATCCTCCAAGTTTAATTCTCATTGAATTTCGAAACTAATCATTTCTCTTCAGACTACGCCATCCGTGCCACAGACAACAAGGGTGAAAAGCTCCCAAAAACAAGTCTCATGTCCGCCCTCGTTGTAGCAACAGGCGCCGGCTTCACAACAACCTCCTCCCTCCTCTCATGGCTCATCTACTCCGTAGTAAACTACGAAGGAATGCAAGAGCGTCTCTTACAAGAACTGATCGACAACGACATCGACGCCGATACCCAAATAACAGCAGACCTCACCGACAAACTCACCTTCATGGACCACTTCATCAAAGAGACCCAACGCCGTCACAACCCCTCCTACCAACCAGGCCGCACCGCAAAGGTCGACATGATCCTGCCCGGTGGCTACAAGCTTCCCGCAGAGTCAATCGTGATTCCAGCCCTACACCACGTCCACAATAACCCCGCTGTCTGGGACAATCCCGCGCGCTTTGATCCTGATCGCTGGGATACGGAGGCCGTGAAGAATCGCCACAAGGCGGCTTATATCCCCTTTGCTGCGGGACCGCGGATGTGCATTGGTTTTAACTTTGCTCTGCAGGAGGTCAAGGTCTTTTTGCCGAAGCTGTTGTATCGGTATAAGTTTACCCAGGAACAGTTCGGAACTATCGAGTATGATCCTATGTTCCAGCTGATTCGGCCTAATAATTTGTACGTGCGTGCTGAGCGTCGGGTCAAGTGGCCGCCTAAGTCGGAGTAGATGGTTCTTCGTCGAGGTGGTGGTGATGAAAAGAATATGTACAATCTTCTAAATATCCAATGCATGTTATCTCTATTTTAATTCCATCTTTTTCCCATATTCATTTGGTCTCCCTCGCAAAGTTCCGGTAATGGAAGGAATCCCCGTCGGCTCGAGGCAAGGAGAGACGAAAATAATCATATAAGGCACCTACCCTCCAACCTGCACCTGACGGAATTCCTCCGCCCATGGAAAATTCTCATATCTCGATCCATCTTCTGCGAGCCGCACAGTCGAGGGCGCATACACTCCATTTAACATCCAAGGCGTATCATCCTGTCTAAGCGGAGCCTTGCGCATCCGCATGGGACAAAACGAATAAGTAGCCACAGTAAGCCGACCAGTCGAGCGATACAGTTTCATAGCATCGGAAATAAAGCCTCGAAACTGCATATACCACCACTCGTTGGATAGATACTCCTGCCACTGTTCAAGGGGCCATGGGTTCTGCATGGCGGCGCTGATAATCTCGTAATTCTTCGTCGAGGGCGTGAATCCGTACTTGGCGCAGAATTTTGAAGAGACTGTGTCGTTCATGTGTTTCTTCCAGTGCCAGACCATTGTGAATTCTGTTGCGAGGAATGTTTGTTCGGGGCGGAGGCGGGCTAGACAATATTCTAGCATGCTTTGGTGGCCGGCGAATGTCATCATGTGTGGGTGTATATCAACGCCATCGAGCTCTGGGGTGACAGCAATAAAGTGCAGGAATCGTTCGATTGCCGGAGTGCGTTTGAATGGGAGGTCTAGTCTGTTGAGTGCTCCCATATACAAGCGTGTCATTATTGCATAGTCATGTTTTTGGCGGAATTCAATGACATTCCGCGCCATTGTTTCGTAAAAGTTGTTAAGTCGCTCATCTTCCTGGCCCAACTTTGCCTCAATGAATGGTTCGTTTCCGATGACTAGAATATTGACTTTGCCCAGGACGAGAGGGAGCAGCTGAGCCAAAACTTTCAATTCAGCAGCTAATTCTGCGCTGCCTGGAGCGGGGAAATCAAGATTCGTGTAGTTCCATTTCAGGCTCAGAATAGTATTGAAGCCCGCATCTATTGCCCGAAATAGAGCTTTGATGTTGGGGTCTTGGTCTGGGTGGTGGCTATCAATCAGATGCATGTCGATGAAGCCGCGGATCCACTTGGCGTTGACGCGTCTCAGCTCGGCATGCTTGATCCAAACGAGTTTCTCGTTGTAATTGGCCCCGAGGGTCCCGTAGGAACGTGCTGTTGCCATGCTCGCATTGATTCTCAGGACAGGCTGTTGAAGTGAAAATGCAACACCCCCGCAAAGATCGGCTTGTTGGTTTCCTTCTGGTGGGTTCGTGGATTGAATGGCCCAATCATATAAAGGGTGGGTACGCGGCGCATGAACGTGGGGCTTTTGTTAACATACATAGAAGGATCGAAGGATTCTGAGGCAGCATAGAAACTTACATCGGGCTGGATTCCTTCTAAGGTTAGCATTGCGGATATGGTTGCTTTTGATCTAAAATGCAATTTTGCCGACTCTGGTTGTACCTGAGAAAAATATTACTCGACATTCTAGTCAAGTGCATGTCATGGTTTTATTCAATCTAAAATAACATACAACTTCAAGGTTGAGCACACTCAAAGTGCGGCTCCCTATACTCTAGTTTGAGGCCTCCTGAAAAAGAAATCGAAAAATAGATTCATGTCGTACACTGGCAAATGTTCACACGGCATAGCAACGAAGAATTGCGTCACTTTCTGTCTAGAAGCATGTTCGAGAGAATGAATTTGATACGGAGCCCAAATGCACTATTTTAAGCACAACTTGAAGGATTTGATGCGGGGGAATTCTGAGGTTGCATGAGGCAACAGAATTTCGCCTTCTGTTTCTTTTTCTCCCGTTTTGCCAGCTATTTTTGACGGCGAGAAGCTAATGAAACAGAATTTGAAGCTTCAAGGCACCCCGGCCTCGAATATGTAGTTCCTCTTTCTACTCCTTTTCCGCTTCTCAAAAGGGGATTTGTTAGCCGTAAGCTCACCCAATCTTATTTTCGAATCTTATGCTTATTCCTAAAGTGGTAAGTCTATCTCACCTTCAGCTTCAGCCTTGCGCTAGTAAGTGGACCCTGTGGCGGTAAATCAAACCCCCCTCCAAAGCAGTACAATTTTGGCGAGCATTGCCAAAATGATAAATGGTCAAAGACCCCAGGCTAAAACCTTTCTCGCTTTTCTGGATTCGTGTTCTAGTTCCGAGTCTGTGGTTGTAGTTCCGAGCCCAACTTGGCCCCCTGGCGGATTCAACTAGGCACCCGCATTAACAACCACTCACAACCCACGATACCAACCCTCCCTTCAGGCAAACAAATAATACAAAGGCTACCCTGTTCGATCGGCAAAGGCTATGACAATCAAGCTTCATGTTCTTTCTTGGCGTTTCACGACACTATACCCCAGTCTCTGACAGTGTAACCTTGCGGGGCTATTCTCACCGTCATCACCACCACATGGACATAAGCAATATCGGCAACGCCGCCCACATCAGCTTCACCACATGAATTTTCCCTTAGTGAGGGCTCATATCCGAAAATGCCGATACATTCGATTCCGGAAGATGAAGCCCTTTTATCGATGGATCAGATGGATCTAGAGGATCCGGTCCGTACCCAGAAACCTCGATCATGCAGGTCTTGGTCTTCTCGGTCGAAGACGAGATCGAAGATGACCAGCTGTGACATGCAGGCGTTTCTACAGATGAAGACTCTCTGGAGATTGTCTATGCGGCTATTCTGGGCGATCGTGATGGTTCTGTACGTCTCTTCTCCATGAGCCAAAGCTCTGCAACTACCTAAAACCCCATACCGACTCATCAGCGCCAACATAATCGCAATACCGACTCGGAAATTCCTCGCAAGGAAATACAACGAAATACGATGTGTACTAATACCTTGACAGTGGCCTCACCACCCTATTCACCCTCGCATACGACAACATCGCTTTCTTCGTCTCATCCCACGAAGACACCCTCAACAATCCCAAACACAGACCATCTCTTTTCACAAATTACTTCACCCACGGCGTCACGCCAGTACCATGCCACTCACACAATGACTACTGGCGACGAGTACCTCTCTTCTCTGCCCTCAGAGCTGGCTGCACCAGCGTTGAAGCCGATATCTGGCTAGAAAACGATATCCTCCGCGTCGGCCATACTCCACACACAATCCTCCGCGGACAAACACTAAACAGCCTCTATCTAAATCCGCTACTGGAAACGCTACAACAGCATAACCCACACTTAAACGGATCAGTCCCGGTATCCACATCGGCACCGGCTTCGGCATCAGAATCGAGCCCAGCAGTGTCTCCAGCATCAGATCAACCCTCAGATCTAACCACAACCTACACCAACGCTCACACTCATACCCACTCCCCAAAAGAAATAATCGGCATATTCCCCACAAACCCAACCCAGACCCTCGTCCTCCTAATCGACTTCAAAAGCGGCGAACACCAATGGGAATACCTCATGGAAGCCCTCCGCCCATTGCGCGAAAGCGGCTACCTCAGCTACACCAGCACCAGCACCAGCACCAGCAAAAACGCCAATTCCAGCTCTAGCACTACAGAAGAAACCGAGATAATAACCCGCCCTATCACAATCGTAGCAACAGGCTCGGCACCCTACCACCGCATCCTCTCCAATCCCCACAGAGATACATTCTACGACGCACCGCTAGACGACCTAGACAGTACACCCCAGTCCTCAATCCACGAAGCCTACTCTTGGAAAAACAGCTACTATGCCTCTGTCAACTTCCACCGCTCAATCGGGTCATTGCCGTTAGCGAGACTTTCGCAGGGCCAGCTGGCGAAAGCCCGGAGTCAGATACAGGCTGCGCATGAACGGGGGTTGAAGGTTAGATATTGGGGGACGCCTGGGTGGCCGGTGGGGTTGAGGAATTATGTTTGGCGGGTTCTTGTTCGGGAGGGGGTCGATGTGCTCAATGTTGATGATTTGAGGGCTGCGACGAGGGTTGATTGGGGGAGGGATAGTTGGTGGTGATTAGCGAGGAAGATTATTAATGAACTAGCGAATGAGCGAATTATTTCTGGTAGAATTGAATGACATTTCTTCCCAGCAACCTCGAAAAACGAGGTCTCTGCTGATTCTTTGATTGGATGGGTGTGCAGTATATCCCGAGCTAATCAGCAAAAGAGTCTTCTACTCGAGTAATATCAAACAAAAGCAATGGCTGAATATCAAAAATGCTCTACAAGTAGTACTTGAATGTTTTTCTTTTCTCGGGCTTGAGGTTTGATTTCAGATGAAGCAAATGTTTGATGGATATCCTCGTACAAAACAATTAAAACAATAGCATACATAAATCGTGCAAGAGGGACTTCCTCCGGGCGCAATTAAAATAGGATACTTCGCAGTTCGCGCCTCGTATGGAGAACCCTGGGTGGAAGGAATTTCAGATAGAATATTATTATTACATATAACAAAACAAAACTTAAGATTTATCGCCATATTTGTGTACTTCTTGCATCCTTACCGCATCCGTGTACCTCTTGCTAACCACCGCCAAAGCTTCCCGAATTAACCCCCGAAAATTCAAGAGTTCGGTCCAGGGGTATAATTATCTGCAAAGTCCGAACTCTCATCATACTCCGATCGAGGTAGTTCCCTAACCGACAGTAATGATTACAAATGTTTGTGTCTTACTACAGGGCTTGTCGGTGGCTCTACCCAAGGACAGTTCTGTGCATGATGCGGAATAATCAAGGCTGACATGGTGCGGCATTGGGTTAGGGTTATTTATCCTGGCTGTGTTCATTGAGTTGATTCATTTGATTTTATATTATCTTAAAACATTGCTGGTAGTATTATTGCTTTTTTTGGAAATTTCAAAACTTGCAAGCTAAGCAGAAGTCAGACAGGCTTTGGTTTAAATCACTCACTCGGCTTACAGTCATTAAGTAAATCGTTCTTACTGAGCTTATGGGCCTTACAAAATTGAGATCAGTTACTGCCAATAGCGATAGATACAATAGGAGTCAAAAGTTTACGCTACCGTCCTACACCTACTTACGAGGTTTGGCTGATGGCTTCCTCATCCTCCCGATTGTTGTTTCAATGTTTTTCCCAGCAAATACGCTAGCTTCATGTAAAACTCCAGTAGACACTGCAATTTTGCACCGATTCGAGTCGAGTTTAGTACGCAACACACTGCTAAATTCTCCGGATCGTCATAATATTTCATGAATTCAAGTTATTATAAGACATATTTCCCACTCCGCCGGTGCCTCCATCCTTAATCACCTGGGCACCTGGGGAATTGAAGAGCTCGTTTGAAAAGTGCGTATCCTCATGTACTTGACTCATTTATAGAACGAGCTTAAACTCCGGGTTCCGATCATCCGCATATCCAGCGTACTGATCATACTTTCCGTTCCGCTTATCACGATTCACCTTGGCGCAATAGAGAACATTGAAAAGAATCCTAAAAAGGGGACAGGGTCAGCATTTGATGAGTCCATAACGGGTGATCGACGCTTGTCCAAACTGGTATCGGGAATGAAGGAACTTACATAAACCACGCAAAGACCAGCAGGCCAAGAATAATAGTGTGACCACGGTGATACAGAGGCTTGTCTTTGGCGGGATAATTGAATGCTAGGTGAAACTGTTAGAAAATAGAGCCGCATAAAAAACCTCCGAAGTTGTGGTACTCACTAGCAACGAATCCACCACAATTGGCAATGGCCAACTGCAGCGCAGACGTCGTGGCCCGCTTATAGTGACCGGCCGAGTTATTCGACATCCAGACCAAAATGCACGGCACGCTAGCGTACATGCCAGTCGCCATCATGAAAGTCATACCATACTGGACTTTGGGGTTGCTGGTATTAGCGATGACGGCGTATCCGATTATAGCGATGGGGAGGGAGAAAAGCATGATGACACCACGGAGTTTGAGGCGGTCGGAGATGAATGCGACAAAGACTGGAAAGAATCAAATGGATGAGTACATAGACATAGATAATGTATAATTGAGAAGAAGAATACCTACCTGTCAAAACCGCAGCCACTGCGTAGGGAATAACCGACCACAGCTGCACTTCGTTGGGGGTTTTGGCAAAGTTCATACTTTGGATAATGGTGGGTAACTAGGGGCATTGGAAGTTAGTATCCGCGGGTACTTACTCCAACTCCAATGGGAAGAGGGAAGGGGTGTCATACAAACAAGCCAAAGGAGTAAAGTCCAGACAAAATCGCGAAATATGCCGATGCCGAGAGCCACAGCTGCGGCTCCAGGATACCGCGGCGCACCTCGGACCATCTAAAGCTGTCATTCTCGGCGGAGATTGTTCTGCGGGCTTCGTATTAGCAGTATCCCAGTCTACCCTGGCCTTGTAAAAGGACCAGGGATTGGACAAGTCGAGCCAAAACTTACCCATCTGCCTTTGGGGGGGCATCCAAGAGCAAGCGCTCTCGTCCGAACTCCCTCTCCTCCTCGGTCAAGAAAGAAGCTGTCTCGATACTATTGGGGAGAACCACGTAGCTCAGCAAGCCACCGCAGAAGGTCTTGCAGGAGAGTTAGCCGCTCTATTTCATCGGAGAATGTGACGCTGTCGGGAACTTACCAGAAGTCCCTCAATGATCATAATCCATCGCCAACCCTCCAGTCCGCCTCGAGGACCAATTTCCGATAGACCCCGAGCAAGAAGACCTAAGAAAATAACAAGTTTAGTATACCAGTCCCAAAGGCCATCGTACAGTGGACGAAGCGTACCTCCAAAGGCCCCTGACAAAGAAGCCGCGGTATAGAAAAGGCCAATGCGCAAAGCCAAATCCCCGCGCCTGTAAAAGCTTGACAGGTAAAGAACCTGTACGATGTCAGACTCTGTCTTGAACGGAATAAATCCCCGGGGTTAAATTAAAGTCATACCATTCCTGGAAGCAAACCGCCCTCCGCGATTCCAAGCAAGGCCCGAACCGCCGTAAATTGGGCGAAATTCTGTACAAAACCCAGACACATGGTGATAATGCCCCATAATGCGGTCAAGAATGGCAACCAGATTTTCGGCGAGGCTTTCTTGAGTACAAGATTACTCGGCAATTCACTAGGGCCCCCCCCAAGGTGTCCAAGTCAGTAAGGCGCTCAGCGAGACCCAGCTTGGGGTCAAGAATATACGAGAGAATCTTAGGCACTTACCTGCACACATAAGTGAGATAAAACACGGTCAACCCAATATCGTACTGTTTATCAGTAATATTGATATCCTTCTCCAGACCATAAATCTTCGCATTTCCCACATTGGTTCGATCTAGAAATGAGCATAGAAAGAGCAGGGCCAGCATTGGGAGGATCCTAGTTGGTTCCATAGGTCCTGGTCAGCACGGTCGCAAATAAAAGGGGCGGGGATTAGAGATGGGACTAGCTGACATACCGCGTATCCAACTTCACCAGAATCGCGCGGGTCAATTTGGACTGGTGGGCATCGTCTCCAAAACGATTGAGCGGGCTCTGGCTGCCCTTGGCCTCTTCCAGCATTGAGCTCACTGGTTTGACCTCCATCGTCTTGTGTGGTGTGTGGTTCGATCCTCTGATCTAGGTCGGGGAGTAGGAGTTGCAGAATGCAGAATCAGTAGTATGACAGGGGGGGTGTGGTAGAAGCAGAGGGGAAGAAGCGCAGGTGAGACGGAGGAAAGATAAAGACCCTGAAGAGAAGATACAGCTCGGGATTCAATTCTAGAGCCGAATTAAATGACAGAGTTCAGCCCCAACTTTTCCATTTGTTGAGCCAAGCCTGATTCCCCGCACTTTTTTCCCCAGATTTTATTTTCTTGGTATGAGCTTGACTCCGGTGAACTGCATTACTAATGTTACCCGTTGCGGATAGGTGTAATTTTGGTATCTCTGGTATTTTTGGTCACACTGTTACCCGTGATCGGAGTGCACTTCTACAGCCGAGGCTCCTCTCTTCCGCTTCTTCTCTTCTCTTCTTCAACCACCTCATTTCTCAAGGCTTTGTCCTCTACCACCACCACCATATCTTCACCATGTCGAAACTCTCAGTCGGTCTCAAGGCCCTCATAAATAGCCCAGCAGCCCGCCCTCACACCGTCCCCGCGCCTAAGAATATCACCGCCATCTACCAGGACATTCAGCAATCCGCCAAGGCAAACAATGTGTCGCAGCCGTCGTGGTTGGCTCTGTCGGTGCGCATACCCCTGCCCCTAACCAATTGCAATCGCATTCCCTATCCAATGCCAAGTCCAATGCTAATATTCACCAGACAGCAGCAACAATGACCATGAACTCCCCCCCGAATCCCTCGCCGCCCTCTTCACCCTCGCAACAACCTCGGCCCCAACTTCCACCACCACACCCACAGACCTCGAGATCGCCGAACTAATGCGCGAAGTCGGGCTCAAATGCATAAGTTTCAATGGTATCCCACGAACAATAAACAGCCTAAACGCCTTCAAAACAGCCCTCCCCGACACAATCGCCGACAACCTCTCCAAAACCCCCACCCGCACACCCACACCTGAAAACATCTCCTCCATCAAAGATCGCGGCCACGCCCTCTGGGACTCAATCTATCGCCCCTTTGAGAAAAAGCTCTACAACCGCCTCGCAGACTCGCACCCCGATTTGCCCGTCATTATTCTGAATAGCCACTACGGCGCATTACTCTCGGACCCCGCGGGGCGGGAGCGCAGTGCCAACGCTGCAGCGGGTCGTGTTCTCACTTCTATCGTGGCAATTGCGTGCTTGCGCGCGCAGTCTGGCGTAGCGCCGCAGGTTTTATCGCATGTTTTCGGTCTGCGGAAGGCGCTTGAGGATGGGTCTTGGGCGAGTGATGTTGAGAGTGAGAGTGGGGCGCGGTGGTTGGCGAGTGATGAGGGGAATGAGTGGATATTGAATAGCGTGGATAAGATTGTGAAGGCTATTGGGCAGGGGCAGGGGTCTAACTTTGCTCCTATGGCGAAGTTGTAGGTTATTATGGTGCTGTGTTTTGTTGTAAGGGCTGTAGATATTTATAGATGTCCCGCTGTAGTGAGTCTTGTATATAGCAACTACTACTTCCGTCTTCTATTTTCAGCTCCACGTTGGTTCCAAGGTTGCTAAGGAAGTTTACTAAGGTTACTTGTTTCCTGTCTTAGTCAACTTGATTGAATGACTCGGAATTGATGAGATGGATTCTGCCGTATAACCTATGCGGGGTTAGTACGCGGTGGATTCAAGATAACCGATCACAAACACCAGTGTAACTAATGACGTTGTTACATCGCACAATTATAAGAAGAAGATACTCTCACGACTATCTCTCCTGAGGTCGGGGCTTTATTCAATCCAATCCGCAGTCCACCAAAATTGTCCATGAAACAATACGCCTACCCAGGCTTCGGCGAAGCTCACCAAAAAAGTCACCGGTTTTCCTCCGCCGTCCGAACCGGCGATTTTATCCACTGTGCAGGTCAAGGTGGGTCAACATTGCATCCCATTTAGTGAAGACATGGCAATTGGCCTTGTCTTACAACAAGCCGATAGGCGGCTTCCATGACTCCGAAGGCAACCAACCTTCCGACCTCACCAATGTAGGCCAAGTAGACCAAGTGTTCAAAAATGTCGATACGGCCTTAAGACACGCCGGCGGTGCAGGATGGACCCAGGTCTATCGAGTGAATTCGTTCCATATATCGCTCGACGATGATGCACTTGAGGCAATGGTTCGGAATTTCAAAGAGTGGATGCCTGATAACTATCCCGCTTGGACTTGTGTGCAGGTTTGTCGGCTGGGTGATCCGGGGATGAGGGTTGAGATCGAGGTTTCGGCGTTTGATCCTGTGGGGGCGAGGGTCGAGGGGACCAGCAGTAGCAGCAATAATCTATTGTCAAATGATGGGTAGTAGTTGGATGGGTTGTGCCTCAAGGATTGCTAATTAATGCCACTGGAATACCTTTGGTTTTCCATAACAGAAGACAATAACTCTATTCTGTCTGCAAATATCTGAAAGACCAAGAAGTCATCACTCGCTGCTCAATCGGATACTTGAAAAAGCGAGATGGCGCTACTAGTGAGATTTCGCTGTCAGACCAAGACTTTTTATTGGTATCTATCCATATGGTAGCCATCTGGTGGAGAAATAAGACACACTAAATCATATCATATCAGCTCTTTCAAAAATAAACTCGGAGCCTCCCGGCTTTTGAAAAACACGAATGCTTACAAGGTTATGTAATTCACAATGTGCTTCCGACTGTTTAGGGAATGCGTGCAAAGTATTATTAGAATCCTTGATGAAAATTGGAACACCTCAACATATCATTGATAAATATTCTCTTGGTTGGAACGCATGACTTCATACTCAAGTATTAAATAGCAATGTATAAAGTAACCACGGAATATGGAGCTCTTTAAGCTATCTACCTTTGACTACATGCGGAAAAGTTAAAGTTTGTCCACCACGAACCTTGGACGCATCGCGTTGGGAAAAGGTTTATCTCAAAATATAATCCAATCAATTAAATCAGAAAATAATTGTTCTCGGCGGATCTTCCTTCCAATAATTTATTTTAGAAACAATAGAGAATGAACCCTGGGCCTTAGCGTCGCCCAAGAACTGGGTGGCAAATTCCCGCCAACCTTTCGCCAAGCGTATGAAGCCAAGAGATCTAAAACGATACACAGACTTGATTTCTTGCGCCTTGGTTTACTTTCAAGATTATCTACGGGGCTTAAAACTCTACCCTTTTTTAATCTAGGTACTTTTTTTCCTGCAAACTTGAATGATCCGACACTCACAAGTTATAAAATCACTATTATTATAATTTTCAGGTAAGATCAATAAAATCAAGTAAATTAAAGAGATTAGTAGTTAGTTTTCAAGATCAGCAGAGATCATTTTCTCTCCCACTGCATTAATTGAAATAGACCCAGACAATTTCAGCTCGCGTAACAATAGCCCTCAAAAAAAATAAGGAATGTCGGAATAGATCAGGACTATGTCAATAGGCTCTTCCAGCTAAGAAGAAAGCCCTATTCTCCGATATTTCGGAGACCTGTTCAAGGGCATTCTCCTACGTGGACCTCTGTGATAACAAAGAGAAAAGATTAGAACTCATCCCAGTACTTAAAAGACTTAAAAAAGAGGATTGCTTACCGCAGCGATACGGCTTGTTGTCCTCCTTGACCCACCAACCCTTCGAATTCTTGTACCAATTCCTAAAAAGGAAGATTTAGTAAACCATAGCGTATACATTCAAGAACATAAGAAGCACATACTGGTACTTGCAGACGGGTGCAAAGGTGTCGCCGACATTGGACTTGCCAACTGTGCCACTTTCATCACAAGGATACTTGTGATACCAATAGGTCTTCTTCACCTTGCACCAATCCTGGGGGCGCTGATGATCACCTCCCCAGTTCTTGCCTCCGCCGTTCCAGTTGCCTCCTCCTCCGCCTCGTTCTTCCAGAGAAGAGTCAGCGTCGGCAATTGGATTGGCCAAGGCTACCTGCGTAGCCAAGGGAAGAAGAGCAGTGAGGATGAAGACGGGGGACTTCATAATGAGACAATTGAAGGCAGTGTTTGAATTATTGAGTATCTGATGTTTTGAATTGATCTGATCGATGAAGAATGAAAAGAAAACTGTACATGTTGAATTCGAGAGGCTTTAAGTATTAGTGTGTGGATACCTTTTCTTCTCATCTTCCGATTTAAGAAACAATACTTCAATGGATGTAAGTGTCATCAATCAAAATATTATGTTTCTGCAATATCGACAAGAAAACATGAATGATTCAATTATCCCATGGTCGTTGATGGCAACATGGTATAATTTCCGCGGTGGGTGATCTAGCCGCTTGAAGACTCGTTCCCGATCTGGGAGCTCAGAGCTGCCACAACATAAGGTTTCATCCAATAGTATGAGTGTAGCTCTAGGCCAAGGAAATTATACACTATGGGCTCTTTGTGGCGGAGCCCCGGGACTCCATATATCATAGCAGGTGATAGTTTGGATTCGTTGGATTTCGCCCGGGGGAGGAAAAGCAGGAGAGAGCGAGAGCGAGAGCGAATTTGAGGAACCACAAGATTGGATTGGATATTGCAACTGGAGCTGTGTAGTCGACAAAACATGGACGCTATTTGCGTTCGTATCTAACGAGTGTGTTCCGCTGGCCATGGCAGGCTTGGCATACATCCGGGCTTGGCAGACGTAAGAGACCGCCAGAGTCAACTGATCAGCTTGCCATACGGGTTTATCAACCTAAGATTGATTTCCGGTTCCATTGTTGCATTTTATTAATCCGTGGTATGGATATGGGTGAAATCCTGTAAGCTTGTTTGAGTTTGAGACATGATCGGCTCTAGACCCTTGTTTACAAAAATGCCGATTCGGGAATACTCAGCCTCCTCATTAGATGACAAGGTTGAGAAATAACGAGCCTCTGTAGGGTATGTGGTGACGCCAATTCCTGGAATCTTGTAACTCGTAATAATCGCAGGTAAGGGATGAAGAAAGTCAAAAGAAATCATTTGCTCAAGGGCCGCATGAGCCCGAAACAGACCCTGGAATGTCTTTTCATCCGTAGCTAGTACTGTGATGGGACGGGTTTCCACTGTCCTGTCGCTTAATTGAGCCTGAGCTAGTAGTCTAAATGCCCAACATCATGCCTGCCATCCTATCATTTGGAAAGGCACTCTTCTACCTGACTATACAGGAAATATTTAGTCTTGCTTCAACCTCTCTTCGATATCCAACTCCACCCATTACAAGTACATACTAGACACTAGCAACAATCACACAAGAACAAAACATAATCGTATTCTACACCTAGGTAGTACTAGTAGTACATAATCATTTCTCACTGAGAACTTGAAAAATCAAGATATTATGCCAGAAATACCAATAAAAAGAGCCTAAGCACAGCCCAAATCAAACCCCAGTCAACTTCCTCGCAATCCTCCCCCCAAATGCCCTTCTTCTTACCATCCCCATCCCCATCCCTCTCCAGCCGCGAATGAATCGGCCCATCACTATAATCACCCTCCGCACTCTCATTCTGAAACTGTAGTCCTTGGGCTTGCTCTTGGTCTTGCTTCCGCCCCTCCGCATCCAGATGCATCTGCCCTTTCTGCGTCCGTGGCACACCATCCCCAACTCCACTTTCGAAATCCGTTCTATTTTCATTTCCAACCCCCATTTTCTCCTCTTGCTCACGGCGCTCGCGCGCTTGTCGCTCCAAACCCCTCCGCCCGGCGGCATCGATACTCCGCTCGCCGAGCATACTTGTTCCCGCGGGTCCGGGGGCTAGCATTGTTTTATCGATCATGGTGGTGGAAGTGTGGCGGGGATGTTTGGAAAATCCAGGTTTAATTATGCGGATAGATGGATGGATGCTTGGTTCTCGTAGACCTTTGAAGGAAGGGGTTATTTCCCTTCTCTCGGAGCCTTGGAAGATCTGTTTGATAGATACGAGTATGTTCAGATTGATTTAAGGAATATATACAGTTCAAGATAAATTGAAGTTCAGTTGACTTCAATGGGAAACGCAGCCGGGATCGTCGGCCTGAATTGGGGGCGATGACGTCTCTAGACAAGACAAGGCTGAGTCGAGTCTTGTGAACGCAAAAAGAGCGGTTCATCTCCACCGCCGCAACAACCAATCACGCATCGCATCGCATTGCATCGCATACAGTATACTCTGCATAGCAGCGAGCATGCCAATCCCAATTCCATGCCATGCAATGCAGCAAACTAAAACGAGAATTCCGCATTCGCAAAATCCGGCCAATCCCAACTAAGCATATCATCAAAGGGGACGTCAGGAATCGAAGCGCCAAACGCACTCCCGCCCGCCCGGTTAACCGCGTCAATAATCTGGTCATCCGACATGGCCGAGAACTGAAGCGGTTCTGTCCAGAGATCTGCCGGGGGTAATGAAGGTGTTGGCTGTGCCGGGATAGCGGGGAGAGACGATGGTGGGCCATGGCTTTGACTCTGGTTCCGGCCCTGAGCATCAGCATCAGCATCAACATTCGCAGAGCCATGGCCATGGCCATGGCCATCAAGACCTCTATTCAACGGTAATACCGCGTGCATATCCACGCGGTGCTCGATACCCGCTTGCGCCTGCGCCTGCGAAAGCGAAGGTGCGCGTCTAATAAGTTCTCTCAGAAAACGCCCGTATAAAACCGAGGCCCCGTTTCTGTGATTCGGCGTTGCGCCAATGCGTTCGAGGACACCAGCCGTTTCTTCAATCAGTGTTCGAACACTAGGCGCGAGGCTGGATCGACTATCGCCCGGCGTGACGCTCAGACTGAGCGCCGAACAAGCCGCGAAGGAAATCATGATGACGGTGTTATTTGGCATGGATTTGAGTCGGGATTCGCCCTGTATTGCGGCTCGGAGGACGTTTAGTGCGGAGGATAGGCCTGCTGCGCGGAAAAATCGCTTTACTGCTGTTGGGGCTGTTGGGTGGTTGATTACGCCGCCGTAGGTTGAGAGTTGGGTGTGTGTGACTAGAATTTCGACGTAGGGGGGGCAGAGAGCGGGCTGTTTTATTCTTAGTTAGTTCTGCCTGCAGTGTTGGGGAAGAGTTTCATACCTCCGTCTTCACTGATCGCTACAGCCCAAGTCGTGAACCATTGGTCGTAGAAGTTTTCAATGGTCGTTTTTATTCTACGGGATTAGCAGTGTCACAATATTGCGGATTGCACATGGTACATACGCGTGAGCAGCTTCGGAACCGGTATCCCCGACGCGATAACTATCGCAACTTGATTTGACCTTCCGTAATAACTCATCCTGTGAAATTAGCCAGCTGAGCGCGTCGCATTGCAGTGAAGTAAAGCAAAACTCACCAAATCCCGACGCAATATAGCCATAGAATTCATCGGGCCATCGCGTCGATCCGCAATATCAGACCGATGCCACATATCGCAGTTCTCAATCAATGCCGTCGGCGGAACAGTATAGCTTCTCCCTCTAGCAAGACAAACACTGCACGCAGTATCGCATTAGTACCGGTACTAACAAACGCAGTATTCTTTTTTTTTCACTGCGAAAATGACACTCCATCGCATACATACCCCCTCTCAACAACAAAAAGCGCAATCCAAGTCCTCTCCCTCCTCCTTAAAAGTCGTCTCCCCCACTCCGACCCCGGCTCAACATCATCAAACCCATCCATAAGCAGCGCACGCTTGGCATCAATGCAATCCGCCCTCGCGAGCCGAAAGGTAAGATCAGCCCCGAAACTACTCGACGGCGTGACGATCTTATTAAGCGACAGATCCAGCGCAACAGTCAGTGCCATCGCGATATACGCGCACGTGTCGTCGTCGCCGAGGCGGTCTCCGGGTGCCATCCAGGGTACGTTTACCATGAAAGCCAGGACGATTTCGACGGAGCGGTACCGGTGGATCATCACGCGGTTGGCGAGCCATTTGACGTGGCGGGAGAGTCTTTTTGATAGAGCGCTTGCTGATGGTAGGAATAGGGCTGCGTTGGCCATTATTGATGTAAACAGGAAGGACGATTGGGTGCGGACGAAATGTGCCGTGTGGACTAGGGGGGTCTAAGCCCCATCTTGTGTGTGCGAGATGTTGGTAGAAACTGGGGGGGGGAGTTAGGTGGGTTGGGTTGGACTGGGAGCAGAAAGAAAGAAATACATACAAGGAAAACAACGACTCCGACTCGTCAAACGTAACAAGACCCAACTCCACCGGATCCAAATCAGCCCCAACATCCAGATTCGCTCGCGCAGGGATAAAAAACGATTTAGCACTCTGCTCTCGCCGATCCAGCTCCGCATCAAAATCCCGGCCCCTATCGTGGCCCCTATCACCCGGGTCCGCGACAAGGCCTTCCTGCGGCAGAGATGAAGATGGGGGAGCTGATATCAAAGGCATAGGCGACGATTTAGGCAAATGTCTTACCCCGAGAGGCGATAGTTGTAAATCTGAAGCTCGCGCCAGCAGCTGTAGCGGATTCTCTGCATCATCAAGGGCAAGATTTTCCTCTGGAGCATCACGGGGTGAAGGAGAGACCATGTGTTGATGGTGAGGATCTCGTTCCAGATCTGATGAGAATGCTTCGGATTCTCCCCTAGCTTGGGCCCCGAGTCCTCCGTCTGGTGAACGACTCAACTGGCCCTGGAAGCGTGAGAGAAGCTCCTGAAGTCCGGAGATAGCTCGTTGGGCTTCATCTGTTGAGCCAGCGGAAGGATCAAGTTTTGGGCGTTTTATCGCCTGCTCGATTTGATGGATTGCTTTTTCCAGGCCTTTTCGTTTGCTGTAGCGTTTATTAGCGAATGTTCTTGTTCCCTGTCATTTATGACTATGCTCATATCCATGTCCATGTCCATGCTTGAATATTCATATTCTCTATTCCGTTTTACTGGAACGAAAAAAACAAAGAATACCTAATCAACACCAATCCACTCACTTCTTAACACCCTTCTGGCGACCTAAATGATGATTCGGCACAACACACTCAACATCAGCCTGGCGACATTTCTCGCAGCGGGCATGGTTGGCGGGCCGATTGCAGCGGATTTTGCTGCGGCGACAGTTGAGACAGGCCGGCTGTTTGGCGTGGGAGGCCGACTCATCCATATTGCCGTGCCCGGGGTTGGTTGCCGAGGGCGGCTCGGTAGATGAGGATGAAATGAGGATGAGATGAGATGTGGGGATAGTTCGAGTGCATACCAGGTAGTACCACACAAGGATTTCTTTCATGTAACCATAGTTGGCACCGTCCTTCAACAGCCCTGCCGGGCTAGCTCAATCGGTAGAGCGTGAGACTCTTAATCTCAAGGTTGGGGGTTCGACCCCCCCCGTTTGGCTATTCCTACAAAAATCACCTGAGATATCTTTTTGCTTCTCTCTAGAAATGCACGGCACCATAAAAGGCGGTCGGGAGGCACCGCTTACACACTCTTTTTTGGGCTTTTTTGTAGAATTATTACTAGGTAGTTCATTGGTGGGTGGTTCAGAACTAATCTATCTACCTAGGTATGCTTCTGTATTCCTCGAGATAATATACCGTCTGGTATCTACTTCAACTTAAAGTTAGTAAACCAAACACCTGGGCAGTCTGAACTTGAAGGTATCTTGTGTCAAAAATATAGCAGATAGTTACATATTTGAGTTACGAACTACCTAAAATGTAGCATTAAATATTACTACCTTCAACCTTGGAAGTTCTGGCAAATTTGGAGAAGCTCATTAGTAACTTGAATAGACAATCTAGATAATTCACCTCCAAGGGGGCCTACGGAGTAAAATACCTACGTAGGTAAATAGGTAGGTAGATAGTTTCTACGACCACACGTGATTAAAGAGTCGTGCGAATACGAGGTAACTAACTACCTGCCAGAGTAAATCTCTCGTCATGTTCAGGTTGACAGCTTCACATATAAATGGAACATATACCTACTTGACGTCTCTGTTTCTATCTAGTCACTTCTTCCGAGTCTTTACAGTGCTCGGTGGTGAATTTATCATTGCGCGACCTTTCGACCTTCAAGTTGAGCCCCTGATCGGCCGCAGTTCTCGGAGTCAAAAATGAACACTTTTGTGCCAAGTTTGACGACTCTACCCTGGACATCATCATAGAACTATGTCGACATCTCAAGAGCCCCCAGGACCGATTGAATCTTGCCTGCTGTTCGCGACAATTCCATAAAATCCTCCTGCCACTGCTCTATCAAAAACTATGGACCGGGGGCGACCTCCTCCGCCCAATTGTCCAGCTCAGCGAGACTCTCGCCAAGAACCCATCTCTCGCAGCGCATGTGAAGGCCGTACATCTATCCGCCTGGGAAACAGAACAAGGGACCCACGAAGCAGACTTCGAGCAAGCGCTGAGACAACACAAAGAATATGTCCAACTTTCCAGCGAAGACGATCCGTACGACTGGTCGCTAGATTGGAGCATCCGCCTAGACCGCATTGACTATAGCCCTTTCTACGAACAGGCACAACGCCTGACTCGCTCTGCCGACGAAGCAGACTTCTGGCTGGATGCCTTGCAGATCGGAAGTGGGGACGCATGGATCGCACTACTGCTTACCTTCTTGCCTAACCTGCGACGACTCGAGGCTGAGTTCCCCTTCGGTTCGCTGTGGCTTCATTTTGCGATGAGATGGGCTGCAACACGGGACGTGAGCTCCGAGTCTCTTCCGGCGGCGTCTTTCCCGCCAATCTCTGAGGTTTATGTGGACTGGAGCTCTCACGATACTTGTATATGTGCGGAACACGTTATGCCTTTCTTCTTGTTGCCGTCAATGCGCCGGTTTTATGCGAGCGATTTGGATGGTAGTGTCGCGGGGGGTGATGATGAGTTATCGAGCTCGACACCGATGGATGGGATCTCGTCTGTTACTCATATTGAGATCAATGGGTGTAATGGAAAATGGGACCTGCTCAAGGTGATAGGATCCTGCAAAAGTCTCCAGAGTTTCAAATATAATCACCGGGGCTGTGTTGGCTATAACCCGGCGGAGTTATATGGTGCTCTTTTTCCAATGAGGGAGACACTTGACACAATATGGCTGGATATTAAGGCGGGGGACGATCAGAATGATGGTGATGAGTATGAAGACGAAGATATTGGAGACGATGAGCATGACGACGACGAGAATGAAGACGACGAGAATGAAGACGACGAGAACGAAGACGACGAGAGCGAAGACGACGAGAACGAAGACGACGAGAACGAAGACGGTGGGAACGAAGATGGTGGGAACGAAGACAGTGAGCACGAGGCCGATGAGCATAATGACGATCACCACTGCGACGATGCACTTCCTTCATTCCGAGACTTTAGTGTTCTAAAAACCCTCCATCTCAGACTAGGAAATTTACCAATTTCGAAGGACAGAGGATCCAACATGTCCCTTGCTCATGCCCTTCCACCTTCAATCGAGACTTTGCAAATTGCGGATACAGGAAACGTCGAAGATCTCCAAGTCTTTGCCCAAAAATTGCAAGATCATATTGACAATGGCTTGGAGTCCACTCCCGCATTGACACAGATTGATTTTAGCCCTAAGTCCGATTCTGCAGAGGTATCAGCATTGGTGGAGAGGATGACTACAATCTGCGCCAAAGTGGACATGAACTTCCGATTATGCGGTATTCTCGGTAGTCGGACTGATTGGGGTTCTGCTGGGTTTGCACCACGTCCGAGTCCACCACGACCTGTCTCCAAGTCCATGGAAGGAGAACCTGAGGGCTCCGTATATAGTGACTGACTACGATGTATCTACTAGCCTTGCAGACTAAGTTTTAACGCCAAACAAGAAAGACCTCCAAGCTGAAATCTATCATGTATTCAAGGTAGATCTTATCCAAACCTTGGAACCTCCATTCATTACAAGTAATATTAGACAGCTCTTGTCGAGCTATAAATCATATAAACATCAGACTTCCGCCCTCCAACATCCACACCTATTAACGAGAACTAGCCCGTCCAATCTCCCCTTCACCCCCACCCTCGTGCAGCGCACCAGACGCCTCAGGCACAACAGCCCTAGGCAAAGGCTGCACAGCCGGAGCCTGAGCCTGAGCCTGCTGGCCCTGAACCGGACCCTGTGCCTGTCCCTGTGCCTGTGCCTGAGCCCGAGCCTGAGCCTGAACCTGCCCCATCTCCGGCCCCCTCACAGGACCCCCAACACTCTGTAAACTCCCCCCTCACACTATCCTCGGCCCCCAACAACGGCGCCGGATGCACCCCATCAGCATTCCCATACCCATATCCACCCCACGCATAACCCGGACGTTTCGAAACCCTAACCTTCGGCGGCGGCGGCCCCAAAACAGTCGGATACTTGTACCGAAAGCCCCAAACCCAAAACAGACAAAACTTCCTCCAAAAGCCCATCTTCTCCCACCTCTCTTTCAAGATAGCCGCATCGTCGACACTACGCGCGCGGTAGCCCTTTCGAAATCCCCAGAGACAGCACAGCGAGAGCGGGAGAATTGTAAACGCCCAGCATACCGGTAGTCCACGGCGCGTCTGCCATCCCAGCATTAGTCTGCGGAATCGGATCCATGCTTCCAAAATGCCGGCGAGGAACCATAGGCCTATCCAGCCGAGGACGCTGATTAGGATGACTGCGAGGAGACTGATGCCACCATAGTATTTGCCGTTCCATTCGTCGTAGTTGTCCCAGTAGTAGTAGTTATTGTAGTAGCCACTGTTGGGGTCAGCGTTGGAATTGGAATTGGAATTGGAGGTGGGCCCGGAGCTTAGGCCCGTGTTGGGGTCGTACTTGGATGAACTGTCCGTGCCGTCGGAGTAGGTGTAGTGGTAGTAGCAGTTTGAGCCCGCGCCGTAAAGGGTGGATGGCGGGGAGTTTACGTTTCGCAGGGAGGCGAGAGTGGCCCTTGGGACTTGGGTGGGGTCTACCCAGATCTGATCGTATGTGTATGTCGTTGGTTGAAAGGCGATGCTCGTGTCAACAGATAAGGAGACAGATGTCCTGGTTCGTGGGAGGAGGGCGGAGAGAGTTGTAGGCAAGGCGCGGAGCGTTGCGGCTGTAGTTGTTGTCCATGTTGAGGAGCAGCCTGTTGGTGCGGTATAGGTTAGGTCGACGACGAAGACGGTTGTGTGGTAGGCGTTGGAACTGTAGTAGTCTTCGTAGTAACCGGCGTTGAGGTCGATGGCTGTGCCGACGCCGGAGGGGTATAGTTTTTCGACGGCGGTGATGGTGTAGCCGTATCCGGTGTTTGTTTGGGTGATTGTTGACAGGGCTTCCGGGAGGGATGTTACTGTTGGAATGATTGCTTCGACGGAGGTGGTTGTTTTTGTGACGAGGTTATCGTCCAGGTCATAGCTGACTATTGTTGTGGGGACAGCTTGGTTTGCTTCAGTGATTATCCAGGGTGCGGCGTGAACGAGTGGAGAGCAGCCGAGGAGAGCAAGGCTGGTTAAAACGAGTGACTTGAACGAGTGTGTGGATATCATCTTTGCGGTTTACTCGATTGCTCAGCTTGAGCCTCGAGATGAGTGATTCTTCCCCTGCAGAGAGGAAGTGTGGCTGCCGCCATGGTTTTATGTGGTCGGTGGCGTGCAGGGTAATTTTTTCATAGTCCTATTCCTATTTTAGTATGCATGTTCATGCTAGTCCGGCGCTTGTCGACCCTTTCGACCCTTTTTCCCCGTCTAGAGCAGGGTCCAGGAGGCTCTAGTCATGGGGCTAATCGAATTGGGAGAAATCTAAGACAAAACTAGCATGGATGGGGAATTGTGGAGATTGCGATTGGGGGCGAAGAGTTGCTGATTGGGGGGGATTCTAAGGTTCGCTGGAGATAAGTTTCGGCGAAGTGCAATAGATTAGAGGAGAGTACTCTCGTCCTCCGTAGAGAGTAAGTAGAGAAGTCAGAAGAGAGAAGACAAAAGAGTCAGCGTGTTGATGGATATTAGGGTAGAGCACAGCACATGATCTCACATGATGGTATCCTTGGTATAACTACATTGTATACTCTCATAGAGTGTAGAAACCAACACTCTCGTTTTAAGGACTCAATAATGGGCAAAACAGCCGAGCAAAGTCAATGCCAAGCAAAAATAAAGACGGAATAAGCCCGGGCAAACCCCATCGGTTTTCCCATGTGGTGGCCATCCGATTTATCTCTCTTTAAAGCAACAATGCGCGAGTGTGGCCCCTTTGCCTCCGAGTTTGCCCCCGAGTCGGCAACAGCCTGAGTAGTATTATCTTGTGTATCAATGTGGCTATGAACAGATTCCCATGCATACAGACAAAGGGCCCTTACTCCGCACAACTACACTTCGGTAGATGACCGAGTATGCTCTACTACCAGTATATGATACTCTGATACTCCAACACCCAACCGCCTAGAGAACCTCGGAAGAATAGAAAACTAGTCCATACCCTATAAACCTACAAGACAGCACAACACAACAACATGAAAATTAAACCCGCAAGAAATCCCATACAGGGCATAAGCGTAACTTCGTAAAGACAACCCACCATCTTCAAGTTCAAGTTATAATCACAACAACACCACCACTAATTCGCAGCCCTCAAAGCCCTCAACCTCGCCCCAAGCCCATCCTCAACCTCCGCATCCCCCTTAACCGGCTGAACCGCCTCCTTCTTCTTAACCTCCTGCGGCACATTCGTATCCTGCTCCAAGGCAATACGCATATCAACACCCGCCTCATCAGCAAGCTGCTCCATCATCCGATCAACCTCATGCTGCCCCTCAGCCCCATACTCCTGCAAACTCACCCCCTGCGCAACATCCTCAATCGCACTACTCGCAATCTTAAAGTCCTCACTCCGCGCCAAAAAGTTATTCGCATGCGAAACCAGATGTTCCAGATTCACGCTCTTGCTCGCGGCGTCCAGGCCCCGCGAGGCCAGGGCAGTGTGCGCGACGTGTCGCGGGTTGACTGGGCGGCTTTGAGTTCGTTGATTATTACGTCTGCGCGTGCGGCTTCGGATTTCAGCGTTACTTGGCGGCGCTTTTCGCGGACGGCGGAGGAGGCGTGGATGCGGGCGATTTGGAATTCGCGGTTTTTCATGGCGCGGTCTGCTTTGGCTTTTTCGGATTTGTAGGTTGCTTCGGCGCGGGCGGATTCTTTTTTTAGGCGGTTGGAGTGGAGCTGGGGGGGGTTTTTGTTAGTATTGAATAGTATAGGGGTGGCTTTGGTGAGGGCAGAGTATGGGGGGGAGAGATGTGATGCCTGATCTGCGGTGCGGCGGGGGCGGGGAGGGGAAGAAGAGGGGAGAGGAGGGGGGTACCTTGACATTGGTGCGGGCTTCGAAGATGGGATCTTTGCGGACCATGATGGCGGAGAGGAGGGAGTGAGGGTGATAGGGTGTAGATTAGGGAGTAGGGAGAAGAGTAGAGAGGAGTGTAGAGTGTTGATGTCTTATGTTGGTAGTGCGGAGGCTGAGTTCGGGAGTGGCAACGTCACTGACCGCATTCGTTAGCGTAGGCTGATATTCTACTTTCTACTTTTATTCTACTTTTTTTCTACTTTTCTGCTATTGTTATGGTTATAATTATAATTATAGTATAATAGTACTGTGCCTGCCTACCCTTTTAGTTGTTTTGTTTCCCTTCCCCCTCGGTCGTTGGGCATACCCAGAGCCTTTGACTAAGTACTCTACAGATCTACTCCATACTGGAGATGCCTCCTTCCCGGACCAGTGCACCTGGAAAACTGGCGTTGGATATTCATGAGTAGAGGTGGCTGAGGAATATTATGAAACCGGGCAAAGGGGACATTACATTTACAACTCTACTAGAGACAGAATTCGTTGATGAAAATTGCTGATTGCAAAGCCATAGCCAGCTAATAGTATACATTTAACCCAATTGCTTGCCCACTCTCGATAAAGGCTCAAGAGAACGCCAAGAACTCCGTGTCCGTACCTTTCCATGTCCATTGCGTCGTCGCCGTCCGGAACTCTTACTCTCACGTCGCTGACCACTCAGTCTATCAATAGCCCAGATCATAGTCAACAACGACTCCCACCGCGGTCGGCCCTCCGGGGCGTTAACATCATCAGCCAACCGGGCTGTCTTCGAAGAAATCTGCTCGCTAACCGCTAGCTGCAATGCTCTGCCCGTCGCATCTCGAAGTGGACGCGCCAAGGCTGGGCTGCACGCTAGCAGGCGGGCAAGCAGATTCATCCGAAAGACCGGCCGGGTGGTCGACGAGGCTGACGTCAAGGGAGCCGACAGGCTCGGAGTCGAAATCAACCAGTGAATCAAAGGGGAAAGAACTGAGATCTGTTGCGTCGAGAGCGCCAAAGGCGAACCCGTCTTCAGGGAATGAAGGATTAGACTCAGCGGCGCCGTCACCGTGGAATAGGCGGCGGAAGTCATCGTCAGAAAGAGGAGCTGCAACATCGTGAGGCTCGTGAGTGAGGTCGAAGAGAGGGAGCGCGGCTCCACTGCCTTCGAGGCTACCGACGGACACGGCAGGTCGCACAACATCGCGGCAGGATGTTGTGTCGCGTCGGAAGCCTCAGCCAGCGTGGAGGGTTGGAGGGTGGGGGAGTATTCGAGAGTGGAGGTGGCGGGGGTTGGGAAGGGGATGCGTTCCATTTGGATATCCTCGCCTTCTTGTTTGAAGAGGGTTGGTGTGAGTGTTGGGGATTCGGTGATGGCGGGGGGAGGGGAGGTGGCTTTGTTGGAGATGGGTGTTGAGCTGCGAGATCCTCGGACTTCGGCGGACAGCTGGGCTACTTGTTGGGCCAGTCGGCTGTTCTCAACCTCCATCTGAGTTAACCTTTGAAGAAGGAACTGGTTCTGTTCTTCCATTCGGATCTTCTCGGTCTCTAGCTTCTCCATTTCGAGACGCTTGCGCTCGCGGGATGTTTGGGCCGCGGCGCGATTCCTGAGTACGCGCTCGATGCGGCGTTGCTCTTTTTCGTCATCTGTCTTGGCTCGTTTCCTGGGGATGTCAGTGAGTGGTGGTGGGGGTGATGATGGGATGACAGCAGGGTTAAGCATACCTTGGGGGGGAGGTTGGTCTTGGGAGTCGGGAGTTCCTGACCCCATGACTTCCTCTTCTTTGTGGGCTTCTTATCATCTTCCTCCTTAATTTCGATATCATCATCACCCTCGCACTCGGGCTCGGGCGAGTCGTCGAAGGTGTCTGCGGGGGAGACAGTCAAGGGGAAGTCCGCTGGAGAACCAGGGAGGTCCATCGGGTTTATCGTGTCCGTCATAATGTGTGTATTTGTGTGTATAGAGTAGGTGGATGTATAGAGTGGATGGCGTATAGGGTGGGTGATGTGGTGGTGATGTGGGTGGTGATGGTGGCCGGTGCCGTGTGTGGAGGACAAGATCAGAACCGACAGGACGAGGGCGATCAAATCAAGTCAAATCAGATCAGATAGAGTCAGGCCACGTCTACACGGTCGGCCCCATATGAGTCAGCGAGAGAAAAGGACAGATTGTTCATGTGGTTGTGTGTTGACGAAGGCGGATGCGGCAGTGTTTAAGTAGAGGCCACTTGTCATCCTCCGGGTCCCGTGACTTCCTGATGTCCTCTCGCCTTCCACTCTCACTTCCCCCTGTCGTGTCTCCCCCTTTGACCCCCTGGAACATCCCCCATTCGCCAAGTGGACCCCAGTTTCAGCCAATTCGGCCCTCAGCCTCGCTATGAATAGCACTTGGCCCCGGCCCCAGGCCCCCAAGCAGATCACCATCAGCACTAATGGCAGTTTGCCAGCACTTTACTGCAAGGCCTCCTAGCTATGGAGTATGGAGTACTCGTACACATGCTCACAACCTACTCTGCCATCACTGCCATCACTTGACTCTCCTTTCTACTTCGTACTCCGTACGGAGCACAGAATGTGGTTCACACGCAATGGCGCACTCGTACCCCCCCCGCCCAGACCAAGTGGGCCGGGCCTGCGTTGCGCATCTCTCGGAAGAATGTCTCCCGTCGCCACACGCCCCTCCTGCACATTAAGGAGTCGAGTCTGGAATCTGGAATGCCTGGCTTACATCCCATTGGCCCTGTATACACTGCATTTGCCTCGCCCGGCTGCCAGCGGAGAACTCACTCGCACTCAACTGCGTTGTTCAGTCCAGGCCCCCAATCCATCCCCAATTCCCCCCGTCGATCTAACGTCACTTCAGCTGACTCCTTCACTCACCCCACTGGATGCTGCAGGCATCAGTAGAATATGCACATGCACCATCGCACTTCATCGGCAGACTCGTAGACTCGATCAATCCCATCATCCCCTGGCCCCTCTCCCAAACTCCCTCCAAGGCAGACCACCATTCTGTCACTATTGGCCGCTACCCCGACTCCACAGGGGCCGCGTCGGAGTCCGTGTCCGTGTTACGACCCTTGACTGGTCGCACAGATAGATTCTCGACTTCCGTGGATCATCCTAGAAAGGCTTAGAATACTCCGTTCTCCGTACGGAGCACCCCTCCACCCCTCCACCCCCCGTCCCCCTGGTCCTCACTCCTGCAGGCACGGAGTCGACGGAGTATCTAATTAGAGTAAGTCGTTTATTAGTGGCATTATTAGCGGCTTCTAGAAACGAAACAGGGGGCCGGGTCTACATATTACGGAGATAATTAACTCCCGAGTTCACAGTGAACTTGAACTCCCACGAACCGATACGTTTCACCATGTCGCCATGTTTGATCGTCATGTAGTATTCTATTCCTCCCCTGAAGATCGGTACTTTTGTTTTGTCGTCCGCACTACACTATTGCATTGTTGGCATGCGAAAGTGGGGCCCGGAGAAATTTGAATGACTTTTGTGATTCGTGATTGTTTGATGGATTGACGAGGTCGAGTTGCGTACTCCATAGTCGAGTCAATATTATGTATGGTGTGCTTGGTTCCTGCAGTAGCTAGTCTACACCTGGGCATGTATTGATGTAGACTAGACTAGTCTCATGAAGTGCCGCCACCGCGGGCGCGGAAATTATGGGGTCGAAGAGATTACTTAGACAAGTAATATATTTCGTACTTCATATCCGTGCCCCCACAAAAATTAGCCTGGAGACAATGTGATTCTAATTAAACGACATCGTACGAAGTAAACCTTGGAAGGGGGCGGTAGGTACAAAGTACTAGTTATGGCACCATATTGAATTCCCTTCTCCTATATGGCACGCAGCGCAGTACCCCCATAACCCATGAAATAAGGATTTCAAGTTTGTACGGCAATTACACTAAGCATGTAGCCAGCCCTGGAGTTGCGAACCCTGTAATTTTATTGAATATATCCAAGCTGTACTGGTAAAATCAATTTGTCCATGACACAATGGCGTGTTCTAGAATACTAGACTTCGAATATAAATGCCCCTACCCTACCTAGGTACTATCACCGATAGATAACGACGGCGTTAGGCTTCCCGTGGGAATCTTGGACTCAAAGACTCATTGAAAAGGCCAGGAAAGTGTTCGCATTTACCTCCAAGTTCCTGCTGTGGGTATCCATAGGTGTGGATCGCTTCGAGTTTCATAATGGTGAGCAACTTGAAGTCACGGTGGTGTACATCCGAGTTGTATACTAGTACCCGCAATTTGGATCGTTCACTACTACTAAATGCTCTGCATAACCGCCACTGTAGTATTTATTACTTAGGTTTTGGCATATGATATGCTGATCAATGATGAGCCACTGTCTATACTAATAGATAATCAATCTCACGTTGTCTTTATCTAATAAATTGGAAATAAATAGAATAACATTACGAAGAGGGCCCGGGATGTGAAACGCAACTGGATGTAAGCAGTGGTCCAGCATCAAGAACACACAAATCTCTCATGTTATCGAGCTACTAGATCTCCCAGATCTGTACAGGTTTTCTCGGGCGTCGGGGTGGAAGTGGAAGTGGAAGTGGAGTTAAAAGTGGTGAGATAGATAAAGGTTCTTCGCATGACGAAAATTCTTCATGAGAGATCCTATGCCGCCGAAGTTGACATTCTCTTCCCACGGGCATGGTTCTTCCCGAAAAAAAATTTGTTCGAGATCGACGACAACCACTTTCCCCTCACTGAGCATGAAATTGTCTAGCTTCTGACCCCAGTACTCGTCACCGTGGTCCTACAATGTTTTCAGTGCGGTCGCAAGTAATGCCCTCAACTCTTCAGCTGAAGGTATGGAGTCGTCACTTTGAGCAATTTGGTGCAGAGTGGATCCACCGACATCCGAAAGAATGAGTGCTGGATGCCCGTTAAATTGGCACTCTCCGAGAAATCGCGGGATGATGTCCCCTGAAGACTATCTAATCTCCGATATGCCTCCTTTTCTGCTTCAAACCCAATGGCCCATCCATCATTTTGTTGCTTAATTATTTAAGTCGTGAATTTGGAATATATTTTAAGTGTGACTCGGTGCACTGTGGGCCGTTCGTGATGTAGTTGCTCGACGTTTCTTATATTCATTTCCTGGCCCTCTACGCATACGTGGGTAGTCTTATATCAAGTCAGTATTCAGATCATATCGGCTGGATAGCGCACCGACGCTCATCTCTGAAAGTTCCATTTTCTGTGTCAACACGATATGTATGACAGAGGATAGAAACTAGGAAAATGGTGCATGCATGCGCTATCTACTCCGTACTAGTAGGAGAGCGATAGATAGAGTGATGCTCGGAATGTGATATGTCGCTGCCTGGTGTGGTGCCTGAGGCCTACACCCCAACAGTGTAGAGTGAAAACTTGGAAAGGTGCGAATGAAAGGATGTAAACACTCCGTACAGATCAGCAGATTAATCATGAATTTTTAAGAGTGTGCTGGGATCGCAATCTGGGTTATGAGTTCCGGTGTGTTACTTACCCCTTGCGTGATCCTCTCGATGAAAAGCAATATGACTGCATCGTAAGCAACTTGAAGTTCAATACGGAGTAATCCGTACAGAATTGATCACACATATGAGCGCTTGGGTCTGAAATCATTTCTTGGGTGGCGGGGGGAGGCGCAGCTGCAAAAACTCGATTCAGTTTGCTCTGTGGTACATATATGTCTCGTTTGTTAGGTTTGAACAAAACATGTAGTTGAAAAGGGTACTTTTGTGCACATACCCATTGAAAGAAACACTGTTCAATATAGGAAACAGCCAAATATGGTCAATATATCAAGGAAAGCGAAAGGTCGAGCAAATGGCATAGAGCAAAGCGCCATGAGAACCTTGGAAACAAAATACAATTCAACTTGCAAAAGAACCAGGTTTTGATGCTAGTAGTCACCTTAGACGGCGCTTACGGTGTTCTGTCATTGGCGACTAGGTTAGTACCCCGCCTTTCTATCTCTGCCTGATCTGCGAGCCTCAGCTGAGGGCGATTGGGCATGAAAACTTTGCGATACTTGGATCGAGCGACAGTCACTGTCGCAACCTCATCTTGCCGCCGCAGAATTCATTCGAAATCTATCTCGGGTGCTTATATAGCTGCAAGTGAAGAAAGCAAAAGCAGACCGCCGAAATAGACGGCCGAGATCAACTGGCTTCCAACAATGCAGCATCATAGCGAAGCCAGTACAGATGAGAACCAGACAGCCACCCAGGAACAAACCACAACTTTTGGTACCGGCAACCTAGGGCTTCAGGTTACACAAAACAACGGCAATATCACTGCGAACTTCAACCACCAGCCTGGTAAGCTCGGTGAAGTTGTAGCCTTGATTACGTGCTAAAAGTACTCTCAGATCAGATCGAGGTATCACAGAATCGGGAATGCCTGCAGACCTTATGCGAGACAAATCCTCAGCGAGACAAAGATCGAATCGAGAGACACAAAGGTGGCTTGCTTGAGGACGCGTACAACTGGGTCTTTGAAAATGCAGAGTTCAAAAGATGGCGATTCGAGGAGAAAGAACAACTGCTTTGGATCAAGGGTGACCCCGGAAAAGGCAAAACCATGCTTTTGTGTGGGATCATAAACGAATTGATCAACTCTACCGTCGCTTCTGAGAACACGATCATCTATTTCTTTTGCCAGGCAACCGACGAAAAATTGAATAATGCCGCTGGCGTTCTTCGTGGATTGATATACATGCTAGTCGATCAGCACCCATATCTTATCTCCCATCTGCGATGGGAATATGACAAGGATAAAAGAATCTTTGAAGATCGTCGAAATTCCTGGGAGACGCTCTCAAGGATCTTTATCAAAATCCTTGAAGATCCAACTTTGCAGAAGATTCAAATACATGTCATGGTTGACGCCCTAGATGAATGCACGACTGACCTGAGCCTTCTTCTCGAATTTATCGTCCATATTCAATCTTCAAATACGAACGGCAAATGGATTGTCACAAGTCGCAACGAGACATCGATTGAAGAGATTCTCGATACCCATGAGATCACATCCAAAAAAGGAAATTTGTCGCTTGAGCTCAACGAACATTCTGTGTCCAGGGCCGTTGAATATTTCATCAATTTCAGGGTTCAGACATTATCGAAAAGAAAGAGATACTCTCCAGGTACTCGGGATGCCGTTGTCCAACATTTGCTATCGAATGCGCATGGAACGTTTCTGTGGGTGGCCTTAGTCTGTGACGAACTTCTCAATCCTAGGCTTTCGAACCTGCAAGTTCCGAAAAGGTTGAAACAATTCCCTGCTGGTCTAGACAGACTCTACGGACGGATGCTAGAACAGATAGAAGACGATTCTGGCTCTGAAATCTGCAAGTATATACTTAGTATCACTGCCACAGTGTATCGGCCTATTACGTTGGAAGAGCTAAGCTGCTACATCGAATTTTCCGAGGAAGATGATATCTCATATCTATCGCAACTGATCGGTCTCTGTGGCTCTTTTCTTACCCTTCGAGGATCTACAATTTCCTTGTTACATCAGTCTGCGAAAGACTTCATACATCAGAAGGCCGTCGACAAAATCTTCCCCTATGGACCAGCCAAAGTTCATCATGACATTTTCTCCAAGTCATTGAAAGCTATCAACACAACGCTGCGACGTGACATTTATGGTCTCATACGCCCTGGGTATATGATAGAGAAAGTTGAACAGCCAAACTCGGACCCACTAGCGGCAGTAGGATACTCGTGCATCCACTGGGTCGATCATCTTAAGGCCTGCTCTCAGTTTCGTGCGGAATTTCCAGATGATTTTGCTGAAGGCGGAACAGTCGATGAGTTCTTCCGCAAGAACTACCTTAATTGGCTGGAAGCTATTTCCCTACTGAGAAGTGTATCGAAGGGGATAACATCAATCCTCAAGCTCGAGGACATGATCGAGGTATGTATATAGGCTCTCGATCACATATTAGGACTCGCTAACATACAATTCTTCCAATATTCAGCCAGAGACACACAATGCGGATCTGATTGATAGAGTGAAAGATGCCTCTCGATTTGTGCTATATCATCAAGTGCCAATTAGACGTTGGCCACTTCAAGTGTATGCATCTGCACTGATATTCAGTCCGGTGAATAGCAGGACGAGGATCCAATATGAAGACCAACAGCCCTCGTGGATTCTTCAAAAGCCGGATATGGAGTATCAATGGAGTCCATGCCTGCAAACATTGGAAGAACACCGAGAATCGGTATATTCGGTATCTTTCTCTCATGATTCCAAGCTCCTTGCTTCAGCATCCCACGATAGTACCGTCAAAATATGGGACACCGAAAGTGGAGCATGTCTGACTACTTTTGAACACAGTGACATCGTACATGGTATGGTTATATCTCGCGATTTCAAGCTCCTCATCACTGTATCGACGTCTATTCATGGAAAATTGCGATCTACTTTCAATTTGTGGGATATGGAGAAAAACAATTGCATCATCAGTATCGAGGAGAGTGATGGCAAATTGAGTTCTGTCGCCTTCCACGAACCAGATTGCATTGTTTGTGGGTTAGACAATGGCAATATAAAGTTTTGGGATATCCGAACCAGAAAGTGCTCCAGGGTTATAAAAGGAAATGGAGCTATAGTTTCAGCTGTTACAATATCCCAGACCTTGGGGCTTCTTGCATCAACTTCACATGGCGAAGCTATCAAAATCTGGGATCTTCTCAGTGGAAAATGCGTTCAAACTCTGGAAGATAAACCGACCGAGGCGGTTGCCTTCTCGCCCGATTCTCTGCTTCTAGCATCGGGGTTGGCGAATAATAGCATCAAGCTGTGGGACACTGGCAATTGGGATTGCATCCACACTCTTGCCCAAGATGCCACTCCCGAAATAGATTATTGGACTACTACGCGCATGGGTTATTGGAGTACTGGGATACGATCATTGGTGTTCTCTCATGATTCTAGGCTACTTGCCACAAACTCAAGCTCAAGAAGTGAAGCTATCAATATATGGGACATTCGCACCGAGCTGCTTCTTCAGACCTTCAAAGGTCACCGACTCTCTGTTCATTCGGTTGCCTTCTCTCATAACTCACAACTTCTCGCCTCGGCCTCAGAGGATAGAAGCATTCGGGTATGGGACGCCACCAGCAGACAGCGTCCAAATGATTTTGATACCCATAACTCATGGTCTGAGCCTTGCTTTTCCCATGATTGCAGACTTCTTGCCACTATCGAGAGCTATGAACCCTATGATATCAAGATATGGGATGTTCATAACGGAAATTGTCTTCGAATTATCAATGGCTGGAGTGGCGGCAGGGTTTATGAATTGATGTTCTCGCGTGACCTGAGACATCTAGCATCATCATCAGAAGATAAAAAGGCGCGAGTCTGGGATGTCAGTAATGGGAAATGTCTGCACATCATCGAGCTTTACCACCTTGAAAGTTTGAAAAGCTTCTTTTTGGATAATACAGATCTTGAAACTACTATTCATCTGTCTTCACATTTTGCTGAAGGTCCAAGTTTCATTGAACATGGAGCAACTTCTAATTCTGAAGGTCTGGGAATGAGTGAAGATGGAAAATGCGTCACGTGGGACAATGAGTGCTTGCTCTGGCTGCCACTGGAGTACCGACCAAACACCCTGTCGAATGTTTGGGAAGACGGAGCCGTCGTAGGGTCGAGATTATGTATTGCATGTGCTTCAGGGCGAATGATTTTCTTCAATTTTGATTCCTATGCGGTGTCAAAACTCCTTGAGACTTCCAGGGCCAAAGAACTGGCGTATCCTGATGCTTTACCGAGAACACACAGCCTGGAATTGCGACCGCCAGCCTGGTTTTCAAGATGAGAATTGAACCCGTGCAGCCCAGTAAGGGTTGTTTTCGGGTAGATAGGTTGATACGGGTTGATGTCGCAGTGAAACTTCTGCAAGTGCCTGCAAGAGGGCCCGAACGGGTACCTTCAAGTTTTTATTCGCATGGAAACAAGGAGCAATCTTACCGGATAAATATTTCTTTCGATCTGCCAGTGGCCTCCAACCGGACTCGTAATTCGAGGCGCTCTTGGCGTAGAGACAAGGTATAGCATGTCTGGGATAACCAAATAACCAAACGGCTCATAACATGATCGAGAATATCATCTCTAATTCTTAATTCTGTACCATAGGGCAAAAATGGGGCTGTGAGTCACCTCGGCTTTTCAATGACGCCCTCATCAGTATGAAAATTTGAGGATTGCATTCGCTGAACCGCTAACGATCCTCTGTGAGAACTGATAAGCGGGAATTTGATGGCTTACCCACGCATCGAAGACTGCAATTACTCTTCCCCAAGTTGACGTGGAAGGCGAGGGTGGCCATGGAATTTCGAGATCTCAACCCAGTAGAGCTTGCTGTACCCGGGTATTCCGAGAGTGTTGTCCAAAACCACGCCCTTCCCAATTTTTTCCGTGCAAAGAGCGGGCCCACCAAGAAACAAGAACGAGAATTAAACTGTTCATTCATAGCACACGACTTTGAGTATTGCTATGGAATATTTGCGGATTAAAAAGAGCCTCTTGGGAGCTCGTTGTATAAACTGCATGGCGCGACAGCACGTGCTCACCCCGTGACACTGCCAACCCTAAAACTTGTTTTGACGACCAGATCCCGGATCACAGCGATGAGAGTCAAATCCATGGATTTGGGATAGAAACATGCTCGGTCACTGGATATTCAAGTCCTAGTGCACGTGTAAATACGGTAGGAACGATTATCGTGGTAAGTGGAGCTTCTCATGCAGGGATCTTGGTGTAGTTTGCCGCAGACAAAATCGTGGGTCTAGTGTTGAATGGGTATTCAGAGGCGTGAATTTTCTTGGCAAAGACAAGACTGCAGAGTGGTATTGTTCCTGGAAGTTATCTTTTGTGAAAACGTCCATCTTGGAGAGACAATGTGAAGAGAATTGGGGGGGACCTACGCTTAGCAAAGCGCTTGACCGCGGTCAGTGCATACACTGGACTCCCTCAACTCTACCTTGGGGGTTTCAAGGCATCAAGTACTGAAAATGTGAAACTACAAAGATTTTGGCGCTTAAAAGACTCACAGTTAATTCTGTTGTATGTAGCAGTAGAGTATTTCAAGTATTAATCATCTTCAAATCCCCAATTTAACTCTTTTCATGGTCAATTTGGTAACCTAAATCAACTGTATAAGTATCTTTATGGAATGCCTATTCTCTCAAATACAGCCATGATACAATATCGATGTCAGTCCCCATTCACTTCCAGGTTGACAAGACAAAGGGGGTTATTAGGCGGACGCTCTTGCCCTACTTAGGCAGGGTATTCTCAACCTTCCCTCGCACTCATTCGCTCCTGCCGGAAAGGTTTCAGCTACTTTCAACACGTCGCGCTATTTCTTTTGTTGTGATTTTATCTTCTCTTCTTTCTCTTCTTTCTCTTCCTTTCTGCAACCACTTCTCTACCCTGACCTCTTCTACTCTCACCTGCACGATGGCTGACAACGGTGACACCCCGAAGAAGACCCCTCGGAAGCGCGCCAAGAAGGATTCTACCCTCACCCCTGCCAAAATGGCGGACTCTTCAATGGAGAGTCCTACAAAGCGATCCAAGATCGCTCCAACTCCCCTACTTCCCCAGGGACTCGACTTGAGCGACGCCGATATGAAGGTGCTCATTCTCGCGCTGTCATGCAGTGAAGCATTGAAGGTATGTCCTCATCTCCATTTATCCCTCCCCATCCCCACCCCCAGCATCCAAAGCGTAAATATTGTGGAGCACAGTACTTGAGAATCATCTCGATCTATCTTACACCTCTCCCCCATCCCAAAAACCACTCGTTTTGTCCTTGAAACCTCCATCCCATTCCATGCCAATGCCCCAAACCAAGCATCCCGAACACGCAAACCATGCAGCACAACTCTCAAACATCAGTTCAAGCTTTCCTCTCTTTCTCTCCCAATCCAAAAATTCTTCACTTTCACCCCAGAACAACGGAAAGGCACACTTCACTGATACCCGCCACAGCCCGATTACGACCTTCTCGCCCAGCGCGGTGGATACACCAAAGCTTCCGCCAAAGTCATTTTCGGCAAGGCGAAGCGAAAGCTGGCTGCTCACTTCGCAAAGGAGGAAAACGGCCAGAATCTCGAAAGCGCAGGTCTCGCGCACCCTGAAGTCGCGGAGAATACGGGTACTGTCCACCCTAAAGAGGCTCAGTACCCGCTCGACCAAGAAGTCTAAGGGGATACTCAATTCTCTCCTCCGGATTGAAAACTCGCAATCCAGATGGGAAAGGGCCTGGCATGAGAGGTGCTTCAGGCCGAGGAATAGTTTATGGAGATTGAACTGTTTTTTCATCTTTCTTTTTCACAATCAGGGCTAAAATCCCACATATCTGGTCTGCCTTTGACCGTTGCGATTTTTCAAGGTCATTTCCTTTTTCTACCGATATCTCTCTGGAAATCTTTTCACTTTATTGCTTTTTCTTTTATTTGTTCATTCTTTAGCCGTCGAGGCTTAACCAACATTCAATCCAGAACGGAGATAAGAAAGTTGAACCTCTAGAAGTACATTATCCTGCATAGCGTAGCTCACTTGAGTTCTTCGTAGGTGAAGAAATAACGGCTCCATCATTCGTTAACTCTGTGAACATCCCCGTAAGATAGTTTCCGGATATTGTGTAGTTGGGCCGGGGCCTGGACCTTCAATTGAAACGAGTTAAATACCTGGCTGGCTATTTGGGAATGGGTTCTCCAGGTCAACCTTGGAAGACTGAATCGAACCGGTGAGTCAAAAGCAGTAAATGATGGTGGAAGTATTGGCAATGAGCTTCAAGCCTTGAAACGCCAAGTCAAGCGCAACTCCGATGATCGAGAACTTGAATGTACAATGAGCGTCTATATTAGTCTATCATTTACTACGTCGAATAGAAACCAGAAAGTAAGGCGAAAACAACAATCTTCGGATACCAGAGATAGTTGAGTAAATTTGGAACCCAGAAACAAATCTAAACAAAATTACAGATGGCTGCCATATCTCACAGATAGTCCTCTCGAATGTATCCTTAGCCTCCTTTGTTCAGAGCGGAAATCTAGAAAGACAATTACAGAAACATAGATAAATGTCCAATGCTTTTAGTCCACAGAGGCTGTGGGATCTATCGACTCCACTAGTTCCGACACCAGGGGAATTATATGCACAAAGAGAAAGAGAAAGAAGAAAAAGTAAAGCAAGAACGCCATTCCATCAATACGTGCTCATGACCAGGTCGTAGGTGGTATATGCAGAGAGGGGTAAGGGGGAGATAAAGTTTTGGGGAAAGAAACCGCATCGTCAGCGTCTTTACATAGTCACATCCATCGTATCATCACCAGCGTCGATAGCATTCTGCGCCTCAGGATCAGGCATGACAACACCACGACCACGACCCGCGAGCAATTCACGACGGACCTCGGGGCCAATATCCTTGTGTCCGCGGACCAGAAGCAGATCCAGCAAAGCCTCACGCTGATCCTCGGTGATATCGTTGCGGTAACGCTGGGCAAAGACCAGCAGAGACTGGTGCCACAGGACGGGGAGCTTGTAGGCCTTGGCGCTGCCGGGACCATCGCCCATGCTGGTGTCGTTGTCGGTGCGGAAACGCATGAAGTGGAAGACCAGGGCGTCGATGACCTTGTATGGGAGAGCGTACTTCTTCTCCAGGAAGACTCGGATGAAGGTGTTCACGGCACCGGTGGCTTCCAGGGAGCGCATGGATTGTTCGGCGGCCAGGTCGCACATGCGGAGAAGGGCCGCGGCGGAGTGCAGGACGGGAATGGAGACACGTGCAATGACGGAGGAGACGATGTGGGCTTCGCGGAGGGAGCAGGTGCCGCTCTGGACGAGGGGGAAGAGCAGACCCTTGAAGAAACAGGCGGGCTTGTAGAGGGCCTTGCGCAGGGCGTTGTAGGTGTGGACGTTCAGTTTCTTGGTCTCGTGGATCTCTTCGCGGACTCGCTCCAGGAGGACGGTGGAAATGAACTCTTGCGCCACGTGGGGCTTGGAAGAGATGAAGATGCGGGTTCCGGCGTAGATGGCGTTGCCGGTCCAGTTCTCGGGGTGGGTGATATCGAGAAGAGTCGGCCAGTTTGGCACGGAGGGGAGAATCTTGAATGGCTTGGGGAGGGGTCCGGACTTGTAGCGAGAGAGAATCATGCCGACCCTAGTGGGGTGTTAGCTAGAATGTTCACAAAGAAGGATATATGCTCTCGTTCCGTGACATACTTCTCGTAAACTTCCACGGCCTTGGCCGGGATCTGAACAGCATCCTCAGCCAGACCACCACCTTGGATCTTGGGGCCGCCAGTCTCGATTCCGGCCTGTCTAGCTTCGTGCTCGGCAATCTTCTCCAGAATCAAATCGGCAAGGTTGGTAGTCTCGCCAGCAGCACTGGGGTCTCGGGGGTGAAAGATGGGGTCGTCTTCATGGTCGCCTGGCATGAACTTGTTGAACAAGTCGAGATCATTGGGGTCAACCTCCTACAATAAACATTAGCGTCTGCCGCATATCCAAATCGTTTGCATGAGTGATCTTCCTTACAGCGTTCTGCACATCCTCATCAAGCCACTCATCATTCTCATAATTGACATTCTCATCATCGGAAAGAGCCTCGTCCTGCTCGTCAAGTCGGGCATCGAAATCAAAGGCAGGGTTAGGCATAGTCTCGCCCGCACCCATGGCACGCTTCGTCTCGGCCTCATCCTCGTCCGCCAATTCCTGACCAATCTGCAAGATCTTGCGGGACATCTTAGCATCGATAAAGCGTTGTCCATTCTCGCCCTCCTCCTCATCATTCTGCGATCGACTCTTGCCCTTCTTGTTAGACTGGGTCCGGACTTGCCCCGCGGACGTAATATCTTCCGCCAAAGGGTTGTGGCGGCGGGCCGCGGCGGCGCGCGAGCTGGTGGCCTTGGGCATATTGCAGAATTCCGTCGACTGGAGGAATCTGGGGGAAATAAATGAAAGCGTCGAGCTTGTATGGCGGTTTGCAATGCGTTGCTTGATTGCTTGTGGGTAAATTTCTCGGTCACGTGGGTCTAATCAGTAATTTTTTTCTTTGCTATCACGACCGCTTTCCTAGATTAGACTCACCGCCTGTCGGTCACTTTTCTGCCTTTCCACGGGCGGTGAGGGGCCTGTTTTTCGGGCAGAAGAAGCTCTTTTGCTTTGCTCTCCTCGCGTTGAACGGAAAGAGAGACGACATCTAATCCAATCCGGTCAGTCTTGCTGGTCTCGTCGACTTTGGTCTTCGACCATCATCACCAAAATCTGACACTTATAGGTTAAGGATAGCTCAGGCAAGGAAGCTCCCCCTTCAACTATACCAGCGGTAGTCTCCGCCATGGCCTCCGCTCAAGCTCCGGGTTCATCTGCGCCTTCATCCAATATAAACTCCCCCATTATACCGCCCAGCAATGGCCCCCTTCTCAACGGCGCACTATCCGATCTGAACTCGCGCTCCTCTCCCGCTCCAGGAAGCAATGCCTCGGTACAAGGCGATGCGCGAGCAAAGCGGAATAAGCGCGACAGTCGCAAGAAACGAGAAGCAAAAGGCCTAGATACTGAAAGCGCACCACCACCCAAGAAACGCGCCGCTGCAGCCAGCCTCGCCATCTCCAGCTCCAATCTATCTATCCTCCGTCCCCTCTTACTCGCCGAGCCGCGCTCTTCAGACAGATACCCGCCACAACCACGCCAACTCAGCTACGTCACCAAAAAGTCCTCCGCTGTGCTTGGTCAAAGCTGGGACTTTTACGAAGTCGTCGATAAGCTCACGAATAAGAACGGCTTCCGTTATTCCTACGCCATCGCCGACCCAGGCTTCCCCCATATCAAATATCGCCAAACAGACGTCCGCCCCTACCACGCTCGATTTAGTTTCGAGGACTCCCCAGCCGCCATATCCTTCTCCCAAGACGCGACGGCGGTAACAACTAGTGACGCGTGGCATACGGCGCGCGCAAATGTTTGCGCGCGAGAGGGAACATACTACTACGAGGCGCGGGTGATAAGCGGCGTTGTCAACGATCCACAAAACGCCGCCCGACCCGGCGGTCCAGCATCTTCGTCTCGCGGCCACGTCCGGCTAGGATTCGCGCGACGCGAAGCAGATCTCGACGTCAATGTCGGAGTCGACTGCTACGGGTACGGAATCCGCGACGTCAACGGCGAAGTAGTGAATCGAATGCGCTGCGAATTTTTCTTCCCAAAAGGCGAGGCCATCAATGAAGGCGACGTAATCGGCATGCTCATCACACTGCCCCCACTAGCGCTACACAAAAAGATCGTCGAGGGAACATATGATCCCGCCGTGGATGGAGTCGGAGACGGCACCGATCCAGATCCCGATCCCGCTCTACCTTCGCCGCAGACCGGATCTGCGGCCAATATAATCCGAGACCGCATTCCTTTCCACTGGAAGTCTGACTTCTGCTGGCAGCAGTCAAACGTCTTTTCAACCAAACATCTCCGCGACTACGCATTCAACTTGAAAGAAACGCCCACCTTTGGCCATCCCTCTCCGCTGAACAGCGAAGATGCCTCGCTGCGTACACTCCCGGGGTCCAGCATCACGATCTTCAAAAATGGCGTTAAGATGGGATCGCCGTTTAAGGATCTTTATGCTTTTCTTCCGCCGGCTAGTCGTCTCGCGAACGGTACGAATAACCTTGGCATCGGCGAGCGCGAAAATGCAGACGACGGTATGATCGGCTATTACCCTGCTGTCAGCTGCTATGGCGGCGGTGCAGTTGAGTGTCGATTCGAAGGGCCGTGGTGGGTGGGACCGCCTGAGAAGACCGAGACAGGCGAACCCATTCTTCCCATCGGCGACCGATTCAATGATCAAATTGCTGAAGATGTCGTTGCTGATATTGTGGACGAGCTCGAGGCTATGTTTACATGGGGCGGCGTGGATGGGGATGTCATTGGCAATAACAATACGCCGGATGGAACTGCCTCTGGCGCTGTTGGTGGCTCGGAGGTTCTGCAAGGTGGTGTTGGGGCAGCGCTTGATTCTGCGATTCTTGCGCCGGAGTCGGGCTCGGTGCCTGGTGCTGCAGCTGCTTCTGATTCCGCGGCGAATAGTAATCAGGCTACACCGACTGCGATTGCTGATGTCTCTGCGACTCCTGTTGGAAATGGAAATGGAAATGGAAATGGAAATGGAAATGGAAATGGGGTGAGCAATGAGGCTGTTAGAACGCCGACTTCTGCCGTGGAGATTCCCGTTGCTAAACAGGATTCCGATGTCGAGATGACATGAGATGAGGAGAAATATTTTTTTAAACTACGAGTCTAATTGACTAGGCGAGGCGTTTGGGGTTTATAGTCGTATATTCCAAGATATGATACCATCGAATTGAGATATTGGAATAATTACTACATGGCCATGAGCTTGAAGCATTCAAATCTGGACACCAGTGAATCTTAGCCTTCTTTAGATCAAAATATCCAATTTGGATAAAAATTGTACAATATGGTATCATTATAGTAATACAAGTATATCAAGCACCGCCAGTCCACTGTGGCCTTCTGTCATCCGCAGTATTCCACAATTATTGCTCACTAAGTCGACTGCCAGCAAGCAACTCCCCAACACTCATCACCAGCTCATCATCACCATACTGGCCCACAACCTGAATACCAGCCAGTCCATCAGTACCCGCATCAACACCAGAGTCCCGTCCAGGCTCTGCCACCGTCACAGGCACAGAAATAGCGGGGAGACCTGCCAAGCTAGCCGGCACGGTAAACACATCATTAACATAAGCATCCAAAGGCGACTTAGACCCGCTAGATAAATCCGACGCCCGCGGCGGAGACGAAGGCGCAGTAGGACAGACAATGACATCAACCTCAGCTTCAGCGGCAGCCTCGTCGGAGCGACCCCGCGCATCGAACAGAGGATGTTGAGCCGAGAACACAGCATTGAAATCCCGCTGAACAAGCCTCCGCACCCGCTGCGCCTGAATAAAGTAATTATCCATCGAGTCTGCGCTTAAACTGAACGTGCCGAGAAGAATGCGGCGCTGAACCTCCGCCCCGAATCCAGTTCCGCGCGTATTGGAGTAGAGAACGCCCTCTGGCTGGCCGTTACCGTCGGGTCCGTCGCCGCGCGTGCCGTAGCGAACGCCGTCGTATTTTGCGAGGTTTGAAGAGGCTTCTGCTGGTGCGAGGACGTAGTATGCGGATAGGGCGTGCTTAGTTGTTGGTAATGAGACCGGGTGGATGGTGTGTCCTTGTTTTTGCAGATGGGCGAGAGATAAGAGCCAGGAGGTTCGGACTGAGGGGGGTTAGTTCGGAGATGTTATATTCGAGTGGGACGCCGATTCGGAGGGGCTTGGATATCAGGCGTGTAGAGAGGGGGGAGGTTTGGAGTTGGGAGAGAATGCGTGAGCGTGAGGATTTGGAGAGACTTGTTGGGTCGCGGGGGTCGTGGTGGTTGAGGATTGCTGTTGGATACGTTTGTTAGCTGGTCTGGTTTTGACATGTCGTGGAAAGGATGCAATCATACCGAAGATGTCTCGAACGCTGGAAGTGTTTGTTCCCAAGATCCCAACCGTGTCTAGTGAATTTGCGTATGCCACGACGCCCCATCGCGAGATCAGTCCGTATGATGGCTTGAAGCCCACTGTCCCTGTGTATGCAGCGGGCAATCTGACCGAGCCGCCGGTGTCTGTTCCAAGTGCACTGCGCGAGACGAACCGTATCAGCAGCCATTCTGACAATTCCAAGGTATAAAACAACTCACGCATAGCATTGCTCTGCAGCAACGGCCACTGCACTCCCGCCAGAGCTCCCACCAGCCGAGATCTCATGTCCCGCGGAGTCTCGCCGGATATTTTTCACAGGTCCAAATCGCGAATGGACTGAGTGTGACCCCATTCCGAATTCATCCAGATTGGTCTTTCCAGCAATCACAGCTCCAGCCCCTTCCAATTGCTCCACCACCGTCGCATTGAACGGGCTGGTGAATTTATCGAGAATGCCCGAGCCGCATGTCGTCGGTAGTTGGCGCGTACAGATATTGTCCTTGATCGAGATCAAGCGGCCGTCGACTGCAGATTTGGGAGTTCCTGTCACGGTTGAACCCTTAGTTAGCTTATGGCAACACTTGGGGAAGAGTTGATTTGGATCATGCGGTCCGGCGCGGTACCTTTCTCGCTGCGCTGGTCTGCTTCCTTCACGCGGTCCAGCCACTGTCCAGAGCGTGACAGTGGGGTGATGAATGCATTCAGATTATGCGCATGTTGGTTAGCGAGGCATCTTTCTGCTTCGCGTAGTAGGGACATTTAGGCTGGAAGTGTGAAGAGGAGAGAAGAGGAAATGCGGCGTTGCGGCGGAATTGAAGATCGCCGGTGGTCCGTGCGAGCTGGTTGTATACATCAGTAATTGGTTACTAGTAGATAGTAGATATCAGTGTAAACATGGGAATTGAGGGGATATAGACTTGTTTATGAGAATGAAAGATATTATTGGAGTTTAGAAAGGTCACTTAAATCTGATCATTGATATTCCTGCCCACAAAAGTTGCTCAATTCCAATTATATGACCCCCGCAAACTCCTGGTACTAGTATATCTACAACATAGTTATTCCAAACTACTATTATACTGGTATCATGCAAGTTATTGAACGTCGGTTTTTTCAATTCTGATTTATACCTTATGATGAGATGTTTCGACAGAAAAAACTAGGTTTCGTCCACATTCCGTAGATATGAATCACAGCATCAGACTCGACCAACTTTAACAGCGAGGAGCAAATGAAAGACAGAGAACCAAGACAGAAACAAGGGTAATCCCTGAGCTCTCTTCCATAAATAAACTCGTACCCCCCGAGTATTTGCTCAACCATTCAGCAGCTGACTTTGAATGCTCCCATGTCGCGACTCAGCTCATGCTTCTTCCAATCTCTATCAGCAATGCCGATCTGGTTGCTGCATTTGCTGTCGCTGTAGATGCGGATGGTACAGCCACGAGAAGTCCAGTCAAAGTTCGTGCCCTTCTTGGCGGCGGCTTTGGTACAGCCCTTGCTCTTGGTGCCATCCCACTGGCCGTTATTGGTGGTAAAGATCCAGGCGTTGGTCATGGGGAGAATAGTGACGAGGGCAAGGATGGCGCTGGCGGAGATCTTCATTTTGAAGGATATAGCAAGAAGAGGCTTGGAAGATAGTTTGGTAAAGGTCTTTTTGCTTTGGAGGACTTTCGAGCCAAGATGAACTTATGGATGAACCTTAGAATGATTCAAAAGTTTGTTCTCGGGGAGAAATTCGAAGGTATTTATAATTTTGCCCATACCTGATTTAACAAGACGAGCTGAGAAGAAAGTTGCTAAAACTGACTCCGAATCCAAATTAAATCCCAATCTGGAAAAGTACTTCTTGGAATACCACGTCCTCGTATTTTCAGCTCTCTTTGCTCGTAGTTTGAAACCCGAAAGGGTTATCCTAGAGTACAGTCTCCAGGAGCAAACACAACGCTGCATCGCCGAGAACACAGAGTGGAACACAGAGTGGAGTATCAAGACACACTGATTGGGCGAGTGGACTCAGCTTAGAAAATTGTCGGATGAAACATGAACTGCCAATATGTTTGCCCATCTCCTTTGCGATCTAAGTACAGGGTGTGGAATGAGACTAATGCGTTTGTCTGTCTTAGAGCAAGGAATATCGACAGACTAGGAGTCATTGCCCGAGATTCTCCGCGAAAATATCAGGGTCCAGGTACTTGGCAGCCTCAATAATGAGACCGACTCTAAATCAACCTTGCAGATGCAGGTTGATCTGCGGCTTGTTTGGAAGTGACTGGACCAAATTCGAAAGTGGAGTGTCGCGGAATCCTATCCCCACAATCCTATGCACGTAAGATGCATATCCTTCTGGTTGAATAACCTCCACGGCTGACTTGGATCCTGCAGCTCGTATTGCGGGGAGAGCCACAATGTTGCTGCAGGGTTTCACTGCAGTAGTCCGTGACCCACTTGGAGGATTTTTGGTATCATCAAGTGTCTTACATAATTTACCTCCTTCTGAGGGTTGTCCTACAGGCTACGCGGGTGAGTACTTTGGGTGGTTTAGTACAGAGTATATACTAGACCACTCAAAATCTACTAGTAAATAGTGCCCTCAGGCTCTTTTTTAATGATTGGAAGGTACTAATTGGTGAAAAAGCTCAATGTATTTCAGTAATAATCAAGAGTTTAGCAAATGCGTTTCAGATAAGGAACCTTGGAGTGATAGTCTAATATGAAAAGCGCAACACACAATACAAATCTCAAAATAAATAAACTTACAGCGTCATCTTGTCAGTACTGGAATCACGATCCGCCCAATTGTGCTCTGGCACTGAAGGCACGAACAGCCATCAACATATTCAATATGAATATTGCCCCAAAATACCCAGAGTCTGGCGAAATCACCATCGGGGTCATTCTCTTTCGACAGATGCACGACAGGCATCGGACCTTGGTTTCTACCTAAAATAAAACCACCCCACTGTGATTCCACCAGTCTCTTTTCCGTGGCGATGGAATAAGTATCGCTCTCATCATAACCTCGCAGAGTAAGTCGTCCAATCTGCCACTTGACAATATTGAATACCTGGGAAATGAAGAAAAAGGAACCAACCTCGAGATCTTTGGTGCTACCCTCGAGATAGTTATCAACCTGATGCAATACAAACTGCAATGAACTCCTAATCTTTTGGACCTTTTGATGAAAGCAATCGCCGATTTCATGGCCATGCAAGTCATTCCACTCATTCAAGATCGACATTAGCTGCCTGATATCATGGATGATTGAGTCTGTCTCCTTTTGGCTCAACCGATCGACCCAGCTTGTAATCTGAAGGGCAATTCGCTTACGTTCAGTCATGAATTCTTCGCAAGCAGCCTGGTTGGGCTGGATGGAAGCTGGAGGAGGCATGATGGATATATTAGAATGGGTGATCTAAATCTGTAATAAAGCCGATGCTAAAGTATCTTGGCCCGATGGAGTTCAGGAGATGATGGTGAGATGAGATGATGAGATGTGACGATAAGATGATATTCAGAACAGGTCAAACTTAGGGCTTTTATAGCCGGAGATTCCGCAGCAAAAGATTAAACTATGTCTTTGTTTTCGCCGGACAATAAACCCGAGGGCTGCCGAAATGCATTGCAATTAGGTGAAGGCCAACATTGTCACTGTATCTAATACTGCTTCTGTCATGGAACGATCGACAAAGGACAACAAAGCTGGCTTTCTCTCTTATAAATGTCTTATATTTCCCTATTTTGAATTAAAACCGAAGATGCAGCCATTCTACTCTCCAGGGGCGGAAGTGGCGTAGATTCGAACTTACTTCGAGGATAGCTGCTTACGAGTCGAACTACTTTCCAATTAACATCTATGCGTTTAATGTGTGGTTAGGTATAATGGAGCTTTCGATATCAATTTTTTCACTTTTTATTCAGCCCTTCAGAAATATCAAAAATTGCGAAGATTCTCGCCGAGACTGGGCCGCAAACTGATGAAACCAGCATAGTGGTCAAGACTGCGGGGCAGACATCATAGGATTGAACAAATTTGCGCCATATTTATGTACATTGAAAATAGTACTAACTTATCTTGCTATTCTGCCGATACCTCTTCTTATTTTCTTATTCCAATTCGCATGATATAGTAAATGTCCGACCCCGGGACGTTGTTGTTCGATTGTACCATGATTGATTAACGGCCCGAAAAAAACAATCTGCAATATTCCTTCATCATTAATCATGAAGCTCGCTTATTATAACCCGCCTTTCTATGATCATCATGCCAAGTAAACATCTGAGTCATTTCTCTTTCGTATCGCGGCTAAGCACGGATATACAAGCTTAGAGCTATCCGATATCGGCTTACCGGTCCTCCGTCGGCTCTTTGTACATCTTAAATTGATTCTCTTAGAAACGCCATTCCGCCCTGTTTTTAGATATTACACATGCACGAATCCACAATGTTGCCAGCCGTGGAAATCTCCGATCTAAATGATAACCCCTCCTCCAACCGCATATTTATCATCGGAGGCGGTATAGTCGGCGCTTCCCTTGCTTACTTTCTCTCCAGAGAAGACAATGACCGCCAAGTGATTCTTGTCGATAAATATCTTGATAAACTATCGGGATCAACAGGTTATGCACCAGGCTTTGTAGGCCAGTACAACGAGTCGCCTGTTCTCACCAGCCTTGCGAAAGATACGGTATCCGAGTACATCAAAGTCCCTGATGGATTTCAGGTTGTCGGCGGGCTCGAGCTCTCGTCAACTTCCGAGGGTGTCGAGAATCTGCATCGTCGAAAAGAAGCCGCTCAGTCTTCAGGTCTCCCCGCTGAAATAATCTCACCGGAAGTCGCTGCGTCATTGGCTCCGGATTTCATCGATGCTGACAGTGTGAAAGCCGGGCTGCGTTTTTCGTCGGATGGGACGGCAAATGCTCGCCAGATTGCCTCTTATTATATTCGCGAGGCCCAGGCCAAAGGTGTTCAGCTTGTCGAAGCTGAAGTCACCGGTTTCGCAACTGAAGGTCATCAAATGACCACCATCAATTCCCGCAGTGGGGATATCACATTGAATGGCAGTATTGTCATCCTCGCCACGGGTATATGGACTTCCCCTTTAACCAATGATATCATTCAATTTCCAGTGCCTATCATTCCAGTTGCACACCCTTATACATTTACCCCTTCCCGACCTGCTCGATCTGGAACACCGTATCCATTTATCCGCTGGCTAGACCACCACGTCTACGCCAGAGATCACGGCGATCGTGATGGCTTAGGAAGCTATGATCACCCACCAATGCAGGCAGATCCAACACAGTCAGCAATGGGACTATGGCCTCCCAGTTTTGAGCACGTTCTTTCAGAGGCTACTTCGCATTTGAAAAACCGCGACCAATTTTTGGTCAAAGGGCCTAGCGACGATCCGGACGAGAAGCGCCCCTTCAATGGAATTTTTGCAGTTACTCCAGATAATCTCCCTCTCGCAGGAAGAGTCCCCGGTGTATCCAACATGTGGCTTTGTGCTGCAATTTGGGTTACCACTGCTGCTGGGACGGCAAAGCTGATCTCGAGACAGATCCTCGGGGGAGATGAACAAAGGAGTTCTGGGGATGAGGCTTTGCTGAAGGCCTTGGACCCTGCTCGCTTTCAGGATATTGAAGAGGATGTTCTTGTGAAGCAAGCGCTGGCCAAGTACAATGATATTTATAATAGAGATCCAAACTGAGTCCTAGGTCAAGTCGACAAACAGAGGATATACACTATTCAAAATCAATATGTTTCCGTGCGTACTAGCATCATGGATCTTGAATTTTAGGTCGAATTTCTATTGTCCGGGATAATCTGCATTTTGGAGTTCTTCTACATCTACTAGTATGGCACCCGCAGCTGAGAGGCCCCCCTGTCAAAAGGTTGATACCTGGATATTCTCGCAGGGAAAAGGTGTAGAATATTTCGAAGTAGACTTTGAGTATGTTCAAGTTAATAGACGTTATACATACGCTGATATCTTCCACCAGCAATTGTTACCCATTGAAATCGACAGTCTTGCCAACAAAGAGGCATAGTACAAAGAAACATAAATAGAACTTTCACCACTGATAATATTCTGGTTACGAATGACTGAGAAATTTGGCTCGGGCTTTTAAGCGATCCAGTTCACATCCGAGTCTCTTTGTCTCAGACTGTCTTTCACTGACTACTAGTCATATCAGGGTGCAGGCAAGAATGCTGCACTTAAAGAATATCTTACTCCTATTTTCCCTTATTATCACTGAATTCGACGTTAAATCTAGCAATATGCAATCTATACTCAATCTCCCAGTCGAAATCCTTCTCTTTGTGTTTGAGTCACTTGATGATATTGACGATTCCTTGCATCTTGCGAGATGCTGCAAGTATATTTACTGGGTTTTCAACGACGAGCACAACAGATTGACAATATTCAGATCCATTGTTGTATGTATACACTTTGATTGAATTTGCTCTGACGGTACACACCATGCTAACAATATGGACAGGCACAGGCTCCACATCACGAAAACGACATTGAACTGAGTCGACGCGGCAATCTGTATGGAAAATTTTCCAACGATTTCTATGAGACAATGTCGCTGCCTATTTCGCAAAATTTAGCCCATCGCGAGTCACTAGTGTCTGAGTTTTGGGCCCCTTGAAATGCAGCGATGTAATTCCTGCTGGTATTGTCTGGGATGTGGTCTGTAGGTGGCAAGGGATGCGTGTTCTATACGACCTATATTGCAACTCTGCAATCAACGAAGCCTATTCCACTGTCACTTCCCCCTTTTTCTTAGGCGAGGAAGCTACTAGGAGTTTTCCGAGTGATGAGGTGATGACTAGAGATCCTGCCCTCCAGCCCCCATCTGGTCCCACCCACGCCATTGCCGAAGAAATGAGCCCAAAGCAAAGAAACCAATCCTATCAAAGATTTTACAAGGCTTTGACGATACATTGGATCTCTGCGGAAATCTTTTGGCTCCTCAGAGCTCGGCCTGTGCAAAGTCCTCCAGAATTTCTTAATGTGCATTCTCGCCTGCAGAAAGACTGGTCTGATAATGAGACGAGATCCCTGCCAGACAAACTCGACATTGTCGAAGTCACAGAGTTCGTGTGGGGGTTTCTCGGACGGAAACCATTTCACGTATCCAGCGTTCCAGTCTGGCCAGAGGGCCTAGACGAAGACGTATTAGAGGAATTTATTCCAGCCGAAGACGAAATGATAGTGAAAACGAGTTCCCGATGCCCGAAGCGTCGGAAGCTGAGAACTGGTATCATTTCGTCAGGACCGTTCTTCCATTCTTGCGACCACCACAAATTGTAGAGCTACTTCTGTGGATGTGGGACCCTTCGAGAAGAAATCTGAATCGGCCGATGTTTTTGCAACGGTTAGGCATGTTTGATTATATCGTCGCGTCAGTCCAATTTGGCCCTCACTTTGCTACCTTCCACAGAGACTACATAGACATGCCAGAGTGTTTCTCTCTATATCTCAAGGAGAATTATGTCGAAAGTTCGATTGCAAAGGTGCAGGAGCAAGATGGAGTGGATTTGACCGCTCAATGGAAAGGATACAGACGTAATCGATGGTCACTGGAAGCGAGAGGTCGACTCTTCTTTCAAGACCCAACCGCGAAAGAACTCTTTTTGCAAATGCTTTTGAGCCAGATGAAGATTTAGCTTTGTGTTATTTGAGACTTTTTAGAGTATGCGCACAATGCGATTCCATGTCTTGTTGCACCTTCAACTGATATTCTGAGAGGCGATATTTGTATCAACTTAAATCGAAACACACCCTCTAGACATAAATCCCGTCCATATTTGGAAACAAAGAGATGTTATCACGAACCCTAATCATATGACATACTAACCCATATTGATCTAGTACCGAATGCTCATTCGGTATATATATATCACATCAATACCTACTAATACTTATCTGTATGGCATAAAAATGCGTCGAAAGGCTTGGAGAGCTTCAAGTTCTGATTCGTTTGGTCTATTTACTAAATTATTATGCAATAGCTAACAGAAAGAATCATCAGAATGACGATAGGAGACAAGGTCTTCCACCAAATACAAAGTATTACCGAAGAAAAGTCACATTTTCTCTTGGAAAACAATTGAATGTCGGAAATGGCCTTTCTCGTAATAACTTCATATACGCACCGCTGAAAAAGGCATACGCCCTTGGCCAGGACTCTCTTCTTATGCTGTTTATCAATATCTACCAGTAGTCCTTTTATCACACCCCGATTCATCCAAGGGACGGATTATTACGCCAACGAGAAGCCTTATAATGCTGCTTTTGCTTAAATTCAAAATGATACCTTTGAGCTTAGATCCTACAGAATGAAGACATAGGAAGTTATACCTAGAGGCTCTCAAAGTCTCTCCGGTAGAATGTCGAGTAGCCGATATGACCAGTTCTCACAACCGAGTACACCTGCTGAAAATTCATAAATGATTATGTTAAACAATTGGATCTTTTTGAGCAGACGCAGCCTAGCTACTGGAGACCTCACCCAAGTAATCGGCATTCTCAAGTTACTGTGTAGCACAATGAAGTGGGTGTGGTTGAGGCGGTTACGTGCCTTTTACTTCTCCGTCGGCCCGAGCGAATTCCCCGACGTCATCTCCTTCCGCCTCTCCGCTTCTTTTCTTTTTCTCTCCTCCTCCTCCTCCAACATCCCTTCTTCACCTACACACAAAATGCTATCGCGCAGCTCCCTCCGAGCTGCCACCCAAGGCACTCGAAATGCTGCCCTCACTCGATCTGCCGCCTTCCCCGCCATCAAAGCTCAATGCGCCAACCCCAGTATCTCCGCATTGCCCTCGGGCCGCAGACACGTCTCGATGTACGGCTACACGCAAGCCAAGGCACTGATGTACTCGAAATACGGCGAGCCAAAGGATGTCCTTAGGTATTTCCTACCCTAAATTATCACACCACCTCCAACACCCAGTCAAACTAAACAACCCCCCAGCCTGCACAAACACTCCATCTCCGCCCCCCACGGCTCCCAAGTAAACCTCCGCCTCCTCGCCGCGCCCATGAACCCAGCAGACATAAACCAAATCCAAGGCGTCTACCCCAGCAAGCCAGCCTTCCAAACCAACCTCGGCACGCCCATCCCCTCCGCCGTCGGCGGCAACGAAGGCGCCTTCGAAGTTCTCTCAACCGGCGCAAACGTGAAATCCCTCACAAAAGGCGACTGGGTGATAATGAAAAAAACCAACCAAGGAACCTGGCGCACACACGCCCAACTCGACGAGTCCCAACTCATCCGCATCGAAGACAAGACCAACCTAACCCCGATCCAAATTGGCACCGTCTCCGTAAACCCCGTCACAGCCTACCGCATGATCCGCGACTACTGCGCCTGGGACTGGATGCGCGCCGGCGAAGAGTGGCTCATTCAGAACGGTGCGAATTCCGGCGTCGGGCGCGCGGCTATTCAGCTTAGTCGTGAATGGGGTATTAAGACGCTGAACGTTATTCGGCAACGGCCCACGGCGGAAGAAACGGATGCGCTGAAGGCGGAACTCAAGGCTCTAGGCGCGACGGTCGTGATTACCGAGGAGGAAATGCTAGGCGGGAATTTCAGGGATATGGTGCATCAGTTTACCAGGCAGGGGAAGGAGCCTATTCGGCTTGCGCTGAATTGCGTGGGTGGGAAGAATGCTACTGCGCTGGCGAAGACGTTGGCGCCGGACTCGAGGATGGTTACGTATGGGGCTATGTCGAAGCAGCCTGTTGCGTTGCCGAGTGGGTTGTTGATTTTCAAGAATCTTTCTTTTGATGGTTTTTGGGTTAGTCGGTGGGGAGATAAGAATCCTCAGTTGAAAGAGAATACTATTAAGGATGTTCTTGAGCTGACGCGCTCGGGGAAGTTCCGCGATATTCCTGTTGAGAATGTTGCTTGGGGGTGGGAGAGTGAGGGTCCTGCGTTGGCGGAGAGTGTTCAGGGGACTTTGGGCGGATATCGTTCCGGTAAGGGGGTGTTTACTTTTACTGGGGGCGATTAAGGGTGGCTTTGCAGAGATGGGATGAGGCAGTGTAACATAATATCCAATTTGATGTAGATGAGCCTGAACGAACTTGAGGGAAGAATGGATGCTTCAGTGTATCAAATAGTAATGCCTCCAGGGCTGGTATGGATGCTGAAATATCACGCCCAGACTAGTCTTCATTCATGCTCAAATCTATTCTTCGTAACTTATCAAGACAAGCGTAATCACTCAATTTAGTTGTCAGTGCATGGCCAGTTCTTCCCCACCCATTCCAAGACCAAATCAGTCAGCGTCGAGCCTGGCATATAGCTCTTGCTCTCCTTAGCAAAGTCAACATCCAGCTGGGCAAACTTGGCAGCCAGCGTGAGATATGACTGGAGGAATTCAATGTACACCAAGTCTACCGTCTCAGGCTTAGTCGTTGTATTCGCGGACAGTGTCGCCTGGAAGACATTCGGTACACGGTAAAAAGGAATAGGGGAGTGGATGGTGTCATCTCCGTCATCGCCGTCATCATCTTCGGTGGTGTACCCAGGAACAACTGCACCAGATGGGCCCTCAGCTGATAGAGGAATTTGCCCCGTGCCGGCCATATCTTGACCAGACCATTCGATCGCCGGCTCTGAGCTCGCCATCGCACCGTCGAAATGTTTGACTTGAGCCGGGGGGGCCAAGGGAATCAAGGCCATCGAACGTCTCCTCCAATGACATTGACATAACCTGTGGTTGCTTGTTGAGAACTTCCATGATCAGTTGCACTTTATCGTACGGAACATCTTTCACGTATCGAAATTCGTTGGTAAATGGTGAGATGATCCACATGGTGTCCTGAGTAAATGGTCCCTTGAAAATATCGAAGCGGATAGCGCCTGTATTTAAAATTGCCACTGCAGGACGGTCTTCACCTCCACGAGGGTCATTCTTCAATGTCTCGGGCAAAACCTTTTTCTCCAGCCAAGTATAGATGCTTTCCTCATGTGGGTACGGAGCTCGTGACATCCAAAGGTCACGCGGGTTACACCCATGGGTCTTGTCCAGCTGGAGGGCACTCCGCGACTCCGTAATGAGTTGGGATACATTAAGGCCCTTGTCCGTATGGAAAGAGCTTTCGTCAAGACCTGTATGATGGTAGTAGGAGTAGAGGTTGTTATCAATGTATCGCCGCTTAAAGATGGGACTAGTGGAGGAAAGACCATCGATTGACATGAACCCGATGGTCTCCATGAATCGACCGCTGGCGAGAGCAACGGCCTTGTCATCGTACTTGGCATAGTCCCGGATATGCTGATGTCCGCCAAAGAACTGGATCGGTGTGTCCTCGTGGCCCGGAGTGGCCCGAATCGCGGTGAAGATGGCGCGATACTCTGGCGAATGAGCGGGGACGTGTCCGGCGACAAGGAAGAGATCGACTTCTTCGTCGCTAACAGCCTCTTGAAACCAGTCTTCTTTAATGGTGTCTTCCACGCGCTGCATGACGGTATTATTATAGTTGCCGGTGAAGTCAAACAGGAAGCCGAAAGCTACGATACGAATCCCCTGTTGTTTGGTAGTAAATTTCTTAAACCGGGAGGCCAGCGGGACCAGCTCTTGGGTCTCCGGGTGAATAATATCGATGTTTGAAGCGAGATAGCTACCTCGGAAATTGGGGACGGTGACTTGGAGCTCGGCTTCGGAGGTATTGTGTTTGTATAGTTCGTGGTTCCCAGAGGTCATCACATCGATATGTTGGTGACGGAGGATCTCCGAGAGGTAGACCCCTTGTGGTTGGGAGGAATCATAAAGGCCATTGCCCTCAACTCGATCCCCGGTATCGATGACTAGTAGATCCCGACCTTGAGCCTCAATCTTTTCCCGCATACGCTCGGCGAAGGAGATATAGTCGCCCCAGTCGGCCGAAAAAGAGGGCCTGTTCGAAGGGTATTAGTTTGGGTTACAAAGGAGAACCTCCGACGGGCCTACTCCTGTAGATGACCGGCCAGCCAGCCATGAGTATCGGTGGTATGGAGGAAGTTGAGTTGTCCGAGATGGAGATCGCGCAACGGAGCACGGATGGGGGCGGGCGCGGCAGGTTGAGCGGCGAGCGCCGACGGGAAAAGCAAGGGCAACGCCGGCCAGATTGCGGACCACATCGCGGGGGTGGTGTAGTGTAGATGTAGGGAGGTGTAGAGGGAGGTGAAGAGGTGAGTGAAGAGTAGAGGAAAGAGCGGGAGTACCGTGACTCTCTCGTGACTCTACTCGTGACTCTACTCGTGACCGTGACTCTTAAGGTACTCAAGGAAGGAGCTATCCTCTATACTCCGCTATAGGTAGTAGCTGTCCCTCACGGAAAGAGCGCCCGGTGTGTTGGTGTCCCTGCTGAGTCAGCGCCCAACATCTTCGGATTTGCTGCCATCGACAAAGTTTCTCCGGCGCGGCTTCTCATCCTTCCCCAACCAACTTACCTTTTTTGGTCTCACCTCCCTCCACGATTTGGTGCTTTCGACTTTAGCGGACTTTTCAATTGTCCCTTGTGCACCTTCAACTCCTTCGATTTCTACCCTTCCTCCACCTCCACCTTCGTCATGGTCGCTCCCCGAGTTTTCCGCCCTGCGGCCCGTCTGCTTTCTTCGCGCCTCTCCACCCCTCTGCGCCCGGCTTTCACCCAGACCGCTTGCGCTCCCTCAATTCTGCGCTCTCGTGGATATGCCTCCGAGTCCGCCGGAGGTGTCAAGGAGGTCACTGTCCGTGATGCCCTGAACGAGGCTCTCGCCGAGGAGCTCGAGGCCAACCAGAAGACTTTCATCCTGGGTGAGGAGGTCGCACAGTACAACGGAGCGTAAGGGCCCTTTTTGTGGGATGCGGAGACAAGAACATTGAAGATTGCTCCGTTTGGATTTGAATTGTCCGCTGACATTGATCTTTCCCGCAGCTACAAGGTGACGCGAGGTCTTCTGGACCGCTTCGGCCCCAAGCGGGTCATTGATACCCCCATCACTGAGGCTGGTTTCTGTGGTATCGCCGTTGGTGCTGCCCTGGCTGGTCTGCACCCCATTGTGAGTTGAACAACAATCCCGGAGAAATGCAATTGCGATCCACCCCCGATGAGTGGATCGCCGAAGATAACGGGGCAACACGGGCAACACGGGCAAGGCTAACATATCGACTCCTCTAGTGCGAGTTCATGACCTTCAATTTCGCCATGCAGGCCATCGATCAGATTATCAACTCCGCCGCCAAGACCCACTACATGTCCGGTGGTATCCAGCCTTGCAACATCACTTTCCGTGGTCCCAACGGTTTCGCCGCCGGTGTCGCCGCTCAGCACTCCCAGGATTACTCTGCCTGGTACGGCAGCATCCCCGGTCTGAAGGTTGTCTCCCCCTGGAGCTCCGAGGATGCCAAGGGTCTCCTGAAGGCCGCTATCCGCGACCCCAACCCTGTTGTTGTCCTTGAGAACGAGTAAGTTGAGTCCAATCCCGAAAAAGAAAAACATTTCCCGAAGATCGGCGGCCAGCGCACGGCGCACGGATAGCATCGGGAACACCCCGAACAACATGAGAACCAATAATTAACCTCTTCCTACTAGGCTTATGTACGGTCAGGCTTTCCCCATGAGTGAGGCCGCCCAGAAGAGCGACTTCGTCCTGCCCATCGGTAAGGCCAAGATCGAGCGCCCCGGAAAGGACCTCACCATCGTCTCCGTCTCCCGCTGCGTCGGCCAGTCCCTCACTGCCGCCACCGAGCTGAAGCAGAAGTACGGCGTCGACGCCGAGGTCATCAACCTGCGCTCCATCAAGCCCCTGGACGTCGAGACCATCATCGCCTCCCTGAAGAAGACCGGCCGCCTCATGATCGTCGAGTCCGGCTACCCCATGTACGGTGTCGCCTCTGAGATCATGGCTCTGTCCATGGAGTACGGCTTCGACTACCTGACCGCGCCCGCTGCCCGTGTCACCGGTGCTGAGGTCCCCACCCCTTACGCCCAGGGTCTGGAGGAGATGGCTTTCCCCCAGATTGACACTATCGTCAACCAGGCTGCCAAGATCCTGCGTTTGTAAGTGGAGCGTGCTGGAGAGCGAGCAATAATAAAACCATGTGCCTAGTACCCATTTTTCATCTGTCCCATTTTCCCTATATCGTTGTTTCCATCATGTCGTTATTTTTATTCTCGCCTTAGGCAGATTCTTGGAAAGCTATGTATCATTACAACCTTTCGAGGTCTGCGTCTTTTCTTTTTACCAGCGTAAATTGCGGGGTCGGATGATCTGGCCTAGTGATTGTTAGATTGATAGACATTGGAATTCAGTCGTGATATCATTGAGGTAGCTCCTTGGGTGCGTGGTAAATCAGTGGAACCCAGCCTGTATAGATCCTAACGCCGGAACAATGCGGATAAATGTATAAACACAATGAGAATAATTTGATCCCGATCATTATCGTGATTGCAGCTAGCTCCCACAGATCACTGGAAATAATGTCACCGATTTTGGCATCAGGCCAAGTATCTCCGAGATCTTCCTAACTTGCAAGCCTTCATCCTGTCCCGCCCAGTACGGTAGGTCACCGAATAATCGTCTCATCGTGATGTGAAAGATGCCAGGATCTTGGATCTGTTTCGATGCCCTCAGAAGCGATGTGGGCTAAGTCGAGCTTTCTCAACATCTTGTCGGACAGGGTGCTGGAGAGCTGGAGATAGACAAAACACTCGATCCGATGCCTGCTTTGTGCGCAGAGGATATGGCAGTGATGTGTGGCAGAGCATTCGCCAGAACTCGCCAGTAGGCGGATGGCATGGCCGCCATAGTTGTCGAATGTGACTTTCAGTCGTCTATCCACCGAATCTGACTAGTCAACCGATAACAAGATCCGAGCCAGCTTCGGCCACGTCCATTTGCGCAGAACCAGCGCCTCTGCTTTGCCTCGCCTGTAACCATAACCAGACACACGATAGGAACAGCGTGAATCAACAAGTCCACTATTCATCCAACAAACTCTCAAGAAAGACCCTTAACCTCCTTCAACCCGGCACATCCATCAAAGCACCCACTCGGCCTCCTAGGATCATAATACCCACCATCCCCCTCCAAATCCCGCGCATACTCCTCATCCGTATCAGACTCGCCATCAACAAGTCGAGACCCCGCAGCCGTAGCCGCAGTCACAGCCCCAGCCTCAGCCTCCACCAGCTCCTCCCTCCCCTCCCCAATCCCATCCTCCTCTTCCTCCCCAAGAACATTCCTCTTAACCGGCCCAACAACCCCCTTGACCGACGCAAACGAACTCTTAAACCCACCTTTCTTAAACCCGCCCGCCTTCGGCGCAAAAGAAACAGCCTCCGCGACAGCAGGCGTCCCACTGTCGATAACCCTCAGCCCAGCGTCAGCATCAGCTTTGCGCTCTGCGCGCCGCGCTTTTTCGGCGGCGTTGGGGTCGCGGGAGAGTTGTTTTAGGTCTTGGAGGCGTTTGCGGTGTTGGTGGTCGTAGGAGCCGATGTGGGCTTCATATTCTGGGTGCCGGGAGTAGGACTTTGCGCAGAGGGTGCAAGTGAAGGAGCTTAGTGCTGAGCGGGCGGATTCGGTCTTGTGAAAGGGTTAGTGGTGGTGGTGCGGTGGTGGTGGAGGGTGTATACCTTGGGTGCGGGATTGGTGAAAGCTCGCTGGGATACTGTTAGAGGGGGTTGAATTATTATCAGGGAGCTTGAAGTACCGGTGGCATTTTGGAAATTTGGTCTTTTTTTTTGTCTTTTTGCTTTTGCTGGGGTATAGTGAGAAGTTGGGTTGAGTTGGAGAGGAAATGAAGTGAAGTCAGCTCGGCCTATCAGAGAAAGCGGGTTGCCCGTGACTTCCCCAGCTTTTTGCTTTTTCGTTTGTTTCTTCACTTCCATTCTGCTTCATTTCGACCTCTACTTCTACTTCTACTCAACAATGCCCTTATAACGATTCTCCTTGTTTCTTTTATTCTTTCGTCAACATAGAAAACAGACCTTTAATCTATCCCCATCATGACTTCCCTCACCTCCAAACCAATGGATAGCGACGCCAAATCCATCATCTCCATGCAAGAGCTAGACCCTTCACCCGTGGACGACTCAACCTCCGACCTAGACACTCTCGAAAGCGGCGAATACACTCCCAAACCCATTGAAGAACCAAAACACCGCACCTGCGGTCTTTCTTCGACATTGGGCCTACGACCCCATCGCTGGGATGCCTTGTGTACGTCCAGCCCAAACGAAGAAGCCCAGAACTACAAAACTACAAATAAAGATGCAATATTCTAACACACACCAGTATCCGGTATCCAACGATACTCCACATACCCGCCAACAGCCTTCTTCATCCTCCATTTCGCAAACACATCCCTAATCCCCCTCCTCACCCAATCCATCCCCGCCAGCGAACCCTACCTCCTCCTCACGCGACCAGTCTACCAAGCCCCGGGTCTGGAACACCTCGTCCTCACCCTCCCCGTCCTCGCGCACATCGCCTCAGGAATCGCCCTACGCAACATCCGCGCAACCCGCCGAGCCCGTCTCTATGGCGCAGAAACCCGTTCCCAGCGTGATCTTCTCCGCTGGTGGCCGCGGACCTCCCTCCAAGCCAAGACAGGCTTCCTCCTCACGCCACTAATCGGTCTTCATGCGCTCGTCAACCGCGCCACGCCCGTCATGGTCGAGGGCGGGAGTTCCGGCGTCGGACTGGGATACGTCGCGCATGGTATTGCGCGCAGTCCGATCTTCTGGAATATCTTCTACCTGGTCTTTGTCGCGGCGAGTGTGTGGCATTTTGTTGGTGGGTGGGCGACTTGGCTTGGGTGGAGGGTGACTACTGTGCGTAAGGAGCGCGGGTCTAAGGGCTCACTTGAGGGGTATTTGGGGTATCCGGAGAATGCGGATCGGGTGAGGAGGCAGCGGAAGATTTGGTGGGTTGTTAATGGGGTGGCGGCTGTTGGTGCTGCTCTTTGGTTGGCGGGTGCGTTGGGGATTGTTGGGCGTGCGGGTGAGGGTGCTGGGTGGGAGGCGCAGGGGTGGAATGAGCTTTATACTCGGGTTCCGGTGATTGGGCAGTGGTTGTAGTATATACTAGTAGGTTGCAGGGCTGTATCATATCTATTTATCTAGACTAATTCTATAATACTTGACTATATTCATTTAAATATAAATACAAATGTAAATACTACTAGTATGTTAGTGCTATACAACTATCTCGTCCTCACGTGGTCCGTGCGGAATCTTTTTTCGCCGACGCCGCCAACTTCTTTTTGTATTCATTCATGACGCGCTTATACCAGTCGCTCTTCGCTGCAGTCCCAAGATGCCAATTTACTACTAGAATTCGCTTTAAACACCTCTACTCATATTCACACGCCATCTTTCACCGTGCTGCACTCAGCCACTCCGCCAAAGCCATGGAGCCCTCAACCGCACCCACCACCACCACCCCGCAAAGCAAGCTCGTCGAATTCCGCGGCGCTGAGTACAATGTCATCAAGGAGGGTCTGGCCCATATTCTAAATCCTCCTTCCCAAGAGGCCGCGTCCAAGGCTACCAGAAGGGACCTCAAGACCGAAGACGAGTCGCAATCCGTCTTTTACAACCCCATCCAGCAATTCAATCGTGACCTCAGTGTTCTGGCCATTCGCGCTTTCAGCGAGCATATCATTGATCTGAAGAAGCAGAAACATGACCTGAGATCAAAGAAGCGCACTCCTGGTGGCGGTGCAAAGGGCCAGAAGCGAAAACGTGAGGATGAGGGGGAGCAGACCTCGAATAAAAAGGGAGAAGTTGCTGAAAAGTCGGAGACAGAGAATGCGAATGAGCAGATAGAAGTCGAGGTCGAGGTCTCTTCAGCTCCTGATGCGCCTGCCGCCGCCGCCGCCAATGGAAAGCAAGAAGACTCATCCACGCCATCCCACCAATTCACCATCCTAGACGCTCTCTCTGCAACAGGTCTTCGCGCCCTACGCTATGCCGCCGAAATCCCCCATGCAACCAAGATTGTCGGCAACGACCTCCTCCCCGCGGCAATCCAGTCCATGAAGACAAACATCGACTACAACGGGCTCGGAGACCGCATTCGACCAAATCTAGGCGACGCCCGCGCCTACATGTACACCCTCGGCCCAACAGAAAGATTCGACGTGATCGACCTAGACCCCTATGGCACTGCATCTCCATTCATGGACGCCGCGGTCCAGGGCGTCAAAGACGGCGGTCTGCTGTGTGTCACCTGTACCGACGCGGGAGTCTGGGCATCGACGGGATACGCGGAGAAAGCCTTCTCGCTATACGGCGGTGTGCCTATCAAGGGCTCGCACAGTCACGAAGGTGGTCTCCGTTTAATTCTCAACGGTCTCGCCATGTCTGCTGCCAAGTATGGGCTAGCTATTGAGCCCCTGCTTTCACTGAGCATCGACTTCTACGCCCGGACTTTCGTCCGTGTCTCCCGCTCCCCGGCACAAGTCAAGTTCGTCGCTGGCAACACGCTACTGCATTATAACTGTGACTCCGGCTGCGGAGCCTGGAGCAACCAATACCTCGCCTCAACAAAGCACAAGCTCGACAAAAAGGGTAACCCCATGAGCTACCATTCCCTAGCCCAAGGGCCAACCGCAGGCCCGCACTGCGAACACTGCGGCTTCAAAACACACCTCGCAGGCCCAATGTGGGGAGGCCGTCTTCACAACCCGCAATTCATCCAGCGCATCCTCTCCATCCTGCCAACCCTCGACAAAAACGTCTACCAAACCGTCCCCCGAATCGAAGGCATGCTCACCACAGCCCTGGAAGAAGATCTAGACCTCACCCCATCATCCATCAAACCCGCCGTCGCCGCCGCCGCAAACACAGCCGAAACCCAACCCCAATCAACCGAATACCCCGCCATAATCCCAAAAATGGACCCCTCCCTCCGCGACCCCTACCCCTTCTACTTCATCTTAGGCGCCCTCTCCAAAGCCCTTCACTGCCAAACACCCCCCATCGACGAATTCCGCGGCGCAATCCACTCAATCGGCTACCGCTCCACCCGTTCCCACTGCAAACCAAACTCAATCCGCACAGACGCCCCTTGGCCGGTCGTCTGGGAAATCATGCGCGAGTGGGCACGCCAGCACGCGCCTATCAAAGAAGGTTCCATCAAACCCGGCACCCCGGGCGCCGGCCTCATGAAAATGGACCGCACAAAACTGGCCGCTGGCACTGGCACTGGCGAAGCCGAAGTCGAAGCCGGCGATGCCTGGCTCGCCCGTCTAAAAACAGACCTCCTTTCCGACATCGAGGCTGGCCGCGACGTCTCTGATCTCGTTACTAGAGTCGAAGCTTCGCTCTATCGATCCGGTCCTGAGACACGCGCAGCGGAGCGAGAAGCCGAGTCAGGATCAGAGCCAAAAGCAGCCGAATGCGCCAAAGCCCAGTGCGAATGCGAGTGCGCCACATCCCAGCACGCTGGATATCCGCTTCGACGCACAGTTAGGTCGTGACTCGTCGGTTTCACATACGAATAAGCGACTGGTGCGGTATCAGATTAATCCGCGCGCGAATTGGGGCCCGTTGAATCGGGCTTCTTGATTAGATCAGGGGGTATATGTGTTGTGATGGGGTGTTTGTTTTTTCTCTAAATGTGGTGTGATTTATTTCATTGTATTTGTCTGGCCTTGTATGTATGAAAAGAACTTGAATTGAACTCTTTGATAAGGAATGTATATTGTTTACCTTGACTGTCGGTGTTGGTTATTAAGTCACGTGCTTGTACTTGACCTAACTTGAGCCTGAGATAGCTAGAGAGGCCTTGGAAAAAATTGGCTCGACCTTCCACCGGTTCATTTTGGTAAGTTCAAGTTGGCACCTAGTAATTTACAAAGCTTTTGAATTGATGGGTACTTCAATCGCGGGACGTTTTCATTTTTGACACGGAGGATGTGTTCGCTTTGAGATCCACGTCGAACGCAAAGTTCGTCCTATGTCGGGAAGTTTCGGCTCGAATCTGGAGGGAGTGAGTAAAGTAGTAAGTACTAGTAGTAGCAGCCAGCCCACGACTCGGGGATTTACGAGCTGGACCGACGTGGGATTCTGGCTCTGGCTGCACTAGGTAAGACTAAATTCAAAAAGAAGTTTACAATAAAGCCCCAGCTCCACACGGGCAATACTACAATACTACAATACAGATACGAGAGGACCAAAAAATATTGAAGAATTAATATCATTCATTACTCCCAATATAAACACCAACAAACCGACCCAGGAGACGAAACTGGCCCGGAAAAGTCGAATCTAGAAACACAAAAAGGGAAAACATGAAACGGAAAAGACAAACATAAGTCACAAGTCATCACGTCTCGAAAAGTAAGATATGGGGAAAAATTGATGCAGGCAGGCATAGGCACAGACACCGGGACAGACACAGGCACGCCTTCCTTGACAAGCATCATCTATATGCGGGGGGGGGGAGGTATAAGACCAAACTAAAACTTCGAAACAGCAACAGCAACAGCCTGGGTCTCACTGTGACTGATGCTAACATTGACAGACTTGACACCGGCAGCCTTGGCAGCAGCAGCAGCCGCACCGAGCAGATTGACAACGGGGGCACCGGTGGCATCGACGCCGATCTCAATGTCCTTCAGCGCGGCACCGGCGCCTTGGCTGGAGACGCCGAGGGACTTGAAAACAGCCTCCTTCGCGGACCAGCGTCCTGCGAACGAGGACTGCGGCGACGCAGCCTTGCGACAATAGTCTTGCTCGGCGGTGGTGAAGTTCCGCTCGACGAAAGTCTCGTTCTCGATATTCACTGCGTCGATGTTCTCGACGTCGACGCCGACCTTGGAGTTCTCGGTTGCGTGGGCCTTGGCGAGGGACTCGACCATCTGGGCTGTTGAGGGGGAGTCTTCGGTCTTGGGGGCGGCGGAGTACTTCAGTTCAGAAGTCTTTTTGTCGGCGCTGACGCGGTAGTCTGGGTTCAGGAAGATCTTGCTCTGCTGGTCGTCTTCGTAGGGGGCCTTGGACTTGGCGACGAAGATGGAGTTGTTGATCAGGCCGTTATGGAAGTAGCGGTAGGCCTTCTTTTGGCGCGCTTCGACCTTGGTCTTGTAGGCGGCGTATTGGGATGCGTCGAGGGTTGCGTACAGGTACTTGGGGTGGATACCGATGACCTGGGCGCCCTTTTGGCCGAAACCGAAGGATGTGACGCTGAACGCCTTGACGCCGTCTGTCTGGATGCTGCGGCTGGGGTAGACGATGTAGTCGAATTTCTCCATCACTTTGTCCACGTTGTCGGCATTGCGGTTACCGGGGACGAGACCCGATTCCAGGACTTGGAGACAGCCGTTGAACATCCAGGCGCCGGCCGCACCCTTGGGGTGACCGGTGAGGTACTTCTGGAAGATACCCATGACGGCGTTACCCTTGCTGCGGCCGAGGTGCTTGAGTTGTTGGCAGATGACGTCGGACTCGTTCTTGTCGTTGGCGACGGTGGAAGTACCATGGAAAGAGGCAACATCGATGTCGTCGACGGTCAGGCCCCAGGTAGCGAGGGCACCGCGGAGAGGAGCGATGCGCGAATCCTGCTTCCAGAAGTTGTTGCCCAGGCTGAACTGAGCGTCCTTCTCTTGGCGGATGGCCTCGCGCTCGATATGCTGGGCGCGCTCCTGCAGGTATGCGGATTCGTTGAAGGTGTCGTCGGACTGGGCCTTCATGGCCTCGGCCTCCTCGCGGAGGTAGAGCAGCTCAGACTCCTGCCACTCCTTGATCTGCTTCTTGCGCAGATCCATCTGGCGGCGGCGGTACTTGATGTCCAGTAGAGGCGAGGGGAACTTGCCGGGGTTCTCACGGGCAGTGGTGAGAACACCCTGGCCGGGAGCGGGGACGGACCGACCGATCTTGTCAGTGGCGGTGGTGGTCAGGGCAATGATACCGTGGATGGGGACACCCATATCCAGAGCGAGCTGGGCGCTCATGATCAGTTGCATACCGCAACCCTGGGACTCCATGAAGCCGGCACGGGTGGTGGTAGTAGGACGCGACATCTCCTGGGGAGTACGGCCGTGAGCGAACTCATCCTCGGCGTTGCTGGTAGCCTTCATGTTGGCGAACTCGTAAGAGCCCTCCTCCTGGAAGTCATCGAAACCACCAACGAAGCAGACACGGGCCTTGCCCTCGACAATGGTCTCGTAACCAATGTCAACGGACTCGACAGCAGTGGCGCAGGCACCGACGGGGGTCTTGATGGGACCAGTGGAGGACAGCAGCAACATGTTCACCCAGGCGCTCATGGTGTTGATGAAAGACTCCTGCAGGATATCCTTCTGCAGAGGCTTGTCCAGGTAACGATCCTTGTACATACCGCGCAGAGCGTGGGTACCACCGATACCGGAACCAATGCAGTTACCAACCTCCGACAGGTGGACGTACTTGTAGAACTCGTACGGGTCGGTGATACCAGCGGACAGCATGGACTCGGCGGTACACACCAGGACGAACAGGGTGACGGGGTCGACCTGCTCGATGATGTCGTCGGGAATACCGTAACGGCTGGCATCCCAGCCAGTGGGGACCTGACCAGCGACCAGGCGGTCAAACTGCAGAGCCTTGGGGATGAGCAGGTTGGCACCCTTGCGGAGACGGACGGTGTATTCGCCAGAGTCGGGGATCTCGAAGATCTCGACCTTATCGCCGTGCTCGCGCTTGAACTCCTCAGCAGTCTCCTTGGAGGCCTCGAAGGGCTCAAGGTCCTCCTGGATGACGATCTCCTGGAGCAGCTGCTTCTTCTTGGGGTCGTAGCCCTTGAATAGCTCCGGCTCGATCAGACGGATACCGGTGTGCTCGAGAATGTACTTCTCGTACTTGGGCTTGATTTCCTTGTCGTCGACGGGGTCGCCGGTCTTGGCGTCAACCCAGCCGGAGTAGGCCTTGCCCTTGAGAGGACCGTTGTGGTGCTTAATCAGACCCATGATCCAGGCCATCTCAACGCAGCCCTCCAGAGAGAACTTGCCGTTGGACTCCATCTCCCAACGGGTACGGGAGTTACCCCAGGGACCGACCTCGGCGAAACCAGTGACGACAACAACCTTGTCCAAGTTGACCATGCCCTTGAGAGACTCGTTGATGGGCTTGACCTCCTCCCACTCGGGAAGCTTGGGGAACTCGAACTTGATGTTGGCACGGGGCTCAGCAACGACCTTCTTGTACAGGGCGCCGCTGTCCTCGCCGTTGACAACCTTGTGCTCAATGGCGGTCTCCTTGATGACAGCCTGGCGGACATCGCTGGTCTCCATGATGTCGGTACGCAGCTTGGTCATCAATCCCTTAAGATCGGGGATGAACTGCAGACCACCGTTCAGATCGGCCCATACGGGGTCGAGCTGGCAGAGGTTGACGACGGCAGGAGACATCAGACCCAGAAGGTTGAAAGCCATCTCCTGCTGAGAGAAGGTGCGGACACCAAGCTTCTCAACACCCTCGGCGACCATGTTGTTACCGCTCATCAGACCGGTACCACGGGTCCAGCCAATGACCGCACCGCAAATGGTGAGGTAGCTGCCCCAGTTCTCCGAGTACCAACGGTTAAAGAGGGTCTCCAGAGCCAGCTTGGACTCGGAGTACAGACCGTCGTTACCAAAGGTACCGTGGTTGGGGGACAGAGGCAGGACGACCTGAGCAGGACGAGTCTCGAAGCCGTGAGCCTGCTTCTGGGTCTTGACGGAACCCAGCATGCGGAGCAGGTTGGTCAACATGATACGGTGAGCCAACTCAGACTTGGAATCGATGTTATCGATCTCGCGACCGTTCTCGGGGATGGCAGCGAAGGGAACAACGAAGTCAAGATCCCAGCCAAGACCCTTCTTGGTGTCGTAAATGTAGTCGACGAGGGCCTCGACATCCTGCTTGCTACCCTGGTTGAAGGGCACAACGACAAGCTGGGAGCCGCGGGCACCGTAGCGGGCGTACATGGCCTGGTAGTACTCGGTGACCTCACGAGAGAATCGGCTAGTGGTAACGACAACCTTGGCGCCACCACTGATGAGACCCTGCAGGACCTCCGCACCAATGGAACCGGCACCGGCACCAGTCATGAGGACATTCTTGCCCTGGAAGGTGAGACCTCCAGAGGCAGCGGTCTCAAGAACGTTTAAGTAGATACCGGTGAGCTTCTTGTTGTAGTCCCAGTTGTCTCCGCTCTTCTTCTTAAGGTGCAGGAAAGGGATGGTCTCGACCTTGCCGGGGCGGGGAGCACGCTTGATGCCCGACTTCTTGCCACCCTCCTGGGGCATGATCTGGTTCTCGTTCATGTCCAAGGCGTGCAGGACGTCCTTGTACAGCGCATCGAACTGGAGCTGAGAAGACTTAGAGAGACGATGTTGCTTGCGGATAAGCTTGTAGACGTTCTTCAGGTCGTTCTGCACCTTGTTGCGGTTGCTGTACTCGGAAATGGGACCACCTTCGGCCATTTGCTTGACGTAGTGCTCCAGCTTGCGGGCACTAGACCGAGGCACCTCCTTGTAGCCGATGGTACCCTTGGAGTCGATAGTGGTCTCGGGGCCGGTGGGGACATTGACGTCCTTGTAGACGGGGGC